CGTGCTACATCACAATCTCCTCGTGACCCGCCTCCTCACTTCGATCTGGATGCCGGTGATCACAATGATCAAGACCCTCCTGTCGACCCCGACGATCCGGTAACGAGCTTGCCTCGTTTTTTGTGTGAAAGAGAAAGGAAGGAATCTAATGGGCACTCCAACCAACCAATCTAATACACAATATGCGAGTTCACTGCTATCAAATTTATTTAATAGCAAGGGGTAGCGTTGGCAAAGGTTCCGCAAAGCTTTGATCAATCAATTTGAATCGTTCTAAGGATTCGATATATTCCTTTGATCAAGGTAGATTCAGCACGATTTGTGCTTTGGTTTGTATTGATTTGGGTATATCAAGAATTGGGGGTTTGAATCAAAGTAAATTAAAACCGAAACACACAGACCCCTACGGAGGGCTAGAACTATGTGCTGGCACAACCACACAGTGTGATTTGCCCTTAAGACCAACGACTGATCCTAAGTTCGAAGAATATCCAACAACTGGATATACTTCTCGCAGTCACAAGGAGCAGAACACAATGTTCCTATACTCACAAGTGCCGGGCCCAAATGGCTGCTAGCGAAGAGGTTTCAGTCTGGCGGGAGTGTGTCTTTCCTTTTTACGGATTAGCACTGCAACGTCGTCCCAAAATCACTTGTATTCCAGATACATCGGATCGCTATTTATGCATACAGAATATAGAGTCGCATAGTACAATTAATTTAATACAATAAACGTTCGGAACCGCAAGGAAACTTCTACACTCGGTCAGATACCATTTAATTTGAATCTTCATGTCCTTATTTGGCCCATATTGGTTCCAAGATTCTAGTATACCTCCAAACATAGGTAGGTACTTTGATATTCATTTAATTTAATTGTTTTTGGAGGATGACTCGAATGGTGTTCAACTGTCATTGCTGTTCAACACTTACTTCAATTGTTTGTCACCTCGTCCGGAGGCAAATCAGCTCTCCTCGATTCTAATCCTATCAATCTGATTCATCTGGATTAAACTAATTGCTTCTCTCTTTCAATAGACACCTATTGTGCCTATACTCTTTCAAGGGAGTTGCGCATAGTATTCATTTAATTGCATTCTTCAATATTTTCTACATCAGGACTCTTTGACATTCATTTGATATGTCTTCGGAGCCTCGCAGTACTTCGATCGTTCTTCTAGTCATTTTCCTCAACCATGCAACTTGATTGGTCCATTAGACTAAATCGCAGTCTTTTAGATTAATGCATGATCTCGTTCTAGAAGGAGCATTTGATAATTCCTGAGTTCTAGAAAGTCATTTCGAGTCAATCCTCGGTTCATGGTCACTTGAGTAAGTTCTTCCAAACTCCTGCCAGTGTAAGGTCCAATAAGAATACCCTTGGTATGTCATACGTGAATGGTCATCCTTCGGATGTAGTTCGAGTCTGGTATAATCCTGCTTGACAAACAGGTAGACTGTCATCCGAAGGTAGTATCGGGGATGGGTAAACTAACCAACTTGTGGTAGTATGGGTATATGGTCCCTTCAACTTATTAGACTGATTCAGTATTGACTTTGACTGTCAATCTGGGTCTCAATTACAGTCCTCTCAATACAAATCTATACGTGAAAATGTCACAATTCACAGCATAGACGTCTAGCCAAAATTTAGGCATGTCACCGACACCCCTCGAAACTAGAATTTCAAAGCAAGCACCACATGTGAGACATATTTGGAACAGAGGAAGGAGGCTCACATGCGGATGCATGTTATTTATCTTCATGAGTATTTCATAGGTTATGGGAACCAATGTGCCTATGGTGCAATCGGGTATAACACAACCAATCACGAACAGGCGCCATTTGGGGTCAGCGAAAAAATTTTGTGCCTACACTTGTTTATTTTGACCAAGAAACAACAGTTCTGAGAGTCACAAATAGTGCCCAAGCATGCAATCAAAAGCTTTTGACTTGAAAATAATGTGAATGTAATATTTATCAAGGTATGATGAGAGACAATAAAAAAAGTAAAAGGATTATAAGCATAACCCTAACCCTAATAGCTTCCTATTTTGGAAATGCGCCATTTGGTGGGAACTTATTTCCTCAATTTTGAAGGTATCAAAAATCGGTCTTACAGTTTTGTTCCCTCTATCATTATATGCATTTCTGTAATAGGGATAAGAAATTTAAATAAATTCACGTGAGATAATTCAGTTGTTCCAAATTGGTTGTGTTATACCCGATTGCACCATAAAACACCATTTGACAAACTCAGTTTAGTCACAATTTTTTTTGTTCCCAAAACTGGGCCTCTATCACTTGAATTCTCCATACAGATGCAGATTCAGCAGCAATTGTAAGACCTGGGTCAGAATGGGTCTTAGGGTAGGTTTTGGTATAAGGGATTTATGTTGTAGTGTGCTAGGAGCAAGCTGGAGCTCGAAGGGAGCTACGGGAACCACGACTGAGGACGGGAATGACCTATGAGTAGTTCAGATTGAAAGGGTTGACCTTTGAAGAGGTTCCTAGGAGGTCCTGGGAGGTCCCTAGGACATTAAATGGGCTAAAGGCTGCTAGGAGCTAGGGAACATTGGACGGTTACATCGTACGAGTTGTAGTAGATAGGATTGACAGCACAGGATTGTTACAGATCATAGCTGTAGTGAGTTCCGAATGTAAGAGCTCCCGATGGAGTGTGAGCCCGGGAAGTGGAGGTAGAGGCAGACGTCCTCAAGTGTTGGAGGTAGTAACGGAGAAGCGGTATGTAGTTCAACATAGGGGATAGCTTCAATGTTAGCTAGATCAAGGTCCCTGAGCTTGTGGAGCACTTGGGGAGGTTAGCTCACCAAAACGATAGACCTTTGGGGAGCTTTAATATTGGTTGAGGGAGCTCAAAGACTCACTCAGATTGCTTAGACGTGAGGTAAAAGTGTGTATTGGATTGTTTAGACGACCGTAGAGACGAGATAGTAGTAGAAAAACAGAGATAAAGAAACAGAGAGTAAGAGAAATCTGTATAGTTAGCAGGTACAAAGGGACAGGGACTGGACCTATGCAAAAGGGTGTGTGTTCAAAATATACCAAGCTGGGGCTTGGGGACATTGCAGAGCTACTTAAATAGGTATGGAAAGTGAACAAGGGAACATCAGGGGCCATGAGGCAGGTAATCGAGATTAGTACTTAATGGGGTTGGTGGTAGGAGGGTTTCTTATGTGTGTTGGGAGTTACGCGTGTCGGGGAAGTCATCAGGATGTTTGGTTTAATGGGAAGCGGGGGAATGGTAGTACTGTCTTGGGGAGGTCCCGAGATGGATCGGAAGTGTGAAAGCGTGTGGCTGGTACTGGGACTGTCCTGGTTGTAGCCAAGGCATGACAGCAATACCTTGAATGATGTTCTTGCCACCAACACAAAGTAATAATGATATAATTGTTACTAGCACATGACTGTGGGAGATGGCCAAGCTCAACTTCCCCCCTACAAAATGAACAGAAAAACTTTAGTAAGAAGCCTTACCTAAAGGTTCAACAAAAAGATGATCCATTGCCCTGGACCATTATAGGATCAACTAAAACTCAGGTAGGGTGCAAAGCTGCTTCTAGTATAAAAAGAGACACAACTGCAACCACTTTGAGTAAGAATACCAGCAAATCTCCTGCAAATGCTTTATCACTTTCAACTACTGCAATACCTTTGTCACAAATCTGTGTGCAGGCACCAAAGTGCTCTGCCTCTGATGGAGACCTTGTTGACCATGCCCTACCAACAAAGAAAGTGAAGCACTATGCAAACAACAATAGTACAAAGTTTGATGTTGAATACCCATTTGGAGCAACTGATTTACATGCTGCATCCATATCTGATACACTTGAAATTCCATCACCACTAAATGTTGCTAAATTGTAGCCTTTGCCACTGCATACAAAATCATTAAATGCATACTATCGGCAGGTATCCCAAGTCACTACTTTGAAATAGTCAAATAATTCATGTGTGTATGACTCTTTGTTTCTCATACTGAGACAGGTCTAGAAGTAAACTATTTAAGATGTAATATCATACATGAAGTTACCTACAATAATGGATGGCTTTTTACAACATGCCTTAGGTGAAACTTCATTGGAAATGGTCCGCGATGATTTCCGGAGATCAGTACAAACTCAGTGAAATCTGCAATGAGGTACTTATACAAGTACTCAGGATGTACTGGCACAACTGTTACACACTAGTTGCCCATGCTTTGATGCTTCTCTGAACTGTGAAAATGGGCACATACCACAGTGGATACCTCAACGACCACAGGCTACTCAACTGCACCCACCTTTTATTCAACCTCCAACATCTGCATCATCATGGTTCACTGATATTCCTTGTTGCATCACCTGCCATAGTCGAGTGTATAAACAACACATATTGAACAGTGCACCTTGTATTATATCATTCAATATTGATGGGGTGCGCCCTTTCTTGATTGACTCACATATTAGCAGGGATATTAACAATGAAACTCGTTCTTGCCACGCGCGCAGCGCAATGGCCCACTTTCGCACGTGATCAAACCTTGGTGAACGATTAGAAAGAAATCTGGTGAGTTATTCCCTTAAGTCCTTTCGAACGATAGGACTTCATCATGGCTGAATTCAAGAGTGGTCCCAACTCAACGACCTGGATTCAAACAGCTAACGGTATCCAATCGAATTCGGTGAATCATCAGGTGTGCCCTAGGTGTGAGATCGCAGTACCAAGACACTGCTTATCACTGCGCAGCGCTGAGGATATATGCGCATACATTCGAATCGCCTCCCCATTATCATGCTTACTTTTTCTGAAGCTCTCTCTATGCTATGTCCTCCGGATCCTCACATTGATTCACCCTGATTCTCTTTTTGCTATCTCCAAACTTATTTTCATTACTTGGCGGAATACATTTACAACTCGTTACTCACCCGGCCTGTGTCCGACGTTAAAACTCTTACCCAGTACCTAAATCTTTTTCGTCTCTCCCCATCAATTTTTGGTTATGTGCGGTCATGCTTTCTTGTCTTGGGTTTACGTTCTGAGTTCCTAACATTCAAGGGTACTCCTTGTGCCGAAAGTATCTGCAAACAAAATGAGACGAATCACACCGATTTATCGCGTAGACCAGGCGCAGACACACTTTCGTCAACTCTGTTGATACCTGCAAGCCAGGAAAATCTTTTGTGGAGAAGACTTTGAATCTACCCCCAATACACTCGGCTTGGATCGTCGTATCTTTACCTGGCACTGCAGTCGAAACCAAATCGAAGAATCTGTAGCGAAGTCTAAAATAACCCAAATTTCTAACGGCAAGGTCCTGTTGAATGAATCACTTCAGTATCTCCGAATCCGAGTCAGTCGTTCCAACACTCACGGAGAAGACAAACATCAGATTTTTTTGGCCATTGCGCTCTATGAGATGCGGCTGAACCACCTTGGACCCGATGAGAACATTCGTAGTCAGTCGGGCGATTTCTGACTCGGCTACTGGGGCATTTCCGGGAAAGGACAAAGGATGGACGCGCTCCGAGTCCCCACTATGAGATTCATTGTCAGGTATCAGATCCACAGCACATAGGAGTCCCATGGTCCCGATGTTTCTAGTGTCGTCGCAATTCCGAAATCAGTAGCGAACTCAGCAGCTAAAGAATACTAGTCAATCGAGACTTACTCGTAATTGGGGATCTCATACTCTAGAGACCCATATTGACCAGGGGGCGTACGTTCAAACAAACGAAGCAAAACAACTGGAGGTGGATCGATTGATCTTCTGTCTACCTCAGCATATCTGAAATAAATTCAAGGTCAGGAAGGAGAACATATCAGAGAAACTGACTTTCGCCCTGATACAGCGTGTTGCAACTCATGAAGTTCAGCTCGCACTCCCTTTCCCTCCCATCTGCCTTCTTCGAAGTAAATAGCTTTATTCGTGTATTGCTCTTCTATGTGGTAGACTCGATTGTCCAATCCTTGTAAGGGCACTGTAAATCCATCGATGAATGGTTCTAGATTAGGATATAGGTCCAAATGAAACGGATTTGACATCGTGGATTGGAACTAATGCTGATGGAACCTGAGGGAGAATAAACAGCTGTGGGGTATTTATGAGGAGAGCACATGCGAATAGAGCTACTCTAGAACCCCACTGGCACGCAAGTGGAGTCATCAAAGTTCAGCAACGAATAACCTCAACCAGAAAAACTAGGGTGATATAGAGTGCCCTGCCCGATCGATCAGCAAAGGTTCCTCCTCCAATCGACAACGCGATTTTGTGAGGTCCCCGTGCGGCGAGAACGAGGATGTTGGGGGAATTTTCTATGCGGAATTGTGAAAGTATGAAATGGTCACCGCATACACACTGAGTAAGATCTGAAGTTTGAACGAACCTTAGTAAAACAACACACGTGTCAACGATGGGTCCACTCTACATCCCAGAGCTCTGCAGATTCGGTTTTGCTCTCGTAACTGATAGCAACCGACTATTGGTCAATCAATCCACTGACAACAGCACTCGGCACTTTTGAGAACGTTACGCTGAAATTCATGGATTACCCGCGGTCAAAATTCGAAGGGAGCTCAAGAATTGCTGCACTGTGAGCTTGCCTACACTTCAGTAGATTCCTGAAGATAGTATATGTCGGATTGTCGACGGCAAGGTCTCTGTGGAAAATTTAAAGGGTCCCAGAAGGTGCGGACTGAATACATAACTCCGCTTATTTGTGCACAACTTGAAGTGAATGGGCAACAATCTAAAACATAGACTCGTCGAGCATGCAAGCGCCAACAATGTGAAGCTAAAACGACAGAAGAGGGGGTAGAACTGGGGTAGAACAGGAAGGGTGGAAGTTTATTCAGAAACGCGGCATTCATTCGACACGAGCTGCCAATGGGCCAATGGCTGGCATAATGTCGCCATCGCGATTCAGCGTTGGGGCCGCTTGCAGTGGATATGACTTTCCGATATCGAGCTAAAATTTTGCCAATGAACGGTAAATAAGGGCGAATATATACTCGCCCGGGCCTAAACCTTGTAAAGAAGCGACACCTTTGAGCTAGCCTTTGAGCCTGAAAGCGGAACGTAGTTGAGGGGATCTTATTAGCATGTAGAACTTGAAAGCTTAGTACTTAATTGACCAATTAGCCTATGGAGTAATCAAGGCATCCACTCTGCGCACCTGGAGAATGAGAGCAATCGCATTGAGGCGGCAGCTTACGGGCATCAAAAGTTCTCACGTTGAGCAGCATTTCTGAAAGCGATCTTCGATGTCTTTAGATCAAAATCTCTTTACTCTCATCGTAACTCCAAGCATAATCGACCCCAATGTCATAGACTTGGTAGATTCAACTGGTCAAGTGCATTACCGCAAGCAGCGTGTTCCCGCGTCAATATACAAAGTAGAAGTGTATGGTGTGTCTCAGGATATGCTTTTTAATCGCAATTGGTGATACATACTTCCTTGTAGATTTTGCTTCTGAATCTTTGCTCGTAACTGCCAGCGCACCAAGCACAACCAGTAAAGTCAAAACCTTGGAGCTTTGTAATCCAACCATCGCCGTAGAACTCAAATACACAGGGACACTATCCTTCAAATGGTCTTTTCAATGGGAAAAGTGCGAATCGTCAATGGATATACTGAACTGTATCCGATTTTTTACATATCGACAGCCACGAATTCGAATGGAAGCGAGAAGAATGCTACATGATTCGAAAGCCAGATCCGCCAGTTCTAGTTGCTATTACAAAGGAGCCTGCAGGTCGGTTGAAGAGCAGTTCAGTTCAAGTGCTTGATTATAATTTGAACCGGTGAGTTTTTACCAGCGGAGTCGATCGGACCGTATGCACTGACGTTCCTCGAGATTCGATATCAACGACCGTAAAGGCCTGGAAATTGTCATTTTGACCGCTTTGTTAACATTCCACGACTCAAACGATACTTATCACTCCCCGAAGGTTAATTCTTCACCTTCACCTACAACTACGCCTTCTTCAAGTGCTCCCATTCTTTTGGAGCCTCCAACGCCACCTCCTAGACCTGAACCCAAGGCCGGTGTCGATCGTATTGCAGAATTGCACGCCATCCGAGGAGAATTCAACGAAGTCACGGTAGAAGCTGAGGGTAGCGTAAATGATTATGCGCAGTATTGCTGGAACCTTCTTCAGGTGCCATGTATCCTTCTTCCGGTAGTCCTCACTCAACAAGCTTTTCATTAGGACGATGCAGTACTGTTTGTCATGATAAAATCTCATACTAGTCTCGAGGTACAAAAAGTTGTCCAAGTTGCCGAAGAAACCAAACGGATACGGCACAAAGCTGGTATGCTTTCTTTCTTTTCATGTAAGGTCTTCCACAGCTTTTGCAGGTTTAGAAGACGATCTACATCAATATGTGATTTACGATGCTGAAGCCAAGAAAGGCCCAAAGAGGATTAACTTGGATGATGCTGATAAAGGGAAAAAGCCTGCGGCTTATGTCCCACCGAGTAGTCTATGTATTCATATTAGCAAGATTCTTATGCCAGAGCTTCAACCCCTCAAACCTGGAGGTACATCGAATGACAAAGAGCATTCTCCCAAAAAGAATGATGGTCTGTCCTTGTATTGTTCTCAGTCATAATTCAACATTTCTAATTGCCCTTATTTATCTTAGCCTTGTCTTCTCCCTTTTCCGCAAGACCAAAATCCAAACTATTTCGTCCTTCCCGATCTCCCCCTGCTTCTCATGTACGATCTCACCAAGTACACCCTTATCAGCCTTCACCCTCTCCATCACAGCTTAATAATCCCATGATTTACGTTGCACCTCCTCCGCCTCCCAACTACTCCAGTACGCACTCTGCTGCTTCGCCGCCTAGTCTCTCAGCTCCCCCGGATTACGCTCAGGGCCCTCCATCACAGCATGCTGCGGCGCCGTCTAATCCCATTGCGGGACTGTTGGAGCGATTCCATTTACATTAAGCGTTCTCATGGGGCTCGTCTGTCCTTAGGGATCATCTATCGCCCATCTTTGCTTTATATTCAAGATTAAATATTGTTACGCCCCACCGCATTTACCTGGACTGCATTCTAAGTATCGAAATCATCATTTAAGGACGCTTCTCACCTCAAGTATGTATATAAGAATAAGAATCAATATGTACCGTGATTTTATAGACTGCCTAACTGGGTAAAGCCAAAGTTAGCTGGGTGGCACGTGATGTCAATTTCACAGTCTTCACTCCTCTTTTCCTTCTGCAATGCAGAGCTCTGGACAAGTGACAGGCGCCACTCAAGCCAAAGAGCGACTCTACACTCAACTTGCAGGCAGTTTCGGAAGAATGAACCGGGCGCTAGTGCAGACGTCCAACCTCTGCGAGCTCCTTCAGCAGGATCTGCACGCAATGCGCACTTTTGTGGGATTAGATGCGGCAATGTGCGTAATGAACACCGAGTTGCGCGAAGATCACGATTTACCTTGACTTGCAGGCTCATGACTGTCGCAGCTTCACTCAATGTGGACCATGGTGAAGAAGAATTTACAGAGCATGCATCAGACGAGCAATTTACAGATCCAAAGAAGTCATAAACAGATGATCGTACGTTGAATTTTTGTCATAGTGAGTCTTGAATATACATTTTCAGACTGTGTGCACTAATTTTTTACCATTTTCCCTTAGTTATCGTGTACCTGTCAACACTGTATCATAAACCATCGGACAGCCATTTCAATTTACTTCACTTTTGCGCGATTGATACCTTGCTTCCGGGGGATTAAAGACTCGACGTTTTTGCAGCGCAGGCAATCACTTGTAATTGTGACTGAAAAGAAACAGAGCGGTGTGAATTCGGAAAAGCGCGAAAGACTTGTTCTCTGTTACGCTGTTGTTATATTTAGGTGAGATCGTCGAACGAATCCAATATACTACGATATTTATACCACTTGATATGTCAATTCTCAGGTTAAAATCTTTGTAGAGGTAAATGTTGACCAAAATTCGCCGCCTATCGACGAGGCCCTGATACTAGCTGGAACATCCTCTTCCGTCTTGGTATGCGTCTCGCAACGATATGTACAAGCGTGGCCCCTCATCGATACCGTTCATTCACATCGCCTCTTAATGTGCAAGGAACTGGGCCTAGTGTCCATATAACCTTTTACCACGCGACGTGAGGAAAAGGTCTCATTCTGCCATAGAGAGCGCAAATGGATCGACAACGAATCCGCTCAGCTGCAGGACGTTAACGTTTTTCGACCTTCTCAACCCTTCTCGACCTTAATCCACGATCACATACGCCACCTAAAAGCTAAGTCTAACAACAGAATTACCGAAAAGGACACTACGACCCAATCAGGATGCAGTCGCCTTCACGATGACGATATACACAACGTCAAAACCGAAATGCGATGCCTCATTAATCACAGTAAACAATCAGCGATGTGTAAAGCGGCAGGAATCGGACGAAAGTGCATAATATGCCCTGCAGGGTGCTCGAAGTGAGAACGCGACAGAGGCAGTACTGTATGTAGATGTGGGTACGGGTTTGATTGCGAGCGAAGCGAAGCAATCCTGGCCATAGGTGAAAAATTTCGTCAATTCTATATTCGCAAATCCCACGAGGTCACAGCCACCGCCGTTTTTGGTAATCCCCTGTAAATCCTCGTCATCGAATTCAGTCGCGAGTCGCGAGTGTCTATCTTCCATTACCTTGTACATTCTTACTTACTCAGTATATCTTACAGTGTCTTGATAATTGTTTTACGAAGGTGCGCCAGCACCGACACCCCTCGAAACTAGAATTTCGAAGCGAGCACCACATGTGAGATGTACCTGGAACGGAGGGGGCCTTCGGCCCCCTCCGAGCCGGACGAAGGAGGCTCACATGCGAATGCATGTTAAAACAGAAGGTCCGCGGTGCACTTTATGATAATGCCTGGGTCCTGACTTGGTGGAACTTTTTGTCAAAGCCGGCTGGGGGCTGCCAGACGGTGGTCACTCGGTGGACTCTGAATAAGGCGATCTCACGGGATGTCGATTGAAAGTACCATCGTGTACACTTCGATTACGTCCCTTCTTAGCTCAACGTTTGGCATGCCTTCTTAGCTCAGGTGGTAGAGCGTTCCACTCGTATTGCTATATGGAGAGGTCACTAGTTCGAATCTGGTAGGAGGCAAACGTTTTTGCACTTTCAAAATTCTTCCCTGCTTTTTGGTAATGATAATTGGACACACTTCGGACAACGTCAATGGTGTGTCCTATTCGAATTGTCAAATACTGAGCGTATGTATTATATTGGCCTTCGAATCTATACTTCTCGAGCCCCTATGCGACGAGGAATGAACCGAACAGTTACTAGTCACCTGTTCTCCATTCAAAATCTTTCATAAAAGGAAGTCCTATAAAAGGCTTGATCACAGTAAGTACTTGTGTGCTCTCGCTCAAACGAAGATTTCATAAGAACAATCGAAAAACAGATGGGTGATGGTTGGCAGAGAAGAACAGATGATGCATGCCACCGTCGACATCCTGGCGATTTGTACGGGCTTCGACTCTTTTCCTTGGCAGTTCACGTTCTCTCAAGCAGTTGAGGAGATTCTCCAAACTCTGAAGGTGATGAGGGTTTCGAGTAATAACGGTGGCATTCTGGACAAAGTGGTTCCATCGACGTCAATTGTGGGTTCGAATTTCTTTGAGGAAATTACCACTCACAGCTGCTATAGGTCCGGCACCGTGCTAATGGATGTTATCCTTATTGACAAATTGAGTGACAACCAAGCAACAATCCTGTATAATCTGATTTTCGAAGCAGGAAAGGGCGCGAAATAAGCGGAAGAATGCGTACTGGCCGTATTCACATCAGTTATGTCCAAAGGTCCGCAGGCACATGAGAGCGCACGGTGTAACAAATTTTGCCTCGAGGAGGACTTCGGTTGACGCGGAGTTTACCATATCAAGTCAGACCCGACGTCGTGTCGACGAGCGCGAGGGCAATAAGCCCTGACCCAAGCTTCTAGAGATTCAAGCTGGATGATTGCATCCCCCAGACCCCGCTGCCAGCGGAAATACTCTAATACTTCCCTTTCCTTCCAAAAGACCTAAGAGTCGCAAGGTGAGCAGGAGGCGAATAGATTTTCAAGGAATGCATGTGGTCAGCCAGTGGTCAGTCACGCCTTTTAGGAAGAGAGCGAAAAATACGGGTTGTTCTTTGCGAATAGATCTTCATTTGGTGATGGACACTGGACGGCTGTCAGAAGTTGTGGAGAGAAAGGTCACAGACACTCCGCAGAAACTCCGTTCTTTTGGCAACTGCCTACGTTGGCAGACTTGTCGCGGCTCCGACAGAAGAGTTTTAATCTCCACAAACACCTATAACCTACCCCTACGTATAGTTAGGCATTACCTTTAAATAATTCGAACTTTCGAGAGGCAGTCACTGGAGCAGTTGAGAATGTCGCAACACCCCGTCGACGACTCACTTGTTGGGATATCCCCGACAACGCCGTGTGGATTGCGGCCACAGGCAAGAGCATAACTTGATGGCAGACTATGGTTTTGGTCGAGAACAAGATAGATGATCTATCAACTTGGAAGAGATGATAAAGCAAATTTTTCCACTCTCGGCTGAATTTAGTTCGCGATATTCAGATCATTTCCATCCCATCCTATCATATCCTATCAGATCCTAGTTTCTTCCCTTGAGCTTATCATACGGAACTCCTACAACCGCATACAACCACACACAACCACACGGTCCGGGGTTTTCAGGTCGGCATATATGTGCTCTCAGATTGACAGTAAGTATTTGGGCGTTGATCATGTCATTTATCGCTAGAATCTTCCTGAATGTTTCCTGTAATGGCACCTTATGACGATTATTCTGTGGCTTTCTGTGGCAACTCAAATGACCTCAGGCCGTAGCTTAGTGCGAAGTCTATAAGCATGCCGAGCTGCAGAGAATAAGTTAACAGATTCAATGCCAGTGGCGGAACCATGACAAGCACCAATGTACATACCTGTGCCGTACATTTCAACCTTCAAAACAATTTGGAGTTGTGTCTCGGGTGCGATGATTTCTGGATTTTGCAGCTGATATATAGATCTTCGTACTTCTGTATTTACGACTTTGTACAATCCCGTGCAGTCTGCAGTATAAAATTTCGAAGAGATATAGACTCGAATAGGTCTCGAAGCACACCTACTAGCACCGGAGCCAGCACGGGGTCAATATCACTGATCAGTGGTCCACTGTGTGGCGGCTGCGCGCTGATGCATTTCACGGTTATCACGGAGAAAAGGCCATGATAATCCACGATAAATCTACAGTCAGCACAGTAAAACCTACAACACGTACACACATGTTCAGCGTAAGTAACGCAGCCTAGATGTTGCAAACTGATTGGAATCCTGTCTGTGGCGCTACTAGCAAGGAAGACGATTGGTCCCGTAGTGTCGTGTTCAGGCTCCGCAGATCCACTACAGGAGGTCAAAGCAGGTGGTACTTTGCTGCATCGGGAAACATCGAACCAAAACATATCTTTTCGACGACCCTGAACTCCTCCCCGCTCTGCAAAAGCATCCGGATATGTATGTGATTAGCTGTGATTAGATGCACAAATTCGCGTCACAAATGTCAATGAGGGAGGATCCGGGATGACTTGGAATGTATACATTGAATACATACGTTCATAGACGTTCATAGGCTCGGGTTATTGGCCATAATTGGTCGAAATATCGGGATCCGGGACGATAAAATACGACGATGAGTCAAGTGAGAAGGTAAGCGAACCTGAGAGACTCCAGTGCTGCTTCTGAAGTCGAATCATCCCGACGTGTGATAACAATTTTAGGAGGCGTAGGCGTGGAATTTGCTGGTATATGTACATGCGTGCGTAGGGCACAGGCGGCAAAAAGAGCTATGAATCATGAGTCAGTGAAGTTCGGGTGAAATTTTGTGATATGGACTCAATGCCTACGGAGGGTGGAAGAAAGTGATGTTACAACGATGAAGATATTTCCCTTTGTTCTTACAATGAGAACAATGGGCTCTTTTTTGCGGGAAGATGATCAGTTCCGAAGATCATGTCAATATCCTCATGTCAATTTAAAGCAGGAAGTTAGTAATTTGCCTTGGTTTGCCTATAGTGCTACAGTCGCAGCTTTGATTCTCGAGATTTTCACTCTCGTAGACTAAGACTGTTGCCTTGACGAACGGTCGAAGGGCGAGCGCGTCGGGTACGGGACTCCAGGACAGAAGGTTAATCGGCAAAGTCGGAAACGCGTCCGTATAACTGTGACAGGCACATCCCCGAAAAGGTTTGTGACTTAGTCGCCTAGCCAATATTCCCACGCTAATATTAAAAACCCCGATTAAATCTTGTTCACTTCACTGACATTGAGTGACTTTTTTCTTGTGGCTTTGGCCTCGTGTGTGCATATAGATTCTTTGTGGCGCGACTAATTGGTTGGATACTTATAGCTCGTACCTCCACTGCCAGTTCAACCTGGACCCCCCCAGTTCTCCAACTCTTCTGCAGAAATGTTTCGCACTGGTTCTCCGTATTCACAGTTCTTCATGTCGGGCTTGGTGCCTCCCTACCCTTCGTCTACACCCAACGCCACCGACGAGGCCCAGGAAGGATTTTTCTATGAGGTCGACTTTCGTCGCCGAGGTAGTCTCCCAGATACTTCGTCTCCTACTGCCAGTGTGGAACAATTTCACAAAGAGCGATCATTTTTATCTTTAGATTTAGCTGGCGCGGGTTCTTTACGGTACGTCCAAATAATCCTGTACTCATAATGTCGTCTTCCTAAAACGGCCGCAGTGCACCATCTCTGCATACACTTCGTTCCCGTCCATCTTTGCAAAACTTTCCGTCTCAGAAGCCGATCCCTAAATACGCCGACGCATTACCTGCGCTACCGGCTCCGAACACTAGTAGAGCTTCCTCCACTCTTCTTCCTCCATCTCACTCCAATGCAATCGCTGGCCCGTCCAAATCGGTAACCATAACCAACCTTACTCGCAACACATCTACTAGAACCGCTTCCTCCACCGTCTCGACCAACTATCGCCGAACCAAACGATCTGATGCTCTTGCCCGACTCGAAGGTCGGTCCCAAACCGCCTTGGCTTCGTTCAAATTTGGTGGTATTAAAGAGGAGACGACGAGCAACTTTATGTCCTTGTCCGACGACGAGGATTCTTCCGAGGACGAATGGGATATGGATTCTAACGAAGATGCGGACTTCGTCGATCTCGACATCGATTTTAGCTCAACACACCGTCATTCGTATTCTGCTCCTTCCCAGCACGACGACGAGGAAGATATCCTTCCACTGAGTCCATCCCGATCTCACGCGTATTCCCGCTCATTCTCCTATTCGACATCTTCTTATTCGGCTCCGAGTCGAATGCAACGCCGCAGGTCCAATACTCGCTCCAACTCGAGCTACGGCTTCGGATCTTCCGTCAAATCCGAGCCGCGAGTGCGTAGCAAGACGATGTCGATGTTTCCTTCGAACGCTCCTCCTAAGAAATATACCAGTTTCATGGACCTTGAACATTCTTCGCACCGCGAGGTTTCGTCTTCTTCGTTCAAACAATCACCCCGGTCATCGTCGGCGGATATCGTTTTTCCACTGCACAGTCCAAATCGGAAGAAAACGGAGGAATGGCTCCAATGGAGTAGCTTCATTGAAATTTCTGCTGTTGTGTAAACCCTCCTCATCTGAACTATCTGCTTTTTTTTTTAGCTATACGGTATACTATGTCATTCGTTTTCATTGCATAATTCTCCTGCTAATTCCATACATTCTTTTCGCACTTAATCCCTTTTTCTGCTAGCTGCAACCCGCGTTTCATCTGTTGCAATGTACAATTAGTTCCATATCAGTTCGGTTGCTAACAATCCTGCTCCAATCATTGTCTTGTTCATCTGTTCATCTTATCCCTTGCCATGCCTCCATATCAACCATTTTTTGTGTATTTTTTGTATCATTAAATCAGCTCTTCCGCTGCATCTCCTCACTCCTCATATTTAACCCTCTTGATCTCTCGATCATTTCGAGGTTTCCTACCATATCTGTCCTCTACCTTCACTTCTGATTTCGCATAACTGCCTTTTGCATTTCTTTTTGCAACCGTATAGGCATATTTATATGTTCTTGTACCATCAAAAATTCCCCAATCCTGTCTTTGTGTCTTGTCCTTTTCCCCGCTCTCACTATCTCGGCTCCGTATATCCCCAATGTTGTTTTTGTACAACCAACACATTCTTTTAACTCCATCGGACTGCTCTGTCACTGCATGAACTCGAACTGTCTCATTTCCCTTTCCTTACTGTCTACTCTATCGTCGTGTTGTTGTCCCTTCCCATCATGTTGTCTCGACTCGTACATCGACATTACCAATCCTTCTGAAGATGCGTATTCTTCTACCCTACACTTTGACGTACAACCATAGTGTACACATTCGTTTACTGTTCAGTAAATAGAATTAATTCTCGAATAACATTCGTTCTCAACCTAACAGTGGCGCGATTTGACCTACCCTAAACATGACTCATGCGGTTTTCGAAATCACAAACGCTTCCCGATAATCACATTGTAGTTGCTTTCTTGTTGACGGACTCATTTAATTGCCGACACTGACGAACGAACGGAGGCGCTGAGTTGCTATGGCCGAATTTCATGCTCTGCTGAAAGAGGTTTAAAGAATGACTGTAGGCTCATCCAGGCTTATTTATATGTAAGTAAATTCTTACCGATGTTTTGATTTTTTTCTTCGGATGGGTTTGCGGAAGTCTGCGGATTGTAATGAACAATGTATGTAAGTTGTGCGCTTTTTACTCGGCCGATGTTTCAGAATCGTTCAACGGTGCAACGACGATTCCACGTTATGTATTTCACTGGCAAAGGGCATTCAGGTTTTTGCGGCAACCCAGTGGCTACTGGCGACGACCCACAACTCCGAAGTCAAATAATAACTCTCCCGAAGACCCTATCCTCACATCTTATTGGTAAACCCTGCGATATATGTACGTACCTCGGTACATTCATTGGTTGTACATATCCTTTCGAACTGTCCGTCATGTAATACGCCAGCATCTGCCAGCATGTCTACGGTCTTGAAGACTACGGTCGGTCTACTTTTGTCACTGTAAGTTTTATGATATATTTGAAACGCTGCTAATGATACCGTTTTAGAATACTTTTGAGCCTTGGCATAGACTTGAATTGGTCGGAAGTTGCCTGGATTTGAGCCTGCAAGTCTGAATATTCACAAGGATCTACATCTATATAGCCACTAGTAGCCACTAGTCCTATGATATACATCCTGTATACACCTTCGTCATCTATCTCATCTATCTCTCGACATACTCAGTACTCTGGTCGGCTTCGGGAGAGAACCGGTCCTTTTACTCGTTGAGTGAGTACTGTTGTCACCTGATAATCCCACCTGTCAGTAGATATAGAACGTTTTGATCGGATCATCATTGGCATGTATACGTAGCATTAAGGACTACTTCTCATCCTTCTATAAAGTAGATAAACCTCCATTAAATATAATGACCATTATACTGAGGCCACGTCTGCATACTGTGCTGAGCGCCTTTCCGCCCCGAATCTTTCTCAGTCTTATGTCAGCCTATGTCTCGGCTTCCCGCTCATTGTCCCGGCTTCCCGCTTTCCCGCTCACTGTCCCGACTTCCCGCTTTCCCGCTCACTGTCCCGACTTCCCGCTTTCCCGCTTACTGTCCTGACTTCCTGCTTATAGGAAATAAACTTTCTGCTCACTGCCACAACTGATTTTATACAAATGAATAATATAGCATTATAGACTGTCGAAAACTAGAAACATTGACTACTACAAGCAAACAAATGAAGGACTTAGAGGCACTCAGTCATTTAGCTCATCGACATCGACATCCTCATCCTCATTCTCATTCTCATTCCCAGACCGCCCAATATCACTATTCTCGTCATCCTCATCACTCCCATGCTGCTCCCTAATGTGCATCGATTTTGTTGATGAGCTTGTCCGTCTTCGCTTTGCTGGTGGCTCCTCAGTGTTATTTTCCCCTGGACGTTTAGCTGTGGCTTTTCGATGTCTCCCTCCAATGTCACTTCGACCTTTTCGGGGGATTTCAACCTCTAAACCTGCCGCTTTGTCCTGGTCCAACTGTTGCATAAACTTCTTATATTCCCGCTTATCCATAGTGCTCCAATACGCTGAACCAGATCTCCAGGCGTCATACAGGGTGTTAAGCTTTTCGGGATCAGTGATATCCCGCGGAGACACTAGGGGTACATCTGTTGGCCAACCAATAATCTTGACTTTGTACTTGGCAGAGACTTTGGTTCGAAAGTTGGGATAGTTCATCCTGATCTTGTCAACCCCAGAAATGCGAGCTATGAGAACCAATTATCAGCCACCAAACAGAAAATCAGTGTAGAGGGATTACACACCAAGCGATTCGGAGATTGTCTTACTAGTCACTTTTGCCTTTTCACTATGAAGAAGCTTTCAACTTCCAACTATACGTGTTGATTTTTTCAGTATAACTCATATTCAAAGCAAGAGAACACACCCTTATTATATGTCGTGACAAACGCTTCGAATAAACAGGCCATCTCCCATGGATCCTTGTTGAAGTACTTCTGAAAAAACTCGAGCACAGGACCCCCACCCACAATGGTAGGCTTAATTGAACTCTCGAAACTTCCCCGTACAAAGAAACCAAAGCCTGCAATATCGGTAGTCCCTCGGAGCTCCTGGAACTATTTATACTAATTAGTATATATTCAGCAGTAGAAAAAACTTGAAAAGCTCACGTCGGAATTAAACCCCTGCAACAGCCTAGTAACCTTCATTGCACCAGCTTTGTTTGAGGTCCGGGCTACGTCTTTCTTAGCCTGTTGATGTTCTTCTAGCCCATCCATCAATATCTTCAACTTGTCAGGGTCTGTCTTCGCAAGTTGAAGGTCGTCATCAAGTTCTGCTGCACGTCGAATTTCACCGATCTTGGCTTTATATCGCCTACCTATAATAGGCATTAGTAAATACCTATAACGTTACTAAAGTAATCATACCTTCATTCAGCTCCTTACTTTTCGCATGTAAGATAGCGTCCTGGGCACTGTTCACCCGCCTCTTCCGATGGTGTTTGGAGGTTCCAGCAAGTTTCTTGACTCTACTAACTGTTACACCATGTGTATCGGCTAAATCCATCACCTTTTCTTCCTGCTCAATCTGGTGCTGAGAAATCGCCTGGTTCAGAAGCTTAGCCTTCAAGGCAGATGTAGCCTTAGCGAGAGATTTTTCCGAAACCCCTAGGTTTACTATTGGATGGTGCGCCTGCTCTGCCTGGCCAATGGAGGCTGGGGTAGAATTAACACCGCTGAGTCCACCAGTGACCGGAGATGGTAGAGACCCATTGGTGGTTGGTGATGGATCACAAATCGTGGTGTGATTGCTTGATTGAGAACCAGTTGTATCGGCAAGGGCTGGTGGTGTATCATGGACGGGAGAGTGGCTACTCGAACCAGGACCTGATGAGGAAGGAGGGGTTGATGTCGGACCATGGGTAGAAGGATGGCTACTCAAATCAGGACTCAACGGAGAGGTAGGGATCAATGATGCTTCATGGAGCAAAAATTTGCCACTGAAATTAGGATCTGCTGAAGGAGCTAGGGTTGGCGATGGCTCACAAGAAGAAAATGGGTTTGGTGGGGGTCGTGAGATGGAAAATGTTGCGGATGGATGTACGTCACTATTGAGGATGGATACCACACGGTGGTCATGAACAGGACCGTAGTTCCGTCCAGAATTTTGGGTAGGAACAGGAGAAGAAGGACGGGACGAAAGAGTAGGGGTTGGAGCATGGAGCTTTGATGCATCCACATTGCTGCAAACCACCGTTTCCTGCCACTGGAGAGCTCCATGTTGACTAGAATCTGAACGCCCCTGTCGACCAGTTGCTACAGGAGAATCTGGATGGCAAGGCACATTGAGGCCTGGAGGAAAGCTCCTGGCGGTATAATGACCATTATCAACCGGCTGAAATCTCTGACTGAGACCCGGCGGCGGTTGATGGTCATCGTTCCGAAGTGGAGTACTGTGTCTTCGGAAGGATCCTACCTGAGAGCTTGGAAAGCCCATATGCAATGTTGGCCGCGTGTAAGGCTCATAAGAATCTGAAAAGCCAGCATGCGGGGTTGGTCGGTTGTAAGTCTCAGGATTACGCGTGAAGGGTTGGGTTGGAATTTGGTGTGGTTCAGTTCTAGACTGGGGAGCAGAATATGGTAGGGCAGTGGTTATGCGTGGAAAGGAAGTATTTTGCATCGAATGGTGCAGGCTGGGTGAGTTATAATGTCCTGTATTTTGAAGTGGAGGGCGGCTGGAATGTTGTGAAGATAAAGAAGGAGGAAGACCTGGTGAAGAGAGAAGATGTTGAAAGCGGAGGTTGGCCATTTCTGAGCAAGATTTTTTTGTAATTGTTGAAAGCCTATGAACACGTCAAGGGACATGTACTGAAACCAGTCAACAAAGAAAATGTTAAGGGCAGGCAGTTAGGCACATGTGCACAACGTGAGATAAGCTAATCAATCGTGGTTTATTTTCTTTCCCCACATCGATCTATCTTAGCTTTACTTGCTTGGGTTACTTGGGTCACAGACAAGGGGTTTGATTGCGAGCGATTCTATCTTCTCATGTCTGGTATGTCCTTTATCAGCCCATCACCCTCTCCGTTTTGTTGAATATTAGACCCAGCGCCAACAACACCATCTACCTCTTCTGCAAGGCGTACCCGTACCCTACACTCAATCCACCAAGATCGTAACATTTTGGTTGCATTACTGGAAAAGGATGTCGAAGGTAGGTTCTAATGTCAATGGATATCCTCTATAGCGCTTGACTTCGAATCAATGTAGGTGTCAGTGCGGTCAATAAGGAGATGCAGAAGGCCGAAGTTGGGGTAGATGCTGCTAATATACGGCTGGAAGAGAAGCTCAACCAAGTGGAGCTAGATATTAGTATGTGTCACGCCCTATCTATAAAGGCAAATGCTTAGCGAATCTTGCCTCTATAGAGGAGATTCGGAAACTTACCAGCCCTCCCTCAACACCAACCTGCTCCCGGAAAGTCAAGCATATTCCTTCATCGAAAAATCCTCATGCGACTCCACGTTCTCCCCTTCCTGCTATGAGCAACACCCAGTCTGCTCAAAGAGTCATCGCTAGTCCCTCCAAACAGAACATTAGCCTAGTATGGATTTCCTCGGAGGATGAGGCCGATTGCCCAGATGATTCTGAGGACTCCGACACTGATAATTCTGGCGATGGATGGATTCCCCAAAGTGCAGCTGATGTCAGTAGCGATGAGGATGAACCTTCGCCTGGATCGGGAGGTGCCACTGCAGCTGAAGCCAGAGCCCGGAAAGCATCAAAGTCTGGTGGATTTGTAGAGAAGACGTACCTGGTATACTATGGCAGAAACAACTCCGACGGGCTTTATTTCGAATGGCAGGGAACTAATGGAGCCACCGGTGCTCTCGAACTGACAGATGAGTTCCCTGATGCAATCCACAAGTCGTTCAGCAACCGCAAGCTTGCAGCGAAGGCCTATAAAGAATGTAAGCGTACTGGTGTTCTGGACATTTTGAAGACACCGGTGCACGCAAAAGAAAATCTCATTGTTATCAAAGGTGAAAATCCTGGGGTATACAATCGACGGTATGCTTCATTCTTGTCTTCTTTTTCTTAATGTTTAAAGAAATTTCCAGTACGCTGATGAAACAAGGACTCTGCTGGCATGGAGGCGAAGTCATTATTCATATCGGTACCCGCTACGATGCTCAGCAAGCCTTCCTTGTATTGAAGAATAATCACAAGACTTACGAGCTTCCAAAGGATAAGCATTGGGGTCTTATTTAAGTTTAAATCTACCTATATTGCTTGTCACTGTCTTGTACTGGTCCGTCTAATGAATGTCGCTTTCCCTAATTTTAACTGGCCGAGGACTATCAGAAATCAAACAACCATAAGTTTCATACATATAGCTAAATCTAAAGATAAATGCGAGGATTGGTAGAAACACCGGCCTGTTCACCAACACGATAGGTATTACGGCGGTAGGGGTACCACAAATCAGCATCGGGGTGTCCAACTTTTTCGATAAATGTTGCAATCCGTTTGTCCTGTGCTTTCCGAAGGACAGTCTTTCGATTCCTATGAAGGCTTTGCTGAGAGAATGATTCCAGAGTATACAGATTTAGTTACCTGAGATATGATGCAGCAGCTGCTGCCTTTCGCCTCTCATTTGTCGCAGCTTTTTCCCCATCTGTCATCTGAGCTCTTTTTTTTGCCATCCTCAACCGGTTTGTAGTCTTCCCTGCTTCACCTTGCCTACAATGTATGGTAAAGTGAGGATGTACAAACAGAGTGAACAAGATTCTACCTGCGTCGATATCGGCTAGACGCCATAGACCTTCCAATCTTCCGGCATTCCTTCTTTATTGCCCTCTGTTTCTCAGTCTGCTCTGATATAGGGATCCGTAGCCGTATCGGGGGTGATTCAGCGCGACAGAGTTTGCTTTTAGCGGAGACCATTGCAGTAGTCAGTAGAGAAACCAACCGTGAGAATTTTTCATTGAAGGCTTTAACCAAGTACGACAAGTATAATTTCAGCATAAATTAGTCCATTGTACATTATCTCTTGTATCGATGACCTTGCTAATAAAAGAGATAGTTTCCTAGATATAGTTAGGTCATTCTAAGACAATTTCGTATTTCCTTAAATTTTGCATACACAAAAAGTATCGAAGAACGGTGTAGGTATGTATAGGGATTTCTGAACGGGTAGTCATATCTCAACTTCAGTCAAAAATGATTTTGTCCAGCAATTATTTGTTATGTACTGGCCTCAAAAATTGAGATACATATTTTAGAGTACTCAAGATAGTTGATTACAATTTTAATATAATTATTTACTGAAGCTTACACTTGTAAAATCTCTTCGAACTTGAAATCTGAATTTTATGTGTGCATCACCACCTGCCAGAAATTTACAATTCGGTCAATTCTGGCTATATATGTTATGTACTATAGCTAATCATCTCGCAATATATCAAGTCCAAACCTCCATAGATCTGCCCGATACTTTTCCCAGTTCTCCCTCTGCACCTTGGAAGCCTGGGCTAAAAATTCATTGTCGTTCATGAATCCATTACAGTACCAACGAAGAATACCTGCAGCGGTGAAGAATGTCACCGAATGTCTGTGTTCCTCTGGCCCAATTGGGACGTTGGCATGGGTTACTGAAGCAGAGGGTACCAATATCCCAGCACCCGGCGGAAACTCGACAACAATACCAAGACTCCACATAATGAACTGACCACCGCGCTTATAGTCAAATCGGCCACCATTCCATACACCGCAGCATAAAAAGAATGCGTTCATGAAGTCGAGATGAGGATCTGTTGCTGCTCGGGAGAAATTTAATTGAGATGCAGCATAGCAACAGTCCTTGAAAACACGATTCAGGCAAAGTCCCTCTATACCCAATAGTATCTCCGTCAGGTTTGTAAGTAGGCGATGTACTTTTGGGAAATACAGCTCAAGGTTACCTATAAAAACCAACCGTAAGGGCCGACACAAAGCATGACAACAGAGTTATACACCCACGGTCCATGAACCGTGCCACACGGATAATTTCTGGTGACTCGAGCAAACCCTGTAATATTGGACGATTGTGTTTTGAGACTGCAAAGTTCATAGGGTGAAGCTGACCCTGGCCATGGCTATACCCAACTGAGAGCGAGTCATACTCACCCCGCCGTGGAGGTTGGCTATGCTTCGGAAATCGAAGTTTCTGATGAGCTTGGAGGAGTAGTTGATCAAGGTCCCCCATATTCTTGAGCCACGATACACAATCCCCACCATAACCTAGTAACGCAGCCCAATGCAACCCATCCTTGGACTTATAGAGCCTTGAATAACTTTAATAAAAAAACTCAGCAAGTAGGAAGGGGTAGTCGAGGGACAACACACCTAGCATCCCACTCGACGTATTGCAGCCCAGACAGAGCAAGGACATCCAATACCGAATGGATTTTAGGATACGGTACCGGTGCACGGCTCCCTGTCCATGCTGTTGCACATGGCCCAACGAAACTGCATATTGAAGCCTCGGACTTGGTCTGAGCACCCTTCCGAATTGCCACTGCCTTCAGATCGGTTCAAAGCTGTTGCTGAATAGCGCCGCGCTTTTTCGCCCGGAGGTTGCGTGAACGATGGTGGTCCTTAATCTTCTTTCGCTCAGCAGCAGTCAGCTCCATGTTTGGAACATATTCAAGCCGAGGACGCTTGGCTCGAGGTTGCAGATCAACCGGCCTCAGCAGCTCCTCTAGTGGCTTAAATATAGCTGTTACTGGAATAGAGAACGGCACCGCAGTATCAAGCTGCACCGTGGTATCCAATAGCTCGGTATCCTCCTCAATACCCTCCTCCCAGGCAGCGTCGGATATTCGACACCCCTCACGGAGAAGTTGCTCACTTTTAATCCCAATAATTGTGAGAATCTCAGGCTTAATAACATGCGGATTGAACTCGCGGTTGCTCCGTGTGACTCGAAGGCCTGTAAGGGTAATAATATGTCAGAAAATATACCATACGTGCTCAGCGCCCCAATACCGAATTCACCCAGCAGTATATGGGTGGTTTGAGGTTACCATGCACGTTCTCAGCGTCCCCAAGGTCGGGGTCGCCTGACATTGTGCACGGTGAGCCTGAGTACCCTCGGCGTCCCCAAGGTCGGGGTCACCTAACGGCAAAAGGAAGTGAACGAAAAAAAATTAACCTACCTTCCCCCACAGCCAAAGACAGATCCAGTTCAGCCAACATGCGTTTCTTCCGCATTGTAACGTTTATTAAAAGAGAACGAAGGAAGGGAAAAGTCGGGCCACGGCGACTTATAATTCCACACACGCAAATCACGTGTGCGCATAAACCTTCGATAAACCCTTCATTAAAACCTGCGATAAACCCTTCATGAAACCTTCCAAACGCATGAAAACTACATCCTCCAGCCGAAATGTCATCATGTCGATCGCGAATATCAGTGGGAACGGCAGGACTCGTGCACAACTGAAGGTGCATCGACCGAGCGACTTACGCAGAATGAAAGAGCAAAGAGCAACCGAGGAGGTGCGGATTCTCAATGTGCAGCCTATCGACAGCGACGAAGATGAAGGGTACGGCGGGTATGAAGCTACAAGCCCAACACACCTACCAAGCATCTTGAGCCATGCTGGTGGTGAGGCCGAAGTCGGTGCTGGGGATTTAGACGAGGGTGATTGGGAGGAGTGTGCCGACGTTTATCAGGAGCTGTTGGATGGCTGCAGACGGATGTAAGTGCCAGCCTTTCCTGTTATAACCCTCGCTCACCTATCCATGGATTTCATAGCTACCGTGTGGACGGTCGCAAGCGTCGAGACCGGATGGAACGCGCCTACCACCACTGGTCACCCCAGTTTGATGGTATGGTCAACGCGTTCATGGTATGGTCTCTTAACGAAGAACAGGGCCGCCGTACTCTGGAAGAAATAGAGAGTGCTCTCTCAATATCCGTGACTGTGGTCGATGTTTTCGGTGAGTCCGTTGTACCTACCGCGTTGCCACAAGACACTGACGAATTTCTCTAGATACTACAAAACGCCTCATTCCGCTCATCGACGGTGGATACCAGTCAGCAAGCATGGTCCGCGCCGGTGTCTTTCCATCCTCCCCCCTCCGACACAACCACGCCTTCTCAACCCGTACCCTCCACCTCTTCCACGACCTATTCTGTCGGTGCCCCCGACTTTCCATCCAACCCTTCATCAAGTCCCTCTGCGATGTTCAGGGCCTTCCGTTCAAACCTTATCTTATGCAACAATTCTCCTCCGCCTATGATGCATACCTGGAGGTGAGGTCTCGAATCCGAAAGCTTGTTGCTCAGGCGCTTGGTCGAGATTCACCGACTTGGCGAATCCTGCACGCCTGCCCGTGCTGTCAGAATGAGTTGGAGGAGGATGATCCTTTGGAGATCAGAATGATGGTGGCGATGGACGGGAATGATTCCTTGAAACGAGTTGAGCGTCACAAGGATGCCGCCGACGACTCCCTCGCGGAGGTAGCAGGTTCCGGGGTGGTTGAACGAACGGACCCCCGGCAGGCAGGCGGTGACTACTTCATCTCTCGTGTATCAGTCGACGAGTGGGCGGAGGAAAACTGGAAGAACGCACCGGTATTGGTCCCTCAGGATAGCTTTCGGGACTGGGTTTGGAAGACTGGGAGATGTGAAGAGAAGTGGCATAATGCATCGGATAAGAATACCGGAAAGTCCTGGGCAAAGTTCGATGAGAACGGAATCTTTCTGCTCATTTGTCGGCACGGGCTGGTTCTCTCATTGTCAGACATGGTCAAGTCGGGTGAAAAGTGCGTTTTCGTCAACATCTGCCTTTGAAAGCTACTAACCACTGTCATTTAGAGCGAAGTACTCCCTAGCTGCCATATATCACTTCCTCGAGGCAGAGAGGCAGCACCGCGTCAGCAATGGAGAAGAAGCGCCCCCAAAAGGCAAGCTCTGTTTTTCATACGACGTTGGCTGTACCAATAGCAAGACAGTACACCGTAGTCCGTTAGCGTCGCTGGCTAAGTATATGGGGTACCTCCCTGCTGTTGGGACGATGCATGGGTATGCACACGAACGAGCCTGCCAGCTTAATTTCCTTCTTCTGTACCAGAGCGGTGCTGGTTTGGAAGATGGTGAAACCTCCGAGCAGTGCTTCTCAAAGTCAAATTCTTTGGCCTCCGCTACCCGCCATGCAAGCATCTTTCACCGTCGACAGATGATTACTGAATACGCCTACCATACTGACAACTTCGAGACGTACGGTAACCTCAGCAAATTCCTCAGGAACCACTATATCCAAGCCCTCGAAATCCTACGAACTGCTCCTTCCCTCAGAATCCGTATGCATGAGGCCGGTATCAAGGATGCCCGTGTCATTTTCCAATGGATGAAGGAAGAGGCAGCTTATCTCCAGAATCTATCGAGGGAGCCCCCTAGTGAAACACTCCAGATGGAATACTATGGGAAACTTGTTGCTCTCAAGGAATGTCAGGCTGTTTTGAAAGATGCGCGGCATGCCTGGCTATCATATCGACCGGGTGAACATGATCAAACCTTAGCCCTCGAACGTGCCCAACGCCATGCCCAGGAGAATGAACGAAAGATTCTTGCTGACGTTCATGCCTTGGAAATGAAGCTTGACGTACGCGTTCGGTGGACGGAGGGCTCCAAACAGTGGGAGGAGGCTGGATCACTGGTAACGGGTGCCAAGTACCGGAGAGCTCTTGATAAACTTGAGGGACTATTAGTCTCTAGAATATTCGAGCTCTCCAGGTTGAATATCTCAGGTACAGGTAGGTTTTGCTCTATCTACCTATTACCATCCTTTGGCTGATGTTTTTGCAGGCTACAAAATGCGAAAACACCTTGCAAGTGCACTGAAGAAACGGTCAAAGAGCATTCAGAGTGCCATTGTTGAGTACAACACCGTTGCTGGTAAGATGAAGCCAAAGAGACGGCAGGTTGACTGGGAGGAGGTTGTTGAGTATGCCTTTTTATCTGAGTTTGATATCCTCCGTGACACGCGTGAAGATATCCGTGAACGTCCTTGGGCAGTCCCTGCTAATCGTGTTATAATCACTCAATTCTTCAAGGTTATTGGAGCTGAGGACGAGCTCTCCCGTGTACATCAGGAAATTCGCCGGCTCATAACCTACATGCAACGGGAGAGAGATGAGCTCATTGCACGGGAACAAGAACTCATACCAACAAACCCAACGCTTGCACTACAGGTCAGGGATTTTCGTCGGGAGCGGGGACGGTTCCATGAAGTCCACAAAAAGCGCCTCCTCTCCATAACCAAGCTATCAGGCTTCGACTGGTCTACAAATGGCAAGTATTTCTTTCCTGGAACACCATTGGAACGGTCCAATTTTACAAATCTTGCAGTGGGAGCTTCGACGGCTGATAGAGGGGTTGAAGAGGACAACAACACCGATGATGATGAGGAGGAGGAGGAGGATGAAGAACTTGTTCTTAGAATAGATGCTTTCCTTTCAGTAGCCACAGATGTCTTAGAGAAGTAGTTATGTTTTGTATGTCATCACTAATGGACTACATTTTATCTACAATGAGCATGAAGGCGGGACAGTGAGCAGGAAGTCGGGACAGTGAGCGGGAAAGCGGGAAGCCGGGACAATGAGCGGGAAGCCGAGACATAGGCTGACATAAGACTGAGAAAGATTCGGGGCGGAAAGGCGCTCAGCACAGTATGCAGACGTGGCCTCAGTATAATGGTCATTATATTTAATGGAGGTTTATCTACTTTATAGAAGGATGAGAAGTAGTCCTTAATGCTACGTATACATGCCAATGATGATCCGATCAAAACGTTCTATATCTACTGACAGGTGGGATTATCAGGTGACTGTTGTAGACTGTTGTCCGTTCTGATACCCCTTCCGGAAGGACCGACGCACACGGAACTGTAAGGAGAGAGATTGTGATACCACCGAGATACCGCTAAGGAGCAAGCACCCTGCTATTCTGCCCGGGGACTGACAACGTACACGTTTTTCCGGGTACACGTAGTCTTGTTGACAAGCTCCGCTCCCTCACGGGTCACGGTCGTATTTCCTTGCAGATGAGCACTGGATGAGCAGCTCGCTGAGCTACCTTCACAGGCACTAATTCACATGCTATATATAGGAATATTCCGGTCCCTATGGGTTTATCTCTACCAGACGTCAAGTCCTCACCTGATTAGCAGCAGTGTCAATGATAGCTTCTGGAACGCTCCTTTTCGATCCTGAGCTCGCTCCTTGTTTCTTTCACTCACTTTCACTCACTCAAAACCTTGATATAAAGCTAAAACAGCGAATTTTCAATGCCAAGAATGCCTCGTTACGATTTCATTTGACATTTATTGTCAAACAGATCATGTTATAAACCGCCTTGTAGACACAGTAGACCTCACTCTTGACAATCGACCTTTATGTCACCACGTTTCTTCGATAATATTCACGGTCGTATTCACGCTTTCGAGAATGGTTGCAATACTCATATTCACGCCATGATCTGGACACGCGAAAGCCATACAATTCTCGGTCGTCGGTATCGGTGCTAGTGTCAGTGTTGATTGTGTGCAAACGGTTCCATTTTGGTTCTCAATATTGATACGCTTATCAACACGATGTGACCTCTGGCTTCGAGGTCGAGAGGACTAAAGCTACATGTTCAGCCATGTACATTGACCTGCTTCTTTGTAATATGGTGTACTTAGTAGTTCAATAGCATACAAATTAATTTTTTTCCTGGGCCTGCGATGACCAGTCTCGCCAGTCCGCGCATCTGTTCTCCAGTTCATCTGAATGCAACCACTGATCAAGGGAATAACGTGCGAAGGTGGGCCATCGCGCTTTCAAGCGCGTGGCAGGAACGGGACCTAAAGACTGAGGTGTTTAAACATCTGCTGTATATACAGCAATATTAGGATGCCATTGAAAATTTTATCTTGGAAAATAGCATCGAGTTTGAGCGCGATCGAGTGGCAGAAGGACGGCGCCTTAGGCAGGCGCCGATTGCGGAAATCAGGAAGCGGGTGACAGTCCAAAAATGGAAACACGTCGCTCAATTAGGAAGTATAAAGGGAAGATTCTCACGCTCGAGCCCATTATAGTCCGGCCCGAAGGCTTGAAGAGTCCCAGTTCGTCCTTCAAAGCTTCACGGCCCACCACGAATTCAAGATTTATTACATCGTGGTACACAGAAAGGAGACATACCTTTGCTCTCATAGCCTTTCGGTCTCGCTCGGGAAATCAGGGAATTATCAATCACAAGGGATTAGCAATACATTGATCAATAAAAGTCAGTTCACGATGAACTTGACCTTCTTCTTCTCTCCTATACAATGTTGCGAACGACCGTTATCAAGAGCGCGTATCGAGCTCGACAGCTTTCGTCGCCCTTTAGTAATGCAATATCGATTTACAACAGACGCTCTCCGAGCGCTCAATCCCCGCGTTTCTCCACCACCACAGCTAGCAAACCTTCTATACTAACTCTCTCCGGACAAACGATCATCTTGCTCTCTGCTGCCTCTTTAATCAGTGGTTTCGCGGGATATTCTCTCGCTAATCGGCATGACACTGAGGCTGTCCCGCGGAAGCCTCAGTACGGTTCGCGAGAGGACTGTACTAGGGCTGTCGAGGAGTTGAAGAAAACATTTGCAGATGATGAAGATGCCGTGTCAACGAACGCAGATGATCTCTACAGCCACGGATTTTCAGTCAATGACCATCATCCAGGCTAGTACAAAGATATCTTCGTTTAGAGCATGACCAAAACTAATATTCTAGGGACTTCTCATACCGTCGTCATGTACCCAACATGCACTGACAATGTCGTGAAAATTGTCAAGATAGCTACCAAATACCGCATCCCTATAATACCTTATTCTGGAGGAACCAGCTTGGAAGGCCAATTTCGCGGAGTGTGTAACTACGTGTGTTTTTTCAAACATTATTGACTTGACTCGACCGACAGTACTCTTCCGGTGGTATATGCCTCGACATGTCACGTATGAATAAAATCATCGAGATACATGGTATGGCCTATTCGAATTCTACAAGTGTAACATGTCGTGAAGTTTTCTGGTACTAGAGGCGGACTCAGACCTCGTATGTCAACCTGGTGTTTGCTGGAGTGACATTAACGATACTCTGCACGATCAAGGCTAGCCAAAATTCAGTGCACTTTTACGTGTCCCATGTTCAAACACCTTTCATTTCTAGGGATTCCGTTGTTCTTCCCGGTAAATTTAGATGACTCTTTGCCTCTGTTCTCTACTTAGCATCATGATAGCTGGACCCTGCGCCGACGGCGACAATAGGCGGAATGTTGAGCACTGGCTGCTCTGGAAGTGAGTTTTCATTTCGGGATTGTATGCTCAAGCCACTGCTGAGAATTTGTGCAGCGAATGCTGTCAGATACGGTACTGGAAAGGCAGAATGGTTTTTGAATGCCGTTAGCAGTAACGCCAATACTTATAGATCTGTCAAGATTGACTTTTAGCCAGACCGTCGTACTGCCCTCCGGAGAGGTTATTAAGACGCGCCGCAGGTCTCGAAAGTCGTCTGCTGGTTTCGATACGACAAAACTGTTCATTGGAGCCGAAGGCACTCTAGGAATCGTGACGGAAGGTATGTTGTTATTCCCTTGCACATTTGACTGCACTCTCATAATATACAGTCACGATACGATTGACACCCGTACTTCCAACAACAGTCGCTGTGGTGCATTTCCCAGATGTTCGAAAAGCAACAGAGGCAGTCCGCGAAGTTATGCTTTCGGGCGTTGGTATTCGTGCGTGCCATCCTAAATTATGGGGTGATAATAACACTCAATATGACATATAGAATGCGTCGAACTTATGGATGACCTCTGCATGCACGCTCTGAACAAATACGGGCAATCCGAAAATAGTTGGCCAGAGAAAGATACACTTTTGTTCAAGTTCCAAGGACATGATCAAGCATCTTTGTCAGAATCTGGCCGAGTCGTTGAGGAGATTGTAGCAAGACATGGAGGATTCGGGTTCAAATTTGCGAAAGACGATCAACAAGCCGCCGATCTTTGGTCTACGCGCAAGAATGCATTATACGCCTGCCTTGCACTGGTCAATGGCAGTCGAGCTTGGAGTACAGATGTTTGGTTTGTGCTATGTTTTTATCATGTGTGTCTGTCCGGGTAACCGATTTGGGTACTTTATAGTGTCCCCGTGTCTAAATTATCTGAACTCGTGTACGAGACGAAGAAAGACCTCGCATCAACTGGTATAGTCGCGCCTATAGCTGGACATGCTGGAGACGGAAATTTTCACGCGTCACTTCTAATCCGTAACGAGGAAGAACTCAGAATCGCGAAGGACGTTGTTTCTAGGATGGTCCATAGAGCCATTGCACTAGATGGGACATGTAAGTTAAAATAGTTTATGTGATGCCTTCTAGCTGATACCCTTGATAGGCACAGGTAAAGATTATGACATACCTAATCATTGGAACGTTGTCGATTCTTTTTCTAGGAGAACACGGTGTCGGCATTGGGAAGAAAGAGTACCTGGTTGAGGAGCTTGGTGCTGGCACGGTAGAGCTCATGAAAACAGTCAAAAGGGCGATAGACCCTCTTGGTCTCTTCAATCCCGGGAAGGTAATTGGGTCTCGGGTTCAACAGGTTCAACACCCTTTCTGATCTTCGCTTCCTCTTGACAGCTATATCCTGATGATTCTGCGGATGGCAAGAAGGACTGACCTTGTAAGCGAGTTTCTCCCTCGCGTTTCCGCTATGAGAGCCTATCCTACATTGTTCTGATCCCGAATTATGAACTTCAAGATGAAGGTCTCGAAGGATATCCACCATGGCTACGCCTTCAACTCGGATCATGAAGTTTTGAAGGAGAGAAGTGAGCGCCGCAGAACGCAAGGAGCTAGGGATGCTTTATTCAAAGATAGCATAGAACTCTACAGAAATTTGTAAGGTCTCCTGGCTTTCGTTGGGCCTTACACCAGTCTTTAGCGTTCGATCTGGTAGCGGGCATTCAGGCTGTGTGATCGCGTTATTTTGAACTGTTATTCACCGCCACAAAGTTGATAATTCTCCCAGTCGATGCAAAATATTTACTAGCAACGTTCAAAGCGTGAAGAATTCGGTCTTCGGTGATGCAAGACAAAGGTGATCAGTAGGTGTGAGTAGGTTCTGACGTTTGACTCTAACCAGGCTATGTGGAAGAGGATCAACCGAGTTCCGCTTCCAACAGGTGACGATATCCCCCATAAGCAATGGACAGACTCCACTTGTAATCAACCTGGGGTAGCATTATCAGGATCAAAGTGTAGTATACAACAGTATACAACACCCAAGTTTGGGGTATATAATTTACTCTGAGTCGTGAGGCATCATCTTCGTTCAGGACCCCGGTAGCAGGATATTTTTGGGAGAATACTTGATTCAGGCCAAGATTTGGCCCAAATTTTCCCCATTACTTCCAAGTCTTTCAGAGCTAGAAGCATCGATGAACCACTCCAGTCAAAAAAATTAGTTGTCACTGATCGAAGAGCGGAATAGACTGGGGATTCAAATAGGTGCTCGTTTTCAGGTCGAATGATTAGGCCGACCATGCTCGGAAGATCTATCATCGATAAACTGGGGTCCTCCATCCGTTCTTAAATTTTCCCATCGAAGCTTGAACTACAGTACCGGAAAGAAATGCTCATATAAAAGCCATCTTTAACCTGGGGTTTGCATTTCTTCTTTTCGAAAAAGCACAAGCCCCCATCACAATCATGCCAGTACCCGTCAGAGAGCTTCCAGAATGGCCCTCCAACGTCGAGGCCCACCCGTTGCTTGTAATCGATTACCAGTTGTTAAAGGCTGGCGACGAGACTGAAATTAACCGGCTCTGGGAAGCTGGAACAAACCTGGGTTTCTGGTAGTAAGTTATACATACCTCTGCCCTTTGTTTTGCAGAGATTGAACAAGAATTTACAGCTTGAAGAATCATGGGGCCGAACAAGATTTTGTTGCTATGTGGGGTATGGGCGAGGAGGTCTTCAAGCTGCCTTTGGAGGAGAAGATGAAGTATGAGCAGGGAGACGAGGGGCTTTCCTTCGGGTATGCTCAAACACTGCACACCGTGTGCAAAGTATTCATATATATCCAATCGTCAGCTATAAAGCCGTTGGCCACTACATCGTCGACGCTGCCGGTAATCCCGACCCTGTCGAAGGTGTCAACGTTGCCAAGGATGACGCCCTTTCCTACCCTAAAGTATCCCGTAGAGAATACCCAACAGTTATCAACGATCTTATGGATCCCATTGTCACGCCCTTCGTCGAAAAGTGCGTGGACATCAGCAACACTATGATTGGAATCTTCAACGACAAACTCGGGTTGCCGGAGGGAGCATTAGCCAAATTACATGGGCGCAACGATTTCAGCGCGAGTGAAACGCGAACGATAAAGGCTCCTGCCAACCTCACACCAGGTAAACTTGCCATCGGAGGTCACACAGACTTCGGAACCTTGAGTCTGTTGGTTAACAACCTCGGCGGGCTGCAGGTTCTCCCGCCTGGAAATACCGAATGGTCATACGTCAGGGTAATGATAATTTCACAAAGAATTTGCTCACATTTTTAATACTTTCGTTTCAGCCATTGCCAGGACATATGATTTGCAACGTCGGTGACACACTGACTATGTTCAGCGGGGGTTTGCTCAATTCCAATATTCACCGTGTCGTGTACGCACCCAGTTTCTTTCCTCTTCGGGAATCTTAATTTCACGCATTCGATTCCAGCCCTCCCCCTGGATCGCAATCGAAACATGATCGGTGGTCGCAGGTTTACTTCACCAGGCCTGCAGACAATGCTCCTCTGTTGCCGTTGCTAGAAAGTCCGATTATTTCTGAAGCTTTTAACAAGCTTAGTCCGGAAAGGCAGGCCAGTCTCAGTCCCGGCGTTACTTCCTGGGATTGGTTCACCAGGAGACAGAAGAATTACCGAACTAAGAACCACAAGGTGAGTACTGGAATTAATAAAGGGATGATATCACTCACCGTCAATACAGGGTGCAGATACATGGGCCGCCAACAGAGGAACCGAGCACGGGCGAGCATAATCATATAGCAATGACCAGAAATAGAGTTCAATTGTTTGTACCTACACTTTTATGTACAGCCAATGTACAATATCAGAAATCACTGAAGAATACATAGAAGAGAATCAGTAGGAAGAAACGATGAAGAGTCAAATTGAGCCAAGGCGATCCGCACGTTTAAGATGAAGTCGCCTTTTAAGTAACGAAGATACAATCATCGAAAACTATGGCTTTTGATACGAGTTAGAAATGGCGCACACAATAATGAATGTCAACAGACTGTATACAAATTGCTACAAGAACTTTGACTCTTTCCAACTCGAAACCCATTTCAGCACCAGTTCCTTCGTGATTGGCGGTGCGAATCGTATACTGTCCGTTATGGTCTGGGTTTTATCGGTAACAAATACCATGGGCTTGTGATGACCACCGCTGTATCGCATACGGAAGAAAGGCTACCAGGAAGACAACAGTTCAATCATATCATATTATCAACATGAAGGACACACACCAGAAGTTTGATGGTAGGATTCTTCTCCCCATCCTGATCTGAATGCGCCAGCCGCTCAACCCACTGCAAGGGTTCCAGTCGGTCGAACTTCATTCCAGCGTATTCCAGTCCGTCCAATATATCTTCCCAACTAGCACTCGTATTTGGGTTTACGATATGATATACTACGGATTGCGGACGGTCTGCGACCAACACGATTTCGGCAACAGCTCGTCCTGCATAGTCAACAGGAAGCCAAGAAGGGTTCTGTGAAGACATTGAATATCAAATGAATTAGACATCTAGGGTACTGCTCACTTCCACAACTGTAGGCAGCGCGCCAATAGTGTTGGCACTCTTGAACATCAACGGCCACGCTTCATAACTGTCGTCAGAAAAGAGAATGCTGGCTAAGACAGACATACCTTCAGTTTCATTCCAGACACCACTAGGAGCAGAAGAAGATGAAAGAACTGAAGTGAAAAAGCCAGGTGTAGGGGGCTCACTTCACGGAGTCACCGACCATCTGGCCGATTCGTAGTACACCGACAGGCAATCCGGTAGTTTCAGCAGCCTTCTGACACAGCTTCTCTACAACCCATTTGCTTTGAGCATAGCCGGTACCTGCAGCAGTAGAAGGGGAGGGGGAGTAGTCTTCGATGCAGATCGCGTCTGGAGACCCTTGGCGGCAACTGATGGAAGAACTAAAGTAAAAGGCGGCGGGCTCGGCATAGGGCGATTGAAGGCACAAATTCATGAGGTTGATTGAGCCCCCGACATGTTGGTCGAAAGACTCAATGCTGAGAGCAAAATTCACTGGCCAAGCGTTCTAACGCTGGGTTAAAAACCCTCTTACTGATATGGAACAGGAAAAGACTTACATGAATTACATCCGTCACCTGCACTCGGATTGAAGTATATTCGTCATCCGTCAAGCCCAACTGTGGGACGTTGGGGTTTGCCGCGTATGAGTCGAATTTGTGGTCATCTGGTGTGGGAAGTTTCCTAGACTTCAGGGATCCTTTAACACGCTCACGAGACTCTTCGTGGGACTTTCCACGCGATAAACAGATAATTTTGTGTACAGATGGTTCTTGGAGTAGTTGATGCAAGATATGAGCACCCAAGGAACCGGTAGCGCCTGTAAGAATCTAGGCCGATATCAGGTTAGACACTCAGCTTGGGAGGGGACCAATGCACACACCACTACACGAGCATTTCTGGGCTTTGGCTTCGCACTGGCATCCGGCTTGTGGAATTCAAGTTTGGCAGCCCATCTGTCGACCATAGCGAGCATTTTGGATTCATGGTCAGAAAAGCGTGACTGTGCTTCTCCCTGAAACGACAAGATATAGTCCGCCAACCTATCAAGAAATGAGAACAGTTACATTCAAGTTATCTGGGTCTGACACATACCGCTCGACCGAAGGATATTCGTAAACGACTAATTGTGACCGGATGAGGATTAACATGAATGCGAGACTAAGCTCGAGACATACCGTTCTGGCCCAGAACATGATCACCAAGGTCCAATTCTTTCTGACAAATGTTTCGGACTCGTGTAGCTTGCAGAGAATCGACGCCGAAGGCAAACAAATCAGCTTTTTTATCAAGCTTGGAAGCCTTGGTAGAACCAAGAGTTCTCGTGATGATCTGAAGAACATAGTCTTCAAGTTCAGGCTTGGACAGGAGAAGCTTCTCGTCTTCTGAGTGACCGGCTTCAAAGCGAGAATATAGACCGTCTGCAACAGATCAGTCTCGAGGTAAATTATGCAAATAGACACAGCGTACCAATAATGTCCTTAAACTTGGTATAGCAAGCCGGACGAAGAATGCTCATCTTCGTTGCGATTGGAACATGGGTTCCATATCTGACGAGCATGTGAGGACCAGGATATTGCAAGAAGATGACTAGGCTCACGGAAGGAAGCCAATCATTTCGGGTAGCAGACGGGAGTGGGTAGGAGCCTCGGCGTTCGCTTCTTCGATGACAGGCCAAACCTTTTCCATGAGCTCAGAGCCGGAAAGATCCTTCGCCAACTCTGAAGGTAAGATAAGACACCCTGTCGTCGGTTGCCCAGCACCGAACACAATGGCTGGGAGGCTAGATTAGCATAACATTAAGACAATTTACGAGAAAGCTACCTTCAGCTACATATGGACTGTTCCCACGTATGCAAAGTTCCATAGGTACTGGAAGAAAGGAATTTTTTCCACGAGAATCTCCAGTTGAGAAAAGAGGACTGAATACCTGGATTGGTCTTTTCCCCTAATATGTGTACGAGAGTGTCATCGAGGCGGCCTATGTACTTGTATCGGTCCTTTTCTTCAGGATGTCGTTGGAACAGATCCTTCGTGGCGAACGAACCGTCCGGCCGGTTCGACACTACCTGTAAAGCATTGTTGTATCTCGGAACGAATTCCAAGGAAAAGTGAAGCATGTACCTTTGCTGGATAGCCGTCTTTGATGACACATTCGAATGTATCTTTTCCTTGAGGCTCCATCACCATGAAGTCTTTGCTTAACGTCGTCGGTCGAACCCAGTTCCACCCCTTATCCGTCAAAAACTCGCGCTCAGAGTTCATGATGGTTCCAGTCTTCAAAACAGTTTGAATTCAGTACGAAAGCGAGGATGTGTGGAAGATACCTCAGATGTTCCGTATATACTAATGATATTGACCCCTGCCTCGGTCAGACGTGTTCCAAGATCATCCTAGATAGAAAATGAGAATTTCACTGTGCGGTGAGTAAAAACATGTCCTACCGGAAGCGGCGCACCAGCATAGCTCACTACATCGAAGGTTGCAAGCATTTTGACGCCTTCCTCAGTTTCGCCAAGCAACTAGTACTCCGAACGTTAACAAAAACAAAAAGCAAGAGGACATTGCTGGAGGAAGAAAAGGATACCTTGATGACATAGGGAACAGCAAAACACTGTCGAGTATCGGGGGATAGTGCATGGACAGCACAGATGTTGGCGGAAGTGAGTGGTAAATGAGGAGGAAATAATGTAAAGGGTCGTCCTGGGTACATGCAACGGAAGCTTATAGATGGATCAGATGAATGGGCAACGATTAAAATATGAATTAACTCACAGTGCAAAGTGTCCATATCCATGAAAGACGGGTAGAGTACTGAACCCGGTCTTGTTCTGATTGAGCGCTATGTTTGCTATCAGACCGTAATGGCTAACGGAAACAGGCTTAGGGAAGCCAGTCTGCATCAAAGAATCAGTGTTTACATGAATACAAAAATACAATAACCTACTGAACCGGACGAATGAAGGTAAATTGCAGGTCTAGAAACTTCCTGATCGGGAGTAAGCACAGGAAGAAATGGCTTGATCGCAGCTTTAGCAGCTCCTTGCGAGCCCCAGAGAGGAAAACGCATATCCTCAATGATTCCAATCTCAACTCCTTGCCCCTTCAACAAGGCTTGAGCTTCTTTGGCCTCCTCAGCGAACTTGGGACTATAGATCAGATGGGTTGCATTCGTGATTTTACTCAAATGTGCGACGGCAGCAACAGAGTTGTTCACAGAAAGAAGCAAAGCGGTGAGTCCCATTTTTGCGAGCGCAAGCTCAAGAAGGGTTTCATCGACCGAGGAGGTCACGAAAACAGCGATGGTACGCGTAGGCGGGATTTCTCCTGCGGCTACCTTGGGCGCGATTCCAAGTGAAGAATAATACCAAGCGATTCGGTCAACAGCCCTCAATACATCAGTGTAGCTAAATGCAGAAGTTAAACTTTGAAAGACACACTATAAGGACTTTGAAGGAGAAACGTACGTAAGTGAGCGCAGCTTAAGAGAGCCATCTGGCTCTGAAATGCCAGTGTAAATGGCAGGATCATTGGGCTGTTCACGGGCACGAATATCGAGTAGTTCGGTGGTGGACTTGGCTTTGAATACAACGGTAGGCATGATATCAGAGCTTCTTGCATGTTTTCTCAAAGCTATTGGCTTTATATGCAGATGAGATTGGGAGGAGTTACGGCGGCCCGATTACGACGAGGATTTTCAACGGGGCGGTCCGGTTGAACTAGGAAACTTTCTTTTGTTCATCCAACTCTTTGCAATGCTGACTGCTTGCTGCTCCCGACGCGTCTTTTCTCGCGTCATGCGGTCTAATGACTCCAATCTAAGCTCCAAACTCTGGACTCTACTTAAACCAACCGACATCCTAGTCAACATCCGGGCCGCCCCAAGTATATGGAAGCTCAAGGGAATCACAGGTTCTCCGAGTCGCGGAGATAATGATATATAGCTGGGAGCAACTCAGCTTCACTCCAGTCTTGAACCATGCCCACCTCTACCTTTCAAGTGAGCCAGGAAGCACCAGACTCCCCAGCCTTGGACGTAGAGAAGACAGAAGTCGAACAAGTGGAGAATGTCCTCCCCCGGTCCCCATATCAGTCTAAGGAACCTGGTCCTGCTAGCATACTCAATTGGTTACAGAAGAAGAATCCATCTCCCCAGTTTCTCGCTGATGTCGCGAAAATGAATGAAACGGAGCTCGATCCTGGTAAAGTCAAGCACGTAGAACGAAAGATCGACCTCTTGATAATGCCCGCACTCGCGATATGTTACATGGTCCGTCTATTTTCCTTGTCTTTCGCATGTCCGTCCCACGCGCTCAAAAAAATCAATATTTTAGTTCTACTACGTGTGAGTGGTGACCAACGTACAAGGCGCTTCATATGAATCGACCGCTCTCAGTGACAAGACTACTCTTTCTTACGCTGCAATCTTCAATAGTATGGCATCCCGTGTGATCATCTTTGACTCGCGCTTATCATTATCCAGTTAAGGAAGATTTGCATCTTGGTAGCTCTGACTATGTGCGTGCATCTCGAATTCTGATGGTATGACAGACCCTCATATCTACTTTCTCAGAGTTGGCTTTCAAGTTTGTTTTACTGTTCGTGTCATATTGTGTGGATGCATGCGGACTTTACTAAGATACGGAAAAGTCGGATGGTTGGGTTGGGCCTTACCCACTAACCTCTTGATGCAAAAATTCCCTTTAAATAAATATCTTGCCTTCAACGTAAGCCCAGATATATCCCGTGCTACATACATACGATTGATCGGCTCCCGCGGCTCTCCAGATTTTTTTGTGGGGCATTCTACTCATGGCTCAAGCGGCCAGTAGAAACTTCACTGAGCTGGCCGTCCTTCGTGTGCTATCTGGTGCCGCAGAGGCTACTGCGGATCCAGCGTTTGTTCTCATCACTGGAACTTGGTACACACGGACACAACAACCGTCAAGGATCGGTTATTGGTATCTGTAAGTAGGCCTGATTCTTAGATTTGTTTAATCTTGAACATGATTGATAGTGCTAATGGATTCGGTATTGCTCTCGGTGGTCTTTTTGGCTATGGGATTGGCCATGTAAGCTCTTCCATTCAATGACCGTGATTTATTCTCTCAATCTGTGAACGATACTTAGATCAAAGGTATCTAGAACAACGTGCAAATGGTACATTTCGGATCACAACTGATGCCATATATAGGTAGTCTCCCATCTTGGAAGTACGAGTTCTTGATCATTGGGGCCCTTTGCTCGGTTTGGGCCATTTTTATGGCTATATTTATTCCCGACTCGCCCTACTTCAGCCACTGGTTCACGCCTGAGGAAAGACTCATTATCGTGAGCCGAAAACGGGGTGATTATAATTCAACCGATACTCGAGAGTAAGAATGACTGGTTATTCTATCGCTCTTTTATGAATCGAAACTGTTATCAGATGGAAACCTGCACAAGTCCTTGAAGCTTTCATTGACCCAAAAACCTACCTTTTTTTCCTCTTCGGCTTCACCGCTAATGTCCCTAATGTACGCATTTATCTACCCTATAATCAGATCTATATTTTATGTTCCCTATCAGGGCGCTACTTCTAACTTGTGAACTTTCTTCATTCGGTCACTTTATTAAAAGCCTGACCTTCCTTTACTTATAGCGGCACACTGATTGTACAAGGGTAAGTCTCCCACCTCGTCATCTTGTGTATAGAAAAGCCCATCTAGTCGCACGATAGGTTCGGATTTGATACATTCCAGACCACGCTCATGCAAATTCCCTACGGAATGGTTATTGTTGCGTTCATCTTAGCCGCGATCTTCATTAATTCGAAGCTTCCCTCGGGTTACCGTACGTTGCTCATGGCCCTAACTAACGTACCGACTGTAGTTGGTTTTGCTATGGTCGCCTGGTGCAAAGGTACAGCACCAAGACTTGCCGGGTTTTGTATGCGATCTAGTAGTTCTACAATATGTGGGCCGCACTCATCATCGGGTTTTAACTTAGGGATGACTGGCGCTTCCAATGCGACATTCGTACTTGGCCTCTCTCTCCTTTCTGGTAACGTCGGTGGTCAGTCAAAGAAGGCTATAGCTAGTGCCGCTATTTTCCTAGGTGTTGCTATCGGGTCAGTCAAGATAGTCGCAAAATCAGGAGTCCTCTTATCTTTTGAAATATCATAGAAACATTGTTGGTCCATTTCTATTCAAGACATCCGAAGCTCCAACCTATTACACTGGTGTAGTTGGATGCTTGGTCTCTCGGGCTCTTGAGGTAGGCGAATTTCCAACCCTCCGCTACCAGAATGTCAGATTCCATCACTAGATTGTCGTCATACTCGTCCTCCGAGTCATGTTCATCATGTCCAACCGTCGTAGAGATCGAGCTGTAGCTGAAGGACGTATCCGTTCCAATGATCAGTTTACTGAACTGGAAGATATCACCGACTGGAAGAACCCGGCTTTCCGCTATGTCACGGTAAATCTCATCACTTGCTCTTGCGTTACTGTATGCATTCTGACCTACCCGGATAGTAGTAATTCGCCGATTGACGTGGTTGAAATGGCTTTGTTGAAACTGCTTTGCTGATGACAACTATGATTGTAGTAACATACTTCTGTATAATATTTAGCGCACAGTCATTCCCTGGACCTTTGTACAGCGAAATTTTCTTACGCCTCGGAATGGCCTTGCATACTCCAATCAAATCGGCAGTTTTGTCCTAACTAGTAGACATCTTGGGCCATACCAGGACCTGACCTATGAAGCCTTTGTTTGGAGTACATGCACAATGTACAGCGTTTTTGCCGTAGTCCTAACATTATATACAATGATGATGATGGATAGATGTGTGGAGTGGTACTGAAATGCTACATTGCTAGAAGGGCTGCAGCATCATTGCACTGCCACACAATCATCTTCTTTGCATGATTCTTTCTTAGTCCCATCTTCAAGTTCTCATTCTTGTACAGGATGAGACTGTTCGTACTTATCAATTCATCGCCTTGGCTCTGCTTCGTTTCCGCCTGCAGCAAAGCACATCAGTGAAATTTTCAACAGAGTTAGCTGCTACTCGGCATCATCCCTCATGACTCTTCCTTCAAGATATCTAAACCATGAAACCAGTGATATCCGCGTAATTCGCGGTTGATGATGAGGAAGATCCCATGAGGCGAGTTCAGGTTGCTGCAGGTGTAGGTAATACTCCACGCGGAAAATCAAACCTCATTACCTTCCATTCATGGACCGGACGATAGCGATGTATATAAGGTCCTAGTACTATCTGGATGTAGATGGTGTCATATCCGTGTCGAACGGAGCATCTGGGACGACGGATACTCATAGTCAATCCTGGTCAATCGCTTTCAAAACTCGCATCGTGTCTTTGACTTCATCCGAGTAACCTTGCCGAAATAACTCCTACTCGAGTTATAGCTTTCAGATCATCATGGAAGGCACTACCGTGTGAGGCGCTTTTTCCCCTTTCTCTCTCCGATTGTACTGATAACTCAATTTTAGACCTTTGAATTTACACCAGGAGTATCGGACTGAGAAGTATCAAACCTAAAGTTTTCGCCCTTCTTGCCGTAATTACGAGACGATATCATGGCTCTGTATGAAAACTGTACCGGCAAAGTGTAATCTGGCTGGGAATTCTGGATCCTTAAAAGCACAGAAGTGATGAATCTCGCCTTTTGCAGTTCGCTCAAAAAACCCCATGGCTAGCAAAGCCGTTACACAGTAGGTCTTAATGCTCTTCTAAATATCTCTCACCCTGACCTCTATGTCATTACCTTTAGCTATCTTCAGTTCGATATCCAATGGGCCAGCATCGGTAAGAGCACAACACTCAGCCCATCCTCGATATCAGCCACTGAAAAAAATTGTCCGTCTTTTTACACGCAGCCTTGATTTGGTATGGTATGCAATCCTGCCATATGCTGACTGTCGCACACTTAAGCCGATTAAAACTATATGACCAGACTACGCTTTGACGTTCCCTATGGAAATACAGTACCTCTGGACCTCCAAATTCCGATTCTCTACCTTTCTCTACATTCTCTGTCGCTACGCTCTCTTAGCCAACGTACTCTATCTATTGGATATTGCCGGGAAGTTGACCGAAAAGTACGTATACGTCTCGCTCTACCTTCTCAACGGCAAGCTAATGATTTACCCGATTACAAGTTGCAACACCTGGTACCAGTTCATCGGGGCTTTGAGTGTCTTAGGGAGAGCCGCTGTAATTGGTACGTACTTTCTGTATAGCGTGCATGTGTCCAATATATTCCCGTATCTGATTCGCCATGTTTCCACAGTGGTGTTTGCTGGACGAACGTGGGCGGTGTGGGGTCAAAATCGGTTCGTTCTAGCCTATATGTCCATCTTGGGTGCTGCTTGCGTGGCATTGGATATTGTACGCATTCTTAAACTTTCTGTTATCATGATTGACTACCCCCATCCTTCTAGACTCATGTCCCGGGACTTAGATGCACTGGTGGTTCGAGTATCCCAATGTAAGGCCCTGTCCATCTGCATTACCCTAAGTGCACTGATTTGTCGATATTCTCCTAGTGGTCTGTCCTTACGATTCTTTGCGACGATAATCTGTAAAACTGACTCGGGTCATCCAGCGAGTGACCTACTCTCCATCTTGATGGTTGTCTTTGAATACTCCTCCGCAATCCTAAACAGTATTCGATGCATCCAAGCATTCAGAGCTCACGGGAAAAGCTTTGAAGAGCAAAAAGAAGGTTTCCAATTTTTGCTCTTTGAACAAGGTTCGTCAACGAATGTTCTTCCCTACTGATTGATATATGAATGATGTCGCTCTCACTAGGTATTTTTTATTTCAGGTAATGCAACCCTCCACACACATACAATTGTTGAAACCTCGGATCTAACCCATCAGGAAACGATAGCATAGTATCGCTGTTCACAACCGCAGCAGTTATTCTCAATTTTGTGAGTTTTGCGCTTCTTGTATCAGTCTTCGTCAGTTGACCGAAACGTCAAAAAAATAGCAAGCACCTGTGCGTTCAAGCTGAAAATCAGTTGCAATCTATTCTTACATGTAGTTACTATTTGCGCGCATGCCTCCAGTCTGGATTTTTCCAGCGCCTTCTGAATGCGTTAACCCTTCCGTGAGTTGCCGCATTCTATGATCATTGTTACTGATCTGTGCGTTGATTGATGTATTCTTCTGCCAGTCTCTCTGGACTTCTGACCGCTCGCTTTCTATTACACATGCGTGAGTGGGAGTACAAGAATTCACCAGGAGCAATGTCCATCCACGGCATCCAAAATGGTGGACCTGAGGGTCATTTAAGCGCGACTATCTCTTTTAGAGCGGCCTCCGTTGCTTTATCCACAATCATAACTTCGGATTTTGGCTCAGATCCTGTCGCCCGGGGTCCAAATCCAAAGAATTCTCGGAATAGGTCGACAGGGGCTTCCCAGTCTGAGGGTAACGATTCCATACCCTCTACACCGTCTACGACCTCCCATTCTCGAGTTGACGTCGAATCTCAGCCTCACCCTGAGCCTACTATGAAGTCTGAATCCAGTACTGAGTCCGTGAAGGAGGGGAAGAAACGAGTACAGTACGCGTAACTGGAGAAACCAGTGCCAACAAAAAAAAAAGATGAACTAGTTTGTATTATCTTGATTGGAATGTATATTCTATTATTTATGACGATATAGTATATTTATGCTCGAGATCAGCTCTGACATTGAGCCAGCTAGGGGAGCTCTGGTGGGCGGGTGAGCAAAAAAAGGCACGATAGGGGCATGTCATATTTATAGCTAACAATGATTTCACCGGTGATGATGGCGTTGCGTTCTGTCAAATCTCTGCTCCAATACAATTTGTACAAACCACCACCATTTCCCCACCAACTGTTAGTTCGAAATCTACATTCACTTCTGGCCTAACAACCATGCATCTCTTACACCATCAAGTCCAAGACAAGCCTGTTGAGAAAATTCAACCCGGAGTCAACAATCTCTCTGAAGCCCAGGATGAGCACATAGCTCAAGGTCTTGAGAGCATGGTTGCTCATTCAGAAACGAACCACGACGTCAGCCATGGCATCCATATGCATGGAAAGAATGTCTTTGAGGTCCCTTGGATCCATAAGATGATTCCCGGTATCGAAAAGCTCGCTTCAAATTATCATATCGGGAATTTTGTCGTTGTGAGGGAGTCGGGGGAGAGAATCTTCGAGAGTATGCCGATTTATGCGAGGTGCGTACTATTCAAACTTTCTATCGCAGCGATGCAAATGATTATATATAGGATCGGAATGCATCTGGTACTGTTCAAATTGCTTTTGGGGTTTTCATCTGATCTCCGTCCTTGAAGTTGTTCTATGGTTCCGCACGCGAGACCGTCCTTCACTATAAATCTGTCGCGCATCTACTCCAGGCGCAGTCAATCAAGGTCTGGATCTGCTTCAACCAGGCGTCTTCCGACTCTCCACTCATTCAATCCCACCATAGCAAGGATCCATCTACAACAGCCCCGATTCTGCCAAGTCTATTGCATCTTTCGTGCAGGTTTACTCGTTAGATTTAGATGAACTTTTAGAGCCAGATATCACAAAATATGGTTGTTTCAACGAATTCTTTTTCCGGTGAGAGTCTCTATGACGTCTGATGTGGCGCCTCCTTGAAACTCCAATCCTCCTAAAAATCACATCCAGAAAACTTAAACCTGACGCCCGACCGGTTGAGAATGCCGCGAATCCCAGCGGAATATGTAGTGCTGCCGATTGCAGATTGACTGTATATCCTACAGTTGATCTCGCGCGTAAATTCTGGTATATTTCTTCAAACCAATCATATCTTCTTTGTTTGTTGATCTGCCTGTTATCTTCCAGGATCAAAGGCGACGAGTTCAGTATTCCGAACCTCCTTCAAGTCCCTGTTGATTCCTCTACTGCGATTGAATTCGACGGAGCTTCGATGGCCATCTTCCGTTTGGCGCCTGCTGACTATCATCGTTTCCATTGTCCAATTGATGGCGTTGTGGGCGATACCACGAATGTTCCCGGGCAATATTATACCGGTTAGTATGCTTTCTCCTCCCTATTACTATCATCTCTCATCCTTTATTTTCCCGTGGGCACCAGTTAATCCTCAAGCCGTGAACGAGCCCAAATTCGATGTCTTCACCGCCAATGTACGATCAATCCTTTATCTCACACATACTGCAACCGGTAAACGCGTTGCGTTTGTCGCAATCGGTGCTCTGCTCGTCGGAAGTATCGTTTGGACCAAAGGTGCAGAAAACGGCGCCGAGGTCAAGCGAGGGGAAGAGTTAGGTTACTTCGCGTACGGTGGAAGCACGGTCATCGCTCTATTCCCGAAGGGTGTTGTGGAATTCGATCAGGACCTGGTGAAAAACTCGGAGGAGCCTATTGAAACTTTGGTCAAGGTTGGTGCTTAGTTTACTGCTCGCTGAGTCATTCTGAATGTTTCTTGTTTCCCTGAGTTAGGTCGGATCGTCACTCGGCACCACACCAACTGCTTAAAGCTTGAGGGATGATCATATTATTAATGTTGTACAGTGCTCTTTGGATTACGCATGTTCAACTGAATTGTCAGAGGATAGTGTGAGTTGGGATGATTAATGTTCCGGTCACAATACCGCACGCTGAACATAATTAAGAGCGAGGGTATATTTCCTCGCTATGTTATACATATGTACTTTACTTTACTTCTATAAATGTTAGTAAGAGTTTACTTACTTTTTAACCTGTTCCAATTTCCTCCTGTATTCAGCGAGCATTTCTATGCTGATCATTTTGACACCCCATTTATCCGCAAACTCGCGACACTGATCGCGTCTCATCATTCCTCCATTGATATCTTCATCAAGGTCATTGACAAGCTCACAGAGAGCGCCTGCTTCAGGGAGACCTGTGAGTTTGCAAAGGTCGACTCCAGCCTCGGTATGTCCTCGACGGGTCAATACACCTCCTGAACGAGTGCGGAGAGGCATAACATGACCTGGCCGAGTGAAATCAGAGGATACGGAAGAGGAAGAGGAGAGAGCGAATGCGGTGAGTGCTCGGTCATGCGCGGAGATACCAGTAGTGGTTCCTAAATGAAAGATATAGAATTAGTAGTGGACTAGCTTGATATTCATTGCACATACCGTGCTTATAGTCTGTGGAGATAGTGTATGCCGTTCTATGTGGGTCTTGATTCTCTTCAGATACCATCATAGGAAGGTCCAGCTCAGCGAGACGCTCTCCGGGAAGGGATACACAGATGAATCCACTAGAATGTTTATTGGGTGTTAGGTCATTCTCAATACAACAACGGGTTCAGAGCTCACCTCGTATGTCTGATCATCCAAGCCATTTTTTCCGTTGTACAGTGACATCCAGCAATAATCAAGTCTCCTTCATTCTCTCGATTTTCATCGTCCATGACTACGAGAAACTCTCCTTCCTTGTAGGCCTGTAAAGCATCCTCTATCGAGTCGAACGAGAATTGTTCGCGGATCACAGGATTCGGATTGAGTTGCGGGCGACCAGCGGTCTTGCGCTGAAGCTGAAAGTCAATTAAGGCTTTAGACTGTGCAGATTGTGTAGACTGTTTGAGTTCCTTTATTCCGTTGATATGAGTAGAGGTTGTAGAGTCCGACGACATAAGAGCTGTGGGAGCCATTGTGGGAAGTGAGAAGGGTAAAATGGAGTTGGAAGTTCAACGTTACTGAGGTCTTGATCCTTGGTTAAATAAATGGTTTTTTTAGGCCTGGAGCTTTCTAATCATCGGTGGAACCAGTCGACGGCCCCTGCGACGGCGGATGATGACAGTGTCACACTGACATTCTGCATCACGGGTAGGAATAATATGTCAGCAAAATTCTCTCCACCTTTTTCGGAACTGGAGATTGAACTTTTCACTTAAACTTTTTGCAAGCACTGGCCCTTGGCCATGGAAACACTGTCATTCTCTCGCCATCTCCGTGTACTACGATCCCTTCAGAGGGCGAGAATGTCAAGAACATACTCCGAAACTGCTTCCCGAGTCTCGAGATGAAATACTTGGCTAGACTCACCTCTTCGAATCTGGCACCTCTTCTAAATATTCAACTACAATTCCGCCGCGCAATCTTTACGCTCACCCATCAAGGACAGTTTCAAATCGAAAACAGGACGGGTTGTATGCTTTCTTCCGAACACTACGAATGTTAGAGGTGCCCTTGCGTCTTACGGTGCTCTCTTGATCTTTCATCTTGGATATGATTATCTGATAGTTGGTACAACTCACAGACTAACTGCACGGCTTCCTCCCAATAGAGGCCCTGCCCACCGCAAACTTCCTTTCCGCCTGGTCTTACAACGGAGATAACAGCTCAGGTTCTGATTCTATCGCCGAAAATCAACTCGGAAATATCAACATCGCTGGCTACGATAGTTCCATCAGGTTGCTGTATAGCGATCGTGCTCAAGCTGATATTCTACGAGACACCGAATCGTATATGGACGCCATCGGCTGATCTTCCTTTCGGCATATTTGCTGTATCAATTGACCCACGGTCAATAAGAAAGAAATAATGGCAGGACATTGGGGCGAGCGACCTGTTCTGAATTGCGCGTTCTCAAAAAGTTTGCTTGAGAGGATAGTCGCTGACCAACAACTTCATTCGTACAGTGCGCGCTATCATTCGTGATGATATCTGGCAGTGAACGTGGAGCCTGTTGAAATTGCACACTACAAGACAACGCTCTGTGCAACCAGCGAAAAGAGCACTATCGACTATCAAGACAAACCCCTAAGGGGCACAGCATATCCCATATCGCCGCCAGCAGGACTACTGGTTATATGAATCAAATCGAATATGCTTGTTGGAAGTTTGTTTGTACATCCTTTACATTTGGTGTTGACTCTTTAGGGGTGTGGTTTGAGAACTAAGTGTGTACACCCTGTTTCGATTTGACGCTGAAATGTTAGATCTGTCGATTGTTGATTCACATCATTTGGGCTGTAAATCAATCGTGCGAAGCTCTGGAAAGAAGAAGCAGAATCAGCACGGCAATAAAACCCTAGTAGAAATTCAAATACTCTCGCTGTCTTAATTTTGCATCGATTCGTGCATATCGACTGCTTTTAACTAGCGCATAGTCGGATGCGGCTCATGGACGGCAATAAGTGTCGGTACCATCGTTTTCGAGAATCAACTTTATTGTGCAATGTCGTTTCTCCTTTTTGCGAAATCGAAATTTCTTGTTCTTGATCCATTTGAACATTGGTTGCTGATCATCATTGCGGAATGCATCAGCTGTGTAAGATTTACCAGTAGGGTATGTGAAGGCCATCTTCAACATCTTGTTCATCATATCTCCAGCATTGCTGATCGATTAATATATAGGTTAGTTACTACAACGTTGTTTGCCTTGAATAATGGGTTTAAATAATGACCAATGATTGTTTCCAGAAAATTTTGCAGCAGGACTTCCTTTCGTGTTCCCCCCTATGGACAGCGCTAAGTTCGCAGCCAGCTCGCAGTGAGTGCTTCGTTCGAAAGTCCAATTTGCATTTCATGTCAATTGCCATCGAAAAGCTATTTGCAGTATGATATTAGTTGGGCCAGCATTAGTAACCATATAACTGCTAGTCCCGGTACAGGAACTGATTATCCAAATAGCTTTGCTGTACTATGACTGGTTGTTAACTTTGCCAGAGGAAGTCAGCTGTATTCTCCTTCGGATGGTTATAATATATGCTCACCACAGTACAGATAAAATACGTGTGGAAAGCAAAACTGTCACGAATGACCATATACTATATATTTTGTCGATATGCACTCCTGGCGAATGTGTTGTACCTTCTAGCCGTTTCGAATTTACTTGGATCCAGGGTGAGCTGTTCAGGCTTTGCACCACTTTGTGTCATTGTTCTAATATTTCTCTCAGTTCGTTGACTTTTAGGTACTAACTACGGAAGCAAACTCAATATTTCACTGGCAGTCTTTCGGTGACTTGTGACAACTGGATGAAATTCGTTGCTGCGCTCAGTGTCTTTGGTAGAGCTGCTATAATTGGTGACAATCGATTATCTAACCATTGCTCAATAATGATTTGACTGACATTGCTTCAAGTAACGCTCATTTCCCGAACGTACGTTGTCTGCTCGCAAAATCGATGGATCGCGATATACCTCATCGCTCTCGGTCTAGTTTGTGTTGTGGCTGATGCGGTATGATGATTTGAAGTTCCATGACTTCTTCTTCGGGTGTTTAATCAAAGCTTAGTTCCATGTTCCTGCGGAAAAATGTGTTGATTCGGCGGACCCCCCGATGTATGTATGTTTGATTTTCCCTTCATAGCAATGATACTGATATCCGTCACTCCCAGAGGTTCGAGATGAAACCATACAGTAATGACTCAATCAATGATCGAGGCTCTGTATAGCAAGCGCACTTCGCTCATTCTTCATGATCGCCTTCGAAACATCCGTAGTCCTCTTTACCACTATAAGAACCTTCCAAGCTCTGAGAGCTGGCGGTCCTTGGAGACGTCAAAGACATCATTTGACATTTCTCATCTTTGAAGAAGGTATTTTCTTGCTTTTCGTTCCGAGAATTAGGTCGATAGATAACTAATTATGTTGACAACTTCTCTTCAGGAATTTTATATTTTTGGTATGCCTTTTCTTCTTCCCTCTGATTCTTAGATACTGCTTTGATATGTTTGACCCTTCAAAGTGTCGTTGCTGTCCTTAATACCACGTCTGTCATTCTAGATATTGTAAGTCCATCGATGTTTTCAGTTCAGAATCCTACCTTTTCAATTTTCTGATCTATAGCGTGCTCCAGTATGAGTTCCTACTTCGAAGGCTAGACTTGAATTAGCTGATCAAAAATAAGACTGGGTTTCTTCAACGTCTTCTGGATGGCTTCACCCTACCGTGAGTGATAATTTGGTTGGGCTTCAATCCCATGATTCACGTTGCTCAGTCTATCGGGTGCATTCACTGCTCGATTCATTCTACATCTGCGTGCATGGCAAGACAAACATGCTGGCGTATACATCATATCCACGGTGGAACCCCGACAACAAGTTCGGGTGCTACATGATGGCATTCCTTTGTCTAGCAGCGATGCTATGAATGTCGATATAGAGGCTATCTTCAGACCCACTCCATCGATGGACGAGTTCGGAGAAGACCCCGTAAACCGAGTGCTTCGCCTATCATCGCGATCAGAAAGCGGGACCATCGTCGTTGAGGTTGATTGTCAGGTTCACGCTGGTGAAGATGATCATGTGCCCCTTCCGCCCGATGTAACGGGCTGATTCCAGAGTTAGAGTTTGGCTCAAAGAGACTATACATCATACGCATTAACCTTTTGATGTACGCCCAGCGAGTAACACAGCTGCAGCGAGAAAGTTGCATTATTTATTCGACATGTCTCGTTGAAATGTCGTACCGTACTCTTTTGAATGCGTACATATTCAGGATCAAACATTATGGAATTTTTTCGGACGGTTGCTATGTAACATGCTCTGCTGTGTTATGCTTTTGCGTCGACGGACCCCCAGAACTCCGTGAGTTCTTCCATTCAAACTCTAGCACGAATGCTTCAGTACGCAGTATACTTGAATCTTCGACCAGCCTCAACAGGCCTCAACACTCCTTGACCTCGGAGGTAACTGATGCGACCACTTTGTCAAGTGCACAATGAAACTGATTCCGAGTCCCTGGCTATACAGAAACCATATGCTCAAGGAGATGATCTTGTCTCAGTTTGTATGGGGCGTGTAGTCCGCTGATATATATTCGAATCATACACGGTAAGAGACTCGAATTAACGCAGATAAATGCTAGGTAGGATGCTGATAATTATCTTTTTCTCGCCCGTCTTATCCTTTGTTGGTCCAGGATGGACACCGCGAGCGAGTGAGCTTCGTGATTTACTTCCCCATTGCCTCATCGATTGAGCGGCCTATTTCTAGTCGTATAGCGGAGGACTTCACTTGGGCTAGCCTAGGTAAGAACTGCCATCATAAGGAAATGTCAAATGTCCCATTCTCGATCAGCTTTTCTCTATTATGATTACGGTTTAACTCTTGACGAGGAAGTTGAACATATATGGGGGATGAATTTTAGCTCATCCACGTTGCTATATATTCTCTGTCGTTATGCCATGCTTGCAAACCTGCTTTATCTTCTGGCCCATTTGAACAAACTCGGACTGAGGGTGAGTGCGTCGAAGGTACAAGTGTCGTTTTCACTTACTTACATGTAACTATTATAGTATGTTTAGGAGGCACCGAATACTATGACTATAACCAAGCTGGGTGCTATTAGTTGCGATACTTGGTACAAAATTATTGCCTCGCTTGCTGTTTTGGGCCGAGCCGCTGTGATTGGTTCGAGTGCCCATCTACTATCTCTTAATTTGCTAATTAACCTATTCTTACAGTGACGTTTACACTACGAACATATGTCGTGTGGGCACAGAGCCGCATTGTGTTGATATCGCTGGTCATGCTTGGTCTGGCCACGGTGTTAACTGACGCGGTCGGTGCCAATTCATCTCAGTGTTCTGCTCTCAAGCTAATCTCAAAGAATCCAATAGATGTATGTGCCACGTCAAACCTGCGAAAATACCAGAGGAGACACGGCAACGTGCGTGTTCAGTGTTTGAAGAGATACTTATTCGCATCTGAAACTCACATTTTCCTCTTCTTTCCAACCGTAGAAGTAAGTTCGCAATCATTATTTACTTGCCGTGACTAAAGCGTTCACAGTTGACTTGGTCCGCTCATTTCTGACTATCAGTTTTGAAACACTTTCTGCGACTCTCATCCTCATTCGAAGTCTTCAAGCATTTCGGAGAGGCTCATACTTCAATCAGTATAAATTGATACATTTCTTGATGCAAGAAGGTATGCCTTGATTGCTAAAATACTTTTCGTTGGAGGTGCTAAATAGTATATGTATAGGCGCTGTATACTTTTGGTATGATTTAACCAAGAACGTCCCATACAACTGACTCAATTCAAGCCAAAATCAGTATTGTATCATTATTCACAATTGCTACATTTGTTTTGAAGTTGGTAAGCGCGACCTTTTATTCATACTTGCTCTATAATTCAGATTTGGGTTTTCATTTTACCAGTCAACCGAGGTGATCAGCCTTGATATCAGATACCGCAAGCGCACTAACCATGATGAAAAACAGTCCAAATACCTCCATGATCTTCTCAACGCTTTCACTCTGCCGTATGTATGCCTTTATTGCATCAGCAATAGACGAATAGTGTTGATACGTTAAACAGGCTATCAGGTCTCCTGACTGCTCGTTTCCTTCTTCACCTTCGTGCTTGGAATAAAGCACGGAGTTCTGCTACCACTGCGATAGATATCGACCCGGGCCAGAACGAACCAGATCCCGACTGGCCTGCTTCTTCGATATCCAGCTTCGGCATCCAATCGGTGTCGGTCACTGCAAGCCTCAATTCCGAACTTACATCTGCTTGGATAACCACCGCAGAATATGGGGAGGACCCAATGTTGAAAGTGCCTGTCCCAACATGACTCTGTTGTCAAGTACAGTATCTATACCTCGATTTTATGTATGTATAGCATTATGAACGATTTGTGTCTCGTTAAATTACCTATGAAATCGGTTGAGTTCCTTAAAGAGGCTTGAAACCCCTAGTTTTGGCCGACCCTTATTTCCTGTGGGCATCACGTACGTCTGTCTGCACTCGTCGTCCAACCATCCTTTCGTCGATTGGCAACAAGTAATCACATATCGCCAGCATAATGTGTATCGTTAAACAATCAAAAATTGAGTAGAAGTATAATACAGGTAAGCAAGCATATTGTAGAGGGAAAATACATACTGAGAATGTGAGAGTGTAGATACAGGAAATAAATTAACATTCAAAGAGTAGGTGAGGAGAAGGTGAGAACCTGGTAAGAATACCAGAGGGTACTCTAATCCTTCTTCATTCTAGAGTATTCCCGGATAACCTTCCGTAGATCTTCATCTTCTTTTTCCCAACCAGTGAGATCCGAGACAACTGCTTCGATACCTTCTCGACGTATCCTATCCTGAAGCTCGTTAGCCTCCTCATCTTCATGGACACCGGTAGGGTGGAATAAAAGAGCTGCTGATATTCCAAGCAGGAGGGTATCGTGTTCTAAATTCCTTTCACGACACATTTCCACAGGACCAAGTAGTCGATCGCCTCTCCTCAGCTTGCGCAGAGGTTCCCTTCCGACACGAGATACTTCGTCTTTCAAGTTGTGATTGGAGAAACGCTTCAAGATCTTTTTGATGTAATCTTCGTGTTGTTCTTTGGAGAAGAACGAATGATGCTTTGCTATCAGCGCGGCACCGGATTCATGAAGCGCTTTTGAGACAACATTGTGGATAGAGTCATCAGAGATAGCGTCGAGGATCGTGTCCTTCTTATCGAGGAATCCAAGGTAGGCAGTGATGGCATGGCCGGTGCTGTGCAGCAGTTATTTTTATGACCATTTAATAAACGGATGGAGTACGTACTTTAAAGTGAACAGCTTACGCTGGACGTAAGCATCTAAATTATTTGTGGCTAGAGGGTAACTCAGTAGACAGCTCCACGCCGTTCGAGCCATAAGGGCTCACCATGCATTCCGTCTATGACGACATCTGGATCGGTCTTCTTCAAGCTGTTTGAATCAACAGTCCACTCGAAAAAAGGCTCGACCCCAACGTCGAGAATGTTTTCCGATGAGAAAGGAGGGACGATTCGGTCCACCGAGCAAATGGCGAAACCTATATTGTCTTGCAAATATAGCCGTTCTTGCTCATCGCTCAGTTCAGATTCGATAGCCTCGCGAAGTTTATCCGTGGCATTCTGCAAGTTCTCGCATGCAACAATGTTTATTGGACCCCTAGACATGTAGATGAAGAGACGATTGATATCGAATAGAAGTATGACTTACATGCCCTCCTCCTTTCTTGTTCGGATTATTTGCGCGATAGGCTTCGCAAGTCGAGGTAATATATCTAGTAAATCATAGGTTGAAAGGTGCAACATGTCAAAATCAAGAACCACGTACTAGGGCCAACGGCGGTGGTTATGATAGACAAAGGTTCTCTAGCGATCTTTTCGATAGCTTTGAGGTCTGTTGATATGACAGCAGACACAGGTTGAATTCTTTCTATCTGGGTATCGCCATTGAGTATATGAACATCGTAGTGGCCTTTCTCATTGAGCGCGTTTACTATCTTTACTTGTACGTCGGCAAACACTACGTGAAAGCCGGCCTGGGATAGTACGGCGCCAATGAATCCGCGTCCGATGTTGCCAGCACCAAACTGAATAGCAACAGGTTTGTTAGGTAAAGATATTGCTTCGAAAGGCATTATAAGTGGAGAGAAAGTTGTGAAATTGCAAAGAGCGGTGTGGTTCTGCGTTTTATAAAGAGGTTTGTTGTGGGTTGCTGATGTCAGTGGCCGGTGGCAAATGTCACTTAGATAGTAACTCCACAAAAAGTATATCCAAATTGGGTAATTGCCGAACGTTTGCCGGGCTGGCTTTTTGAGTTTGCCACATCGGCGCTACCCATATAGGGAAGAACACCGCCAAAAACTACACAGATTTGCCAAAAACGGTGAAATGAGGCTGTGCCACGTTCGTCCGACTCCGAATTCCAGGTTCTGCAGAGCCTGATTCCTCGACAAGGCCGGGATTGTAATAGTACCCCAAATGATTAATAGCAGGACATCGCAGATGAAACTGGCGAGAACTGTCAAGAAACGTTCGCGAACCTTCGTTGTTTAGCCCACGAGTCACAACGTCATGGGGAAAATCTCGAAAATATCCTATCGTTATCGGACAGGAACAGAAATAAAGAAACAAAAAACTGCAACACCACGGAGAAACCCACTGTCAAACCAACGGCGTGCACGGAAGATGATTACAAACCCCAAGGGAAGGAGGTAAGTAGATAGGTTCGGAAAAAGTAACGGCCCACCGATTTCCTCAGTAGGACCGCGTTGAACATCTCAAGCATATGCATAATCAATCCGTTATCGATTAGCTATGGTGATGGTCGGACCGACTGTAGAGAACAAAGGATACTGACGAGTGGTGGTGAAGGTGGGTAAGAATATTACCTGAATGTACTCAGGCAATATCAGATGAAATTGCGATAATATATCACGCTACACTTGGAACAACGCAGAAGAGCGGAAGAGAAGGTAATCCGTGCCCCAGTAAAAAATCAGCTGGACGCGACCGTGTGTCTGAAATATTTGAACGACTTCAACTGATTTTCATCGGCATAGATAGCTCCAAGGCGCTAGCACGGGCATATAAAGACATAGTTGGAACAAAGGAAGAAAAGGAAGAAGAAGGGAGATCATCTAGGTGGGAGCGATCTGGGAAGTGCATTCATCATACAGCATTAGCTCGACCTTACCAAAACCCGTAAATAACTTACTTTCCCCTAGATATGAAGATAGACAACTTCGCCGCCTTAGGATAACTGTATAATATTCGAGCAGTGCATAGCGGATTTGGGAGCCACCTGAGGGTAAGGGCGAGAAAGGAGGATAGAGGGAGAATCAACAACACAACTTAGACAAGAGTATAAATGACAGTCTTGAATCACATTCCTCAATACCTGACGGCGCATCGATAAGGTCATGAACTTGTCGACCATTCCTTTTCCCAAAGCTGTGAATAGATTATTGTATGATGCATCGATAAGATGGATGAAGATATCACTGGGTTGCAGATGAGAGAGAGAAAGTCGAAGTCCGGGGTTTCCAGTCTTTAAAACCAATCTCGTGGTGTCTGGACGCTGCGTCCTTGGTCTGCGACGGAGTTCCGTTAAGTACCATGACAGATTTCTTTAGGTAGTCATTAGAAAACAGTTTTGAATGTATAAAAGGCTAGCCTTACCTTTTCTGTGCCTACTCAAGGTCCCGATTCCCAGCGCAGAGGAGTTCCAATCAGCTCATCTGAGGCATAGTGGTCTGTCGAGTAGCTGGTAGTTGTGATGAATGGAAAAACAAGGCTCAAGAATCTTCTCGAGAAATACTTGAAAATGATTGAATCTCAAAGAGTTATCGAAGAGCGCTTGAAAATAGATGCGGGAGGTTAATTACAAGATGCTCGGCGCTCGTCGTTCAAATAGATACTATTGAAGAGCGCGGCAAAGGTCGCGTACGAAGCTGTACGAAGTTCGTTTGTCAACTTTTGTCAATAATAATAATGGATGGGATACTGCGTTCGCTGGAGCAGAATCCCGTACATTCTTCACAACGGTCGTTCTTGCGAATCCATTGATTAAAGCAACGAGTCCATTTAGGTCCAGGTCAAAGCGGAAAATCTAAACAAATTTTGCCGGCGGCAAAAATAAACCTGCTTCCAACGATACTCCAGCCATACTCTTCGGATTCCTTTCACCATTTCTTCGGACCTTCCGAACACTTATTTATGCCAAGATGGCTGGCAACCCTGCAGTAAACTCAGCACCCGCAAAGCGGAAGCTAGCTGGGTACGAATTCTATCGAGAGGTCCTAGGAAGTCCGAAATATGTTGTTGCCCCGATGGTAGATCAAAGCGAATTGGTGAACTCTATGTTTGTTGTTGCTCGACTATGGCGTAGACTCTGATGCTTTATGTGAGGCGTAGGCTTGGAGGAGGCTTTCTAGACGATATGGCGCTCAAGTAAGTCTATGACTCGAAGATCGCAAGGATTTGATACCAAAATCATACACAGCTCATCTACACACCTATGATCAATGCTAAGGCATGTCGGCTTTGTAACTCAGAATCGAACTTATCTATAAATATGTTGCTTAGATATGGGCCGACTCCACAAATAAAGTCATCCGTTCCTCATTTTTCGACTTGGACGCTGGTGAAGAAGGTGATCCGACTACCGACCGGCCTTTGATAGTTCAATTCTGCGGTAACGATCCAGATAAACTTCTCAAGTCTGCGAAAGCCCTCGAAGGTCGCTGTGATGCTGTTGATATCAATTTGGGATGCCCGCAAGAGATTGCGAAGAAGGGCAAGTACGGGGCCTTCTTGCAAGATGATTGGGATTTGATTTACAAACTTAGTGCGTTTTGTGATCCTTTGCAACCGACGTACCATACTCAAAAAAGGGATCCTTAGTCAACATCTTGCACGTTAACTTGTCCATACCGGTAACAGCCAAATTTCGGGTGTTCTCAACGGTTGAAAAGACGGTCGAGTACGCCAAAATGCTCGAGAGGGCAGGTGCACAAATACTTACCTGCCATGGTCGACTACGAGAACAGAGAGGGCAAAATGCTGTAAATTTGTTTTCATTGTCTATTCAAATGGTTCTTTTTTTGATAACCATGGTCTCATACAGGGTTTAGCAGATTGGGAAAAAATTCGTGCAGTGAAAGAATCTGTTTCGGTACCCGTCTTCGCGAACGGAAATATACTTTTTCAGTCTGACATTGAGAAGTGTCTTCGAGAGACGGGCTGCGATGGTGTTATGAGCGCGGAAGGACAGCTCTATAATGCCGCGCTGTTTTCCGGTCTCGCGGAAGACTTCGCCTCGAAACTTGTGGCTTCCACGTCCTCATCTCCTCCATCAGCTGACGCCTCACGTTCACTTTCATCTCTTGCCCTCCCCCAACACCCTCGCCATTCCGATCTCGCATTAGAGTATCTCGACATCGTCAAATCGCTCAAGACACGGACATCCGTGAGCGCCATCAAGGGTCATCTTTTCAAAATCATGCGGCCTGCCTTAAGCAGGGAGACCGACCTTCGAGAACGATTGGGAAAAGTAGTCATCAAGAAGACTGGTAGTTACGCTGACGGTGCGTTACAGCCGTATGTAGATATCTGCCTGGAAATGAAGGAGAGGATGGATGTGAGCTGATTGTGATTTTGATTTACGTATGGCCGACTTCTTACCTCTTCCCTTTGCCAGCGTGATGCTAAACAAGCCGAGGGGAAAAGTTTAGACGAGCTTGTAACAATTGATGAAGTGACTGGGTTGAGAGTGTTACCACATTGGCTTGCGCAGCCTTACTGGCGTCCTCCAAGACCTGCGGCTTCCGTTGGTGAGTGATCCTTGAATTCATCATCAATTTCTTACATCTTTCTCGTTTTGCTTGAATCATCCAATTTCTCGTTTCATCTGACCACTGACCTCTGTTCCTGTTTGATCTGTGCTAGTTCCTGCGAAGCGTACAAATGTAACGGAAGAGGACCGAGGTCGTGATGAGGGAAAGAAGGCGAAATTAGATTTGTTGGCATCTTCAGCTGTTGCCTCTCCGACTCATCAGGTCGCGGCCCCGGTGATAGCCCCTGTAGAAACACCCGTGGTTACTGTTTGATTACGCCTTGGAATCGCAATGCTTGCGAATTCAGAAACACTGAATAATGTGCTTTCCCGGAACCATCTTTGAACCACTCGAACTCCTTCAGGTTTTATTTCGAAGTTGAATTGAAGAAAATTCAGTTCTTCTATGCAAAATTCCCCCTGTATAGTTATACGTATGCCGTCAAGAAATGGGCCGAGACTACATAGACGTTCTTGAAAAAGGTGCATAATCATATGTTCTGTTTATTTTTGGTCAAACCACATATTGCCTTCCGTCGTCTCCGTGTGTAAAGCACCACTACATACTTAGGACTTTCTCATGGGATTTAGACATGCTAACCTCATCCCCTTCGGAACAAAAGAACGACTTGTTCAACGCAGTACAGCCGATGACGACCATGGGCTATGGCATTTGTTTGACAACACATGCCAATTCCCGTTCAGAATCCGAGTCTAAAGACTGCAGTACTGCAGTGCTCATCGCTGTTTTGATTTCTCGATCTTGTTGCTTGATGAAAAAGATCCATCATCTTCAAAGCAAAGACTCGAATTATTTTTACTTTTGTTCCAATCTTCACCAGTCACTGCCGATGGAACTAGAGAGTTCTGGGACAGCTATGTAAATGCAAGCTGGACGTCGACCTATGCCCTGATCACACGGCATTTGCATCATGGAACCGAGATAGATTCGTAAACCTCGAGCTCAATGGGGTATAGAGAGATAGAGGGGGATGGTAGTACATATTATATTATAGCACCCTTGTCTCGTTGTTCACTACTGTTGCATTCATCGTCATAGCATCCAATTTGAAGTCAGAAGATTCCCTGAAGACTGAGCCGCATGGTTAGCATCCCAAATGAGCAAGAAGACTGGTCTACCTTTGAAGCAATGACTGAGGATATCTACTCTACAAAGACCAGATTCACAGCAATAAACCGCCTTTTGTTCATCAAACAGGACACAACAAAGGCCCAATAAACTCTATTGACTCCAATTGTGGTTCCAACTGCCTCTCCACATCGGAGCGAATCTCATTGTTCCTATCCGAGATGGTTGATTCCCAGATTTAGCAAGTCAAATTTCATGCTCTATAAAAACCCGGCCTCCGTTCTCCCTACCTTCTTTACTTTCCTCGATCCTTTTTCCATTTCCTTGCCCTCTTTCTTAAGCTGCTTGTTTTCCTGTCTCGATCTATTGAGCTAGGCTCGTTACTCTCTTTCTCAGTCCACAGCTCGACGCCAAACCACCAATAAACTCTCGAACCGCTCCAGACGGCTCTGTACAACATTACTGACAGTCTTTCAAGTTGAACTTGCTACGAATAATCCATAATGGTCCAATTCACCGATGCCCTCGTTTTGGCTCTCTTGGCCGCCACTACTCGCGCCGCACCTTTGTCTTTGAACAAGCGTATTGCTCAGACGACTATCGATTCTGTTACGCCCTGGGAGGATGCTTGTGTACGTTTCGTACTAATTGATGTATCATAGATTGTCTAATTTTCTCTTTGTATCTTACAGAACTCTGCGGGAGGAGGCTCACAATGTAATCCGATTGCGGTCACCGCTGCTTCTACTTTGCTTGCTGCGGCTGGAAACTGTGATCAGCAGAACTCAGCAGATGCCATGATCACCCTCGCGAAAACGCTCAACAACAATGCAGACATGATTTCGCTTGCTCAAATTTTTGCCCAGCAACCCCGGAACTCGGTGTGTACTTCCCTCCATTGTTTTTGACGTGTAGAATGGTTGTTCTAATCGGCAGTGTTTCTTCTTAGCCTAACTCCCTGGCTGTCCCTTACTGTGAGACGGCGCCGCAGAACAGCGAACTGAATGGATTCTTCCAATGTCAGTTCCAAGGCTCAGATCAAACATCTTTTGTCGGAGGTCTTTCAGTCGGTGACGCCGGAACTATTCCTTTCGGTTTGAGTGCAGCTGTCAATCCAGCTGGGTCGTGTCCAGCCAACCCTAGCGGGCCTGTAGCAGATGGACAACAGCTCAACACGATTACTCAGAATCCTGGCACACCGTCGTCGTGAGTATCCGAGAATGCATATCTACTGAAGACTAATGACTGACACGATTTTTCCAGATCGGGTTCGACTGCCTCAGGTTCAACTGGTAGTACTGCCTCTTCAGCCTCTGTTGCACCCGCTGCTGCATCGTCGGCGGCATCTAGCTCTGCATCTACATCAGACAATGACGGTTCCGGTGCTGCAGTTGGTGCCAGTGCATCTTCCACTTCCACGGCAGGCACTACAACATCTTCCAGCACTTCCACTTCTTCTGGCTTCGCTCTCTCTAACGGACAAGCCGCTCAGGCCTTGAACGCCCAATTCGCCACTCTGACTGCAAGTTCAACTTGCACTGATGGTCAGAATGCCTGTGTTAACGGCGCGTTTGCACAATGTGTTGGCGGGAAATTCGAGACGACCCAGTGCGCAGGTGGAACGACTTGTGCCGCGTTGCCCTTGGTTAACTCTGCTGGTACCAGTATTACCTGTACCACCACCGCTGACGCTGAAGCTCGCATCGCCGCAACCGGGGCGACCGGAGGAATTACTGGCGATGGATCGACCGCCGCTGCTTCCAGCGCAGGTTCTGACACCTCCGCCACCGACTCTGCCGCTGTCTCTACGTCCACTGCCGCCGCCTCCACTAACCAAGCAGCCACTTCCTCATCTTCCACCTCCTCATTTGCTTTGTCCAACGGACAAGCTGCACAGAAGCTGAATGCGCAATTTGCCACCCTTACCGCCTCCTCGAGCTGTACCGAAGGCCAAAATGCATGTGTCAACGGTGCGTTCGCTCAGTGCGTCAACGGATCGTTCGAGACCACCCAATGCGCTGGTGGGACGACCTGTGCTGCATTGCCGTTGGTGAACTCTGCTGGGACTAGTATCACTTGCGCTACTACTGCTGATGCTGAGGCCCGTATCGCGGCTACTGGGGCGACCGGAGGGCTCACTGGCTCTTCTTGAATACCTCAATGAATAACGACCAACGTATGAAATTCTCCTACCTCTCTTCACGTTCATTTTTTTGGCATTTATCATTATCGACGACCGGGATGTCGTCTTGCTTTCTGCTCCGAAATCGTTATCTTCACTCGCAAAACAAGCAGCGATTTCATTCGCATCTGCGTTTTTCTGTATACTTCTTCCGTATATGTACCATGTAGCCTTGGCATTACAATTGAAATGGGTTCGAAGCAGAGGGGAAGATCGCAGTAATATTCACCCAGCATATTAAATTGTGCCCTTTGGACAAGCTTTTCTTAAAGCATCCCAGTTAGCATTTGGTCTGTCCATCGTTTTATGAGCTGGCGCAAAATATTGATAAGTCGCAATCAAAAGAGTTCCTCAGCACTCACCATCACTAAGACGGTAACATTCCAAAGTTGGAGGCCTTTGATCCACCAAAACCTTTGGAATAGCCATTTGCCACAACCCCCCACTGCTTACGAAAGGAAGCTCCTTCTTCTGGTCGCTCTTCAGTTTGTCCTTGACCAATTCAAGGAGGTTTTTTGTATCAAATACCTTACACTGTAAAATGAATATCAAGTCACAGATGGTTTGGAGATAGCAGAAAATGAAAGCTAACCTCCCACCTACTGTGGAATAGCTAACAATGAGAGACTGGACATCAAAATTCAAAATGAGCTCAACTTGGGTGTGAAGTATTGAGGAGGGTTTTCACTTATTGGGGATGTTACGGGGCTAGAGGTGGAAGAAACAATTCGCTTTAACTCTTGAAATTTTGGTCCGTCCGACTAGTGCGTTCAATGTCAGAGTGAGAACAGGAGAACGTGGGGTGATAACACATACCTCTCGGGGGTGCATATATCCCAACAACTGAGCCTCCCGGCGTCCCACAATGGGAGAAGCGCTGACAATGACTGTGCCTAGACTGAGCACAAAGACAAGGTCATTGAATGAGGGCAGATGCATGATATCTATAGCGAAGATTTGTGAAGCAAGAAGAGTATGAGAGAAGATAAGAGACCAGCTCCGTTAAGTTGAAGAAGAAAAGTGAAGGAGACGAGGACGCTTCGGTTTAGCTTGGTGACCAAGCCCTCTAAGAGGAATGATCAAAGATCAAATTTTGCGTGGCAAAACCTCGCTAGAGGGCTTGGAAAAATTCGTTTGACATTTGAATTGCACGAGATTCCGTAAATAATCATGACATATATAGTCTCTTATGGTAATAGCTCAAATGAGAATGCACGTGAATGATGTGCCGCTGTCAAAACCCGCCGGCATGGTCTGATATAGCATCCATCGATTTTGATGCCGATGTTTCTCATTCATCCATACTCTCCTCCGAAACTTATTATGAGTGGGAAAAGGCAAGACAGAGGGCCCACCAGAGCATCACCAGGTATGGGTAGCTTCAGACTGTCACAAGAGGAAAGCTGACGTGAGAGTGTAAATGAGGGAGTTGGTCAAGGAGGTAATGAAGGCTTTTGAAGAGAATGGCAAGATTCAGCCAGTGTCTGACTTATGGAACAGATGCAAAAACCATGAAACCAGTTCTTGGACAGTGGGAATAAGAGCTTATAAGAGAGGGTGGATCAGTTGATGTCATAGCATAGGGAAGGAATGAGGACTCAAAATGCATCAGTCGTAGTTGTACTCGAAAAAACTCGAAAGTGCAAAGCAAGTCAACAAAAATCGGCACTATGCCGTCTCGTGGTTAACCCCGAATGAGATAGCCCCGAAAATCGCATTGCCTAATTAGACTATTTACAACCGGACCGTTCCATCAAAACTGGTGGTATTCAAATGTCAAACGAATTTTACCGGTCCCTCTATCGAGGTTTTCCCTCATAGAGGGACGGTTACCGGTCTAGCTTCGGTTGTCATACTTATCTATACTGTTTCCACTTGACCTTAGAAAAAAAAAAGACATCAAATTTGCTCAGATGAGACATTACACAGTCACCTTCATATAACAGGGTATAATCAGGGTCCTCATATAACCCATGCTCAAATGTTTGAGCATGACAGGAAGAATTCTGATGAGGACTCGTACATGCCAAGTGCGAAGCGCAATGGCCCACTTCCGCACGTCTTGATGCCATGGCTCAATGCCCAAAAATAAGCAACGGCGCATTCTTGTAAGTTGCTGCCATCTCTTGCTTCAATTTATCTCTGTTCATCCAGTTTATAATTATTTGTTGTTCTTCGCAGATAAAGACGAGGAGTGATCAACTACTGACTTGGAAGAAGTTCTGTTAAGACTCGACGATTAAGATCACGTGTGATAACTACGCTAAGTGCTCTGGCGTGACTGCGGTGGAAACACCACTTTGCACTGTTAAACTCAGACTGTACCTCTTTCTTCGCACACTCTTGTGGCCGTTGCTTCTTGTTTTGAAGATGGAGAGGATGTTTGAAGATATGTCGCACAAGGGTACTACATTTGATACAGACCAAACTTTGCGTACGAAGAAACTGCGGGGCAATGGACAACTTGCTCAGGATTTGGGCTCATCAGGATTCGCGTCGAAGCACGTTAAACAATCTCATAAACCCTCTATCGGAAGCCGGAGCTCTAAAGAGCGCGTCGAACGCGGTTCTCCTTCCGGTTCGAAACACAAGAAACCTGTTGAAGATTACAACGAAGAACCCGACGAGTTGGACTTTCTATCCGGAATGGACTCGGAAAACGAGCTCGACACAAAGTCTTCAATGCCATTGGTATCTTCTCAGCTATCAACTCATGACCCGGAGCACCAATTGGCTAGAAGCAACACCTTGAAAGGTCTGAAATTCAATAAAAACAAATCAGAAAACGATAATGCTAGTATTCCTTCGAAACCGCGCGGGCCAAGCTCGTCTATCCTTGAGCCGAAAAGTCCGAACCTTTCCAGCGCATCTCGTCTCTCTCCTCCCACGAAACCTGCGGCAAAATCATCATCACAGTCGCGTAAAGTTTCTCAGTCTTCGCATGTCGCTTCTAGAAAACCTAGTGTGGAGAAGGCTAGCAGTAGGAGCGTCCTGAGGGTGGTTGGGAGCTCCAGCTCTTCAGATAAGGATGACGCCAGGTCTATTCGCAGGACTAAGGGAGAGCGGAAGGGAGAGCGGAAGGGATTAGAAAGAAACACCCCTGCTGAGCCCTTGCCATCGAAGAAGGCAAGGCCCAGACCGAAGCCACTACCTGCGAAATCATCATCGTCCTCTGTCTCCTCTGCCCTTCTCAAACCTCCAGTCGGTAAATTGCAGCCTGCGCCCCCCGCCGATCTTCCTGTCTCCTTATCACCAGAGAACACGCCTAGGATGAATCCAAAGTCCCTCTTATCAAAACCTGAGAGGTTTCCTCTTGCTGCATCGCCCGAGCGCGAGAACACACCCAAGAACCATAAATCTCTTCTCAATGCACGACCTGCCGCCTTCCCGCTGTCGCCCAGCCTTTCTGGACGGAGGAAGGACGTTCAGAAAAAATCAGCGTCTAAACAGTATGAGCTGATGAGGGAAGACTCCGACGACGATGAAGCTTTATCAAAAACGAAGACCAACGCTGTCTCAAAAGCAGCGCCTTTCCCTTTGAATAGCCCGTACCCCAAAAGCATGATAAGCATCCCAAATAAGAGCGTCGGAAAACGCTCGTCGAATGTTTCTCCGCAAGAAGACGATAGTCCGCTCAAGAGACAACGTCGGGATGATGATATGTATGTTGTGCTAATATCGATGGCCGTTCTCTCTCATGGTTCTGTTCAACGGCTAGGGTAATCTCTTCGCCTCCCCAAAACCTTCATTACAGCGATGATAGTGATGACGACGATTACTGTACGTATGTCACTTATTTTGCCTTTTGATTATCCCAACAGTCAATATCACAACAGTTTACAATCCATCGGTTGACGCCAACACCCTGTGTCCATACTGCGACGAGCCTCTTCCTGCTTCGCCCACGCCCCATCTCAAACACCTCCTTGCTACTACTGCCAAGAAATCCATTCGTGCGCCAAGACCGACGAATCCTATGGGTCGCAAAACCGCTGTGAGCGTCTTCATCAATGTCTGCCAGCGTCATCAGTTTGAGAGCAAGATCCTGCCCGAGGCAGAAGCAAAAGGCTGGCCCAAGTCGATCGGATGGGATTTAATTCATGAACGAGTGATGAGGATGAAGAACCATTTGGAGGCGCTCATGGAGAATTCTATGCTTGAAAATGAGAGGGGCGATGTTGATTATGATGAAGAGGGTGATGCCGGTGAAGGGAGTGGGCAATGTAGACGGGCTAGAGATAAATGTGTTTTTTGGGAAGACGTGATAAAAGAGGTAAAGCAGAAGGGAACCCGTGCAGCTGCCAATGTCAAGAGTCAGTTTGCAAACTTTCAGAATACTCAACCTGGATAGTGAGTTTCTTCGAAGATCTTCGAAGTTATCTCCGTCTGATCACCTCTCAGCTATGGTGAACTGGGCTCTGTTCTAATCCATCAATCCCTCTACGAACTCTTCCCTCCAGAAAGCACGCCTCTTGAATTGGTCTCTCCGCTGAGTCCCAAGGAATTCATTAACCGCGTCTTACTCCCAGAGGTAGCCCTAAGGCTCATCATGGAAGACAAGTCTCTTTCTGGGTCCTCTGGGGCGAGGAAAGCGCTTGAGATCCTTCGAGACAGCACCACGTATGGCGTCGCAATGTTCCCTGAGGACGCTGGTGAACGAGTAGAGGGTGCCAGCGCCAAATTGTATACTAAAGGGAAGAGAAAGGGTAAAGGAAAAGAAAAGGCAAAAGAAACAGAGAGATATCATTCAGAAGATACGGAAATCGAAACTACGGAGATGAGCGTTGCAGATAAAATGGTCAGGGAGAAGGCTCGCAGACGCAGGTTGGAGCTGGAGAAGGAAACTGAACAGGAGGAGATGATTCACCAGGAACAGACGAAGCGCCATCGCAAGGGCAAAAGTAAAAGAAAAAATCCCGTCGTTCAAACGCCATCACCTCAGAACCCCAAACCCAAACCGAGACCGAAGCCGAAAGCGATTCAGAAAAACGCAAGCTCTGCCTCCCTTGCTGGCATGGATGTTGGATCCGAGCCTGAAGCCGGATGGAGGTCAACTTTTTCGGATGGGCCCGCAGAATACTCCGACAACAACGGCATGGATATGGAAGCTTCCGATGTTGATGCTAGTAATGAGCTCGTGAACTGGGCTTTGGATGACCCGGCAAACATGGATGCTTTCTTTCTGACGACAGAGAATAATCGGTCTCCGCCTAACTCTATTTCCGGTCTTTCCTTCTCTTCCAAACTCCGTGACGTCGGATTTCCACCGTCGTCGTCGTCTTCGAAACCTGATAGTGCTGGGAGTACCTCTCATACGATGATCATATCCTCTTCAGAAGACTCAGATTCAAACATTCGGAAATCCCGCAAACAAACTAGGAAGATGTCCACCAGAACTAGATCACCTAGTATCAAAATATCTTCACCTGACACAAAACCCATTTCAGTACTCACACGACCACCCCCGTCTTCTTTTGATATGGATGATACACCCAAGGCTAATAGATTCCAGCTGTCGATGTTTCCGGAAGTCCCTTCTACGTCATTTTCCCGTCGCAACGGCGGAGGGGCTGTCGACAGAAATTCAGGAGAAACACACAATACTGATTCAGATGTGGTGCTCAAACGTTGGCACAACGATCCCGATAGTGCGCCTCTTGCTTTTCTACGGCAATCACGGTCAAGACCGAACGTTCAGAAAGCGCCATCGTGAGCTCTAACCTCGTGTTATTTCTATTCAATGAGCTGACATCTACATCCATCCATGCTTTATTTGAACCCCCGCTATCATTGACCTTTACTCCATGTTAGAAAACCTGAGAGCCATAAAGAGAAGTCGACGAATAATATTAAATCAACTGTCAAACGAACAGAGTCGATGAAGTCTGAAACGGATTCTGGCTGGTTATTATCCGATAGAAGCGAATGAGCGAGATACTGATAAATAAAGTAAGGATACATATCTTTTAGTAACCTTGTGTAATTCTGCGCAGTAAGTAGTATCAGTCAATAATATAGTATAACTTCGCCTAAGTACCAGGTTAGGAAATGCCAAAGCGTGAATTTGGCTGCCATATTTGGAAACTCGCCACCCAACACTTGGAGTTCAACTTGTTGAACTCTCGACTGTTTCTAACGAAGTGAAAAGACCATCATTAATGTAAAATTTTCGCTCTCTCAAAATTCTCATTGGTTTAGGAACGAGAACTTCCAAGAGCTCAGGAACATGTCCAACTCCTGAGCCTTCTTTCATTCATGTGCGTCTTGGAACAGGCCATATCGTACGTTATCCTGCCCCCCTTGCTCAAGCTCTTCTCATTGATTCCGTTTCGCTATCAGATAACACTTATTCTGAGCTGTCCATTTTTGTCATAGCGTTAGCCTCTGAGTCCTGGGCCCTCCTCTTGTCGGGAAAGTACATCCGAAAGGCACTCTAAAGGCAATCTATCTTGACTTTTCTGCTTCGGCTTGCATCATCTAGCTAGTATTCTTAATGGTATATTTGCTCTATGCCATTGAATCAGTGGGAATATTCGTCAAAAGATGGATATTTCAGGCGCCAGGTGACTATGACCCCCGGTATGACGAAGAAGATAAGGACCTTATCTCCGCACAGAGCGCAATATTCCGGGACCGAAGCGTTCTCCATGTGCAGACTCAGTGGTCGGCTTCATGCGTTATCTCGACTAGAGATCCCAAGGTCAGAATTTCAATCAATATCTGCCAGTGTTTGTTGCTCTTAGGGACATTTTTCGGAAGGTTTCATATACTCACTGCACACCGCTGGCACAATAGAAACGTTATCTCTATCAATTGGCTGCTCGTCACCGGCCTAGCTTCTTGAGTACCAGTGAGCATATCGATCTCCGTTCGCGGGCTGGTTTGTTTTTCCTGTTCGTGACTGAAACAGTAATTTATCTTTGCTTGTGCGCTCTCGGAAATTCGGCTTCGATGCTATATCAGTATATGCAGCGGATTTTTGCCGATAATATACATAAAAGACTCATTCCGATGCTTTCCCTCAGCTCTGCTTGGACTGTCAGAGTTCAGATCGTTGATAATAGTTATGTGTTATCTATTTTCATCATCGAACGTACAAATTTATCTTCAGACTTGCGATATCTAGATAGAACGCTCCTGAACGGATGGTACGTACGGTCGGATATATGTCCGAATCATACTACCAGGTTCACAAAATTGTGTTGTCTACTGAGCTCAAGGTACACCATTAAGCTATGGTACTCAAATACCATTCATTCGACATACTTCAGTGACACCGCGAGCTCGGAAATATCTTTCTTAGCTGTCAAATTTCGTTCGAGATTTCCTCAGATTCGTGCGTCGCAAGGCACGCCTTTGCCACTTGTCGCAATAGGAAACGTTCAGTGGATTCGCCTGTAATGAATTACTGAAGAGATATAAAAAAGAATGTACAACCGTTCAGATGGTCTACGAGCAAGTTACAGTCTCGATACCTCCCTTGGTCGGACCTCGCTATGAAGTTCTCTACTATTCTTTCCTGCAGCGCCCTGATATTCTCCAGTGCAGCGCGAGCTCTCCCTCGAGGATTCTCCGACCATGTCTCGAGACGCTCAAATCCTTCCTCTCGCATTGAAGGACCCCAGCCTCAGACCGCCGGTACCTCATCTAATGCAACTATCCAATACAGCGGAAACTGGTCTGGCGCTGTTCTTGTTTCGCCTCCGACTGGTGAAACATTCAACAGCGCTGTAGGAACTTTTACAGTCCCGTCAATGCCTTCCGTTAATGGGAATGGTGCTGCCGCTGCATGGGTTGGCATTGATGGTGATACATTTGCGACTGCAATATTACAAGCTGGTGTATTCTTCAGTGTCACCGACGAGACCGTCGAGTATGGAGCATGGTATGGCCCTTTTCTTTTCCAAAAACACACATGGTTCTGACTGCGCGCAAGGTATGAGTGGTGGCCTAGTAAGCTAGAGTATTTGATTTCTTTGACTTGACCTTTATCTAAATCGTTTTTTCGACAAGACTATGCTACTGACATCGACACAGACGACTTCCCGGTCTCTGCTGGGGACGTAATCACTGTCAACATCGATGCTTCAAGCAACAGTGAGGGCATTGTCACCTTGACCAATGAGTCGGCCGGAAAGAGCTTTGTTATCAACCTCACTTCACCGACTAAATTGGTATGTCCTCCAGTGTAAGACTTTCCTTGGCACAAAATCTCAAACGATGTTTCTCGAATAGTCCTACCTGGGAGGTCAGAACGCTGAATGGATTATCGAAGATTATACGCAAAATGGTGGGCTCGTCCCGCTTGCCAATTGGGGCACTGTCACATTCGTCAATGCCTCCGCCTCGACTTCAGCGAACAATACACTCGGCCTTGAGGATGCTACCATCTTTGACATCGAACAATACAACGACATCATGACCTTCGTCACAATCGAAAGCGATTCTTCTGTGTCAATCTCCTATGCATGACAGATAGACAAATCTTTACTTAGAAGTTCGGTGTACATACCAGTTTGGTGGAGGAATACAAAAAGACATGAAGCTGCTGTGATGAATCGACAATTCAGGAGACGAGTTGCCTCAGTTTCTTCACCGTTTCATTGTCTGCAATTGGACAATCGCAAAATGATGACTAGGTTGTCCGATGAGGCAATCACAGAGTAGTAATTGTGCAGAAATTTATTGGCGCCGTTAGGTTCCTAACCCCTAAGAGAAGAAAGATTCGAATAAATTGCTGACTTCAATTCACTTTGGACACGATACGGGCATTTCCTGGAGTGGCTTCGCTATAGGTCCAGTCCTTTGACATATTGGGAGAAAAATTGGGAGATGATAAAACAAATATTGGGACACCACATCTAAATTCGACTACCATACACATCTTTGGGTGCAACACCAGCTTGACCTTTGGCAATATTGGCTTGCGCCCACCTGGATAGTGAAGAGTTAATCACATACCCTGCTGTTATATGAAAAAAAAACTCACTTTTTAATTCGAATGGATTCAATAGCAATGAATCCTGTTGTGTCAGAAGGCTCGAATCCACCAAGCTCATCCATTGAAGCTTGTTGCTCATCATAAAGTCCCTGTAAAAAACAGATGAGGACGGGCCCAATCAGAAATTTGCAAAGGACGATACACACCTCAGAACTTTCACGACCCTCGATAATAACATTACCCTTGTACAGCTTGAGCTTCACGACACCGTTGACTGTCCGTTGACTAGCTGGAATGGCAGCAGTGATGAACTCCCTTTCGGGAGTGAAAAAGTGACCATTGTACAGGATCTTGCTGAACTCAATAGTGACGAATTGATCACGGAGAGCACGAACATTCCTGTCAAGAGTGAGTCCCTCCAAATCAATATGGGCTGCGCGCAAGATAGTAGCGCCGGGAGATTCGTAACATCCTCGCGATTTCACGCCGATGAAACGGTTCTCAACTATATCAATACGACCAATGCCATGTTTCCGGCCTAATGTGTTCAGGGCAAGGAAGATGTCTACTGGGTCGGTGTGGGTTCTACTTGAGTCTGGAACAATGACCTTGACAGGAAGACCAGCCTTGAACTCGATGGTGATTTGTTCGGGTGTTTGTGGGGCATTTTCTGGGGAGGTGGTAAGTTTCCACATGTCAACGGGAGGAGTAGTGTTGGGATCCTCGAGGATACCGGCTTCATATGAAATATGGAACAGGTTTTCATCGGTCGACCAGGGTTTTGCGGTTGTTTGGGTGACTGGAATAGATTTTTCTGCAGCATAGGCAAGCAGATCCTTTCGGCCTGCAAACCGATGGTAGAACTCTAAATGGTATGGAATGCTTGAGTATTGTGGAGTTCAAATACGTGTTGGCTTGCGCACCAGGAATTCGCCATGGGGCGATGACTTTGATGTCGGGTTTCAATCCGTAGAAGGCAAGCTCAAAGCGGACCTGGTCATTTCCCTTTCCGGTACATCCGTGCGACACGAAGCTAAGAAGTAAGAGGATAAGAAGAGATTAAGTGGAAAGATAGCCGGATACTCACTCGCATCCCTCCCGATCTGCAACAGCAATCATGCCACGAGCAATCACTGGCCGAGCCAAGGATGTACCGAGAAGATAGACATTCTGATGAAGTTTGGATCTAAATTCATCGTTCGATAAAAGTTAAAGAGGATCGACGTACCTCATATATACAATTGGCTTGTACTGCGGGATAGATGAGTTCATTGACGAATTCGCGCTTCATGTCCTGTCATGAATGACGGTTAAATGAAATATTTACGACTCCGCAAGTCATTATTTACCTCCAAAAAGAATTTCTTGGCTCCGACTTTGAGTGCCTTCTTCTCTGCAGCGGCAAAGTCCTGACATTATCTATTGAGACGATTCAACTGGGACAAAGCATAAAGCTGACCTCTTCTTGGCCGACATCTGCCATGAAGGCGTAAACTTCGTATCCTTGCTCGATTAACCAGGCCAGGATACATGAAGTATCTGTACGTATACGGTGCATGGATTAGGCGGGAGCCCTATAACATATTCCACAGCTTACCCAGTCCACCAGAGTATGCAAGAAGTACTCGTCCGGAATTTGCGGGCATCTCGTCGACAGAAAGTAGAGAAGAACGATAATTCGAGTCAGAATCAGGCGCAGCGCCAAAGTTTTTTGTTGCACGTGCTTATCTTCGCGTTTTGACTTAATCTGATGTGATCAACGATTTTGTCACACGCAGTTGTAACGGCATACTTCCTCTTTGTTCTGTCACTGTGCATCTTCCATCATGGACTCTGCTCGTCGAAATCCATCTTCCTCCAATCACAGTACCAGCAGGCGATCTAGGAATCCACATGCACCCCGTAGAGGCCCCGAGGAATTACTCCCCAATAGCATGAATGCCTTTATAACTTCTCAAAGAAGCAAATCTCGTTCGCCATCTCGTGCTGTTAGAAATGATCCCTTCGCGGCTCTAAATGCCTCCATGACCACCGTGAAGGGCTATTCCAGCGGGAATCGCTCTTCGAAGAGCAGCGGCTCCGCTAGTGTTAGACAGAGCACTTCATCCTATGATAGCGACATGATCACCGATTCTGGCCAACGCTTGAGGTCCAATGTCACCATAGCCGCGTTTCAAAGACCAAATGGTAGCAGACCAACGACTCCTGCAGCCCCCAATCTGCAGAAGAAGGACAAAGGGAAGGAACGTCAATCGAAATCACATGGATCTACAGATGCGTCTTTCTCAGGGCCTATAGCAGTTGCAGAGTTTGAACGGATGAGGATTGAGATTGAGACATTGAAAAGCACATTGAACGACCATAAGAAGAATGCTAGGAAACAAGCTAAGGTGGCGTTCATCTTTATCTATTGTACATACCCTTGTTAAAATTCCCACTCTAGAAAATTGATGAACTCAAAGCCGAAATTGTCACAGGTAAAGCGGTAAGGTCTCCGCTTCTGTGATGTTTGATACGTTGAGCGAGCCCAGTCGTAGACAAGAGACGAACAGGAAGCACAACTTCAATTATTGAAATCCAAGCATTCTCGTAATGAAGAACTGCTGAATACGTTCGAAACAACTCTCACATGTAATATTTGCATGGAACTTTTGAACAAACCCTTCTCGTATGTGGTCCTTTTTACGTATCCTCTGGTCCTGGCCCACATATGATTTCATAGATTATCCCCCTGCGGTCATACGTTCTGCCTGCAGGACCTTCAAGAGTGGTTTAGGAAAGCTCCTCCAGCGGACGAAGATATGGATCTTGACATAGATGATCCCGACTATGTCATGTATCGCCAGAAATCATGCCCTGCCTGTCGTGCTGTTGTTCTAGGTCGACCTCTGCCAGTCTACCCTGTTCGGGATCTTATAAGTGCTTTGCAAAAGGCTAAGGTTTCCGGAAATGCTGCTGCTACTGTCTCTACCCGTCGTAGCAGTAGCCCATACGTTTCAGAAGATCCCTGGGAAGGACTCTTCCCCGATAACGACGAGGACGAGGAAGACGAAGAAGAGGATGGACTAGAGGTAGGAGCCATGCCGTTTGGCTTCTTGTACAGCGAATCCGATTCAGAGATGGAAATGCACGACGATGACAGTGAATACGATAGTAATGGCGAGCCTGAGGAAGAGGAAGATAACAGCGCCATAGATGAAGAGGAAGAGGGTGAGAGTGGTGAAGACGTAGAAGGAGAAGGTTATAGTGAGGGGGACGAGGACTACTATGTCTCGCCTCAATGGGAGCCGCCCTGCTACCCGTACCCAGGAAATGTCGCTCCTGGCCCTCAATCCCAATTAGTCCGGCGCGGCTGTCCACCTTGGTTATCCTCTACTTACCGAATACGATACTCTCATAACAATGGCCTGGTCGGGCATCTTAATTCTTTGGACCCAGACGACGTGGGAGCTCCTCCACGTGGACCTACTAGCCGCATGCACCGACTGTTCCTCGGGTGGAATATACGCAACATAGACGACCAGTCATCGGAACTCAGCCAAAGATTTTTCATGGCTCAGATACTAGAAGATTTTAGGAACGAGCCTTACAAGTTTTCCATTCATCAACGGGCCAATGGTTGCTTGGATGTTCGTGTCCTAGTACCAGCTGATGAAGTAACCCAATATTACAGTACGGAGTCGGAGGGTTGGGATTAATAGCAGAGTACACCGTCGCTCGTATATCGTTCAGGAATAATTGAATATACCGTCTTTCGACGTTTGGAAGGCAACTAGGTGGCAATCGGTTGAACAAAATCAGACATTTGTATTACAGATAGATGTATGCTACTTCCTATTTCTTACAGGTCTTCGTCTTAAGTTCGCATATACTCTCTCGAAGTGTGAAGAACGGGGAACCAAACGCCAAGGTCGGTTTCTTACCTGGCTTTCGCCACTCCAAACCTTCTCCAGGCTCTTCATCGATGACACGTTGACATACATTCGCATGAGAACATGCTCAGGTACGGAAATGCTCGCTGCCAGATCTGTTAGGCCAGCACTGGCGCACCTTCATTTTTCGTAAGAAACGGACAGTCAAAACATCGTATAGGCAAGGAGATGGTGATGCGAGACATGTCTAATACGGCAGTGACTGTGACCTCGATAGATCAGTACGAAGAACTTGATCTTCATGTGAAGTAATCCATCTGATTCCTCCAAAGTTCCGCTGCAATGAGGCTCGGCGCAATCACGTTGACATTGACCAGGATTCATGGTGGCTCAAAAGACGAGTCACGTAAGGCAAAACATGGCAGCAAAAAGCTACCGTGCTGAATTAAAACTCTCGAGGAGTATTGAACCAAAGCACTCACAACATGGTGGCCCCACTGCGACTAGTTCGATACAGAACAGCTCCGGAACAGCTGACATTTTTTTACCGTAATAATGGCGAGGTGAAGTCCTGTGATCCTTCGAACTTGAGTATACTAAGGGTCAGACTGAAGCATATCAAGTTCTAGTCAGCTCCCGCTTTTTTCATTGCTTCCACGTTCCAATCCCAAACCCTTTTACCAAATTCATCATCGTAGCATTGAGTATGAGGAAGCTTGTCCTCGAATTTACTGGAAGAACACGGTTATGAAACAACGTTTATCCACTTGCAGGTTGGATAATACTCACGCAAGTGGGACTAAGAAAGAGCCGTTGTGGGAAGAGTCTATCGTAGCTGCGGTCCCTGCATACAACTAGGTAAGCGCTCCATATTGGACTGGTTTGAAGACGACATGCTAGAATGGAGTGAGCAAAGACATTGAGTACATGCTGGACCTTCCTAACGTTGAGTATCCACATAATTGGACGGGGGATTCCCAGCTCCCTCGTTAGGCTCGATTGAACGGGACCAGGATGAGGTGCCAAGCTTAAGATATTCGGGTATCGCTGAGCGAGCTGGCGAGCGATCAGTATAGTGCCTAACTTGCTGTTGCCGTAGCATTCAAATCGAGTAGCATTAAATCCAACAGTCGGATCGTCCAGTGGGATTCCACGCTTTGGGGCTTGTTTGGCACCATCTGATGCAATGTTAATTATACGCGCAGTACCACAGGGCGCATTTTCAGCAGTACGTTCCAAAACTGAGAGAAGGTGCCAGTACGTGAAAACGAAAGGTCCGAACACATTAACGGCCCATTGCTATCGATGGCAAAGATGAGTAGAATATGTTAGACATATGTATATATCACTTACATATTCGTATCCATCACTAGAAATTTTGCCTTTGGGAGTACCCATAACCCCGGCATTGTTGTACAAAACATGTAGAACACTCTCCTTCCTTAGATCAGCTCCTTTCAGTACTGAGGCATTTTTCGCGTTCAATTCTTGGCTTACGATTTAAAGTCTTCAGCAGCTGCTTTAGCACCGTTGGCAGTAGAAAGGTCTAAATGTAAGAAGAGTATTTCGCCATTGACCGTGGCAGGATGAGAAGTATAAATCTCGTTCATAGCTTGCTCATATTTTTCCTTCGTGCGTGCGGCGAGATATACTCTGGCACCCTTCGATGCTAGGACAGTTACAGTCTCTTTGCCGATACCACTGTTGCCGCCTAAGCTCGCGCAAATCAGCAGGGTGGAGTATGTCGGTTGGCCATGCATAGCCCTCACCGGTAACGATCACTACTTTGCCATGAGGGTCTGGAATATCAGATATAGAGAAGGACATGATAGTGGTCGAGACTGAAAGTTTGGTACCACTAACCAGCGAAGGTATTAAAGATTCAATGGATTCGGATTCGAATGACAACGAAGGTGTCTACGTAGCCATTCGGCCAAAACACGAGCACGTGATTCTTACATGGTGACGCGAGTATATTTCGTCCCGTGTATCACCGTATGTTGTCACAGACCTAGTGTAGTCTGGATTTCCTATAGCAGGTATCTAGATCAGGTTGGGTTCTTTGAATCCCGATTTGACTCGCACTTTGGCCTGAATGCTGACTAGGAAGAAGTAGGAAGAAGTGCCAGAGTATTTGATTGCAAGTATGGATACTATGTCGGGTGGTCAAAATGTTGTAGAGGGAACCCTTTAAGCAGCTCGAGCACTGAATGAAGTGGTTTCCATCAGAAAATATTGCACTTAGAACAGGGGAATGGATTGGCACAAGGCGGATATCGTGTAGCATAGTTCAGGCTCGGGCCTGCTGTGAAATATAACTGTCAGTGTAAGTGATTCACTTGATCTAGGATGTAGCTACCATAGTCTACACTAGATACAGGTTAAAGCTTAATATCTGCTCATTGTCTGCGCGGGTTCATTGTCCTCCATTTGAGGTATAATTTTCGCACCTTGGTCTGTATGGTAGGTTGAAGTTTTGGACAAGTACTACTATTGCTACTATTTCGATGCTCTTCAATTCTTTGCAGGATTAGTTCTTGAAAATAGGTCAGTAAACGATTACAGGGAATTTTCGTGGTATATACGAATGCGCGTCTGACTCATTTGGTTCACCATGACTCATTTTCCACCATCTACACGCGTTCATCGTGCACTTACAGCGTTGGCCCTGAGGTAATTCAGGGTAATTCTCTATCGCCATTGTGCCGCAAGAACACAATGATTTCCGCGGGCACATTGAATATTGCGACTCAGCTTAATTCATCATGCACATTGCTTCTGGGCATTAGGGTGATTATATCTACCGCTCTTCTTCGTATACATCTCCCCTCATCTCCCACGATGAACTTTACGGAAACTCAAGGTTCCACCATTGTCTGCCGGTTCTGGTCGAAATCAAGATTCTACACCGTGTTCAGGAAGGGCAATCATTCCCACTGATCAAACGTCGTAGTAGATATCTGTGGCATCTATCAGAGGTCCATATGTCTAGTCCATGACCATGTACACTGAATATCAGTCTCCGGGGACTCGCCTCCCATTCTAAACCTTCGCTCATTCTATCACCTCTTACATCTAACGACACATATAAAGGGATCGTCGTAGGTCCTCATAGGACCCACAGACGAAGTTAAAAACTGACGCGCCGAACATACATCGATCTATCTCGATGGGATCGGGCGGGACCAATCTGAGCAGAAACTCTCATAAACTTTCACCTAGCTTGCTAGGTCCTTTGCCACCCTGAAATTGCCAAGCGCTCGTGCACTTTTTTTCACACGATTGGCGCCTACGTACTGGTACAAGTAGGACAGTCCAACACACTCCGCTACTTTTCGTCAACGTTGAACGTTACGCTGTACACTCGTCACTGACTACTTTTTGTCTTACAAGTCGTTCGTTCCTTCCCAATCTCAGCTTCTGTTTAATTTGGCACCAAACATGACCTATGAGCATTGACCGTTATTCCGTACACTGATCACTGACTACTTTTTCTTTTTCAAATCGTTCGTTGATTCCCAATCTGAATTTGGCACCCAAACATGACTGGGTGCCGACAGCCGCCTTTCGTGCAAAATATTGCTTGTTATATCTTCAGATCACTGTTGGTCCTTAACTGTGCGATGTATTCAATGACTAGCGTCTTCGACTCACTGTCCAACCTCTCCACTGATCATTCCAACAACTATGATGTTCCTTCCCGACGTAACACTGGTGTACAAAGCTACTCTTCTAATGTGCATAAACCTCCCAAACCTCTTACGGTTAAACGTTGTTCTTTTCGTTATGGATGCTGCCTTAGCGCGACAAGCCTGTAAGGAAGCCATGGATCATCTCCTCACCTGCAATGAAGTGTCATTGAATTCTACGTTGGCGATTTCCTTCACTATCCATAATAATGTTGTGTATCACCTGGTCGTATAATGTTCCGCTCTCGGTCGTCATTTGATTCCGACAATTGCTCTTGCCAAGCGTCCGTCGTATCGCAAGTCAAAAGCCATGATATTGTTCTTATCTACGGGGAGGTACCTTCGTCATTTGATTCCGACAATTGCTCTTGCCAAGCGTCCGTCGTATCGCAAGTCAAAAGCCATCATATTGTTCCTTATCTACGGGGAGGTACCTCATCAACACCCTAACCGGCTCACGGTGTGCGCGGGAGTTCCTGATCGTCTGAAAGTGGACCTACGTGGCCGCCATGTCTCTGATTTTGTGGTCGTCTGTGGCTCTAATTGCGGATGCTGGGAATCATATGTTTTCCTCATCACAGAACGTCAATTCAAGCATCGTCATTGAACCGCCCTGCTGTCAACATCCGCTCATGCCCACTACTTCACTTCTTTACAGCGTTGCTCGCGTTCTTCCGTATGAGGTGTGGATTCGAATAGCACAGTTCGCCTCCGAGGAATTGTATGCACTAGCCCTGACTTCCTCGGAAGTTACTTGGCCTGCCTACGATTTGCTATACAGAAACGTAGTGGTTGACCCTGATCGTTTGTTTGCCGCTGCGGTCCATTGGATAAACGGTGAAGATAGAGTTTTGCGCCGTATTCGTTCACTCAAAATCCATTCCACAAACGATCAAGATTGCCAGCTCACCAATGCCCACTTTGACCATCGTTTCACAATTGTTCCTCGTTGGCCTAAGATGATTCAACTTTTTTCCCTGACGCCAGTTCTTACCCGCCTGACGCTTTCCGGTCTGATCTTGGGACCAGGTTTGCCTGGCATCCTTTTACGATTACAAAACCTTACGTACATTGCCCTACGACGTCTTTGTATCCCATCGGATACCGATATTGTCTGGCGCCTGCTATCTCTACCTTCCATCCTACAACTGGAATTAACAATTGTTTGCTGGCACGACGACAACCGCGATTTCCAGTTCGTCAATGCATGTGGAAACATCACCGATCTCACACTCAGTTGGCATTCTGACAGTTATCTCGCCTGCCATGACTGTGTTATTTCACCGCATCATGCTTGCCTGACAATCACGATTTCAACTAACTATGGGTCATGGCCCTCCGACCACTCAATCTCCGGTCATCGTCGCACATTCGTGTCATTCCTGCGCTCATTTCGTTCACTATCTCACCTCAGGATCAAGGGCTGCATCCCGACATTTTCTGCCGTTGATTTAGACCACACCCCGTTGAGCAATACCTTGCAGTCATACCAAGCCCTTGATCGGTGGATATTGTCTACTTCGGGGCGGGCTCTTCATTGCATATGCAGCTTGTCGACGACTGGAAGGACAGAATCTCCAACACAGGCTCTATTTTGGGGAGGATACCATTATTTCTGGGGATGCCTTGTTCTATTGCAATAGATTCTACGCCGATTTGGGGCGTAGTGCACGATATCGTATTAGACCCACGAGAAGTTCAACCTTCTTTGCGTCCAAGTGTGGTCGAACTCCGCTTCCCCCCGGCACTTATTACTGTCTGTCTGGCACCCGAGGTTCTGCGCTGGAATCCTAACTTGAACAAAGTAGTCCACGTGAAACCAGTGATTAGGCGATTTGATTTGCGTCCTTCCTTTCCAGCCAGCGGATTAGGTGAGATTACAAGAACCCAGACACCAGTCGCCCCACTTTTCGCCTCAATGGAACACGAAGTGACTGGGAGATACTTCGAGTCTGTCCTAATAGACATGACCGATGGTTTGAAATCTTTCCTCAGTCTGTATGGTGTGCTTTCCAGAGCGGGTTTGGATGGTAAGTGTTGGATTACTGAGAAGGTCGCCTTTGAACCTTACGACGTCTACTCACCATTGGTAAAAGCAACGTTACAACGTATGTCGTGTAGTTAGTGTATACAGGGAGTGTCGTTATCAATAAAATAAAAAACTATGCAAGCGAGGTGTTAGGTAACCCCGCAGGGGTGCGCTAGTGTAGAAATGGGTGTTACATATTTTCGTTCAAATCTTAGGTGAGAGAAATCTATTTCCGTTCCTCTGATTTCGAACAATTCACTGTCCATTGACTCAGCAGGCAGTGAAGGGTGATGCCAAATGTCTTACTTCGCAAAACTTTTGAGAACCAGATACCCAAGACAAAGCAGGCGGGAAATTATCGAAATCCTTGTATCATATTCTCTTCCCTCTCTGTACGCATTTTCGTTTGGACCATGATTCGATAATCTAACCACTCGACGACACCGCCACGGACGAAATCCTTTTTCCCTATAAGGAAGGTACAAGTCATTATGATGGGATCTCAGATTTTAGTGACAAGACCCCACGAATACCGAAGCCTCTGTCCTCCTCTGACTCGTACACAGGGAAGATCTAATACTTACTTCCTTCTAGGTCGTACGCTATTTACTTATCTCAGGGTGAACTTTGAAGGACTTTGACCGTCTTGAGACAATAATACATCTAGAATTTTACCTTGCCGATTTCGGTGCGCCCGTTCCTCGAAGTTCCTATTGTGGAAGACAATGAGTACAATGTATATGAAGCTACGACCACGCGGGACAATGAGTCCGGAACTATTCAGCGGACCCGCGCGAGAGCGAATACTATAAAGACTTGGGCTTCGTATTGTCTTTTCGATTCCAGCTCCCACCTACCTAATTGTTTTTGCAAAGGAAAAGGTGGTCAAGCTTTGAGAACGACGTTATTGTTGTTCTCTTTACTTGCCAACGCGTCGAGGAGGAGGTTGCTATAGCTAACAACGTCCTCACTACCGCGTACAGATTGTTTTATGCCCCTCATCTGAAAAAAATCATCCCCTTCCACTTCTTTTCGTTCTTTCATCAATAATCGTCTGAAATCGCCCACTCCGCATATTGACTCATGCCTGCTTTACGCACTCACGATACGGCGAGCGACTGTGAGTCCTTGATTTTTCCCAGCACCTCATGTATGTCCTAATTAGCGGTGAAACGTCATTGCAGCACTGGAAGTGAGGACTGGGATGGACCTACCAAATTCTTCATTACCGACGCTAGCCATAATCGCACCAACACCCCGAGCATTTACATTTCCTACTTCTCATAATCTCGACATTAGCCCCTACTCTACACCATCTAATTCACCTTTTGAACCCGATCTTAATAATCCTTTTGGAATCCCGTCTCCAACCTCATCGTATTTATCTACACCGTCACCATTAAATCGAACATTATCTCCCGACTCATCTGTATCAGTATGTTCACCTCGATCGGACAGCCTTGACGCCGAGCGTCGGCCACGAAAAGGCGACAAAGACTATATCAAGCGACCGGAGAACGCGTTTATGCTCTTCCGGCGCAAATGTTGCGAGGATGGGCAACAGGTCGAAGAAGAATCCAACGGGGCCACGACTCGAAAAAAGCAACGCCAGGCGGACCTTTCGAAAGCCATCAGCCGAAAGTGGAAGAGTTTGTCGAAGAATGATCGACAATACTGGGAGGACTTGGCGAAGGAAAAGAAGAAGGTACATCAGGAGAAGTACCCCGGTTATGTTTTTCGACCGCAGCGAGTCAGGGACAAGGATGGGAGGGCGAGGAACAAGAAGTATACCAAGCGCAATAGAGCAGCAAAGAGGAAGCAAGGCGAGGCAGAAATAGAGAGGGAAACAGCATATCTGGTTCCATTCCCTGGTCGATCCACCTCAGCTTCTGGCACGATTCCCGCAATGTCCTATCATACCGTCCACATACCAGTAATTTCCACGATACCCCCTCACCCGTCCTCTGCATCGTCTTCCTCTCTCCCAATGCCGCAGATCAGCCAGACATTTTCTGGGACTGTAGGGAATATCACGTCAAACTTTGAGTATCTCCCTTCTCCAAATTCGATGTTACATTCAGAAAGAGGCCTTCAGGTAATGTCGCAATCTACATCCTGGACCGCTGGAGCTCAAGCTGATGCGCTACACCGACAGTCCTCAGAGTTGATGCGGAACCTCTTCAATCTTCCGGCGCATGAAACCCCGGAGTCAACGACAAGGTCTGTCGCACGACTTCAAGTGCCTAGTAGTCCCCTTTCATCTGCAGCATCATCGCCCATCTCTGGTCCCTTCACACCCTCCTCCGACCCACTTGACCAATCCTCCTACAACAATGCTCAGCTGTACCCATCCACATTCAACCCCGCCGAGACATGCGGAAGTGATCACACTCCGTGGGTCCCCATGCCTGCTGCTATTCAGGCAGGACTCATCCCACAACCAGATGCTGTCCACAACTATTCTCCTTGGGAATCACATAATGCTATTTGGCAAACAGAGTCGAGCATGCTTGCAGGGGATGACTTTGACCTCCAGATCATTCCACCTATCGAGCTCAGCCAAAGCAGTCAGAGCATGATGATGATGCCCGAGTATGGAGACGGTGCTGCCTTTGGTATCGCTCCATCCGCTACCCTGAATAACTTCGCATTGTATGACTTCCCGCAGGAATATTTCCTTCCCGTCGATCGATTCGCCATGAACGAAGACTCTTCGCCGCACTTTGCGATCGAGGATGAGTGCATGCCAGTATCTTGAAGATTCATAGTAGGATATACTCGGATATATCATTATGCTTTCCATATGTACAGCCAGCTGTAGTTGCATGTTGTATAACGCCTATCATATATATTTGAGTATTTGGCAAACCAATCTTGCGAAATGTGCAAACCTGAATTCTCGGACGAGCAAAACCCTCCAGATGCTAACAGCAGATTGCGTTGCCCAAACGGATTCTGTATGACTGACCGTCACTTGGTCATATCATGATATTGGGAGAAGGAGAATTGACTGGAATAACAAGATAGCAGCATTATATACAAAACTCGATACTATCATAACTTAATCGTCTTGCGAGTAGGTGTCATTTTCAGATGAACACCGGAAACAAGCATACGGTGATGAGTAGCACTCCATATCTGCGTTCGTTGGAGGCCAATTTGTGAATACGAGTCCAGCGCATGACTATGTAACGTGGCACACACCTCCGTTTTGGCTGATACAACTCTTGTCCCTATTGACATACTCGTATTGATAATTCGCAGATTTTCTCCACTGGAAAGAATTGACGAATATCCAGTATGGGAGATCGAATTACGCACAGTCCAGCTGGAGCATGAAACGAGAGGTTCATGGCCTGAGAGACTGTGACAGTGGGCTTTCCGGTGATATGCATCTGTAGCGCCACCATAGCCAATGTTGAACAGCTGGATCACGAAAGTTGAGCTTCGACCAGGGCGCAAAAATCAAGCACAACGACGAACAGGTCAACAAGCAGTGCAGAACATCCTCCATGGAGGTTTCCCATCCCGTTAATCATATCTAGGACAACATCAGTTGTAGAACAAATGGGACGACCAGATAAGAATACCTTCTGCAACTTGCATGGTGCAGACCACCCTGCTCTCCTGCATCAACGGTTCTATCACATTCTGAACCAACGAGACCTCGGAAATGTAGATTTTCTCCACTATACATTGTGCAAAAGTTGTTGTGAAATTTCCTTCGACAAGAGTATTGAAGGAGAGTTGGGGATCAACCAAAAACGTCTTTATATTATCGGAAGCATTGCCAGAGATGGTTGCTGGGTTTTGGGTAGTCATGGGTAAAGACCTGTACCGGTTTTGGGGAATAGTCGGGAAGCATTAACCGGTTTAGCACATGCAATCAAGAACATATTTTAATTGAGTTTATGGTTGAGACGGAAGAAAAGCAGATGGTTGCGGCCAGTCTGAGGTTCGGTAAAACTGAATTTCACACGCCCTCGCTTCAACAACGATTTGAACAAAAAGCCATGAGTCCATCACGGTTAGTCGATGAACTTGGCGTTTTGCTTCAGGCTTTGCAGCTTCCCCTTACTCTTAAATCGCCTACAGATCTTACACCGTCTCTTTTATTAGCTATCTTAGAATCCATATTGTCCTCTCGTCTTCCATTATCCCACAATCTTCGAAATGGCCTGTTATCCAAGTCTTCCTCATCCAAGGAAGCCAAGGACGCCAAAATACAGTGCATGAAAATCTTTCTCGGAGTCATCGAAACTGATGTTCTGAAGAAGGATGTCGGGCTGAACAGGATTGACCCGAGAAAACTGGCTAACGGAGATTGGGCTGAGGTTGTGTTTGTAGGGGAAATATTGTGCTGGATTGGAAGAGAATCCGGTATCACAAATGCCCATGATGATCGCGAAGAGCCTGCGTGGCGCTTGACTCCCTCTACCGCTCCTGATATCTCTGATAATTCGACATCTCATCGCTCAACGTCGTCAGTACCCACTGCAGATACCAGTCACAGTTTACACGACTTGGACCATCTGCGTTCTTTCCGGTCGCTCTCCGTCCCATCTTCCCCTCGGTTGTCGCCTCTCGTTCTTCCCCGGCCAATACGACCGCATTGTATCCACGAAGTTCCGTCTTTTTATGCGTTAGACGATGTGGCCACTACTACTAGTGGCTCTGAGCCATCTTCATCGTCCGTGCGATATACAGGTCATATTCAACCTGTTGACGAAGAGCTGGAGCTCAGCTACTTCGAAAATAGTCGACATAGTAGGACGTTAGGCGATCCAGAGGATACAGAACTTGATGTCTCGCATCAGGTATGCGGTCATAGGCCTTTGCTCTCTGTGTATACTTATCTCTTCTCGCTAGCCGCAGGACCTATCTGCATTTGCCGACCTCCTCGACCCGGATCCCCTAGCAAAGACTATATCTCTGTTGCAACAGCGCGCCTTCTTGTTGCGTGAGTTGGCGAAATATCATCACAAAGATTGAAAGTCCACAATGCTCGCTTATGCCTACTCGACCGCCTGCATATCTAAGATTTATTGGGAAATTGTGAAACTTGAGGAGTTTCAATCACATATTTGGACAATGATGTCGTCGTGTTTCCAGCGACTCTCGTCATCTCCTGCCTCCCAGTAAGCTCTTTTCCTTATTGAATCCGGTCACTTCACTTATCCCACTTATCCCAGGTGTTCAATATTTCTTGGAGCACGCCATCTGCACGAATAGATTAAGCAGAAGGAAGCTCGCAAATTCTATGAGCGTGCTTGCTGGTTGTTCGGCAGTCGATTGAACACGCTGACGCTCCGCCACTCCTTCTTCATAGTCGGTGGCTCTTGAATCCTTGCCTGGCAGGAAAGCGGGAAGCGGAAAACTTCAAGGAGCTTTTTCATCGACCCAACAGACTGTGATTTTGGCATGTACCCGTAACACACCTTTATTCCTAAGTTAACCGACCGCCGCTAGAGTTTTCCTTGGGCATTTGGTCAAAATAAGGTATATTCTGTGCAATTTGGGCTTCGAAGGTATTTAATTCTAATCATATTGTACAATCTACACTCCCTTGTGGTGGATCTGGTATAATTCAAACCACGTTTTCAGTCATTCCTAAATCTGCCCTCAGTAGAGCATCCACCTCAACCGGATCCCATCCAAAATGTGGCTCAATAACTGAGGACAATATGTCACCGGCTACCATAGAATTCACCGTGTCAACTGCAACACGCTCGAGATCCGAAAGATCGTGCTCGCATTTTCGAAGGTGGAGTATGAAGCGTGATGTTAAGAGGCCAGAAAGACTTTGATATAAGAGACGGGCAGTTAAACTGTAGGCGGCAAGAAGAAGAGGTCGGTAGCAGGGAAACTCACGGTAGTGTAAGAGCGTTCAAGAGGCGTTGATAAAACCCAGCCTATATGATGCAGCCGGTAAGCCTATGAGCGTCGGATCCATGGATGGTGCCGCGACCAAATCTTACCGGAGCGCGCTGTAACGAGTTTAGAGGTGATGTAGTACGTTATATCGATTGTCAAGTATACTTACAAAATTCAGGATAACAGAAGTTGTCGTGAAAACAGACATGAAGCTCAAGATCTTCATCAGCCTTGAACAACGGACTATTACCGTTAATAAGAAGTACCTGAAATAAAAAATTCCTGATGGTATGTATAACTGAGTAAGATTCTTAGACGGACTACATCGAAACTCAAACCTTGCTGAAATGTTAGGAGCCAGAATCCTTTTATTGATTCGTTATTGGAGGATCGACGACGGTCTTGAAATGTTTGAATACAACCGCACAGATATTAAGACCGCAGAGGAGAACTCGAACACCACCGTCAAGATAGATAGTAGGTCAGTCGCTAGAAGGAGAGAGCATCACGATCAGTGTCTAGAGCCACCATGGCCTCGAACCATACCTCTAAAGTGATAGATGCGGTGAGATCAGTAAGAATGCCATAATCAGCTTGCACCCGCTCACATCGGTATACTGGATGGACCTTCGCATTGCAAGCCAGGGACATGTGCCTAAGAATAACGTTGAATAACAGTTACACAACACACAAGAAAAGCTGATATTGATAGGAAAAGACGCTTACTATGTCCAATCCAACACATATGATTCCAACGCTTGCCAGGTAGACAAATACCATGCGTTTTCGTCCCCAGACGGCATATGCTCGAGCTGTGAATGAAACTGTACAAGCTCCCGCGTAAACGTGTGGAATGGAACTGAGGAAGGAGAATCACCGGACATATGATAGCAGCTCGGCCCAGAACACTCAACGCGCCGATGATTTTATACCAAGTGTTGCAGCTATGTGTGTAGTTGTTTAGAACAATCCAACAATGCGATGGGTGGATGCCCCAACTGCCAAATCATGATTAACGACACAGGTCATGAATATCTCGTGGGACTTGCCCTTTGATTCAACATTTGAGAGATCGCGAGAAGATACAAGACGTTGGCGAGGAGTGCATAGTGGCAGAGGATGTAAACGATGGTGGATATTCGAATCTTTGATCCCCAGATATATTTGACCTAAGTAAAAATCAAACCAAGTCAGCAAAGATCACTGGTGGATAAAGAACGACTTTGCCTCCATGGGGAACATCAAAACCCAGTCATACCAGATGAGGGCTACAACCCAGTTACTTGAATGATAGGGGAGACGTCCGAAACCTGGCGTACCGATACTAGCGTATTGCATCTCGAATTCCAGATAGCTGCCCAAAGCAACCGTTGCAACAGTAAATTCTGTTAGAGAAGAATCCGTACGCTCCGTCCTCATCCAGCCTTTCTGACTTATTTATCTACGCGCACCACTTATTTATCTATGCGTACTTTTCTTTCTACTCGTTGCTGCTTACATACTCTACGATCGAGTACTTATACAGACACTCCTATTTCGCAGCTTTCCCTCAGTTGTTCTCTACTACAACTGAGGGTAAGTCATACTCATATTTAAGTTGATTCTCCATACTGATCCTGTAGTAGAACTCGTTATCCTACAGGTACATTTATTGAATATATAAGTTGTTCTCTACTACAACTGAGGAACTCGTTATCCTACAGATTATGAGACTGGGCTCCCAACGAGCTAAATAGATAAAACCAGAGTCGTACTATGTCTTCATCAACCGGAAACCAAACAGCAACCCTTCCTACATTCCCGGAATCGTCTCAGCTGTCCGGACAGGATACTTGGAAGGCGTTCAAAGATAGGGTCGAGCTGAATGTTGAGTTTAGGGGCCTCAAAGGTTATCTCCATGGCACCATCCCTAAACCAAGTCCAGCAACCTATGTCTATACGTCCATCACTCCCTCATTCCCTAGCAGTCTACATCCATCCCCAGAAGAATGGAACCAGCGCGAGCGCTTGGTAGCCGCAATGATTTATCTCAATTGCACTGATCCCATCGGGGTCGGTATCGACCGAGACAACCTTGCGCATGTCACCTATGCATTCCTAATCAACAAATACGAGAGTCGTGATGAAGAGCTGATTCTTCTCGCCGACACTGCCCTCCGCGAACATAAGTATGACCCCATGACGACTACCATGGAAGACCACGAAAAGAAGATGAACAATCTTCTCAAGAGGCTCCGTAACTTGGGTGGTGCTGTGGATGACTTCCAGTATCGCCTCATTGTCATTAAATCCATGCCGAAAGAATGGAAGGAAAACGTATTGAACGTTCCTGGCCGCACAAGCTCTGAGGCCTTCACCTATCTTAAGCACCTCTACATCAACAAGGTGGAACCAGTTGACGATGAGGACCAACGCATCCAGAAGAAAGTAGCGGCGCTGGTTGCTCAGCACATCGCAGCACACCCTGTCATCGCGAGCGCTGTACAGCGTCGAAATCGACCAGTCTGCACCAACCCTTCCTGTCCTAGGAAGCTTGGTCACTCCATCGAGAACTGTTGGGCGAAAGGTGGAGGTGGAGAAGGTAATGCCCCAAAGAGCTGGAAGGACAAGTACGAAAATCGCACCGCCGCATCCAGCTCAACCACTACTGCCTCTAGCGCGGCGATCCTTACCGATCCAGATCCTGTTGACCTCTATATTCACACCAACCATGTCGATGTTTCCGCTAAGCCGGGTACGTCCATCCATCCGACCTTCACAACACTATCCCCTAATGACTCCAATAGACCCGAAAGAACTACCGTTCTAAATTGCGAGAGTCAGAAAAGGGAGAGTGTTAGTGCTAGCGATAATGTACCTATTTATTCCCTTGTATCGAATCCTATCGAGTGCACCGTTTGCAACGGTAATATGCCACTCTACTCTCCACCTGAACCAACCGAACCTGAGACGTTTCTCGATTCGGCGGCGTCAGAGCATTGCTGGGTAAAAAGGTCGGATTTCATCCATTACGAGACTGTCAGTGGACAAAGTGGAAACAGCGCGATAGCGGGTGATTCTGGCAAGTTCCAGATACCAGGGATTGGTGATGTGAATATCCCAACCCTAGTAGACGGCCTGGAGTGCAGTGTGAAACTCAAAGGAGTGAAACACACCCCGGAATTTGCACACAACCTAATCTCAGTATCAACACTCGATAGAGAGGGGTATAATGGTGAATGGGGGGAACGGAAACTCACTGTAAGGACTCCCTCTGGTAAAGTGGTCATGGTTGGGACACAAGTCGGAAACTCAAAAATGTACCGAGTTGACCGGAAAATCTATGCAAGCTCAGCCAGGTCCCACGAAAAACCAACCGATTTACATACTTGGCACCGTCGCTTCGGTCATGTCGGAGTCGCAAGAATCCTGAGAATGGCACATCGTAAGTTAGTGGATGGATTGCAAGTAACGTCGAAAGAGACACGAGGAATGTGCGAACCTTGTCTATATGGCAAAGCGACGAGACGCCCATTTGACGAGAAACTCACGCATGAGACCAAAGTACTCGAACGGGTGCATATTGACTTATGGGGACCTTCCAGAACTCAGAGTCGAGGCGGGGCTAACTATATGATGCTCTGCTCTGACGGCGCATCCTCCATCCGAGTCCCATATTTCATCTCCAACAAACGGGCAGAGACTACACTCAAGCACTTCCATGAGTTTCGCATTATGGCAGAGAACCAGACTGGGGAACGCCTTCGAACCATTCGGATAGATGGTGGGGGTGAATTTGACAACGATGTAATGCAATCCTACTGCAAAGAACACGGTATCATCATCGAGAAGATTCCCCCCTACTCTTCGGCAGCTAATGGTATGGCGGAACGCGCAAACAGGACGGTGATCGAGGGTACGAGAACTCTACTTGAAGATTCTGGATTATCACCGTCATTCTGGGCAGAAGCAGCAAGTACCTTCATATATGTCGACAGCTTCGTTCCTACTGCTCGTTCACCTGATGTTGTCCCTATGGAACGTTGGACCAAGAAACGCCAGGATGTATCCCATTTACGGCCTTTCGGATGTGAAGCCTGGGCAACATTACCAGAAACCAGAAAAGATGGCAAACTTGCGCGTCAGGCGATTAAAGGTCGTTTGCTTGGATATATGGGCCGCCGGGGCTACAGAATTTGGGTGCCAGAGTGGAAGACTATTATTGAGTCAAGAGATGTCAAATTCGAGGAAGGAATGGCTAAAAGAACTCGGTCTGATGACGAGATCTCTTTCGGTTCCAACGGTGATGCCGGGGACATTAAACCATCAAACGGTGATGCCGAGGTCATTAAATCCGGGGCGCCACTCAAATTAGATTTAGCGCCCTCACCATCAACTCCTCCCTCTCTCTCTCCGCCGTTATCTCCCCTTACACCTATACCTTCTGAACCGGACTCTCTTCCTCAATCTCCTCCTCCTGACTCCACACCCACTACTAAACCTCCAGCTCCCGCATCAACACGTATCTTACGCGAGCGAACTGGCGGCTCAATGAATGTAGATCAACTTGTCCGGAAGGAAATGGGATGGAATCAACCCGATACCGCCTTTGCGCTCGTCGCCCACGAACCATGGGCTTTCGCATCGACCCATGACGAGAGATGGACACCAAGGAACTTCAAAGAGGCAAAGCTCCGCTGGGATCTCTGGGGTCCACCAGCTCAAGCCGAATACGACGCCTTAATGGAGAAAGAGGTGTGGGAGCTGGTGCCACTACCTCGGGGGGCAAACCTCATGGATGCTATGTGGATATTCACGTCCAAGTGGGGAGCACAAGGCGAACTGTTGAAGAGAAAGGCGAGATATGTGGCGAAAGGATATACACAGGTTTATGGTATGGACTACGACGAGACATTCGGCGCCGTGGCGCGAATGGAATCCTTCCGAATCGTCCTAGCCATCATCGTGGTTCTCGGCCTCTCGCTTTTCCAAGTGGACTTCAAGTCTGCTTTCCTCAATAGCCCAATAAAGCACGATGTATACATGAAACAACCAGAGGGATTCATCAAACCTGGCACCGAACACCTCGTCTGCAAACTCAAGAAGTCGATATACGGCACGATGCAGGGAAGCCATGATTGGCAAGACACGCTAGCGGCGGGATATAAGGAAGACGGTTACACCTCGTCCCAAGCAGACCCGTGCGTGCGCTGGAGACGCCAGAACGGGAAGTATACCATTACGAGCACGTATGGAGATGATGTTCTAGGAGGTGCAGAAGGGGATATCGAGAAGAAGAACGCCGTGGAGGACCTTGGGAAGCGCTGGGAGAGTAGCGAGGTGAAATCCGAAATACTTCTGGGGATGAAAATCACGCAGGACAAGAAGACAGGAGCCATTACTTTATCACAGAAAGCCTACTTCACCCGCATGCTCGAACATTTCGGTCTCCAAAATGTCAAACACCGCCGGACTCCACTTCCTCCTGACAACAAACTCGAAGCCGCTCCGAATCCCCTACCAGACGATGAACGAATTTTCATGCACGACAAGCCTTACCGACCGGTTGTTGGATCTATGATGTGGGGTCAAGTTTGTACCAGACCAGATATCTCCTTTGCGGCTAATAAACTCGCCCGCTATCAACTCAATCCCGGGCGTCAGCATTGGGAGGCAGTAGAATGGCTAGCAGGATATATTCTAGAAACCCTTGACTATACGATCACTTACAGGAAGCCGCCGCCCGATTCCGAGCTAACCAAGGGAGAAGGCCTGAAACCCTGCGGGTACCTCGACGCCGACCACGCGGGATGTATAGACACTCGGAGGTCAACATCTGGAAATGTATTCTTCATGGCTGGGGCACCGGTCACATGGAGTTCGAAACGACAGCCAACAGTAGCACTATCGACGACCGAAGCCGAATACATCTCAGGGGCAAGGGCCAGTCAACAGGCAAGTTGGTTAATGTCATTCCTTGCAGAAGTGGACCTGAAACAGGATGGTCCACTAACGCTTCACTGCGATAACTTCGCGGCGGTTAGCCTCACACAAAACTCCAAGAAGAATATGTTGGTCAAACACATTGAAATGCGCTATCACTTTATTCGGGAAAAAGTAACAAATGGCGAAATCACAATGAAGCCGATTAGAACTGGGGAAAATGTAGCAGACATCTTTACGAAGGCCTTGAACGGTACAATCCACTCGAAGTGGGTCAAATTCTTAGGTCTGGATCGCACGGATTAGGGGGTGTGTTAGAGAAGAATCCGTACGCTCCGTCCTCATCCAGCCTTTCTGACTTATTTATCTACGCGCACCACTTATTTATCTATGCGTACTTTTCTTTCTACTCGTTGCTGCTTACATACTCTACGATCGAGTACTTATACAGACACTCCTATTTCGCAGCTTTCCCTCAGTTGTTCTCTACTACAACTGAGGGTAAGTCATACTCATATTTAAGTTGATTCTCCATACTGATCCTGTAGTAGAACTCGTTATCCTACAGGTACATTTATTGAATATATAAGTTGTTCTCTACTACAACTGAGGAACTCGTTATCCTACAAATTCTCACTGCAAAAAGTAGAGTTTTAGAAGCACGTACTTGGTCCCCGCCATGTTCATGCTCAAAACACTCAAGGGAGGGGGAATTGCATTCCTATCACCAGTATTTAAGTCGAGATCAAACGCGGCGACAAGTGCCACAACTGACCTGATTTATAGGTAGAGAACAGTCGAATATATGTAGTATGTGTCAACGCGTCACTCGGCTTGAAATATATCAGAGAAGGTGATTTTCATGTATCAGAGCTAACCGCTGGCTAGCATTCCTTTGTATCATTCATCGATCATAGACTGAGAAAGTTCCTTGACGGTCTGGAGCCCTCAGTTGCCCTCAGTTGATTGCAGGCAGCGTGCGACAATTCAGTTTTCCCAGTTCCTGCTAATATGTATCAGCTAATGCTTCCCAAGTTCTCCGTATCCCAATAATCCACTCCAGGGCTAGATCGAAGGAGAAGCTCCCTCATTGCGTATGCTTGGAGCAACCTTCAAGAAACGACGATATTTGAATCTCCAGAATTTCTATATACGGTGGACAACACGGACACTCTTTAAAATGGGTCCCGAAACATGAACATTATTTAAATAAAATTGCTTTAAACAACGACACAAAATGACTCCCAAGGCATCGTCTATCCCGAATCTTCGCTCAAAGGAGTAGATTGGAAGCGCATGTTATGACTAGATATACTCAGGTCATTGCACCATGGGGCGAAGAGTATCTTCAAACCAATTCAACCTCTTCAAGCTCTGTTCCATGTCAGCATTGTCAATGACATCGTAACTTGGCCAGAAAATGAACATGACTAGACCGATTTGCATAGCAGAAAGAAGGGCCTCAAGAACATCCTTCCGACCCTTAAGGTGCAAAGGAAGATTATCCACAAGACCGGTCCAGAAACCTCGAGTCATTGGTAGTGTATCATCTGTCTCGTAGTCAATTCGATTGCGATTGACTGTAGCAAGAAAGCGAATGCACCAGGCATTGGAACCAAGCGGAAGAAGAGAGGCAGCTTCCCAGTCAATAAGTGCAGCGATACCATTCGACTCATCGTCAAGAATGATGTTCATTGAGTTGACGTCTTCGTGAATAACAGCAAGCGGGAGAACATGCGTAGAAGGGGCCTGGTTTGCCAGGTCCTCGATTCGTGCCCGAAGCTGTGGATGGGTTCCATCTACGAAGGAATGGTCGAGTATATAACGAAGCCTCGGTATGACATACGAGTCAATCATGGCAGAGCTGTCCTCATTGATTGCGCATCGAGCAAGCATACCGCCAAGCTGAGTAGCGATCGAGACGCGCTCAGCTCCAGAGAGCTCTTTGTCTTTTTTGCACCAAACTTTTCCATGTACGAACGGTGCAATAAATGCAAAATGAGCTTTGAGTGGAGAGGCCCGATGGACGAAAGGAACGACATCTCCAAGTTTGGACCGTGCAAGTGCTACTTTTGTCGTGTCTATCTCGTTATCGCGTAACTGAACGACCCATTCCGACTCGTCCTCGAGTTTGATGATAACCGTTTTCGAAAACATCCCTTGAAATTCAGTCATCCTTGTCGAGACCGCCTTGCTCCGATGATATTTCTCGGCGATAGCTGTTGCCTCTGCTAGTGTCTGCTTTAAGCTCAGTTTGGATATCAGCGTTGGCATCGTGAAGTAGTTGAGCAAAACCTACATAACAAAACGTGACTTTTTTCATTCGCTTTCCGCGCGCGCCCACAATCGAAAACAAACAACGGCATCGCTAGGCCTGGAATATTCCATTTGAGTATCGAGCGTGTTGAACCATTGAACGTTGAACGTTTGAACCTTCAGAAGATTTGAGTGCAAGTAAATTTTGGAAATTCAGCTTCGGCACGTCATGCCGCGACAAAAAATTCCCACACCCTCACAACGTTATACTTCTCGAATCTCTCTTGTTTATAAACTCTGGATCTGAGCTTTCATGGCCGACTGATCTATGCTCCTCCTTATCCCTTGTATCTTCACCATCCATTTCCTACAACATTGAAATAATGTCCAATTCTTCACAAAGCAACGGCCGTCAATCTTCATCATCTTCGCGCAGTACCCGGAGCGGAAATGTAAGCTATCTAGCATTGAGGTATGCGGATTATTGATATCGGTTGAACTATAGCCTGCAGTGGAATCAGCTGTTACTCGTCTTTTGGTGTCAATAAAGCAGCTTCTCGAGGCGCTCACACAATGGAGTACCCTGAGCGTCGATGAGTCTCAAGTGAGCGACGTGTATGTCCGTCTAGGGAACGATTTCAATGCTGCCGTGGCCGCTTTCGGTGCGTTCAGCATTGATATGAGGTGCACATGCATTCTATCTATATGCCTGGGAGCTACAAATCTGATTATTTACCTAGTGAATTGATGTCAGTACCAGACGAATTGCGCAATGTACTGGAGCAGTGTTTGGCTGAAGACGCCACTCCAGAAAACCTCGAGGTCTACCTTCCGAATGTACGACTAATCATCACCGGCTTACTGCAAGGTTTGCGTAACAAACAGTCCCTCTATCGGCATCTCGTTTCCGACCACAAACACCGTTCTGACCAGTCTGGCGGTGATAGAGTACAGAGTCGCTCTACACGTTCATCCAAATCTCATCGGAAACAACCTTCCAAGGGACCTGCTGAAAATGAGCGGGATAGCATCTCTCGTCGCAGTGCTGCAAGTTCTTCAAGTCGGAGGCGGGACACCTCTTCGAGTCAAGCTGCTGACTCTGAAGCATCCTTTGTTGGAGGTTTTTCTCCCATGATTTCTGAAGCTCCTTCAATTCCAGACCCCAACGATCTGCCTAATCCGTATGATAGTCGACAGCTCTCTTCCTCCGATTATCCTACTACTCGGTCCCCACCTCCACAAACTGTATCGCCTCCGCCCCCTGCATCCACTGTACCTGCCAACGTAAAGCGATATTCATTGGTGGATAAACCCATACCATCACCCCCCAGTGTCGTAGTTGTTGAACCAGCTAGTCCGGATCCTGAACGGAATGGCATTCAGCAACCTCAGCCTCAAACCAATGGATTTCCTCCTCCACCTCCTCCACCGCCAGATTCACCTCCACTGGATGCCTCACAGGTACCTGCCATGGCCAGCTCACTTGCCGCATTACAAAAGAGTGATGCCCTGGAGCGAAGAGCTTCTAAACGGTTTTCCACATATAACATAACAAAAATGACTGGTGCTGTTGGTCGAGACCGCTCATTGCGGAACCAATCCAACAGGCGCTCACTGGCAGTTTCCTCCGCCTTGACTCCGGGCGAATTGGCTGTGTTGACTGAAGTAGACGATGAGGAGGAGTCTTCGCCAGTTGCTTCGCTAAAGAGGGAAGGAAGTTTCAGGTCGCGCGCAGCTACTCCCGAAACCCGAATTAGTACTCCGCCGGTACCTCCACTACCTTCAACGCCTTCGAGGACACCGGAAGCATCACCTTCTCCTGGGTCTACTTCTGCTCATCGAAGTGATTCAAACATAAAACGAGGTTCTGATTCCAAAATGACTGTATTTCTCCAGCTCGGAAGGGAGGTCAAAAAGGCTTCGCTGGAACCAGGCATTTCATCCTCATCTCTAAGGATGCTGTTCGTGGACAAGTTTTCCTATAACCCCGGACAAGAAAATTTCCCCGCTATATACATCCGCGATCCTTCAAGCGGTGTTCAATATGAATTAGAAGATACCGATGAAGTGAAAGAGAAGTGTCTACTGTCTCTGAACATCGAACGTGTGTCTCTTCTACCATCACTTGGTACATCCTTTGCTCATTGCTTTCTATCACAGCACTGGATCAAATTAAACAACATATCGATGTCCAGATTTCCAATCTCTCTCAGGACATCAAGGAGCTGAGATCTGCGGTAGCAAGCAACCAACGACATTCCCAAATCCCCAATATCGTCTCTTCACCTATAGCAGAGAGCACACCCGCTCCAAGCCGACCTACCGATAGGCAATTCCAGACGGTTGCTCGACGGTTGTCCCGGTTCGTTAGCAGCGCCAATGAAATTTCAGCTTCCTCGGCCAGACCCGCTTCCCCCAATCCTATCTTGCCGCAAATGACCGGTTCCACTCTCCAAGCTCAAATGACAGGAGGTTCAATTATTTCAGAATACTCCACTCGTGTCGTTAGCGACCTCAAGACCCAGTTTGATGAAGTCCAGAATCTACGACGAGATCTGGGCATCATGCGTCAGCTATATATAGAGTTCATGAAACAGACAAAGGAATCATTAGGGACTTTGCGTACACAGACTCAATCTGTCAAACAGCTTGCTACTGCCAACGTCGGCGGTTCCAGGGCCTTCATCGACTCTGGCAAGCAGAAACTCGACGTGCGCACGCAGAACGTTCTTACGGAAGTCGAACGGCTACAGGACACGGTGGAAGCTTTGAAAGACGACGTTCTGAAACGACATATTACACCTAAAGCGCTTCAGCTCAAAGCCGTGAAGAAAGACATGGACACTGTCGCCGTAGAATTGGAGAGTTTAAAGGAGCATATCAAGACCGTAAAACCAATGTGGAAGAAGACTTGGGCGGAGGAGCTACAGAATATCGTTGAAGAGCAGCAATTCCTTACGCATCAGGAGGAGTTCCTTGGTGACCTCTTGGAGGATCACAAAGGAGTTTTAGAAATTTACGGTCATGTAGAACAGGTTATCAATTTGCGCAGTGCAGGCTCGGGACGACGACTCAACGGCCGTGGGTTCAAGCCGCCAGCACCAGAAGAAAGTACTCAAAGTCTGAGTAATGTCATGATGGAGATTAGGACCGCGTCTGTCGACCCGGAAAAACGGATGAAGGCTATTGAGGCGAGTCACAAGAACAGACAGAAAGAGCTGGCGAATCGAGGAGACGAGATGCTGGGGGAGCTGACAGATTTCGTAGCGGGGAAGAAATTGAAGATGACAGGGGGTGCGGAGGAAGCGGAGAGAGTTCGCCAGAAGAGGAATGATATGACTTTGAAGGCAATGTTCACAGGTAGTAGTGCAGCGGATATTTCGCCTATGGGTGGAGATGTGATCTAAGTCAGAACCAGTCGTCTGTGTGCATTCCATGAAATGTGTGTACTCATTAAATTTTCTTTCATTTTTCACTTTCACTTGCGGTCGGGATGCGGGTTTCTCTTATATCCTCTGCAACTGCGTATTCTATTGCATATCACTTGGTTTTTTTTCGTATGATAGTGCTGTTATTGTAAAAAGGCTGTTTAATGCATATGTATTCTAAAGAAAGGGCCTGTATCATATGCTGCATCTTTCACAGGTACTAATTCCTGTCTAGAATGAGTGTTTACAGTATTCTTCACAGAAATATTACTTACCGATTGCATAATTAATGACATAGAGCAATCCCGACTTCCTCCACATTTTCCGTATTTTCTATTTGAACACCGACTGTTGGGTCTTCATTGTCTACAGTGGCATGTAGATCGCCTTGTCGACGCCTCTGCAGGGATCTGGCCTTGGCCACGAAAAGGCACTCTGCGCACAAAAGATCGTTATTGAGATTTATATTTTACAAAGGCTCGGATTCGAAATTTTCCAGAACAAATATTGAAAAACGCACGAGCTAGCTTTCTCCCTTCGCGATAAATCCTGAATCCTCTCGCCAGGAATTTTCACGCGTACGGGCGTCAAGACAATATAGGATAGCTCCTTGAGCATGGTTGTGTTAACTGGTAGCTCGATATGGAACAGTGAAGGAGCTAAGGTGAACTGGGAGTTGCAGAAAGAGTTACAGACGTCCAAGCCTAAATCTTAAAAGCTAAAAGGACCTCTAGAAGCCCACCAGTTTATGTATTAGAAGAGAACAAATTAGAAGCTGTTGCGCACGATACCACGAGGCAAAGTTTCCGCAGAGAGCTTAACCGATTCCAACAAGTAAGTTAGACTGGTTACCGTCCCTCTATGAGGGACCGGACACGGCGGAAGGTTTTGCTACGCAAAATTTGACCACTCATCATTCCTCCTAGTAGACCAAGCCACGACCAGAATTTCATTGTCAAACATGTAGCAGATGATTTTGGTATTCGAAGAGGTGAACGCAACAAGAATCCTTCAATTCACAACTAGGAAAGGAAAGAAAAGTTTATTACACGGTTCGGTTCAAGAGTTGAACGATGAACGCCGGCTTCAGGGGGTGCGGCACTTGCACCATCATCGACATCACTGGGACCGTTGAACGAGCTCGCAACTGAACGTAGGTTAAGCAGATCTGGTTTCGCCATTCCATTGGTCGTCAACTTGATTCTCCTTCATCCAAGATATTCCGAATTTCAAAGTAGGTGTCGACACGAGAGACGTCAAACACTGCTGACGCTGAGAGCAAACGAGGGACGGCGTGTAATTCGAGACACGAGGACAGGGCGTTGAGTTTCCAGGTGCGAGAGGCCAGTGCAGGATCATAACAAGTCGTTTCATGAGGAATATAAAGTCAAATGAGTGATTTTTTTCCCGGATTCGCGGTTCCAGATCACGGTGTAATCGTGTATTGATTTCATGAGTAATAGGGGATCTGTAGGAGGAGCATGTACAAGAGACGGCCGAGGACGGAAGCCGTCATGGAAGTCGTAGACCAGCTGAGCGCGGGAAGTTTTTGCTAGGCTCATTTGTCCTGGTCCATAAAAACCATTTTCCAAGATACAGTGTGTATAAATTTTCACTGCAATGAACGCAGATTCCTTTTGAGTCAATGCGCTAATAGATTGTATGTGTTTTCGAAGAGCTGCTATGATCTTGTGTGGACTGCTTTTCCTGATAAGGAACCTCGGTATAATGTAGTGTTCCGCCACTGTAAAAGCTTGGTAAGTTTGACTAGAATGAACGGATAGAGTATAGTCCTGTATGGTCAACACTGACAACAAAGGTCGTGTCAAAATTCTGGCGATGAACGGTCTCCTTCCATATATAGGGTTAGCCTTCCCTAGACATCCCAGGGATTTCTGTCGCCAACAGAACATCCGAATAACCCTTACGAGATTCTATAGTGTCACTACAAGTAAATTGTAGGGCTCCTGTAAGTAGGTCAAAGTCTCTCTCTTATCCACGACCGCCGCTGATATCATTGCTCATTTCTGAACGGCCAAGACCGGATCTACCAATCCATTGAGTACGATTATTTATATAAATTATAACTTGAAAGAGGACTGAATCCCCTCCTTTTCTTCCAATCCATCATGCCCACTGCTGTAACTGCAAAAGAAAGCAAGGTTGACGTTCTAGTGATAGGTGCCGGGCCAGCTGGGCTAATGTCTGCCTTTGCCCTGGCTCGAGCCGGCATCAATGTCCAGATTGTTGATAAACGGTACGTTAAACGACTTCTCCTGAAGTTCGACGATAAGTTTATTTCCCTAATTAAAGTTCAAAGAAGGTTGCAGCTGGACAAGCTGACGGCATACAACCAAGAACCACTGAAGTTTTCAAGGTGCTTATTCATGGTACTTGTGTATTCGTTATCGATTCTGATCGATCCCGAAATGACAAGAGTTATGGGCTCTCTGATAGACTGTTGAAAGAAGGAACACAGTTACATGTGGCGGTAGGACACCAACGCATGTACACAACACGACGCGCTGACGTCGACAATTTATTATGTTTAGGCCTTCTACAATCCCTCAAAAAGTGGAGGCATCGAGGTAATGCGTTATCAATAGATTCTCTTGAGAGCTATGCTGACTATGCAGTCCAGTTAACGGATCGTGTCCCAGATGTTACTGCGACAGACACCAACTTCCCCTTTGAGGCACGTATGTTTTGACGCTTCCCATGTGTTGGTCTTGTTGAAAATCATTTTTATCCAGGTGACGTTGCATCAAGGTGCAATCGAAGACATCTTTCTCGACAATATGCGTGATATGGGTGTGGAAGTCAGCAGACCCGTCATTCCAACTTCTCTTGAGGTAACCGAAGCTCTGGTAGACGATTTCGATGCGTACCCGGTTCGCGTAAGTCCTTCGGCTACAAAATTCTTCAAAGTATGGTTTTGAGCTCGAATATTATTAGGTTGTATTGGAGAATGAAGACACCGAGACCGAAGACGAAAGGCGCACGGAAATAGTATATGCTAAATACGTCTTAGGTGCGGATGGTGAGTTCAATACCACGGCTCTTAATAGTTTGAATGGCTTTAGAGACCGAAACAGGTGCCCACTCATGGGTCAGAAAGTACATGGGTATTGCAATGCAAGGAGAGCAGACGGAATATGTTTGGGGAGTAGTTGACCTCGTTCCGGACACCGATTTTCCCGATGTACGCAACAAATGCGCCATACATTCTAACAATGGATCTTGCATGATCATCCCTCGAGAGGACGATAAAATTCGTCTTTATATTCAATTGGACGGAAAGGATGTCATGGATGCCAATGGGAGAGTAGACAAGAGCAAAGCTGGGCCAGAAATGATTTTAGATGTATGTATACTTTCTCAATTCCCATGAACAATCATCGAATATTTGTTTCGCAGGTCGCTCGCAAAACACTCCATCCCTTTACTATCAATACGCCAGAGTCTTATGACTGGTGGACGATATACGTCAGTAAGTTACAAAAACCTCTCCTCGTTCGGATGCTTCTGAGACGCACCGCGTTGTTAGTCGGACAACGAGTAGCTGAGCGCTATACAGTACATAACCGCGTTTTCATTGCTGGGGATGCCTGCCATACTCATTCGCCAAAGGTTTGCAGAGCCCTATAGATGGAAGGATCAATTGAGGGACTCACTAAAAGTCAGGCAGGTCAGGGCATGAATGCGAGCATGCAAGATTCGTATAACTTGGGTATGATTCGGTGTGCTGAATCGGAAGACACAACGCTGTATCTGACAAATTCTGCGTGCAGCTTGGAAATTGGCTCATGTATTAAAGGGAACTGCACATCCAACTCTTCTACAAACGGCAAGTAGATGGGATTTTCTCGAACATTGATTGTAAAAGTTAATACTTTCTATGTATAGTACGAACTTGAACGACGACGATACGCTCAAGACTTGATTGATTTTGACAAGAAGTTTTCCACACTCTTTTCTGGCAAGCCCTACTCTGAATTAAACCTGGATGGCGTGTCACACGTAGAATTCTTACAGTAAGTCGGATATAGACCTGGAGGGACTCGAATCGATACGTTGATATAATTTTAGGGCTTTCCAAACGTTTGGCGGATTTACAAGTGGGCTAGGTGTTCAATATCCAAATTCTATGATTATCGATTCGAAACATCAAAATCTAGCGCAAAACATATTCATCGGACGACGTCTCCCACCCCGGCCGCTGTTACGAGCAGCAGACTGCCGTCCTATTGATTTACACGACCTGCTAGTCTCTGATGCTCGCTTCAAGCTGTTAGTCTTTACAGGGGACACCCATGATCCAGCTCAAATGGCGAGAGTTCAAGAGTTTGCGAAGCAGTTCAGCGCTTCTGGATCATTTTTTGCCGAGTTTTCGTCACCGGATTCTATGAGCAAGGTGTTAGACATCGTTACAATAAGCAGCGAGAAGAAAGAAACGATCATGTACAATGCTCTACCTCGTATCCTTTGGTCGCATTGGTCCAAGTAAGCTGATTAGCTCAGACCATGAATACAGATTCTGACGCTATTTTTTCAGAGTTCTAGTGGATGATATTGACATGAGGGGTGTCACAGGGAGTGGAAAGGTGTACGAATCACTTGGGATCAACGCCGCTGGTGCAGTGATTGTAGTACGACCAGACGGATACGTCGCAGCTATCGCGCCATTAGATGGCGTTTCCCATATTACCTCCTACTTCACCACTTTTATGAAGGCGTGTTAAAAGACAGATGCAAATTACATATCATGAGCAATGGGTATCTAAGTACATAGTGAGAGAGGAATGATAAATGAGAAAATGTATCATGTTTTTCGTCTGCGCCCAATCGGAGGCGCTTCCGCGCTGTCGATAGGAACTCTTCTCGGTCCACTGACTCCCCGACCAAAGTCCACCTTCCTCAAATTCGCATCTGATACAATGCTCTTCATACTACTCCTTTCGGCGATCCCTTTGTCATTGTTAAGGTTTGACCCAGTGGATCCAGATGCATGACTCGAATTCTCTTTTTCGTAACCACCTATCCCGACAGAAGTTAATCGATCGCTCATTCGTGTTGTATTCTTCGTGACAGGTAGAGTCCCCATAGATCTAGCCTTTACTTTCATTCCGGGGCCTTTCTCAACCGTAGAGGAAGTACGAGGTTTGGATACCCCGAAAGTTGGCTTGGAAGAAGGTATTTTAGCTTTGTTAGTTATGGTTTTGGATGAATGAGATCGCCGAACAACGATGCTTTGTACTTTTTTCTCCCGTAGCAGAGACTCTGGCCTTGCATATACCGGACTCTCGGGAGGAGACTCTGATACACCTAACTGTTGTGCCAATGTCAACCCTCCTTCGTCGTCAGACGAGGCTCTTGACTGAGGTGTAGGTGGGAACAGCTCTGTTTTCAGTAAGCCATCTCCCGGAAAGTCGTTCTCCAGCTCGTCCGTCTCCATGAGGACCTCTAAGCCTCGGGAGCTGGAATTAGGGTCTAAAGCGACATTCGAAGGAGACCCTGGAGAGTTCCCTAACATAAGAATGCGGCTTAGTGGACTGGGTCTCACAGGTGAATACGCGTGGATCATATGCGTGGCAAGAGGCTTGGCAACCGGGTAAGGGAATGCTCGATGAGCTCCGGCCAAGGGTGTCTGTGGAACGGAATCGACTGGATCTGCTGGGGTTGCAGATGGTGGCACATGGGATTGTAATGAAGGTCGAGAGAGAAATCTGTTATTTTCACACGGTTCTTGTTCTTGCGATGTTTGGAATGTCGGCATAAGCAGCGGTAGAGTGGAAGCACCGGATAGTAGAAGAGCGGGTTTTGGAGGCGGCAAGGATGCACAAGGAGATGGTGGAGGTAGCACGAATGCGGTCGGGAGCAGGGATTCTGTGCTCGAGCTGGTGGACATCAAAGGAGGTATAGACGCGCCGATGGAAAGTGGGGGTGGTAGACGGGGGATGACCTCTGTTTCGAAAGCTGGTTCTGCATCCTTGCTGCCTTGAGATGGAGAAAGTGAAAATGAGGATGACGAGGATCGTCTCCTCGTAGAAACAACCCGTGTGGTTCTTCTGGTAGCTTTGCCGATGTTGATTTGGAACCTTTTGGACGGTGAATGAGGTTTTCGTGGGGAAGACCTTTGGTTGGATGCACTCATTTTCTCCGAACGTGAATCTGAATCATCTCGAGTGAGAGGAAGTTCTGCGAACATGTTTCGGACTTTCTCAGAAGGTTTCTCCTCTTTGGGACGCGTGCTAATCTTAAATGTGAAAATAGTCGGACTCCGGAGACGAAGGTGACAGGAGCACATACCTCAATACTAAGCCTTTCTTTCCCAATTCCAGGTTGAGTTGGTACTTGAGGAAGCTTCTTTTGCTCCTCTGCTTCGGAGACAGCTGAATGTTGGCGTTTGTTGTCCCGAGCAAGTATTGTCATGGTGCTTGAAGGTTGATCTGCCGCAGATCGATTTTCCGCAGCTTGTAGAGCTACTTGCTCTTTTGAATCATCTGGATATGGAACGAATCAGTCCAAAGGATCGAAATACTTGTTTTAAGGATAATCACGGAGTTCCTTCTTCAGCTGCTCAATGACTTGATGCAGCTGTTCAAGTTCAGACGGAGAAGGCATAGGCTGCGGTGCGGGGGAGACGGAAGGTGAAGTTGATATCGAAGATGTGGAAGAAGACAGCACTCCCAGAATGTCTCGGAGTCGCGCAAGCGAGGATGATAGCGTCATGGTGGTAAAGTCCGGAGGCGACAGAGGGAATAGATCGGGGAGTGTCATAGGTACAGGCTGCCAATGAGAGAAGTCAGGCCGGTATGGAGAACGAGGTGTCGCAAGAACGCACAATTTCTATCTCATAGGTGGGTTCTCGCAAACTTGGCGTCAATTCAAACGCGATATTTCTGATTTCGTTGACAGCCTTGAGGAGCATCTTCTTCAAACCGAGAATATCCTTGCCTAACTGCTCGCGTGCCTTCTCAGCCTCCTCTAACGCAATTTCCAGGTAGCTCTTTCCTCTCCCGACAATCGGAACTACTGGTTCAACGACAGTATTAACACTTCCGATAAAGCGCATTCCACTAGCGGTAGCGCCAAGTTTTGCCTGAGCGTCAGAGATCCTGTGCCACCTCTCCATAGCGCGTTCAATCTCCTTTTCCTTCTTCTTCGTTTCGGCTTGGTGGGTAGCTCGAATGGTCTGCAGGGCAGAGCGTGTCCGCTGCAATTCTGCGTTAGTATGTTTGTGTGCAGCTTCAGTCGCCTGCAACGTCTTTGTCGTAGTCCTATTCGGAAAATAGGCTGTCAAAGATACAATAAGATGAACGAGAATGGAACGCACGCAAGACGAGATTTCTGTAAATTCACTTCACTCTCGAAATTTGCCGCAGACTCCGTGGCTGTGCGGTGCATTGATACCATTCGTTCGTGGTCATAGTGAAGAGTTCGTAGTTCAGCTGACAAGTGCTCTGTCCTCGACATATCTTTCTAACAAAGCCTTCAAAGATTGCACGAGAAATCCAGATCAAATCAACACTCACCACCCTTTGAGCCAGCAAGTCCAGAAAACATTTCACAGCCCTGTCCATTTCTCCTTTAGACAGGCCATCGAGAGAGAGTCCCGAAGATGTGGTGAATCCGTGAGCTACCAGCTGAGAATTGACATATTGAAGACTCGACGTTGAAACGAAGGAGTCTTCACAGGATAGTGAAGGAGAGCCAATGTCAGGACTCTGAGAGTTCCAGTGAACAGTCTTGTGCATAGGCGTTGCCGTTGCCGTTGCCAGTGTGGTCATCGTCAAATTCGTTCTGCCTGTTACATAACGTCAGAAGCTCATGCGCCGCGCGCATTATCATGTGATCGAGATCAAGCGCCAATTCAGCGCTAGGGAGTATTTTAAAATTTCTTGATTTTCATTGACATTAGATTTCATTTCGTCAGCTTGCTGTATCTTGACCCGGGCTCGAATTGGACGGAATAATCCCGAAGGACTGTGCATGCCTACAATGATCATTGACGGACTTGAAGATACAGTATAACAAAGTTGTTCAAAGGATGAACAGCTTCATCATGGTATCACTTTACGCCTTCACCATCAACAAACACGACTATGCTGTGGCTACACCGGGGCCTGAATGGGATTTGTACCAAAGCTGAAAGTTCGTATATTTCTCTTCTACGCAATTTCTGCCACTTTTTACTCAAATGCGAAGCTATTTACAATAGTCTCAAAAGTAACCTGAGATGGTAGCACAAACCAAATCTGACAAGGGAATTGTAAGATCCTCTAGTTATCCTTAGTGACCGTGCTCAAATCCCGACTCATGATGTCCTGCAATGGACCACTAGCCCTGCCCATCGATCCAAATCGTATGGTGTGTATCCACGCTGCTTAGAGAAAGAACGGGTGTCGAAACACAGTGATATTACATTCTTGATTGATTTACAACAATTTTCCATATAGACTAGAACAATCCTCAACGACACCCGAATTGTGGATTCAAATGCTGTCTAATTCTCCACGGCTCCACCTACTTGATGGACTCACCGGTGTCATCACAACCAGCCAGCTCTCTCCTTCTGCCAGTCTTGCATTTAAACCCTGTGACTCTACCCTCCCATTCTCTTCTCTCCAGACATCCTGAACGCGATATGCACCGTTTCTGATACCCAGGTCACTCCATGACACTGACACGCTCTGTACACCAACCAGGCTGGTATCGAAGCCACCTTGACCTTGGTCCGGCCCGTAATTCGCAAGTAAGACCATGACTTGTCCTGTAGTATCAGGACCACCTATCCATGCCTGCAGTTGCTTTGCATAGGCGAAGCCAGTTCCAGGATTCCGAGGACGCATGGGATAGTTGGACGAAAAATCGGCGACAGAGAGAGCAAATGAGTTCGTTAAGATCTGAAGACCTATCGCTGTTCATAGCGTAAAGGGAAGGAGATCGAGATGAGAGCCGCACGAGGAAACTCACCGTCTAGTTTTGTCAAGTCATTTCCAAGCATAAGATTAGATGCAGCACCCATCCAGTGATTCATGATCGTGAACCGCTGAGCTTTACTCAGACCATCGTAATCCTCTCCAAGCGAATTCCCTATATACAGGTTATCCATATCCGGGAACAGGTTTAGCGTCTGATCCTTTCCTGTGTGCATCACAATGTATTGTCTGTAATTATCAATAGCTCTTTGAACCGTAGCCCAGGCAGCCAAAGTCAAATTTGAGCCGCGCTCATTGATGTCTTGGTCTGTACGGAAAGAATCAGCGTTCTTGGACCAGATATGAAAGTGCTTTTCATCCCGGGCTAATTTCCAGCTGATGTCTAGACGCATTGGTCGTGAGGCATTCTTGATGGCTTTGTGGTATGCAATGACATCGTCGCTGGTGTTGAGCGGAAGGTGTACACCGTTATCGGGCGATCCTGGTGTGATAAAGTCCAGTTTGATGAAATCTACGCCCCTAGTAAACATCAGCTCGGTAAGCGTGTGAATCATCATCGAATGGAGCTCACCATTCAGCGAATTGGTTGACGACTGAGTTATGCCATTGCTGAACGCTATCCATCGTGTGATTCCAATTACACCGAGCCAGTCCGTTGTCACCGGAACATACATCTCCAATCCGGACTTGCGTGTCGAGAATAGTCTTACGTCGATCGGCTCGAAAGCCGCCTGGCACAACGTAGATACCCAGATATAGACCTTGATGTCTATGGTCAAGATATCCTAACCCCATCCTTGAGTATCCGAAGCTTACCTTGAGCATGCAAGTGATCCGCAAGCTCTGTCATGTTAAACAGCTTCGTGTCGGGAACAATACGTCCGTGTTCATCTCCGTAATACGGGAGAGACCATCCACTATCGAGGGAGCAGTAGTTGAAGCCAAGACCTCCAAGCGTTGATGCTAGATGATCACACTGCTGAATGATACCTACGAAGACCGAATGCGCGCAGAACTTGAGTTTAAGTTTGAACTAGTGATCAAGAAGACTCTGACCTGTTTGGTTGAAAGCAAACTGTGGACTCAAAGCTGGATTAGCCTGAAGCCCGAACGAGTTCCAACCTCTAGCGGGGGCATCAAATCCATTAGCCGTAGTGCTGATCGTGAGCGAATGCAGGGGAGGGGGAATTCCTGGAGAGAAAGGGACTTGCACTGGGACAGCGGTTGGGAGGAAGGGCATTCTACAGCAGACAGCGGGAGGAAAGGAAAGGAACGCTTGTCTTGTTCCGACAGGTGGAGGGAAAGGAACAAAAGTAGCGACCTGTCAGCCATTGCAATGTTAACTCCGAAACGAGATGGGATTCAAGACAAGGCAAAGAACACGTGGACAACCTGAGCGTCAACTTTCTAAGTTTCTTTAAAGGCGGGATGTTCCCGCCAGTGGGACCGTCGCCATAAATATTGGCTTTTCAGACCTCAAGCACCGGGCTATGAACTTGATATGTATGTACATACATCATTATCTAATTCGTAGTCGAACTTCTTTCCCTCCTTACTTCTAGTACAGTTTTCCTCAATCGCTTCATTGCTTCCACCACTTGTTCATCTCCTAAAAGACTGAACGACGCCCGCACATAGGGCGTCTTAGAACCATTGGGTAAGAATACTGTACCGGGCAACGCGAGGACACCATTGGCGAATGCGTGCGTTTCGATGAGTGTTCGGGAGTCTTGTTCTTCAGAAGCCGGCAAGGATGGTTGGGCACTAGCAGGTTCAACGAGTAATTTGAACCTATCAGTGTAGAGAGGGATTGGAAAAAATCAGAAGGGGACAGCAAAGCAGAAGACTTGCCAGAAGAACATCCCTGCCTCTGGAGAAACCCACTCTGCTAATCGTCCTTCATCACTTTCACCTTCTTCCAAAGCACCACCGCCTAGCCATTTCTGCAACTCTCCCTCGAAAACATCCCGTTTTTTCTTGTAGAATTCCGATACATTTCTCGTGTGGAGGAAGAACTTATCGTAACCCCAGGAATCGAGCAGACGCAAAGTGATGAGCTGGGTAAGGGACGATACTTGTAGATTCGCGTTGGCTGTCTATGTGTTCAAGATGGATTAGACAAATAGATCAAAGATACAAGATCGAAAATTGTTCGGGACTAACCAACATATCCACTCTTCTCAGAATTGTCTCCGGGCCAGTAGCGAACCCGATTCTCAAACCGGCTGAGAGAATCTTCGAGAGCGAGTCGAACCTCAATACTCTTCCCACTTCGGCGCATGCCTCTCCTGCTTCCTCTCCGTAGGGTTCTGTTGCCTCAAGAGCAAAGTACGACGCTGGCCGGGCAGCTTTGCCGTAGTAAAGGTAGTAATAGGGGTCGTCTACTCGAAATTCGAATACTGTGAGTGGAAGATTGCGGAAAATGAATGAACGTACCTTCTAAAATGATGAGGTTGTATTGTCTGGCGAACTTAAGGACCTCTTTCCTACGCTCAAGCGAAGCAGTCATTCCAGTGGGGTTGCAGCCATACTGGTGAAGACTTGAATGAGCGATACAGGACTAGGAAAGGAATACAGAGGAATGACTCGGAGATCTCGAGTCACAATACGAACAGGGACAGTGTACAACAATTGTGGCCTCTTCTCGCTCTCAGGCCAGTTTTCTAGGATATCTTTCAAAGACGAAGAACGAATACCAAGTGCATCCGTGGGGACTTCTGCAGGTTCAAAGGAAGATAATGAGAAAATGATGAAAGCAAACGATGAAGTAGTTATAGACCGATCTGTTTGCAATCCAAGTTTTTGAATATCGGGATGACTCCCGCGTAGACAGGCGATTCAACGAGAATAGAATCGCCTGGGTTGATCATCGCCGCGGCAGACTATAAGGATGGATAGATCCCGTCAGCCACGGATCGCTAGTCAACCAAAGCGAGATCCACCTTGAAGATTAAATCTTGAGACCCGGTACCCATACTGACTCTCCACCCTTCCTGTCCCTCTCCAGATACATTTGCCCCGTGTTTTCTCCCGTGAGCGATCTCCTGCAAGCCCGTGATCCATTTCAGCAGATCCGGAATACCCGCTGTGTCACTGTATTGCAATCCTGGAGCCAATTGATCTTGAGGAATTGTGATAGTCGTTTCCGAAGCTTCGTTCGCAGGATCTTTAGCAGTAAAAGACAGAGATGTGAATGGGAAGGTGGATGGTTCTGGTTTTCCAGCCAGTAGAGAGATGACGCCAGGCTGTTTTTCGAGTGGAAAGAGACCACGAACTATCGGCGAACACGATCAGTTATTTTTTCATTGATTGAGATCAGAACGTACTAGGACTGAGTTTCAATTGTTTTCCCAGATTGGAGAAGAACTGGTCGTAGAATTCTGCTGGGAGAGCTTTGATTTTGAGGTTTCCATTCATCGTTGGTGTTCCAGAACTGACAGTGGGGTCAAGAATGATCGATATGCCATCGCTGTGCGTTGTCTGTGTGGCCATCGTTGCTGTTGAACCTAGTTATGGAGGAAGCTGAAGTCGAGGATGAGTCAAATTTCAAATCGCTTGAGGGTGAGAAATTGTGACTCGAATCCGTTGTCATATCCGGTGATACAATGTAATCGCTATGATTTAGGAAGACACGGTGTATAGTTTCTGATCTTCCATGTACTGAAATTAGGATGAGGAACTCGAAGACATGGTGGTGGTTGAAGATTGCTCATGTTTAGTGGGGCGCTTATGCCTAGTTATGCCTTGATATAGTAAATTTATGTCATAGTACCTGTATAAACGGCTACAGAGACGAGGGAGCTTTGCAGAGCTATCATTCAGACCAAATAGTTCTAAAGCAGTTTAATCTCTTCGATGCGTATCCGCATCATTAGCAGACATTAGCTCACGCCCCCGTCATTCTAGCAATCTGCCAGGACGATTCCAGGCAGAATCTCCGTGACTCGAACAGAGGCGCTGTTGGATAATGATTTTTGCATAGGTAAATGCATTGTGTGCGTTTGCAGAGAAACATCGTGCAGTGAAAGGATATGGTGGTTGAAATTGAAATCCATAACACCCCAAATATATACATTAGCCGCCGGTTGTTTGGCGCTTCCGCCTTGAACTAGATTTCTCACTCTTCACCATAGCCAGCCATGTCAATTTACGACCTCTATCCCCTCTTTCTCTCTTTTCTCTTCTTCGCTATTATTTCTCCTGGTTTCTGCTCGCCATATGCCCATCCCACTGAAACTTCGCTCGCGACAAATGCCTCAAGTACCTCAATCCCAAAACACCCTAGCTTCCTTCCACGCCAAAGACTCGAGAACAAATTATCTCCTCGCCATTGCCAGCCGTATTATACGACATTCTCTGATCCGTCCACGGTTGCCGAAAGAAATTCTGATCCCTCAAATGCACCCTTCGTCGCGCTTTCTCCTCCAGAAACATATGCTTTCACTTCAAACGGATTGGAGATGTATCTTCGGAAGCCAAAAGGCGAGGTTCACAGCAAGAATGGGATCAATGATAAGCTGGGCGAAGCTGCTACGATCAATTCCACATTTTGGATGTAAGCTCGCTACTTTTACATCTCGTTTGGCCGTGAACCAGAGCGCCCTCTTCATGTTTTCTCGACCAACTAACCAGTCTCATTTTGACAGGGACAGCGGGAAGGTTACATATGAAGTTTCCTGCGATTATGTGCCGGGAGTGGTCTGCGCCTTCATTTTGATCGACTCCCTCCAAGGTATGTCCTTTTCTCGCTTCGCTCCCTTCCCCGTTCAAACCAAGATCGTTCATTGCACTCACTTCAGCCTCCGACGGTGAAACACATCTTGACGAAATCGACGTTGAACTCGTCGGGTCAGGATCAGCTCGCTGGCAGACAAACATATTCAAGCCTTCCAAAGCTGACCCCGATCCCCATTACGGGCATTTTGATACCAAAGAACAATACACGCAAAATCCTTCTTACACATCGGTGCACAAATATTCAATATCATGGGACTCGGAGAAGATTGTGTGGGGCGTGGACGGGCAGGACGCGAGAACGTTGCGGAAAGGTCAGTTGCTTGCTATTACGCGTTTCCAGATTGCGAAAAGAGACTGACTGTTTCCTTTCTATTATGTCCAGAGGACACATATATCGATGGTGTTCCTCACTTTCCCGGCGAATCCGATCCGCTTCGTCTACAGCTTGGTATTTGGGACGGGAGTGGCGCGGAGGGCACATCAAGTTGGGCTGGTGGTCCGGTCAACTGGGATACTGCCCCTCAAAACATCATAGCAATTGTGCGCAGTGTGTCTGTCGAGTGTTGACGGATATTGTTATTTTTAGAATGCTTCAATTCGGGTTCGATTTGTACTGAAATAAATGAGAATGTAATATTACTCTGGATATATGCGTAGAAATGTTAACATTTGATGACTCACATACCATCTATGGAACATCGTTCTCTTGTTACAAACCACTATCTCACTATCGTGTTATCAGTCTCACCGCCGTGTTATCAATCCCACCATCGTGTACTATTACTATAGGACTACCAGTAGGATACATCGTATTGTACTTCCTTTCTCTCTCGCTATGTTAAGCTGTAACATGACATCGTCTACCTTGGACTTGTATATAAACCTGTAGTATTCGTCTTGTCGAATAAGTAGTCCTCTCTACTCCTTCATTGTCTGATCTGTGTGATCAACTACAGTGCTGTGTGCACTCTATCTCTTACTGCCATTGCTGCTGAATATAACGTGATTATATTCTAACAGGTTATGGGCCCCGCCCTAACCTAAATAAACAAGAAATACGGTGCATACATTGATTTATGTCATTAAGGACTAACCCTCCTCGCAAAGCCGATAACCGTCCAACCAAGCCAACTGCAGCTTGTGCTCATAAGGAGCATATCTTCGATAAAGACGACGTCAAGGATCGGTATCACGATCCCGACGGCAGCAAATACAGAGTTTGCAAAGATCAACCTTGTCCGAATAGATACGACAAAATAACAACTGGTTATATCCCCAGCTTTGCTAGACTTATCGACAAAGAACAAGAAGACCTTATACTTGGACGAGGAGCACCCCCAGAGCAGATCGCATCATCATCATCCCAGAAACCAGAGGGTACGCCAGAAGCAGCATCAGCCCCAGAACCAGAATATCCTGTATTCCCACCACCACCTAGCCCAGTACTAGACCGACCCTCATCACCAATATCTTCACTACCAAGATCTTCGCCACCTCCACCAGATCCGGAAGACCCAGATCCAGGAGCAGAAGTATCAGATCCAGAAAGTGACGACGACGACGACAATATGTCTAAAGTATTCAAAGCCTTTGACAAGGTATCTACGCTTAAAAGTGATGGATCTAACTGGGACACGTGGAAGAATCGAGTGGAGCTAGCCACCCGATCAATTGGATTTTCAGAGCACCTCACATCTAATCCAAAAGATGACGAAGCATGGGAAGCCAAGAAAGACGATGATGGAAATTTATTAAATGCCATTGTGGGCCGCCTATCAGACCAGATCTATAGGCGATACAAGAATTACGAAAACGTGTTTGATCTATGGAAAAATCTGCTGAGTGATTTTGATTCGAAAAGTGCTCTCACTGAAGCGCACTTACAACAACAGCTTCATTCCATGCGCTGCCATGAACCGTCAAAGGTTAACGAGCATTTGGATAAATTGTTGGAAATCAGGGACAGTTTGGAGGCGCGGAAAATCACCATTCCCGAGGAAATGTTCAATAACACGATCATTGCTTCCATCCCAAACATATTCAAACCAACGATTAACGCATTGGTAGTGGTTGCAGCAAGGACTTCAGTCCCGCTGACCACAAGGGAGCTAGTTTCGACGATACGTGCTGAAGCATCTGGTCATACCCGAGGACAGTCTGGAAAGAAGGAATCTGCAAATTATGCCGGCGGAAATTCCAACCGCGGCAAGGGTGGATTTAATCGAAATCGTGGAAACTTCAGAGGCCAGTCCAGGGGCAGAGGAAATGGCAGAGGAGGAGGTCAAAGTCGACCAAACTCCAACAATTCCACATGCTACAATTGCGGTGGAAAAGGGCATTTTGCTAATAAATGCAGCTCGCCGAAGAGACAACAGGCCAACGAGGCCCAAGAGAGTTCTCAGAAGAAGGAGAAAACCCAACCGTCTGGGAGCGGTAGTAATAATTGGAGATCAAAGAATAAAGAAGTGGGATCCTCAGCCACCATTGAGGAAGTACCCGAGTCATCGTGGGCAGCCGTGGAAGTTACCACAACTACGTCACAGGAGATATTTAATTTCTCTGAAATCGCTGGTAATTACGAGACAGCCTTCGTAGCATCTCACAGCAGCGGAGCAATTCTGTTTGACTCAGGATGCTCATCCCACATGACTCCACTTCAGGACAAACTTCGCAACACGCGGAATGTCCCTACCCGAATTATCCAGGCAGCTAACGCCGAGACTTTCACATCCAACATTGCCGGAAATCTCCAGATCGATCTTCCTATCAACACTGATGGAATCTCGAAATCACTTACGCTCCAAAACACTCTCCTATGCCCCAACACGCCAAATACACTTGTATCGTTGGGTAAACTTGATGATGCAGGATATGTGATGGTAATCAAAGATGGAACTCTTAAGATCATCAATAGACAGGGGGAGACAATTGGAATCGTTCCCAAGACAAATGGTCTCTACCAGATTCCGAGCGCAGAATATGCCTATGCCGGGAAGGCAACCAGGATGGTTTCGCTTTATGAAGCACACTGCATCGCTGGCCACCAGAACTATGCTTATGTCAAACATATGTTCAAATCAAACCAGGTTCATGGGATCAAGTTAGATCCTAAGCAGATGGAAGAACCCGAATGCCGAACTTGCATGCTTGCTAAAGCTGCCAGATCCCCGATCTCCAAAGTTCGAACATCCCCGAGAGCGGAAAAATTCGGTGATGTATTCCACATGGATGTATGGGGACCAGCTTCTGTCCAGACGTTAAATCATTATGTCTACGCATTGACAGTCATTGACGAAGCAACCAGTTGGTTGGAGGAACCGTTAATGAAGGGCAAAGATGAGGCTTTCGCTCAATACGTAATACTCCAAACCGGTCTCCAAACTCAATATGGCGTAACGGTCAAGAAACTCCACTCTGATCGAGGGGGAGAATTTCTCAGTGGTGAATTCACAGCATACCTGGAACGATTAGGCACTAAGCGTAGCCTTACGGTACATGACACTCCGGAACACAACGGCATAGCGGAACGCAGCCACAGGACGCTACTTAATGGAGTACGCAGCCTCATGATATCATCTGGATTACCGAAATGGCTTTGGGGATTCATGATGGGCTACACGGTGTATGTATGGAACAGGACACCAAAGAAGGCAAATGGTATGATTTCTCCATGGGAGAAACGATTTGGCACAATTCCCGACATCTCCAACTTCCACATCTTTGGGAGCACGGTCTATGTTAAACGTGAAAAGGAACCTGGGAAGCTTGACCCTCAAGCACAGGAAGGTCGATGGGTAGGCATCGAGCCAGAATCTAATGGTTACTTCATCTATTGGCCAGATCGCCACACAGTCTCAACCGAACGTAATGTGCAATTCTCTGATAGGCAGATCCAACCCGTTGAGGGGGAGGATCAGGATTTGGGAAATCTGGAAACATCGATCACCGAGTCGGAACAGCCTATCATACCAGTACCAGAGGAAATCGCCGAACCCATCAACCCAGATATAATCACAGGAAAACGCGTCAGGAAGCCGACCAAGAAAATCCAGGACATCATCAATGGACTTGGAGAGCCGAACCGAGAGCTTAGGCATCTTACAGCATCACTTGGTCAAGTAACAGGTGAAATCATCGCTGACCCCACATCAGTTGCAGAAGCAATGCGACGTCCCGATTGGTCTCAATGGCGGGAAGCCATGAATGAGGAAATCCGAAGATTACAACAGCGCGGGACATATGATATTGTCATTCCGCCTGATGATGCCAACATCCTCACATCGAAATGGGTATTCAGGACCAAGCGAGACGAACAAGGAAAAGTCACAGGCCACAGAGCCAGACTAGTGGTACGAGGTTTTAACCAGATACCAGACGTTGACTACTTCCCAGATGAAACGTTCGCATCAGTCACAAAGCTAGCAGCAGCTCGAGCCATCCTCAGCACAGGAGCTGAACAGAACATGTTCATCCACCAGATGGACGTCAAATCGGCATATCTATATGGTAAACTGGATGACAATGAACAAATCTACATGAAGGCACCACCAGGTGTCGACATTGAAGTTAAAGCAGGACAAGTGCTTAAACTCAAGCTCGCCCTCTATGGACTTAAACAAGCCGGTCGCCGTTGGTATATGAGATTCAGGGAGATCATGACATCAGTCGGTCTCACCAGGTCAAATTCCGATCATGCCGTATTCTATCGAACTGACCCCTTTTGTATCATATTCATCCACGTCGATGATATGACTATGCTTACCAAGACCATGGCTGTAATGGACACTCTAAAGAAGAAGATCAGGGACCAGATCGAAGTTGTCGATTCTGGAGAGATTCACTGGTTATTAGGGATTGAGATCCGCCGATCTCTACATACACGATCCATTCATTTATCCCAAAGGGCATATATTGACGCAATCCTATCTCGATATGGATTTGCAGATGTCAAACCCCTTTCCATTCCATTCGATCCACACATACATCTTACCAAGGACCAGATGCCAACTACCGTCGAGGATATCACATATATGCGCGACAAGCCCTACAGAGAAGCTGTTGGCGCCCTACAATACTTATCAGTAGCAACTCGACCCGACATTACTTACGCAGTCGGCATACTGGCAAAGTTTTTGCAGAACCCCGGAATTACTCACTGGAATGCTGTAAAGCGTGTTTATGCATATCTCAAATACACCCGAGACCTATGGCTCACATTCGGAGGAACACAAGCAGAAATAGAAGGATACACGGACGCTGACGGAATGTCCCAGGAGGATAGACATGCTATCTCAGGATACGTTTTCATGCTCAACGGAGGAGCAGTGTCATGGTCATCCAAGCGACAAGATACTATCTCATTATCAACCACGGAAGCTGAGTACATTGCTTTGACTCACGCTGCCAAGGAAGCAATTTGGTTTAGGAACCTCTTATCGGAATTATTCGGCCCTATCACAAAACCGATCATTCTCAATGCTGACAACCAATCTGCTATCGCTCTTGCTAAAGATGATCGCTTCCATGCCCGAACCAAACACATTGATATTCGATACCACTTCATCCGATATGTCGTTGAAGAAGGAAAGATTCGCCTTGTCTACTGCCCTACAGAAGACATGACTGCAGACATCTTTACAAAGGCGCTTCCATCTCTTAAGGCCAAACACTTCGCTGCGTCCATGGGACTAACAAAGGTTTGAGGGGGAGTGTTAACATTTGATGACTCACATACCATCTATGGAACATCGTTCTCTTGTTACAAACCACTATCTCACTATCGTGTTATCAGTCTCACCGCCGTGTTATCAATCCCACCATCGTGTACTATTACTATAGGACTACCAGTAGGATACATCGTATTGTACTTCCTTTCTCTCTCGCTATGTTAAGCTGTAACATGACATCGTCTACCTTGGACTTGTATATAAACCTGTAGTATTCGTCTTGTCGAATAAGTAGTCCTCTCTACTCCTTCATTGTCTGATCTGTGTGATCAACTACAGTGCTGTGTGCACTCTATCTCTTACTGCCATTGCTGCTGAATATAACGTGATTATATTCTAACAAGAAAAACATGGTTGCGTGAGGTTATGTTATCGACATGAATGCTATCGAAAAAAACTTTCAGAGGCCGAATGTATCCAAGGAATTTTGACTGGGTTCCTCTGCCAACCTCGACTTCTGTCTCTTCTCTGCCTCGTCTTTGATCTCCTTCATTTTCTTCACATAGACCTCTGACATCTCCATCTGCAGCATCTCCCCAACCCGCTGGTTCCACTTTTGAATATCGGAATCTTGAATGATCTTTATCTGCCAGAGGTGTTGCATAATTGCATCGGGATAACGAAATCGCCCTTCAACCGGGATTCTATTTTCAAAGTGCTCAAACAACTCTGTTTTGTTCAATGGGTTCCATGTCTTCAAAGGGACCTCCGCCAGCTTCTCCCAGACTTCGGTCGGATCATTTTTGCATTTTCGTAGTTCAGAAAATCGATGAGATCTCCAGGGCCAATTTGATGAAGTAAATGGGACTTCGGCAGAGTCTCGTACTGCCCCAAAACCAACTCTTTTGCCAGGTAAGATTTTCCACTCATCTGCGAAGTCATCCTTCTCGGTATTTAGCACCATTCGATTTTGTCTAATGGCGCCTGTGACCCCACTTTCGATTTGCCGCGTACGCGTGAGGGTGATCTGGACTACCCGATTACTATCTGAATAATGATATGTCGAATAGTGGCAGTCTACAAACAAAAAGCTGTCACACACCCAACTTCAGTTTTCGGTTTGGTTTAGACTTCTCCGAGGCGCGGGGAAGCAGAGGGCTGCCCATGACGTGGACATGGAAGACAACAAGGAGGAGGAGAAGGAAAATCGAACGCAATGACAATAACGGAGTACCAGTGGCCATGATATCTCCGATGGTTATGCACTTGATTGACGACGAGGCAACGACACCGAATAAGTTGAATGTCAGTGATCGTAAGGTTCACAATTAGATGGATACAGTCCGATTGATGGCAAAAATTTCCACAACGAGCGCGAAAGGAGCAGAGATGATATGAACGAGGAAAGAGATTGACGATGTGAAGTCTAAAAAGATGAAGGACTCGGACGCCATTCGCGAGTGATTGAACATAATGATGAGAGCGCACCTGTAAGCAGATTCGGCCAGCGAATCTGATGCTTGAGTCTTCGTTGATTAAGTGTGTAGTGGACGCGGATCAGGGATCTGGTTGTAGACGATACGAGTTTTAATTTGAAGAAATTGGAGAGGATTCAACTCAAAACTCGATATAAGCAGATACGAGGATACACGCACGAAAGGGATCGGCCAGCGAATTCACCTTTTATGCTTTGAACGAGGCTGATATGGCTGGGTGAAGGGTTAAAAAAGGCTGTCCTGGTTTCAAGTTGTGAGGTCGAAGCCCGACGGTTCTCTTCACACCGTCGTTTTTTCGCTTGCCCTATGTACACAATCAGACCTTCACTTAATTGCATAGCCCGTGTTGTTTGTAGAGAGAAATTTATAGGAAAACCCTTATCTCTGAAAACGATGCAATGTACTTCCCTGATATTTCCTGAAATCTGTCTTAGACGTACGCTCCTTCAATACTTGACTACACAAATTATATTATAAATCGAGTATGATAGTAAACGCTACAACATCGACACCATGCAAAAGTGCAGATATATAGATGATCTTTGTTAAAGAATGGGTGGAAGTATGTTTGCAAATAAGTCCAATAGTCCAAGAGACAAGAAGCTTTTAAGAACCCCCGCGAACGCGTCCACTCATACATATGATACCTTTCGGGCAAGAGGAACTTGCAGTCGCAATCGCAACACTGCTAGTGCCACTAGCACTTGCACTCTCGGTAGGCGTGGGAGACACCAGGAACTGGTCAGCTACGGATCGTATGAAGCTGAAGGTAAGAAAAAGAGATGAAATTCGCAATCAGTCATGATATGTTCGACCATGGAATGGGTAAGAAGCTCACTCGATCTGTTCTTTTCGGAAATTGTCCACAACCAGTTTCGTCTCGTTGGAAGACATGTACAGGGAGGTCTTTAATGAGCCATATTGCGACCATAAGGGTGCACCAACGAGGGCAGCGGCGAGGTTAGGAGTCAGGTGGGTAGCGAAGGAGAGCCTGAAAATTTTATGGGTTGTTATTGGCTTCGGATTTGTGTACGATCAGATCTGCTTACCAGTAAGCGACAGTCTGTTCAGCCAGCGCAAAATCGGGACTTGTCGAAGGGAGTTCGAGGAAGACGAAGAAGACATCGCTGGCATGGAAAACTAGACGTCAAGAGAGATAAATCAACACATCATCGTCATAGAAATAGTAATCAGCGACATACCTCCAGTCCACTCTGGGACGGACGGAAGGGTTTGAGCAAACTCGTAGCACCAAGAGGTCATCCCCTTAGATGCTGCGACTTCAAGCCAATTTCTTCTGGGTGCATGAAAATGGATATCTACGAGGCAATGAATATGGATCAGCCTTGTAAGATTGTATACTGAGTGTAATTCTCACCTCCATATGTCGAAGCACCCCTCTTGAACTGTTCTCCGAAGAAACTTACATTGCCCGTTCCATAAGGTGAACCAAGCGCTTCTACGTCAGGATACAGTCTCTCGAGCGTTGCCAATGTTGTTTCGTTACTGAGGAACGGAGCGTTGCGACCAACGTAATCAAGGCCAAGCCAGGTAATGTAGTCATCCGTTGTGTTTAAAGCTTGAGGTTGAACGAAAACTGTTCCTTCATCTTGGACGTCACCGACGATGAAGGGTTTATTAGCACTAGAAACGGATATAAACATCACTCAAGCAGAAGAAAATCACTTGTTGATTACTTACATTTTCCCTTGAGCTGTAAGAACAGCGGGACTATCAGGGATGATTTCACCATCGATTGCAGCTGCCCAAGGCTATGGTAGATATCGTTTGAATATGCGCATTAACTACAAAGCCATCAACTCACTCTAGCGCTGTAGGAATTCGGAGCACTCGCAATCGAATTTGCTGCATCCGCAAGCACAGATTCGTCGGCGGTTTGGAGGCAAGAAAAGGTGTCTGATGAGTTATTGCATCCAGCAAGGTTAACGAGGGCGTCGTATACCGGTTGGTTGACAGATGCGTTGAGAACGGGGACGGAAGTCGAAACCCCAGATTCAAGAATCTACGTAAGAACGAGGATGAGCATGAGAGAGAAACAAAGGGGGGTAGAAATGGTAGAATCTGACGTACAGCAGCACGGAAGAGATTGGTGTCTTCAGTCAAGAAATGATATGCGATCGACATTCTGTAAACGTATGTTTAACGACACGGACAGGAGGACTGCGTAGTCTTTGAGACTCACGACCCAGATGATTGTCCGAACAAGGTGACCTTATCCTTGTCTCCACCGAAATAAGAAATATAGTTCTGCACCCAGGTCATCGCATCCCTCTGGTCGTATAATCCCAGATTCAGGGCACCATTATCCTCTGCTTCCTGGCCACCACTGAATGAGATAGATTTAAATTTAGGGAAACCCGAATAACTATGGAAGGAACGCTACTCACAGGAATCCCCATAGCGCAAGACGATAGTTGATGATGACCTACGGACAAGACAAAATGTTTCAGAAATGACCCTGGAAGCCTGTGTTACACAGCCTATGGAAACGTACAGTGATAACCGGAAGTTCCTGGAAAAAAATTGGAGAAAATCAGTGTTTGCAAGGTTTACAATGTGGTGCAAAGGCAGAAAAACGGGAAAATTGAAAAATCTCGTTACATACCATTTTGGAAGAAACAGCAACGATACCACTACCCGGATATGAAAATGAAGCTCCTTGGGTGAGTCCTCCTCCGTAGATCCATACCATGACCGGTAGCTTTGAGGTTCTAGTGGTGTTGTGAGGGCGATAAATGTCGAGTAAGGTGCAATCTTCTCCGAAACCGTATTCTGTAGGATGGTGTAAGCAAAAACAAAGGCTTGCTACGTTAAGACGAACCTCCGTAGTTCGTCGTAGTAAGTGTACTCTAAGAAGTCAGGGAAAATCAATCGATGGACCATCGATTCAGATTTCTTAGGAGACCTACCGAGCTAACCGTAACTTGTGGACATGCAACCCCAGGTGCAGTGGCATTCACCACTGTAACGTTCCCATTATACAAAGGAGCTGTAGTCCTCTTGAATCTCTCCGCCGTCCCATAGCTGATGCCACGGAAGGTGTCTACACCCAAGGTGGAATTGTACACTCCTACAAAGGAGGTTTTGTCGATTGTGACGTTTACGAGACTAATTTGAGCATAGGAGGAGCCTAAGACCGACAAAGCGGTCAGGAGTGGGAGGAACATAAGGTCTATGCGGGAAGGGTGTTGGAACAGACTGAAGGCGGCTCGGAAGGAAAAGAGATGAATGAGTCTTGCTCAAGCTTGGCTTATAAAGGTGTCCCAGAAAAAGCTTCCGTTTTTCTGTCATGTCCGACGGATCCATCGGGTAGCAAGCGTTTCGTGGACGAAAGTTCGATTATATTTCTATTTATACACACTATCCGTTTTTTGCACTGGCAGTGACCGAAAAAGCTGATTCACAGAATCACAAGTCTGCGAAGCTGGCTATGTAATTTAAGAAAGAACTCGTACCTTTACACTACTTAGGAGGGCTTGAACGACAACAAGTTACAAGTGATTGGTACGCGAAAATCTAGGAAACCTTTTGGTTTGATTATCCGACCTATTCAAAATTTCCGGAAAGGGAGAATTCAGAGCACATGGATGATGATGGAAGTTTGGACAACTTTTCCGGAATTTGTGTAGGTGTTTGCTAGTTTCAGGAGGTTACAAGCCTCAGGATATGAGGCCAATTATTGCGAAGTCCCTGTTTGTGAGGACCTTCAGCGAGGCAGCGTCGCCACCGTCCGATGGAGAGATGAAATAGAGTTCGGGCCGGCACGAGGGAGGCTGTCCCGGTTCGCCACTGCCACCGGCATATTATTATTTTTCACTCATCCTCCGCGTCGATGTTCAGACACGTCCACCGGATATGTTCTAGTTTACACTCCGCCCCTTACTCTACTCGACATGCGCCCAGTGCATTAGCTGCTCGTACAGCCTCGGTTCCCCTTGCTGTCCGTGAGCGACGCGAAAAACAACTTGGACTAACCCCTGGCCCAGGAGAAACAGACGCTACACCTGACGGCCTTTCGCCTTCTGACTTGGCTAGGTACAAGAGACATAAAGCTCTTGGTACCCTTCCTAAGTCTGAAGATGGGAAAGTACAGTCACCAAAAGAATGGATTCAACGTAGGGACGCCAGGAGATCACGGATTCGTGGGTTCCGGACTATTAGACGAACTGTGCCAACCAAAGAGGATCCAGATGTGACAAAAACGGTGCAGGAAGTCGACGTTGCCGGTCAACCAGTGTACCTCCCTAATATCATCTTCCGTCTTGTCAGAAATCACACTCCCGAAGGGCAAGATTACAATCCCTTCGAAGCTACCTTCCGTGTTCCCCCATCTGTCACAAAAACCGATATTCGCTCGTACCTCTTCGCTGTGTATGGTGTCAAAACCACCTACATTCGTACGGACTTGTACTACGGCCGTAGCAAACCACGTGGACTGAGTAACCGCAAAATGCGAAGTACCTACAAACGTGCCGTCGTGGGTCTCGTTCATCCATTTTACTACCCACACCGTATGGAGGATATGCCTCAGGAAGAGAGAGATAAAAGGGAAGATTTCATCGAGCAACAGTATTTCGTCAAAGAAGCACATAAGATGTTTGCTCAGAATCGATTCCGAAGCGCGGCTACCTCTGCGAGAGGTGACGAATCGAAACAGTGGAAGTTCGACGAAGGAAGTGTGAAGGGACGAGGGAAAATCTTGAAAGAGGTTGCGAGGAGGAGGCAGTTGAAGGAGCAAATGGTGGCTGACTTGGTTGGGCAGTGGCAGAAGACGAGGATGGAAGGGAAGACAATGAATGTCGAGTTTCCGAGGAATAGGAAACCGAAGAAGGAAGTGGAGGCGAATGCATAATGAACAAACGATGGGTAATCGGTATCTAATTCAATTTAAATCTTTTATTACAGCTCTCATCTGGTATAGCAAAGATCATAAACGATTGAACATCTTTGCAACCTCCGTACACGGTTTTACGGGTATCACAACGTTGTTGTTGAAAATGATGACTATGGCTTTCTCCTCAGGCCTTAATCCGAATTACTGTTCGCACACTTCCCAGCGAATTCTTGTGAATAAGCTAAAGCTACTCATAACATTGGAAGTCATAGAGTGGGCCGTCCAATTTCTGGCAGGATACCACTATGTAGGGGCGAAAACTTCTAATCCCTATTTAGGTTTGCATCAGATTCCTTTATCGGCTTTTGCTTGCGCTACCACTTGCGCAACATCCGGGTTGCGCGCAGAAATGTTGCAACAGAAAGGAACCGGTCGACTACAAAGTAATGCAACAAATCAATCATAGTTGAGTGTGGACGTGTATATTTCGGCGACTCACACACTGAGACCTTCCTTGCACTGAAGGGAATCGGGAAGATTGCGATTTCCATCTGCATCTATCTCAGCACTAATATTCAGTGCCCAGAGTAAAAATGCGATATGGATGAACAAGCTGTTGTTTGCCACATGCCGTGCAACACAGATTCTTCCGGTGCTCGTCAGTGCTCGGGACCGAGTCTATTTGTTTATATATCAAACTCACCTCTTTCCAAAACCGTAAGTGACATGTCCCTCGTCCCTAGTATCTGCGATCGAAGATTTAAGCTTTCCGTTGTTATCCAGAAACCTCCCAGGATTGAAATGTTCAGCATCGTCGCCGTAAACGTTCTTGTCGAGATGTATCGACCTTTGAACGGGGATGAAATTGAGCCTCAATTGTTCCAAAGAACGTAGCCTCAAACTCACCAAACGTTCGCGTAACAGATCGTGTCCTTAGGCAAGAAATATCCTTCATAATAATCATCTTGAGTGAGCCGATGAGGTATTCCTGCGGAGGACGTGAATGCATGCTAGCGTATTTGCCGTTGTTACCTTACCCAGTGGGCCTACCCCTCTCCAGCGCATTATTTCTTTAACCATAGCTTGTATAAACGGCAAATGATCAAAGTCATCAAAGGTGGGGAGACGGTATGGTCCAACAACACGATCTAAAGCATAAACTCAGTGTTGTATATCAGCCTGGAACTAAATTTTCTCACCGAGTTCTTCCTGTGCTAGCCGCTGGGTTTCCGGATACAAAATCATCGCCTGCATGAACCAAGCTAGCTGACCAGAGGTCTGGGTGGCGAGCAAATCGATACTATGTGACAAATTACCAACATGCAAGATACTCACAGTTTCTGCTCCGCCTAAACTGTCATCAAGCTGAGCAAACCAAAAACCAATCAGTAAAAGTGCCAACGCACTAAACAGAGGCAGAAGTCCAAGCTGCTTCGAAAAAATCCTCCTTCTGAACGTTTCGGAGAAGTTTTCCACAGACGCTTGTTGGATCATCGCCCCTATCCTGAAAACATATAGTTAGTCCTCGTTCAAACTGTTCAATTCTTCAATCACTATTCGCTTTTGTACATCCACAGACAGCCCTTCTAGTGTGACTGTGACACGCTTGAAGGTCTCTTCTGCATCCCGTCTCCATGCACACATCCATCTTGGGAGATATCTCATCCACTCGAAGTAATTAAACTCAACCCAGAATGACCCTGGAACAGCGGCTACAAAAAATTTTCGATTAAACTGGTCAATTTTCCAAATGATTGGGTGATCAGAGTTCAGAAGCGGTGACCATCCATAAACTATAGAGAGAGTTAGAGATGTCGATGCGCGTTGAAAATGGTCAAGGAAGTTCTCTGGGTCGGTCAGCATTTGATCAAGCATAATGACAGACTCTGCCTCTTGGTATCCGAAGTATTCTTTTGCTGTCTGAGCTCTCAACGCCCTGAAACCAGCCGTGAATTCGACACTTCACTCCTTGAAGTATGAACGCTTACTCGTGAACTCTCCGGCGTTGTCTTTTCCACAAGTCATTGAGTCGGGCAAATCCCCAGTGCATGCCACTCGTAAGCATATTCAGAACAATGTAGTCCGGTCGATCTGAATAAATATTGGCACGTCGATCTAGAAGATCTGCTGCTGCTTTGTGCGTTCCCAACACGATTGTGTCCTGGCCGGCGATATTGAGATAGAAGATGGGACCTAGTGCAGCCGTCAACGACGAGACAATGAGCAGCTGAGGACACTAAATTTCTTACCATATTGTTTCGTCCACTGGTCGAAAACCAGCCACGGCTGACTTGTCGGAATCTGAAAAAGATTCCCCACAATTGGAAAACCTGAAGGCCCAGGTGGTAGTTTCGGACCCAGCTGCAACGCCTTGATCACTCGAAGGGTTACTACGAGGAATCCAATAGAAAACAAAAGAGTGTCCCACATCTCAGTTGGACGTGTACGTACGTAGTTTCAGTTTTTAAACCTTACCGTCAACGCTCTAAAGCCTCGTACTCAAGGATGTGCTTACTAGCTCGAATGATTTTTCACAAGCTCTTTGTTATTCGGATCGTTAAATCTTGGTCCGTACCGAATGACGAACTTGAACTAGAGTAACTTCGCCTCGTTATCTGTCAATACCTGTTAGGCCATCCCTTGAGGGAGGGGTTATGTTCGGTTTCGTGAGGATGACACTCAACTAGCTGAGTAGATCGATTCCTTCCTGCTTGCCAAATTATTGAGGGACCTCAGACTTCAAGAGCATAATGTACAACTAATTTAACTAATGGTCAGGTTACGGTGTAGCACCGGGTCCAACCAGAACCATATCATCAACAACATGGCCTTCAGGCTCAGCTTCGACCCCCTCCAAGCGTTTCCATGTACGAATCTTTTCCCCGTATTCGGAGATCTCATACACCCGGAATCGACGGTCAAATCCGACTTTGCCATATCCAGAATATGATCTGAATTTTCGCGTTATTTGAAAATTCGAAAAATAACGGACAACTTTCACGTACCCTCCACCACCAAAGCACATCCAAACTCCCTTCACGCGTCGACAATTTTCCGTAACTAGAACGAGGATCGTGAGCATAAAAGTATATAAGCCTGAAGCGAAACATACTGTGACTATGGCCATTAGCTACCACCTTCACTTCCTGCTTCGGACGCGTCTCAGACCCTGCCTGTGCATTAACGTGAATGCTCTCTGTAGCGTTCAACAACGCCTTCTCGAAAAACCCATCGGAAGAATCCGCGTTTCCGTTTGGCTCGAGTCCGCTCAAACCCACGTCTAACGGCCGTTGGGTGCTGGGATTCTTGTCTGGAGTGGAATAGGCTTCAGGTCTGAGAATAAGGGACAGGGAGTAAGAATGAGCTTGTTAATGCATTGACAACATATAACATCCGTAACGTACAAAGGCATGTGGAAGAACATCATCGCATTGGGTTTGGCAAGTCTGTGTGTTTGTGGTGTTAACTGGTCGGTCTGTCGGGCCCAATTTATTGATGATAAGTCTTTAGCGCCATCTGGGGTGAATGGTCTCTCTATCATGTTTATTGAAGCTGGAAAAAGTGCTTGAGGATATGTGAGAGGGGTTAATATAAGGGCAAAGACTGACCACTCTCCCTTAAGAACCAATCAATTTGATCCTGTCTCAGCCAATCATACGCAGTGGGTGTGAACATTCCCCAGAAGTTAAAGAACCCTTTCGAATAGGAGCCGGAGTCCAGAAAGTAGAGGGTGAGCAGGTGGGTCATTGAACTAATGGGGTAAATAAAGACAGGTATATAGATAGTGAGCATGAAAGAAAACCAGCAGGGAGGGCTTGTAAGTAGCACTCACGGATCTGCACTAAGAACTTTGAGAACATAATTTCCGACTCCGTGCAAGTCTCGTGGTCCTCTCTGAGCTAAGCTATAGGGCATGGCCTCCATCAGTTTCATCTGAAAATGTCCCTTCGGTAAGAATGTCTGAACATACGAGAAAAACGTCGCTGCTTACTTGATCCTCTCTGTCCATACCATTCTCAGAATCATGATTTCCAAAAACCGCTGCCCAAGGAATCCCTCTTCCCCATACTTCCTTCGCAAACTTTGCGAGAACACTCCTAGGGTCCCACGACGAGCCTTGTCCATTGAGCTGATCACCTGTAAAAACTACAAGATCCGGCTTCTCCGCATCCAGCATACGCGCCAGGAGTGTATTGGTAAGGTTGTCCGATCCAGGCCCATCCGGGGATGTACATAGTTTATCCAACGTTTCGCCCGTACGCATATCCCGACAGCTGCCAACAGACACCGAATAGTGCAAATCCGCAATCTGCATAATTTTGAATTTGCCATCTCTTGAAAAATGCAGTGGGGGTGCTTTCGGTACAGGATGGACACCTTTCCGGATAGTAATGTAGGTTCCCTCAACTATGTCGTCTTTTCTGTACATCGTAGGAGGCTCAAGTTTTTCGAATCCCCACCACGGTACGTCTTCTCCGAACAAGACGTCTATTTCTGTGATAATTTGGGCTTTGTCGTCTGAAGTCATCTCACCCGCGGTTTTGCCAACATGATACCAAAGGAAAAGCGGGTTAGCGTGATAGACACCTGTGCGAAGGGATTTATCGACTTTGGTCCAGCCATCAAGAGGGGATGGTTCTTCCTGAGAAGGGAGGAGGCGTATTGAGTCGATGAGATTGATGTCAAGGCGACGAGTACGACGGTACCATATGCTCTGAGTGGAGGGCATCAGGATAAGTAATTGATATACAGCAGAAGAGACGAACAAGAAAGCCACTCATATAACCGGATTCATCATTCAGATTCCGGTCCACACGAACCCAAGGCCCACGGATAGCGTCCTTTTCTGTCGTAGTCGAAGGCGCGCACAAGTCTCCAGCAATTATTGGGTCCATGTAGCAATGGGTTACGGATACTTCTGATACTATAAAACATGTGTAATATGAGAACCAAAACCGCCCAGATGATAATTCCGATAACTTACGACCAGTATCGTGAGGCAATAACGGAGCCCAAACATCCAAAGGAAAACTAGTTGTATCGACCTTATCCTGACCTGATCCTGGGATACCACTGACATTCCACCAGTCGACCCCTTCCGGCAGTTCGATACTGGAATTTCCACCTTGATCCTGACTAGTACTTCCATTTGATGTTGAAGATGCTGCAGCTAGATCCTCGCTACTCATGGAAATCGAGTCCCAGCTTTGCCAGCCCAGTCTTTGTTTTATGCCGGGTCCAGGTGTTGGTTGATATAAGATAAAAATGAACGTGAGGAGACAAGAGAAGCAAATGACCGCTGTTATGGGTGCACACATCGAGCGCAGAAAGCGCAAGGAACGGTATAGAAATGACATGTCGATGGGGAGCAGCCTTGAGGCTGAGCTTCTAGTTAGTTGAGGTGCGATAGGGCGAAGGAGGAGTGGGAAACGATAAATCTTGTGTGAAGAGAACGTGGAAAGCTGGTGAAATTAATACTTCAAGCGCTCAAAAGTGATTGCACGTTCTAAGCTCCACGTGGCACAGTTACGGACCTACGGTCTCGAAATATCCAGCTTTGGCCTAGTTCCGGAAGGATAAGATAAGATCTGATAAGATGTGGCAGACTACTTTACGCTCTCATCGCCGAGATTTCAACAAGCACTTATTCAATAACGGTAGGGTCTGGTAGGGACGGTAAACGAATTACTCGTGTTTTAGACAGTAACATTCCAACCCCCAGTGGAAAATTTGGACATTGGGCTCTTCTCTGGCTCAACCGAGCGAACACTCGTCCAGACTCGTCTTATCTCCCGATCGATGGTATAATTTTGAAAAGATTGTTGATTGGTGTCAGGTGGTTTTTAACACTGTTCGATAATCTCTTAAAACAGCTTGAGACAGATAATGTAATTGCAAGATAACTTGTAGTGGTTTAGAAAGGGATTCGCTTTGTGATGCTAAAGATGGAAGATAGCAATAACGCTGAGAGCGCCTATATATGTTATATCTTGTCATATAAGTAGTCTTGGTCCTTGAAAAATATATACAGTAAGTCCTCCGTGCTCCTCCAACTTGAATAAATACTGAAAAGGTCCAAAAAGAAGTTTGACCTTCGGCTCAGAGACTGACCTAACTAAGTAGCATACGCAGGAGGCAGATCATCATGGGCGACAGGTTCTAAAAAACCATCCATAGCCCAATCAGCTTCCTGCTCATCTGCAGCGAGTCTTTCTATTTCCTCGTTGCTGAGGAATGGATCGTTTGCCCAAGTGGATTGGAAAGACATTCTTTTCAATTGAGGAGGCTCAGAGCTCGAAGCTAGAGCCAGTGGTGAGTTGAAAGAGTTGTAGGATGGAAGAGGAGATCTTGGATGAGTGGAGCTGGTTGCTTTAGGAAGTGTAACTTGATAGTCCGCCTTACTGCTTGTATTCGAAGAAGATCCAGTCTCAGTGGAAGCATTACCATGTCGCCCATTACTTCGAGAGACTTGATGGTAATGGGAGTCAGAGCTGTTACCCGAGGGACTCTGCGTGCGGTCATGACGACGATGACTCAAAGGTCCGTGCAGTCTGTTTATCTGATACTCAACGTCAGATGAAGAAGGCTGTAACATCGCGGAGCGCATTTGAGCTGTCATTGTAGTGGCGACAGACATCACACTGGAGCTCCGGAGCAACAATCTTTCCTCCTGCGTCCTGGTAAAAACATTCTGAATGTCTTCGTCGGAGAAGCGCCGAGCTTCATTCATTCTTCTACTGCCACTCTCAACCATATCAGGATCAAGACGGTACCTTGACGTGATGAACGGTTCGATTACTCCATTACTCGAGCGCCATTTCCGAAGTTGGGCCTTCAAGTTCCACCCACGCCGAGACTGACGATCAGCCTCCATCGTTTGGGAGACCGAAGCAGATTCTAGATCAGGTAGCATGTCCGTCATGGAACGATCCCTGGAGTGAGGCAGAGACCCGGGAGGGCTTACCGCTTGATACTTGAAAAATGGATTGAGTGATTTCCGAGCATCGCGATCAAAAAAGCGGCGTTTCCTTCTATGTTTTATTAAGCACAGTGCAATGAGCAAACTCAGTGCAATGGCCAAGATTACTGCACCAATAGTGACTCCAGCGATAGCACCTGGTTGACTCATCGTCTGTTGAATGCTTTGATCATGACCATTAGAGTTAGAGGAATCCCCAGATGTTGCAGGCAAGGGAATAGAGTGCGGTGTCGGATCAACGATTGGTGTAGGTGATAAGGTGATTCCGCTTGTGGTCAAGAAGATCCATGTCGAAGAAGAGGTTGCCTCGGTGTCACTCCCAATGGAGGTCTCCGCAACAGTGGCGAGCGCCGCGTGGGTAATAGTATGCGAAGGGTCCTGGGACTTCAAAATGATTTCAGATGTAGTGGCTGAACTGGCAACATCTGTCGAAGGACTTAAGCCGCCAATAAGAGTCTCGAAATTTGAGCCTGAGAAAGAAGGTAGTGAAACAGAAACAGCTGTAACATGAGTGATTGTAATGCTGGGAACCGGCGTGCTTGATATCAGAAAATTGCTATGAGGCCAGCTCCCACTATGTTAAATAGCAGATGATGAGAACACATAACAGAAATCAGAAGTTTAATCAAACCTCATTGTTAAAGACGAAAAAAGGCTCTTCGCCGCATCGTTGGAGCTATCCGAAGAAACTGTCGATGCTAAGGTGTTTACCGGACTAGAAGTTACTAGTGACGATCCAACGGGGATAGACTTCACCGGGCCATCAACCCTCGGCGGAGAGGTGTTGGTCGAGGCAGTGTGATTTGATGAAGAGGGCAACATGCTCGTAGGCTCCGATGATGGGATTGGAGTTGAAAGATGAGTAGAAAGATGAGAAGACAAAGACGTCCAAGGGTGTGAGATATTCAGCGGAGGAAATTTCGAAAATGATATAGGCAATGTAGGTGCAGGGAGCGAGGGGACTCTTCCTTTGGAAGTAACAGTAGACGTTGCGTTGAACGCTGTGCTCGAGCTGCTACCAGGATTGCTGCTTGAAACGGTGGTAGAAGACAGAATGGAGGAGCTCAAATCGATGGCGCTGGTGGTGAGGTCCGATGCAGACCTTTCCACAGGGGTGCTCGTTTTCGTTGGGCAATCTCTAACAGTCGAGCAAGTTAAAAGGGTATAATTTCATTTCAGCTTCAGCAAACTCACAGAAGAGTGATTGTCGTATTCCAGATTGAGGTTCTTTAGTTCGCCACAATGAAGACGAAAAATCAACGGAGGAGATATTGGGAAAAGCAGATACTCACCCATTGTCGTCTTCACAATCGATTCGGAAATCGCTATGAATGTGATAAAAATTGAGATTGGAGTAGGAACATAGAGGAAGAGCACGTACCCAGGATGGTTGAACACCGATATCGGAATATTCCCCTCTTCCATTGATGGCCCAATTGCTTGTATGAGCCTTCGCAGGCCGTCTGGCGCAAGGTCATCTAAAAACAACTGCATATTTTGTGGGTCGCCTAGTCCCCGAGCCCAAGGCAAATCCAGAAGCAAGCAAGGGATGACGTTGGGGAATTCGAAGGAGAATGCCTCCGCCACCTGGCAGAGAAAGAGTGAGACAGCATAAAGTCGTCTAGGTGTGAGTGGCATGAGTTCTCTACATGAAGTAGCACATTACGAGAAACACTTACAACAACCGGAGAAAGAATGTCATAGAAAGGAACGACGAAGTAATGGGAGAAGAGAAAGAACTTTAGGTATTAGGTGCCCATCACTAAGAGCCAGTTTTGAGATTTTACCATCTGCCATTGATGTCGGCCATGACAGACAGACTGCCGTGCCAGTTCAAAGTGAGCAGCTTTGAGTTTGCTGAGATTCAGAAGAATCAAAACAGCGATAATCTTGATGACGATCATTGGAATGTTAAATGATAATAGCTGTTGATAGCCAAAATGGAACACATCTTGATCATCCTGACGTAGAATAGACTCAGAATGAGAGTAGGTAGTCCTTTTGCTAGAATAGATCGAAGTTTAAGAATCTTGCAAGGCATCCTCTTTGGTACTTGGTAAGTAATTCCGACTGTACAGCCGCGCGTTGTTGTTGTTTGATCCTTGATTTCGGGTACAGCAATAGAAGTCTGAACTTGAAGAATGAAGGCAATGTAGGGCACTGTGTGCAATGGAAGGAAGAAAAGTGGTCGTGAGAAATATCCTATCACTTAGCTCTTTCATTGTCAAACCGCCTCTGAAGTGCCTCATAAGCAAAGGCGATGATGGTGCATCCAACATCCAGATCCACTGCATCGGAATTTTCATCTTTACCACTTTATAAACATGCTCATAACCAAATCTATCCATCCTCGGTCCAATCTTCAATGAATTTCAGACAAAGCAGCAAGCCAGCCGCTTTGTTTGATCCCGAAACTGGAGCTGAACTGCACCGTCATCCTGACCTTTGGTTCGACGACGGTAGCGTTATCTGTAGAGCAGAAGACATCCTTTTCCGTATTCATATCTCACAAATGTGTCGACACTCGCCATTCTTCAGAGATATGTTCTCCATAGGCAACCCCTCTAATTCTGTCCTCGGATCTTCCATCTACTCCAAAGGCGGGCCCAATGACTTTGAAAACTGTCCACTTATCGAACTTCATGACAAGGCAGACGACGTGGGTAATCTGTTCGTAGCTCTCTATGATGGACCGTACGTGTTTTCGTTCCATATGTCGTGTATCATTTATCCTCTCTTGTTCCATCAGACACTTCGGAAACAACGATCAAGACGACTTTCGTGTTGTATCCGGGGTCCTACGGTTATCGACCAAATATCTTGTCGATTCATTACGTGAAAAGGCTATTGCTCATCTTAGTATAGCCTGGCCATCCACGTTGAAAGGTTGGGATGCCCGAGAAGATGTGGCTAGAGCTTATGAGATGGAAACGGGCACTAGTGGAGCTCGTTTGTATCCGTCACCACTAGTGAGCTTCCATCCCACCCATCGACCATGCCAACTTACCTGTTGATTATCACAGGCTGTCATTAACCTTGCCCGTGAAGTAGACGCGCCTACTCTTCTTCCATCCGCTTTTTTCGATCTTTCCCGGTATACTTACCCTCAGATTTTTGATCCGTGTGCTCAGGATCCCCTTTATTATCCTTCTTCTAACTCTCCGTCTCCACCCCCATCGTTATCATCAACCCCACCTCCACCTCCCATCTGTCTTTCTCTCGGTGACACCCAACGACTTTGTTTAGGGAAGGAAGCTTCCCAACACGCAATCACCTCACTCATACAATCTATGAGTAACAGCCAAAGTATTCGCAACAGCGGACTGCAGTTGCAGTCTGCATTTTCCCTTACTCATCCTCTGACTCATGGCTATACTTCATCTTTAAGTGGATCAATGCATCAAAATGGTCATTACCACCATCATCGTTCATCTTCCGCCGCTATTTGCATATCTGCAGCAGCTTGCCGCAAAGATTTTTCAGAGCTCGTCGATCTGGCGACGAAGCATTACTTATTTGATCGCGAGAGAGGGTACAGTGATCCGCTGTATATGGCGGACGAGATTGGTGGGTTGAAGAGCGAAGCGTCAGAATGCAAAGCATGCGCAAAGAGCTTGGAGACATGGGCCATGAGAGAACGAGAAAGGATATGGCGCCTGATACCCACATGGTTCCGTCTAGGCTCTGATACCGGATCCGCAAGTCCTGAAAGAACTTCCTCTCCGCCAGTGGTTGATATATAGAGGTGTAATACAAACTGCTGGTATTTCTTCTACTTCTCCAGGTCACTGCTCTTGTGATATGTACTCGTACCCATTACGAGTTTAGAGTGTGTAGATGGATTAGCCGTCGAGGCCGCCACCATACGGAACGTCGCTATACAGGTCTACGATCATATACATTTCATTTCCCTTTGTTTCTTGCGATCACTTTCACTTCTTTTTGGTATATTGAGATGTACGGGACAGGATCCCATTTACGATTACAGATGAATACTACAACTTCCCGACTTACGACGAACACTACCACTACACAAACTCACTACACAAACTCACTACTTTTTCCAAGCTCCGACAGTAGCTTATTTACATGCTTGCCATGCTTCATATCACTACCAGGCTTTTTCATGTTTTATTTGATACACCTCCACAATTGTCCATTCCCTTCAAAGTTCATACTTCTTGCACAACACAAATGTTCAAGAGTCCCCCAAGTAAACACGGATAGGCAACTGAGTGCCTTTGTCAAGCTCTCCCTCGATTGCGGGCACCATAGTCAGTGCGGATTCGCGTCGTATCCTGGTCAATTCGGGGGTATCCCTGATTGCAAAATTTCTGAGGAGGACTACAATGAATGTTTGCAGCTCTGCCACACTAGGACATAATGTTCAGCAAAGGAAAATATAGGTTTTAGAGTTGTACATAGACCTACGCAAACCTCCATCCGATACAAGAACGGACTCCGGCAGCAAACGTCGCTCTACATAATAGACGAGGCAAGTTCATCAGCTCGAGGGATCAGCGGAAGCGGTCCGAGTGGAATTAAACTCACAAACTTGCGTATGGGAATCCTAGGTTATCTTCGGTCTTGACGCGCCCCGGTTCGAGCCAACGGTTAGGATTGAATTCATGGGCGTCTACACTAGAATCAGTTGAATGTCAACTAGAATGTCAATTTTATCTATACCCTCGCCGAAGATCGTTAGGTTTCTGCTTCATAGGTTAGTTGTCAATGTTTCAAGGTGTTTTTATTTACGAACCTATTGTACGCCGAGCAAGAACCCACTATCCGTGTACCTTTTGGGACAGGTATCTCAGTGATGAGTTGTCCTGTCTTTCCGACTATTGGCTTTGAAAGCGGAATCACATCATCTTCGTTAGCGGTTCGGAAAAGATGCAATACAATAGGATGAAAACGAAGAGTTTCCTAGGAGTAGCTCGTATGTGAATAGTCTACTTTGAATAAGAAAGTAGCGGGTGCACCTTGCAAATGGCATTCAAGAGAGGCATCTCTTCGTAGTCATTTAGAGTGAACTCGAATTCTCCGCGGTCTGCAATCTTTCTCTCGGTGGATTTGATTTCTGTGCGAAGTTGATCCTGGAGTTCTGGATTGCGGGCAAGTTCTGTATAGGTCGACTAATTAAGAATCACAAGTGAATGCATATAGACGTACCTACCATAAGCCGCCCAGCAGATACTGTTTGTAGTTGTCTCATGTCCTCCGAAAAGTAGAGTTCTGCAGTTGTAAGCGAAGGACAAGAAGACAAAAAGGCCTACACACCTCATCTGCGCCACAAGCTCTTCGTCAGAAAGTCGTGATTTAAATGATTCTGATAAATTGGATTGTACTGCAGCGGATAAATCATGTTCTGCTATCCATATTCAGACTTCATACGCACCTAAAGATGTGTATATATCCGTATCGGGAGTGCCTTGTTCAATTTGATCTACTTTCTGAGCGATGAGTTGTTTTGCAACGCCTTTTCCAACATGAGCTACATGATGTAGGGTCTCCAATCTGGGGTTGTGATCATTCATGAACTCCATGACTGTAGATGGAATAAGCCTGAAAAGGTCCAGCATAAGCAAGCCCATATTGGATGGAGCTCTGAATGCCTTGGCTCTGTGTTTGTAAACGTTGATGTGAGCATTAGACCTCATTGGACGCGATATTCAGAGAAGTGACTGACGTTAAACCCTCATACGCTTTTGCCAGCTCGTTTTCGTGGTTGCTGATAGATCCAAAGTCATAGTCGAATGCAGCTAATCGAAGAGGTTTGGCGAAGCAAGGTGACTAAAAGGAACGGACACACACCTAGCCCAATAGCATCGAGGGTGGCATGCGACAGATGGTCAGTCAAGTCAAAAACACAGGACTGGTCACCAGATTTGGATATAATTTTCTTCCATTCTGAACTCATCTATGCGAGCAAGGACATCAGGGTGACATCATGCAGGGAGAGATCAGTCAACATACTGCTTCGGCGCAAGCAACAAAGATGGGGAGGAACTTCTGAGTCTCTGTCGCTCGAAACCCCGGCGTCATAAGCCTGCGATGCCTCACATGAGTTTCTCCTGAACGGTCGGTCAGCATTGTAAAAGACCAGAGAGGAGAAGGAGAGCATACCGTCCGCCCACGCAAGTCCTTTTCCCGATGTAAGTCTTCCCATTTCTCGACGGACTGGACTCCTACGCCATTTGTAGCCCGAACAAAGGATATGTTGGAGGGCTTTTGGGTCTGACACTACCAGTTGTTCAGACTGCCAATATCTGAATCAGTGTGCGTGTGCATAGTACATGAAAACGGTGCGAACGAACCCCAAACGACGTCCTGATGCGCACGACGTCCCCGTAGATACGCTGCCATTCGAATTCAGCCTATACATAAATATACTCAGATCGCCTCATGTGAAACTTAAAAGTCGTCACTGGTTCTCACAAGACCTGCTGGCCGCTGCAATAGCTCACGCAGATGTCCTATAAAACAACAATAGCTGAGGTGCTGTTCAACCACTACCAGTCATTAGTAAGTATACCCAGGATGAAAGAACTATGTTTTGGGCCTTGGATGTTCCATAATGGCGAAGATGCATTGTTTTTGAAGAGAAAGAGAGCAGCGACGAGCAGGCATAGGATAAGCAGAGTCGCAGTTTCCATTTGGATTCTGGTGTTTGAGTTAAAAGAGAACTTATAGTATGCGACGTATTCAGGATTATCTGTATTCTGTGACGAACTGCTGATCAGAGCAGGTGGTACAGCTCCCCAGGCTACTTAAATCCACGCAACTAGATTCAGTGCATATCCATACAACGGCGGTTGACAAGTACCTGATAGCTAGATCTAGAGTAAATGTCGAGGTTCATTCTTCGCGGAAAGCTGTCATTCTATGGCGCAAAACAACGAGTTAAGGAAGAACATATACTTACACAGTTAAAAAGCCGCTACTATGGTACGATCGTTCACTGAGTCCATCTTGCGCCCAAGTTCATCCAGTAGCTTGTTGAGATGTTGTGCCTCTTCAATCAACTGATTCACCGTACCCTGACCGTCTCTGGCCTCGGGGAGCTTTTCTCTCAAGCTATATTCGTCCACGGATTTCTTCACAATCTCCGCCCAGGTCGTGCCCTCTTTCTGCAGAGTCTCCACGATCTGATCCTTTATTCTTCTGCATGTGCCCACGCCATCATAACCAAAACTAGTATAGACCTGTACCATCGTAGCACCAGCACGAGCATATTCAAGGGCATCTTCCCCATTAGATATTCCTCCACAACCAATGATCGGTATATGAGGAGGAAGATTGGCTCGCAATGTCCTCAAAGCGGTTAAAGTGTATGGTTTGATGGGAGGCCCAGAAAGTCCCCCATTTTCAGTGCGGGAAGCTGGAGCAGACTGTCAACCAAAAAACACTACGTCTGTCTAGAATGGCGCCTCACCACTTAGCAGATGTGATGGTCGTTGAATAGTCGTGTTACTAACAATGACACCGTCAATCCCAGTATTCTTGATGACATTTGCAATATCTTCTATTTGAGACTGATCTAAGTCTGGGGCGATCTTGAGAACCAAGCGAGGCCTTTGAGAGGTGAGATAAGATGGAGGCAGGGAGTCTCTGGCCTGGGTGACACCCGTCAGCAACGCTTCTAGTGACGCTTTGCTCTGTAGCCCCCTGGAGATGCCCAACGTTAACTCTGTTCCAAAACTTATATCCATTTGCATACCTTAGACCAGGTGTATTAGGGCTCGAAACGTTCACCACTAGCACATCTGAAAAGGGCCCAAATGTTCTAACCCCCGCAACGAAATCATCGATTGAGTCAGCCGGAGATTCTTTGTTTTTGCCCAAATTAACGGCTAGCAAAGACCCGTCCCGAAGAGAGGCTTTGGTTTCTTCTCCGGTGAGGAATTTGGGAAGACGCGCTCGGACACGAGAAAATACGGTCGCATGACCTTGGGAAGGGAAACCGTAGCGATTGATGATGGCGTTGTCTTCTGGGAGACGGAACACGCGTGGCTTGGGATTGCCTGGCTGGAAGTCAGTGGAAGACGTTAAAACGACAGGAATTATGATATAAAATGTCGGCGCACCTGAGGCTTAGGCGTGATACTGCCAATTTCCACCCAGCTAAAACCGAGATCAAAAAGCCCTGGAGTTCGAAGTCAGTTCAAGGTGGAAACACAGGCAGGAATACTGTGCCATCTATTGCTTCCCCGTCTTTGTCGAAACCGGCTGCTAGTCCAATGGGATTCGAGATTTGGTGTCCCCATAACTACTCAATTTTTCATTCAAGAAGAACAATACGGCTTCCATGACGAACTCACTTCAAACATGAGGTGTTCATCGTCAGTGACAGGATCCTTGGGCCCAAGACCGCTCCGCAAGACCTTTACAGCGATTTTATGACTGGTCTCGGCGTCCAAAGTTTGCCTCAACACAGGCATGATTACATATCTGTGGAGTGCTGAGCGTGCATCGAAATAATACACGGCAAAAAGACCTGTGGAGAGTACCAGTGCAGTTGCATAAATTCCAGCTGTTATAGGTGATCGACGAATAGGCGATGCTTTTGTGAATAAGTTTCTCGACACATTATGAGTCTTCAGTGGTGTGAAGAGCGAGCGACAGGCAGCTTGTCGTAGAGCTGCCATACGTGACGCTGAGCGAGATGATGAAAGGAAATGAAGAAATCAATTACGGCTGTTATAAACGTATGCATAACTTTGTACTGCAGGTAACATATGGTGTCCGCAAGCCTACAAAATCTGCATCTTGTACATCTAGTTTCTGCCGATGTTCTTCACGTGTTATACTCAACGACAGTATGTAGTAGTCTGATAGTAGTAAATATGTAGACTGGCAGTGGCTGGCAGTGGGAAATCCACATTTGTACATTTGTGACACTTTTTTGCTACTTGAATACTACCATATGTTGGCAAAGCACCTATATTCAAAGGTAATAATGCAGGAAACTCTGGTGGGTGGTGGCATTGGTCCTCGTAGTCATCGGCGTCGTTGGGCAACGATGCCCAACGAGCGCCCAACCTTCGTTCCGAGCGCCTCTTCAAGCTTCAGACATCCTTGAACTATAACCTTCACGGTTCACGCCCTCCTAGTTACTACTATTCTAACAATCTTTCACATCACACTCGTTTTTTATCCTAATATCTCAATTTTGCTCTATATGCCTCACCCGAACCTCATTCTCTATGTCGCCCTAGCAACGTTTGCGCTGTTTGGTTCGCTGTTCTTGGTCTGCCATTTCGCACCTGTTGTGAACCGATGGAAGTACCAAAAACAAGTTAAGCAGGATCTTGATGTCGAGAAGTCAAATGTACGATCATCATCTTCCTTCCTACGTCCTCAATTCAATCATTGCCACCGGATGTAGTTCGAATACTCGCGGAAACTCTTCCAAGAAGGAAACTTGAACAGCGAGGAATCTTTACCTTCTGGGTCACTCGCTAAAATGATTTCGGGACTCTCCTTCGAGTGTGGTGCGCCTTTTGTACCTTTGATAAATGCGGTGACTTCTTCCTCTATGCCCCTCCCATCGTCCCTTCTATATTCCTTACACCGTAAGGTCGTGCCTCTTCCTGTCAAACAACATCATCTTTCCATTCCGGCGTTCTGCGAAGATTTCGTTCACCCCTCAAGCCCTCTTCTGAATTGCATCTCTTCTACTTGGTCACTCAACGATACCTGTTCTCAAACTGTCTCCCAGTCGCATCCAAATTTCCATCAAAGCCAATCCTCAGGGAGTCAAATCTCTTACAGAAAATGTCCCTCCCCATACATCCATCGAAACTCACAGCGCTATTTCACAAAGGTTAACAGGGCTGCCATATGTATACCAACCCCTGCAAGGCAGATGAATGTTGACGTTTTTCAGGCTATTCATGCGAAGAAGTTTGCTATGCGAGAAATATCTGGACTGGGTTACTATGGGGGATATAAGACAGGCGTTCAGCGATCGGCGTATATGAGGGCTTATTTCGGAACAATATCATCCATGGAGCGACCGCACTAGATTGTCAAACCGTACAAAATAAATTTCAGATCACTACAAGTATCCTAATTATCCCTATCATACACATGAAAGATTCCCTGATAAATTGCATTGTGCGAGATCTCACGAATATTGTTCCTACCCACCGTCGAATGTAATCTGGTTTGCTGAATCGGGAGGTGAGGCTACAAATGCGCTGTAAGTGCCTAATTGACATGTTGTTATATGTGAGGTGTATAACCCTGTTTCTGAAATCTGATGCAGGTTGAGCATCAGCCTGGACATTATCGTAACGGACATGCTGAGAAATGACAGAATTGTTTTCTCAGCATATCTGTACCGGCTACATAAGCTAGGGCCCGGAGAGACATACCTACTGGCAAACGTGCACAAAGCGCCTCGGAGGAAGGGCTGTGCGTACTTAGCTTCGGCGAGATATCTTTGCAATTCGAGAATATATGCAAGACCTACATCAGGATACTATGCAGTGAACGTCAGAAAATTCTGAAGAAAGAGAGATAATTTGGTCTCGTACATAGAACGTGGATATGTTGATGAGATTGGCAAGAGCCATGACACTTGTGAAAGACATTCAACGACTTTTCCCAGAGAGCCATGGCAGCCCGACATACCCAAAATAAATCGATCCTAGTAGCGTAAAAAAAGACGTTACTGATTTTGGCAATGACGATCAAAAAGGACCTCAAAATATTACCTACCGTCGCGGAGAATGATGACAACAAGGGGTATTCGCAGCCGCTCTTGTCGTAGTTCGTAGCGAGTTTTGTAGGCTTTGTGAAGGGTCATGACGAACAACATTGAATCGTACAAGAAAAGGGCCTCCCAAGCAGCGGCGACTTCTATCAAAGAATGATCAATCAGTCGAGGCGAGCAGGGCCTCGGAATTTTAATAGCTAGACGTACGAATGGATCTAAGCATAACAGCGTCAGAGGGCCTCGGAATACGAGAAGCGCAAGGTTCTACGCACGTTATTAGTGTCAGTTGAGTGTGACATCCGGTGGGGGTCAATACCGATTGGCTTGATTGACCAAAAAATATCGCAAACTGGATCACAATGTTCGAGATATACTTGGTAAGCATATAGATCAGGCTCACAATGGATAGCCCGCCTAATGTGAATCCAGTAACAAGCATGTATATGAGCATACGCCTGCTACAGTGGTAAAGGGCATATATCCGGATGGTGAGAAGAACTGAACAGATCCGTTGCACATCAAAGTTGTCGGGGGAACCGATGAACTCTCTTACTGCAAACAATGACTTGGGTCAACACAAGGAGGAGTTCGCGAAATAGATGAAATGGTCGGCAGCTGATTGAAGCGTTATCGGTTGCGGTAGCTCGGCTTGCAAATTTTCACCATACCTCTACCGTTATACGAGTCAAATCCAGGTTTCAGACTCGGAAGAGGATAAGATACCAACCGATTCTGTCAGGCCGCTCGAGAAGAGTGACACAGTTACAACAATATTCCCCAATGCAGCAAAATAGCGGTTGAAAAAGAAGAGCGCTGTACTCCAGCCCATCGAACGTTTCCACAGATATTGAACTTCATCCGCTGCAGATAGTTATTGAATAAATCTTGTGTGTTTTGAGGAAGGAAGCCTACGCACGAAAAGTAATCAAATGGTCCCAATAGAGAAACGCTATACATTCCGTTAATAAACACTTCAAATAATAGAAGTATATACTCACTTATTGAGAACAGGTGAAAGTAATCTTCTAATTGTCTATTTAAAATGCTAAGAGGTCAATCATTCTTGGGTGGAGAAAACAGGACATACTGCTGTTGCGCTGCCGAAATATGCTGTACGATCGTCGACTTCATGATTCGCCAGGGTCTACCTGGCCAGTACTGTGACAATGGACGTCGGGGAAAGAGTATGGATGAAGCTGATGATAGCTATATAAAAAGAAAGGAACGCTAGAGCCTGCTTCTCATTGGTTCGTGATGCCGAAGGGAAGAAGTGCGGTCTTCGAACAGTCCTTCATAATCCCACAAGCATCTGTTTTCCTTTCTGTAAATTGGCTGGGTGCCTCCAGGTACTTCCCCGAGAATCCAGGACAGCACGGGAGCTGCCGCTGTCAGAGTGTCAATGATTGTCGATATTTGTATGACTGTCGATGGATTGTCACTTGACGCGTCAACAAGGACTAAGATTGCGCCCAGTCAGTGTTGGCCTCCGGAAATGTATCGGATTTACAAGCTGAGTTATGCTTGAGCGTCTGAGCCATATACAGGAAAGCGGAACGGCAGGAAGGGCGCACAGATATGGATTGCACTAGGATTGTTGAATCATCGACCAGCAGCAGGAACGAACTGGAAATGGACAAAGGAATTCCTCGAAGGACCTAAATGAGCACTTTTTTGGAATCAAATGCACCGCAATCATTTAGAATGATTTTCACCTTTATTCACCCGGTGCAAAGAAACGTGGCCAGCCTTCTGCAATACATTCTGGGGGACAGAGACAGTACCTGACAGTACGCAAACGGATCTTCATGATCAAACATTTCTAGGATCAGAGAAAAATGGCGTGGAATCCACAATTAGCATCCTTGGGCGCTACATACTCTTTTTGCAAATTGCAAAACTGGATGACTTCCCGTAGGAATTATTTGCAGGACACCAGACAATTAATTTGTGCCACCAATATAAGCGAACCTAAGCGAAGATGGCCGGACAGCGGCTTCGCAAAAACTGCATCAAAACCAACTTACAACGGCCTCCCTACCCTGTTGTAAACTGGTTTTTGGTGTAAGCGAGGGTCCCATCAACAGTCCGTACGTCGCATCAAATACCGTTAATAGTTAACTGCAGAATAATTGCAGCGGGAAGTCACCCACTATAGAGGTGGGTCGGGAAAAACGCAGAGCTGATGGCCGGCCGTGACAGATTCATTATCGAAAATTGAATATGAGCCGACAATGGCAGTATTGCCGCATCCCGGCAGAGGCCGGCCATCAGCTTCACGTTTTTCTCGACCCGCCTCTAGTTTTGCAATAAGTTGCTATCATCTTTCAACTTTCAAGGCCTCAGTCAACTAGAGTCGCTAGCCCAGCTTTCTGCAGTAACCTCCTGTGAACCCTTTTAGAACTGGTTTTTGCCATGCGTGCAGCGCGATGAGGATATGAAAAGCCCGAAAACTGGGCTCTCAAAAACTGAGAGAGTCCTACATCTTGTACCTCTAGAAGGTAACTTTCACCTCTTGTCACTATCGATGGTAGTTTCTGAAGGGTTCATAGGATTCACCAGCCGGGTGGCAACTGAATTCATTTAAGATTGTTCACATGATGGCTCCTGGTCACCTGATCGCGATTCGAGCCCCTAAAAAAGTCGGTATACGCATATTGAATCGTGTTACTGTAGTGTTAGGTTACTGCTATAACATTAGATACGAGGGCTTGGGAGACAGTACTAATCACCAACGACGAAGATGATGATAGAGGAAGAATCGGCGCCATGCATAGTTCAAACTTTTGATAGGCATAGTGTCAATACCAGCGTATCTCAGAAGTGCAATTGAGAACGACGAGAAAGACAATGCAGGTCACATCTCGTAACAGAACATAACGTGACTTTATAGTTTATACTCAGAGAGAAGGCGACAGCGAGCAGCATTCACGGTTGCAATTGCTAAATCAAATGCAGCACATGAAATTATTTGAGTGCATCAGAGGTCAATGAGAATGGAGGTCGATTGGAATAGAGTAACAATGGAGTCCAACCAAGTAAAGTATAGAAACTTATGGTCAAGCCTTAAGCAAGATGACCGCTCAGCTATGTTAAGTTCGGTGCACGGAAAGAAGGTCTGACGTAAGAGATGGGAAGTGAAAAGGTTGGGACTGTTCGATAAATTTGATTGCCGCTTACTGCGCACGTGCAATTTTAAACTCCGCGTGGCTGAGCAAATTTTCGAAAATTTGTAGATCATCTTTTTTCACGACTTCTTCCCATTCCTATTCCTTTTCTCCGTTAATAAAATGGATGTAAGATGGCGTTATTATGCGATCTCCGCGTTGCACCTTGCTAACATAGATATGCAGCCTAATTTTGTGCAGGGGCTTCATAATCTGCTTGTTCAGACCACCTCTAATGACACCGTTGTCCTCAAAGCTGTATGACATTTACTATCATCATTTGCTACCTTTGCTTAATCTCGATCCACCACAAGGCCACTGCACAATTGAATCAAGACTATTACAAAAATCCAGCATGCATATCTGCTCTTGCAAGTATTATTACCAGCTCCCCCGATCAAGCTGTACGCGATCTCTTCATCTATTCCATATATACATCCTCAACCGACATATATCCTGCTTGCAGATTCGTCAGTTGGCGGCGGTCGAACTGAGGAAACGTGTAGCTTACAATAGTGGTAATTTATGGACGCTGATATCGCAAGATGAGCGCGAGCAGATCAAAACCAAATTTCCGGAATTAATTCTCGGAGAGTCGAGGTACCTTTATCGGAGCTCTTATCGACTTGAATTGATATAACATCTCTCAGTAATCCTGTCCGCCACTCCGCCGCGCGTGTGGTAGCTGCCATCGCCGCCATCGAGGTTCCAATGGGAACCTGGCCTCAACTCCTTCCCTTCCTTCAGCAAACTTGCACCTCACCTAACGCCTCACATCGTGAAGTTGGCATGTTTATGCTGTACACTGCTCTTGAGAACATCGTTGAAGGTTTCCAAGATCAGCTTACTTCGTTGTTTCAATTGTTTTCACAGACGTTGGCGGACCCCGATAGTCTTGAAGTTCGCATTACCACTGCTCGGTGAGCTTTGATTGCTTTTGTGTCTGTCGACCATCTGTTGATATGTGATGTAGGGCCATGGGTGTCATCGCACAATTTATCGATGCTGACGAGAAGGCATATTTGGTGAAATCTCTATGCATCAGTCTTCGATTTGAATATTCATCATTTCCGCAGGCCCAATTTCAAGCCCTGTTACCTGGAATGATTCAGGTCATTGGGCAATGTGTCGAATCCAGTAATGAGGCTGGTGCACGCAATCTTTTCGACGTTCTTGAGACTCTCCTCATATTAGTTGGTTCACCTTTTTCAACTCTATGTTATCATTTACTTAACGAAATCTTGCAGGAAGTGCCCCTGCTCAGTAAAATTATACCCGATCTCGTTGAATTCCTGCTTCGCTGTGGTGGAAATCGCGCTTATGATGGCGAACTCAGAATTCTCGCTTTGAATGCTCTAAATTGGACTGTTCAATAGTACGTCGGTTCACACTCACTTGGCGGTTTGGATCAAATCTCAACATATGTTGCGCGATCCAGTAAAAAGTCTAAATTGCAAAGCTTCGGTCTTGCACCTTCAATTCTTGAGCATTTGATGCCTCTCACCACTGAAGAAGAACCCGAAGACGTTGATGAAGATGCTCCCTCTCGAGTATGTCACTATCGATGCTTACACTCATCCTATTTTACTGATTATCTTGACCAGTCTGCTCTACGTATCATCGACGGTTTAGCGACCAACCTGCCCCCTATGCAGGTCTTTCCGGCCCTTCGCACCCTTATCGTTCAATATTTCTCTTCTCAGGACCCCGCCCAGCGTCGAGGTGCTATGCTTGCTCTTGGCATCGCCGTTGAAGGTTGCAGCGAGTTTATGACCCCGTTGATGGGTGAGGTCTGGCCTATTATTGAGGCCGGTCTCCAAGATATCGATGCTTCCGTCAGAAAAGCTACTTGCATTGCTGTCAGCTGCTTCTGTGAGTGGCTTGAAGAGGAGTGTGTTGCCAAGCACACTGTGCTCATACCCGTGCGTTTGCCCAATTTTGTAACCCCGAATCTCACTAATATTCGTACAGGCAATCATGAACTTAATTAATGATTCTGCTACACAAAGATCGGCGTGCACGGCTCTGGATGCTCTCCTCGAGATCCTTGCCGATGTCATTGACCAGTACCTGCAGCTCATCATGGAGCGCCTCTCTGGGCTGCTGGAGACTGCGCCTATTCCTGTCAAATCTGTTGTTACTGGCGCGATCGGAAGCGCTGCTCATGCTTCCAAGGAGAAATTTATCCCGTATTTCGAGCCCACCATGCAACGCCTTCAACATTTCCTCGTCCTTACTGGCGAGGGAGAAGAAATCGAGCTTCGTGGTATCACTATGGATGCGGTTGGTACCTTTGCTGAGGCTGTTGGCAAAGATCACTTCAGACCTTACTTCCCTACCATGATGACCCAAGCATTCGAGGGTATTGAGATGGGAAGTGCTCGTTTGAGAGAGTGTAGCTTCCTGTTTTTTGGAGTTATGGCCCGCGTGTTCGGTGATGAATTCGCCGGATATCTTCCCCAGGTCGTTCCCCCTCTTATCGCTAGCTGTACCCAGGATGAAGGAACCGAAGAAGGTAAATTTCACATTGCAACTTTTAAGTAATGGCACTAAGTCCGATTACTCTCAGTCACTACTTCAGATCCTAACTCAGCATTCAATTCTGGCTTGTCTGCATCTAATGCTATACCTGTGTCTGACGAGGCGGATGTCAACGGTTTACCAACCGAGGAGTTGGAAGATGTCGATCTCGACAAATTGCTCGATGTCAACAGTGCTATTGCTGTAGAAAAGGAGATTGCCGCCGATACAATTGGGATGTTGTTCAATGCTACCCAGGCTCACTTTTTGCCGTATGTTGAACAATGTACGCTGGAACTCGTCAAGCTTTTGGCCCATTACTACGAGGGAATCAGGAAAAGTGCGCTCGACTCTCTTCTTGAGATTGTCCGGACATTCTATGACTTGAGCGATCATCAAGATTGGGAAGCTGGTGCTACAGTAGTATGCCTTCTACCGCTTTGATGATGTCTATGCTCACCATCCGTGTCATAGACTGTTCCCCTTGCACCGACCGTAAAAGATCTCATTGGACATGTTCTTCCTGCTCTTATGGAGATGTATGAAACTGAAGACAACAAGTAAGTTATTGCTTCGACCTTGGCAATGCCTGCTTCTTGTGATGAAAATTATAACTCAGCTCACTTCGACGCTAAACGCGAATGAGACAATTTTTTTTTGATTCTGATTCGTACCGATCACTTTTCTCGAGCTGTTGTCCTGACTGTTCCTGATCTAGGTCTGTTGTGTCTGCTCTCTGCGTTCACCTAGCAGAGACCATTAACAAAATTGGTCCTGCGTTTGTTGAAGGACGTGAGTCAGGTCATCTCGCGATGCTTTGCTTACCTCGTTGTAACGGTACTTTCAGAATTGGAGCCAATCTGTGGCATCGCTATCCAAATCCTTGAACAAAAAGCGTTTTGCCAGCAGGACCCAGATCAAGATGAAGAAGAGGAAGCACCCGAAGCCCAGGCAGAATACGATTCAGTCCTTGTCTCCTCCGCTGGTGATCTCGTGGCTGCTTTAGCAAATGCCTTGGGAGGGGACTTCGCCCCTGCGTTCGGACGTTTCTTCCCTCTAATCGCCAAATACTACGTATGTGATGAGCAAACTCCGTATTACCAATGATGTTGAACATTACCTATATTCTAGAAAAAGAATCGCTCCCTTAGCGACCGCTCTTCCGCTATCGGCTGTCTCGCAGAAATCATCGCGGGCATGAAGAACGCCGTTAGTCCTTCAACAGAACCTCTACTGGAGCTGTTCTATCAGGCTCTTAGTGACACGGATGCCGAAGTGCTGAGCAACGCCGCATTCGCTGTTGGTCTGCTTACCGAATATTCGGAAGTTGATCTATCTCCTCAATACCTACATCTCCTCGGTGCCCTTAGACCGCTCTTCGTTGTCACGTCGGATTCGCCCGCGTCAAAACTCAACGCGAAAGACAATGCTGCAGGTGCTGTTGCCCGTCTTATCGTTCGCAATACAGCCGCTGTTCCTCTAGACCAAGTTCTTCCTGTCTTCGTGGAAGCACTACCCCTAAAGAATGACTATCTAGAAAACCGACCTGTTTTCCGGGCTATTTTCCATCTGGTGCAGACAAACGGTGCAGTTCTTGGTCCATATATGGATCAATTGCTTCGAGTGTTTGCCGTCGTTCTGGATCCTAATGGTCCTGATCAGGTTGGAGACGATATCCGGGCAGAATTGATCCAGCTGATTGGTGTAGTGAACGCACAGGACCCGGCGAAAATACAAGCGGCGGGTCTGAGTGCATTTGTTCCAGGTGCATAATTCTTAACGTTTTACGAGTCTCCCATCTACATATACCGGATAACATGCTTGTTTGTCATCGCTTTATGTTACTGCTTTCCAGAATCAACACCTACCGTACTATACTTTTCTCTGTGTTCATCCTCTTCTAGATAGTTTTTTTCGAAGGAAATAATTTGTGAGAAACTTTTTTGGCTTACTCCGGCCGAAAGAACCGGACTCTTAGAGATTGGACGGTGTGTACGTATTTGTAATTTATCGAACTCTGAAGTCACCTCCATCTTCCATCTTTATTTTCAAAGTCAAAGCTCGCTGGGCGACACGCAGCAGAGTGGAACTCGTGCTCGCCGTGCTTGGGCTGCTATGCTATCGCACTTTCTTTCGTTTTTCTTGGCTTCGGCCTTGATTCCTCTCTCTGCTAGCCTTTCAGTGCAAATTCCGCTCGATAAGCAATATCCTCCTGTTGCCCATGTCGGTCAACCTTACAGCTGGACTTTTTCCAACAATACATTTGATTATGCTTCGGACTCTACTCCGCCAACGCATACTGTATCGCCCTTGCCAGACTGGTTATCCTTCAATGCTGTGACTAGAACGTTCTCAGGAACTCCTTCCCAAGCAGATCAAGGAGAACCCGAAATAACAATTACTGCGCATATCGGCGATGCTTCTAATTCTACTAAATGCAACATCCTTATCACTACCAGTCCAGCACTCACTCTCAATCAACCTATCTCAGCCCAGTTCTACGAAGGCAATCCTTCGTTGTCATCTGTGTTCACCGTTTCAAACAACTCTGCAATCTATACTGGCAATCCGACCATCCGTGTTCCTCATAAATGGTCTTTTAGTGTCGGCTTCTCAAGCGAAACTTTCATGAATTCTCAAGATAACGCCCATTACACTGTGTTACAAAGCGATAAATCACCCATCCCGTACAAAATGGAATTCACTCAGGGGCCTGACACGCTGGGCGGTACAGCCCCTCTGCTTGAAGAAGTAGGCTCTACTGCAACCTTCCACCTTGAACTTATCGGAATAGTTTCTGGCGCTTACTCGGATGGCTCTCTTCCTTTCGACATGGTCATCGCTGATCACGAACTCTCCATGGATTCGAATTCACTTCCTATCGTCAACATCACGAGAGACGCTAATTTTACCCTCAATTTTGGTTCCAATGGTGATCTTGCTGGCGTTCTAGTAGACGGAGAAGCGATAAATCCCAGTGATATATTAGACCTCTCCATCGATACGTCTTCTTGTGGCTGGCTTCAATGGGACGGTGCATCTCGGCTCCTGACGGGAAGCACCGTGGGTCAGGACTTCAACTCCTCCACAGGGCCACATCTTCCTGTCACGCTTACTACGACCTTCAACCAAACGATTCGAACCATTCTTCCACTGGCTATCGAACCTTCGTTTTTCACGACCGGGACTTTTCCGGCCTATACGATCCCTGAAACTGGACTAGCATCGTTCGATATTCATCCATACCTCTCAAATGTTACCGGAGAAAAGCCTGCTGATGTCAATATGTCCATTGCCGTCGAACCCTCATCTGCAGCTTCCTGCTTGACCTTCAATTCAACTTCACTCGTTGTGGAAGGCACTGTTACTGGAGATTGCCAAGTATCAAATATTTCTGTTACCATTGCTGCTTACTCTCATGTAACACATTCGACGTCTCATGCCACCCTTCCTATGACAGACTCTTTCAAGAAAAGTTCGGGAACCCCGCATCATCCGGGATCTCTATCGTTTTCTGCTCACAAGAAACTTATCCTCGGCATCAGCATTGCTTTCGGGATCGTAGGTGGCCTCTCTGCATTGGGCACGTTCTTAGCCTCAGTTCGTCGATGCTTGCGAGTGCAGGATCCCGTACTGGCTACCGAGCAATGTCAACGAAATCTGTCTGAAAGTGACCAAAGGTGGTACGGTCTAGTTGCAGAGAAGTCCCACGCTGGATGGAATCACGAATCCACTCTCCCTACGGAGAAGCGGCGTCCAGGGATGGAGCTTCTGCGATCGCCTCGGAACTATGGTAATATTGGCTTGGGCTTGGATCCTTCGAAACGAAGTTACACACAGGAATTTATGTCACCTTCGAGCGCTGCTGGAAGCAAGTATCAAAGTCCAGGTGTAATGAAGAAAGTTGATTTCATGAATCGGATACGTGAAACTGTTCGGAACGTGAGCGACAAGCTCGGCACTCAATCTAGCAAGAAAAGTACACCCATCAGGAGAGGTATCATCGGTAAACCCATCTTACTCAATGCTCAAGAAGGGCAAATTCCTCGTGCGAATGCAAATGCGACCGATCCCTTCGTAGCTCCCAGCACTGGGAATGTCTCGGTATGTCTCTTGATATCTTCTCTCTATTTGCACATCGTTTATGTCAGGAATTCAGACCCCTGCAAGCGTTCATTTTGCGGATTTGACGCGTCAGCTGTCCACTGATTCGGCCCACTCTTTGGATTCCATCAGAACTCATGCGAATGAAGCCGTGGTCCAGACTGCTACTCGCCACCCTTCCATGCCCGATGCTACACAATCTCGACCACGTTTGAAGCAAGTCACCAGTGCTATGCGTGTCCCTCCTCCGAAGCTGGTCACGTCGTCGTCAGGCACTGACGGGTCTACCAGTGGCTCTATTCTCAGCGCTAGAGTCACTAGTCAGAAGGCCAAGATCTGGACGGGTGAAGATGCCATTCCGACCACGGGCACAGGGGATGAACTTTCAATGGGAATCCGTTACGTTACCGCCTTGGGCGGAGACTCTTATCTGATGTCTGACGTTCGTCCTGGCTCTTCATACACAGTTTCTACGCATCTACAATCCACGTACTCACTAGACGCGCCAGATCATGACCGTAGTGGGGTAAACAGGCTTATTATACGGGCAGATGAACGGTTTGAAGTACTCATATCGGTTGGATCAGCTAAGAAACTTGAAGCAAGGTTGATCTCGGGAGATAACACACCTGATTGGATGGAATTCGATCTGAGGCCCAATAAAGGGAAAATAGAACTATATGGACTCCCTTCGATTGCAGATGTTGGGGACTGGGATGTTCGAATTATCGACACGCAGAATGGCAGTTGGGTTGGTGAAGTGGGCTTGCAGGTGGTTCCAAAATCTAGTTCGTGAAATAGAAATGTATTTTATTGTGTACACCTATTCCCGTTGTATTGTTTCTTCGAAGTCTCGTTTTGTACCTATGTTACCTGTACATGTATTCTACCCGCCAGCCTACAGATACCAACCATTGAGACATGAAGCGTTCGTTCAAATTAGGCTGATGACCAACCCTCTGTGAGATTGCGTTAAACAAGAAACCTCGATATTCTGCGATAACGACAACCTCTCGGAGGAGACTGCCTTAGACTGCCTTAGGCCTACGTTCGAGTTGATCATGGAGAATTATCCGTATTGTTCTTCTAGTTACAGTTTCGAAGGTATCTGAGGTTGCATGTTGGTGAGTAATTGACTTACATATGATACATGAGAAGCAGTACTGACACCGCGATGTAAAGCCTCAACATGAATCTTGAACTGTATCTCAGGCGTGCTATAGCACGTGTTGCCGTTGGTCCGTTCCCTCCAAAAACGTCGACCTTTGATTTTGGGCGCATAATTCTGATTCGGATGTCGAACCAAGTTGGGGAGAAACGCAGAATGGAGGTTCTTAATATCTGCCCACATGTTCCGCGAAGCTTGTCATAATTCGATTCCCTATCGGATCCCCGGTCAATAGTTGGCGTCTATCTATCTATGGGAATCACTCCTCGTGTGGTGGCAGAAAGACTTTTAATGTTCATGGCAGTCACCTGTGCTCCTACACCTTCTTGCTCTGGCATATAGTACGCTCCATCTTTGGGAACGATGTCGCAGAAATGGAACGAAGATAAAACCAAATCCCCCCCGCCATATAATGGCCCTTCACCACGACCGTATCGCGAAAGCTCTCAGCGGCGTCCAGGAGCGGCGCCGCTGCAGTCTGAGGACCCCAAGTCCACGGTATCCGGTGCGTTTTTTGCAGGTGCTCATAACTTCGACATAAACGGTGGAGCATTCCAAAACGCTTCCGGGGACATAAATCACACAGTCAACAATGATCATTCGCAAAAGAGCGACTTCAACAACAATTATAGTGGCTCAACCAACTATAATGGAAATGCGATGCATAGTAAGTCATGAAAACCTTTCCAGCTGATAATAATATGGATTCAATCTTGATAGATGATTATAAGGGGTCCACTAATTATAGCGGATCAGCTACACACAGTAAGTTCACTGAGTTATAAGATTTTTATCTTCAATCGGACTGATTAATGTAGATGATCATAAGGGAGCAACTAACAACACCACATTCGACGAACGAAGTAGTATCGTTCTAGTTTCAAGGTTTTACTATTTATCTGATTTTTTCTCTTTCCATATCTTAGTCTACAACTACAGCGGACGACGAAATTATCCGCCAGAGCCAATCTATCCTCAATCCAACCCTCGATCAAGCTATCCTGAGCCAGCGTATGGACCATATAGTATGTCAAACATTCCCTTTGATTATAGCAAATCTACGCACATGATAAACTCACCTCGCAGTGGAAGATCGGGAGGGCTACTACAATAACAACACAGGTTGTGAGTTCCCAAGCGTGTTGTTCTTTGCGGAAACCTTTTTGAAAGCTTTCTGTATAGACAAACCTAAACGTGCGTCGAGTCAGCATGAATTGGACTACAGGGATGGGTTTAAAGACGGTCGAGGAGATCCCGAGGACACAGATAGCTTGAAGCACCAAGAACCAGCGGAAGAGAGTGTAGAGTTCGAAGCTTCGGAAGAGTTGGAAGAGCCAGGGGTGGCGCAATTGCGTCAGTGTGTTGAAACCTTCTTGGCTGGACCTAAAATGAAAGCCATGCCTGACTTGGCGGACACGCTTGTAAAAGCAGGGTGGGATCGGGAGGCATTGGCGCACTCTGAATGGGGTGACATCAAGGATTCCTACAAGGGTTCCGGATGGATTGCTCCTATGTTCGTGAAATTGCGGAAAATCTGTAAAGAATGGAACGCGTGACTGTTCTACCCTCCGAGTCGGTTTGTAGTTATATACACTTTCGTTGTTCTCCTTATAATGCGACATGGTTTACAAAACAAGTGTCTGGAAGGTTCGCTGTATTCGCAAACTAAGGTCACGGTGCCGTGAATAATTCTCAAGCTTGTTACAGGCTACTATGTACCTCTTTGCACTCGAAATTTTCCTCAATCTTCGGATAACCGCGTCTGAATTTCAGTTTCGCCTCCTCCTTTCATACGACGAGATGAACAGTTGAGTCATCGAAGGTGTAGAGGTGATTAAGGGTGAGTGCTAGTAGGTAGAGGAAAGTAGCTTCGGTGTTACCCATAAATGATAACGGTCCTGAGCCAATTATCATTTATAATCCTCCTGGTTTTCCGCTTCTTCTAAATTTAGAGTTCAAACGGTCGTTTTCATCCTCATCTCTGTAAGGTAGAGCTCAAGCAAGATCCGCACACGTCAGGTAACTGTGACCCACTGCTATTTTGATCCACGAAAAAATTAATAGCAGTCTCATAAATCTGCCTTCTCGAAATCGGTTCGCGCAGAAAGTTTTGGATCCCTCTAGCAAAACTTTCCTTGTAAACCAATTTTCTATATATGTCGATGAACGGCTGCTATTAATTTTTGAAGGTCATGTCACGCCGATCAGGTGACATGTGCGGAACTTGCTTGAGCTCTACCGGCCGGGTGACACATACACAGGCGTGCAGTTCTATTCAACCAGGTTTAACCCAGCGATAATTGATGCTGAGCCTGATTAAATTAGTGCTCAGTACAGTTTCCGTAATCCTAACCCCGGCATCACTTGAAACCTGGGTTCAAAATATTGAGGCTGGGCATCAACTCATTTACATAATCAAGGCCCACTGCAGTACTCGGAATGTTCATTTTCCTGCTCTTTTCCAAATTTTTCAAATCTTTTATTGGACTGAATCATTACTTAGTATCTACATACAAAGGTGCAACACAATAAAGCATGTATCTGAGAATGAAACTTAAAATTTAAGACACACTGACCTGGGAACCAATTAATTGGACGGGTGAAAAAAAAACAAAAAATCGCTTGGTGAATCTTGGGAAGGGGATGTTTTGATGTACCCGAAGCATGTGGTGTTGAAGTAGGCAGTTGAGGCAGTTTTGCAGAGTTAATGGCGGCATAGAGGGCTTGTTCAGCTTGATGTCATTCTTGAGGTTGGAGTGAATTTCGTAACTTAAAGGTTGAGGTTGAGGGGGGATGATGCAGTCCGAGCCTTGAATATTTTGTATCTTCAATAGACAAGTTGAACATTGAGTTAGTTGCAGGTTACGTCCTAATTTAAATGATCCTCGTAGTGTTAAATGTTGACCATTGAAAAGGGCCAGCGTTGAGCATTGAGTACTGAGTGTTGAGCGTTGAATGTTGAATGTTTGAACAAAGTTGACGACGTGGCAAAAAAAAGACCAAACAATGATCAACATTTCTCGCATGACCTAAAAATGACTCATGGAACATGAAATGATTTGGAGCGGGCGGATTCTTGTGGTGGATTTTTTCGTGCGCAATCAGTCGAAGTAATCATTTATCATACTATCTTGCTGCTACTGTAATGAATCATCTCTACTAAATATTCATAGTCTATCTTCAGCAAACTAGCCTCCTGCCAATTGCATGGCTTGACTTGGAATGTGAAGCACTATAAATTTGAAGCTCATCTGGTCAAAATGGTGCCATATTAAAGATAAATACCTTGCCCTGCTTATCCTCAAAATTATCCTCAAAGCCTTTGGGTCATACACAGGTCAGATACAGTGACGCGCAAATCAAATCCACACCCCCCGATTTGGAAATTTTGTGATTAAACTGTTTTTGTGAACATTTTTGTATGCTATATCCTGTAAAGCATGTTGATTCTACTCTAAAGACTTACTTGTGGCAATATAAGCTGTTTGAACCCTGAAAATTCAATATTTCTGAGCAGAGGAACAACAGATTTACGCTGATTTATGGTGCAATTGGGTATAACACAACCAATCAGGAACAGGCGCCATTTGGGATCAGCAAAAAAATTTTATGCCTACACTTGTTTATTTTGACCAGAAACAATAGTTCAGAGTCACAAATAGTGCCTAAGCATGCAGTTGAAAGCTTTCAACTTGAATATAATGTGAGAGTAATATTTATCAAGGTACGATGAGAGGACAATAAAAAGAGTGAATGGATTATAAGCACAACCCTAACCCTAATAGCTTCCCATTTTGGAGATGCGCCATTTGGTGGGAACTTACTTCATCAATTTTGAAGGTATCAAAAATCGGTCTTACAGTTTTGTTCCCTTTATCATTATATGCATTTCTGTAATAGGGATAAAAAATTGAGGTAAATTCACGTGAGATAATTCAGTTGTTCCAAATTGGTTGTGTTATACCCGATTGCACCATACGGTTCTGGGCTGGTGACATAAGGCCTTCCAAATCGGGGGGTGTGGATTTGATTTGTGCATCACTGTATGTCCTCACAATGTGTCATTGATTTTTGACTGCCATTCATCCCAAGGGCTAACAGATATTATATGAAGCGAGGTTTGTAAAAAACATACAGCCTAGTACCAATTACATAAATTCAAACCTGGGTTATAATATGTGAGCCTGGGGACGAAATGAAATTTCATCCCCGGGTTGTTTGACATCAATCAGCCCACGCTTATCCGAAGGTCTGGTTGTGTATGCAAAAAATCTGTTTTCAATAGTCCAGAACCATTTATTTTTTATCTGGTTCAATGTAATGTTTTTTCCGCCAATACAGTAACTCGTTCACATGAATCACATCTCAGCTTCCATATGAGGTATGCAGATTCCGATATTAGAATTCGGAATAGTCTTGATGCTCCCGTCTTTTTTTTGGAGCAGCTTGCTTGCTTGTTGTATAAGTGGCAGAAAGAAAAGCTAGGATGGATTCCTTATATGGTCTTGAACTTACGAAATTTTGTAGAAAGGCTAGTCGTGTGTATTGTGCTCTTAAGATATGATTCTTGCCCTTGAGATGGAATATGTAATGTTCGAATGCTACATGCATTTCTAAAAAGTGGTATTTAACAGTCTTGGAGTGTGCTATGACACATCGTTTGTGCTATGACACATCGTTTGTGCTATGACACATCGTTTGTGCTATGACACATCCTTCCGAGGCAGCTGATAAGAGGACGTAGCTTTGGCCAAATTCTGTATCGCATTCACCGCAAGCCCCCCAAGCCCACCTCGAATTATCTGTGCGACTTGCGCCACCGTATTGATGTTTTCCACGCCCTTGGCAGCAACGTTAAACACCATGGTTCGAAAATCACCGTTATATGACAAGTATTTGTCATTGGTCTGTGATACGGAGCCTGCAGACATCATGATGGCAGCTTTGATGGAATCAAGCTCGTTCAAGACTTCTAGACCAACAGAACGCAGTTGAACGAGTGGACCAGAAGAGGTACCGTATATTTTGTGCAACTTGTCGCAAGCGGACATGATTTTGTGGTTTTCAATGTAGCGTTCTTGAGTGTATGGGAGAAGAGCAGTGTAGGAACCTTTTTCAAAAGAACCGATGAGATGCTGAACATGATTTAAACATTAAAGAGGGACGAACCGATGTCCCCTCCCCGCAGTACGGCCTCGGTTATGCATCTAGCAAGACATTCAACGTCGCCAAGACCTAGGTTCAATCCATGTCCAGCTAGAGGATGGATTGTATGAGCAGCATCGCCGACGAGAACGGTACGACTGCCTAAGCCTTCCCCAGTATACGTCTCAGTATGGGCGTAACGAAGCGGGAAGGAGGCTATTGTTCCTGCTTGGATTGATGTAACGATCGGGGGAACCATTTCGGAATCCGAGGGTGGTACTCTGGTATTCGAGGAAACGTCAGGAGTGATTGAGGAATACGCAGATGTTGCATCAATTGAATGGGATTTCTCTCTCCAAACAATTTCCGCATTAATCTCCTCGTCTGTCATCGGGTTCCCAGCTTCGTGAGCTTCAAGGATACGACCGTGGAGGTAACGTATTGAGACGTCTGGTAGGCGGAAGGCGGCGTTGATCATTCGAGCTAGGACGGATGGATCGCACGCTTTGAGCGCCGTGGAGAGAGCGGGTTTAGTAGACCATACTAGGGATGATACGGTTGCAGATATTGGTAGGAAAGCGATAGGCCCTGTAGGGAGGAATCTTTGGTATGCAGTGGTGTTTGGTCCGAGGAATGGTCCTTTGGGTGGATGCTCCATAGTGCAAACGATGGCTTGGGTGTCGTACGACCAGCCATAAGATGGTATCTTTGCGAATGAACGAACTGGAGAATTCGGTCCATCAGCGCCAATCTGTGACACCATCAGGGTTGTTGTTCCCATTCGCTGCGGAAACTCACTAGAAGCCTGGTCTTCAAAGCTCGTCCAGTATCCAAGTGGACCGTTGGCCAACTGCCCGGTTTTTCATCGACAGTGATAGATTGAACTTTATTCTTGTCTATGATTTGAACAGTATGTATCGATTTCAGATGACGGAGGAGAGCTCGTTGTAGATTGAGAGTTTCAGTTAGTCGCGCCATGCCTGAATGGTCTGCAGTGGACAATCCTAGTTCGGACGTGGAGAAAGTGATCCTAGCATCCGAGATACCGTCCCAAACCTGCTACTAAGTCAGGACTGATGAATTCCTGCAGATGGTGCTGCTGGATACCTGCATTTCTTCCACTGCAGCCGTTCTTTGTTGTTCGACATGGTCCCAGGAGCCGATGTCTATATGACAGAGTCAGAGGCGCAGTAAATGAGTAGTAAGACGGATGACTCCGTGCCTTTGAGGAAAGCTTGGGAAGCATTTGTGAGAGATACAACACGATTAGAAAAGGTGTCGGTTGGAGGTGACCAGTCGCGAACTTTGGACAAGTCACCAGCTTCGACCAGTGCAATTTTCAAGTTATTTTGAAGTTCCTCCTTGGATCCTATATGTTGTCTGATGAAGACTCGTCTGGAGAACAAGGAAAGACGCGTACCAAGGGCATTGGCAAGGGCAAGTCCAGCAGGGCCTCCGCCGACTATGACCACGTCGTAATCTTCGTGAATGGTCGACAAAAATCTTCGAGGGGGCTTGTTTAATGAAGCATTTCTGAATAATTTAGACAAAAGACGAGATCCCTTTGCGTACAACAGCAACATGTGGGAAGACCACAATAAAGTTTCGAATTGTATCTTCACATAGCCACGTGTATGAAAGCTCAGCATTTACACTTTTCACTCCCATTGCCAAATGATTTAGAATCTCTCCCAATTACTATTATGGCTGCAGCTCCCGTCTCTGCGGCTCAAGCTATCGGCGAATATCTTCAATCTCCGGATGATCTGGTGAAAGTATCGGCGTACAGGAAGAAGTTGGAGAAGGAAAAGGCCTCGATAGATGCGAGGCTAAAGAGCGGTGTGAAAGAGCAGTTGCAAGCAACTAGGGAAGGATTGAGAAAATTGCTATCCACTAGGGCCAATGTGCAGGCTATTAAGGACGAAATGGTAATCATCGATAGAGAGTGTAGCGACCCTCAGACTCAGGTCGCAACGTTCGACCAAATTAGTCGAGTATGTTGTTATTCTTACTGCTATAGACCCACCGTTCATGGACTTTTCAGGTATCGATGGTACATCGAAATTTCGTTCAAACAGAGGAAATGGTAAACAATCTGTTAGATATGGAGTCCAAGCTTTCCGAGATCGGATATATGCTCGACGACGACAGTGCAAATATAACAGGCCCTGCTCCAAATCTCCTTGTCATTCACTACTATCTTAAACAGCTCGAAGCTTTCCGAAATCAGACGATGCATCAAGCAAAAAAGGCGTCCTCGGATGCACGGATATACCTCGTACGACGGTTCGAGCGATTGCACACTGTCATTGAGCAGTTTGATCAGTACATTATCGATCTAGCGGGTAATGTTTTGGATATAGTGCGCGAAGGAAATGGTCATGTCATTGTTAGACTGATCAAAATTGCGGAGATGGAGGGAAGAGAAGACGAGAAGGTAGACTTGGAATATCTTTATTCTTAAATAAAGCTTATGTTTTTCCAATCAGGCCATAGCTATCCGACTTGTCAAGAAAGCTGCGAAACTCGATGCCGCCTCAAAATTTAAATCCATGCTAGCCAATGCTCGAGTCATTAAACACTATCGTTCCAAAATCACCAAGGCCATAGCTGACTCTATCAAGGCCAAGTTCGAACGGGCTTACAAACAGGACGAGAACGATCCCATGGCATTTCTGGAAAATATTCAGTGGATGTACGCAGACATCATTCGCATCCAGTCCGACGTCGTTCCATGCTTCCCGGCAGAATATGACATATACTCCTTATACATCAGAGAATATCACAAGGCGTTGAATGTACAAATCAACAGGATCGTTGCGTCTGAGCCCGGAGCAAATGTCCTGCTTGCCCTGTTCGAGTGGCTGAAACAATACAAGAAGGATATGAGGGAGCTTGAAGTTCCGCCAGATCTTCTCGAACCACCGCTTCTTGATGGCAAGGAGCAGTCTCTTATAGAAGACTATCTCCAGGTCATCATCAAGAAACTCGACGAATGGTCATCGAACATGATGAAAACGGAGCTCGAAGAATTTGTTTCTCGTCAAGATCCTCTGGAAGTCGACGCTGATGGCCAATACGCCACTCAGGGCGGCGCCGGTATCCTCTTCCAGATGGTCAACCAGCAGATTGACCTAGCCACAGAGAGTGGTCAGGGTGCTATCCTTGCTCGCGTCGTTGCTGAGAGTAACCGCGTCATGCGGGGGATGCAGGAGCAGTGGGTCAAAACAGTAGAGCAGGAATACAAGAAGCAGGTCGAAAAGCCAGAAGAAATCGCCCCCGGATTGGTAGAATATGTCATTGCACTTGCAAATGACATGCTGAAGTCTGCCGACTATGCCGAAGCGCTCTTGGCGCGACTTGAACCCCTGGTGTCGGAAAAGTATCGTGTCCAAATGAACGAAAAACTCAACGATGCTATCGATGGATATCTCGACGTGGCGAAGAAGTGTACGCAGACCCTCATCGATATGATCTTCAACGACTTGAAGCCTGTGACAAAGAATCTGTTCCAGCCTCCGTGGTACGATGGTATACTTGCTCAGATCGTCGAAACCATCCGGGATTACATGGATGACTATAAGGAATTTTTAAACCCTTCCTTATTCGAACTCCTTGTGGAGGATCTCATTGATGCCTTCCTACTCGTTTACCTCAACGCGCTTGCCAACTCTCCCAAACTGAAGATCCCAGCCGCGACAGAACGCATAAAGGACGACGTCGATGATGCGTTCAGGTTGTTCCTCAACTACAAGTCGCAGAAGGATATGGAGGAGTACTTCGAGGTGCTGGACCTAATATTAGGTATACTAGAGGCATCGAAGGAGATCGTTTTCCTTTCGTACTGGTCCTTTGCCAAGAAGCACGGGCCCAATCTTGCTTTTGTGGAGGGATTGATTAAAGCTCGCGGCGATTTGGATCGGTCGGGAGTGAGTGAGGTGATGGACACTATCAAACGAAAGGTCAAAGACGAAAACTTGGCTGATCGTACGTTTTTCTATTCCGCTCTTGATATCTGTTGCCTAACGTCGGATGATCTTTCAGCGCCAGAGCCTACTATCATGAAGAAAGTGGCAATTCAGAATGCATTCTCTAGGTTCTTGCGCACGTAGGCGTGTCAGTGTTCTCATTTTCGCTTGCTTTAAATTTCTCGCTGCTGGACATGGAATCTTTGTCGTGTATTTATAATCATTCACCTGTAATAAGTAAACTAACATTGAAGTACATAATGACTGTAGCATTCTTTTTCCTACTTTAGCACATTCTCGCCAACAGAAGATAATATGTCGATTTGCGGTACGTTAATTACTGTCAAGTTCGTTGCTTGTAGACTATCAATATACAGGTCACTGATCTACTGAGAGTCCTAGCTTTCCAATTGAAAAACATCAGGTCATCACTTCCCATTCAACCACTTGCCTAATCCCAGCGAGTTGTATATTTTGTCAAGGCCCTGTGCACTGCGATAAGCAAAATTGAAGTTTATCTAGTGTGAGTGAATGCTTACGGTTGCAGCAACAATACCCTTCAAGAGTGAGTCAAGTCCCAGCCCGCTCAAAAGTTTACCGAGAAGATTTAGAACACCGGTTAGGAGAAGCATAACACCACCGACAATTTGAGTGAGTGGTTCTGTGACAGTGGTGAACAATCATGAAAGGAAAACAAGTTCGAAAGCTTACGGCCGAGGGCATCCAACAAGGGCCCAAGATCCCTCTTTGCTTTAGGAAAACTATCAAGTTTATTCCTAGCCCATTCGATGGTACCACCAACTTCTTCGAGCATCTGCGAAACGGAAAGGAGTCAATCTCCAGATCGCGATTGCTGAGGAAGACAAGACAGCACCACTTTCAGCGCAGCTGCAAGTCGCTGTTCTTCTGGCGTTGCAGTATGAGATTCGGCATGACGTTTGGCCCTGTTCGACAGGCGATTATCGGGATCTGCGCCCTTCACCATACCCTCTGTCTCACCAAGAATCTTCTCGGCCTGCTGAAGCAGAGGTTTGACTTGTCGAATGAGTTCATCCTCGTCTTTGTCGTCATCTTTTCTTGCATCCATATTCTCGATATGCTACGACTCATTATCAATTATTCTGCGTTCAATGATGAATACTGGTCAAAATATGAACTCACCTTTCGAATCATCTTGCAGAGAGGGACAACACGGGAGTTGGCGTCTTCGATGAGAGCAGACAAACGCTCAGCGAGCTTGTTGTCGGCTTCTTTCTGCTCTTCTGTGCGGCTGTCGCCTGTTGTGGAGCTCCCACCGCCAGCGACGCTGCCCATGCCAGCACCCGTCTTTGGAATATCAATATCGGCGGGATTTTGAAACTCGTGAATATCGCTTTGTGACATGGTTAAAATTTGAGGGGGGGTTTTGTGAGTGCACGGACTATAGAGTCAGTAGTTATACTTATGCTTCTGGTAAGCCCCACTTCAAGTTCCCAATATGAGATGTGATATCATGGTGATGCTAAATGGTTTTTGTAGTTGTGTGCCTCACGGTGATTTTACAGTCCCACCACTGAAGGCCATGCGCGACGATGCAGCAACTTGAAGGTGCTGATACAGGAGGGTTTTCCCTCTAAGTCAGAAATCAAGTTTTTAAATGTTGAAGTACAGCGTTCAAAGAGGAGGTTCGGGCAACTGGACTGTGTGCGCCACAACTTAAGGAACAATCAAAAGCTCCTATGTCATCGACGAGTTGAGAAACCAACATCAAAGCGTAAGATGAACTCATACCTTGCGCAATCAATGGAGTACTCCACCTTCCGATGGGAAATATAAGGCCACCATCGTCACTTAGTGAATTTTCTCTTTCAAGAAAAACTATCACTGAACCAACCCACTAATCGATTATTTACCACCGACTCATCACTACTTTACGACTCAAACGAAACACAAATCATGTCAGACCCAACAGGTCCTCATTCTCGTTCCCCTTCTTCTGGTCCACCACCCGCACGTCAGCAACAACGTTCCCAGTCTCGTCGACGAGGGAGGAGCCAAACCGCCCGTAGCCTCAGTGCGTCAGGCGATGACTCGGATGCTAGCAGCGCCAGTAGCTTGGCGCGTCGACGTCGACGAGGAGGTGGCAGGAAAGGCGGTGGTCTTCCTGGTGTTGAAGAAATAGAGGACACCGGTAATCAGGTCGCAAACACCGCTAAGAATGCTGTTGGTCAGGTAGGCCAGGTCGCAGGTGGCGGAAAGAAGCAAGACGATGACGAAGGCAGTGGAGGTGACAAGCCTCTGAAGCTTAGACTGGATCTGAATTTGGATGTTGCGGTTGAATTGAAGGCTCGGGTACACGGTGACCTGACGCTCTCTCTTCTGTGAGTACCTCATTGTACAAATGTTTTAACTTTGCTAGAATTGTAATTTTTTGCAGCCGTTAAAAAGTCCGTATTATGAGCCAACTATTCTGAGGATCTTCATCATCATGTTGCAAGTAAGTTTTGCTATATTCCAATGCTTTCGACTCTTGCTCATGATCGGTGTGTAGGCTTGACGACTATGCGACGCATCCACTGTACCGTAGGGGACAATTTGTACTTTTAATTGAATGAAATTCGTGTATCAATAGCTTGATCATAGCGTGATGAACTCAGTTGATTTCAAAAGATTGTCTGAAACATGCACTAAGCTACCACCCGAATATCAAGTCGGACACTTGGCCCACTAGCCCTTTGCTCGGTGATGGCCCACCGGAAGGAGGCAGCGCGGGAGTGGTCGTTTTTGGTGTGTTCGGAGGTTTTGGGGTTGCCCCAGTTTTCCTGAAAGCAGAGGCAGAAGGAGCAAGCCTGATAGGTGTTCCTACCATAGGAGCAGCTTGAGACGGTGGAGGCTCATCAACAACCATTGCGTTTGAGGAGCCTAAGTCTTCTCGTGGGAGTGTTCCGGAAAGGCTCGATCGATGAATTGGTTGACGTATTACAGCTTCTGCCTGGGCAGGATCCTACAGAAGAAAAGTTTAACAAATTCGTCGAGCCCTAGAGAACGAATGCACGTACAGCCCATTTAGCACCCACCATCCAGCTTCCACCCAGTATCTCACCATTTTTGCGGACCGCCCTCATAGCCTCCCCAGGATCGTGATATCCGATTCTGAAGCAGTTTACGATCTCAGTATTTGGATCTGCATCCGTGGTGTCACCTAACGACTTGAAATATTCGACAGTGACGCTGTATTTGTCGGCAGGGTATCCGAACACAATAACGTACAAAGGTGCGGAGGACGAAGAACGAGGAGCGGGAGGTGTACGCGTCCGTGTAGAGGAAAACATCGAGGGTTGCGACATAGAAGACTAAAAATAAGGACATTAACACAGATGTAGAAAGATGTGCCACATTAGGTATTACCTTGGACTGAAAGTGATTCGAGAATGCTTCGTTAGGTATGTCGTTTACTGACTGCATAGGAGGTGCATCTTCATCTGTCAGAGGTTGTCGTTGACGACTGAAAGAAAATTCTGAATGCAGACGCGTATTTTGTAACTATGTCACTCACTTCTTGTTTTCAAACATCGAATCCATTCCAAAATCATCGGCCGAGCCTCGTAACAAAGCTTGGTTTATTTTCGCTTTCGTTTGAACCACTGGCAGTTCATCTACGCGTTGATTACCTTGCGGTAAATTCTGATCAGGGAGAGTCAATCGAGAACGTGTCCTTGTACAAAGAAATTCAATGCGAACATTGGCTTGCGAGGCAGACTACGAGAGGCAGTTAAATATCGAATCAAGTTCGCATAGCTTGAAGCGCACCATGAGATAACCTGACTGATAATGACTCCTCGATTGTGAAAGCGAGTCACCGAAGGAGGACGTGCCCAAAGTGGAACTACCCAATCCACTACCTGTGTTTGAATTTCCCCAATTGTTGAGGTTGGGATTATGATGAGAGCTCGTAGATGAAGACATTCCTGCTACTGAGAATGTAGAGCCGTAGTGTGACATTGTGGAAGTGCAAAAAGCGAGTGTTGGCAGTTCAAGTCGATGAAATAAACGGAGCGAAGCGACTGTGAGAATATTATGAGTATTTAGGTGCCGATTCATTGTGTGACAAACTTGGCACAAAACTGAAGCTCCGTTCTTAGCAAAACGCTCACGATCAAGTCTCCCCATGTAGCCCAGCATTTTGAGCCCTTGTTATTTCCGCTGAATGTACCATGTCTCGTGTCAAGTTCCAAGAAGCAGCATTCATCAATGCCACTGCGAACATGCAAAAACAACGACGCGTCTAGTAATATGAGGTAAATTCAAGCTCACAAACTAAACACCTGACGATGCGCTCTAAGGCGGCCTATATAAGCCTAATGTCACTGGGCCTACGTGCTTCAACTCCTGGGCTCATTTATGATGTGGAATACTCTGTTAATCTCTGTTGCGGTTCTCGGTGTAACAATTCGAATGTTGAAGGTCTTGCATCTACGCTTCAAGCTACCACCGGGGCCTCCAGGTATTCCCATCCTTGGGAATCTCCTCCAACTTCCGACAACTCGACCATGGCTGACCTTCGACAAGTGGAGGGAGCAATACGGCAAGTATAAAGCATATACATCTTCTTGAAACTCATTCACGCAATAGGACCTATCGTTTATCTTAACATTGCGGGGCAGAATATGATTGTCCTAGGAACCCATAAAGCAGCGGCGGACCTTCTTGATAGACGAGCCAATATTTATTCAGATCGACCCGACCTCATTGTTCTCAATCTGCTCACTGGTGGCATGCATTGGGGCTTTGCTCGATTAGACGACCTGTGGAAAAGACAACGCCGAGGAGCCCACGAGTAAGTACTTATAAATATAAGTTACTCGAGCTAATCGATGATTGAAGGGCTTTGAGTGCTCAGACTGTCAAAGAGTACTTTGCATATCAAGAGACCGAGTCTGTCATTATGCTACACCAAATGTTAACCGATCCAGAGAATTTCGCTGATCATTTTTCGCGCGCATCCACATCTCTCGCGCTCTCCATAATTTATGGATGGCCACCGTTGTTAGACTCCAGTCACCCACTGATTCCTCTCGTTGACCAATTCAACCGAGAACTTCTTGTGGCAGCTGCTCCCGGGTCGTTCTGGGTCGAATTCAAATACTTTAAATGGATGCAACATCTTCCGAGATGGATGTGTGCGTGGAGGCGAAATGCGGAAGCTTCTTTTATCCGAGATTCGGCCATGTTCGAGAAGTTGTCTTATGATGTGCAAAAGCAGATAGTTAGTGAACTGAAGAGATTATATTTCCAACGTAGTTTGACTTGTTATTAGAATGCGGGTGACGAGGCAACGAGTGTAGCTGGAAAACTGCTACAAGACACTGGAGTAAAGGGTTTTTTTGAGGCAGCTTGGAACCTTGCCTCAATTTAGTACGTTGACATTCTTATCGGCCTTTCTTGTTGCTCAGTTTGGCGATAGCTCAGCTGGAGCAGAAACGGTCAGTAATTATGACAAAATGTTTGCAAAAGATTGACGACCTTCAGACTGCTGGTCAACTTGCTTGGTTCATGCAAGCGATGATCCTATATTCGGAAGCCCAGCGGCTAGCACAAGAAGAAATTGGTGAGGCGGTTCACATTTAGTTGTAGTCACTAGCAATGCTTATACCCTGTAGACCGTGTTGTTGGACCGTACCGACTTCCTACTTTCGATGACTACGAGCACCTACCATATATAAGAGCTACCGTTAAAGAAATCTTGCGGTGGAGAGGGGTATCCCCGATAGGTGAGTTCATGGAATCATACTAGTGATCAAGATACCCACACTGCTTCCCATGACAGGACTACCTCATCGACTTATTCAAGACGACTATTACGAAGGATATCTGCTTCCCAAGGATACGATCTGCTTCGTAAACAACTGGTGAAATTACATCATAATCATTGCGGTTAAGTTTAATATACTACTTTGGCCCCAGGTCGCTTCACCACGATAAGGCAATCTACGGCGACGATGCTGAACATTTCAATCCTGGGAGATTCCTAGATGAAAACGGAAATTTAGAGTCTTCAATCGTAGATACCAGGGATGAGGGTCATGCAAGCTATGGCTTCGGAAAAAGGTATGCTTAAATCTGGGGACAGACACAAAACTAGCTCATTTTCAACCATCCACGATGCTCATGCATAAAAGAATCTGCATTGGTCGGCATGTAGCGAACAATAGCTTGTTCATTCATATTGCATTTTTGCTTTGGGCATTCAATATCACTGCGGAAGTAGATGTAGGAGGCCATTCCGACCTTCCGGATTCTCTCCAATGCAAAGAAGGTCTCATCGTGTAAGTAATCAGCTGCTGTATATTCACGGTCTGATCTATGTTTTGGTAGTCGACCGAGTACATTCCGCTGCAATATCACTGTGCGTCAAGCGGACGTTGCGGAGATAGTCGCGCAAGCGAAAGCTGATAAGGGAATCTGAAAAGATAATTGAACGAAGTTGCGATACTGTTTTCTTTAATTATAGCCTGAGTGTCAATCATCAATTACTTGAATGGCTCTTGCTAGTTTGATTCGTCCTCCTGAACATGAGTATTACCACGATTGAGAATGTGGTCGATCACGTACCTTGTACATGTAACGCTCCGAGTGTTCAAGGCATTGCACTTACGTTCAAAAGTACCACCTGTGCTTCCGGGACTTCTAGTTATCAGGAAACAGGCAGATTCCGACAAGGCGGCCAAGGCTAATGGTTAGCAATGGCCATGGACAAACAGTACGGCCGGGTAAGGTCGAATTATATCAGTCGGCCGCCGACTGTTGACCTCGACTTTGCTCGTTTTAGGTACCATAAAGCAGCGGCAGATCTTTTGATTCAATTCGAATGGAGTACTGCGACGATCTAAGTTGTATAGTAAGTTATAACGACCTTTTCATTAGGCGCTGGTCTTGACGCTCGAAAACACGTGCTGGGTCTGTTTTATTATCGCCTCGCGTTTTCCTGACATCTTCTGTAATCTCCCTCTTCCGCTGTCCTTGCAGTCTCCGCAAGGTAATCTTCCTCTGTCATCTTAAATAGCCGTTTGGGCTGATCTGTATTGGACATAGCGGTTTTCTTCTTTCGACGAAGATGACAGATAAACTCGACGCGCCCACCTCTTCGTCCACAGATGCTGGCTCTGGGAAGGGTGCTCCCGATGGTGCTTCTGTACCCAAAGCAATAATCAAGAACGTGGACATGAGTGAGGAAATGCAGCAGGAGAGCGTGGACATCGCGTCAGCGGCGCTGGAGAAGTACAACATCGAGAAGGATATCGCTGCTCAGATCAAGAAGGAATTTGACCGGAGACATGGTCCTACATGGCACGTTGTTGTTGGAAAGAACTTTGGGAGCTATGTGACCCACGGTGAGCTCCAGATCATAACTCTTCCTTGGCCACTGTCTACAGACGATCTATGTATACATCAATATTCTTCGCCATTCTATGATTCTCGTTCATCTAATCATCCAGCCTTTTCCGTCTCGATTCTTTTCTCGTTGTTTGACTAAGTATTTCTCTCTTCCAGAAACCAAACACTTCATCTATTTCTACGTTGGATCTCTTGCGATTCTCATCTGGAAGTCATAAACACTCGTCATACATTCCGAACGGAGATCCTCTGTAGACTGTGGGTTTGCGTTGAGTGAAGGGTTTTGATGAAGAACTGCCGTTCTATTTACTTACCCTGCTGGCAATTTCGTTTCTCTATTTCCACCGTAGCATTTCGTTGTTTTTTTGCTTTGCATTTGACATAAGTATTCACGCCATTAGTTCAGTAGGAGTCGCCTCATACACGAAAAGTGGCTCGTACTCTACCAAATGGACATGTAATTCAAATTGATATATCTTGTTGAAAGTGACGTTCAAGGCCTCAGGGTTGTAAGTAATAACTTGTTTTTCGACCATCACTTACTCATGCCGGATTTGTCGATCTTACAATCCTTTGAACTTTCAGAAATACTCAGCGAAGGTATGCATAGATCCATTAAACGCCAGGCCACATTCATCTGAATATCTCCAGAACCTGATCGCTGTCGATTGACTTTGCTTGGTTATCTGCCTTCAACATGGAACGCATCCACTGACACCGAGAACCGTCGTCTCCGAGCAATCATCCTGATTGAAAGGAATGCTTTTGCTTCTGAGCATGTCGCTTCGTTCTTCAACGACCTGGTCTACAAGGCAGAACTAATAGAATCGACGGACATTGTGCGTTGTCGTTACAAGTCTTCCATTTCAAGGTTTGACGGTAGTCTAAGTGAACAGTACAGCTGGTTTGCTGCCTGGATATCTTCTCAAGCCTCAGAAATAAAACAACCTCAAGGTGATGTGAAAATCAATGTGATATGTCCTGCCACCGATGTCCACGTCAGAAAGGTTCGTGCAACGGCGTGCTCTAGATCTTTTATGCTCACGGACAACCCTTGCATGCAGTACACGAAGCAGAAATCTATTCTCGTTCAGGAAACTCCAGAACTTTATCGTCGAATTATAGCACCCTACATCGCCAATCTCCCTCCTGAACGAACACGATGGTAAGTTGATTAGATAACTTTGTCTATGCAAAGAAGACAACCTTCGATAGGGTGACGGAAATTCTTGCTGGGCGCTCAGAGCAGGACAAAGTTCTGTACTCTTCATCTGACTACATCATCCTTCCCGACATGAAGTGGGACCTTCATACAACTGACAGTTTGTATCTCATCGCTATCGCACGCGATCCAACTCTACGATCACTACGTGATCTACGCGGAGATGTGCACTTGAGTCTACTCACTTCGATTCGGCAAGAAGCATACAGGATTGTGGGTGATAAATGGGGTATTGGTCGCGGAGGCATTCGAATGTGGATCCATTATCAGCCTAGTTATTGTTTGTATCTAGTTTTCAGTTTCGTCTTACCATTGGTATAATTGCTTATCTTTGCTTTTGTAGATCACTTCCATGTGCATATCGTGAATGCAAATTACGCACTTCCTGGAATGGGGATGGCGGTAGGGCAAGCTCATTTGTTGGAAGATGTTATCGCACTTGTGAGTACTCATCCCGCGTCTTGAACTATGTTTGATGTATTTTCGGTGTCGACACAGCTGAAGATTAACTCGGACGTTTTCAAAGTCATGGACCTCACATACGGCCTAGGGGAACAGCATGGTCTCTATGAACCGATGAAGACTGCACAGAGTGAAGTAGATTGGATCTCGTAAGAAAAATCTTAACAATAAATTTGGTGAAATCCCAAGCGATTAGCGCACCTTAACCCGCCCCCTTTTCGCTTTCTGTCTTGTCATTTCATCCCAACTTCATCCTTTAGGTGCGCCTGTAATAGTGCCTACATATACACCAATTGCACCAATGTATAAAGTAAAGACTATACGGCGTGCTCATATGTAATGTATGCGCGCGAAATTGCCGCTTTGCCGGCGGAGATGCTTTTGCTTTGTGCTTGACCATGTCTTGATTTCTCTTCTTGAATAATAACTACTTTTGTCAATCACAACAATTATGCTTTTGTTCTCTCAGTCGAATTGCATATACAACAGTAACAAGACTGGCTGGATGTTGGTCTACATAACCGACTTGCTCCAAAGCCAAATTTTCTCGCGGCTCCCTCGTTGCTTTCCCTTTTCCATCATCTCAACACTATGCTAGCCCGTCAGCGTAGAGCCTGGACCTTAGAGGAAGATCAGCAGCTTATTGAAGCGGTGAAAAGAGGTTCGTCGAGTGTTGTTTTTATCTATTGTATTGCTTGTTCGATGTGTGTATCTTGATTTTAACTTCAACTCGCACAGAAGACTTGAAGTCACATAAGCCTCTGAATTGGTGTACTATTTCCAAAAATATTCCGAATCGCTCGAACAAGGATTGTCGAAAGCGTTGGATAAGTACCCATGCTGGCGCTGAGGTGAAAATTACGAAGGGCGCTTGGAGCGAGGAAGAGGATGATCAATTGAGGGCTGGTGTGCAGGCTTTTGGTCCTAGGTATGCATTTTGTCCGTTGCCTTCTGCAATGCTCAAATAGTTGTTTTAGATGGTGTAGGATCGCACAGATGGTTCCTGGAAGAAACAGCGATCGTGAGTTTTTCAGAGTTTCTTTCTCTGTTCGGCCATGTATTGATTGCGCGTCCTATAGAATGTGCCAAAAGGTGGAAGGATACACTGGATCCAGCTATCGATCGCAGCAAATGGACGTCAGAAGAGGTAGACCTTCACTTTGATAGAAACGGTGGATCATTGACCCTCACATTCACAGGATGAACTTCTCCTCAAGGTCGTCAATGAGATCGGTCGAAAGTGGGCTAGGGTGGTGAAACAATATTTTCCTGGACGAACTGGCCTTGCTGCGAAGAACAGGTAGGGTCATCGCTAATTTTTGAGATACCAGCTTAGGATTAAACGGGTTCTAGATACAATTGTCTTGTAAATCCGCGTCGGGCTTCACTCTCCAGAGACATCTACTATCCAGTTTCGGCGACATCGTCCCCATCAGGCGAGTGGAATGCATCATCGAGTTCTACGACTCCGTCTGTGTCCACTCCCTCGCCGATATCACCAATATCTCCCTACTACTCTGGTTCAGATCCAATCTCGACCTTGTACACATCAGAACTGGACCTCAATCTATCAACTATGATCCACGATGCCTTAACTTCAGCCTCACTTGCACAATTAAATGACGCGCTCTTCGACTTCCGAACGATTTCGCCGGTCCAATGTGAAAACCTATTACTCGATAATTTCGAGTTGCCTCTCCAAGAACAATGTTCCGGCTCTATGCTGAAGCTCTATGGTTCTTCTCGATGTTGTTCGACAGCTCGGATCGCGGTCGTGCTGCACGAAAAACAGATCGGCTACGAGCTTCATCCTCTGCACCCGACTAATAGCGATGCTCAACCGCATATTGTATGTTTAAATGGTTTTTTCTCTATTTCCACTCACGAATTGTTCGACCAACAGGATGACAATGGAATAATCCTCTATGGATGTCGAAATATATGCCAATATCTCGCTACACGATATCCTGAACGAGGGACCAAGCTGATTCCGGATTCTACTGATACGCAGGCTACAGAGCTCTTTGGACAAGCCAAATACGCGGAAAACCAAAGTTTTGAACCTTTTGCGAAAAATGCATTGTACGAAACGATCATGAAGCGGTATGTGTCGCCCGTTTGCCTACAATTGTTCGCGTGCTGAAGTTGAGTCAGGCAACAAGGCTTTCTTCCCAGTGACGCCATTAGTGGCTCTGCTTTGCAGGAACTTTCGAACAATATGGAGGGGTACGAGTCCATCCTTAGTTGTCGAAAGTACCTAGCTGGGAATGTGAGATCTGGATATTATAGGCAGTGGTCGGTCGCTAACTCTTCGTCCCTCCTCAGGAAATCAGTCTCGTAGATCTATATCATCTTCCATACGGCGAAATGTTATGCAATGTTGGGATTGATGTGCTCTTAACCAAGGGGCCGAATGTATCTCGGTGAGGAGCGATGAACACTCATTTTTTCGTGATCTTACTGCTTGTGGCAGGTGGTGGGCGGACATTTCATCCCGGCCGTCTTGGTTGACTATCAGGAATGGAGTACCTTCCAAGGGATGAACGTGTCTCCCAAATTGCGAACGAAAGTGTTGACATACTTATTGACTATTCATCTTCTCCCTGAACTCTTCAGTAAAATACACATATAGAGATACTACTAATAGTAGTTAATCGTTAATATTAAGATTTCTAGAAGGCCCAGAACGTAGGGTCTAGGCCTAATTCTCTGATGAAAATTGAAAGCCGCACACCACCACACCACCACACTGCCTGCATAATGCTTGTAGGAGCCGGAAGGATAGACGAAAATATTACCATAGAACTTAAGACCTGGATAAGCTCACGCTGCAGATTTCGATGATGAAGAAGGCCATTGACATTGACTGCTTATCTAATTGCAATAGCGCACCCTGGACCACCCTGCGTCTCGAATTTTGGGGAAAGGATCGAGTCCCCAAAAAGAAAACCACGTCTCTTCATCTGCTGTTCACTTTCTGCCATGTCGGCCTACGACCATTCCAGGGTGCAGTACTTTATTGGTACGTTCCCTTGAACCTAATTAGCGTGCTATAGTATAACTCACACGCGTCGGGTTCGTACAGGCGGTAACTCTTTAGATAAGGCATCGCCGAGCAGCGTTTATGATTTTGTCAAGGCGAATGGAGGCCATACTATAATCACCAAGGCACGTCTCAATCCGTACAACAGAGGTTTTGTAACTGACAATAGCCTCTTCAGGTCCTCATTGCCAACAACGGTACGTCCTGCTACCTAGTCTTTGAACGAGGAGCTCAATTCGTTATTCTGCAGGTATCGCGGCCGTGAAAGAAATTAGGTCGATCCGACAATGGAGTTACGAAACCTTTGGTAGTGAACGTCAGGTAGAATTCACCGTCATGGCTACCCCAGAAGATCTCAAGGTTAATGCTGAATACATCCGCATGGCTGATCGTTATATCGAAGTTCCTGGAGGGTCAAACAACAACAACTATGCCAATGTTGATCTTATCGTCGATGTTGCAGAACGTGCTGGTGTCCATGCTGTATGGGCTGGTTGGGGACACGCCTCCGAAAACCCCCGTCTCCCGGAGAGTCTAGCTGCTAGTAAGAACAAAATCGTCTTCATCGGTCCTCCTGGAAGTGCAATGAGGAGTCTGGGTGATAAGATCTCTAGTACCATCGTCGCACAAAGCGCTGACGTTCCAACGATGCCATGGTCTGGAACTGGCATTACTGATACCGCCCTTTCGGAGGCTGGATACGTAATAGTGCCTGATAAGGCCTACCAAGATGCCTGTGTCACCTCTGTCGAAGAAGGCTTGGTGAAAGCAGAAGAGATCGGATGGCCGGTCATGATCAAGGCTAGTGAAGGAGGCGGAGGAAAGGGTATCAGAAAAGTTGAGCAACCTGAGGCTTTCAAGAACGCGTACCACGCCGTAGCTGGAGAAATTCCCGGTATGTAAATGTGCACTCTTAACAATTCCGTTGTTCATCCTTTTCCGTCCTAGGCTCTCCCATTTTCATTATGAAGCTTGCTGGAGCTGCTCGCCATCTTGAAGTTCAGCTTCTTGCTGATCAATATGGAAATGCTATATCTCTGTTTGGACGTGATTGTTCTGTCCAGCGTCGTCACCAGAAGATCATTGAAGAAGCCCCCGTTACCATTGCAAAACAGGATACTTTTGAGAAAATGGAGCGGGCCGCGGTGCGCCTAGCAAAACTCGTTGGGTATGTCAGCGCTGGTACTGTCGAATGTACGTCTTGCCTACGTTATTGTCCTTTTCCCTCAGTTTACCTGTTTTCAGACCTTTACAGCCATGCTGATGACTCTTTCCATTTCTTGGAATTGAACCCACGTCTTCAAGTGGAGCATCCCACTACTGAAATGGTGTCCGGAGTCAATTTACCTGCTGCCCAGCTTCAGGTAGCTATGGGCATACCCCTCCACCGCATCCGACACATTCGCCAACTGTATGGCGTAGCTCCAAATGCCGCATCTGAAATCGATTTTGAAATGATCAAGCCAGATGCGAACCAACTTCAACGCAAACCACGACCTAAAGGACACGTCGTTGCAGTCCGTATCACTGCCGAAAATCCTGACGCCGGTTTCAAGCCATCTTCTGGTTCCCTTCAGGAGCTGAACTTCCGCTCCAGTACGAATGTTTGGGGCTATTTTTCCGTCAGTTCTGCGGGTGGTCTGCACGAGTTTGCTGACTCGCAGTTTGGACATATCTTTGCATACGGCGAAGACCGAGGCGAGAGTCGCAAAAATATGATCATCGCCCTCAAAGAACTCAGTATTCGTGGCGATTTTAGAACGACTGTCGAGTATCTCATTAAGCTCCTCGAATTAGATGACTTCAAGGACAACACTATCACTACCGGATGGTTGGATTCCCTCATCAGCGATAAGCTTACCGCCGAACGTCCCGATGCCACTCTTGCTGTGATCTGTGGTGCTGTCACTAAAGCATATCTTGCTTCGGAAGCCTGTTGGACGGAGTACAAGCGCATCTTGGACAAGGGACAAGTCCCAGCACGTGACGTCCTCAAAACCGTTTTCGTCATTGATTTCATCTACGAGAACGTTAGGTACTCGTTTACTGCTGCGAGATCCTCTTCCACGGCCTGGACCCTATATCTCAATGGAGGCAGCACCATGGTTGGTGCCCGTCCTTTGGCCGATGGTGGTCTTCTGGTCCTATTAGACGGAAGGAGTCACTCTATTTACTGGCGAGAAGAAGTTGGCGCGCTTCGTTTGATGGTGGACGCCAAAACTTGTTTGATTGAGCAGGAAAATGACCCCACTCAATTGAGGAGTCCAAGTCCAGGAAAGCTCATCCGATTCTTCGTCGACAGTGGGGAGCACATCAACGCAGGAGAACAATATGCTGAGATAGAGGTATGCCGTTTCAATATTGTCTCGCTCATCCCATTGTATTTTAACAATTTTATAGGTCATGAAAATGTACATGCCTTTGGTCGCGTCCGAAGATGGCATTGTGCAACTCATCAAACAGCCCGGTGTTAGCCTCGAACCTGGTGACATCCTCGGTATTCTGACCTTGGATGACCCTGGTCGCGTCAAGCACGCTAAACCTTTTGAAGGTCTACTCCCTACGATGGGCACTCCAGCTGTTACCGGTAGCAAGCCTCACCAACGGTTCATCCGTTGCCTTGGGGTCTTGAATGACATCTTAGATGGCTTCGACAACCAGGCCATCATGGCCTCTACGGTAAAAGACCTTATCGACATCCTTCATGATCCAGAACTTCCTTACTCCGAACTAACTGCTATCCTTTCTTCACTTTCCGGACGTATTCCTGCCAAGCTTGATGATAGCATTCACGCTGCTCTTGAAACCGCCAAAGCCAAAGGCGAATTCCCCGCTGCTCGAATCAAAAAGGTGCTCGAGAATTTTGTCGAGAGTAGCGTCCTACCACAAGATCGACCTATGTTCCGTACGCAATTGGGCGCGATCTACGATGTCTTGGATAGATTTACTGGTGGTTTGAAGGGCCATGAAATCAAAGTTTGGTCTAACTTGCTTGAGAAATACGAGGCTACAGAAAGAATGTTTGGCGGAAGTATTGAAGCACGAATTCTTACGCTCCGTGAACAAAACAAAGATGATCTGGACAAAGTCATCAGCCTTGTCCTGAGTCACATCAAAGTTTCGAGCAAAGCGAAGCTGGTGCTGACGATACTCAATCACATCAAGACTAAGGGTATTAGCGTTTCGAATGCGGAAAGTCCTTTGTACAAGGTATTGCAGGACCTCGCTTCCTTGGAAGCCAAGTAGGTGCCATGTTTTTCTCTGTCCAACTTCTTGTTGAACTCTTGTATGATTTTCAGATCGTCAACTTCCGTATCCCTCAAAGCTCGGGAGGTGCTTATCATGGGCCAAATGCCCTCGTACGAAGAAAGACTTGGTCAAATGGAAACCGTGTTGAAGAGCTCGGTCACCAGTCAGTATTACGGCGAGCAGGTGAACACTGTTCATACCCCGTCTGCGGAAGTGTTGCGAGAACTCAGTGATTCTCGTTATACTGTGTTCGATGTACTTTCTGCCTTCTTCGAGCATGAAGACCATATGGTCCCTCTTGGTGAGTGGTTTAGATCATCTCGATGTAATTATACTAAAAGACAACGAAAGCCGCTTTCGAGGTTTATATTCGTCGTGCTTATAAGGCTTACACTTTACTCTCCATTGACTACGAGGAAGGAGATGAGCTCGATGACGGTGATTCTCCAAGTATAGTTACCTGGCGCTTCAATCTTGGCCAGTCTCACTCTCCTCCTTCAACGCCTCGTATATCTTTATCGGGGCAAGTCATTCATCCTCTCTTGATTGAGCTCCTATTGACTACCTTTCAGTGAAAGTAAAAGGTCGGCGTCTGTCAGTGATCTGACCTATCTCATCAGCCGACACCAATCCCAACCAATCCGTGTTGGCGCTATCTCATCATTCCCGAACTTCCTTGCACTGGCAAAGGGCTTCAGCAAAGTCGCCTCCGCATTGCCCCTCTTTGATGCAATTGAATACAATTCACGATATGGAAACCCTCAGTCCCCTCCCAACGTCCTCAATGTCGCGTTGCGTCTTTTTAGAGAGGAGGATGACATGCCTGAAGATGCATGGTTTGAGAAGCTTACTGCCTTTGTCAATGAGCAATCCTCAACTCTTCGCGAGCGTGGCGTGGGTCGTGTTTCCATCATGCTTTGCCGTCCCAGTCAGTATCCCGTGTACCTCACTCTTCGAGAAGTCGATCGTGTTTGGACTGAAGAGCAGTCTATCCGTAACATCGAACCGGCCCTGGCATTCCAGCTTGAACTTAGTCGTCTATCCAACTACAAACTTAAGCCTGTTTTCGTTGAAAGCAAGCAGATTCACATCTACCATGCCGTTGCTCGAGAAAACCAACTAGACAACAGATTCTTTGTCCGTGCTCTAGTTCGGCCTGGTAGGCTTCGGGGAAGTATGAGTACTGCAGAGTACCTCATCTCCGAGACCGATCGCTTGGTCACGACCGTCTTGGATGCCCTCGAATTGGTCACGGCTGAACAAAGAAACACTGATTGTAATCATATCTTCCTTAACTTCATCTACAATCTCGCTGTTACCTACGAGGACGTTCTCGCTGCCATCTCAGGCTTCATTGAACGACACGGCAAACGTTTGTGGCGTTTACATGTCACTGGTTCCGAGATCCGAATCGCGTTGGAGGATGACGAGGGGAATGTTACACCCATCCGTTGCGTGATTGAAAACGTTTCCGGTTTCATTGTCAATTATCATGGGTATCAAGAAATAACCACTGACAAAGGAACCACAATTCTGAAGTCGATAGGGGAGAAAGGTCCGCTTCACCTCCAACCTGTTCACCAAGCATATTCCACGAAGGAATCGCTGCAGCCCAAACGGTATCAGGCGCACCTCATCGGTACCACATATGTCTACGATTTCCCAGACCTGTTCTCGAAGGCGTTGCAGAACTTATGGGACAGTGCTCGCGCTACAAGCCCGACCCTTGTAAAACCCAGAGTCTTGCTTGAGTCGAAGGAGCTAGTCCTCGATGAGCACGATCAACTCGCCGAAGTCGACAGAGCTCCGGGCAACAACACTTTTGGAATGATAGGCTGGGTATTCACTATGCGTACGCCAGAATTCCCTCAAGGTCGTAGAGTTGTCGTCGTAGCAAACGACATCACCTACAAAATCGGATCATTCGGTCCCATAGAAGACCAATTCTTCTATCTTGTCACTCAGTACGCGAGGGAGTTAGGCCTTCCTCGAATCTACCTGTCGGCAAATTCTGGAGCTCGTATCGGTTTGGCTGAAGAGCTCATACCCTTATTCTCGGCCGCTTGGAACGAGGAAGGGCATCCTGAGAAGGGAGTCCATTACCTATACTTGACGCACGAGAATTACTTGAAGTTAGAGGAGCAAGGCCATGATTCCATCAAAACTGTTGATGTTGAGGTAGCAGGAGAGCTGCGCCATAAGATCACTGATATCATTGGTCTGCAAGATGGTCTTGGAGTTGAATCTCTGAAGGGTTCTGGTCTTATTGCCGGAGAAACATCTAGGGCTTACGACGATATCTTCACCATCACACTCGTCACCGCACGGTCTGTTGGTATAGGTGCATATCTTGTCCGACTTGGAGAGCGTGCAGTTCAAGTCGAAGGTCAACCTATAATCTTGACAGGCGCAGGTGCTCTCAACAAAGTGCTCGGTCGCGAAGTTTATACCTCCAACCTCCAACTTGGAGGAACTCAAATCATGTTCAAAAACGGTGTCTCGCATCTCACGGCAAGCAGCGACCTTGAAGGTGCTACGCACATTCTAAAGTGGTTGTCCTATGTTCCCGAGGTCAAAGACGGTGCCTTACCTGTTCTCGAATCATCTGACTCTTGGGATCGTGACATCGGGTACACCCCTCCTAAAGGCGCATATGATCCGAGGTGGTTCATCGAAGGCAAGACTGATGAAGCGACTTCGGAATGGATGAGTGGATTCTTTGACAAAGGATCGTTCCAAGAAACACTCAGCGGGTGGGCGCAGACAGTTGTCGTTGGGCGGGCTCGGCTTGGTGGTATCCCCATGGGTGTCATTGCTGTCGAGACACGCACTATCGAGCGAATAGTTCCTGCTGATCCTGCCAATCCTGCTTCATTTGAACAGCGTATCATGGAGGCTGGTCAGGTCTGGTATCCAAATTCCGCTTACAAGACTGCCCAGGCGATCTTCGATTTCAATCGTGAAGGTTTACCCCTTATTATCTTTGCAAATTGGCGTGGTTTCTCTGGTGGGCAGCAAGATATGTATGACGAGGTACTCAAGCAAGGTTCTAAGATTGTCGACGGTCTCTCCAGTTACAAGCAGCCAATATTTGTCTACATTGTCCCTAACGGAGAACTTCGTGGTGGTGCATGGGTCGTTCTTGATCCTTCTATCAACTCCGAGCAGATGGAAATGTACGCCGACGTTGATGCTCGTGCTGGTGTGCTTGAGCCAGAAGGTATCGTTGAGATCAAGTTCCGCCAGAACAAGATCACAGCTTTGATGGAACGTCTGGATACTGAATATGCTTCGCTGAAGCGCGAAAGTAAAGATGCCACGAAAACAGCGGAATCACGCTCGGCGGCTACCGCTGCCTTGGAGAGACGCGAAGCTATCTTACAGCCCACTTATAAGCAGATTGCTCTTCTCTACGCAGACCTTCATGAGTAAGTCTTATAATCTTGGTGTAGAATATCACTTACGATGCTTTATGTGTAGCCGCACGGGACGCATGGAAGCGAAGGGATGTGCAAAACCTGCCATTTGGAAAGATGCTCGAAGGAAGTTCTACTGGGCTGTTCGTGCCCGTGTTGCACGTTCTGCGGCTCTCGCAGAACTGACTGAGGCCAGCCCCGGCTCTACCACTGAATACCGTTCTCATTTGCTGGACTCTCTCGCGTCCATTGATGCTGCTATGAATGACCGCGAAGTGTCCGAAACATTGGAAAAGTTAGATCTGTCACAAACAGTATCACAACTTAAAGCGGACTATTTAATGCGCCGAATGGTAGAATTGACGAAGGAAGATAGGAAGGCGGCGATGAATGGATTCGCTCGTCTCGCCGACAATCTTTCGGACGAGGAAAGAAATTCGTTGATCTCTGTCCTACAAAATGCAACCCGTTCACCTGGTTCGTGAAATTCTGCGTTTTTCGGAGAAATCTTTACTGATTGTTGGTCTCAGCACCCCCATCGTATGCTACCTCATCTTGACGATTTATAGACGATCTGTTTGGATTGATTATCATGAATGCACAATTGTAATACTAATTGCTTTTCCATTTTCTTTTCCACTGTTGCACCTGCTGGTTCCTGACACCTTAGAATATAATTCATAGAGGCAAATTGTAGAAACTATTTTCGATGACATTGGATTCACGCCTATTTACGCAGTTTGATATCTGCAACAGCGCCGGAATGCTAGAATGCCCATTGTCAACTTGAATATTAAATGAACCAGATATATGACCTCGAAGTGGCAGAACGCCATTCCCTAAACGCGTGAAAGTCGAACTTTGGTCCAGATTTTGGACGCTATCTAAGTGCGATCAAAGCGTATCATGTACGTCTCTTTTCAACTCGAAAATCCTCATTTTTCTACTGAATACCGCCAGAATGATTTGATATTCCTTCCACGAAGGCGCATCCTTTCGAAGATTTGATGTTCTTTTTATTTCCAGTCATCGAAATGAGACTTCCGTCCTCAAGACAATCTGAGGCTGAAATACTATAACTATACATGCACTGGGTTTTTGATCGCTTGGTTTTGTATAGCGGCCACTGTGGTGTAGTCTCAGTATTGCTTTCCGTCCACTGCCACGACTTAGAAGCGGGCTGAATGTAAGACCGTTTACGGTACGATCCTGAAGGCATGCTAGCGTGTGGCGACTTGGCGTTAGTGACGCGTATATAGCCCGGATTCCTATAAAGCCCACTTCCTTACCTTCCCAATTTTCACTAGCCCTCTGATAGTGTTCGATCACCATGACTGGGTCCACGAACCCGACCAAATTTCGAATCGCGATTGTGTAAGTATTGTTGGAATTTCTTTTTGTAGATCACGATCAACGCTGAATGACTGCTATTAGTGGAGGAGGCATTGGCGGACTGGCGTGTGCTGTTGCGCTCAAGGACTATACAAATATCGAGATTAATGTATATGAGCAAGCGGCACAAATCACAGAGATCGGGGCAGGGGTGACAGTCTGGCCGCGAACCTGGGAGATACTCAAATCGTTGGGTCTCGAAAAAGATCTTTCTGTGCTCCTCAAAGAGCCGCCGTCCAATGTTCAAAGTTGGTATTATTCGCTTCATCCGTATCCTCGTTTGACTGTGTACCATGCATGGTCTTAATCAAACCTTGCTACTAACAAGACCCCTCGTAGAAGTGGCGTTTGAGATGCGGCTGAGCGATAGAAAAAAGGGATTTACGTTTCGTAAAATCTTCACCAGAGGTTCGCCCTATCCATCCTGTAATTCTCATCAGTAATAACCTCGTTTTAAATGTAGACGGGGGGTTCTGCTTTCATCGTTCAAACCTCCAAAGTGCACTTCTTCGACAAATTATATCCGATTCTTCTTCCGCGTCTTCTTCATGCAATTGCAAGATCCATCTATCGCATCGTCTTGAACGCTGCGAAGAGACTAATAACTCTGTGAAGCTATTTTTTGAAAATGGGTACAGCACGTCTTGCGATATGGCTATCGGAGCAGACGGCATCAAGTCTGTGGTTCGAAAACACGTTGTATCGCTATCAAATACAACGGGCCTCGGGGGGCAATTGATTTTCACAGGCTCGAAAGCGTTTCGTGGACTTGTGACGAGAGAAAGGTTTGAGCGACTTTTCCCAAATCACAGAGCACTGGTCAATGCGGTAATGGTAAGCAAGCCTGCCCTCTATGTCTACTAATATATATGTACCGTAACGGTTTCCTTCGTATTCCTTGCGATAGTACAATGGAAAATCAAAAGTGGGTTGTCCAGTTAATATTTTTGACATCAATATCAGTAACCAAGAAATTCTTCTGTAGCATATAGTCGTGTATCCTATCAATGGAGGGAAGCTCATAAATATTGCGGCGTTTATTTCCCAGCCAGAAGGTGAAGGAAAGGTATTTCCGGCCTTTCATGGGAATCGGCGAACCACAGAAGAAATGCTCGACGCATTTTCTGGATGGGAGCCTGAGGCGATCCAATTGCTTAGCGTAAGCGACCGTGTTGATTTTTTGCTTGCAATACTAAAATTGTGGTGTATACATAGACTATCGAAGATCCTTCTTGTTGGCCGATTCAAGATCTTCATCCATTGAAGACGTACACCACTCGTCGGATACTTCTTCTTGGAGACGCGGCTCATGCAATGACTCCGCACTTGGGTTGGAATTTTTTCCTGTTTTTCTGTGTCTTGTCTGAGCCCATTGATCTTCACAGGCGCGGGTGCAGGACAGGCCATAGAAGTAAGTGTCACCTCATAGTGGCTTAGACCTTGAGATCCTTAATTCGAGCCACTGCAGGACGGATTCGTCCTAGGTTATCTCTTTTCAAAACTGATCCAACCAAGGTATCCCGATCCTCAATCCTTGCTTCATCTCATCAAGGTCTATGATAAATTGCGCCGGCCGTTTGCAAACCACTTACAAAAGAACTCCAGGAAGCAGGGTTATTACAATGAGTTGAATATGCCAGAGTTTGATGATATACATTATGAAGGACAGGAGTTGGATGCGGAGCAGATTGTCGCTTTGGGGTGCGCGCTGAGAGAGAATTGGGATAGCTGGTGGCAAGATTGTGCGTTGAAAGATGTAGAAGAGGGTTTGGAGATGTTGCGGGTTCAAGCAAAGATGTGATGTATGTACTGGGCTGAATGTGAGCCTGGATTCGGAAAGAGGTTTAGAGGTTATGTGGATCATTGGAATGTTGGTAGTCGGAGGCACTGACAACATTTCGCATCTTCGGTTTGCAATGGTGGTGTATAATTGAAAAGAGCGTTCGAAACTTCAGCCTCGAAGAATTCTATTCTTTTGGTGGAAGATCAGGATAAGATCAGACTTGGATCAGACAGACGAGACGCAGGGCAGGACCTCTGTTGCATGGTACAACAACTAAACTGAGCAAGCAATGAGACTAGGATCATGAGGGCAACGAACAACCACAGGAACGTGGTGAAAATCTCACGGGAGATTTTGCTCTCAAGCGTTCACTGACACCTTCACTTGCACGAGATACTTGCAGCACAAGCAAGCAAAACTTGGAACTTGAAATCCCTTTCTTGACGCTGGGTGCAGTTGAAAGAACAAACACCACTCGGGCTGTAGGGTATAACCTTTCAAATAACCGAGTCGATGATTGGATGTCATGGGCAACCCCAGAAAGCATACGCGCATTGAGTGGAGGAAGGTCGAAAGGGTAAAAACTCGAAAACACAAAAGGGCAACGACATTTCAAGTCAGTACTAGTAGATTTTTGTCTATTTTTACGTCATGAACTCTAGCATGCATGCTCAAAATCAGACTCTTACTTTGAAAGAAAGAAATAACCAATATTTGACCATTGAGAACCAATAACTACGTTACAAGAGCACGTATATCACAACCAAAAGAAGGCCAGAAACAAGTGTCTATCCAACGACTGTGGCCTAAATACAGGGAGCACAAGCTTAGTGTTCGAACTTTAACAACCATAATAATAATGACTTACTTCCTGCAGAGCAACAAAGGTTTGGGCTAAAATTCGGCCATTCATGGTAGTTCCTGTCTCAAGAGTGACGGCCGTCTGTCCTAGGATTACGCCCTCGATATGGGAGCCGGGGCCGGCAGTAACTGCACCCGAAACAACCCAGACAATGTTCGAAGCAAGAACACCTCCAGAAAGAGTAATACGGGCTCCAGCTGACAGACTGAAAGTACTGGCAATCTGAAAAATGAAGTCTAAAAAAAGTCAATGGGTCAGCGCAGATCAATGTGGCGTGATGAGCATCATGTATGTCGACGTACGATCTGCAGAAGTACCAGAGATGGTGACACCAGCAGAACTTATGGTAACTGCTCCACTCCATTTGTATAGTCCAGGTTTAAGAATAAGACCTCCGATTGCACCTAAGATGAAGAGGTTAACTCAACGGTCAAGATCTGAGAATGTGATTTGTACAACGCACCACTAGCAAGGTTGATGAAACCTGGGTTGACACGACCAGTCGCATCCGTGAATGCTGTTTGCATGTCGGATACAGCAGTCGTCAATTTCGAAGGGGTGGGAGCAGAGAATGATGCTGCCATGACTTCGCCTGTGACCTGGCGAGATGTGGCGAATGTCCCGCTGGCATCAAGGGTGAGGGAGAACCCGGTGAAAGCATTCGACGCAATGGGGCTAACTCCAATAGCGCCAGCTGGATGTGTCGGTCTTTTAAAAGGTGTCAACCTCTCTGAAGACAAATGACTTACTGATGGCAGACTGAGGGACAGTTGATATGCCCGACTTGGAAAGGATTGCGAAATTTCCAGCAGTGCCCAGGTTGACTGCGGTTGGTCCTAAATTGATAGCACTTGGTGCTGCAACTACACCGATGGTGGACTTTGATCATAGATTTTGAAAATCAGAGCTAGTAGACGCAAGCAGGTGAAATAGAACCGACCAAAAGACCAAGAGTAACAGCGTTGATGAGAATGGTAGAAAGCATGTTCAAGTGTAAAGTAGGTGAACCTTGGATGGGGAATGCTACTGAAGAAAATACGAACCTATGTGCCGAGCCTTTTATACATTTTTCAGTCATGAAAATTGCCTGCTCCTTGTAAGAAAGAGCACCATCCGTCATCGGAATGGTAAACGATCCTAGTGGCCCAGGGCGAAATTGAGAAAAAAAAAGAAGGCAAGATGCCAGGAAACTGAATTGACTGCTGTCAGCCACATGAATCCGTGCTTACCTCTAACTCGCTGTTCTTCAACGTTTATTAGAGTTAGTAGAATGTAAACGAAGGCATTCACAAAGTACTGAGAGTTAGATGGAAGGGACAACTTCAGCGCATATATCCTTGCCAGTGAACAAGAAACAAAGAAAGACGTGATTTTCTCGGTAGGGAGATAGAGGGGTGTCAATTCTAGCATCTGTAGCGGTTGATGAACGGCAACTGTTGAAAAAGCGAGGCAACATGAGCATGTCATTCAAATGTCTTCGTTCTCAGTCTATGAGATTGAAATGTTAGCATCCTATTACAAAACCGTGACCTATCCCGGATTTCTCTGCACGCAAGACTTACAAATGCATTATGGCCTTGCGTAGAATGTAAATAACCACATTAGAAAAGCCAGGAGAATGAGGTAGGAGGGAGGGATGTCAACGGAATGCTTTCTCGACGACAAGACATTCTTTGAGGATGAGTTCATACGTCTGAACGTTAATGAACGGTTGACTCGATGTGAATCGGTCGATGTTAAGATCCCGTCCACTTCGCACAATATACCCAACCAGCAACTTGAAACCAGGAGTTTTCTTGCTTGAGATTAAAACTGTCAGGCGTTTCTTTGCTGGTAGATAAAGCCAATACATTAGTCTCATGGGCTAGATCAATACAACACCTATACCTTTTTTGCATTGTCCAATTAGATGAAGAGGTGTGATTTGCAAAACGATCTGTTGCCTCAGTTTTCTTGGCTGATACACAGTGTCATACCACACCTTTAGAGATATTATTACATAAATTGAAGATCTTGACAGGTAAATTCAGGCATGATCACACAATATATTAGTATATGGTCGGTTCTGAAGGCAGGAAAAGAGTCAAAAGTTCACCGGTTGAGAGAAGCTCATTCCTATCAAGTTCTACACCAGAAGTATCACTGAGAGTAGATTGGACGAAGCGACTTGAAGAATTTAGCTAGGTATAGCCTCGTTCAAGTTCAAGCTGAGTACTGAGTACTGAGCGCTGAGCAGTGAGTGTTCTGAGGAGAAGGTTTCACGTGACCGACCTCGAACATTTCTCAATTTGACCTAATTTGACACGAACGAAGAAATTGTCTTCGAGAACTAACAACAGCGTTAGGCTATCAATTTCAATGTGTCTCGATATGTATATTCTATGGCCTGCCACGCCTGCGACTACTCTTGGACTCCGCTCACCTAAATGTGTTGCGAATGATAAATCGACGGATCCTCGTGGCAGCAGCTCCTAGCTCTTTCTGGGTTGAATTCAAGTACTGCGAGTGATAATGACGTGTCCCTAGCAGGATGTGCGTAAATAGAAAATGTATTTGGTCATCTTTCGGATGTCCTCAAGCGGTTGTCTGCAGACGTGCAAAATCGAACTCATAATCATGCCCAGCCTGATAGAGCCTAATCGTGTATTTTTAGGATGCGGGTGGCGAGAACAGAAGTGTAGTTGGAAAGCTTTTCCGAAACTTTGAAAGTTTGATTAATGCTAGTGCGTTATCATTCTTTCTCGTTTTGTTTGATACTTGTTTTGCTCATAGTTTTACCGAATCGGAAACTGCGTCTTATTTCCCCAGGCATGATTTCTGAATGTATCAACCAGACTGCAGGTCAGCTTGGTACATGCAAGCCATGATCCCGGAACACGATGCTCAACGAAGAGCACAAGAAGAATTCTGTAGGCAAAAATCTTATTATGTAGGCGGCTCAAATACTCAAATTGATTGCGAGCGGAGCGAAGCAATATCTATCTATCTATCTATCTGGCTACAGGGTGAAAAATTTCGTCAATTCTACCAATTCTACATATATTCAGATCCCACGAGGTCACAGCCACCGCCGTTTTTGGTAATCACCTGTAATACCTCGTTGTCACATTCTATCTTCTATAACCCTATATATTCTTATAATGAATGTAGTATGCCACCTCTTTCTTCTGTCACACAGCGGATAAGGGGAAAACCATCCAGGTGGGTAAGCAAATTGTAAAGATCATGTACAAATGAAATATATGTACCGTATCGTTAAAATTGTCCAGTGGATCCACTCAGAATTCTCATAATCATTTTACGGGGGTGCATCAGCACGACATCCCTCAAAATTAGATTTTCGAAGCGAGCACCACATGTGAAGCCGTACTTGGAATGGAGGGGGCCGAACCCCCCTGAGCCGGACGAAGGAGGCTCACATGGCGAATGCTAACATGGTCAGTGCAACTGTCACGGGACGCAAAAGCCATGGCAGTTCAAATGAACTGCCATTAAGGCATCCACTGTGGCATCTAGTTGTGACCAGTGACTGTCACGGACTGGCAGGGATCAGCGTCAGCCATGACTTCGGCATGACATGTGGTGTTTCACCGTATTTTTATTTTTGTTGACTCTTTCTCAATATTGCATGTAAGTACACATTCCCTATGTGATTTAGTAAAGTAATATTCTTACAAATCATAAATATTATCTCTTCATTTCAAAGAACTTCAACTTTTCATCTCCAAGACCTGTATTGTTGGCTAGTGCAGCTTGAAGCACCTAATATTTTTACTCTCCTTACTTTGGCTGCTAGAGAGCATTGTTGGGCCCCAGTCAATGATATTGTACAAAGAAGACTGTTGATAACAAGTAATAGATAGTATATAAATGACTTGTTATAAGAAGTGCTCTTAATAATTATGCAGTTGTAATAACAACAGTTCATGCTTCATTTGGATCAGTAATAAGGACTGTTAATTATAATGAGATAAGGAATTGAATCCATGAGTGCTAAAAGAACAAAAACTCACCTGCACACTCCAGCTGCACCAAACTCATTCATTGTATGGAATATATTGAGTCACATACTATGATTACATTTTGTTGTGCAGCAATTTCATTATTTATTGATGTCTAACTGTAGCAGCCTTAGTAAGTTAAGTAAATTAATGGTGTTTTTAGCTTCAAACAAAACTAAAAAAAGGAGATGCAGAAAAAAAAGAAATGTTTTGCAAATGATTAGAAATTTTGCCAATCCAGGACTCTATAATAACTTTAGAGTCAATGATAGTGCTGTCCAGCTGAGCAAGTATTCAAATAGTCCATCAAGAAGTGCATTTATTGCATGAGATTGTTGCTTACCAGCCTCTACTTACAGATAATGTACATTTTGCCATTGCTTTGAGACCTTTCAAAATATTGCAGAAATAGTTGATAAGTGTAAAACTGTTTATACAGTTGCTCAGCTTATGTAACATTTGCACATTGTCAGCAAACCACCTCTGAGTAACAGAAAAATATGCATACCTGAACAGATAAATTATGCCTTACAAACAACTTCTACAAATATTCCAGCTAACAGAAAAAATCATGAATTAAATTTGATAGGTTCATCTTACAATCAACTCTATTATTTGAAGCATGTAGTGTGAGATAATGTTCATGTATGTGGGATATGTCTACCAGCCTGTATAAACTGGTTTTGTGGCTTAGTTGTAAAACAATTCTAACCTCAACCTTATGATGGTCTTCTTATACTGCATACATAAAGAGGATTGTTGGAGTAAACAAATGACTTGCAGAATTTTGGGACATAGCTTATATATTCAGCTTGGAATTTACATTGTTGTTGTCTGTTATTTATCAAGGTTCACGATTGAACGGACCGCTGCGCTTGCAACATAACCGGTCACGACCGGATGCCAACTGTGATGCCTTAATGGCAGTTCATTTGAACTGCCATGGCTTTTGCGTCCCGTGTGTGGTAATGTTGGTATCTTGGACCAGATCGACTTCGTGACCCAACCTCTTTTCCTGCGACTTTCACTTTCCGGCTTTGCTTCCCGACGCGACACGTTTCTACTAATGATGTATCTCATCAGCCTTCTACCGCAATAGAATTATGAGAAATGATATGATCGTGCCATTCAATGCGCTGAATTAAACAAAGAAGTCTTCTTTGTTTTAGTTCGTCGAAAAGAGTTCGCAGAATATCCTTAGGTGGCTTTCAATGTATTCATCGAGACCTTCTATTTGCAATATCATTTCATCTTCTCTTTCATTACCGTTGAACAGTTTGTCATCGTACAAACAATCCTCTCCCGTGGAGAACATGTTCTAACTGCACCTGTCCCTCATACCTCATTCTTCCTACATTGTGAATGCCCTTATTTACAATGTCATCAAGACCACAATCCATTCCGGACTGTTTGCTGGAGAGATAGTTGAAAATTTGGTAATGGCCTGTCACATTCATATTTGCCTCGTCCAATCCGAGGATTTCATCGAGAAACGAGGAAGGGACATACACTTCTCTACCTCTTTTGTCTTGTTTTTGTTTTTGTTTCGTCGGTAAGCGTCTCCCCGTTGAAGTTGGCTCTTTCTACTGAAGCTCGCCACATTGTAGTCTTCGTCCTCGTTCCGCTCACTTTAAAAAGAAACTAAGAACTTGTTAGCTGATCTAAAAAACTGACAGTACCCTATTTTACTTTCCTTCCTTCGAATGTCGCCCTGGGCCAGGCTACGTGCATAGAATGGGATCTGATAATATGACCGCTACTGACAGCGAGTATGATATCATGCAAGAGGCGGTTATTGAGGTTTCATCAAAAGGTATAAAGACTGTGCTTGAATGATTATATTTTCCTCAGTAGAAACTCATTCGAGAATTCATCTACTGTAACAGCTTACCCCACATGTTTTCCACTACGCTCATCAACACCTTTTCTCTTGGTCTTTTGGTGAGCTCGGTTCCTCTACTCGCACTATCCGATACGAACCTTCTATCTGTAGGCTGTTGTTAGTGTAGTCGCAGCACCCGGTGGGATCAGCGTAGGGCCTATCAGCATAGGACCTGGTGGGATTAGCCTAGGACCTGGTGGTATCAGCATAGGACCTGGTGGTATCAACTTAGGACCCGGTGGTGGACCAGGTGCTATCAACGCAGGACCAGCCGCCGTCAACCTCGGCACCGCTGGAAACTATGCAATCCTCGCAAAGTCGGGCATATCAACTGTACCGGAGTCAATCATCAGTGAGTATCCGCCGATTAACTTTCATCGGGAATTGAGAAGGAATCTTTATAGGTGGGAATATCGGTGTTAGCCCCATCTCAACGACTGCTTTCACAGGGTTCTCCGAAACTCTTGACTCTACTGGAAAATTTGCTACGTCACAGCAAGTGGTCGGCGAACTTTTTGCTGCATCGTTCGCTGCTCCTACACCCACGACTCTGACCACTGCAGTTTCCGATATGCAAACAGCGTTCAATGACGCAACTGGTCGTGTAACTCCAGATTTTACCAACCTCGGTGGTGGTATGCTCTATAGACCTTGGTAGTACACAACTATCATCTTATTTTATCTGCTCCCATCTCAGGTGAACTTGGTGGTCTCGTCCTTACACCTGGCCTGTACAAATGGACTGGAGCAGTTAGCGTGAATTCTACTGGTGTCACTATCGCTGGGACACCGTTAGATCGTACGTTGGATCACTATACTGCTTATATAGTGCACCAAGTTGATGCAATTTCTTTTTCAGACTTTATCTTCCAAATTCCCGCCACTCTTGGTTTCGCTGCAGCATCCCGTGTTACTTTGGTTGGTGGTATCCCCGCTTCGAATATTGTTTGGGCTGCCACAAGCGTAGTGACAGCTGGTGCAGGCTCTCACATCGAGGGTGTTGTTCTAGCAAAAACTGCTGTTACTCTGGAGACAGGTGCTACTATGAATGGCCGCATTCTGGCTCAAACCTTTGTTGCTTTGCAATCAGTGAGAACAATTTCTTTCATCTTGAGCTTTGATTACAGAGTTACTGATCCTTCTTCACTAATTTCAGGCCACAGTCATTGGATAGTGTCATCTCTTACTTGTTTTCTCGGTACCATGCTGTCAAGTCCCCGTGTATCTCTATGTACTTTCATAGTTGTAATTGATTGAATTCGCTGCATAACATCGCATTCGCAACTTGGTGTCATACCCTCAGCTAATTCGTCGTTCGAGGCATTTTCAAAACTGAGGATCAGAATTGATTGAAACTCCCCTCATTCTCAACTTCCAATTCCTCTATCGGCTTTAGCTTGCGCTACAATTTCTGCAACTTCCATGTTGCGTGTAGTGATATTGCAATGAAATACTGTTGGCCGCCTGCAAAAGCATCAATAGTAAAAGGTGACCATCTACCTAGTAGATACTCTGAGTTACTTACACAGTAAGACCTTCTGTGCATTGAGACGAATCAGGAAGGACATGCTTCCCATATTCATCTACTTGCGCAGTAATATCGAATGCCCAGAGTAGAAAAGCGATATGAATAAACAAGCTGCTGTTTGCAACATGTCGACCAACGCATATTCTTTCATCGAGTGGTCAATAACGAGAAGATTTAGAGGGAAGGAAGGAAGAATTGATTATAAGCCCACGTACCTCTTCCCAAAACCGTAACTGTGATGTCCTTCATCCTTAGTGTCTGCAATAGAAGACTTGAGCCTTCCGTTGGCATCCAAGAATCTTCCGGGGTTGAAATGCTCAGCATCGTCGCCGTACACTTCTTTGTCGTGGTGGAGTGACCTTGGAAAAAGATTAGGTTCGATTTCAATCGGAAAAACACACCGTTTCGAACAAACCAAATGTTCACAAAACATATCGTGTCCTTGGGTAGAAGATAGCCTTCATAGTAGTCATCTCGACTGAGTCGGTGAGGGAGTCCTGTCACATAAAAAGTGAGTACGGGCTGCACCCGTATCAGGGTTCTATCAGCTCACCGAGCGGGGCCACCCCTCTCCAACGTAGAATTTCTTTGACTGTAGCACGTATATATGGAAGGTGCTCATAATCATCAAATGTAGGAAGTCGATCTGGTCCAATTACACGGTCTAAACGTAGAGTTGTACTGGCTATCAAACTTAGTATCTAAAAGTACTGAGATTCGTGCCTACCGAGTTCCTCCTGTGCTATTCGTTGAGCGTCCGGATAAAGAACCATTGCTTGCATGAACCAAGCAAGTTGACTTGCAGTCTGATTGATACATTACATTATGATTGAAAATTTTCGGGAAATAAGACGCACGGTTTCCGATCCGGCAGAACTATCATGATACTGAGCAAACAAAACAATGTTAAAGAGGTTGATAACGGACTAGATGGATGCGGAGTTCCACGCAGCCTCAAACAAATTTTTAGAATCCCAGAGAAGCTTTCCGACTACACTTTTGCTCTCGTCACCCGCATCCTGCAAATACGTGATCAGTCTGCATTCGAACTGTTTAGACATGAGCGTACGATCCGCTTTTGCACGTCTGCAGACAACCCTTCAAGCACGTCGGAATGATATCCAAAAGCCTTTTCTGCATTACGTCTCCACGCGCACATCCATCTAGGGAGATGTTTCATCCATTTGAAGTACTCAAACTCAACCCAGAAAAAGCTAGGAGCTGCTGCCACAAGGATCTGTCGATTCATTTGGTTGATTTGCAAAACATTTGGGTGGGCAGAATCTAACAGTGGTGGCCAGCCGTAGATTATTGAGAGTGTAAGCGATGTCGAGGCGCGTTGAAAATGATCAAAGAAATGTTCGGGGTCAGTCAGCATTTGGTCTAGCATGATGACAGACTCAGTTTCTTGGTATGGAAAGTATTCTTTTGCTGTTTGTACACTTAATGCTCTGCAAACAATTGGCAAACTAAGCTCGAGCAGTATGAAGTCAGTACTCACTCATGAGCCCCCCGACGTTGTCTCTTCCACAAGTCATCTGCTTGTGTCCAGGCCCAATGCATGCCACCAGTGATCAAATTAAGAACAACGTAGTCTGGTCGATCTGAGTAGATATTGGCTCGTCGATCCAGGAGATCTGCTGCTGCTTTAGGTGTACCCAACACAACGGTGTTCTGGCCTGCGATATTGAGATAAAAAATAGGTCCTGTTACGCGCAAATAAGGTAAGGGAGATTAGGGAATGTGGTCACTAACCATAATGTTTTGTCCATTTGTCAAATGTTAACCATGGTCGACTAGTCGGAATTTGAAAAAGGTTTCCAAGGATTGGAAGACCTGAGGGCCCAGGAGGTAATTGCGAACGTAGACGCAATATCTTGAACACTCGAAGTATTACAAGGATGATGCCTATGGAAAGCACTACCGTGTTCCACATTTTCGAGGGCTGTTTACACGAATTGTCGAAGGGACGTCCCTGGTAAAAGGAAGCGTTGAGGCTTTGGCCTATATATCCTGATTCATATTTGTCCTAGTCAGAGTTCAGACCGTCAGGTGTTCCCTTTGCCCAGTCTTCAACGAGAAAGATCAAGTCCATTCTCTCATTGGCGCCACCAGCACATTACACCCATCACCAGACCTCCCGATTCTCAATGTTTCCGGGTTCGACATTGAATAGCATCTTTGTTTGTCGCGGCCTAACAGCGACGAAATCAAAGATCAATGAACATGGCGTAGTGGTTTGTTATTAGCCTGTTATTAGCATGGGAGCATGGTAATAACACGCTGCTTCTGGTTCAGAACGTTCCAGGATGGTACTTGGTGCAACTGGTCCAAATTGAAAGAGCGAAAGAGCGTTATTAGCGCTCATGAAGTTCCTAGCGTCTACCTAGGTCTACCTGCGTCTACTAACAACTTTTCCCATTCCAGAATGGCTCCTGAACTTCAAAAATGTTGGTACGGCATGAAGGACCAACTTAGATCGCCATAACAAATACTCGGGCGCGCAACTTCGGGCTCAAGCTATGCTATCCAATCTGATAAGTAGATACAGACTCGGATATGTCAGTCTGTCTCAATTTTCTAGTTTCCGCACTTACTAGATCCTGTCAATAATACTTCGTTGGGTCTCTTCCCCCCAACTGAGCATCACAAGGAGGGAACACCCCCAGTCTTCTCATTTTTGCACCTGTTGAATGTTTGAACGTCTTCGAACGTCGACCTCTCGTCCGTCCGTGTGCAAAACTTACCCAACGCTATTTCTTCTAATCCTATCAAGCTAGCAGCTCATAAACATGGAGAGTTCAACCCCAGTACTTAGGGGTTCCGGTCGATTTGGGTCCTTCCTTGAACCTTCCAGACCAAGCATCCCCTTTTCCTTTTCTTCTCCGGACCTCCCCAAGTTCTTTCCCGTCATTGTCATTTCCCGTCGTTCCTACGGAAACATCTCTAGATGCAACGTTCCCGTTCATTTGACTACCCAACTTTCCCATTCCTCACCGGGTCCCCGTCCCTTGACCGGTCTCTCCCCTTCCCACCATACCTCGATGCCCGAAGCCTCGAGGGACTAGTTAACTGACCCGACCCGACCCGGTCTACGGGGCTTCTGTTGAAATCTAGTTGAACCAATGGCAAATTTGAAGTGTGTCTTCCCGGGATGCTCTGGAATGCTCACTTCCCCTTAGATTTTGTTCTTCTCGAGTCTGGAGCGTCGAACCTTCCAGTGATTTCCAACTGATAACGCACAACTTGTGTAGAGAAGGTTTAAGCACTTGTAGCCTTTATCAATTTCAGTTCTAGCCCTTGCCAGGCCTCGACCTCTAAGTTTATCCATAGACCATCAATGCATCCATCTTCTTAAGTCCTAATCTGGACGAATAAATGTGCATTCGAAGAACCGCACAGGTGCGGGCACATACACCGGGGGTAGGAATGTTCTTGAACGTTCAGGTAGTTATCCTATTGTAGGCCCGGGTATGTAGTGCTATCTGGGACTACTTTTCACTTCTTCCTTCCCTCGTACCCCGGGTGGGGGTTTCTACCTTGACTCGCTACTGGCTACTGCTAGGAATGGTCTCGACCATTCTTCCCTTCTTCAGGGCGCAGAACCCAAATAGCGAATCGGATTAATTATAGAAAGACTATCATTCGAGAGACATGCTTACCAGAAATAGGTGTGTGTATAGCCTCCCCCTCGTTGCTCCGATACTTACATGGCATGCTGCATTGCGAGAGAAGATGTAAAGATGAGCACATCGTTGTGAGAGGATACAGTACATTGGAGCTTTCGGACGTGCCATGCACAGTGCGCCGGGTCTCCGTATTTGCTGTTATCATTCACTGTTTATTATCGATGTCATTATTGACTCTCTACGTACTACATGACTACATGAATGCGGTAGAAAGAAAAAGCCCTTGGAACTGGATGAATTTCCTTACCAAGTAGAGTGACAGTGGCGTCGTATGATGAGAACCGAATGAGGGAGTCTGAGGGAGCTTAACAAAAAAGAACAAAAGACGGATAGATAGTTAGATAAGGGAAAAACTTAGTATTTTAGGCTGTATGCATGTATGCTCCGAAGGGGAACCGCGTTGGAGAAAGCGGGAATTTGTGAAAAAAAAGCCTTGTGAAAGTTGTTTCCGCCAACCTCCGCCAACGGAACTTACTCAGACTTGTTAGACTCAAACGTCTCAAGAAAACCCTCCACTGCCCAAGTGAACCACTTCGCGAAGTAATAATAATGACGCACTGATTCAAGGTGGTACGATGATTATGCGGTTGGTGGAAGAAACCATACAGATCGTGTCAGTCTGTCATTAATGAGTGAGTTCATAGACTATGTCAGACCATGGCCAAATGTCGTCAACTGGTTTCTCACTTGCAATATGAATCTTCTCCCGCCACGGTGGCGTTCGGACATTCACATTCACACTCCAGACTAGGTTTCCAAATCTTTTTTTATTTTGTGATATTCGTGCGGTGAGGAAATACTACGAGAATTGGCCATCGTTGAAGATTTAGCGGTAGTAATACAGCAATGTGTGGGGGAATGTCGAAGAAAAGGGCTACAAGGTTGTATACGTACATCGAGTACAAACCAGATATAGTAGAGAAAGTCTAATAATGACAACCATTTGAACCAAACACGTATGGGTTTGAACTCTGGAAGATACAAAGGCATGGATAGCAATGGACCGATAGGGGAAACAAATGTTGCACGGCCATAGATGATGATGATAGAGAAAAAGCAGGATACGAAGCAAAAGGGATAAATGTTCGCGATATGTCGTGAATGGGTATGAGTCGTCAGGTGGATATAACAGCAAATATCGTTCAACTTCGCTTCGAACAATAACTGCTGCTAGCTCTTCTCCGTGCCCTGAATAACCGGAACCTAAGCGACAAAGAAACAGCCAACCACTGTTTCTTCATTGCCTGGGAGTAACTCAGCGCATTCTGCTGATGAGATGATAAATCCTGCTCTTCCACAGAAGATTCGTGATCCTCGTCGACGTATTCAACGTCTGAAGAATCATCGGATTCAGGAGGGTCAAATGATAATGGACTCGGCAGTGAGCTCGAGTCAGAGGAATGGCGTCGGAATTTCTTGGGGAGGATGGAATGGTGATGGTGGCGTGGTTTGTCTTCAAAGACGGAAGTGTAGGGTGAGAATGGAAGAGGAGATGTTATTGATGATGGTGATGACGAAGTGGAGGAAGAAGAGGGTATCGAGGATGTGTAAGAGTCAGACGAGGAAATAGGGTATGTATGTGATTGGGATGATCGTGGTCGTCGTGTACTTTGACGACGATGATACTGCCTTGGTCTTTCCTCGACATCATCATCCTCTTCCAAATCCTCATCCCCAAACTGAGTTTTTCTGCTGTCCGAGTGATCTGAGATTCTTCTCCCGCGTTTGTTGTTCTTCCCTGCTCCCTCATACACAGGGAAATAATAGAAATCTGGATCGTGCATTTGGCCTCGACGATCGATGTATACTCTGGCTGGCTCTGTCGACGACACGCCGTGGTTGTTGGATGGATGATATGAAGGGTCCATTAACCGAGAGATATCAGCATTGGCAAGCTCGACAGAATGCCTCGAAGACTTCATGTGGAATGGATGAGAGTTGGAAAGCATCACAACGGTTATGGGGAAAGTTTAGAACTCCCGACAGAGAACCACCCGAGGTCTTTATATGTTGAGCCGCATCGGAAGGGTAATGACATTTTGAGTCAAAGAATTCACAAGCTGAGTCAGAGTTATTTTCGATCGGAAATCGGCGGTTGGGGGTCGGATGTTTGTTATCGGCTGAGTAATCCCCTTTTCGTCAATGTTCTGCCGAAGATGATGAGATAATCCGTTTTCCGGCCGAACCGCTCCTCTGCCTTGAGCCAATCATAATCAGTTTCCGAAGTCACCCGTTCTTTCCAAGGAGGAACCTAATTCCATTCGAGGACTGAGCAAAAACCACACAAACTTCTGGCGCATAACCGGAGATTCATAATCGGCTTTTTTTTCTGGTTGGTCTCTACCAGTGACCGCGGATGGGCGGTGAACGAGGAAACACCAGTCCATTTTTGGGAATTACGCTTACGTGTCATTCCGACTATCCGAATGTTTCCAAAAACATCTGAATCTCCCCAAATCCGCGTGTTTGCGAATGACACGGAAAACGCGTCGAATGACTCTTTGTAGGGTATTGTCATGGGGTTGCACTCTGAAGATCTCAAGGCGCGTTGCAGCTCGTTCAGAACGCGTGTACATACGTGTACCTAGTGCATGTGTACACTGGCATGTACACCTTTAGACAGTACCACCTGGCACCCAACAAAACGCCAATCTTCCGAACATCTATTATCATCTCGGATATCAATAATGCACCGTAACTCGTACCTCCACAGAATATCATATCGATAGATACTGCAATGCACATCGTACCAAGTTCACAGGTCTAGCCCCTCGAAGCCAACAAGCAACTTCCTTCCCTACTTGAGCCCAATCAGGTCCATCTTCCGAATTTAATCCATCTTCTTATGATCAACAAATAACCGTCGTGTAAAGATAAGATATATCCGGCGTCGCCGCTGCGTCCTCTTCGACCTTCTTAAACTGCCATGGGAATCGGGATGAGCCAAAGCTGGCAAAGAACATTAATGGTCGACCTTGGTTGAATCCGGAGCGAATCCTTCCACACATACAAACGTGTAAGTATAGAGAAGCCCTCCAGCGGAAGGACACAAACAAAACTTTATCGCATAAAAGAGCACGGTTTACAGATGAACTATTATTAGCGATGCAAGCCAAAGCTAGCGATTATCGTGTCGGAAGAGATTATCGGATGAAGAAAGATAACCCCCCCACCCCAATGATTATCATTCCGGAATCCGGAGCGTACCAATATTGATCCTTTTCCTTTCCATATGTTGAATCCCCCAAAAAAAGAAATAACCGAGTCAGAAACCACACCTACGCTTTTCGGGCAATGTTTTCCGGAAAATCTCACAGCGTAAAATCCCACAGGGTAACTAGGAAGAGAGTACTGCAGGAAGGCGTCAACAGGCGTCAACGTGTGGTGTTCATCTTACATGTCAATGCCGAGCGTGCTCAAAAAAAGAACAGGCTTAACTTTCTCTCTGCAATTAATCTATACATCATATATTCGCTTGTTCGTTGCCCGCGCGTGGGGAGTCTTTGACTCACTCTTTCGCCGTGTGGTGAATGTCGTGTGGAATGGTTTATTACATAGAGATGGTGTGGTGAGCATGATGTCGACCGTCGGTATGTACAAGCCCCGCTGTTCAATCGTGTGGACCTCCTAAGTTTTGAGTCATTGACAGACGAAACTCACAGAGAGTGTAAAGGCCCACCAACACATGCGATTTCAGCGCAGAACTGAACATACTGTATGGACCACATTCCTACCGTGATATACAGACACCTTGCGCAGTCAAACCGAAGATGTAGAGCTCAATCGTACTAGACCACTGCGCTCATCATATCCGCGCACAGCGTGAACCTTGCCTCATACCCCATTCCACTCCAACAAGTTCATTCCAGCTTCAAGTGAAAGACCAAGTCTCAAGAACGCTCCAAGACCGCTCCAAGAACCATCCAAGAACGACCCAAGAACGACCATCTCGTCCATCGTCCATCTTGCGCAGTAATCATCAACCGTTCTCGGCTCGAGCTCCGCGGTAGGCGTGGCATTCTTGGAAGCCACACACGCCCCAATGACCAAGCAACTTGAACAGATTGAAAGAGAGAAGGTTGATAGAGTCACACGACTCCGAGCACTTCGAGCCTCGAGGAAGCACCCTTGTTACCTTTTTGGGAAAGGGAAAGGTAAAAAGTTTCGAGTCATTCTGCCTAAACAATGACATTTCCGTTGGATCCGTCTCGAGGCTGAATAATGTCTTGATAATCCTCTTCCGACGATAAAGCTGAATAATCGAGATGGGTTTTGAGGTACAGCGGTACATAGATGATAGATACGACTGTTGTTTCGTCATGGCAGCACTGCACACAGTGCACAGGTAGATGTATATGATAGCGCATATCAGATGAAATCAAAGAATCGTCTGATCACCGGCGACGCGATCATCAAGGAAAAAAGCTTCAAGTACTATGTGGGTTTTCAAGGACATCACACCTACCCAGGTTGAATATGAATATGAATAAAAGATCAGAATTCGATAAGCAGCAGCACTGCAAATCATCATGAATGATACATACATAGGGGAGAAACACAGTGAACATGGGGAATCGAGAATACCGCTAAGCTTCAAACACAGTGCACACCCACATGGTCGCGCATCCGCGTTCCCACTAACAAACACAACTTGAAGTAGACCACCGATTCACCCGCGTGTACCTGGCAAGAAATGGGCACTCGGAAGAAGGACTTGGACATGCGAGAAACCTTCAAAGCCTTTCCGGTACAGAATAGGTTTGGGAAGAGGAATATCAGATCAGTTCTTGTAGCAAGTTGTAGGTTCTCAAAGCGCACCCACCATGGATTGAAAAGCTCTGCAGCACCAGTATCTTCTGTATTCAATTACCAATGTTTACGGAACCCTGACTGTGAGCAAGAAATCATAGGCATTATGGGAGTCCATTCTAGTCCAGTACGGGCATTCGAGGATAATTTCAACTTGGTAGAATCGTGGGAACTATCGTCTTCCTGCTACGTACGCATGATCAAGAAATATCAAATTGATTTTACGTTTGATCGTTGTCCCTGTAGATTAGTGGTTAGATCACCACGTTGTGGCATTTGCTTAACAATTCCGTGGCGACGCAGGCTCGACTCCTGCCAGGGACACTGCTGGGGTGGTAAATATATTTGTTTTATCGTTCCCAGAAAGGTTTATATGTACATTACAGCAGATTACAGCCCTTTCCGTAACCATATGGAATTTGATTTTTTGAAAACCTGTGAGGTTGTGTTTGGCAAGATCACATGTCGAGTTTTCACCCTCAGTTTACTTGCATGTACTATGCGGGTTCGGGTACCATTAATGTTTTGGGAACAGCAGGTTTCAGTGAAGAATATCTGCTACCACCTCGGGATGAAGAAATCTGTTGTTTATCATATCCTTGCGCAGTATCGGGACCATGGACGACTTCAACCTGCCTTGCGTTGACAGGGCCGACCCTCTCTTTTGAATGGCACTGATACTCACTATCTCTCTGCTCTCATTGATCTCCGTCCGACCTTGCATTTACTTGGATGAAATACAAGCAGAGCTAGAAAGATGTTGCCGAGTTCGTGTCTCAGTGCAAGCACTTGTACGCGCACTTCGGAAATTAGACCTATCTCGGAAGACTGTCTCTGTACGGGCACTCGAGCGCAATGACCTTGAGCGGGCACATTTCATGCTGCAGATAGCTAAGCTGGTGCCACAACAAGACATGCTCATGTTCATTGATGAGGCTGCTCGTAATGCCAAGACATCTCTTCGGAAGTATGGGCGTGCAAAGCGAGGTCATCGCTGTGTGCAACAGAGGCAGTTTGTCCGCGGAGAATGTGTGTCTATACTGCCAGCAATAACTCTTGATGGCATTGGAGCTAATAGAAACGATGTCGACAACGCGCAAATATCAATGAAAGTGTAGATGCACGTCTAAGAGAAGGTGATGCCAAATACAACCTTACAACTTTTCAAAAAAATCGAATTCCATATAATTACGGTAATAGCTGTAATGCCACTGTTACAGACTCAAATTAGACCTTGACAAACAAATTGATCCAACTTTCCATGTCAATCCGTCTTCTTATGATCGACAGTCGTCGTAGTTAGATATGATCTATCCGGCAACGCCTCTGCGACCTCGTCAATCTTCTTAAACTGCCAGGGAAATCGAGAGGGGTAGAGGAACGGTCGGAGGTCGAATCCTGACATCACAGTCAATAAGTGAAGCAAGAAAAGAGGTGAGGAAAGATCGCACGATTATCATCCGGAGAGTATGATTCCTAACGAATGAAAGAATCAGTCATCGATCCACATTCAAGAGATGAAAATCTCACAGCGTGGTAGGAAGGTGTCAAAGTGGTCATCTTGTGTCGATTCCGTGCATGTTCGAAGAAAAACAGCTTGACTTTCTCTGCAATCTGTTCATTTGTTGTTCGTGGCCAGTGCAAAGTGAGCGCAAAATGAGTCAGTGTGGTAATTGTCGGTAAAAGCGCTGTTAACGCATGATACTTCGAGTCAATCGTAAACGAAGCTCACCTGCAGAGGGGACAAGAACCCACCCCACTCGTGTACCAATTTTGTGAACGTGCTGTACGGACCACACTTCTCCACCTTGCGCAACCGACCGAAGACGGAGAGCTCATCGTAGGTCATACCCATATCCGCCTACAGCAATCATTACCATTTTAGCGGGAAGACCAAAAAGAATCTGAGGATGACAAAGAACAACAACCTACCTCATCAGCTTGCACATAATTCTCCGTAATTGGCTCAAGCTCCGCGGTAGGCGTAGCATCTAGGAAACTACGAGGAGGCGTCAATAATGACGAAGTGCGAGGTCAATGTTGACTAATTCGCCTCGAGGTGGCTTTCCGCTTGCTCAGCCCTCCTTACCTTTTCAGGATAGGCAAGTCAAATGAACCTTCTGCCCAAGCAATGAATTTCTTTAGGTCCGTTTTACTGATTCCCCCGATTGGGTTGATATCAGCTGATTGGAAGATATAACCGGACTCTTAGCACCCGGTTGCATGTAGAGGAGGGGGGAGAATACTCACCCGAAGAACAATCGTATTTGGTCAGATAACCGCGAAGACTGGACGAATGTGTATACATGAATGTGAGAACAAAGATGAAGATTGGAGATTAAAAACGCGATGAGAATAGACCATAAAACATGATCAACTAGTATCGTCACTGACGACGCGCAATGATTATATATCGGTAGAAAGGGGAACAGGAAGAAGGATATGGGGGATCGAAAATAAGGCAACACGTACCTCTCATCAACGTTTGCACTACCGAGAACAAGAAGACCACCGACACGCCCGCGTACCCAAGGAAGAAGCTGAGCAAAGAGGTATGCAAGGACCATCCGCAGCCTTGCCTAAGAGATCGTGAACAAGCAAGTGAGTGGAAAACAACTTGCAACGGCAAATCGAGACGTTATGCGGTTTTCGATTGGAAAAAGAACAACGGTAAGGGAGCTGGAGGAAGAATGTATTCACCTGAATATTCTGCAGTGCTAAATTCTCTGCATTCGAGCCTCCATGCGCACGAAATTCTGGTTTTACACCAGTAACGAATCCAAAAAGGTTCCGCACTGCGGTAACGACTGTGTCCATGTTTAAATCAATGTGATAGCTGGGCAAGAAATCCGTCAAAGCAACTTGAGCAAAGGCCGAATCTTGTATCGCACCTTCCAATCGCACCAGCCAAATTCTTCGCTCTATTCCTAGTCTCTGCACTGGAATTCTCGGTACCCATATAACATGTATGGAAAATCCTCCCCGCGAATTCGCGAGGGTCTGAAGGGATGTACCCGGAATCTTCCGGCTCCCCAGCAATCCGGCGGGCATCTGCAATCACTTGCTTATCGGCTCTTCGCGCCGCCTCAGCGACCAAGCGACACATCGAGAACACGATAACAGCTGTTGCACAACTGTCTATGCCACCACTGAGAGGGATAAAGTAGCCTTGGGTGCGGGAACGACGGAGATAGTCCCAAAGCCAGCATGCCGGTCCTAGGCTGTCAAGAATGTGAGATTCGAGGACAAGAATGATATTAGGAAGGGCACACTCACGCAATCTCTTCTTCCGGCCGATGATACCTCACCTCCATCGTCTTAGTGCTCAAGAACCCGATCATATCTTCCTCACGTACTTCCTCGAATTTCCCAAGTGACAGAGCAAACGGAACCTCGATTCGTGGGTACTTCTCGGCCTGCGCTGCCTGCATACTTCGACTACTCTTCGCGCGATGGGAACGCACATCCTCGATGTCGATCGTAGCAGTCACTACCTCGACGTCGTTGAGGGAGAATTGTGAGCCTTGCGCTACTATTCGGCCATTGACAGCGATCAAAGCACATCCATCGTAGTAGAGTCTGTCACCGTCGCATCCTTGTTGATTTGAGTACAGATAAACACCACCGAGCTGCAGACCGAAGTAAGTGGGAGAGAATGCTGAGAGTGGAAAAGTTTACATACCTTCAATGTAGCTTCCTTGATCAGTTCTACGCGGGTGTAAAGCTTACGCAGTTCGTGGTGGCTACCGCTAGAATTAGTGAAAATCTCGACACCGTCCAATCCCATGAGAATATGAGGGCTAACAAAAGCTTCAGGAGGAATATAGAATTTAAAATCTAATTTGCAAACCTCGCAGGCGTGAATAGTTCCTCGCATAATTCCACCCCAATGCAAGTATCAGCTGTACTGATAACCGCGTCTCCGAAGGGTACTTTGGTCTAAGAAAAGGATTAAATACTCTTTGAAGGAATCGACAGAGGAATTATGGACCTGGCCTGTGACAACCTGTATAATTCTTGGCAAAAAGTGATCCTCGACTTGTCTGTGTTTGGTCCAGGGAGTGAAGTATCGTAGTTCACGATAGTTTCCATCATTAGCTAACCACATCTTCGGTCTAATTAAGAGAATCTTGCGGTTTTGGATAATTACACGACAATTATATATGGTGTTCTTATGTTCTATAGGCCTGAAACATATATCATACTTCATGAGTCTTGTCAGGATACAGTTGCAGGGTACGCACATTCCCAGATCGCACACAATTCCTGAAGTCTCTTCAGATGCCAGAATCTTCGCCAGAACCTCCCATGAATGAAGAACGGTATCGCCTGGTCATTGATAGTTCAATCCGTAGCATAGATTGAGTTACGCAGCCCTTGTGTACCTTCAAGGAAATGATCGAGACATCCATATCCACTAAGAGGGCAGATCAGCAGGTAAAAGAGTAGAAGATGAGTGAGGACATACGGTATCTCTAACTCAGGTCCTACTCTCAACGTCGCGCCTCGTCTTTTAGCGACAGCGATACTGTCCAGTATTCTTTCCATGTTACCCTTAATGAATAGATTAATCGTTTCCGTCAATCACATAGACACAGTAAGCCCCAAAAATACCTGAAAGTCTAAAGCCCATTGGTTCAACGAGCTTGAATCGGACAGTGTATAATTAGCATCGCGAGTCCCAATTTACCTTGAAGGAACAAACCATCTTTATCATTCCCTTTATCAGTCTCAGCAAAGAAAGAGAAAGCATAGAATGGCGTACGTAGCCAGTGTGATTAGGTGGCCCATGAATTATGAGAGCACTTGGAGTTCTTGGGAATTGCTTGTCGTAGAACTAGAGGATGATATCAAACTGGTCCGTGCGCTAATCAGCGCCATTATGTCTTCCGACCCGTCCGTCTTCATCTTCTTCTCAGCACTAGATTTATCAATCCCTTCAATCTTCTTCTTTCCAGGAAGAATACAATTCGCATGCAGACGCGTCTGAGTCGGGAATAGTACGTGCTCGTGGAACCAATGAAAGAATGCTTTAGACAACCATTGTCCGAGTCACTGGGACTTGTTGTATGACAGATCTCAACGTGAAGATAGCGAATCCACCAGATGAACACCTGACGCTCCTCTTTGGACTTTGAAGGTTCGAGCTCCAACAGTACCAGGTCATATACAATTCAGGCCATATTTAAGCTTCAGAGATGACTTGTATAGACTATCGCTACTTGCAAACTTTCAAGGATGTGGAGCACAGTACTGTTTTATATCGGGGTCATCCTCATTGCCCTTCGACTTTTTAAGAAGTTGCGTATACCTCCGCGTTCGAAACTACCTCCTGGACCTACGGGGCTTCCAGTCATCGGAAACCTTTTTCAGCTTCCTACAAGTAGGCCATGGTTAGTTTTTGATGAGTGGATGAAGCAATATGGTGAGGAGCGTTCATTTGTGCGAGGTCCTCAAAATTCTGATTATTGCAACAGGGCCTATCGTTTATCTCAATATCGCAGGTCAGAACACAATCGTGCTCGGAACACATAAAACAGCAGCAGACCTTCTAGATCGACGAGCCAACATTTACTCAGATCGGCCTGACTTCGTTGTTCTCAATCTGCTGACTGGTGGTATGCATTGGGCCTGGACCCAAGCAGATGAGTTGTGGAGGAAAAAACGGCGAGGAGCACATGAGTGGGTTTGTTCATACCACAATACACAACGTCTCGTTGACCCCATCTGTTCACAGAGCAATGAATGCTCAGACAGCTAAGGAGTATTTCCCATACCAAGAGACCGAGTCTGTCATTATGCTCGATCAATTGTTGGCCGACCCGGAAAATTTCACTGACCATTTTCAACGTGCCTCGACATCTCTTACACTTACTATAGTTTATGGCTGGCCGCCCCTCATAGACTCCGCCCACCCAAATGTTTTGCACATCAATCGGATGAACCAACAGCTCCTTATAGCGGCAGCTCCTGGCTCTTTCTGGGTTGAATTCAAGCATTTCAAATGGATGAGATATCTCCCGAAATGGATGTGCGCATGGAGGCGGGATGCAGAAAATGCGTTTAACCATGATTCGGTTATGTTTGAGGAGTTGTCTGCAGATGTGCAAAAGCGGATGGTAAGCAGAGTATACCAATCGTACGTGTGTAATATGGACTGACTATCTAACTCAAGGATGCAGGTGACGATGTAACCTGCGTAGCTGCAAAGATTCTTCAAGAAACTGAAAACTTATTTGAGGCATCCTGGAACTCTGTTTCCATCTAGTGCGTTGACATCCCCACTGCCAAATTATCATTTGCTGAGTTTAGCAATAGCTCCGCTGGAGCTGAAACTGTGAGTCGGAGATCTCAATGTCTCTTCTATCATTGTACTGATCGGTGATATTTGTTTAGACATCCGGTCAACTTGCTTGGTTCATGCAAGCAATGATCTTGTATCCAGAGGCACAGCTGCTCGCACAAGATGAACTTGGTGAGGAAGTAATATTCAGATTAAATTCAGTGCTCAATAGATCCTGTAGATCGGGTTGTTGGACCGGATCGGCTTCCGACTTTTGATGACTATGAGCACCTGCCGTTCATACGAGCTACAGTTAAAGAAATTTTACGCTGGAGAGGGGTATCCCCACTAGGTGAGCTTGTTTGGTAATGATGGTGGTAGCTCGAGTTGCGCTCAAGCCCTATCGTGACAGGGCTCCCTCATCGACTTAGTGAAGATGACTATTATGAAGGTTATTTTCTACCTAAGGACACAACTTGTTTCGTGAACATCTGGTAAGATTCTCAATACTGAACATAATGATTCTGCTCAGCTGTTCTTACAAGGTCCTTACATCATGACACCGAAGTTTATGGTGCTGACGCCGAACATTTCAATCCCAAGAGATTCCTGGATGCAAACGGAAACCTTCAATCTTCAATTGTAGACACTAAGGATGAGGGACATTATAGTTATGGCTTTGGAAAAAGGTAGGCTGCTTGATAGACAACCATTGGCATGCATTCTCATCGCCAATCATTGACAATGCAAAAGAATCTGTGTTGGTCGGTATATAGCAAACAACAGCTTGTTTATCCACATTGCTTTTCTGCTTTGGGCGTTCAACATTACGGCTAAAGTAGATGCAGATGGAAATCCTATCCTTCCTGATTCCCTTCAGTTCAACGAAGGTCTTATTGTGTAGGTCACAACACTTGGTTTTCGGTTACTATCCACGTATTAATTTTTGGCTTTGCAGTCGTCCGGCACCATTCTCTTGTGATATTATTCCGCGTAAAATGGATGTTTCGGAGATTATAGCACAGGCTAAAGCAGACAGAGGACTTTGATGAATCCCCTAGCCACTTAGTTGTATATGTATGATCTCATGTTTGGCCTATGTCTCTCTCCCCAATCAAAACCAATTTAATCCTCAACCCCTCCTCCTCTCCTCCTCCTAACCTTCCCTGCCTCTCTATACCGTTTCTTCCACCCCCTTGTCAGCTCAACCTTGTTTTCCTCCCACCGTTTCTGAATCTCTTCTGGAGTCTGGTGGTGGTAGAATGGAGACGAGGACGCGTTTGCAGCGGACAAAGCTATCGAGCGAGGGAAGAATAAAGGTTTACTTGGGTCGAGAGTGATCGGTGGAGCTGGTTGTGTTGGGTGATATTGGTGAACGGGACGTGATATTGAGATTTTTGCGGATGCAGGAGGCTGTAATGGTTGCGCGTTCAAAGCCGCTGGCACGGAAGTGAGGAACGGAACCATATCCAAGTCAAGGTTGTCATCGAGTTCGAGGTCGAGGTGATTTAGAAGGGAGAATCCGCCTGAATAGTCATAAGAGATAAATCAAAGTTGAGTTGCTGAATAATGGATAGAGGAGAACATCATGAAGATAGAAATTCGCACCTTCGTCTTCACGCGGTGCGAACAGATCTTTCAAGGGATTGATTTTTGGACGTGGAGGCAGAGTTTTTTCTTCGACCTGCATAGGCGTTTCTTCCTGTGTGTCATCTGAGCTGTCCGAGTCATCACTTTCTTCTTCGTCCTCCCGCTCGTCGTTATCCGGTCCTTGGTTAACGTCTACGTCCATTTCGTTTTCATCGGCTCGCGGGACAATCTCATACCCTTCATCAACATCCTTCGCGGGATTCCGCACTTCAATTACGTTCGCTTCGTCAAGATCGACGTCAGAATCCCAGTCTACCGGGATGTTGTCGTGTTTTGATTTGGACGAGAAAAGAAAGGAATTCAATAACGAGAGAGTCTGAGCTTTTTCTGTCAGAAGGTCCACGGAATGTGATGGATCTTCGTGTGACGGAGCTGTTGTCGTAGTCACGGTAGGGGCAGATAGGGGTTTTGATTGTGCTTCTGGGACCAGAGGATCGGGAAGAGCCTGAACGTCTACAATTTCGAGTATATTCACATTCTTTTTCTTCTCCTCCATATCCTTGTCCTGTTGTTTCTTTTCCTTCTTTTCCTTCTTTTTCTGCTTCCTCTCCTTCTCTTCCTTCTCCTTGTCCTGGACCCTTTCTTCCACTACACCGTGGAGACCTTCTCTCAACTGCGCTATCGGTAGAACCTCATCTCCACCAAGAAACACACCAGTAACATACGACCCATCCCACTTTGTAACGTCGATAGTCTTTGACCTTGCTCTGGTATCCGGAGTTTTCACCTTTTTCTTTTTCTTCCCATCTTTAGAGTCCTTCACATGCACTGGTAACGGGGGCAACGGCTTGCCAGGCCTCATCTTCATCGTCCTGACCACACGACCAGAAGGCATAACTTTCCATCCTACGCGTTGTGACGCATTTTCGCGAGTTACGAGGGACATATCAGAGGCTTGGGTTCCGGAAAATTTGCTATAGCGCAGTCGCGGTTTTTTGACAGGATGTTCAGATTCTTTCGCTTTTTCTTTGATTGTTCTAAATACTGTGTTAATTCCACTCGCGACTCGAACACGAGTACTATGTACATACCGTTCGGCAAAATCCGGCTTCGCTTCTCCAATACGCAATTTGGCTCCTTTGTATGTCGTTCCACTCAGCGTCGAGAGGCCTGTTTCTTTTAATGACGAGCCTTATATACTGCATTACCACGTACATTTTTTCAGACTCCCGCTCGTTGTCTCCATCGTCACGTAACCAAATTTTCTTGGCTGACCCACTCCGTCTAACAAACCAAACCCATCTAAAGATTTGACAGTCCCGAAATGCGATAAACGCGCAGAGAGGTCGGCGGGAGTGAGGGAAGGAGTGAGCCCCGATATGTGTAGCCGTTTTGTAACTGGCTCGGACATCGTTTCAGCAATGGTTGTCGCTGGCCAGTGGCGTTTCGTTTATCTTCAGACACGTGAGATAATCAACACTGATAAGTTACTGTCCATGAGTCTTGAAACTCAAATAGCCTTCGACGATATCCGCATCAAAGCGATAGTTCATGAAAAGAGAACTCAATGCGCTCAACAAATGTATCTGTATCTATTGGAACGCACGAAGCGGAGTTTCAGTTAAGTTCGAGGAGAACTACAGCATCCGGCCCACTAGTATCGCAACATCTCCTCAAAGTAATATATGAAGCTTGAAGAGCTGCCTTGATAATCACACCCCTCCGCCCAACAAGATCTTGCTAAGGTCGAAACTCCTCCGCACGATGCGCAGGACCTGACAATGTACCTCTCCGCCCAAGACTTACGGGGTTCAGTTTTTCACAAAAGACATAAACTATAGTTCAATGCCAACTGGTACGAATTTCGGTCCATTTAATATGGCTTGCGGCCTTGTTTTTTTTTTTCCAAGGTGGATGATGCAGCTTACCATTGAATCCAATCAAGAGTCCGATAAGATATTCCCCCCAAAGTCAGTGTTTTGCCCATTTCGTCAGGTATTGGTCGGGTGAACATTTCGATTCGGTATAAAAGCAGCTTCATGCTGAGTGCAGTTAATCCATCGAAAGACACCAACACAACAAGTTATAGTGTATATACAATACAAGATGCCTGCAGCTCAGACAGAAGAAAACCACGCCTCCGATGTAAGCATTTACATATAACGTTTAGACATTGTTCGGTGACCGGCCCTCATATAGGAAGGACAACCTGGAACAAGTCTGTATAGGTGGTCCTATAAAAACCAAATGTTCCCTGGTGGTAAGGGGCCCGCTCGTGGATCTCCTGCACTAGCTGTTCACAACGGAGAGTTATGGTGTCTCTGGCTCGACAAAAACGATGGCCTTCTATACCATGCTACTAGTGATAATCAGTCGTGGGGACCCAAGACAGCGTTTGTTGGAAACTACTGGACCGGCTTGGTTCCAGATAATCCAACTGCTGGTCCTGCTCTTGCTGACTGTAATGGTGTACTTCATGCAGCCTACTCCGTCGATGGTAGTCTCGTTCATTATCAATACGACGATATTGCGAAGAAGTGGGGTAAACGCTCTCTCTTTGCTCGCTCTAGTGCTACCCCTTCCTTGCAAGCATTCGACGGCAGGTTATTTTGTGCATTCCAAGGAGATGGGAATTCTCTTAATTGGACTACTTGGGATCCAGAGGATGGCTGGATGCGCCCGATGAGTGCCAACGAGAAAACTTGGGGCTCTCCGGCGCTCTACCTCCTTCTGGATCGGTTGTGTCTCCTTTTCGCCGAAAATAATGACGATCGCCACACAACGAATACTACATTCAATACATCCACCAAATCGTGGTTTAGGACATTTGGGTCCCCGAGCCAAAAGACTGCATATGGTGTTAGTGCCACCGGCTTCAACAAGAACATTGCATTGATGGCATTCCAGTCACACGATGACAAGGACAAAGGTCTTGTCTTGGTGGACACATTCAATAACGGCGCTTGGCAACATAACGAGTCCATTGGATCTTCTTCTTCCGACACCCCAGCAATAGCCATCCTCAATAATGTCATTACTGTTGTTTACAATGCACACACTGACGCTCGCGATCTTCTGTGGTCCCAAGCCACCCTTACCGACTATACGCCTGATTCTTGGATGACTGCTCTTGCGAACATGAAACCGAATCTTCGAATCACCGACATCACTATTCCGGGTACTCATGATACCTGTGCGATAAGTGCTGTTCCTTGGGTCGCAACCCAGAGTATGTCAGTCATTGCCCAGCTCAATGCAGGCATCCGTTACTTTGACTTGCGTTGCAAGCTCGTCGATCGTTCGCTCATGATGTATCACGGACCCTACGCGCTTGATATGTACCTTCAGCATGTCCTGGATGATATCTACTCTTGGCTTCGTTCTCACCCTGCAGAAGGCCTCATCATCCAACTCAGCGACGAAATCAAAGATAATCCAGATTTTGCTTCGTTTTCTCTTGCCGCTACCACGCTCATCGGTCAGGATCTCAATAAAGACCTTTGGAACACAGGGACGACTGTGCCTTTTCTTTCTGGCATTAAAGGGAAGATACAGCTCATTCGTCGCTATAGGGCAGATGCAGCGAGTCAGCAGATCGGTATAAACGCTACTTCTTGGGCTGATAACCACGACTCTCCTCGTTTCATAATCCCCACCCAGGATGGCAACTTGGTTATACAAGACAAATTCAAGTTCTTTGGATCTCCGAGCGAGATTATCCCGCAGAAGTTTGGTATTGTGACCACGCTCATGGATCAGGCCAGGGCAGACGAAAGCCACTTGAACCTTTATATCAACTATACTAGCATGATACACACTTTACCATTTAGAAGTGGGCCAGTTGCGCCTTGGCAACTTGCGATTGGATACTGGGACACCTGGAGCGAGTTCACCCCTGGAATTAACCGCCACTTGGGCCACAAACTTGCTGCTGATGGCTTTGCACACTACGGAGTGATTGTCATGGACTATCCAGAGCTGCCATACGATCTGATTGATTATCTCATCACCTCCAACTTTGAAGCAGCAGCAGTCTGAGCAGGGCTTGCTATTGTTGCGTATCGAGTGCCACTTATCGGCTTGATATAGTCTCTTGATTTTTACTCTTTCCGACTTCAGGTCCATTAATTTACTTAGTTCTATGCTAATTGGAAAGTACAGCTTGTTTGTTGTAATCACGTCTCTATCAGGCTTTAGGATAAGATAGGATGCAAAATCTAGAGTTCGACTCAATCTTTTCTTAAGCGTTGAGCTTCTCCTGAGTCTGAACTATCCTCTGGCCCATATTTCAACTTCGTAACATGATTGTCTCTGCCACGTCTGCTCCTCGAAATCTATGAGCTTAGAATTTCAGTGCCTCTGCATGTTCGCCGTTGTACAGTGGTTTGGATAACGAAGTTGTATTACCACTGAGCGGTGAGGCCATGCGTTAAAGATGAGTAGAAAAAGTCCAACCCGAGGATTAATGGGGTTTTCCAGATAATGAGATCGTGATGGTTGGTTGGCTGGCAATTGGATCCGCAATATTGAGGCGCGGAAAGCGACTGGACATCTTAGGCTTTCCATGCCAATGGCAGGTTATGATTTTTCTAAACATATTATTACTGTCACAATCACTAAATATGTCCCAGATACCCATCTCGCACAGCTCCGAGCTGAAATCCATCCTCAAACCTACAGACTCGTTAAATACTCTTCATGCAGCTTGACCTGCGTCTCCCTCTCCTTTCCCAACTTCTTTCTCGCACTTTTACTCAATTCCTTCCCCTCACCATCCGTCATGGGAACCCCGCTCTCATCATACGACCCATACAATCCCTCTTTAACATTCGGAGGTCTGAACATCTCCTTCGGGTCTACTCTTCCCTTGGCTAATCTCTCTAGACGTTTCAGACGTTCGGCTTCTTTTGCGGCTTCTTTTTTAGCTTGTTTGGCTAGGGCAATGGCGCGTTTCTCGTCTCGAGCTTTGAGTAGCTCAGAGGGAGGTGCGAGTTTGAGGAGGGCTTTACCGTCTAGAAGATGTACATTTTCCCCACTTAGTCATAGATAGATGACAGAAACGAAAAAACGGATGGCTATACCTTCTTGATCGTCCAGTGCTACACCCAACGGTATCAACTCTTCATCTCTTAACTTGTCGCAAAGAGCAAGGATATCTTTCAAAGCAGAGTCCCCCTTGTCGATTGCCAGCCGGCGGACACCGTCACGGAATGTGGATAATGCTCGTAGATACGGCATCAGAATTTCCTCGCGCTACGGCAGGTTTTCAATCAAGTGGGGACGAAAAAAGGAAACGAACAGAACACACATCAACAGCTCCACCCTCCGCACTACTCTCCTGACCCCATCCAATTTCACTACTCTCCCCTTCACCAAGCCCGAACATCCTCAGCATCTTTGCAACCCATCTCGCATTGTTTTCCACAACCCCAACATTCACCGCTTTCCCCCGGGAGTTGAGATAGGTATTCGTCCGCGAAACAAGCTCCCGCAATACATCTAGTGCCTCAGGGGTGTTGAACGAGTCGCACAAGGCGGCTCTGAAGGAGTATTGGGATTGGTGGAATCTGGAAATTTTGAGTACGTGGCGCTATATGGGACTGCGGCGACTAACGCAAACGTACTTTTCTACCAATTCCTTTTCTGCAGCCTCATAATGATGATACCCATCCGACGTCACCCCGCTATCGCGCGCCTGGCTGACTAGAGCTTTTACGTTTGTAAAAAAGTTCTACAGAAAAAAATAATCGCTGAAACTCAGACCGATATCTTCCCGTGAAAACCTCGAAACCCTTCCACTCACGTTAAGCGTACTCTCGACATTCCTGACTTCCCCAGCCATGAGGGATTCTGAAAAATCGACTTTGGCGTTCCATAGTTGAGTGAGGAAGGCGAGACGGATTTGACGTGCGGTGTATTTTTGGAGGATTTCCTATAATTGGCCGATATTTCAGTTATGTCCAAAATGAATATAGAGGAACGATTGATGACCCACGTCAATTGTAATGAAATTCTTCAATGATTTGCTCATCTTCAAACCCTCGATGTGCAGATGTCCGGTGTGTACAAAGTAGTTTACCCATGTGGGGCAATCATGGTATGCCTGTGGACCGAATACAAAAAAGCAAGTCAGATGGCAGATGTAGACCGGAAGGAATGAAAGAGGAAAACGAATCAGAGCGCAAAAATCGGACAGCAGGAAAGGATTGAGGGACAAAACGAGAAAACAACGATGAACTGAACTCATGAACTCGTAAACTCACCTCACTCTGTGCCATCTCGTTATCATGATGTGGAAATGCCAGATCAATCCCTCCAGAATGCACATCCATATTCTCACCCAACACTGCACTAGCCATCACCGAACACTCAATGTGCCATCCGGGTCTGCCCTTGCCCCAGGGTGAGTCCCAGGAAGGTTCACCAGGTTTGGTAGCTTTCCATAAGGCAAAGTCGGAGGAGGAGTGACGGGTGAGGTTGTTTTGTGAAGGGGCTGAGGTTGAGGATGGACCTGAGGAAAGAGAATGGTGACGATTAAGCATTTGTTGTTCGTTTCAGAAGACCAACTCACCTCCCGCACCTTCACCAGCCACCACCACATCATCCCTCTTTCCTTTACTCCACGGCTCCAGCTTTGCATATTCATGCCCCGGTGCCTCGTCAAACGCCTTCGTGTCAAAATACACACTTCCCCCGCTCTCATACGCGTATCCGTTAACGATGATCTTTTCCACGAATGTTATGATCTCCGGCATGTACTCCGTTACACGGGTAAGGGTGTCAGGATCTCGGACATGGAGACGACGCATGTCGTCAAAGAAACATTTTTCCCAGTAGGAGGCGAGGTTACGGGAGAGGGAGGGGTCGGTTACGGTGGATTTGTACTGAGAAGGGTGGAAGGGGATTAGTAGGAGCTAAGGGTGTAGAAGCGAAAGCGAATTACTTGTTCATCGAGAAAGAGGACAAGGATATCTTGAGAATCGTCAATAAGCTTATGTGCTTCTTCTTGGGACGTGGATCCGGCTTTCAAACTACTTTCTGCATGCCTTACAGCCAATAGCGTGCGGTTCTGTATAAGTAAAGTCAGCCTCGAATGGAAAACAAAACGGCAGAAGCTTACGGAGAGTACGCACCGCAGAAGCAAAATTCATATCGAACTTTTCATCTCTCTTCAAGCACTCCTGCTTCCACTCTTTGTTATTCTGAATGAGTTCCGCGATTCGATTGAATTGACTATCTAATTCTCCGTCGTTCTCTGTAAATAACGCACGTTCATGCGATGGCAGCCCTGCTGCCATTTCGTTTCGAAGAAAAGCTCTCCAAGCCGTATAAACTTGGGATACCAAATTCGCATCCAGCAACTTCGTATCAGCGCGAAACTTCTCCAAGAGATGGTTTTGTCGAGCACGTTTGATGATCTACGTCTTTTATGAACAGAAATTTCGACGAGTTATGGAAAACAACGCACTTTGTCATCAATGTCTGTTATATTCATCACAAACTGCACATCGTAACCAAAGTAATCCTCCATTATCCTCCGAAGAACATCCTGCGTGACATAGTTTCTGTTGAGGAAAGATGGAAACAAAACTTGAATAATCAATTCTTATGATATAAACGGTATGAACACCAACCGTACCGAGCGTGTCCCATATGCGAAGCATCATACACCGTTGGACCACAGTTATACCACTTTACCGACCGCCCAGATTTTGGTATGAATTCTGTCTGCAAGAGCTATCAGCCTCAGGATTCGTGGTTCATATTGATTTGCTACTTTTGTACGTGTCAAGGAATTATATATCTTCAGTACTGGTTCTGGTTGAACTGGTACAGGGGGAGCCCATGCAGGTTGCTTGATGGATGACATTAGTCGGAGGTTCTGCTGATTATTTTGGAGATTCCTTGGTAAGAAGAGGGCAGCGCAAAATCGATGAGGCCGCAGATGTAGAAGATGAGAGGAAAGAGAAGAAAGAGTTAGAGTCATAAATCAATCCCCCAATCGATATCGAACAAGTGACAAGTCCAAAAAAAGGCGGGTGACGCCATCTGAAAAATGCCCGAGCCATGCCCGAGGTTATAGCTGAAAGTTTCAATATTCAAATATTCAATACGTTTGAAGTTCTTTGAATCCATTTTTTGTTACATTCGCAGTTATCTACAGGGTGTGTATAGCTACATTACTGAATATTCAAATTTCCGTCAGTTCATAGAGTTTGCAAATCCGCATGTATTCATTGAAATTCAGCGCCCAACAAGGTGGTATTATAGGTGAGGACAGAGCGAAAGTTATATGCAGTCCTTGACGACCACCGATAGAGTACAAAGTCAGCGAAGCTCAATAGAAGGCAGGATTGACAGTGCTCACAGTAACTTCAACGTTCAAATGCAAATCTGAACTCAGTTTAGGGTTCCGTAACTTATTCAAATTCAAGTTACAAATGTAACTAATTCATGTTACTAACATGTTACTTACATGTCATGTTAAGGGTGTAGGATTTTCAGTGTAACTAATTGTAACTAAGAAACACCTTGAAAACATCCTGTGGTTAAGTTTTCCAATCTTGACAAGACTTACTTGAAGAAGCTTCAGTTCGAGCCTCATAGAGCCTCATCCCACATGAATCTTGGTGACAGTTCTGACAAGAGTGAGGATAATGAAGAGGATGAAGAAGAACAGTCCAAAGGAGAGAAGGAGGCTCAGATGCCCAAGAAGCGAGGCCGTAAAAAGCGAGTCATTCCGTCTGCATCGTTGTTGATGAAAATGAGATCAACCTCGCATCTCCTGCTTTGCTGGCAATGATATCAGATGAGTTGCAGACTCTCTGTGATACCCCAGAGTCAGCCATGGCCTCCGGTTCTTCTCAACTACTGATCAGTGAAGAGGTGAACTGAAGGGATGATGTGCCAGTCAACTGGGAAAGCCTTGGAATATAAGTTACACTTAGTTACTTGAATTCTTCAAGTTACAAATAGTAACATCATATTAGTTACACTGTTTCTTACACTAATTAGTTACTGTTACTTACGCGTGTAACTAATGGATTCAGAACTTCAATGTTAGAAACAAATGTAAGTAATAGTTTGAGAATTAGTTACGGTACCCTAACTCAGTTGTAGAATATCACTATCCTTATCATGATCCTGTGACCTGTCCAAGTTTTTGTACAGCTTGATCCGGTGAAACACTATTGTCAGCCCTCGTCGACACCAAGAAGATCTGTCTGTCGACCTCCTGACGCCGCCGCCCCCGAGCTAAGCTGGCACCATCAGAATCATCTCCGGACATGATATGATTGCGATATGGTGTTTGGATTCCCCTCGTTGTCGAGACTGCGCATGTTGTTGACCGACTCCTGCAGAGGAAGAACGAGAATGCGACACTGCGCCTGCCATGCCTGAGGTAGATTTCAAGTTATGGGAGGCTATTATGTTGTTACACGAGATTCGGGCAATCGAGGAAATGTCCTAGAGAATGTCGAGATGGAAGTTGAACATTGATATTGAACGTTAAAGCAATCACTCCAGCTCCGCGCGTCAGTTGAAATTGCCAACTTTGGCGCCCGTGAGCACATTTGCTACATGAACCTTTCAATGCCGATCGTGGAATTCATTGAGAAAGGTAGGTGTCGCTGGACTGGACTGGGCTAAGCTTTGGGCTTCATTCACTATTTGCGTTGCGAGGATTGGCCTGAATTGGCAGCATGCACAAGCGCAGGTATCAGGCAGGTATACTCAAATTATCTATTATCAACCAAGAAAAGACTCATCAAACTCACCAGATATGCCACATTCTCCTCGAACTAATTTCTTCGGATTCGATGGAAACTTAACAACGATTCATGCGATTAACCCAGTGTCATGTCTGTAGTTTCACTTCTGCCATTCCTGCGCTCGAAAGTTGAAATCCCCACCCTGTCTCTACCACGTTTGACAGTCTGCAGAGATGTGAACGAACGCGCGGCGTGAAGCATAGTCTCCTTAGCTTCTCAAGATTGGTTGAATGTTCAGGCACTGATAAATTCGGCGCTACTCACCAGCCACAAGGCCTAGCTACATGGGTCCTCCTCATAGGTCCGACTTGCATTCCGAACGCCAACTACTATGGAGGGAGTTGCCATATTGACGTTATTTGATAGATTCAACAGAAAGCAATGAAGTAATGTGAATATTCGTGGAGTGCCCTCTGCCCTCGATTGCATGCATGTTATTGGATGCTACAGCGCTATAGGTGAAAAAGCGCCTCAATGGGTTCGGAATCAGACGCGACTTATTGAAATGGTAAAAAAAAATCTGTTTCTGTTCATTTCAGTTCCCACCTATCCTATCAAACCCCTCCTGACTGCGTTTCAAACAGATCCGATATCGAGAGCGCTCATACCTCTACATTGGCTCACCATTCCGCCGAAAATCACAGCTTAGTTTCACGAGGCAGTCCTGTGATATTTTTTGATATCGGAAAGGTTTTTCTTTAAAATGTTCATGAGTTTGTCGGAATCTTTGGGATCCCCCCGCATCTTACCACCTTCTCTTCATATTCCATCTTATTTTCGAGCATAATGTCTTCTAACAAACAGTCGTCCTCTGAAGAACGGTCACCTCGCTCGATGGATACATCACAGTCTGAGCAGTCTGAGCAAACCACCACTATATCCGGGGTCTTTTTCGCAGGTTCTCGCAACTTCGAAATAACGGGCGGTTCCTTTAATCATGCTGCGAGGGATATGCATCAAACTGTCAACAACGACAACTCTAAGCAAAGCGACTTTAATAACGATCATAGAGATGCGGCTACCTATAATGGAGCGGCTATGCACAGTGCGTCATGACCGTCGTAATTCACCTCTTTTTTGCTAGACTGATCGAATTGTTGTTCTTAGATGACCGTAAAGGGTCAAATACCAACGTAGCTATGGCCGCCACATTTGCTACTACCACAAGTAGTAGTCAAAGACAAAGTAAGTGATAATACTTTACTGAGGCACTGCTCGCACCCTTGAAATCTTGAAGCTTGTATGACTAACCTCTTTTGATGCTCTCCAGTCCCTCGCAACTTTCAAGGTCAACAGATGAACGTGTCGAGGAAGAAGTACACTACTTTAGAAGCTCATCCAGGATATAACATTGAACAAACTCGTATGTCATCAATGCCCTTTCATCGAGCTGCAGATCTACAATCTTGCCTCGCATGACCCAGTGGGAAACTTGAACGGAAATGATAGGGAATTTGCTGCTGCAGAATGTAAGTTTGGAGCGTATCGCAGGCATACATACTGAGCAAGCTAACACTTCCGATATCCCTATTAGATGCAGAAAATATGCGCATTCAAGCCCAACAGAAGCTTTATTTTGAGCGTCAAAAGCAAGATGGTTTTGAGGTGTGTGTGATTACGGAACGGACGTTACCTCGTGTTAATAACAAGCAAATGACTATGAAGGGACCAGGAGATAGGAGCACAGCAGATGTGAATATGGAGACTGCAGATGCGGAAGTAGAAGATTCCGGAAAGGCGGAGTTACGTCAATGCGTTCAAACGTTCTTGGCTAATGCCAAACAAAAGGACTTGCCTGGATTGGCAGATGCACTCATTGACGCAGGTTGGGACCGCGAAACACTGATGGATGCTCATTGGGACGATATCAAGGGTTCGTACCCAGAATGGCAACCCGCTACGTTCGTTAAATTGAGGACAATCTGTGTAAAATGGGTTGCATGATTATTGTCCGTACTAATCGTTGTGCTGAGTAAATGTAACTAATATAATATGTTGTACGAGTAGATGGAGACGCGCTTCTTCCAATCCATAATTGACTTTTTCCTTACATGAATTCAAGGAGACTTTCCATTACCAATACATAATCGCTATGGTTTTACACCTCCTTTTGTTGTGAACTAGTAGATTTGGGGATGCGAATACTCTTGAGCCCTTTAAATTGAGATGAGGGATAGCCCTCTCCTCCCATTGTAAGATGGGTTCGGAGGAAGCAATAGGCCTAAATCAATTCCTTCTATCATGATGTTTGATGTTACGGTCGAAACGATGTTATAATGAAGGCGGGATGTGTATCCTTAGCTTTGATTCCGAATCCGGTAATTCCTGAAGTCGCGCAGGAACGTCTTTGGAGAAAAGAAGGGGCATCCATTTGGGTATGCATTATCACTTCACAAACTTCAAATTTTTGATTGCGATCTTCTGGCCCGTTGCATCGACTTTCCAACGAGTAACGAGCGCCTTATATGAAATCTCACCCTGCGGCTCGTGAAACGACCCACTGGAAACATTTCAGCTGAGGACACATTTCGTTCTCCGTCGATTGTGCACCGAGCACATCTAGAGGTGAGTCCTGGACTATGTGAACGCAACTTCCCTAGCATTCACTGTTAGTGTGGTGAGGGACTCGATACACCTGTAGATGCGTAGTTTTAGCAAGGATGCTCGATTCTTGACTCATGCGATATGACCAAGTTGTTTTCCGTCAAATTCGCCCAATTGCAAGCCAAGCCTGCCATGCTGATCGGAGCGCGAAGAGAGTCCAATTGCGCTTATCCTTTCGAACGCTGGGATTCAGGCGGAAAACAGGGGCGAAGTGGACATTCGTCATAGTACGAGGATTACAGGTAGCTATATATTGTCTTTTCATAGTGTTGGAGCCGTGGTATGTTCAAAGCGCACTATGGAGAGGTGCTCCCTACCCGCTCTTCGGGTTAGAATGATCTGTGGTAGAGATATTTTAGAAAGCACGTTTAGCATCAACGGCGATGTTACCTTGCTTCTCAGTTGGTACAAGTTCTCCATTCGACTTTGTATCTTGGGTATATTGTTTTCTTTGACAGCTACAAGATAGAATCGACCAGTCGGAGACATCAGTTCCTGGGTTCGTACTCATCACTTTATGTACCCCAGCAAACAATGAATTCGAACACGCACATGAACTACTTCCAGGAAGGTATTTGTAACCTGCATTCCGTCCGACCCACCAGCCCATGATCCTTCAATCCCCCGTAGATCCTGAGCTTCTGATGCCTCCGTCGACATTGTAGGAACGTATGGAGGATTGAAGCAGATTATATCTACAGAGTTTTTGAGGCGCTGATGGAGACCGGTTGTAAGGGAGGTGTTTATCGTATGCACAGCAACCTAAAGACGCGGGTGTTCAGCGATGCACATCCACATTGATGAAGTTTGGTAGTCTACCTTGTTTTGTGATCCAGTTCTTCGCGTACAATCGCATGCCCTATGGTTGATATCTGTAGCTAAATATACTATAATACATTATTCGCAGATTATTGAACTATTTTCATCGGGAACCTACGCGCAGAAGGCCCAAGGATTTTCCCAGCAAAGGCTGATACACAACCTGAACCTGATCTTGGGTAAAACTAAGCAACCAGATCAGATATCTCGAATATCTTACGCACCCGACTTCAAGGAATACGACCGCTTTCAAGGATCTCAATTCTTCAGCATCTGCTTCTAATGCATCCAGCAGCAAAAACGTATCCTCTTGCAACAAATGATTCCCGGTTTGAAGGGAGAGTTCATGAGAGTCGAGAAGTTCCCGTTGTCACAGGAGAGTACCTGCTGGTTCATATACATGTTCATAGTCTTGAGCAGATAAATGTGAAAGATCTGGTGTTGGAATCATGGAGAAGCCTGATTTAGATGGTTAGCGCCGTAGCATTTTGAACTTCCCGCGCTTCGTGTCCTTTCTTACAAGTTACCATCGTTGAGAAAGCATAATTTCTCTTGTAAACTCAATGCTTAAGATTGCGTTCATACATCCAGACCTAGGAATTGGTATTTCTTCCCTTAAAATAACCTTCTCATTGTTATTCTGACACATATCATTCCAATAGGCGGCGCCGAACGTCTAGTTGTAGATGCAGCTCTAGGACTGCAAGATTTTGGTCATAAAGTCGATATATACACCTCCCATCATGATACGAATCATTGCTTCGAAGAAACCAAAGATGGTGTGTTAGCCAGAGAATTCCACTCCGAACTTGTTTGTTACTTAGTTTTGTGGTTCAATTAGGTCGATTGAAGGTACACAACGTCGTTCCTCCATTCCCGCGCGCAATCAACGGGAAATTTCACATTCTACTTGCTCATTTACGCCAATTACATCTGACAACGTACCTCCTAAGTCCCGGAGCGCCACGGTACGACGTCTTTTTCGTCGACCAGCTGTCGACGTGTATACCATTGCTCCGTTCAATAGGCCATGCGCGTGTCGTCTTCTACTGCCATTTCCCCGACAAGCTTTTGGCAAATGGAGAGTTTATTGAGGATCCGGTCGTCAGAGCTGAGCGCAATTTGTTGAAAGGAGGGTTGCTGAAGAGGATCTATCGGTACCCTATGGATTGGTTAGAGGAATTCACTACACGTATGGTGGTAATGTGCCAATGAATTCTTTCTTAGTGCGGGGACTCATCAAAGCATCTGATCTCTTCACAGGTCAAGCCGATGTGATACTGGCAAATTCTAAATTCACTGGTCGAGTATTCAAGGATAATTTCCCTTCGATCCAACGAACACCGGAGGTCGTGTATCCTGGAATAAATATCGCAGCGTATGAGGCTACGGAGGACTCGGTAACGGATTCAGATGTTGCTGCAATTTTATCGTTAGTACTCATTGTTACGCCGTACTATTTGCACTGGGAACGTTAACGACTCACGACTTCAGCGACCGACCAACGCTGATTTCTCTAAACCGATTTGAGAAGAAGAAGAATGTAGCTCTAGCTGTGGAAGCTTTCGCCAGAATACGAACACAGGATCCTAGCACTTCGAATCTACGGCTAGTTTTGGGTGGTACGTTCCTCGCTATCATGGGTTTCGACGATCCTAATATTTCTGCAGGTGGCTACGACCCACGTCTCGAAGATAACATGCTCACACTTTACTCCCTTATTGACCTCGTCTCCAAAAAACACACTTTGACCTACAACGTCATCACCCCTTCATCTTCACCAAAAGCGGTCAAAATCCCACCTCTCAACACAACACCTGAAAACCCTGCTGTGCTCTTCCTCCTCAACTTTACAACCGCTCAAAGGACAGCGCTGCTCACCTCACCTTCCACCATTGGTTTACTCTATACCCCAGCAAACGAGCACTTTGGTATCGTCCCCGTGGAAGGAATGCTTTGTGGCGTCCCAGTACTTGCGTGCGATAGCGGCGGACCGGTAGAATCAATTGTGGATAAGCCGGCGGACGAGCGCACAGGGTGGTTGAGGGCGCCGGATCCAGAGATTTGGGCTGAGGCATTGCGTGAGATTGTGGGAATGGGGGAGGAGGAGCGGGTAAAGATGCGTGTACGAGCGAAGAAGAGGGCGAGAGAGTTGTTCGGGATGGAGGCGATGGCGCGGGGAATCGAGGATGCATTGAAGGAAGCAGTGGGTATGGGAAAAGTGCGTAGTAGGTTGACGTTTTGGTTGTTGGTGACGCTCGGGATCGTGGGTTTAGTACTTGCTTTGATTTGGGTATGAGTTGAACAAATGCAATAAATGTCCGATTTCAATTTTATCGATCTACGACGAATATGGAATAGACAATTCATAAATAGGAAGAAGTCCAGAAACTGAGGTTTACGGAGAAGATATACATAAACTAGTGAAAACTTATGGAAAAGAGTGTCACGGTGTAAAAAATGTCCTCTAGGAATTAGGCAGCGGGTAGGGTTTTCAACAACTGGTACAAAACCTCTGTAACCCTCTTCGCACCCTCCATAACCTTTTCCCTCTCCTCGTTCACTTCCAAAACATATGGCAACACCCTCGCACCAAACTTATCCGGATGATACCTCAACAACTCAGCCCTCAACCTCTCCTTCGCCTCTTTCCCTTCATACCCTGGTCTCTTCGTGTTCAGAACAAAAAAACGGATGTCATCTTCAGAAAGATCATCGATAGTAATGACGGATGTGGGCTTGAAATGGAAAACGGGCCAGGGGAGTTGGTCGAACCGCAAAGGGAAGGGAACGAACTCAACGCCTTCGCGTCTGATTGCGGCCCAGCGCCGGTCATACATTTCCCAGTGGAAGAGTTCGGGGTCGTCAGTCTGGGGAGGAATGAATGGGATCGAGGCAGATCGTTGGACTCCTGCGGTTCCGGTTTCACGAGCAGCCTGCGCTCGTCTACGAGCTTTTTCCTCTTCAGCTTTTTTCAACTCTTCAGCCAACGCAGTCTCTCTGCGGATTTTGTCCTCCCACTCAGCCTTCATCCTCGCCTGCTCTTGTTGTTCCGCTGTGTACTTTCTCCTTCGTTCTTCCTCCGCCCGAGCTTGGGCTTGCTGCGCCCACGCAGCTCGAGCCGCTTCTTCTTCCTGTTTCCTTCTTGCTTCCCTCTGTTTCCTTTCCTTCTTTTCTCTCATCTTCCGTTCCTCGGCAACCTCCTGATACACCTTATCCAATCCAATCCTCGCCTTTTCCCAGAGACTCCATTGAGGTCGAAGCGGTTGTGGAAGAGGGGTGTTTGGTGGGATTTCGCCGGCGGCGATACGGTCTTGGTGTGCACGTCGGGCGCGGTGTTCTTGGAGGATTTCTTCTTGGCGTGCCCACTCACGACGGATGGATTCGCTGGGTGGCTGTCGAGGCGGTTTAGGAGATGGCTGGGGAGGGGTTACGTGGAATACAAGAGGAGAAGGCATAGGAGGAGGGTTTGTTGCTTGTTGCGGAGGCAGGTGTGGACGGGGCTGCTGTGGATATGGCTGGTGTTGTTCAGGTTGAGGTTGAGGTGGTTGTGATTGCTGCTGCAGTTTCGCCTTCGCACGAAGAATCTTGGCCTTTTCCTCATGCTCCTTTTGCTGCCTCAACCTTTCCTCAATCCTACCATGTGCCTTTTCCACCCTCATGCGGGTAGCGAAAATCTCCGTAAGGAATCGATGCTGAAAGTTCATTTTCGACATGTTCTCGACGAAAACCGTATCCTCGTACGTTCGCGGCAAAGGACCGGTGCGTTCAGCCCGATCACAAGCAGCATCGAGCTTTGCTTGGGCAGCTTCAGGTTTGAAACCGAGGTTAGGCCCGGGTGCTGATCGTGGAATGGGTTTTCTTACGGGTTGCGGTACGGGATTAGTTGGAGGAGGAGGAGTAACGGGAAGCTTCTTACGGGAGTTTGAAGCTCTGAGAGCTTCAACACGTTTGACCCGCAAGGCAGCCGCACGTTGGCGCACGATGCTCGGCTGTCGAGGGACAGGATGAGCGCATTTACGTGGATGGAGAGGAGGAAGGCCGCGTCTAGGGATGGACGGATCACGAATTAGAGGCTGACTATTGCGAACGGAATTTTGCCGAGCGAGTTTTCTGAGGGATTTGGCTGTCTTGAGATTGGTAACGGGACGCTTCCAAGGAAGAAAAGAGGTGATTCCGGGTACTTTGTTGTATAAGCCGTGAATGGTGAGGGGAAGGTTGAACATAGTGAGAAAATGAGCTGGTGTGGAGTAAGGAAAGTGTTTTGTCTTGATGCTGGTGTCGGGTGAGTATCGAATTCGCAGGGACGTTCTTCCTATAAGTACTGTTCGAAGTTCAAGGTTGTCTTCGCAAGACAAAAGAGATTTATACTCGGCGTTTCCATCCAGGGAAATGTGGCTTGTTGGTATGGCGAAATTTGGCCACCAACCTGCGACCATTGTTCGCCCAAAACGAAAGGTCCATCCCTGGTCTATCGTCCAAAAATGGATCGATAGTGGCCATTTCGACGTGTAATCGCGTAAAATCTTTATTGTTCGTTCGACAAGTTACAATTCTGTTACGATGGTCGTCCAAGTAAACTGTTTGCCATTATGGCCAAGGCAAATCAAAGCGCCAAAACTTGATGATTGCGCCGCGAGTGTATATTACGAGTTTGAATGTAAGCCGTTGATTTGACTAGTCAGAATGCGCAGAAATGACGGAAAATAGCTGAAGGGAAAACTAGCAGAGAACGGTAAGTAAGGTAAAGCCTTAAAGCCTTCCATGAAGGTCGTAACGGTCACACTGTCACATCGTCTTACCTCTTACCACCTTGACAGACGATGATACAACTCGAAATTGTAACAGACAGCACAGCTCGACGATGTATGCGGTGTTGCTTGCCTTTTATCCTCTCAACTTGCTTTGTCCCTTACCAGGAAGGACTTTCCCTTGGACAAAATTCCGGAAAACAATCTCACGATCTCGGATCCAGAGCACATTATCCAAGCCTTCCTACGCCTCCTTGTCAAGCTTGATACAACACTCTATGTAGATATCTCGTTCGAACGGTGAATTCAACAGTAGGAAACGACCTTCAAATCGATGCTGGATAACGTCCGCAAGTTACGAATCGTTTTCATACCAAATTCAATAAACATCCTGACGAATTTGGAGAATCGAGAGGCTACAATCTAGGATGCGGTCTAGATAATGTAATCGAGGTCAAGCTCTGAGTTTCCTGTCTCATTCTTTGCCTCATATACTCTCTGTTCGGTCTTAGATTTCAATGGAACGTTCATCCCTTCACCGCGTCATCCGGAATCCCTCATGCTGTCTTCCCACTCGATCAGTCGCAGATGATTGTCCAGGTGCGTCAATGGACTCGTGTACATCAAGGTGCATCAATGGATTTTTGACATCAAGGTGCGTCAATGGACTCGTGTGTACATCGATGAATTTACTGAGATTTGTTCCACATAGGCAAAACGTCGCCGAGCGGTTTCCGGGATCACATTAGTAGTCCATGTCGACCTGTTTATAGCAGTCTTGTTGTATGCCATATAGATGCGAAGGGAAGATTTGAACGCGTGTTACGAGTCAAACTGTACGAAATGAATGAAGCCACGTACCCGAAATGCAACAAAAGCCTGATATGCAATTCTCCCTGTATTCCTTGAGCTTGGGAACTGTGTGAGGGTGTGCTTGTTTTCTTGTCAAATGATGAGCGTTGACAGATGGACCCACAATCATCCATATCATAATACAATTCGTGTATCAACTTGTGGTAGGTGTTGTTCTTCCTTCGGAATGCTTTTGTTCTTTCCTACATACTGAGATAAGGGAAAACAATAGTATCCTCATTCGTAACACAGGTGAGACCTTTAAAGGAACTCTCACTACGTACAGTACCATTCCACACAGCGAAGTTCTTCACTGTTGCTCGATCTTGTCCTTCATCTCCTCCAATTCACTCCAGTCATTCTCTGACCTTCCTTTCTTGATGCAAACGTTTGATTCCAAGCGCAGCGGGAATGCGTTCGACGGTACTCTTCCATCCCATCTAACTGTTGGTACATTACATATATATGTCAGTCACCAGATGAAAATTGTCCTGAGCGAGCATCAAATCAAACCGGTCCGATTCTTCCTGGTGAAGGTATGGATGTTTCTTCTTTGAATTTCCTCATTGAAGGATCGGCATGGTTATCAGGTCAGTTCGTTGAACCCCACGATCTAGGTTATAGCAAGATGGCTCTCAAAAAAATGGGTGTGTAATCTAAAGCCCAAGCTCAATGTTCAACTGAAAATGTTATTAGAATCGCTCTGCCTGGATGAGGCCACCAGACTCACGTCTGAACTGAAACCCCAGATGGAGAAGTTTATCAGAGACGAAATATCTTTACCGATCTGGGAACCGTCATTCGACTCGCCTCATTTGAAGATTCCAGAGAACCACAAGAAGTTCATCCACGATCTCAAAATTCCGCGAGCTCGTGGTCCTCATAAGCACCTCCCCGATATGTTGCGATATGAGCTAGGTCGTTTCCAACAAGAAGATAAACTGAAAGAACGGATAATAGGCCTATTCACGAAGGAACCCACGCACAAGTGAGTTTCCCAGTTGAATGACGTTTGTCCTCTGTAGTCAAACTTGACAATTACAGGATATTTTTGAACACTTCTGGCGCTGGAAAAACCAGAGCTGTCCTAGAGCATCTATGTTCCAGCTGGGGCCTTTATTTCTCCTGTCAGGATGATTCTCATGTTGGGTCCAAAGATGTGCCATTTGCTATGTCCAATATCAGGAAGGCTTTGCGTACGAGCAGCCTTCCTCACGCACCAAACCTTCTGGTCACATCCGCTGATATTGCCGCGTACTGCCGCGACAAAGGCCCAGAAACCAAAGACGTCACAGAACAGGATGTTCTCAAGGAAAGATATTCACAGTTTCGAAAAGACGTCCCTCAGTCCGAGAAATTTCGCTTGGCCCTCGAAAGAAATCAGCATCTTGCAGGCTCCGAGCTTCTCGTTCCATTACTGGCTCGGCTTCTTGTCTTTAAGCAATACATCGCCGCTGTTAAAAATATAAATGGAGATTTGAGCCAGATGCAACAAAAGCGTAGATGGTTACATCTACAGCTGCACCCACATTTGTTAAGCAATGATGGGCGGGAAGATCTGTTCAAAAAACTTGCCGGTGATCTTAACAAGTGGTTCGAGAGGCAAAGCCTTAATCTCTCACAAAAAACAGATATCATCGAGAGTCTCTCCCAGTCAACGGTCGATGGGATCATGGAAGCTTTAGGGCTATATAACGGAGAAAAACCGCTTTACATCGTGATCGATGAATGCCAGTTCGCCGTCACGGACATGGAAGATCTCTTCCGCTCGGCCGACTGGACAGCAAAGCGGGGTGTCCTGCGAGAAATAGCTAGATGGTGGGACTCCGTATTGAATCAAAGGTCTGCGATTCTCGTTGGTGCTCTAATTTTCACCGGGACAGGGCTCTCTAGAGAGCTCATATCTGACGTACTTTCCTCCGTGGTTATGAAACCGGACTACTGCACAAGTGTCTATGACACCGGCGCATTCGATGATCCCAAAGCTCAAATTGCATACCTGAAAAGGTTTTTCCCCCCGGATATATGGCAATCTTCTGAGCGTCTTCGGAATAGAATACACTACTGGCTGCGAGGCAGGTAAGTTGTTGTTACGAGGTCGAGTATCTCTTTTGATCATATGCTAACTCGTTTTTAGATACAGATTCACTGCGGAATATGTGTCTCTTGTGTTGCAGTGCGGATATCAAGACATGCATCAGCTCCTGGACCAGTACATCCGCAGTGTAGCCTGCTTCCGTCCTGCAGATTTTGAGGAGCCCGAGAAAGACTTTTTTGGAATTGTGACTTTGCCTACTCCAGCTTTTGGATTCGACAAACTCGATCAACGAATGAGGGAAACAGTGAGAACTATTGCTCACGAATACCTCTTTACCTCAAAATTAGAAACATGTTTGGGACAAGATGAGAGGGCATACATCGAGCTTGGGCTTGCAAGGATCAGCGGCTACAATGGGCAATTGTCATTCAAGATTGATGAACCTCTTGTCTTACTGTCATGCTCAGTGTGGTTCAATGAGCAAAGATCCCATACAATATACAAAACTCTGGCTAGTGACATTCAAATTCACAATCCTACAACTGGGCGTGATGGATTTGAAGAGTTTATTGCGTACTATCTCCTGAAAGTTTTTGAAAAGTCAAGGAAGCTGAATGATGTCTTTGACTTCGAAGGTGGGGATGACAATGGCTTGCAGAATAGGGAAGCACAATTGGTGACACTCCACCTGGACGAAGATCAGAGGCTTATGGAGGGTAAAGTCAGTTTGGCGAGGGGTACCTCGAGCCTCTTTGGACCAATAGGGCTTGCTATTGGGCCGGACGACCACTCCATTTTATATGAATGGCTTAACTTGAAGAAGCAGGCTACATTCTGTTTTCCAATGAATTGCATGGGGCCAGACATCATGTGCTTCCTGAAGCTGAAAAGTAAAGGCCCAGGCAAAAATCAGGGCAATTTTACATACGTATGCCTCGCGATACAGTGCAAATTCTACCGAGCTGAATCACTCAAGCCGTGTACCCTTAGAGGCGCTATTTCCACAACGACTCCAGGACTGTTCTTTGCGGTGAGTTTATCACATCATTCTTGCGTCGATGTCATGCGTTGGCTGAACGGCAATCTCAAGAAAGATCGAGTGACTCGAAAGAACGTCCTGGATGCTCTCCAGAACCTCAAGGACAAGGACCCACTTGCAGGTAAATTTGGCATTATACGCATTGTATGCGGCTTTCCGGTCAACATTGATCTGGGCAAGGCGTTCCCAAAAGCAGCCCCGACGAGAAGCGGAAAGAAACAACGAGTCTCAACACAGGATCCGGATCGGGACAATGATCATCCATTGGGGAAATTAAAAACAAGTCTGTTGATTTCAACTACGGAGAACGAGAATCCCACAGATGTTCTCAATGTCATCAGGCAGAGCGCACTTAACGCTAAAAGGAAAGGACTGAATTATTTGGACGAAAATGACCCAGCCGTTTTGGGTATCGACCAAAGGGGTGCTGTAGCCGTTGATTTAGAAACTGAATTTTCTCAGAGTGTATCACCTAGTGGCTCAAAGCGCAAGCGCAAATAGTCTCAATACCAGTGTTCTGTCCGGTACTTATTTCAGCCGTCATGTACTTCAGTCGGACATTTGAGTGATCACCACCCAAGTTTTATATAACCAGTAAGTATGGAGACTGTGAACACATAACATTAATGCTACTAGAGGCAATTTACTTACAGAAAGTCTAGCAACCCATAATAAGTGTAAGGCAAAGAAATGGCTCTCGGACTGCGGCTGTGATTTATACATACAACAAACACAATTTGGAATTGTAGTTTGGTAATGCAGCGATGAAAATCATCGCTTACGTAGATTGTATGGAGGAGTCGATGATGATGGAGCAGTGGAATCAGTAGGTGCCACCCTGGCTGTAGTGCGTCGTGTAGTAACATCGCTAATCCTGCCTTGACCACGATGGGATGGGAGAGGTCTACCTGTGCCTTTACTATTCTTCCCAGTTCTAGTACTAGAACCTGCAACGGCAAAGCCAACATGAGTTGCCCTTAGCGTTTGACTTTTAGCAGAGATAAGACTGGCGCTATCATCCCCTTGACTGGATTTCACGCTTTTGGTTTTGCGAGCTTCGCCAATACTAGAGCTAGCTATACCGGCATCGTCGACTATCGTAAAGGATCTGCCACGTCGCTTTTTCCCTTTCTTGGAGAGATTATCTTCAGCAGGAAGTGCAGCTGATCTATTCTTTGTTTGCGATATAACATGAGAAAGACGGCGCATCAGCAAAGCACGAGAAACCTTGCTATTGGAATCGTCCAGCCCTTTAATATTCAACAGACCAGCAGGGTACTGATCCTGAGGAATACTTTTTTCGAGGTAACTTTCGGCCCAGCAAGATCCCGAAACGCGCAAGACTCCAAAAGTTCCAACATCAAGAAGCAGATTCGGTAACTTGTTGAGGAGCGGAACTACTTCGGGCTATACCGAAAGTCAACAATTAAATCATTTTTCAAAATGTTACCACACAAACCTGATCACGGAAAACTTCATTGGGATGAAGATTTTTGATATCCTGCGCGAAATCCAGCTCACCTTTGTTCATAGATGTTGACGAAATCCATACAAAAGTCCAGAAACATCGTGCGTCAGCAAGTTGCAGACAAAATACCAGGATGAGCTGCTTGCTCGAGGAAGATGGCAAAACACAAAACGGCTCATCACGCTCGTGCTTAAACCAAGACAGTGTTTCTTCTGGGGTACTTGCCATTAGAACTAGTTTGCCATAAGCGTCTTCACTCCAGGGACACACATCTACTACTTGTAGTCGATGAGCGATCCTTGTAAAGGTGACAAGTTTTACTTGCGGCAAGGATGCAGGTAGTCCAATAACTGTAAATGCACTTGAAGGTTCACAATAATGATCTAGGATGGAGGAAAAAGACAATGCCAGAAATAGAGCAAAATGAGTCGGAGTCGGCTGGATGTCTTGAATATCATCGCGTTTATTGTTGTGAAATATCTGGATGAATTTTGCGAAAGAAAAGCACGAATTCTGCTTGAGCCAACCCGCACCATAAGTCACTGTTAAAGGCTCATCTAGGGCTATATGGGAGCAATCAGGGTCAGTGAAGTATCCGTAATCTTCGGTGACCAGAGTTCTGTCTTTTGTGGAGCAATCGACAGATCCTTCAGAAGTAGTCAAAAAAGTAACAACTGCACGATGCATTTCGACCATGCTAAGTGACCCTAGAGAAGAAAAACAAGAGAATTATGCATTGAGCGAAGACAGTAGATGACAAATGGAAATGGCATACGTTGGAGAAGCCCTGTGGGACCAAGTGGTGAATACCAATTATTATAGCGATGTTCCTCCCCCCTTGAATATTCCTCGTTATCATCTGGGACATATTCAGTGAAATTCCCGATGTAATTACCCAGTAACGTATGAGGACTCTGATAATTGTTACGCAACAAGACAGCAAGGAAGGAAGCTGTATAACGGTGTCTGACCATTTGAAAATAGTGTCATTACTTTGGACGACAACGTAGGACAAGTCGAATCCAGACGAACCTTCCACGCAGCCAATACCACATACGGGCTATCAAAGCCTGTCCTGTGACTGAACTCGAAAATGAATCAGGCATGAATTGGGAGACATAACGCCGGTGATCCTCTGGATCATTGAAAGACCCAGTATCTGAGCACCAGCGAAAATCATCCCACTCGCCAACCGTCGATTGGAAATGATCTTCAGGAATCATAGTGCCAGCGACAACGAATCTGATGGGTATCTTCGAACTCCCTATCTGCCGTCGCAGGCCGCGTATGATCTCTTTCAGAATTGGATAACGGCCGTGCTGGTCCTCAAACGCTTCGTCGTGCTTTCGCGACGCTACATTGGCTTCATCTATCGCAATGTAAAAGGAATCACCTGCGGTAGACATTTCCGGTGAGTTCCAGAAACTCTGTATTTCGTCCCAGGAGTGCGTAATAGCTTCGTCTAGATCTTCGTCACTCAGGAAACCTTCGCTTATTTTGTATTTGAGCATACTAAATGGGTCGAAATAGGGTATGATATTCGTTGGGAAAATTTGTGATTCCAACCAGCGCCGCCGGTGCTCAACACTAAATCCTTGAGTTGAACAGGCCTCTAGATACATTTTGAAGATAAGTAACCGAGCCAAGAGGACTTCGCTAACCGCGCGATACACTAAATGTATATTCGTCTTCAGGGACGAGGCGTAGTTGTCGCTGGAAGTGGATGATAAGCGGGTGGTCCATGTAGCATTTTCGTTTATGTTGTCCAAAGCGAATGGGATATCGGCGGCTCCTAGATTGAAAGAATCGAGAGAACATGTCATATATAATCCCCAATGCAGGCACAGTCCTTCGAAAAGAAGCTTGGTTTTTCCTGTACCCGAGGTGTTTACCAAGAACCTACGCGTAATGGGCGTGAGCAACAATGATCCTTGACAGAGAAGGAATGTTCTCGTACGTGTCTTTAGAAGAAGAGAAAACCCGGTCCAATCTGTTTCTGAGTTTGTCGTTATGTTGAAAGCTGCCCAAGTCATATAGAATAATCAAAGGTATTTCTTTCATCGGATAACCTAGCGGAATACGGAGATTTTCGATGTAGGCTGTGGTCTCTGGATCTATATGAGCATCTCTACTCGAGCTCTTGGGTGGCATCCAAGAAGGTCCTTTCCATTCGCCTTTTGCAATCAGCGTTATTCTCCCGTCGGAAAAGATCTCTCGAAGTAATTCGTTCATTTCCTCGAGGCGAGGCTGAAAACGCCAAGCGTTTCGTCGCAAGTATGCTGATGAAGAGTGCATGAGAACCTTTTCCTACAGACAGAAGAGAAGACACACTGCAAAGGTTATCGAGCGCCTCCGAGTTTTGTGATTTATGCGCCTCCTTTAGCTTCTCGTGAAGCTCGGGTTCTGTCAACAAGATTCTGGCGCAGAGTTCCAATGAGATATTCTTGCGTGCCTCCGGGGTGAGATATGCATGGAGGAATTTAGAGGCAAGGTCTGACTCTGTAACGTCTGGAAAATCTCTGAGAAGTTCCTGTTGATCGAGAGCAGCCATTGAGCGACGTAAATGACACTCGAATTAGCTGAATATTGTGAATGAAAGACTTGGGCTCATGAAATTGGCATTAAGGAAAGAACTTCAACAGTCTCAATATTTCACAGCCCGGAACTGCCGCCGCCGGGATCAGTCATAGGCCGGTTACAGTGTGTACATGTAGGTCCATTGTCCATTCCACCCACCAACTAAATCGAAATGACACCATTAATCATCGTCAAGTTTAATGGCTGCTCTAACTCAGCAGGAGCAAGTCCTAGGACTTTTTTCGAACATCGACGATCCAGAAGTCGCTTGCAAATTCCTCCATGCCTATCTCGCTCCTGGAGCACTGAAGATCCCATTTGAACTCTGCACTAGAATCTTGTTAACAGACCCTGCGCTTCACGAGACGGTGAAGGAGGCACATAGATTGCAGAATTTAGAGGCGCTCGATAAGATTTGCGGTGTGTCTTTTAACTCTTTATCCGTAAGGTAGATATCCTTACACACTATTGCAGTATATATACAACGAAACGCTTGGAGATTTCAGCCTCACCTCGAGGACATGAACCAACTACTTATGGGAATTTCTTCCAACGGGAAAATAAATATGGTAGCAAATGGTGAATGGAGACGACCCTTTTGGACACCGCCCAAGAGTTTGAGCGATGACAGTCATGCAGAATCAGAGACCACTGCTTACATTGAAAGCCTACATATCCCGCTAGGAAATCCCAATAAAGAAATACCTTTGATCATTCTCCATGAGCTGGGCAGTTTCCAATATAATGTCAAACTCAGAAACAGATTAGACCGAATTTTTTCGCCTTCCAGCCACACGTACGAGGGTTTTTCTCAAGCTACTAAGTCACTCACCCTCATTATCCGCAGGTTTCTTGTAAACACATCGGGTACAGGAAAAACGAAGCTTCTTTTCGAAGGATTGTGCATGCACTGGGGATTCTATATGACGTGTGCTATCGATTCTTTCAATCTGGGAGCAGCCGATTTCCCTTTGGCCGTGAGCAACCTGAATCGAAACTCTACTTGGACCGCCTACCTACCATCCACTTCTTCCGCCAATCACGTATCATTATTACAAACTAATATTCGTCTAGTCTACCGTGCGGTCAGCGAAGTCCTCCTGACTCGGTTGCTCATCTTCAGGATGTACCTAGAAGCATGTGCAAAGGAAGGATTTTGTCTCCAACAGCGACAGCGCTGGTTGGAATTACAAATTTTCCCAAAGAATACCATATCTTCGTCCGACGCATTTGGAATGCTCAAATACAAAATAACCAGAGCTGGTCTAAGTGACGATGATCTTGACAAAGCCATCAGGCACTCTTGGGACGAAATACAGAGTTTCTGGGACTCGCCGGAAATGTCAACTGTCGGTGACTTCCTTTACATCGCACTGGATGAAGCCAATGTAGCGTCGCGAAAATACGATGAGGCGTTTGAAGACCATCATGGCCGTTATCCAATCCTAAAAGAGTTAATACGTGGCCTGCGGCGGCAGTTAGGTCACTTACCTATCCGATTCGTTGTCGCTGGGACTATAATTCCTGAAAATCATTTTCAATCACTGGTAGGCGAGTGGGATGATTTTCGCTGGTGTTCAGATACTGGATCTTTCAATGATCCGGAGGACCACCGACGATATGTTTCCCAATTCATGCCTGTTACATTTGCTAGTTCAGTGACAGGACAAGCCTTGATAAACCGTATGTGGTATTGGTTGCGTGGAAGGTGCGTTCACCCCGATTGAATCGCAGTGACCCTGTCGCCTCATGAATCCACTCAATTCGACTTTTCTTTTGGTCAGGCATCGTTACACGGCGTCGTTCCTTGCCGTTTTGTTTCATAGCAATTTCACCAGTCCTCATACGTTACTGGGTAATTATATCAGAAACTTCACTGAATATGCGCCTCATGACAATGAGGAGTATTCAAGAGGTGAAGAGGCTCGCTACAATAATTGGTATTCACCGCTTGGTTCCAAGGGTCTTCTTGAACGTATGTCGTTTGTCTCTTCTTTATCTCTTCGTCTCTAATCAATACATGATCTTTTTCCTTCAGGGTCACTTAGCACGGCCGAAATGCATCGTGCAGTCATTGCTTTTTTGACTACTGCAAGAGGAATCATTAATTGCTCGACAAAAGACCGAATTTTGATCACTGAAGATTACGGATATTTTATGGACCCCGAATGTTCCCAAATCGCCTTGGACGAGCCTTTGACAGTGACCTATGGCGCAGATTGGCTCAAAAAGAATTCGTACTTTTCTATCAGAAAGTTCATCAGCTTTTTTTGCAACCATAAACGCGACGATATTGAAGAAGTGACTCCAAGTCATTACGCCCTATATCTGGCGTTGACTTTTGTATCTACTCTGGACCATCTGTGCGATACCTCGGATGTTTTCACAGTTATCGGATTACCTCCTACATCATTACCTCAAGTGAAACTTGTCACTTTCACAAGGACGACTCGTCGACTAAAGGCAGTAGATGTGCACCCTTGGGGGGAAGAGACCTATAATAGATTAGTTCTCATGGCAAGTTCTCAAGAGGAAATGCTCTCCTGGTTCAAGCACGAGCGTGACGAACTGTTTTGTGTTCTGCAGCATCCTAGGAGCATTGGACTGATATTAGTATTTTGTCTGCAACTTGCAGATGCTCGGTGTTTCTGGGTTTTCGTACGCATTTCGTCAATATATACGAATAAAGAGGACCCGAATATCATACAACATATCAAAGATCTGCATCCTAATGAAATCTTTCATGATCAGGTATGATTTGTGGTGCATTCAGGACTCTCTCGTGATGGCTAATATCGGTCATTGACAGCCCGGAATCCTTTCCCTTCTCAGCGAGCTACCGAATCTTTGCCTTGATGTAGGACCCTTTGGGGTGCTACGCGTTTCAGGATCTTGCTGGCCCGAAAAAGTCATGAAAGACAGTATCCCTCAGGAGCTATTTCCCACTGGTCTATTGAATATTGAAGGGCTAGATGAGGCAGACAAGAGAGTCTCTCATGACATGCTAATGCGCCGTCTTTCTCAAATAATTGCGCAAAAGATTAAGAATGACCCGCAAGTTGTGTCTCCAGGGATGGTAGATGAGGAAGATTCCCACCAGAAAGGTAAGAGGCAACGTGGCAGATCCTTGACGGTAGTCGACGATACCGGCGTAGCTCCTTCTGGTAATCTTAGTGGTACCCGCAAAACCAAGAGCTTCAGACTTGATAAGGAGGATGATATTGCAGGTCCTAGTACTTCTGGGAATCGAAGAACCAAGGGTCCCAAATCCACCAATGTCAACTCTGTTACACTTGGTTCTAGTGCCCGAACTGGGAAGCATAAAGGTATCGGTAGACCTGTCCGATTCCGCCGCGGTCAAAGCAGGATTGGAGACATTGCTACAGGACGCGCTTCAGCCGGATTAACTCGGCCAGACGATTCCAATTCTTCTTCTTCATTACCCTTGACTCTTCCATACAATCTGCGCAAGCGATGAAACATTGTATATGTATCTTATTCAACTCAAATTATACTGTCGTGATGCCTTCTACAGTAAAAGCGTTTTCGTTGTGCTTTTTTACAGCAATCATCGTGAATGAATGTGATCGACTTGTTGCTGCCGCGGCTTGCAGGAGAATATCTTTAATGATAGCTCCCCTTCATCGTCGAATACCCTATTTGTTGACACCTCCGTCATACCAGCAGACACCAAACACATTAACCCAATGTTAGGATCGTTCACGGAGAGAACGAGGCGGTGGCAATGGCAGTACTAGTTGATGCAACACAGTAATAAATATTCATCTTAGTGCATACGTAGCCCGGAGCGAAATTGACATCTACCAAGTATCCTCGCCACTTTCTGAAGCAGTACGTGGGGGGATATACATATACGAGCAAAATCCTAGAATTTAGAGATATCTATCACCTTGCTTTACCCCAGAATTGGACATTTTTGGTGTGCAGGCACACTTTGAACTTGTTTTGTTCTGAAGGTTCTCACCCTCCTTCTGAGGCCCTGTACCCACTCGCGGCGCGCCCTGTGAATGTACCCAGCAAGGTGTGGTTCATGACATGCATGACAGTGGAGCCTAGTCGAGATAAGAGGCTGAAGTAAGGAAACCTCCTCACGTTGGTGCGGCCCGGCACGCTATACGAGGTGTTTCAAGTTGTTTGAAATTTCGTCGCTAAAAATGCCTATAAGAACCATCGAGAACCTGACACGCTCTTCCTTCCACTCATCTTCGTCTCCGGCTGGACCGGCGATAATTGTTCAATTTTTACTACCTGCCACACACACAACTTCCCTCTGGTTTCCTTATGCGTTTCTTAACCACGCTCCTTCCCTTAATCACCCTCGCCGTGCATGTTGCTGCGACTAATCCCGAACAAGGTTCGATTCCGCTCACAATGATCCATCCCGGAGCCGTTCATCTACCTGACCCTCCTCCAACTTACAACGAGGCTACGAGACCTAATGCTATCATCCCTGCTGCACACTACAGCTCGGCACAGGACGGCACGGAACAACCGCCATTGTCAGGTATATCTCCCCGTTGTCATCAGCAGGCAATACAACGTGGACTGGAACTGGGTAGACAAGAGTTAGGACCAAATCATCGGGACGTATCAAATTTGCGGGCAGTGATGGAACGAGTCACTTCTGTAGAGGATGCATTGAAGCGACATCCTCAAACACTGATAACGTGTTTTGCTTTCACAGTCGCAGGCGGATTAGCTATGGTGATGATCTATCTGACAAACTGTGGCGGAAAGGGTGATTGGACCTGTAACCCTTTCAGTAAACGGAATGGTCTTGGGAGTAATCCGCAGTGCAAGCATTTGGATATAGAAGTTTGTCGTAATCCATCACCGACGGTGAGTTACTGTTCGTGATTAAATTTGTCGTTTACTCGCTCAATATTTGTTTTTTCTTTGACCTAGAACACACATTCTCCACCAAAGGCTACAGGAGAACTCGCAAAGAGAGATGCCGCGAGAATGTCCTATCGCCGCCGTCTTGAGCTGGTGTGATGTGATCAGACAGGGGAATGAGGAGTTCAGGGCGGCTCACGGAGAATGAGGCGATGGCTGTATAGCGAGGAATTGCAGTGCAGAAGAGCGAGAGCTGAGCGCTGAGCGTTGAACGTTGAACATACAGCAAACTTTCTTGCTAGTAGTGTTAAGCTATGTATCTGTGGTGGAATGTGAACTGCGAACGATGAAGGAAAGACCCTGGATTAATTGTCTGACCTACATACATACATCTTCCTGCATTCTGTAATTCCCGAGGCCTGTTGTTTGTCAAAACATCCTTCCTCTTGGACAGCATGGTTGTCGGCCTGAGTATCTGGAAATATACCACAAGGAGAGACCAAAAGCTTTAGTCTTTCTGAGAAACTTCTCCCCCGGTACATTCCATTCAAGTTGATGCTCAGACCTGGTTTGATTGTGGAAGAAGGCTTTTGATCCGGAGACAGTCAGTATTCCAGCCTTCCAGGTCAAGGTTTTGATTATGATGGAACATAGGGCATAGAGGATAAAGGGATTGAGCGTTGAGAAACTCCCGGCAAACGCAATGTCTGAATGGTCTGTACCATATGAGGTCTTAGTACCAGCTTCTGATGCCCCTACATCTAATCCCAATCCAACATCATGTCACGTTGATCTCAGGCATTCCTCGTAAGTACGCGTATAGAGCAGCATGGATACCTGGTGCCAGACTGTTCTACATAGGAGACATGGGGGTTTGGATGAGGTGGCAGGGATGGGAAGAAGGGGTATTGATGCTTTGACTGGGTGTCGGTGGTACTACTGATATAATACATTGGAACGTGGCAGATTGAACGTAACGCTGAGTGCTGAGTACTGAGATGAAACTCGAGGAACGTGGCGCGGGTTCTAGGATGAGACGATCGTCGGCGGCAAAGTTTGCGGGATGGTCGAAAGCAGTAGAGGCAAATTAGAATCCGGTACAAGTTCTGCTAGTTCCAGATCTATTCTGCGCTGCGTGATCCCAGCCTATAAACCTTTCGAAGCGGGACTTAAGAGAATTGGATTGGATGTAATGCGACGTGTCCTCTCCTCAATCTGGTCCCGTCCATCCCAACCGTCGCAAATCACGTCTACACTCCTCCGTCTCCTTCTCAACACGAATATAATCTTCAACAATCTGCGCAAACCCTGCCCTGTCTGATTCGGGACTCCCATCCACCAGTCGCATCAAACGCGCATATTCTTCAATTTGACTGTCCAAAGCTCGCTCTTCCTCTAACAAGTCATCAGCCTCATCCCTCAACTTGTCCTGGGCAATGGAAAGAGCCTTGATCATCGTTGCGTCTGGCTGGGTTTTTGAGACATATCCGTAAAATTTTTGATGTGACCGAGCTCTCATAAGGGAAAGCTTAACGAGAGACGCTTCGATGACTGCAGCAGATAGGGCATTATTTGCTTTGTGTTTTTCGTTCAGGGCAGGAGGGATGGTGGATATAGCATCGAGAAGTTCCGTTTGAAGGGTGATATGCAACTATTAGGGAATCGGATGAGCAAATGGAAAACATGTAGGCATGATGAGTGTGTACTTCGTTGATGCGCGAAATCACGTCGATGGAAGAAGACCAGGTAGAGGAGAGTTCGGATTCTAGAGATGCGATGTCTTCTATTTCTTTGTGTATTTGATCCAGCAGGGGAATATCTACGTCGCCTAGAATGGGCTATGTGTCTATAAGCCGCAGTACAAGAGCTCTCGATAACGTACCACCAAGAAACTCGAGTATCGACGACAGTCTTGATTCTATCTCTTCAGAAAGTCGCGCTTCCAAGGCAGAATCATTCGAAAGCTTCAGAAAGCTTCAGAGGTTGGTGAAACTATAGCAAACGAGTCAAGGCACCTTGGAGGCAAAGCTGGAGGGGTCTATCGAACGTTGGAGATGAGTAAGGGATCGAGCGAGTTCCTGAAGTTTACAACAGTCAATTTGAGGGCTGTTACGAAGACATATTGTCCCTTACTTGGTCATTGAGCGATAATTCAGACAGTAATTCGTTCAGAATCTTCAAACGCAGGACGTTTGTCTTCCAATATGTCAGGTAACTTGTCGGCAAAGTTCAGTGAAGAGTGAATTCCAACCGCTCACGCAATTTGTTGTGGACATTGAAGGTTAGCCAGAGTGTTTATAAACGCCGGGACTCGGAGCGTTAATCGAGCGACCGTCCCGGACCTTGCCGCTTTTCACCAACTCGCTGAGACTCGCTCCAACTCGAATGTACTGTTCAACGCTGAAACAAGATCTTTCAGGACCACAAATTTCTACCTACGTTAAGGATACATATGTTGAAGCCAAATTCAAAATCTGGAACCGTCCTGTGAATTCTTTAAGCTACTGAACAAATCCTTGCACAACTAGTCCAAGTGACCTTACACTGTTTGCTCTGCCTGGAGCCCCTCTTGCGGAGGAGCACATTTATCACGCAGAACAAATTTCCTCTCTCCTTAGATCTTGCGCTGAGGGAGATGGCGTGGCACGTAGAACTTTGCAAACTTTGCAGGGCAATGTGGAGAGCGCAACTTGAAACAAAGCGCCTCAAAGCGCTCTCCCACGAGCAATGCAGTTGTGTTTGTGCTGCGTACATGAAGAGGTACTGTGGCGAGAGTTTCGACATTCATGACATCGGTCAAAGCTGCAACGGCAATAGAAAAGTGGCATCCTGTAGTCATATTAAAAGAGCGGAGTAGTATTTGTTGTAGCTAAATAGAAGGGAATTGGGGGGAGGGGAGGAGTCGGGTGCACGTACTATTATGATTCTTGTGGTCTGAGACTATGGCAGAGGTCAAGAGAGGTAATTGTTGAACGAAACATTTGATTCACTGGTACTGCTCCCGCAACTATGACTGTGATTTAAGACAAACGAATGACCCTGAACAAACCAGGACCAGGGACCTCCCTTTCTGACTGGGGTGACAATTTCTCCCCCGAAAATCCTAAATACCTGTGTACGCTCTCATCATCAGATTTATGCCCCCTACTCCTCAGCCGACGTCGATTCCACCCAAAGCTGATATGAACTAATAATCACCAACATAGTTCTAATCGATATTCACCTATATTCATTCCTGAATCAACAAACCTCCCCTGATCGAGGCCAGTTACCAGGTCAAACAAAAAAGGTACGAGTTTCATCCTATAAGTTCATCCTATAAATTCTGCACCAAATACCCATATCCAACATACCATGATGACTTCTGCAACCTCTCTTGTTTCACTCCCTGTTGAACTTGTCGAGCAAATCATCACTTCCTTCTGGTCCCAGCATCAATCCACACACCATCGCGTCACATTTATGAAATCATCCCTTTGTGTCAGCCGCAGCTGGGCAATCCTGTACATGCGCGCCTTTTGTCAGGACGTACACATTCCAAGCGGAGAATTTGCGCTGAAATTTCTTGAGATTTTGCGGAACGAATCTCCCGTATATTCATATTTTACTGAGAACGGCACATTGTTCGATCGACGTTGCCGTTCGCTGACGTTCCAACGCGACAATGAAGAAGGGATAGTCGAGAAGCCAATCGCTCCAGACCCTAGTCGGTCTTCTTCCGTACTTTTTCAAGGCTTTCTCAAGAATTCCCCGACACCGGAACACCCAATGGGTCTTGCCATCTACACCGTCTTGCGGTTTTTATATTTCTCCCCGCACCTCATACCCAACCTCCGGCGCATCTCTTTATTATTCAGCAACTCGACAATGAGCGATCTCTTCACTCGAAACAGATTTATTGGATTCCCTACTCAGGTTACCGAGTTGAATATCAGGTTCACATATGGGCCGCGCACGCCCAAGGACGTGCTGAAAAAGATTGCTAGAAATGAAGCCGTCGTTGGGTTGGTTCCTGGGAGTATGAAGAGGGTGAGGGTATTGAGGGTTACAGGACTTACGAAGTCGGCTGTCAGGGAGTTGGTTCTAGCGTGTGTGAACCGGGAATCAGTCGAAACTGAGGACGGGCAGTGGACCTTCGGGCGAAAGAAAAGAATCACCACTGAAAGGGCAGGGATATAAATCTTAATAGGTGTAGGAGGGTGCCGCAGATATATCTACTTCAATGATGCCCTTGGTCGCTTCAAGCTCTATTATAATTGTTTGTGCCGAGTAATGTTTATAAGTTGAATGTGTTTTCTCCCGCTTTGCTTCGCCTATATACACCACTTTGTGTTACACTATTCGTACAATCAATAACACTTACACAATCTATGGTCCATCTTTTCTATCAGGCTTTACAACCGCTGTATATCTTCAACTCGTTTGTTGGAAGTCCGTGATAAATTTTAATGACTTTCATCCACATTCAGTATCAACATTGTAAAGAATCGTATCTCTTCGATGAAAGCATCACCTCGAAGAGCTGTTGGAAAAATATAAGGCAGGAAATTAGAAATGATATATCACAAGCTCATACCCTCGTTGATAGTATGCATCCCATTATACACGTCATCTCGATCGCCACGGTGGGAGTAGCGGAAGATGTTCTCCGTGAGATTCCAGTAGAAGCGTGTATCTACAAAATCAAGGTCAGCCAACCCTTATTTTACGTTGAAAATAAGTGGATTCGTCAAACTTACCAGTGTTCCCTACGATGAATTTTATGAAAATACCTTTCAGTATGAAATCGAAACGAATAATAATAATTCCAAGTACCTAATCCCAACGATGGGCTGACGACTACACCATCCGCTTCATATCTTGAAGAACTCTGTAGCGTTGCCTTGATTGTGCCAGATAATACGTCGTATAGATGGTTATCTGCGATAGGCGTGATAGGAGAAGGTTCCAGTGCAGAATAGAATGCGTCTGAGAGGACTATCTTCCCAAGTCTGGATATCTTATGACCGCAGTGGATATCCTCTCCGAAGGCCTGGACTGATAAATTGTATCGAGTTGCGAAAGGAAGCACAAGGTCCTTGATGTGATTCTTGACTTCCAAGGTGGAACTATGATGAGACGAAGTGATTAACCTTGACAATCTACAAAATAGGAAACAGGTATGTATAACAAACCTATGTTCTGCTATTCTATGATTGACAACAGCTCCAGCCCTTTCAGGTAACACATTAGTTTTGATGCCTCCTGTTATTAGATCTACCGCTTGTGTCGTGTGGGATAATACATCGAAGAAGGGTACAGAACTGAATAAAGCCTTGGAAAAAATTTCAAGAGCACTTTCGTCGTGGGCATTCATTGCACGTCGAGCTAAGTCTTTCATACTGTGCGGGAAGCTTCCTTCGGGCGCGTGTTCTACGGCGCATTTCGCTGCAGCAAACGCGGTCCCGTTCCGGGTTAGACGGGGAAGATGCGGATTTGCTTCGAGCGAAACAATGAGAAGAGACAACAAGCCAATGCTCTAGACGTGAAAATATGTAAATCAGAAGTTGAATAAAACATGCGAAGAGTTATTGGTATTGAATACTAACTGTGTGTTCAGGCGGAATACTTGAATGACCTCCTGGAGCTAGAATTTCGATGCTCGCATCGAAATATCCCTTTTCTGATACACCAGGAAGCGCAAATATCGTCCCTTTTTTGACGTTCTCGGCGTATCCTTCTACACGAAGAAAAGAGAATAGAAAACGATCGGCTCCCGAGATAATACATGTGTACAAACACAGAAAGCATGCGCACCTCCTTCGTCCAATATCATTGCAAATGCATTTTTACCATACCTTTCTTCGAGAAAGGCAGCAAGTTTTTCGGCACCCTATTGACTTTGATAAGTGATAGTCTTTGTCGGACCCACTGTGTCGGCACCGAGAAAATTGTGCGAAAGTTAAATAAATACCTCAGTTCCTGAAGCTTCTTCGTCAAACCCGAAAGCAAGGACAACTGTGCGTCGAGGTTGGAAGCCGGCTTCTAATAATGAATTGACAGTGATTCTAGAGGATAGTATGAGTGGGACGTGATTGTCCGGAATATTGTGATAATTTACAGCTGGGCTATAAGATCTGCCTTATCATCTACGCTGCCTCTACCCCAAATCCATGTTCCTACAGAAGAATAAATCACATCGTTTAGCGATTATAGATAATCCACATACCGTCGTAACTGCCGGAGTATGGCGGATGTACCCATTTATCCTCATTTGACCAATCCACCGGGACCACATCTGTGTTAAAGATGATGTTAAAGTTCAAAATTCAAAATCGTGACTCGAAGCGGAGTTATGCTTTCCAGAAAAAAAAATTATGCCCACCTTGGTGCGCTGTGAGTAGCAGAGGCTTCAATGTAGCGTCGGAGCCCTGCCAATGGAGCACAAGACCATATGTGTTGACAGTTATGACCTTGAGAGTGGAATATCTACAAAAAACGGGGTGGATCCTTTCAATACTTGTATCAGATGGAAAGAACCGCAAGACGCATACATGAGAGGAAATGCGCCTTCCAAGTATATATTAAAGGTCTTGAAGACATCCCAACGATCGTCCTGCCCAACCGGGAGAAGATCATCGTATGATTCTGTTCTAAAGTTCAAGGTCAGAGGGGAAACAATTTAACAAAGATTATGTCTACGGGATTTGGACAGAAGCACCAAGAAGTTGGTACGATGAAGATTTGAATGTTTCAGAAAAGTACATGGTGTCAAGTCGCTTGCTCAACTCGGCATGAGCAGTGGGAAATAGAGGTTCAACTTGAGGACATAGAGTGCTGTCTGGATCCGAAGTCTGTAATGAGGGAAGGAGTATGGTAACAAGCGTGTTATATTGGCTGACAAGCACAATCCTTAGGCCCAGAATCTTTTCAGAGTTGATCCATAGACTAAGGAGGACAAGGGATGCACAGAATAGCGAAAACGCAGGACGATACGAAATAGGTTTCATCCGCTACAGCCAATCGGAGAAAGTAAAAGAACAGGTGGTGAGGGCAACATGACGTCCACTGAAAAAAAAGCCTAGGCCGGTTATAGAAAACTGTGAACGCTTGGTAAGAGGTTGGTACTTTGTATGACTTATTCCGCCTTATCTTCGGAGACGGCCGGACTAGTTGACAAATATAGGCAAGCGGCTATATTTGGGCTATATACAGATAGACGGACACAGAAGTCCACCTGGCTTACGTCAGGTGGCCATGGACCGGCCTCTCATCAGAGCTGTGCGGCAGGCACTCTGATATTGGCTTAATGGGGAGGGTGCCCCCCAGATCCATCACCCACACCAAAAACACCTACACATATGCCGTGGTCCCCGATGCTATGCCGATGTTGCAAATCGGATCGGGTAACCATGTGGACGGCACCACATGGCATACTCCACCCCGTGAATAGGGAGTCATGATCTATCATTGCAAAGTAGAACAGGCGGGTTAGGGCAGCAGTTAAGCCCTCTGATGAGCCCCTTCGCAAGGGCGAAACCCGCACAAAGTCCCTACCTTTCGGGTTCGAACCCCAAAGCTGCCTAAACAGGAACAGTTGGTTGCAGTTCCGATTCTCGCGTCAGGTCCGAAAGACCGAAGCTAACCGACGATGCCCGAAGCCCAGAGCGTCTTTTACCCGTATCAGATAACGATCACATACATTATCAGATAAGATTTTTTATATCACGCCATATGATTATCACAGCCATTTGCTTGATCTGCGTACCTTCGCAGTTACCCTCGTACTAGTAGTAAAGAACCTAGCAAGATGGTTCCGCGCGAATACTTCCCATCGAACATAAATTTTCCGCCAAAGCCTTTTTGCTCTCTTCCAGCTTCTTGTCCTCTTCAACAAGGCGACGCTTCCTGCGAAAAAATGCCACTCAAAGCAGTGCTCCGGGGGAATTCTCTTGAAAACACTCCTAATTCCTCTGATCAACAACAACCTTCACGCTCGGAGCACGACGGTTCAGATGATTCGGGTGGTTCTTCTGTATCTGCTGAGTTCACTGAACTGTGTACAGAAGACTGTCATCTTATCACCTGTGCTGATCCCACGCACGAAGCAGCGAACTGTACAGCTTCTGGAGACACTCTCGTCTGTCCAGATCCAAAGGACTGCAACGTGGTTGACAAATATGTAAGTGTAAAAAAATTTTCCAACAACCATCTTTCTCTGACTTTCGGTCATAGCTGCAATATTGTACAGATTTGCACGCATATCTTACTGAGCCCAAAAGTTACCCGAGCATCTATCATTGGCATAATAGCTCGTCAATGGAATACAGAACGGACGAGACAAATGTCTTTCACTCAACCCATCCAGATGGTCAAACAGGCCTCTCTTACTCCCTTGAAGTCCCTGAAACGAGCCATTCACAAGACAGTTTACCGACGTCCAATCTATTCACTGGCAACCTTTCGGGCCAACTGCCAGAATATCCGTTTGACTATTCCCAACAGTATGAGCCTAGCTCGCACACGCACTCAACCGTTACGTCGCCACTAACTCTCCCTCACGCAACTTTCTCCCCCTCACCTCCTCACGTGTCTCCTACTGATTCCCCGATATCCTTAAATACCTTGGAACAACCAACACCCTCGAACGCTCCTGTCTCTCCTATCGCTTGTATGTGGGGAAATTGTCACGCAAGATTTTCTGCTGCAGATGAGCTAATCGAGCACGTCAATGCTGAACATTTGATGTTGATGTCCTCAGCCGCAAATTCAAAACATAATGTCGCTTGTCAGCCCAACGAAGAGCATCACGAGTATTTTTCTTGCTTATGGAGAGATTGCCACGAATTTTTTCCCGAATTGGTCGATGCTCCGTCACACGACAAGCCACACTTACCGTACGACCAGTTCACCGTCCATATTCTCTCTCATCTAGGTTATCCTGGTCCGAACCAATCTACCCTCCCAAAGTATCCGGATGATTATCCGAAGGAATACATCGACATGTACGCTCACTCGTTTCCAAACACCTCCGAGTCCGCCGCAGAACGTGCCAGCGACTCGTCTCGAAGCGAGAGCGCCTCCTCGCGCTCTGTGACCCCACCGTTTTCAATGGAGGGGCAGGAGCATTTGCACCAGTGCAAAGGGTCACATATGTGTCGTTGGAATGGATGTGGCCTCACGTTTGACTCCTGCGACGACCTTACGACCCATCTGACTCAGGCGCATGTTGGGAGTGGGAAGCCTCACTATGATTGCTATTGGGGCGAATGTGTTCGGAATGGACAGAGTGGATTCACGAGCAAGCAGAAAATATGTCGACATCTGCAGGTAGGTTTAATTTTCTGAATCAGTTTACTGCCTGACCAGGCGCTGATGAGTTCAATCATACTTCACAGTCGCATACAGGGCACAGACCTTTCCAGTGTAACCTTTGCCACCAAAACTTTTCTGAGGCGGCGACGCTGCAACAACATATGCGACGACACACCAGAGAGAGTAAGTCGCCACCGCTTAATCGCCGTATTCATGGTTCTGATGATTGGTTTTCGTTCCAGAGCCATATGCATGTGATCATCCTGGTTGTGGAAAATCATTTGCGATCACTGGCGCATTGACAATTCACAAACGTACTCACAATGGCTACAAGCCGTTCAAGTGCACTTTCTGTGACCGGTGAGCCTTAACAGATTTCGCTGGGTCTGCCCATATAATGCTAAGTTGCAATCTCTCACAGTGCATTTGCGGAATCGTCCAATCTCTCGAAGCATGTCAGTCGTCGTATCAGTTCCTACTCTCGATATCTTTACTAAATTATTATCTCCAGCTCCGCACTCACACCGGTGCTCGTCCTTACTCATGTCTCGAACCTGGATGCAATAAATCATTCGCTCGACCCGATCAGTTAACTCGACATGGGAATGTACATAGAAAGAAGGCGCAGAAGGCAGCTGCCGCATAGATCATACCAAAATCGGACTCTTTCTACCAACTCGAAACGAAGCAGTATACGAACCCCACTCAAAAGCACCAGTCTACCACAGTGCATGTATAATTTACCTATGCATTGTCATGTTCTCGTCTGTATGTAGCAAGTCGCTTGTATGATTATCTTTACCTATTGTCAATAGTCTCTCATAGTTCAATCTTAGCATCCAACGTTACATAGGAGTTACATATATGATAGTGTTTACATAAAAGAACGCATACATAGTAAGCAGTAAGGTCTAAAGGTATGTCCAATGCAGGGGACTGGAACATATATGCAGGTCCAACATTTGAACTAGAATTCTACCAGGGGTTCAGGAGTTTCTTCCGAAAGTAGAGCTATAATTGGAGGAGATTTCGGAGTACCAGGATTAGGAAGAGAGGCTGGAGTCACTACGGTTATGCCTAAGGTTCGTTTTGTGGGTATTACCTTACCTATAAACAAATGTCAGGTTATTCTTCTTTCACAGCAGGAGGTATCGACTTCTCACCCATTCTCTTCATAGCATCATAACCTTTGAGTCGGACCTTGTCACACGATGGATCAACAGTCATCCCTTCTTCCACCACAATATAATCAATGTGTCGTTCACGTAGGAACTGTTCGTCAATTTGCCATGGAGCATCCGGAAGTACCTCATCTACCCATCTACAATGTCGAAGAATTTCGCACCTTTCGAGGTGAGGAACAGTTGTAGGAGTCCCGTAACATTCGCATAATTCATCGGAGTAAACACCTGCGATGAGGTGTACGGAGGGAAATGATAATTTGGCTTGACGAAGCTGGAGGGCGTGGCTAAATGATGAGTTAGTGTAATGATCAGGCAGGAAATTGGGCCACATACCCTGTATTGAATACATCAAAGAGCCCATCTACATAAACACGCTTTGTCCTGTTATCATTACCCGTTCTATCTGCTTTGGAACTTGATGCAGGAGCAAGCCCTAGACTAGTGCGAGTGTTCACTTGTATGTCATTCGCAGTAAGCCTGATTGTGGCGAATTTGTCGTAGGCTTCCTGAACGGGAGACGGTTCGTTGGTTGGGGCAGGATTAGGAGTAAGGTCTGCAATACTAGATTCTAGCGAATGCCTTCCGGGATCTGATACGACATCGTAGTCGGAAAGGTCGTCGCTGAGAGATGACGCGTCCATGGCGGTTATGGGTCAAGAGGGAAGCGGGTTTACCTCATGGCTTTACTGTTAATGCTAAGAGCTGAACGTGATGAGAATCGGCCCTGGCAAAATACCAAAAGTGGAAATGTTATTGTGTTTATCTTGCAATGTTGGACGAGTTGGATGACTGGAGACCTTGAAGTGTAACCAGTATGTATGTAGATGCAGATGGATTTAGATACCAAGAATCGTCTAAATAAGCAGAAGTTACGAAGAACGAAGCTGAGAGAAATTATTACCCGGAAAAGGAAATTGACGACTTCACTTCACTACGCCATGATCTTGCTCGAGGTAATTTTTTGAACTGTGTTATAGAAGGGCCGCCAAGTACTCAAGCACGAATACCTTCAGCCTCACAATGTTATCATTCAGACTACACTTGGCGAAAAGATCATAAAGTAATTATATATATCTTTACCGGGTAACCCATTGTTGATCTGTATAATCAGGCCTTCTTCACTGGACGTCGCCTTTGTCGATTACGATGGTGTTCGATTTCATCTTTCTACACCGGAACGCAAAACCCTGCTCCTTCTTTCCATGCATATCCGTTGCTGGGATGAACTGGTGCGATACGGTGCGATGGAGGTATTGCAACGCGAGTACGGGGTTTTGTTGCAGCCTCAAGCTGAGCCAGAATATAATGTCAGCTTAGCCATTGACTTGGAGCAGGCTCCTACTAGCTTAGGTGCGCTTTACTTAGTGAAGTTCAGGCAGCTCATTGATGATACGTTGTAATCCAGAGGACCGTGCTGCATTCATATTATCTATTGCTCTCTTCAAGCGGAACGCGCTAGCAGCCCCATTCGAATCTGCATTCAAGAATCAGAAACAATTGGAGGCCGCAGGAACTGGACAGGGAGAGCTGATGCAGATTCATTACCGTGATGAGGAAGCTATATACATTCAGGCCTCTCCAGACAGAGTAACGGTTATTTTCTCGACCGTATTTAGCGACGAAACGGACAGGATTTATGGAAAGGTTTTCTTACAAGTACGAGTTCTATCTCTCCGATCTCGGCTTCATGCTCATGTTGTTGCTTGTAAGGAATTCGTTGACGCTCGTCGTCAACCCGCCATTCAGAACGCTCCTCAAGTTCTCTACTCAAATCGCGAACCTCCCTTGGAAATTCGCCACCTAAGCAATCTACGCAACACAGAAGACACTGGTTATGTTACTTTTGTTCTTTTCCCTCAACACTTCACCCCCGTCAATGCCGCGGCTACAATCTCGCACGTACAGTTGTTCCGTGACTACCTGCACTACCACATCAAATGCTCCAAAGCATACATGCACTCCAGGATGAGGTTCCGGGTTGCTGAGTTCCAAAAGGTGTTGAATAGGGCAAAACAAGAGGTCACAGTGACCGAAAGAAAAACTGTCACGTACGTCTATTCAGGATCTTGTTCGCATCATCATTTTGTCTTACTCTTGAGATAGTGGAAGGACCATGTCGACGCGGTAAAATGTGCTTTATGAGTGATAGATCGGATTGTACAGTTGGACATGTTGTGATGATATCGTACACAAAATCGTAGTCAAATCGTGAAATTTCATTAATGGAACAAACGTTCTCATACGGGCGACAAGAGCTCCATCCGTCGTGTAGCCATCCCCAAAGGGCTGGGTATAAGTTGCTCCGGAATCCGACTCTCGACGGCGTCCAAAACCCATTGCCGTCGCAAGCGCTTACAAACTTCCCTGAATGAATCCGTGGATCCCTTCTCATGGATTAATATCAGAAACAGCTCTTCCTCCGTCTGCCTCACATCGATCTTGAATTTGACTGCCTTCAAGACCGACATGATACCATTCGAGTCCCTGACTTCATCCAACTTACACTTCAAGATCCCTAGTCCTTCCGCGTCTTCCAGTATGACGCGCACATCCATCGCCATCAAGAGCCTGCGACACTCGTTCCTAGTGACATGTACAGAGTGTGTAGAATGCAGAGTGAATACCTCCGGTCTTGAAAATTTGAAAACGTTAGTGAACCAAGCAGATCCTGTGGACATGGGTGACAAGAAGGATGAGGACGACGATAAGACAGATGAAGTTGAGCTTGGCGCAGGAGACGAAGGCGGACCCCGTAAGCTGCGCTTTTTCTTGAGTTTGGAAGGTTTATCTGGTGGAATGCCCGGATCGACGATTTGAACTCGCTTCCCTGTGCCATGCAAACCACCTTTCCGCAAAGATGACTTCTTCATAAGCTCAACTCCACCGTAAGTGGCCGTGAGGAGCTGCCCGTTTTCCTTATTGGCTGTATCGTTACCGGTTTTGATTGTCGGTCGTTTTGGGCGTTGTACTGTCTCTTTCCGCTTCAAGGATAATGGTCTTGTTGGAAATCGGATAGTGATAGGTGGACTAGCGGCACAGGTCTCTTTGTTGATGTGGTTTAGTTGGGTAAGGCCGAGATTCATTGGAGCAAAGGGAGTTGGAACAGGACTTGATTCTGATTCTCCTGACATGGTGCGGTCTTCAAATATCTCCTGCATCAGAGCAAGGTTCGGCGAGATGACGCCTTGCGGACTGGCGGACGTGTTAGTATTGATTGGGCCACCAGTTCTAGCATGCAAGACCGATAGGTGCTCCAACACTTGCGTGTAAAACGCCTGAACCTTGGGATCTTCCGTCTCAGGAACAGTAAGAGGCAGAAGCGGTGAAGCATTACGGGTAATAGACTGTGGTCTCAGAGCATTCTCGTCGAGTGAAGATTTAATGTCGTCTTCACTAAAAGTCGAAGGCACCAAATGAGAAGGTCTTTCTCGTGGAATAAACGAAGCGTCGGATGATGCAGCTGAAGTCGCTCCCCGAGGCCTTCCACCGCGAGCGGCCCTACGAGGGGTTGGAGGCCCATCGCGAGAGGGCATAGAGGAAGGTGACGGTAGCGATTCAACGTACCTTCCACGTCGAGTTGCTCTACGAGGAGTAGGGGGGCCGTCGCAAGAAGGGACGGGGGATGTAAATGTTTGTATGCCAGCTTTTTCCTTCTTGAATTTAGCTGCACGATTAGCTTCTGCTCGAGCCCTGGCCTCCTTGTGCATTCGCTTACGCTCGATTTCGGCCACCTGCTCGTCGTATTCCTCTAACCGCTTCCTGCGATACTCGAATAGCAGATAGTATGCGCCTTTCTGCCAGTTTCGATCTGGATTGACAAGACTATTCTTCAATTCCTCGTCCGGAGCCTCGCGCCACAGTGTACGAAGGCTTCGCAGGAGTTCGAGGTCAATGTCGTCAATCGACTTCAAAGGCACAGAGATTGTCTCGAGGCTAGGAATACCGCCGTAGGTGATCTTGGGCTTCTCGGACAAGAAGAAGGGGTGTCGTTGAATTTTGGACATCGTGATTCTCTCTTGAACATTCTTGGTTAGCATCCTTGAGATCAAGTCTTGAGCATCGGAGTCGAGGCCAGTGGGAAAAGGCACTTCCGCATGTATGATTTCATCCTTCAGATCATCGTCATTCTCGGGGTTAAATGGAAGGCTGCACGTCAAGAGAGCAAAGAGAATGATGCCGCAAGACCAGACGTCGGCCATTGGTCCATTGTAGTTTCCATAGCCTGTCACAACCTCAGGAGCACAGTAGTGAAGACTCCCGCATGCAGTGCGGACAATGGAGTCTGGTTGGAAGCTCGCGAGCCCAAAATCAGCGATTTTGATATTGTTATCCGAATCTACGAGGATATTCTCGAGTTTGAGGTCTCGGTGCGATACGTTGAAACGATGACAATAGCTAACAGCGAGGATGATCTGCTGGAAGTATGATAGTGCTTGAGATAAAGGAATGGACTTTTGACCAGATTCTATTGCTTTGGATAAGTACTCGAGGAGTTCTCCACCTTGGACGTATTCAAGGACTAGAAAGAGTTCATCAGGCAAATCCCAGACATCGTAAAGTTTCATGATATTCGGATGCTCGATGAGTTTCATTAGGACAACTTCTCGCCGAAGAGACTGTTCTTGTCGTTCTGCTTCGGCTCCAGCAAGGTTCAGTCCTTCAACACGAGAGGCTAATAGATTCTTGGGAATGATCTTGATGGCGGCCATTTGTCCCGTTTTAGCGTGTCTTGCAATTCTGACACGACCTACAGTCAAATTTATTAGACGAATGTATCTCGCGCAACGTTGGATGGCAACCTGAGGCTCCTTGACCAAGAATCCTCCCAAGTTTCCAATAGCCCAGCTGCTTGGGATCGTTGGTTTTGCGTGGAGCACGAGGAAGATCGGATAGAGACATGATAGTAGGATGTGGATAGTGGATATTGTGTATGAATAGGCAATGGCGATAGGGAATAGAGGTGCTTGGGTTTGTGAGGTTGTGGAGGAAAAGAGAGCCTCGGGACGCTCCGAAGAAATATCGGAACCATTTCCGCAGCATTACTTACCTAAGCCGCGTACCATGACGCGGTAAGCGCGTGACTCCAACCCCCTCGTTCTAATTCTCCTTGAATAGAGTTGTTTGCGAAAACATACGCTTGTTTCATTGTTGATTGCTAACATTCATATACACAAGCATGCAGCCTACACCAGCCCCTACGACACCTCCTCAATCACCTCCACCGGATGAATCACCTTTTCCACCTGCGCCACAAAATAGCAGAGGGCCCAGTCCTCCCTTTGGCGCTCTTGTTGGACTGTTTGAGCGTTTGCAGAATGAGAGGAAACAGGATAAAAGAAAGAAGCTGCTCAATGCTTGGTTTAATGTATGACTTCTTATACTACAAAGAACAATATTATCATTCACACTCCCACGTAGCATTGGAGATCCGAAGTTGGAGATGATTTATTCCCCGTCCTCCGATTAATTCTGCCCCAGGTAGACTTCCTTCGTTACGTTTCGAAATTGTTCTCCGCTCAACGATAGGTGACAGAAAGACCGCGACCGAGCTATCTATGGTTTGAAGGAAAAAAATCTCGCCAAGATTTATATAAAGCTCATTCCCTTAAACAAGAACCATGATGACGCCAAAAGACTAACAGACTGGAAGAAGCCACAGAACAATGTACATTTAGTCCGCTCCACACACGAAAAATTCACTGATAAAGAGTTGTAGAAAGCTTCTTCCGCAGGAGATTTTCCAGGCATCCTTTGGGATGTTGTACATAAACGATCCTCAGTAGTCGAAGGAACCTTGAACATTCAAGAGCTCAATGACTTGCTCGACGAGTTGTCAAATTCTATGGGGAAGCAGTACGTGCTACAATAATGATATTGGTTGGGCCGCTAATATACTTGGAAGAGACGCACAAATGAAAATTCTTCAGCGTGTGTACAACCGTACTACGGCAGAGGAGCAAAGATGGATCATTCGGGTCATTTTGAAAGGTACCTTCAACTGACCTTGACACTTTGGAGTCTTATTGCGTCCAAGATATGATCATCTCGGTGAAGGAGACAACTGTTTTTTCAGTATTTCACCCCGATGCACAAGACTTGTACAATGCGTGTTCCGACTTGAAGAAAGTTGCATGGACGCTATACGATCTCAATCACCGTCTCAATGCCGATGTTCGTTGATGTCATCCTCAATTTTCACTGGCTAATCGGCGTATTGTAGGACAAGACGGTACGATTATTCCAGGCATTCACACCTATGCTCTGCAAACGCCCAACAAAAACTCTCGAGCATACCGTCAAAGAGATGGGTGGCACAGAGTTTTTGATCGAAGAAAAACTTGATGGTGAACGTATGCAGATACACAAGAGAGGCAACGAGTATTTTTATTGCTCTCGGTTGGTACCGTCTGCTTGTTCGGTGTACGCCTTATTTATCGCGTTCAATCGATCAGCAAGGGCAAGGATTACACTTACTTGTACGGCAAACATCGGGGAACGGGGAGTTTAACCCGTCACCTCAACGACGCGTTGGATGACCGCGTTGATAGGTGAGCAAACTCTCCTCTTAACGGAGATTGAGCTTTGTTTATTGACCTTCTCTACTACCATCTAGCATCATCCTGGATGGCGAAATGCTCGTCTGGGATCCAGTCTCGGAACGAAATTTGCCCTTTGGGACCCTGAAAACCGCTGCACTGGGTGAGTTGTCATTCGATATTGGATTCCAGGCAAGCTTGATGATATTTTTCCCAGACAGATCCAAGAAGGAGAATAATCCTCGACCCTGCTGTATGTTCTCAAAACTTTGTAAGAGGCCAGACTACTGACTCATCGCGTATTAGTCAAAATCTTCGATATGCTATATCTTAACGGACAGTCACTTCTGGAAAAATCAACGACATTCCGAAAGAAAAACATGCGCGCATGTTTGAAGGAGATTCAGGGACGTGTCGAGTTCGCCACCGAATACAAGGGCAAAACTTCCAAAGATGTGAAATCGAGGATGGAGGATGTTATGGCTGCACGGGGTGAAGGGCTTGTTATCAAGCATCCACGATCCAAGTACGTACTGAACGGTAGAAACTCTGATTGGATAAAAGTGAAACCCGAGTATATGGTATGTTTTCAGTGCCCGTATTGATCTGGTGGCCCTGCTGACGGAAATGTCTGTAGGAAGGTATGGGGGAGACGGTCGATGTCCTGGTGGTTGGTCAGTCCTCGGTCGTCGAACTCAATGTTTGCACGACCCTCATAGCTCATTTTCGCACCTTGTTCCAGCCGGGAATTACGGTACTGGCTCACGCGCTGGAGGAGTCTCCACACTTATTTGTGCTGTGAGAGATGACAGGCGAGCAGATGACGAAGATGGAGCAGACCGGTCAGATCATGGCTTTAGAATGAGTTCAGACCGTGGTCATTGACCTTTCCGCCGTATTTTAGGTACAGCACGTTTGTCCGTATTGGGACTGGTTTGTCCTTTGCCGACTATGCTTGGATTCGTTCCAAGCCCTGGAAAGTCAGGGATTCCAAGAACCCGCCTGAATGGTTGCAGACTTCCAAGAAATCCCAGGAAGACAAAGGAGACATGTATCTGGAACCAGACGAGTGCGTTTTCGAATTTTACCCAATTCCACTTCCCAGAGTGTCTGAAGGTTCCGTATTCCAGTTCATTTATCTTGAAAATTAAAGCGGCCGAAATAGTTCCTTCTGGTATGTATTCAAAGGAATTTTTATAACGGTAGTAACTGTTGCCCACAGAGCAATACCATCTCGGCTACACGATGCGTTTTCCTCGAGCGTTGATCATCAGAGACGATCTCGACGCTTCGGATACTTTGACTGCTTCCGGTGAGTATGCAGTGCAAATTTCTCTGCAGATACGCCGCTAACAAATTTCTTCCCACAGAACTTTTGGAATCTATTCGTTCTGAGAAGAAACGTAAAATGGAGGACACTACTGGGTATGCGATATGTTTTGCGTCACTCGCGGGGTTACTGAGAAAGAACGAAAACAGCGTGGCCAAGAAGAAACGCAAAGCAGTAACGAAGAAGGTAGGTTGTGTCCCTGCAAAGCATGCCCCCTCGTTGATGATACGTAGATCGAAGTTCTTCCAACTTTTCAAGGTCCGAAATTGAAGGATGTCAACATTTTGACCGACATCTTCGAAGGTCTAACATTTGGTATGTTTTATTGCAGCGTGTATATCTTTCGCCTGTATCTAATTCACTAAACTACAATGTTCTATAGTGGTTATGACTGATAAGCGGACGAAAGACACGGAGAAGAATGAATTAGTCAAAATGTGCAGTTTGTGTTGATTTACCAAAGGTCCTAACCATGACTAAAATCACACTTTGCCCAGAATTCATGAAAATGGTGGCAAGCGTGCGCAAATTGCTGCGAACCATGGGTCCCAGGACTTGATAGTAGTGTACAAAGGACGTGAAGATAGCATCCGTAAGTGTGTCATCGTAGCTGCATTTGGTGTCGTCTGTTCCCCGCCCAATTAAACTAATCGGTTATATTCCAGCGCGTGATGTGCAAGTGGTGATGGAAAAGGGGGTATACGACGTTGTGAAACCTGAATGGATTATTGACTCTGTTACCCTCGGACACAGGGTACCCTCCAAGAGCAAGTGTGTTTGTTTGATGTGTGCTCATTTCCGTTCAACCTATCAATGAGTTCTTCTAGATATTTCATTGACGCTTCTAAGTCCGGTGTAGAGACGGATGGGTATAAAGCTGATGAACCTGTGCAAGATGATCAGGACGAGGATATGCCCGAGGGAGATGAGTCGAGCAGTACTGTCGTTCGCGCCGAGACCGAGGCTAGATCGCAGACAGCAGCCACTGAGATAAAAGAGGAGTATGAGCAGGATGAAAAACATGCGGATTGGTTTCACCTTGATATAACGGATACTCAAAATCTCGAAATCGGGAAAGAGAGCGACTCCGAAACTGAGGATGACTCTGACAACGCAGACGTTGCAGGCGAGGACATTGCTGACGACAATATCGACGACTGGGACAAGTTGGATGCCGACGACCTGCCTTCGGCCCCCCTTCCCATGGATGAGGATATTGATGTGGCAAGTTTATTTATTCTCTGATATACACAGACAGCGGTTCAAGTTGACTGACAATTGATAACAGGACCAGAATAATGTTCCAATGGGGGAGGATGACGGGGCCATGGAGTACGACCCGGTCGTCATATTCAAACACCTGTAAGTCTCTGGATGGCACGAACTGAGGAGCTTCATACTGACTCCACACTGAAGGTGTTTTTATCTTGATTCTCCGCAGAACGCGGCACGACAAGGGATGGCGGTCAAACCAAAATACGAACAAGAAATCAATCAAAGGTCAGTTGATTTACTTTGTCCCATTTGTGTTTACTTATGCAAGTTTGACCTATACAATATAGTTTCGATGTACTGAGAGATGTAATCATATCGCACGGAGGACGAATCGTTAATTGGGACGACCCCAAACTTACTCACATCTTGATCGACAAGAGGGATACGAGTCGTCGTTTGGAACTTATGAAGAGAACTTCAACGTTTGTATTCTTCGTTCTCTTCTTGCCTCCTGTTTCTTAACGAAATGGGGTATAGCCCAAAACACCGGCGGCTGATCGTCTCCGATTATATCCAAGCTTGTGTTGATGAGGCAACGCTTTTGAATGAAGAAGGTGAGTGTGTGTTCACCATCACCTCTTTTAGAGATATTCTTGAACTGACCGGGGATCTGGCTAAACTTGTAGACTTTGTACCGTAGAGGCTACTTGTTTAAATTTTGGCCTGTATCTAGATGTAGTTGATGGACATTCGAAATAAGACTTTTAAGACAAATGGCATTGACGCCTTCGTAAATTCGGGGCGGAGTGGCCGGTCGGGTTGATCTGAAATTGGCATCATTACATTTTCACCCTCTCACCTCTTTTACCCCCTTCGTCGCTATCGACGGTTTTAGGGTTAACCTTCTCGCTGAATAGCGAGCACTACCCATTTTTACTGTTCTATTTTTTTCGTCTTCTGGAACGACACACGGGTGTTGCTATTTTTGCAGGTCTCACCCACCCTTAAATCATGACCACCTCTGGCGGATACCATTCACCCATCTCTCAGCTGCTCACGACTCTTGGGCTTACTAGGGAAGATCTGCAGCAACGTAGCGATGAAATGCGACAGTTTTTGACTGCGGAAAATAGCCAATCTTCACGCGTCGGGCCCCGTGGCAGAGCTGATAGTACCAGCTCACATATCAGCTCTCTGTCCAGGTCAAATAGCATTTTCTCGACTTCTGCACCCTCTCTTTCTCGTGCAAGTTCTATTTCCTTTAGAGACGCGTCGCCTCCTGTCACACCTGTAAAATTAGAGGCTACTGAAGCTGGACTCCCGGAACGTCAGTTCGACAGCATGGATGTTATCATCGAGCGACAGAGGCAGGCGAGGAAGGAGAAAAGACAGCGAAGAGGAAAGGAAAAGGATTCTCAACGAAGAGTTTTTATGTCAAATGGATCACCGACACCAAGCAGCGCGTCGAGCCGCAATCTGATCATCGACTCCCTTTTGCAAAGACGCGACGATGATCAAATGGACGTGCAGGATCAGCTGGAGACTTTGACCCGTTCCTCTATGGAGGCGAGTCAATTTGATGTGGATTTTACTGAAATTTATCTCATTTATTGTTCTAAAGGCTCGATCACCACCGCCTCTTACCCCTCAGCAATCGAGGTATTACAGAGAACACACAGTCTCTCAATCAAAAATGGTGCGCTCTCGTGTACATGCCGGGTTGGCACACTTGTTAATTAATCTGCTTCAGGTTGTTCCGAAAGTTGAATCGCCTGTCCAGACACCTGTTCTTTCGCAGCAGCTTGCTCCCCAGCAGCCGAAGCCTTTTTATCCCTTACCTGACACCGTTAGTCTCACTGCTCTCCAAACTTTTCAAGCCAGTGTCTCTGGTCCTCCAGTCACTCCGCACATCCGACGAGTTCAGACTTTGAACGAAATCGCAGAACGCTCTCCTCTTCCTCCTTCTTCACCGTTTCTCAATTCTCCCCAGTCATCACCTGTCCGCCCTATCGTAAACCTCGTTTCGTCTCCAGGCCCAATGGGACCTCCACCTGAAGAAGAATCATACGGAAAACTTCCCTATACGCTACCTTCAGGGCCGTATTCACCAAATAAACCTGACCTTTCCTATGCAGCTCTCCTTGGTCAAGCTATCCTGTCTTCTTCCGATCATCGTTTGACTCTGCAGGAGATTTACGATTGGATAACCATTGTTTATCCATTTTTCAAACGTGGGGAAACTACATGGATGAATAGCATCAGACATGTCCTAAGTACAACCGCGTGTTTCCGCAAGGTAACACGCGACCGTGCGCTCGGTCGTACTCAGTGGGCAATCTGGGATGAAGACCTTGAATGCTTCAAAGGTGGAGGGTTCCGAAAACAATTCTGTAAAGACATGAATGGCGGCAAGACTGGATCAGAAGCTAAGACTAAACGAGGCCGGAAACAGGTGGAAGACAGCGATGGCAGTGCTGAGCCCAAACCCAAGAAAGTCAAAAAGGATAACAATCTCAAAGATTCTGACAAGGGTGATCAGCGCGCTATTGCTCCTGCCACCGCAATCTTCCCACCCACACGACCTGCTCCTCCCCTTCAACCATACCGGGGAGCTTCCGTTGCGAAAAATCTAACCTCCGAAGTTGTATTTCCACCTTTACCAGCCGAGTCAGGCTTTCGTCTACTTCCCGTCCATCCGTCGTCGAGTTCTAATTCACGAGCGAACTCTCACTTTGATACAGATGATGGAATGCGACCTTCATCGCCCACACCCTCTGTCCTCGAATCACAATGCACAGACCCTTCCTCCACCTCGTCCGTTCCGGACCTTACACCCAATCTTAGCTCTTCTAGTCCCCCGCAGTCAAGCAACGAGATGGAGCTTGAAGCTCCTATTGAAATCATTGATGGGCCCCTATGTTTAGCTCCGTCAGCGACAGTCGCTGGTCTGGACAGTGAAGAGGAAGACGGTTTTCAGAATATGTTTTCGTCCAGCAAGTCATCTACCAAGTTGACACCCGTGCAGTTCTGGGGCGATTCGCCGCGAATCAAGGAACTCTCAAGTCTTGGCGGTAAACTCAACTTCACCGTACCAGCCCTCAGCCAATATGATGATGACTCGGAAGACGAAGGGATTCTGTTCAACGCTGTCAGAAACAAAAACAAATCTATGTTAGCTGTAAGTTGATGCCTATTCGCCTTCATGGTCTGTACTCATTGTATCAACAGGAGCCGTTTGACCGATTACCTCCCTCACCTACAAATAGAAGGCCTGCGACGAAAGGTCGCAAGTCCAAGGTTGCTGCATCCAAAGCACGAGGTTTAAGGCCTATGCGGCTTTCTACACCGCCACCTCGGGATAATCTGACCACTCCTCCCCCGAATCAAACCCTTGAGATTTCCCCGGTCCGCACTCCTCTGTCTCATAAAGGCTTGCATATGAGTCCCACCGCGAGTCTTGCCCATTACAAGTCTCACCTTGACCCACCTCCGACGCTACAATTCGACCAATCATCCTCTGGTGGTGCACCGTCCACGCCAAAGAGATCATTGGCTTTCCCTCTTTTAGATGATTCTCCTTTCCGAACCTCGCTTATCGGTATGTCTCCCTTCCGTACACCCGGCTCGAGTGGTCTTTTCGATCCTCACGATCCTCGTGCGCTCCTCGATGAGGAGTTCCGTAGAATGGGCCCGGGTGGATTTGGCGAAACCAGTCCTGCGTCAGGCCTGTTTGGGAAGGAGAGGCAGCTGTTGTACGATAGTCCCAGTGGGCTGGATAGCAGTCCTGGAAAGTACAAACGATGGTGGTGATGCAATGAAGCTTTCAGAGCTCTCCCCATCTCAAATCACTGATCTTTTACGCGAATGTGACAAACAGTGTGCCTCTGGTTTGGAACCGGGTTTTGTATTGATATTATGAATTGTCATGGTTTTATCTTGTCTTGTATGTTTTTTTATCTGTGCTAGTGATATCTGTCCCCCTCCTGTTGTCTTCTTGTCATTATCTGCTATATGACGTCTGCTCCAGACTGTAGTCGTATTCATTATATTGTCTAGCGCTATCCTTTCTCCTCTTCCGAACCCGAACGATCTCTAGTAGTTAAGTTACTTACATACTTATGTATTTCGTGCCATTGAATATCATCGCTTTGACCATTGGGTGACTTCCCGCTGCAATTATTCTGCAGTTAACCTGCAGTTAACTATTAACGGTATTTGATGCGACGTACGGACTGTTGATGGTACCCTCGCTTACACCAAAAACCAGTTTACAACAGGGTAGGGAGGCCGTTGTAAGTTGGTTTTGATGCAGTTTTTGAGAAGCCGCTCTCCGGCCATCTTCGCTTAGGTTCGCTTATATTGGTGGCACAAATTAATTGTCTGGTGTCCTGCAAATAATTCCTACGGGAAGTCATCCATTGATGCGACAAGAAAATTGAAGTTAGGCGCCCAAATTTTTTTCAACTTGGCCCTCATGTCGAAGCCCATCGGTACACATCGGACTCTATGCTCAATGTTCATTCCATCTAAAACACAATTTGAACAGCTTTATTGTCGGTTTACGACAAAGCGAACCTGATCGAATTTGCGAAAGGCCTCGATGCTGCAGGTATCAAACTGCTTGGCTCAGGTGGGACTGCAAAAAAAATAAGGGAAGCTGGTATTCCTATTGGGTAAGCCTCGACGCAATCATTTTACAATTTACTCTAATTGTCCACAGTGATGTATCGGACATAACTAAGGCGCCGGAGATGTTGGGAGGTAGAGTGAAGACTCTCCATCCTGCAGTCCACGGTGGTATGTTCATAAGTCCTCGTGCAATTGAAAATGTTCATTCCTCACGTTATATACTTAGGAATTCTTTCCAGGAACATTCCGTCTGATCAGGAAGATCTCAATGCTCAGAACATTGAACCCATTTCAATCGTCGTCTGCAACTTATATCCATTCACATCCACCATTTCCCAGCCTAACTGTACACTCGCGGATGCTGTCGAGGAAATTGATATCGGTGGGGTAACTCTTTTGCGTGCAGCTGCAAAGAATCATGAGCGTGTCTCTGTACTTTCTGATCCTGCTGATTATGCCGAATTTCTGGAAGCATGGAATAACGGCCAGGGAGACGTCGGGAAGGCGATCCGCAACAAACTAGCTCTCAAGGCATTTGAGATGACAGCAAAGTACGATGATGCAATTAGTGGATATTTCCGCGAGCAGTATGCCTCTGGAGATTTGCCAGAAGAAAAACTCGCTGGACCTGTTCAGAGAATTCCTCTGAGGTATGGCGCCAATCCTCATCAGAAACCTGCCCAGGCATATGTTACCGAGGGAGAGTTGCCATTCAAAGGTCTGTCTCTACATATACATATCTAACTTCATGCTAGTAACACCCATTTCGTAGCTTTGCGTGGTTCACCTGGGTACATTAACCTTTTAGATGCACTGAACTCATATGCTTTGGTTAAGGAGCTACAAGAAGCCCTCAATCTTCCCGCCGCTGCCTCTTTTAAACACGTATCGCCAGCCGGTGCCGCCGTCGGCATCTCACTCGACGAGACCGAGAAAAAGGTCTACGGAGTAGACGACCTAAAGGAATCACTTACTCCATTGGCTTGTGCCTACGCTCGCGCTCGCGGAGCAGACAGGATGTCTTCCTTTGGCGATTTCATTGCACTTTCTGCACCTTGTGATCTTGCTACTGCAAAAATTATCTCTCGAGAGGTGTCCGATGGTATCATCGCCCCCGGATACTCACCCGAGGCTCTCGACGTTTTGAGCAAGAAGAAAGGGGGAAAGTACTGCGTGCTTGAGGTATGATCTAAAATCTTGCCGTGAATAACATTGCCTCAATGTCATCCAAGGTTGACCCTAACTACGAGCCTCCAGAAGTTGAGACCAAACAGGTCTTTGGTATTTCTCTGCAACAGCGGCGGAACAATGCAAAAATTGATGCTAGGTTATTCGCTGATATCGTCACTGTGGAGAAAGAAGTACGTGGCAAGCTCTATCTCATTCGTATTTATAGTCTTATCCTACCTATCAGCTTCCTTCATCTGCGCAAACAGATCTCATCCTTGCCACTCTTGCCCTCAAATATACGCAATCAAACAGTGTAGCTTATGCTCGTAACGGGGCAATCATCGGTCTCGGAGCTGGGCAACAGTCCCGTATCCACTGTACCCGTCTGGCCGGTGGAAAAGCTGATCTATGGTGGCTGCGCCATCATCCACATGTTCTCGCTTTGCCGTTCAAAAAAGGCGTGAAACGTGCAGAAAAAGCCAACGCTATTGATCTTTTTGTTAGTGGTGAAATACTTGAAGGGGGAGAGAAGGAGCATTGGGAAAGCCTGTTTGAAGGTTCAGTGCAAGGCCTGACTGATGCTGAGCGGAAGGAGTGGGCAAGCAAGCTTGAAGGAGTGGCTTGTTCGAGCGATGCATTCTTCCCCTTCCCTGATAACGTCCATCGTGCAAAGAAGAGTGGAGTGAAGTACCTTGCTGCTCCTAGTGGAAGCGTCATGGACACTGAATGTATCAAGGCCGCAGATGAGCATGGAATAGTCTTCGCGCATACTTCGTTAAGGTTGTTCCACCATTAGTGCTTGCTTTTACTCGGCGTTTTCTTGATGTTCTCAATAACATTATATTACTATGTGTATCGATCGATGATTATTCATGACTTATGCCGCCAGATATGTCGGTTCACCCCGATTCAGACAGATTCAAATATGTATGATGAATGTTGTGCTTCTTGGCTTTATTTCCGACTCTCTCACGTTTTTGGGTTTTCAGATGGAACTCAATGATCAGATATTGGAAGTCAGTCACAGAATATGGCCCAGGAAGGCTATAGATCGGCCTTCTTTCTTCTTTCTATCGTCCCTGAGGGTGCAGGATGGATGCCAACGTTAAACTGAAATTCATGACTGCACCCGTCTGCACCCGCGCTCCTCGAAGTAAACTTCAGTATCATGACAGATCTCTGGCCACGACTTAAGAATTCAGTGGACGCGATCTACTTCGATCATCGAACGTTCCTGTAGATGTCAACAGCAAGACCTGAAGAGATCAAGGGAGGATGAATCCAAGGGAATGCAGATGATCTTGTTTCGTAAACTCAAGGAACGGCAATCTAAGCTCAGCTCAGGTTTTTGCCCTCATCGCATTGGGTCGCAGTGGTGACACGCCTTGAACTAGATATTGCTACATCACTAGCCGTCTTGAAGCGAACTCCCACACCCAGTATGAACTTTGTTGAAGAGATTCTGTTTCTCTGTTCCATTTCGATCGTCAAGCGCACGAAATCCCATAGTTGACCATTTGACGATCTATGATGAGTAGGGAATCTATGGACTGGGAGTCTATGTGTAGAAATTCTATTATGAGTTTGAGCTTCGTTTCCCATTGACTTATTCGGGAGCTGAGTTAGGGATTAGTGGAAATCTCAGCGGTTGAGCAATTTGGATCTAGGGCAGTATCTGCATTGGAAGGTGCTTCAGGTGATGGAATCTCATTATTCAATGGATCCTTGAGCCACGCTGCGATGAATTTTCGCCATGGATTTTTTGAGGGCACAAAATGTCCTGTAACGAAGGTTCTAATCAGGATGGCGGGCGAGGATTTGTCATCGCGGTGCGTACCGCCGTCATGCGTTTCGATTCTCCCGTTCGGTGTTACATCTGTCAAAAGCTTTGCTCTAGCAAACGGTATAATAGGGTCAGTCAAACCACATATGTGGAGTGTTGGTGTTGAAAAGCTTGAAGTAGGAGATAGGATTGAGGTTGAGAACGGGAAAGTGGGTAGGAATCCTGCTGCACAGACGCATAGAGATCTATTATGGGGGCGTCAGGGAATGATGTTATATGGAGGTGAAGTTTGATGTACAGTTGTGGGTGAGGAGCTTTGCCATCGATGAGAAATTCGGAAAACTTGGATGGGTCTTCAAGCAAGGTTGTAAGAACCGCTCCCATAGCTGCACCTTGACTGATGAACCGACATGAGTAAAGGGATACTAAGAACGACCTCGATTGCACCTGAACCCGAAAACGCCATCGAACACCTTTCCATCATCCACATTTTCTTTCAACAAATCTCTCAAAAAGACCAGAGAGGTCTCCATTCCAGTGGAAATTGTTTTATCTTTGTCGGCGAATTTCCACCATCCCCGCAATACAGCATTCGGATCCTTTAACGGATCTGCATTTGCTTCGGGCTCCGATGGCTCATTATCGAATAAATCTTCAGGCTGTAAAACATGGGGAGCATCAACAAACACTGGATCGAAGATACTTCAGTTGTGAAATGAATGTCACCAAGAGGAAGTAAAGACACACCGAATTCCACAGTACTCTTGCACTGTTTCCGCAAAGCCGATAACTGCGTAAGGATAAAGTGTATTGGGCTGGATGGCTCGAATTAATCAAGGATCGAGATACCCACTCTCTTGCTGAAAATGTATCCATTTTGCGCATAACTGGCCACGGCTTGTCATTGCATTCATATATGAATGGCGATGTCGTGACTTACCCGTGAAGAACAAGGATTCGTTTTAAGGCCGTTGAAGACATACTGTAGCCGTAAAAGTTCACGAAACGTACGAGAATCGGAAGTTGAGCGTGGAAAATGGTGGACAACGGTGGAAGAAAAGATATGAGTTGAGTGGGTTATTTTTGTTCCGAGTGCATCCATTGGCTACTTGTCACTAGGAGGGTCTGGATGAGTCGACTCGTTCAAAGGTAGAAGGTTCAGCAATGTTCTTCACGTTGTACACGTACGGAAAATATTAATTGTAAATACGGCGTCGCGTTTGATAGAAAAACCGAGATGAGAATCATGGATAATAAACAGCATAGCAGCAGGCAACTCTACTGAGCATAGCTCACCATGAGATTTTTCGCGTCTGAGCCTACCCTTAACTCGTTCAATAGGGGGGATTAAGCTGAATAGGCTAAGATATACCCACACTGCAGTTACGCATGACACAGTGGACTTAAAAAGCCCAAACTACTTGCAATTTCTATGTTATCTCCCACCACTTGCGCCTATCGCAAAGCATTGCCTACTTTCTTCCCCTCCATCCATTGAAGACTATATCATGGCACCGAGGATTGCAATCATTATCTATTCGATGTTCGGCCATATTGCAAAGAGTAAGCTTTGTGCAGAGTTGACTGGGGTTAGATCTGGCTCTGATGAATGATGAATGCGCATTTTCGTTCACGTAGTGGCCGAAGCTGTAAAAACTGGCGTAGAAAATGCTGGTGGATCTGTCAAAATCTTCCAGTATGTATATGTTATAGTCATCTTAACCCACGCACGCTTAATCTCAGTCAAAATATCTAGGATTCCAGAAACGCTTCCCCAAGAGATTCTGGACAAGATGCATGCTCCTGAGAAGCCCAATTACCCCGTTATCAACGTAGACCAACTCACTGAATTCGACGCGTTTTTATTCGGTATTCGTGAGTGAAGACTCGTTGGGTTTTTCGAATGTACTCAGTTCCTGATTTCTCTTTACCTTTAGCTACCCGGTATGGCAATTTCCCTGCTCAGTGGAAGGTTTGTCTTCATTTTTTGATACATTTATACGGACCTTTCTAATCGTTTCAGACATTCTGGGACGCCACTGGCGGCCTTTGGGGTAAAGGAGCTCTCGCTGGAAAATATGCTAGCGTTTTTTTCTCTACCGCTTCACCTGGAGGAGGTCAAGAGTCTACTGCCATGAACGCCATGTCGACACTTGTTCACCATGGAGTGATCTTCATACCCTTGGGATACTCTGTTGCTTTCGCGCAGTTGACAAATATGGAGGAGGTTCGCGGCGGTAAGCGTATATTACATTTTTACCCATTCCTCTTTGCATTGATTTAGCACTGTTCTACCTCTGATCTTTTTAGGATCTCCATGGGGCGCGGGTTGTAAGTCTTCCGAATCAGAGCGCGTTCGCGATCTTCGGTTTGTATTCTTAGTACTTCACACCCTGTAGGTTTTGCCGGACCCTCTGGGACGAGACAACCGTCGGCTTTAGAGCTCGAGATTGCAACTATCCAAGGTGAATTCCACTTCAAATCTTGAGTGTACTTTCTAGTTCAAGTCGTCTAAACTTGTCATAGGGAAACACTTCTACACGACCGTTTCCAAAGTTAACTTCTAGGAAAGTAGCAACGACGTCTTCTAGGTGTTTGAATATCATCTACCATCAATCTTGGTTGTACCCGCAAACGCTATAATTATTTTATGGACTGCCATGAAGAGAGATTGAATCAATTCTATGTATGTAGAGTGTAAATATAGGCTGCGTATTGTTAGATGAAAAGCAAAGTGTAAGATGTGGCTAGATGGCTGGCTACCAATGTCGTTAAAGGAGCCAATTTCAGATTTGATGGTGGATGAACTTGGTCGGGTCATCAAGTAACACAATATCAACCTCCACCAACTGCAAGCAAATATAACCACATAAAGTAACTTCAACCATACTAGTACGCAGTCTAACAGTCCGGACTGGCATGTATCAATGATATATTTCGAAAGGAAATATTTGTTTGCTAGTGTATACCACTGGCAGCCCCCGAAATATTCCTTGCCGTCCTAAGTGTTATGAGTGTTGGTGACTTACTCATTATCAACGTATCGCAAAAGGTTTCCTATATATCATGCAAACCCCATCGCAGAGGGCCTCCAGCGGCTGATGTCGCACGTAATTCATCAATTTATGCAAGCGCCAGTTTCAGCGCTTCAGCTCACCGTGCGAATAAGAGTGCAGTCAAAAAAGAGCTTGACGGTAGCTACGACGAGCAAATGGGCCATGTGCAACGACGACTCGCATCTACGACGGCGAAGTTAGCATCTTCTCTCTCCACCGCACATCTACAGAAATTTCCTCCAAAAGAGCTTCTCTTTGTGAAAGGCAGAGAAATTCCGACAGCGACCATTGACCCGGAAACCTGGGCTTCCTTACAACCTCCTCCACCGACCGCTTTATCTGCATTCGCCCACAGAATAGGCCTTTCTTCTGTCCTCACTTCAACAGAAGTCATACAGCAAGTATGCACTCACCCCTCTTTCCTCCAGCATTTTAAACAACATAAACCGCACGAGCAAGAACCGGCGACGAATGGTCAACTTGCCGCAATAGGGAATTCATTAATGGGTCTTTTTGCAACGGAATATGTTAGAGCAACATATCCTTACCTTCCAACGCGTGTCATGAAAGCCGCTGTCACTGCCCATGTGGGGCCATTGCCTTGTTCAAATGTTGCGCAAGAAATGGGTGCAACTCCTTTGCTACGATGGCATAGATCAGTGCGTGCTAGCTTGTAAGCTTATCCCTCTTTACTAAAACTTCGCATAGCGTGGTACACTGTTGAAACCTGGTGTTCTACATTCCGACGCGTTAGCATCAATACCAAGAGCGCTCACTGCTCTTGTGTATCAACGACGTTCTCTTCCATCTGCCCGACAATTCGTTCATTCCTATTTCCTTAGTCGAGAAGTGGACTTACGTGGAATGATCAAGTTTCTTGACCCAAAGAAGGCACTACTGGAGATGGTGAAAAAATTTCAACGGGAGCTTCCAAAATCTAGGTGAGTATAAGAACGGAATGCTCACAATCTTAGCTTTGCTGATATATACATATCACAGATTATTAAAAGAGACTGGTCGTTATTCAAATTCACCTGTCTTTGTCGTTGGCATATTCTCGGGAGAGGACCAACTGGGAGAAGGCTTCGGAAGTTCACTGAAAATGGCGGAATATCGTGTACGTATACCAATTTGGAATACTATACTAGACCTTTCTTATTCTTTCACTCCAGGCCGCGGAAGACGCACTCCTTCGTGTTTACCTTACACGGACACCACCACATCTCATTCAGCTGCCGTCACAAACATTCCCTATGGGTGTTGGCGATGTCTACAGGAAAGCTCCAGAAGGTGACTACAAATCTGCGGATCTAGTCGAATCGGAGATCATGTATGCCAGCTCGGGCAACAGCTTTACACGTAGCTCATAAATCCTAATCACGACTCTAATCTTGGATAAATCTGTGGTGCTATATTTCTTGAGTATCAGTTATCCTACGGGTGAGATCTATATATTGAGAGCACGAAAGTCCTTCATGAAGCTCGACGTGACACGAACTACAAATCCACTTCCTACACGCCGGACAGTGGATAAGTGTTCCGGGACTTCCAACCCGGTAAACCATGGTGCAATCATGAGTTGGGCATAGTTTGTATTCCTCCGAGCGTTCCCAGACATGTGATAAAAAGGAATGTTCCAGGAGGTCATTCTCTTCTTGATTCGATAGTACCTTGCGAATAAGGCTATATGGGATGGGTGCGGAACAACGAGGTGTCTCTGCCTCTCCATCATTACTGTTGTCGAGATCAATGGCGGCGACGCACGCCATCTGAGTAAAATTTGGATTGATCAAAGACTTGAACCAGAGACCGAGACAAGGTTGGCAGAATTTGTGCTCACACCCCAGCAAGACGGGTTCCGCGACTGTCGAAAGACATAATCTACAAGACTGTTCATTCACGACCGTAGGTGAAGCGTCGTTCTCACGAGTGAGCTTGGAGATTGTCGCCCATTCTTTTTCGCGTTCGTCGACGCTTCCACGTATGGTTATGGTTCTGGACGAAAAGTCAAAATGAAGCTTATCGGATAAAGCAGCTTCGTTTGTGTAGCCCGCACGTATCATGTGACCCATACATGCGTCAGAAACGCCCATAGTGAGAACACAGCTTTGCACTTTAGCTAAAAATTTGTACAAAAGATCCTTTGCACGGGTGCGACGTTCCTTACTCCCAAAGGCCAGTACGTGCCGGTTCCGGAAGTCCCTTTCAATGAAGAAAGAGCCCGCATTCCGTGTGTTCATCAGATCGATCTGTTTGGTGCTACTCGGAAGATCGAAGTAGTCATCCCATAAAGGTTTGTTGTCGTCGTCTAAGATAATTTCACCCTCCATAAGCTGATCAAACTCTAGTCGGGCCCTCGCAAAGAGTATGGAGTCCGATCCGTATATTCGTAGCTCGAAGTCATCAGCTGAGTTCAGGTGTTCCTGAACTTTGATCCCCGGACCATGAATCGTTTGTAACGAGTTTATATCCGCACGCACAGAAGAGGCTTTCTCTTGAGGAAGGCAATAACACGAATAGAAAGTCTCCTGAACTTTCAAACGACCGCCACCTAGGAATGCATGCTCCGTGTCGTTCAGCGTGGCAATTGCGCGTGAGGCAACAGCAGCATCGGAAAATCGTGCAAAAACCATAGCGCGAGCCGTATTTGTGGGCGAGACTTCAACAGAAAACTCTTCGAGTTCTCCACAAGTCTGTAACAAATTTTCGAGCTGATGAGTGGGATTATCAGTGTAGGTGGGGGCAATCATTTCCACAAGAACAGAATTTTTGAAGAAGTCCATAAGTTTCTGTTTTTCGGTGGTTACAGCAAGTCCTTCAACCCTCAAAGGAAAGTGGGTCTGTTTTTTCAGCCGTGAATTCCGAGAAATTTTGATCTTCCTTCCGTTGAAAACTTCACCGTTCAAACTTTCTGCTTTCTTGAAAGAATCCATGCTTTCGAAATAAACCCACGCTGCACGACTCGGAGTAGGATAAGAAATTCTGACTGCAGAACTGGAATCGCTAGGGTGCCAGTTATAGATACTAGGCGCCCTAGAGTTTGGGTATGCGCGTAATGAAGTATTTGGTCCCAACCTCGAAGACTCATGGAGTTGCTTTGCAGCTTCTTCTGCTTCGTGTCGATCAGAGAACTTCACCTTTGCGTGATAGCAGGAGCCGCCTGTTTTCGGAAATTCGACTTGAATTTCCAGTACATTTCCAAACACGGTGACCAGGCTGGAAAACTCATCCTCGCTGAAAGATAGTGGTATGTCGAACACAAAGGTAGTATCGGATTCGAATGCGGTAAGGATTTGTTCGGGAGTTGCGTCCTGTCCGTATTTGACATCACAATGGAAGGATTGACGAATAATCGACGTTAAAGGCGACTAGTCGAACGAGGAATCGGTGTAGAACACTCAAAATCAGCATGCGGACGAAGCTATTTGAATCTAAACACCACTTACCATGTTATCTTCATTGTGATCGAAGCCATTTGGAACTGGTGCCTGAAAGGCGTTGATGTCGACCCACTGGAAAATCCAATTTAAAACTTACATCGATAGTGTCGTCGATTCCGACTGTCACTTCCGAACTTTGTCTCTCATCGTTATCCACAGAGATATGAGAGAATTCACAATTTTCACCAAATGGACAATACCCTTGGCCGAAAGCCTTGCAGGGTAATTTGCTATGAGGTTTGTGAGAGTAAGTTTCGGGGTCAGTTGGACCCCAATTGGGACCATTCCAGGCGTCGTCTGCTGCATCCCAGTTCATAGATGAATGTGTGTTGCCTGATGCCATCCCCCTGCTATCCTCCTCCGCAACCTCTTGAACGTGTTCATGTAGACGGTTGCTGGTCCCTTCCTGTCCGTTTGCGTCATGAGTCAGACTACTGTCATCGGAATCATTGGAGCCCGGCTGGGCGTCGACTACTTCCACTCCCTCTTCATCTGTAGTTCGTTCACGGTCTACTGGAGTGTCTCGGATGTTCTCAGTAACACTGGTTCCTTCAGTGACACCTGAATTAATAGGTCGGTTGCCGCCAGTATCAGTATTGAACTCTCCGGAAATCTCAGCAGATTCGGTAAAACCTCCGTCGGCATCATCTGGAGCGTCAGGCAAAGGACTGTCTATGTTGTCATTGGTATCCTCAGGAGCGTCCAATTCCTGGTGAACACCCAAATCCACGTCTGATCCTTCCTTGGGGATTGTACTTAGTAGATTGCTGCCATTTGGAGATACAGGATAATTCTCATTGTTATTATGAGCCCGAGACGAAGGCTTAGAGGTAATTTCATTCTCGTCGAGCCTTCGCGAGAGATCCGCTGAGATCGCATCTACAGTAGAGCGAGCTGAACTTTTCGGCCTCATCTTGTCAGAATCCAATGAACCGCCATTGTCCCAGCGACTTTTACGATCCTTGACCCACAGATGAGGTGGTGTTTCCATCCCTCTACGTTGAGACCCCGTCCCTCGAGGTTCCCTCGACAGGCTGGATGAACCAGATTGCGTCTCCCTTGACCTACTCGATGATTTAGAATAGGCTCCCTTGGGTCCCAGGAGATCTTTTCGGCGATTATTATCATGAGCTTTGCTAGTACGCTTTTCAGACCCCTTCTTGGTGGACAGTTCAGGTTCCGAAGATATTGCATTTCCCCAGCTTTCAACGTCCTCACCCCAGCTTTCGGCAGAAGGTGCTTTGTTGTCCCATTCGGACGTATTTGCAGGCTCGGCGGTCTCCTCTGTCTCACCCCACTTCACCGCGGAGTCTGATCCGCTTCCCCATCCGAAGTCGTTATTTTCTGGATCTTCTTGGTGGGTGTGGTCTTCTTGGTCAACAATGATGGAGGGGATGGGTCCGGGTTTATTGACAGCTGAGTGCAAAAATGGGCAATTGGCGCCTTTTTTACAGGAATTGGTTTTCCAAAAGTGGCATTCTCTCTTATTTTGAAGACTGTTTGCTCCGTGTTCGTTGTGTGTTGGAGTGAGATAAACTTTCGGTACTTCTTGCGCTGGCTCAGCATGAAGCTTCTGCAACTCTTCGTCGGTGAGGCGGTGTCTGAATCTACATGATCTTCCCAGTGGGCAATTACCATCAACGAAATACCGTTGACACCAGGGTATTCTTGCGTTGGCATGGTCGGATAGGGGGGCAGAGACAACAGGAGGTACGCTCTGGGTGAGCAGATTACTAGATCCAGAGAGATTGGGTGGAAGTGTTGTCGTAGGAGGGAGATAAGAAATGGGGGCATAACTAGGAATCATGGGTATGGTTCGGGTGTAGACATTTGGGTCAAAATATGGTGCAGCATGCATGACAAAACCAGGAGGAATAACAGTTGGGGGATATTGACTGTAAAAGGTGGAAGGGTGGTCATTTCGTACAGGTTGTTTGTACGGTGAACCCGGTTGAGGATAGCGATCTGCGTGTACCTCCGTAGCGTCAGTGTCATCGGCTGACTGGAAAGGACTCGAGACCTGTGTATCCTGCTGTTTGATGGATGGAGAGCTACCATGACTCTCGTTGTCTAAGGTGATTCTGATGTTAATTGATCATAATGTGATAAACACAAGATGCGAAATGTACCTTGCGTTTCTCGACTGATAGGATTTCCGTTATCTGTAACATCATCTGATACATTCATAGGAATGCCAGGATTTGCGTTGTATTCATATGGGGAGTCTACGGGGGCAAGCACCAGTTTCACCAAATTATTAGAAAATCCTATCGCCCCATTGGAAATGTTTGTGAAGTCATGGTAGGATGGAAATCTCACTAGAATTAGTTTTCGGAGAACTGTTTGCCGGAGTAGAGTTTAGTTGTAGCGCATCAAAGTTACCGAGGGGGGACAGACGAGAGTTGGAAGATACTGACAACATCCCGTCAATATTAGAATAGGAAATGAGCAAGAAATAAAACAAACCTTTATGCCCAGATTGTAGATCCATCATGACACTAGCGTCCCTTGTCGACTGAGAAGCAACTTGCTCTGTAGATTCGGTGAGCACAGTTCGAGGTTGGAGTCATTCAAAAAGTATACCTCTCTCAATGTCATGGCGAAACACGCATTCTGAACCTTTGTTGCATTCACCTTTGATGAAGAACTTGCACAGCAACGGCTGGAGTTCTTGGCCTGTCATCGAGTGGTCGTTCAGACAATTATCTCCATAGCGGCAATCGCCTTTCAGATAATACGGGCAGACACTTCTCAACGGAGAGGCTAAGGAAGCATCATGGGAGAATCGGCATTGATCTCCATTGTTACAGGCATTTTTCGCGAAATATAAGCAGGGTTTTCTTGGTGATACCATAGAAAATCATCAAAGGGAAGATATAGAGGCGAGCCTCTGGGTAAAAATGTAAGTCTAGGGAAACACGCTGATGATTGCAATCGGACTGCGAAGAAGTTCAATCCCAAGAACACGTGAAGCCTTTCTTTCCAACTGCCATCACTGACATAGACCGCGGCAAACGACGTTGAGATGGTGTATCATAATCTGAAAGGTGAGTGATATCCTCGCTGCTCTGAATAATAGCTGACAATGTGCCGCAGCCCTTATCAAGGGTATCCGAGCTTGCAAGGTCAGCTCGGCCAAATTTTGAATGAATCACCCGCGATAACTTGGACAATGCACAGACTGTGGCAGATGAGCGGGCACTCATTCAGCAAGAATCTGCAGCTATTCGTGCTTCCTTCAGAGAGGAAGACTCTTTTGCGCGTCACAATAATATCGCGAAACTACTGTACATCCATATGCTGGGATCTCCAGCACATTTTGGTCAAATAGAATGCCTCAAACTCGTCGCGAGTCCTCGTTTTTCGGACAAGAGGTTGGGCTACCTTGGAATCATGCTGCTGCTAGATGAGAGTCAAGAGGTTCTTACTTTGGTGACCAACTCGTTGAAAAAGTACGCGAGCCTTCCTATCGAATTAAATCCTTCCTCACGAATTACACAGCGACATGAACCACTCCAATATGTACGCGGTCGGGCTTGCGCTTTGTACTTTTGCCAATATAGCATCTGAGGAGATGTCTCGAGATTTAGCCAACGAGATTGAGAAGCTGTTGGGTTCAAGTAATACATATATTCGGAAGAAGGTGTGTATTGCTTCCAAGGATAATTTGATGTTGGCATTCTAAAAACCCCGATCACGTAGGCAGCTCTATGTGCACTTCGAGTGATAAAGAAAGTCCCAGATTTGGCCGATCACTTCACAACGAAAGCCAAAAATCTCCTCACCGATCGGAACCATGGCGTCCTTCTGTCAGCTATCACTCTTGTCACCGAAATGGTACAGACAGAACCGGCTGTACTGGATGAATTCCGCAACGTACGAATACTTAGCCTTCCCGATGTAGCAAACCTTCTTCTCATATCCTGCAGGCTGTTCCTCTACTCGTTCGCAATCTCAAATCACTCGTTACTACCGGATACAGCCCTGAGCACGATGTATCCGGCATCACCGATCCATTTCTTCAGGTCAAAGTCCTTCGTCTTCTCCGATTATTGGGCAAGGGAGATGCCAGAGCAAGTGATACTATGAATGATATCTTGGCTCAAGTAGGCACCCGCTTTTCATTCCAGTAATCATGGTCTTCACCGTTTCTTTTCCCTTCAGGTCGCTACCAATACGGATTCTTCTAAGAATGTCGGTAACTCAATTCTGTACGAGACCGTTCTTTGTGTTCTGGAAATCGAGGCAGACTCGGGTTTGCGTGTAATGGCAATCAATATCCTCGGGAAGTTCTTAAGCAACAAGGATAACAATATACGGTCCGTCTGTCATATCAGACGCTGTTGGCTCTCAATCCTAACGCCCTTGTTATACACAGATATGTTGCTCTTAACACTCTAAACAAGGTCGTATCAATCGATACTAATGCCGTCCAGCGTCATCGGAACATAATACTAGACTGTCTTCGCGACGGAGATATCTCTATTCGACGAAGAGCCTTGGAACTGTCATACGCTCTCATAAATGAGCAAAATGTTCGCATCCTCATAAGGGAGCTTTTGGCATTCCTCGAAGTTGCTGATGACGAGTTCAAATTGGGCCTGACTACTCAAATCTGCCTGGCGGCTGAGCGATTCGCTCCAAACAAGAGATGGCACATTGATACAGTTCTAAGAGTTTTGAGACTGGTACGCATTTCTTCATCGGTATAATTATCAACCAGGACTTCAATCGTTCATAGGCTGGTAATTTTGTTCGAGAAGAAGTTCTCTCCTCGTTCATCAGACTGGTTGCCCATACGCCTGAGCTTCAGGCTTACACGGCATCGAAATTGTACACCGCGCTCAACTCGGATATATCTCAAGAGTCCCTTACTCTCGCTGCTGCTTGGGTTTTGGGAGAATATAGTGAGATCATTTTAGAAGGTGGGCTCGTCGATGAAGAGCAACCCAAAACGGTATGTAATTTTTCCTGTTCCACTCTAGTTTAAATTAATCTTCCTCGTATCTAGATCACTGATAAGGAGATACTTGACCTCCTTCTTTCCATACTCGACTCCCCATACGCCAACTACCTTTCTCGTCAATATGTACTTGCCTCTATTACCAAAATCTCTTCTCGATCAACCACCAGTACTAATCAGCAAGACCGCATAGCAGAGGTTTTGGCACAATACACTTCAACACCAGAGCTCGAGTTGCAACAGCGTGCGGTCGAGTTTGCCAGTTTGTTCAACTTGGGTCAGTTGAGAGAGGGTGTATTGGAGCGCATGCCTCCACCAGAGTTGAAGGCGACCGTGATGGGAGTCGGTAAGTTGACCCATCTACAACCGTGTTACGCACTCCATTGACTGGCTCGTCTTAGTAAGTGAAAATAAACCAGTGGGTTCTAGCTCGGGAGGTGATCTTCTTGGTAACGACGAGGTTGCATCCCCGACTACGAATGGCACCAATAGTCAAGACCTGCTCGCTGATATATTCGGGTCTTCTGGCGCTACATCCGCTCCAACTCCTGGTCCCTCCGCTGGCGCAGCAAACCCTCCACCGAAATCCCAACAATCTACTATCGATGATATCCTCGGTTTATTCGGTAATACTCCTTCCACCACACTAGCCACAACTGCAACTCCGCCTCCTGGTTTCATGGCATCATCATCCCCGGCGCCGCAAATAACATCGAACTCCCTCTCCGCCTTTTCCATTCCTACTTCCCAGTCTCCCGTGCCTGTCCATACACCTGCACCTGCTGCGCCTGCGCCCCCCGCGGCGTCGCGTCTTACGTCATACACTGCATATGAAAAGAACTCCCTCAAGATAACGCTAACGCCTCAAACTTCCCCCGCTAAGCCTGGTGTTGTCATGATATTAGCTAGATTTCAAGTAGTTGGCGCAGCGCCTGCTACTGGACTTACGTTCCAAGCAGCAGTGCCGAAGGTCAGTTCATTATTTTACAAGAAAACAATGGTCTCAAACGACGACTTTTTGTAGTCACAGCAGCTGCAAATGCTTCCAATGTCTAATCCCAATGTGGGTCCAGGATCTGTGGAAACTCAGCAAATGAGAGTCATTGCACCAGTGGGAGTAAGTTGTCTTATCATGTGTTGACACAGAGAGTATCTGATGCCTCATCTTGATTAGAGCGCTGTGCGTCTGCGTCTACGTATAGCGTACGCCATAAACGGGCAGGATGTTCAGGATCAGGTTGACTTTTCAGGGTTCCCACCAGGCTTGACAGGAGGGGCATAGTCTGGCTTGTATTTTCGTTTCTGTGTATCCTTCTCTCGAATCGGAATCTACTTAGTTCAAATCGTCAGCACGGGTTGCTATAGACCATCTTCCGCGTATCGCAAACGCAGTCAACTCGGACTCATGATAAATGAACCATCATGGACTCTTTGAAGGGTATGTTTTCCTCGCTTTATTAATGATGCACGTCAGAATCACAGTCTCGGCCATCATCGCATTCACAGTTGCGGGAGTTGAAGAGCTGCGGCGAGCTGCGGTTTCCAAATTCTTAAAATATCCACGATACTCTATTTACATGTAGTTTCATCACATTTGGGATTTTCACTCCTTATTTCAAGTTGAAGAGCGCACCCTTTTCTTAAAACTCCTTCAACTAAGATGTTTGTCGACCATGCATTATTGCAAATCTCATCTCACTTTCATGTCTTCATCCTCTGGCTGTCCATGACATCCCCACTCTTTCTGAACTGTGTACGTTCAGATTCAGTCTTCATTTCCAGTAGTGACTATACTGCTGGAGCGTATGGCGCCGGACCATATCAGACCTTCTTCACATCCAATGCTACACCGTATGTCCGAATATTGTGCGTTGGGGCTTTTCGACGGATTTTTATTCACTATGTAGAGTCGCATTCAACTTCGTACAAGCTTTGAATAAGTCCACAAATTCCCTCAGCTCTGGCTACTTATTCACTTCCCCTCGTGGTACGCAATGTCAAAATATGCCTCAGGAAAATAAATTGAAGCTTTGACTGCTTATAGGAACTAGCACGGTGCAACCCAGTGCATCTATATTCGATAATAACGGCCATCTCATTTGGGATGGATCTGCATGGGGAGAGACACTAGTATTTCAGGTTGAAACCTACCTCGGAGAGCCTCACATCCTAGTTTGGTTGGGTGATATCCTTGGTACTGGAATCGGAAGTGGGTACTTGAATTTGCTGAACAGCAAATATGAACGTGTTGCCAGATAGTGAATTTCTTCGCGCTCGTGGTTTGCTTTGGAATGCTCACGTCAAATGTCCAGCACGACAAACCTTACAGGAATCACAGGTTCTACGTATGCAGATTTTCATGAGGTGAATACTCTGTCAAAGATATGTCCTGTAACTAATCCTTTGTGATTTTTAAGGCTAGAATCACAACTAATAATACTGGACTTATGACCGCATACTATACGCGCGAATATGACCTATCGCCTTACGGGGGTCCTTCATCTGGGTATCTTTTTGATAGTGTTTTCCAAGAGCTTAACATTACCAGCGGTCCGTCATAAATGATAAATTGTTTGAAAGACTAACCCACTCCCAACTAGGAGAGACCTTATTTACTTGGTATGCTAGTGACCACGTCGATCCTAGCGAATGCTATAATGCTATAGGGACAGGAGGTGGATCTACTGACGAAGCATGGGATTACTTTGCAAGTGCCTTTTTCTCTGCGGCTCGCAGCGCACTGTGTTCAATGAGCGATATAGCATATCAATGCCATTGAAAAGACAGACGACGGAGACTACCTCATCTCATCTCGACATTGCTTCACCATCTACTATCTCAATGGGAGCAATGGCGAAATCATATGGAAGATGGGCAGCGCGAACAGTAGCTTTGCGATGGGGGATGGTGCTAATTACAGCTGGCAGCATCACGCTCGATGGGTTAACAAGAACGATACTTATGCGACTATGACGTGAGTAGCCTGGCTTTTGCTATCGCCTTCTTCCAGCGCTCAACTTCTGATATACAGAATCTTCGACAACGGAGGAGAATATGGGGAGTATGACGAATCATCTTCGCGGGGACTATATCTTGCGCTCAACTTCACAAGCATGACTGTCGAGTTGTTACAGGATTTCATCCCGTATAATTACACGGTTTCAGAAAGCCAGGGTAGCGTCCAATTACAACCCAACGGGAATTTCCTCGTAGGGTAGGTAAAACCTGGTTCTATAATTTAACTCTCGGTTTTCATAAACATCCACCGTGACTAGATGGGGATTTATGCCTTGGTACTCTGAATACTCTTCAACAGGCGAACTCTTATGGACTGCACAGTTTGGCGTGATAGGTGGAAATTATAATGAAGCCTGTATGTTCGTCTCATACCTCTCACGAAATATTCTCAGACCTCCTTACATATACAGATCGCATGCTTCGCTTCAATTGGACGGGAGAACCTACCGATCCGCCTTCCTTGCAGCTGGTTCAGTCGTCCTCCAGCAACCTGACCACCGTCCACGTCTCTTGGAACGGGGATACTCGTACAGAAAAATGGGAGTTGATCGGAGCATCCGATTCCTCTGGCTCCGACGCGTTATCGTTGTATAACCAGACACGTAGCGGATTCGAGACAACATTTACCTTCAATACAGCTACCAACTCGTACGACTTCTATGCTGTAAGGGCTATTTCTTCCGATAACACGCATTTGGGAACTAGTAATTTCACTAGCAGTGGAAATGGGGCTGTAGCTCTAGTTATTGGGGCTTGGAGAGCAATGATGATTGTCATAATCATTTATTCACTCCAAGTAATTTAAAGCTGCTCGAAGTATATGGTTAACAAAAAATCATAGCAACTACTACTGTGTTTGGTAACAACGAGAGTAGATTTCCGCAAACGTAAAAATACATAGGAAAACCTTCTTTCAGTTTGTAGCACATGATATCGACTGAAGGAATTCAAAAAAAAGTACATAGCGTGCACTGAAACATTGGGAATGTTCGAGGAAGTAGTTCCTGTATGTAAAATGTAGGCACGATCGAAAGAGATAAAAGAGTGACTGTTGAGCTGTTCGTCAACTAGAAAGTTGAAAATTTGAGCTCCAGGGTTGTCAGTTAGGTGTCATAACCACTAATAAACTCTGGCCCTCGTCCAAACTTGCATTCAACTGCTGGGAAGAGGATCCCAAATCTTGTCCGTTCCACATTTCCTGGATATCGAAGCTTCCGGATATTCCCAAATCTTGCCAAGTAACGGTAAGGTTCTGTACTCCAGTGAGAGTGGTGTTAAAGCCGCCTTGACCTTCATCAGGTCCATAATTGGCGAGAAGTACTATAACCTTTCCTGTATCGTCAGGGCCACCAATCCATGCTTGCAACTGTTGCGCATCTCCTTCTCCGGTGCCTGGGTTTCTGGGGCGCATAGGGTTTTTGGCAGCAAAGTCTGCGACGCTATGTGCTGCGGCGTTGGTAAGGATGGCTTTCCCGGTATCTAGAACACAGATATCGATACAATTTACTATGAGGAATTGTGGGAAATACGAACCGTCAAGTTGGGTCAAATCGTTTCCTAGTATAAGGTTGGATCCTGCTCCCAACCAATGGCTCATGATTGTGAACCGTTCATCGTCGGTAACTCCATCTTCAGGTGCCGAATTGCCTACATATAGATTGTCCATATCAGGATAGATACTGAGGGTCTCGTCTTGAGAAGTGTGCAAGACGATATATTGACGGTAATTATCAATAGCTCGCTGTACTGTAGCCCAGGCGGTGAAAGAATCGGAATCAGCACCGGAGTTGTTGATATCTTGGTCAGTACGGAAGGAGTCCGCATTGTCTTCCCAAATGCTGAAATCACTCGGATCACGAGCAAGTTTCCAGCTAATATCCAAACGCATTTGTCGACCAGATTTGACTATTGCGTTATGATAGTTCACAACGGCTAAAGACTCGTTCTGAGGTAACGAAACTCCATTATCCGGGGATCCAGGAGTGATAAAATCAAGTTTGATAAAATCGACACCCCTATGCTCCCGTGATTAGTTGCGCTATAGTGTATATAAGAGCAGAATGTAGTCACCATTCAGCAAATAGCGCGACAACAGAATCGTGCCATTGCTGTACACCATCCTGACCATATTGCCAATTGCAGCGAGCGAGACCGTTATCTCCCGAGCAAACTGAACCGATCGTGATATTTGTATCCAGGATGGTCTTGTTCACATCAGCGAGAAAGCCGCCGGGAACGACGTAGACACCGAGTTGCAAGCCTGGAAAAAGATCGGAATTTTCAGACTATATTAGGCGTCGATGTATATCGCGACACACCTTCACTATGAAGATGATTAGCAAGATCTGGCATGTTGAACAGCGAGCTATCGGCGATAATTCGCCCATTTTCGTCTCCATTGCCGCCTACAGACCAGCCAGAGTCTAGGCTACAGTAACTACAATTCCGCGTCAAAGGCAAAAAGTGATAGGACAGTTTCATTTGCCATACCTGTACCCCAGGCCAACAAGGCCAGCAGAGACTAGGACGTCGCATTGTTGTTCAACGCTGGTCTGATTGAAGATGAAAGACGGGTCGGTGGCTGCGTTCGCTTGTATACCGAATGAATTCCATCCACGGGCCGAGTTGGTGAAGCCGTTTGGGGTTCGGGTGATAGTGAGCGAATGTAAAGGAACGGAGGTCACGGCAGCAGCAAGAGTAGCAGCCCGAGGGATATACATGATTCAAAGAGTGTCTGTAAAAGAATGAAAGTAAGGAATGACTAGAAAAAGAGAGGAGGTATGGAAGAAAGAATAAAGCTTAAGCGATCGCTTTTTAAACTTGATTGGAGCAGCAGAATTCAAGGCCGTAAGGCCTCTCCACTAGGTTTTCAGGCATTCCGTATTGACGTGGCAGGGCTTATGTACCGGATATAGACAGAATGTGAAGAAGCACCACTCATTGGCCCGAAAAAGACCTTTTAGGAATCACCGAAAGATCCCTTGTTCGCATACGTTTGCATTCTCGAGCTTGTATCTTGTGTTTGACCCAAGTGCCTCGTTAGTCAGTGAGATTCCCCAAAATTAGATCAAATTGCGCGAATAACACCTGAAAGATCGATGAGGGATGGGACCTGGTCGAAGGGCTAAGCGTGGAACAGTGTTGAAGAAGTCAAGGTCACAAGTGGTCAAGGTGGGAGCTGAGTAGCCCTAAAACAAGTAACATCATGGTACATAACCGAGCATCGACCGAAATTGTGTAAACGATGGAATTTTGTATTGTGGTTCATTGCAATTGTGAGAAGGAACATCGAAGACGCAGTCATGTTACAAGGAGACTGCGAAGAAGTGGATGGATGATTTTTGAGACGAGGGTTTGTAAGCATGCATGTAGAGGATGAAGCAGACAAGGAACGCATCGAGTGGACCGTGAGTAGACCGTGAGTAGATAACGACTAATCTCCTCCAGCTCATAACCCAAAGCCAATTTTTGCTGCTACAATTGGCAAGACCAGATTTGCATTAGCACATCTCTCTGATCCCCAAGTTCCGACAGAGATCCCTACGGTGTGAACAAGCTCTGGATGTAGTTCGGTGAGTACCTTGTTGGAATTGAGTTGAGTCTTGGCTATCAGAACCACGAGGACACGTGCGTCTAATTCTGGATGGTATTCCTTTAGTCAAAATGGGTACCCCTTTTGGGATCCGCTCTCCGCTTCTCGACAGTCTTCTTGACCTTTCGTTCTGGTCTCACAACGATGATTGGAACAGGGGAATGGGTCAAGCAGTACCGGCTAATGCTGCCCATGGTCCCTTTGCCGATACCTACTTGCCAGGCTCTGTAGATGAAAAGGATGTGAGCACACCGATCGGAGTTATGTGAAGGACCTAACATACTTTCGTCCACGGGTACCAACAACAACGGAATCAGGTTTATAAAGGGCGATGAGACGATCGAGAGCATCGGTAACTTTTCCAGCGATATATTCCAAGATTATGGAGAGCTACAATCATTTAAGTATTTGGTCACAGAAGTCGATTTGGTCACAGAAGTCGATTTGGACACGAACTTTACGATCTGGATCATATTCTTGACTCTTCGCTTGGATGTAAGCCATGAGGGCACGAGCATCTTCGCGGACCAGGTCATGATCTTTGTCTACACCAGGAAGCCACATTAAAAAGAGCAATATCTTGATGGGTGACAAGTTTACCAAGAACTTCTTCTTCGATCCCTCTAAAAACCACGAATTCATCACCATCTTGCACAAAGCTTTCTAAAGACCAATCAAGAGCCTCCCTTCCTGATTCATCAGCAGATGAGGCACACAGAAAGACCCTGCAATCGATAGATCAGCATGACGAGAAACACCAGCAAATCGACCGCAGTTTACCTCGTCGACCTCGTCCTTTTATACCCAGCAGATTTGGCTCTTAACGTGAAGCTGAACATGCTGGCCACTGGATTCTCAAAGGTGTCAAACGAAACTTTGGGTGTATATCCCGGTACAGGTGTCTGCGGCATGGATACATAAGGAGATGGGACAGATTGAGTGGTAAGATTGGTTGAAGAAGATATACGATGAACAGCTGATGTGGCAGGGCTTGATGATGCTAAAGGCGAGGGTGCATCTAGGGGAAAGCTCGAGGTCGAAGGAAGAGGACTGGTTTCGGTATAAGGAGACTGATGCGGCGAATCAGAGGAGAAAGAGTGTTTCATAGCTGAGCGCCGCGGCACCGGCGTTGAATGTCCTGAGGAGTGCATTGGAGGTGAAGAAGAGACCGACATTATCAGATTTCTGTACGTTGATACTTGAGTCAAGATGCCAAGCGATTTTGGTGGCTAGGCGCTAAGGCCTAGACCTTAACACGTGATAATACTACGAATGAATCCCGAGCTACCGTATCAAGGTAAAAATACTCGCTTTCACTACGTCGGCAGTCGCTAATAACGGCTGGGATTTACAAAGGGAAATCTGAGTCAAAACTTTGATTTCCCATCTGTGCTTTTGATGTATTGATCTTCCGGCAATGACTTGATTTCTCGGCTCATCATTTCTTTCCCATAGATAATTGATAATCTTTCCCATTGATGATTGACAATCTTTTACATCTGAACAAAATTTTATTTCCCGGTTCGCGAAAGTAAATGCCCGACTTTTGAGCCACTGTCCAGAACTATTGAGAGGCGGTATCTCCTTACAAAATGTTGCATTCGAGGAATTTGGTGATGATTGGACTACACTCAATAAGCATGGCAGAAATGGTTGGTTGGGACTTCTTGCATGCGTCAAATGGTGGGGACAGGGTTTTGATCCAGAAGGTGATAAGAAACGATGGCATGAACTTGTTGCCGATATGGTGAAGATGTTGAATGGATTGGATAACTATATGTCGCACAACTCTGGTAACTCTCACTCTGTATCAACGCAAGACTAGTATTTGCAGTGGCTCAAAAGTCGGGCATTTACTTTCGCGAACCGGGAAATAAAATTTTGTTCAGATGTAAAAGATTGTCAATCATCAATGGGAAAGATTATCAATTATCTATGGGAAAGATTATCAATTATCTACGGGAAAGATTATCAATTATCTATGGGAAAGATTATTAATTATCTATGGGAAAGATTATCAATGATGAGCTGAGAAATCAAGTCATTGCCGGAAGATCAATACATCAAAAGCACAGATGGGAAATCAAAGTTTTGACTCAGATTTCCCTTTGTAAATCCCAGCCGTTATTAGCGACTGCCGACGTAGTGTTTGCCCGACAGTTTGACTTAAGGCTCCAACCGTACTGTATATGTATACCCTTGACAGCGTAAATATACATATACAGTGTATAACCATATGTTTACTATATAAAGACAGTTAAACATACAGTATCATTTTTGAGTCACGTGGTCCACAGAACCATGCTTTTTGCGAGGTTTAACGGGCTCGTTAACATCTAATAATCCACTACAAATCCAGACCTTCGCCAAAAGAGCCTTCTGAATGGTTTCAGCTTTCAATGAACCCCTTAAGTCTGAGCAAATGTGACGAGATTTCGAGAATGTTCGCTCAACAGAAACACTAGTTGCCGGAATGCCAAGAAAGTTGCGCGCCATTCGAGCAATGGTAGGAAAAGAACCAGCGTGTTTCTATACTTTAACTCAGAAACGAAAGTGCAGCGGCATAATAGACCTTACCTGCCACCATTCTAGTGGTTCCTGTGTTTTCCCAACGCCTCCCTCAAATCGGAGATAACGCGATATTTCATCCTCCAAATCGGCCTGAGTTGCTCGAGGTGAAGTGGGAATGAATGAGAGGTCAACAGCACACATCTGGCTCAAGAACCCGTTAGCAGGTGGCTTCGGCTTATTGAGGGATGACTGGTCAGGAGTTGGTGAGGTTAGTTGTTCTTGGAAGTAATCCAGCGCAACGTGTCGGAACATGGTTTCAGCCTTGTCTCGATGGTCCTCTCGTTCCCATGATGTCGTTCCGAGGGTCTCAAACCATTTGGAGCGCATTTCCGGGTGTAATACTGCCAAGGATGTCAAAGACAGTCAAAAAAAAGGAATAGGGAACGCACCAGTACCAAGAACATAGAATCAGTTCCCGTCTGCCAATCACTTGTATTTCCTCAGCTTCTCTAATCCGACAGATGCCGCGTTAGTGAGTATCTTTGGCAAACTAGTCTTGGTACTTTTAGCCTCTAGGTGTGTGTCGAGTTGATGATATGCAGGAAGCACAAATGGAATTGTCGGCTGTGAAGTGCGAGACATAATCAGAGTAACATGTGTAAACGGCTTGAAATGCAATGAGCATGGAGGAAAGGAAAAGGCAGGATTGACATACCTCAAGGATATCTGCAAGATCTTCTAAGAGTTTCCACTCTTTTTTGTCAATAAGCAGCGGGCGCATCTCTTCTGTCTCAAATGTCCAAGTATCGATAGCCTAAAATAGAGTTTCATTCCATGAAAGTAGAATAAAAAGCAGCAATACTGACTTCTTGTAAGAGTTGGGCACGACGGATCATGGTATGGGTGTAGTTCCATTGAGTACGGACATCGCGTACAACCATCAGATTTCTTCGTCTGGCATTCTCCTCAGTCTGTTCTGAATATTTCGAATGAGCAATTCTACGAAATTTTTGGCGGTGCTGAGGTGAAGACACGATCTTTGTTGTAATGAACCGGAGCTGTAAAAAGGGAATAAGAACGATATGTGGCAATCATAAAAATGACAAACCCGACGCAGTGCACTCGTTCCCTTCATACTTTCGGCAACAGTCTGCTCTGATTCTTCACACTGCTGTTTCGATTCCGCCTTCTTTTTCTTCGCCTCCTCCTTTTGTATAGCTGTTCCGATCTCTACATCTTCCTCTCCATCAACTTGTTCACTGTCCCCTTCTGCTTCCAGTGCAATCTGTTCGACATCTTCATCAACGCTATAGTGAAATGGTGCATCCTTGTTAAGCTCATAGTAGTCGATGTTGCTTGACCATTCTGCTTCGTCCATCGATGCCAATAGATCTTGAACTGTGAGATTGATGACATGGGCAATACAACGTATATGGCCATCTGGATTCCATTCGACACCATAGCATGCGAGAACACAACGTGCAACAGTAGCGACCAGGACATCATTGACAGAGGCATTATCGGTGGTGAGGCTGATACAGTAGATAGTAAACGGTCAGTTATATGGCAGTAGACTCATGAACGTGAAATCACATATCTTATTGAGACCTCCTCGCTCTCTCACTCCGTTGACAAATGCTTGCCCTGCATACTCTCCCTCATGTTCCTTCTCTTCTAAAGGCTTGAAATCCACCACCATCTCAACCAATCTCCAGTCATCGTCAATGAAACTTCCAATAGTACATGCAAAAGTATAAACCATCTGTTTTGTAGTCCATGTATCTTCAGCATAAGCAATCTTCGATTTTACGCTCTATAGAAATGATCAGTTGTTGAATCACACAAAAATTTCATACACACCGTGAACGATTTTACTACTTTAGCATTTAGCTCAGCAAAGATCTTTGCGAGCTGATTGCGAACAGTTGTATCAGAAGGCAACATATAGCGAACTTTCAGATACTTGAAGAGTAAACGAAGATTTGGTGCCTCTCCAGTGGTCCATGGCAAGTCTTCATCCAGTATCCAGGCGGCAAATAAGCGTAAAAAGCCTCTCTCGGTGGTAAGAGCTTCAGGGTTAAGCTCGCCATCCTTGAGGTAGTTGCGCATTAGATCAGCGCTACGCTTCAGATTCAGACCCTCAGCTGTGCTCTGCTCTGTTCCATTCCCTTCATCACTTCTTTCCTGTGGTTTCGACTTTCCTCTGCACTCGTTCGAATGGGTAGCAAGGTTATTCAGTTTGGGCAACTTTCCCTCATCATCAAATGATACTTTAGGGCCCTTCACTGTCCTTTCAATGCTGCGTACACTATGTACAGAGGTATGAATTCTGGTAATCATCTGAATAAACTTGAACTTACCATTCACAGTATCGACATTTGAACTCCCAACGTGCCCCCTTCTTTTTATCCATGACTGCAACCGGCTCATGGAAATGCTGCATACTGGCATTGGAAGGCCCTCGACGAGCACCTTTAGCTTGTTCCCTTGCCTCTTCAGTATCCACTTTGTGCTGTGCTGATTGTCCATCGGACTCCGATCCAGAGTCGATTGAAATGACTTTATTTTTGCGTAATCTAGTTGTCTCGGTGTCTCTCTGCTCCGCTCCCCTGGCTGCCCTCTTTTTGCTGCGTTCCTTCTAAAATTTGTCATATACTTCCGATTTTTCCTTTCATAATAAGATATGCCTCACCAATCCTTTGCCACGTTCTGTGGTCGAGATTATCTCTTCATTATTGGAATCAAATACCTCACTTTCCGAATCTTCTTCAATGCGAGAACGCTTTGGCAGTATATAATCAGCGTCATCAGCAGATAAGGTATCAGCCCAAATGTCGACACCACTGGCAGTGGTCTTCTTCCGCTTTGCCGAAGATTTTCCCGGCACACTTTCTTTGCTTGTGCTGGTTTTAGCCTTCGTGTGCTGAGACTTTTGAATCGTTGGTGCCGGCGCCTCTTCATTAACTTCTTCAATGGTCATTCTTGGTGGAGTTTTTGTTCGTACTGGAGGGTCTTTACTATTAGGAGTATTTTTGTCAATCGAAATTCTCTTCACTATGTACCATTGAATGCATACCTTATGTTTTGCACACCAGTCACCAACCTTGCAAATTTTGGCAAGGCAGCTTCCCATAGTAGATGGCCTGCATCGACTGCACTTTGAATATATCCAACAACAAGATCCATTCCCAATGGGCCTCGAGTGATGTTTAATAGTTTACCATCAGCACCACGTACATCATTCCCATACAACAAGTCCATGCGACGATTGAAAGTAGTCCAATGCTCATCAGGGTCCGCAGATGGTAGAGGCTCCGGTACCTTTTTAAATATCTCTGAGATTCTGCTTTCTGTGGATGCAAGAGGAACATGGTCTGGTAATCCTTTGACAAGGGTACTCAACAGCCTTACTGCTGCTGCACACTGAACGTGCGCTGCTTCAGCCATAAAGTTTGAAGAGAGGAGTGGAAAAAGGGAGACAAAAGATTCAATTATTTCTCATTGACATCCTGTAGGCGGGATTCACAACGAACACAGCTAGGGCTGTCAAGAATGTGTAATAGAAGTGGCCCAGCAACCTGAATTACTAATTGGACACGATGGACCTCGCATGCTGGTAGAATAACCATATATACAGTATAAACAGTATACATACTGTATGTTTAAATTTCTCTTGGGGGGGGTAGACCTATACAAATACATATATAGTTATAACCATATATAGATAGTATATAGATAGTACGGTTGGAGCCTTAGTTTGACTACACAAAGGAAATCGGATGTGTGTTAGTCCTACCCTAGCCTTTAAGTTGTTCGTGTTCTAAGATGTTGTCATAGACCAACGATTGATACTAATGTGTATATAAATGGAGCAAACACTATGACCGACCATGATACAAGTTATCGTACAACGAGACAGACAATAATACTAACTGAGGAACCACTTATGAGCGAAATAAATCAAATGAAAACCTGTAATGGGTGTCGATCATAAACGTTCTTCCCTTCACTCAATTCTCCAAGGTCGGGATAAAATGGAACCATGGCATCCGCGGCACCAAGATACAGCGCATTGTAGATGCGCCAATATACCTCCCTCACCTTCCTAGCTGGATGGAAGAGGCCTTGCAAAACATAGCTCAAGAGCACACCTGGACCAAGCGTCACTCGCATAGCTTCTATCGCATCCATCACTGCACCAATTACGTGAGGGGATGTCTCGAAGCAGTTCGGCCAGACGAGATTCATCAAGTGTAGCATGGAGTCTTCGCATCCCAACCCGGCAACACCCAATGCCAGATGCTTGACGATGGTGCTTGCCGTTTGTCGATGCACCAGATCACGATCAGTAAGAGCATCCTCAAGCATGGTGACGACGGAATCACAGTAGTAGGCCGATTGTGGGCCGACGTATTCAAAAACAAAAGATAAGGCCTTCAAACAACCAGTCCTGACGTTCAGTTCTGCAGTTCGATACTCGTTAAGAATAGCGGGAATGCAGGTGAAAGCTAAAATGGTGGGAGAAGATATCAACGTGTGTTAAGGAAGGAGTGAATATCATTCAACCACTCACGTCCACAGGTTTCAGCCACGATAGCTATAGCCACCGTGCTACACACTCGACTTTGACGTTCTTGCACACGGAGATTGGTCAACAAGACCGAAAGTACGTCTTGAGGGCCCAAACTCTTCGCAATATAACCGAAAGAGTTGACAGCAGCACGTCGAATACCCTTCTTGTGCGCCTTGAGCAGATCAAGTAACTCGAAACAGATTCTCATCCATTCACGAGCAGGAACGAATTCCGCACCACGATCAGCGATACGACCAATCAAGTTAATAGATGCCTCTTGCACCTTTTCATGTCGATTACGAAGAATAGGGGTCATTCGTGGCACTGATAACAGAAAAGATTTAATCAGTCGACAAACTTCAGAGTCAGTAATCAGTAACACTCACATAAATCCTTGACCGGAGGGTTCATTTGCGTCATACCAACAACATTGGCAATAGCACCTTCTGCTGCGATGATACTCCCAAGTGTATCAGGGTATTCCTCACCAAGTTGTTCGAATAAGACCAGCCCGAGCTTGCTGAGCAACTGATCCTCTCCGCACTGTTTGATGACCACAGCTAACCGGGTGGTAAGATCAGCAGCTTGTTGACGGACTTTGGCGCTCTTGTTATTGAGTCGCCAAAGGATAGTGGAAACAATTTGAGTAAGGTAGGGTTTTACACGAATGCCAAGAGCATTGACAACGGTACCAAAACCGTCCAGCATGACCTGGTCCTCAGTAGTCTGTTCTTGGAAGGAATAGATGATTCCATCTACCAATCTCACTTCCAGACGTTCGTCAATATCGGAAGCACCGAGGGTAGCGACGACTTTAGTGATGGTTTCCATAACCATCTTTCGGTAAGGCTCGGCCTCATCTTTGAGTTCGTTGACGATTCTACCAACGATCTCGGATACACCGGCCTTCTGAGCCAACTCGACAGTAGTCTCAACTACCTGCCTATAATTACGGCGATCGAGTGCCATTCGACGAACCCAGAACGATTTGAAGAAATCAGGCAAAATATCATGCTTGATGTAAGCAGGGGTGACACCCTCCGTTGCAGCGCACTGCTTGACGACTTTGAGCACAATTTTCTTCATCTCTTCGTCGGATGTTTGGAATTCTCGAATAAGAATGACTGTCACTTCCTTTGTATAGTAAGAAGCATATTCGGGGTCCATGAGAGGGATAATAAAACCGATAGCTTTGAGGAAAGCAGCCAGGCCCTTTCCACGATGAAGACGAATACCCAACCACAAAGGCTTGAGCACATTATCGAAAGACTCAATACCATAGGGAGCGGCGGCCTCGGCAAGTGCAGCCAAACCAAGCGCAGTCATAGTCCTGACCTTTTGCTGCTCATCGGAAAGGCCATGGGCAATGCAATCGACCAGGTTGCGGAGATGGGGTAGCACGGCGCAGCCCATCATGATGGCAATTTGCTGGACGATACGGATACCAGTATGTCTGGCCTGCCAAGACTTTTTGGAGCGACATACAGCTTTCAAGAATGGGAGGAGGGATGGAATGCCAAGGGCGGAGGCTACAACTGAGAACGCTCGAGCGGTAGTGTTACGCACGTACTCATCAGCGTGATCAATATCAGGTCGCATAGTGGAGATCATATGAGCTAGACCAGCGGCTTTAGAAAGGTTGGAGATGATTTCACGACCTTCCACTCGCGCATAGTAGTCTTCATCAATGAGGAGGGGTTCAATGACGACGAGAATTTTATGTACATAAGGTCGGACGAGATCGTCAAGTTTGTATAGCACACGATCAATGACCTTAACGAGGAGATGCCGTTCCTGGTCCTCGAGAGTACGTTCCATGAGAAGAGGAAGAATCTTGTCGAACAGAGGACCAGCACCAAATTCGCGAGCCTTGTCCGTGATCTGCCTTAATGCAGTTTTACGCACCGGCGGAGTACCGTTCTTGATCTTCAACAGTAGTCGCATAATCTTCCTCTCTTTCATCTCATCGACCGAGAGCTCCGTTTCGTCCTCTTCTTTCATGATCTTAGCGAAATACTGAGCATCCTCGGGTTTGAAGAAGGCGAGGTTGCCGACACCAGGAATTTCTGTGGGCAATTCTGGCGCGAGACCTGCTGCGGCTGCTACAGCGGCAGCGTCGGAGCTTTCCTGAATATGAAAACCGCCAACTTCGGTCACAGAAGGAGCCTGGAGCTTCCGAGGCTGTACCATGGGCGCATATCCGGGTGGAGGTGTGACAATAACATATCCGGTAGCAGGAAGGATAGCGTCGAGCTCTTCATCAGTAAGATATCGATTGTGTTTATCATCTTGAGAAAGACCGGGAGCGTTCATGATAATGGGAACCATGGGGGTGTCCTGGACGACTGGAGTCTGATCCCACCTTGAACGCTTTGGAGTTTCGGCGACAGGAGTTTCCGCAGGAGTAGCATCCCATCGCGACCGCCGTTTTTTTGGCGCAGAAGCTTCTAAAGCTTCCTTTGACCATTCACCAGTGTCCATCTTGTTGGGATCTGCATTTTCGTCGGAAGGCTCAGGATTGTCCCAGCGTCGTTTGCGTTTTGCTCCCGGTTGTTCTCGAGACATGGCAAGCTCCTTCGCGGAAGCTAACTCCATCTCCACGTCCTGTAACTCGGCAGCGGGTGGTGTCTTGTCTAAGTCCATCTTCATCTTTCCTTCCTCTCGTTCCTGTCTTTCCTTCTCCTCTATTGCCCTTTTTACTCTGACTTCCTCCTGCTCCAGCCTAGCTAGCCTCATTGCATCCTTGTAACCCCCTTCTTCGCTCCCACCCTCTTGAAAGGCATCTGCGCTATCAACGGCGACTCGCTCAAAGCGGCGATTGTGATAGTCGGATTGTCGAGCCGCTATTTGACGAGTCTTTGCGGTCTCTGCGAACGGGTCAACATTTTCTTCTTCCGCAAGGTCGGCGAATTCTTGCAGGATCTCCTTGGGGGCTGTATACGAGTCTATCAATCTGGGCGACCCAGGAGGAGACATTATACCTAGTTAGTAGGGAGTGGTCAGCTCAAGAGCAGTAAATGTAAAAGCGACAAGTCTTCACCTATTGAGACCTAGGATTACAAGCTTGTTAAGACTCAAGAGAACGTAAGATGCAAAGTGAAAATGGGACAAGCGAGTCAAAAACGTCTGAGTAAGCGAAAAGTGCATGACTTGAAGGCGCTTACGAGAGGGCGCTTGCGCTCATAGAGATCTCAATTTGTGAGCTCCAATGCCTACCAATGCCGTCGTCTTGAGCGAGAGTGTTGTTACTATAAATTGCCTATCCAGTAGTCATTTGCATGTGTACGTATTATTTGGAAAGTACTTTATTGAAGTAAATTCTCAAAAAGCAAAAGCATAGTTTCGAATGTTCCCCATCCCGAATTTTTTATCATGTCAACTTAGCCAAGGCCCGGGGATTTCACAACCTGGAACGAATTATTTGTATAACACCAATGCATCCGGAATAAAGGAACGAGGTCGTAAAGTCCTAGAATGTAGGTATGGACCATTTTGGGACTACATTACATTGAATGCAAAGCGAAAGGAAGGCGAAGAGGGTAAAGAAAACAACAAGATAGGAGGGAGTAATAGTAGTGATGTAAGGCAAGAGGGAGTTGGAAGCTGGGATTTCACCAACCGTCGTTATCGCAGTGTCCACTTCCTGTCATGATCAATGTGTTCGTCAAATGTTGGTTTTACAATATTATATGAGGTCTGTAAAGTCCATGGGTAATTCAGACGAAAGATGTCAGTCCGACTCCTTTGATTAACTGGCATGTTGGGGAAGGTGAGAAAGAGTTCGTAAGTAGAATTGCGGTAGGAGAAGTAAGCATTGGAACGGTTGCAGGAAAGGTCATCAGGCAGCTATGGGAACGAACGAAACGGATGGTAAGTGACGTGCACGGAGGGTGAGAACGCAGATAACATAAAAACTATGGCTGTTAATGATGATGATGTCGACGACGACGAAAAATTCCACTCATATTGTAATCTAGATGCGGAGAAGCAGAAGGACAGAGAGATACAAAGTGAAGGAGACGGAGGATCTGATATGGTCACTCAGCAATCGGGGAGCGTAAAGGAGAAAGGAAAAACATACGTACAACAGAAACTTTCATCGCTTTCGCTGCTGTTGCCAGACAGCCAGAGGTACATCCTCTTCTTCCGCCACGCCATTTGTTGGGTACGCAAGTAAGGGGCTTTCAGGCGTACGTGGTCTGGCTTTTGAAGGAACTGCATGAGCGCTAACTCCTTTGCGTATCCTTCCGTTCGCATTGGGGGGCGAAGGAGAAGGAACTGCAGTGGCTGATAATGATCGTCCAGGCGTTCGACCCCCACCAGTCGACATATTATTACCATATGCTCCCTGCTGGCTGAAGGCGTTCGGAGGCGACTGCGAGCGTCGTTGGGGGTTTGATCCGAGTATTGGTGGCGGCGATGAGTTGGACTGCCTCGGGCCACCAGGAGTAGCCCAATTGGATTTCTCCACTGGTGGCATTGCACCAGGAGGTAACCGTTGTTGCTGATGTTGTTGGGCATACACCGATTGCTGAGGCTGACTCTGGGCCGCATCTGGTGAGTAGTAGAAATTATCGGGAGTCTGCGAATCTGCCGGTTGTACAAGGCGCGGAGCACTTTGTGGAGATGGCGAAGCGCGTTGACCTTGGCCAGGGGACCTTCGTCCTTGAGGCATGCCCTGCTGTGATGTTGGCCCACTATTATATCCAGCGTATCCACCATAAGCTTGCTCCATCTCTCGGTGTTGCATCTCGTACTGAGGGCCTCGGATAGGTATCTCGGCCCTTCTACCACCTCCTGTACCCATCGGGGCTGGTTTCGTTAGAGGTCCTCGTTTCGGCAAAGCTTCCTTCTGCTTCTTCATCTCCATTTCCCGTTCCCGTTGCTCCCGTTGTTCTCGTTCCTGCCGTTCCTGTTCCAGCCGTTCCTTCTCCTTCTGTTCCGCTTCCCTCTGTTCCTTTTCTTGCTGTTCTTTGTCAGTCGGATTCGGGGCCCCTCCTGCTGCTGTCTGGCCGACACCAGTCTGCCCATTAGCCGTTGGGTTCTGAGCCTTGTTGATAACGCCCAAATACCAGAACATCAAATTACTAATCAGCACTTGCTCATAGAGCGGTCGGCGCGGATTAGCCAATTTGATATGACTGAGCCGGTAAATGGCACGCTCGACATGTATGGGATAGCGCGAATAGTTGTTGATAGCCTGAGCACCTGGCGAAGGAGGTGGTTGGTAGCTCTTTGAACTTTTGCTAGCTCCAAGTAGTGCCTGCGCAGCCTCTCGTCCAGCGGTATGACCATGCGCGGAGGATGTTGATGCAAAACTCTCTGAATCTTTACTCTTCTTTCCACCAAACAGCGACCCGAAGAATCCCGAATCCTTCTCTTTCTCTTTTTCTGCGGATTCGCTTCTGGCATGATCTTTTGCTTTTTTCCCGCCCTTGTCTGAACCCCACTTCCCAAAAAGGCCTTTCTTGTCCTTTTCCTTGCGATGATGTTGATGTGGCGGCGGGGGACTGGAGAGGAAGGAAAGAGGTGCCGCAGGTGGTTCGGTGATAGGCGAAGAAGGAGGAGAGGGAGTACCTGGAGGTGGTGATGGTTCAGAAATGACCTGAGGAGATAGAAGCCTTTGTGGCTGGGGCTGGTGAAGCACAGCGTCAGGTGCCGGCTGAACCAGGACTGCTTCGACGTCAACATCAGGTAGAGGTTGAACTGAGATTGGCTCTGGCTCTGGCGGGGGATTAGCTGCGGGTGTCTGCTGCAATGACACTCGTGGCGCTTCTTGAGGAGGCGGGGATGTAGTTACTACGACAGTAGAAGGATACACCTCTTCCTCTTCATTCACATATGCATCATAGATTGAAGTCTCCTCACTGAAAGACTCTGGCCTCACGGGTGGAAACTCGTTGCTAAGTAATCTGGGTCTAACCTCTGGCTCGTGGTCGCTAGATGAATAGTCACTGGATGTGCGCTCTGAAGTTGTAGTGGTGGTAATGGCGGCAGCGGCAGCGGCGGCAGAGCGTCCACCACGTCTGGAGGCTCCAAAGCGATGGCCTCCACCATCACCAGGTAGAGCAGGCTTCCGAATTTTCGTGCGATTGGTTCGCCTCAAGATCTGACCACGAGGAGGTATGATAATGGGGGCGTCAGCCTCGTCGCCCATATCTGGCATGTTCTTCATCTGCTCTATGGCTTCAACGAAGAGTTCAGAATTGAGTACAAAAGCCAAAAGAAATACAAGTGCTCACCAGTCGGAGAGATATTTAGACTAAGACTTCTTCGCAAGATATTTCTCAACTTTGAGGGATCATCGCTCTCAGAAGCTTCTTCTGCCAGTTGCTCCAGCTTCTGAAGGTCGCTTATGGTGAGTTGAGGGCCTTGATTAACATAGCGAGTGCTCCGAGTGCGACTGAGGGGAACTATTCGTTCGTCTTGTTCTTCGACACCGTCATTTTCCGAAGGTCTATATTGGCGACTGAGCATGGATTTCTTCCTCCCAAGTCCTCCTGCGGAGAGCGAAGAAAGGGAGCCTGATCTGCTGACTGGAGCGCCATCTACAGGAGGTGGTGAGCGAGAATGTTCTCTGAGGAATTCGCGAAATTCAGCCGGAGCGATTTCGGGATGAACACTGGCAGGGACCCAGAAGAGATGGAAAGGATCATCTGTAGGATTATCAGTCTCTACTGTTGTATGACCAGTGCTACTGCTAGATCCATCTTCATTGGAGCTGCTGGATGAATCGTCCGCTGTTGATCCTCCTGACCAAGAGTATGTCGACGACGCTGGCGAGGTTTGATTAGGCAGGTCAGGGTCAATGGTGAGCGCTCCTGGCGTTGTAGATCGTCGTCGTATGTCTCTGAGGGCTTCGACCTCACGCTGAATGTCATATGTTGAAGGCTGCATTGTCGAGGTCGTGTCCAGTCTGAGAGAAAGACTGTTGGAAGGGCAACTGCTCTACTGTGTATCACAGGTGATGATATCCAGATTGAAACAAAGGCAGAAGGCCAAACGTCGTTGAACAGGTCGTTTCTTGTCGTCGTGGCTGACGATGATGAAAGATGAAGGTTCTGGTAAGGAAGTCAAGGCCAGGTCCGCCCGTCAATCTCAAATTACTACGATCGGCTTCCGGCTGTTCACCGCGCCCAAATTTACTTTCAAGTTCAACAAAAAGTCAGGCTAGCGGTTCACACAAGTGAAGAAATTTTTCTAATACATCCCGTTCTATAATTGTAATAGGCACTGATAGCACTGTCATACACTCATAGATTCAAAACTTGACTGGCAAGTTAGTGAACGCTCCAATCAGAATTTAAGGCAAGAAACATCCACAAAACTATGAAATGAGAGGAAATCAGGTTATGGCACAGCTGAAACAGACATTAACTGAATAGTGAGCGCACGTACGAAACGACACTTACGATTATAGACGCCACGCCCAATGCGTAACATATCATGAACATACAGTATCTGACAAACTCTAACTTTAATGTTTTGTAGCGAAAACTGGCACTATCGATGAACGGGCAGGACATGGGCCGAACGAAACCAACTCAGAATCTCAGGTGTAAGATTTGAGAGCATTCTCGAATTGGGAGAATCAGATATTCTGACCCGCAAGTGAGGTGGAAAACCAAAATCTCAGGAATACGCCGCGGCCGTATCGCGGCACCGAAAATCACTGTCGTAAAACATCGAATGAATTTTACCGCATAGATACGGCCGATGCACGACCAGCTAATGCGGCATTTTCTCGTTTGAGTTCCTGTATGACAGCCTACCAATTCCAGAAAATGGAATAGTTGAGAACCATAATAATGCACGCCAAGCGAAGATGAGGGTTTATCCTGGTGTTGGGGCAGTTATGGTACTCACCGCAAGAGCCTCAGGATTTACACCACTCTCGATCATTCTCACACACGTTGTCAAAGTCTCTTTGTCGAGTTGTGTATTCAACAGCTGGGACATCTCAAATAAGACTGGTCAAATATAAGATGAGAGAATCTGAACCGGGCGCGACACAAAGGACTTACTATCCAAGGTCTGCTGAGCAGAGGCAATACGGTCGGATTCTTGTGAGGACATTTCAAGGAAGATATCTCTGAGCGGTCTCTGCCCGATGTTGAGGAGTAGCCGCAGATCAGCGGTGGTCGCTGGAACCTGAGTGACGAATTGGCCACGTGTAAACTCTTATTGCTCATCAATTTTTTTTGTTCGAAGTAACACCACAGCGCCATCCCCAGTACCTCAGTCCATCTTACATCTCTGAGCCAGACCGTCATGGCTCCGTCCAAAACTGGCAAAGCATCCACCAAGTCATCGAAAAAAGAAAAGATTTTTCATCCCCAATCAAGAAAAGCTGATCAGCTTTCGCGAAAAGCTTTGCGGAAAGACAAGTTGGTTTCGCTAGTATCTAGTCGGAATAAAAAACATGACATACTCGGTTAGTGAAGGTGCTCCAATGATCTTGCCAGTCGTGCTCATGATGTTCATATATCCATATCCTTTGATTCAAATCATCCCCTGCTTTCCATCTTCGTTATTCTTCCCTCTCCTTTTCTTTTCTACCTAGCCGACTTCTACGGATTTTTCTATCACTCAATGCCCGCAGAAGGTACTTTGACATTGGAAGAATTACATAGCCTCATAGCGGATGTATGGCTCAAGCGATACGATGAAGAATTGGAGACTGAACGTGCTGCACGGCGGAAAGGTAGACCGAAGAGTGTGAAGGAGAGCAAATTAGAGGAATTGATATTGAGGGAATCGGAGCAATATCGAACGGGGTTTGGTTAGTGCTCTGTTCTCCTCCCATCTTACACTTTCTGGTTTCTTATCATCCTGCTCTATCTAGAGGTAATCGACCTAACGCATCCAGAAAATGTCACATTATTCCGAACGTGGGATCAGAAAGAGGTCCCGTTTATCGACCTACTACGGTTTATACGCATATGCAGCGCCAGTCCGAACACATTCGTCATTTCGCGACCTGGTAAACATTATTCGATAACGAAGGACCCTTTGGCTCAGAGCCTTCCTAATTCAGGGGATATGGAGTTGGATACATAGTTGGTATCTTTGTTTGTATATTACGGCCTTACACTTGAATGATGGTATACCGGTCTATAACCACGACGCACGCTAGCTAAAAGTTGCCCTTTTTGATGTCCTTTTATCGCAATCCCTTTGTGCGCTGAATCCCGATGTTCTCGTTAGCAAGCTCTACATGACCTGGATGTATGATATACAGGATTAACACTCACTTCAAGGTTCATCTTTATGAGAGAGGTGATAAATTATGCTGCTCGCGAGCTCTTTGTCATATTTAATGCATTCAAGACTAAACATAGGAAGCTTCTGCAAGCGAGTTTAATCCTTTGAGAAAGACTGTAGAGTTTGTTTTACTTACTTCAGTACCATGGGAAAGGTCTCTGATAATATCTTTCTTCCTGGCATCTGACCCAATTGTGTTTAAATTTCGTCGTGCTTCCTGACCATCTACTGACCATTCCAGGTCAATTGGTCTACCTTGCTTTCTACATGCAGATCTTGCTCTCATGAACAGATAGCAAGCGGGACCTCCTGGACCGATTTCAATGATTTCTGAAGCAATTGCTTCTTGTACCTGTTATCGATTGTCAACATCGGGAGCTGTCAAACTAGAATCTTGGAATATATACAGATTGAGGTTGTCGAGCGAAGTCCTGGGCTGGCATTGACCCCTGCTTAACAAGTTTATAGGTCCCATAATACTCAACAGGGACTTTACTTGTGGGAACTGTAAACATGTTGACGCCGCACTGAGCTCTGTTCACTGGCACAAAAAGTTCGAATATTGATGCATTCTTGTCCTCCAAGAGATGTTCCATCCTCGGTCTCATGCCGAACATAAGTCCATGGGCACCAGGACGAGAAGGAAAATGGGCATTGAATTCTGGTGTTTTATTTGGGAAAATGAAGTACCGTTGCTTGTGTTGAGTGGCATTTGGTATCTTCTTGACCTTCCTGAGCATGGAAGAATAGGCAACCGGATAGCCCGTGACAAATTGTGTGATTGTACCACCGAACGTGGAGCTCAATTCTTGCCGCGTAGTAATCAGCTCGGGTTTGCAATCTTGCGTTTCTGGTGTAGAGATTGCGCGACGTAGGATAGAAGCAACTGTCTTAGGATCAAGTAAAATCAAATCCGCAGGCTCCGCTCTTGGCTGGATTGTCTGCCGAGCATACGAGTCAGCTGTTTTGCTGACAGAACATAGAATGTGGAATAAGACAAGCTTTGCTGTTTTGAAGAGGAACCATTCTTGTCGTATTTCCAAGTCTACTCACAGTTGTCAAGGCTTTGTCAGGCATTCGGGATTCTGAGATGATCTCAATCATCCATCTATGAGCAAAACGATACTGGAGTTAGTTTCTGTACCTGATTGCTTCATCTTAGCCCGTTTCGTTGAGCGGTCAGCGACATTGTTTAGTTCAATTGGTACTTTGTTTCCAGTGTCGCGGAAAGACAGTTGTTGTGAAGTTCTCTTGACATCAAAGTTGGGATGGAACGTGGTGCGTCGGGGGACATGGCTACCATGCTTAACCAAGATAAACGATCAGAGCGAATGTTAGCAGCAGATCAAAAAATGGGACTAACAATCAGATCTGGTTCAGAGTGCGAAGGCTGATTATAGACATTTTTGAGAGGACCGTCTTCATCATCCGAGTCATCCGAGTCACTCAAGATGATGGGTCTTTTTCTCTTTATATGGCAATCAATGACTGAAAGGGAAAATGCAATGTGTTTACAAGACACATACTGGAATGGTCTGCTTTTTGGCAATACTTGGCTTGAACTTTGAAGGCGATTTATTCTTGTTTTGGGCAATAGAGTGCATACTAGAGTTTGCAGTCTCCAGAGAATGATCTTCTAAAGGTTGTAAGCGATTTTTGTTGGTGTTGTGCTCGAGCTCATTGTCGCTCAGATCAACTTTGTGCTTTGCAGTGATCATTGTCTAGCAGAGAAACATGAGATGAGAAGACTTACCGGGATTGTTCGGGTGTTATTATCATAATTAAAAGGTAGATTGTGGTGTTGTGTTGCATTAGCTGAGTTTTGTGTTACAAGGATGTTTTCCAAAGTATGAATGTGCGTCTGCACGTAAGCTATCTGAATTCTCAGTCTGTCATTCTGCTGTTCAATCTCTGCAGCCTGGGAGTGAAGTTGCGCTTGAGATACGAGCAGGGATTGAACTTCTGAGCGAGAGTGGTTCCTGGCATTTTGAAGATTTTCGATTTCGGGTTGCGTGCAATACGGAGAGTCTCTACGCGGCATGGGGCGAGCACTCCTAGCACGAACAGATGAGAGGAATTGAGAAGAATTGAAGCAATGGCACACTCGGAAACAGTCTGAATTATAACCAGGATGTTTTACGCAACTTAATTAAGGACACCACGTCGAATCCTGTTGACTCACATCACTGGCACAATAGGGCACAATATGGAAGCGTAGAGGTCACATACATAGACATCACAGATGATCAATGAAGCTCAAAAACCAAGAAAGAGTTGGTTTCATGAAGGGTTCATGTATTCCGTGACACGATAGATTCAGACTGTGGGTTTTGCACAAGGAATTTGATAGATAGAGAGATTAGAGAGGCACCTCATACGCCCAGTAAATCAAGGTAGTAGCCTTTGCCAAAGGGGGTGGTTTGGCTAAGGCTGTTGTCATAGAGTACCACTATCTACCTATAGCGGAATAAAAGCTGGATATTTCATATAAACTCAGTAGTACTCTAACTTACATACAACCTTCCGACCACCATCTTCTCACAGGCGCTAAAAAGAAAATGGAAGGAAACGGTGCGTTCTCCCCACCAGTTATCTTGCTAACATCATTGCAACTAGGCTATCATTCATCAATGTTGGACATACTTATTTGCTTGCCGCTGGTGGATGTTTGCCCTTGCTCGTCGCCATTTTTTCACCTTCTGTGACCATCACCCACGGTCTTGCCTATCACCCCATCAATCTTCAGCCACACACACCGGCCTACTATCATCTACTCTTTTCTTCCCATGACCACCAATACCTGTAACCTTTTGCAATGGCACAACTGCTCAGTGCTGCTCACTATAGCACTCAAGCTCGAGAGGGGTCATGTCTGACTTACTCCACCACTCCACTCCATTCCACCCTGTGACTTCATATTACCAAAGCCAAAGCTGCCGGCCAGCTGTCTCCCCACCGCCACTTCATTTACTCATTTACACAGTTTTCCGGAGTTATATTGAACATTTATATCTTTGCAGTTCATCACAGTTATCATCCTGAGGTGGCCATCAAAAACCGTCTTTGGACAGACTGGACCATAGGGGAATTTGCTTCGTCTATGGGGCTTTTGGACCTCAGGCCTCAAATGAACTGACCCTTTGGTTACATCTGCATTTCACAACACCTTCAGTATCTAACTTCTACATTACATTCAAGTAGCTATGTTAGTGTACCTGCAGTCATGTAACTTCCCCACTGTACTTGCTGCAGTCTACCATGACCATGTGGCATGAGCATTCGCTGTAGTGGAGGCAGTGGGCCCGGCTGTTCCCTTGTGGGACCCCGTCTTCGGACGGAGCCGCGTATTTATCTATCTATCTATCTACACACTATATATGCCATTGTATTCAATTCCCGACCTTGAGAAATTTACCCGACGTACACTTCCCGACGCCCGTACCCTGTGTACTTTCTGAGGCATAATAACACTTGCTACTTAAGGTACTACTTCTTTATCGTGGGCTTTACGTATATAAGTCATTGTTCCTACTAGGTAGTATTTGTAGGAGGGAGGACCAGCATTGGAGCTCGACGACGGTGTTCAGAAATGCGGACCGTGAGCGCTTATTTGCTGCCTCGTTGTTGTTGACAGCGAGCTCAAGGCAGAGCAATAGTGCAGACTGCCCTCGGACCTTGCGGGAACAGCTGGTAGTATATCTGAGCACCTCTTTGTTATCTGACTGTATTTAAATCATAGTAGAACGTTAGTCCACAAGCTGATCTTTGGTTAAGAGCTTGATTATATGTGAGTTCATTGTACTAAATGTTGAGCTCGAGCATACAAAAATAATCTGTGAGTCCCTAAATTCTGGTACAGTGCTCTGCACGCATACACGTCCAGCATACTACAAAATGAGATATATTGCAACTATGTGAGTAGTAAGAAGGCATGTCCGAGTACTTAAAATCAATGACTGCATTGTGTTCACATCCGTAAAGGTACTAAAGATTGTACTGTAGCCTATATAACTGCAATATATCTCATTTTGTAGTATGCTGGATGTGTATGCGTGCAGAGCATTGTACCAGAATTTAGGGACTCACAGATTATTTTTGTATGCTCGAGCTCAACATTTAGTACAATGAACTCACATATAATCAAGCTCTTAACCAAAGATCAGCTTGTGGACTAACGTTCTACTATGATTTAAATACAGTCAGATAACAAAGAGGTGCTCAGATATACTACCAGCTGTTCCCGCAAGGTCCGAGGGCAGTCTGCACTATTGCTCTGCCTTGAGCTCGCTGTCAACAACAACGAGGCAGCAAATAAGCGCTCACGGTCCGCATTTCTGAACACCGTCGTCGAGCTCCAATGCTGGTCCTCCCTCCTACAAATACTACCTAGTAGGAACAATGACTTATATACGTAAAGCCCACGATAAAGAAGTAGTACCTTAAGTAGCAAGTGTTATTATGCCTCAGAAAGTACACAGGGTACGGGCGTCGGGAAGTGTACGTCGGGTAAATTTCTCAAGGTCGGGAATTGAATACAATGGCATATATATAGTGTGTATGTAAGTTAGAGTACTACTGAGTTTATATGAAATATCCAGCTTTTATTCCGCTATAGGTAGATAGTGGTACTCTATGACAACAGCCTTAGCCAAACCACCCCCTTTGGCAAAGGCTACTAACTTGATTTACTGGGCGTATGAGGTGTAGAGAGGGTAGGATAGAATTACGTGGCTATGTCCATCTGCAAAACCTGTATTTTCGGCTAAGGGTCCGAAAGCGGTCGAGAGCACTTCCCAGCAGTGAAAGCACCCAGAGCATGTTGCTTTCAGTGCTTTCAGCACTGGGATCTGCTGGGATCTGCTCTCAGCCCTTAGCCGAATATCCAGGTTTTGCAGATGTCGGTTGTTGGTACAATTGAATTTGAAATAAGCGCTGAAGCGCTTCCACCCATCTTCGAGCATCGAACATGCCAATGCCATGTCCACTCTTCTCCCATTCCACACTTCGATCTTGAATGAAATCTACGACCCCGATACATCAGATTTGCTCATTCTCTCACGAGGTTTAGGATTAAGACGAATAATATGTACCTTACTCAAGATATACGACTCTCCGCATAATCTTGTTTTACTTGTCAATGCTACACAAGAGGAGGAGACGGAGATTGGAGAGGAGCTTGGTATAATGGGCTGTCGTAAACCAGGCTTGAGAGTTGTTGGGTATGAGACCGGGACGAGCCGTGATCGGTGAGCATTTCACTATCCTTAATCCTATTGTCGTGTTAAGCCTTAAGTTAATGGAGGCAGGAACTGTACAAAGGGGGTGGACTGATCGCTGTAACACTGCGTATCCTAGTCGTGGACCTACTTCAGAGCACAATTCCTATCGATTTAATAACTGGTATCATAGTCATGCACGCTGAGAGGTACTAACAAATTCTCGACCAGTCCTACAATTTGTAGCTGAACTTCTGAATTAGAGTATCACCACTACATCTCGTATCATTCATCACGCGTCTCTACCGAGAAAAGAACGTGAAGGGGTTCTTGAAGGCATTTACTGACCAACCAGAACACATAACAAGCGGGCTGTCTCCACTGAAGAATATTTTGAAGGAATTGCAACTGAGACGCGTCTGGATATATCCAAGGTATGTATTACGTTGCTTGAATACCATTAGTCAATAAGTTAGCCAAGGTTTCACCAAGAAGTGAAGGATACTCTGGAGCGGAAACGTGCAGATGTCATCGAATTCGCACAGAACCTCACTGACAATATGAACGACATTCACGCTGCTATTGTCCAGTGTATGAATTTAACTCTAGCTGAACTTCGACGATCTAAGGTGGAGGTACACATAACCCGTCTCCTAGTTATACTCTCCGTAGCTGAACTCCTTCCTAGTTGGATTTGGATAGTCTCAACCTCCCAGCGGCATACTTCTCCTCCTTTGACCACATCGTACGCAAACAACTCGATCCTATCTGGCACAAAGTTGGTCCTAGCACGAAGGCTCTTGTACGCGATCTGGGAGTCCTTCGTAGACTTGTCGGATATCTGCTAGTCTACGATCCTCTCCAGTTCCATTCCTTTTGCCAGTCCCTCGTCGAATCCGCTACATCAACTAACTCAGAATCAGGCTCAGGTTCAGGTAAAAGCCAATGGATGTTGACAGACGCTGCGAATATTGTTTTCCAAGCCGCCAAAAGGCGTTGTTTCGTGGATGTTCAACCAGAGCAAGGAGAAGTTATCGATTTAGATGATGACGATGAAGCTTGGGATGCTGTCTTCGAACTCGAAGGTCGTCCCTCGGAAGCTCGTCAGTCCACAAACAAGGGCAAGGGCAAGGCTACAGGAAAGCGCCCTGGATGGCTTCCGAAAGAAATTCACCCTGTTTTGGAGGAACTGCCCAAATGGAGTTTATTAGCAGAAATCATAGAAGAGATTGAGGTGGAAATCGTACGTATGGAAAGCACCGTCTCCTCGCGGCCAGTCAAAGACCCTCCAGGGACGAACGTCACCCTCATAATGTGCTCTTCCACAGCGACATGCACTCTCCTGAATGACTTTTTGTCCTCAATGGACAACACCCGGCCCAAAGGAGAATGGGGCCGGCGCATGATGTTGAAGAAGCTTCGGAGTTGGATTTGGTGGGAAAAGAGGCGGAAGATGATGCAGGAGGTTACGCAGAGTGCTAATAGTAGTGGGAAGAAAGGTGGGAGCAATATTGCTCAAGAAATGGTGCGCGGTGGAAGCACGAGTGGAAATGGAAACGAAGGTCTGAGTGAGGCGATGAGGAAGAAGGATCGGGAAAGGGCCGCTCAAGCGGCGTCTAGGAGGAGAGTTCGTGGAGGGGCTCCTGTGAATAACAGTGGTAGAGGGTCTACTGTACCTCGAGATACGCCTGCGCCAGGTGCAAGCACTTCAGAGCCTGGATTAGGTCAGACTATATCAGATGACTTGTGTGTTGTTCATGCCTTACGGGTTTCCTGATCTAACCTGCCTCCACCAGTTTCACTACTGACAATGTGGAACTATTATCTTTGAACGACGATGAAATTGAGCTCAATCTCATGGGTAACATGTCCACTGTAGAATTTTCCGCCGAATTCGATGCGCATTATGGGCTACTTTCTCCGCCACAGACAGTACTGGTTCGGGCCTACTCGGATGACACCGACGACCGAATGCTAGATGAAATTAAACCTCGATTCATTGTCATGTTCGAACCCTGCATGGAGTTTGTTCGACGCGTTGAGGTAAGAACATTGTCTATACATACATCTCCAGAGAGTATCAACGCTCGGTTCAGGTTTATAAATGCTCGAATCCTGGTCTCCCGGTCAGAGTCTACCACATGGTCTACGCAAATTCATGTGAAGAACACAAGTACCTTGCGGGGATCCGCCGAGAGAAGGATAGCTTTGAACGTTTGATCAAAGAACGAGGTGTATGTTGGTTCTATTTCTTCCCTCGAAAAAAACTTTATAAACTATTTCCTGTGTAGTCAATGCTTCTACCGATTATCGAAGACCAACGTACCGCGGAAAGTGATGCGATTATCAAGACCATAAGCTCGAGGGTAGCAGGAGGGAGAAGGGCATTAAATTTAGTGCCTTCTCAGGTATGTCTGTGCGCACTTTCGCCTCCGCTCAACATTCTTTCTCAGCCTAGTATAGGTCATTGTGGACATGCGGGAGTTCCGCTCAACGTTACCTTCTTTGCTGCATGCCTCACATCTATTGGTCATACCGGCGACCTTGACGGTTGGAGATTATATCTTGACTCCAGAGATATGCGTAGAGAGGAAGAGTTTATCGGATTTGGTTTCGAGCTTTAATAGCGGTCGATTGTAAGTTACGGGAGTTTCAGTCTGGTGAAGAAAATGCTAATTCATCAATTTGGATAAAGGTATACACAGTGCGAGTTAATGTCCGTGCATTACAAGATACCCGTCCTCTTGATTGAATTCGACGAGGATAAGGCTTTCTCTTTTGAGGTTCGTACTTCCCAAAACCGCAGTTTCTATACTGAGATTACATTGTTACGAAGATAATCTCTGACCTCAAATCATACGCAAAAACAACTAATCGCTATCCACACAAAAAGAAAACTACCGGAAACCCAACTGAACACAACTATACCTCACCCACAATCCAATCCAAGATCACTTTACTCACCCTCAGCTTTCCCCGCCTTCGCATCATCTGGTCTTCATCGCCCTACGCCACAGCCGATATCTTCAATGATCTCAAGAAAGACCGTGCAGAGCCTGATCCAGTCAAAGCCGTTGCGACGGGTGCCGAGGAGGACCCAGAGGCTGGGGCAGGGGTAAACGCCGCTGCTGAGGAACTGTTGCGGAGTTTTCCTGGAATCACGGTAAAAAATGTCAAGCATGTTATGAGCAAGGTGAATAATGTAAGGGAGCTGTGTGAGATGGATCTCGTTGGGGTTCAAGGGATATTGGGGGCTGAACCAGGGAAGGCCTGTTATGAGTTTTTACATAAGGGAGAGGGAGGCTTCCGTCGATAGATTTGACAATGAACTTGAAACAGTGAATACAGTGTACACTTTGTATGATACCTCGCAAGTGCAAGCGGGAAATCTGTTTACACATTAAAAAATTTTCGTCAAGATTCCTTGCCTTTGCATCTACAAAATACCACATTCTAATATTTTTTGGATCCTTCTCGTCAATACTAAACTCAGGTTGTGGCGTACGGTCGAGCGTGCAGCGTGCAGCGTGCGGTGAGATAAAGGGGGAGACCAGATGAGGTTGCACACCTCCCAAGTTTCGTCTCAAACGCAGCTCCTCACACTTGCTTTTCCTCGAGCTCGTCATTATTTCGCCAAATGACTGCTCTCAGAAAGAAACCGCACACAACTTATCGAAACCGGCTTTTTCTATATAGCTCCATTTTCCTCTATCTGCGCCTTCTTTCCCCACATGTACTGTATTAGGATGTATGACTGTCCTGTGGAAAATTGGATTGGTCAAACATGCGCGTACGTGCGAGCTAGCGGCGGAAGCGAGGTGGCTCTCAGCTGGGGGAAGAAACGAGCGCCACATGATTGGCGCTCAGCGACCAGCGCTAACTTTCTCTTTTGAGCATGACAGGAAAGGTCGCAAAAATGGTGATGACGTGAACAGTGTTGGTTCCCGAGGGAATTGACAAACAAATGGATCTGATTGAGAGAAACGTACTGACAGTTTCGAACATTCCAGTTAGGCCATTGATCGTTGCCGAACTCTCTCATATAATCAACGTCGAATACAAGTGCCAGTATGAATCGCATTTAGGATAGGATATCATAGGATATGCGTTGTAGTTCCAACTGCAAACTACCGTGGGCGATTGAAGGGCAGACCAAAATTGAGTCCGAGTATGTTCCATCCACCGAGTTTGAATTCAAGATTACACCGGCGTATACCCAGTCATGCCTGATATACGCGAAACCATAAGGTCCTTCGACTTCATCAACGAAGAGATCCATCCGCCGACAATAATACCCCAGAGAATGTTGAAGTAACCCATTCCACTGGTCTGCAAAAAAAGTCAGTACGAGGCTTGGGAAGGTTGTATTGGAACATCGAAGTACCCACCTTTCCATTGGTAACCATTATCATCACGAAAGATCCATTGTACTTTGCGCTCTGCTTCAAAGAGAGAAGATTTATAGACGCTGACATCCCCTCGGTTTCTCGAAGATACAAGAGAATATTTTTGGCAACTTTGGGAGCTTGGAAAAAGCTTGCATTTGCCGCAGTTTTCTGCTCTTTCCAGTCCATGATGTCGCCAAAGGCGAAGACATTGGGATGAGCAGGCAGTTGGAATGTTGGGAGAATCTTGACGTGGCCAGTGGAGGAGAGGAGGTCTGAGGGAAGGTAAGAAGTATTTGGGCGGGTACCCCACGTCGGGATCTGTGAAAACGAGAGACTAAGCAGTATTTAGTAGTATTCAGAGACGAGATTACTTACCACCAGATCGGCCTTGAGTGTTTTACCCTGTTCAGTGATAAATCCGTCTTTGGGAATTTGACTTCCTGATACTTTTGACGCGTCCGAGGCGGAAATAGCATCTCCAGTGAGGACGGTTATACCACGACCTTCGAGTTGTTTTTGAACGGCGATTCGGTATTTGTCTGGATAGGTCGCGTTGAGGAGGTGGTTTTCACGGTGAATGATCGTGATGGGCTTCAACTGAGAAAAAAAATGAGGACATTTTAATGATACAGTTGAAGATAATATAACGAACTGGGAAAATGTCTCGCAGTTCACCGGAAAGTTCTGTCGTATTATTAGCCCGAAAGTATGAAACCGACATTGTGAATACGAACCTATACCGACCGACCCTCCCCCAACTAGCAGAATATCTTGTGCAGTGTCAAACTCTGCCCGCATTGCTTGAATATGCTCCGTAATTTCCTTCATGTTTTCTGTTGGAAACGCGATGGGACGAGGCCAAGTCGATCCAGTAGCAAGTACGAGAACATCGTAGGCTACAGTCTCGCCATTATCTAGAGTCAAAATACCACCGTCTCCAGGCTTCCCAAAATCAATTTCCTTCACAGAAGCATGGATGAATATCCCGGTTCCGGTGAGCTTATTGCGAAAGGTGTGATCTCCGTAAGGATGGATAGATCTTTTCAAAAGGTCGTCTGCGTTGGAGACTATGAGCCGCAATGTGGAGGGCAAGTGAATCATTGTAGGGCGAGCGTCGATAAGGATGACCCTTTGTTTATCTGGATCGATGGTCGTCGAGAGGTTATTGAGCAGTGAAAGGCCTCCGGCACCGCCGCCAACAATGACGATGGTCGACTTTTCCTTGTTGGGTTGATTGTGAAGAGACATTGTTTTGGAGAATAGAGCTTAACAAATGCATATTTTCTGGATGCTTTAAATATCAGTCGAAGTCAGGTCCAAGATATAGGCTAACAGTGATTACACCGGTGTGATTACCTGTGATTACCAAAGGCAGCAGTCAGCAAATCAAATCGTGATGACGTTTACTACTACCGGCAGAATAAGGCAGAATGAACGTTGAACAGTTGAATGCCGACCAGTGGTTACTAGTGGGGACCAGGCTGGGCGCTGCTGGACGACGAACCTCGTCTGACAGCAGCGACTACTCTTAAACTGAAGTATTTCCTCATGATTAGTTCTACGTTTTTCGCTCATCGTCGTGGTACTTTTAAAGACTTTTTCTGACTTTTTATCGCCCATACAATCATCAAGATCGTATTGTTCATAAAGGTTCAAAAGTATTTTTGACAGTTTCAGCTTCAACGAGCATTAAAAAGTTCAAGTTCGTTCAGGTTCGTTCTTGAATTGTTTTTTGCTCTCGACTCGATGCCTTTTTTCGACTCTCTAGGGTAAGGAGAAGTTACTAGCGTTGTCTAGCGTTGTTCTGCCGATTAATCTGTTACAGTACATAGACAGTCTCTGTCAGTCTGTTGTTCCATCCTCAAACCGTGATTAAGCAATGGAAAAGTAGGCACAAATTTTCAATTCTCAATGAGGGGGATTACACGGTACACAGGTACTCCAATTCAGTACTGGTCCCTGCAATTTACTCGGCTTCAAGTTTAGTGATTTGGAAAACCTCGTTGGGAGGGTAGCGGGGTGGAAGGCTCGGTCCAACAATCAAAACCCTGTACTCAATCTGGAGGGATTCGAGGTATAATCACTCAGTGATTTAAGAAAGACAGGTGTCCAAACTTACCTGTTCATTCAGCTCTTTGGGAGCAACCCAGCCCTTGCCTTCAGATGCGCTTATGCTAGGGAAGTAAAAAGGTGAGTCTCATTTCACTACCCGAAAACGCCCTAACTGCATACACGTAGGCATTTTCACCATGCTGAGGGACGGCCTTAATGGTCCATTTGGTGGCCTGTTCCTGATTGATCAGGAGCGCAAAAACATGGTTTTCGATATGGGTAGTCGGGGAACCAAAGCTAATGAGAAGATACTCATTCTCTTTGTCAGATTTTTGAATCGCCCACTGTCCCAAGCAAGCGAATAGTCAGTGGATAGACGGTGAGGAGACCATAAATGAAGTAGACGACTTACAATCGATGTTCGCTCGCTTTCAGTCAGAATAATCCTCTTGGGAAGAAGGCTAAGGTCTTCAGCCAATGCTCGACCCACTAGTTTTTCGCCGTTTTTGATGGTGTAGAGACCTGTTTCAAGAGCCATGCTGTGAGAGTTGACACTGGTAGTAGCTGGGTTCATCCTGGGCCTTTTATATGTATACAAGGAGTACTAAGATTGGATTCCTTAACTTGTTCTGACCGACTAGCTGTCGGAATGTTCTGTGAATGTATATCAGAGCATCTAGTCTGGTGAGGGACCACCATGCTGAAGTAGCAGAATAATGAATGCACTTTCTGATCCTGTTTTTGTCCGCAGCTATGTTACCCTTCTGAGTGTAGGAAAAGTTCAAACTGACGAGTGTCTGTGTATGGAATTGTTTACAAAACCTTCATATTCTGGCATGAACCCTATTTCCCCGGACCCGGAGAATCATTTTCTTGATTTATGGCAGCGCTACTCTTCATTTGAGGGGAGTTTATCTGTACTTGTGTGCGTGCCATTAGGCAAACAAACGTCAAAATCAAGGGTTCAGATTCGAGACATTGCGACAGAGATAGGGGCTGGCAGAGTTTGGCGTGTTGCACTCTCGTTGAATGAGTTTACTAGAGAAATTGACCATTGATAATTCACGATGAGCTCATGTGCTGCTCATCTGTAAACGCGATCAGACAAAGAAACGTCGTCAAAACAATGGGAGCTTACTAAAATTAGGCAACTCGCGGGACTCATAAGGAAACTTCAACGGTTCTTCTGTGTAGTCTTTTCTATGAAGAAACCTGCTAGAGATTGGCAGATTGCTTAGGCTGTCTATTCACCGCTGACCAGGATTCCACGACGGGAGGCATTAATCCTCCTTGACCTTGAAAATTAAAGTTCTTGCGAGAGGATCGGAAAGGCTGGCTTTCCATAAGTGCGTTGAATGGTGATCATAAAGAATGCTAAGGAGTTGAAGTTCTTTTGGAAAATACTATGACATTCGACGACTTTGAGGTGGCATTTGAAGGGCTGTGGAGGAATATACTATTACGTGTGTTGTACAAGGATGCATCCTGCAAATATTCTTGCTACAGGAAGGCATAGGAAGGCATGGGGCCCTTTCAGGTCATCAGGCAGCTTGGTGCCATTGATTGATGATTCCGACTCTTGAGGGTGGTGATTTTGTTCTCCGCCGTCGTACGACATTGAAAGTCTGTAGAAGACACGTTGACATTGAAAAATGCTACTCCTAATCGTACTATTGAATACCTTTTGCCCCAATTTCGGAACGTGCATCAAACACGACGGGTTTGAACCTGCACCCATCCAAGCTTTTATGCTACCTTGGTTGACCATCCAATTTCCTCGAGTAGACTTGCAGCGCAAATCATCCAGCGTGTCGATGTTAACTAATGATTGCAAGCTATGGGAACAATCACACAGTTGCCGGGACATGTACATCATAGTAAAATAGAGAAAGGCTGGGTATCTTACATTAAAAAGGAACAGAAGGGAACATTCTTACCGGCATCATTCAGTTCCATGTGTTGTATGTAGAAAAGCAACAATGTCCACCATATTTAGTGCTGGGATTCATTGCACCGAGTCGTTGCATGAATATTCTGACCAGTTCTGACCTCGAGGACATGATAGGCTGTAGCCCAACTGTACAGAGCTTCGCTAACACATACGATTGACGGATACTGTGCGAATCTTCGAACTTTCGCCATGATCCCAACCACCTTTAATTCTCCCTCATCGGGGTCCTTCCTCCACAGTCGCATTATCGTCAGCTTTTCCGTCCTATGGAACTCTACAAGCACCTGCAGTGTCTAATTACCGCTCCCTTTCCACCTTTCTCATGACTCAATTTACTGAACATGCGAAAAGAGCTACTAGACATGCCCTAATCGGCGACACCTCCGAGTCGTCCCTAACTTATAACTATCGGCGTTTGTGTACACTCTCAATCCTACGGCGGAGCACATCAGTGTATGAGCCTAGGGCGAAGCAGCCAAAAAGTTCCTTTTTCATTTTCTCAACAAGTATTTATTACATTTGAACTATTCCGACACTCCTATTTCAACTAAGTACTCGTGCTAGCGCTAGTCTTTGACTTTGGTAATGTGGAAGACCTCGCTGGTAGGGAACTGAGGTGGCTCGCTCGGCGCAACAATCAAAGGCCTGTATTGAATCTTCAAAGGAGCGGAGTAGGTTTGCATGGTGATAAAATGGGACTGTCCAAGCTCACCTGCTCGCCGATTTCCTTGGGAGCGACCCAACCCTCGTTGCGATCAGCAGTGGTTATCCTATGAAGTTGAGACGTCAGTTTTTTATGGCAACCGATAATATCAGGACAGCCGCGAACAAGAAAGCATCCTTGCCGTGGTGGGAGACAGGTATGACGACCCATTTTGTGGCCGCTTCCTGATTTACCAAAAGAGCAAAGACGTTGTGCTCAATGTGGGTAGTCGGGGAGCCAAAGCTAATGAAGAGGTAGGATTGATCTTTGACAGAGTCAGTCTTTTCAATGATCCACTATACAGGGGATAAGAGTCAGTGAATCAACGAGACATAGGTTATTGCAAAGCCTCACAGTGGACTCATTGTCACTGGAAGCAAGGATGATTCTCTTGGGATTGAGGCTTAGGTCTTCCGCCAAAGCTCGACCCACAATTTTGTCACCGTTTTTGATGATGTAGCGACCAGTTTCGAGAGACATGCTGTTCTTTCTTTGTAGTATGAAAAGCTGACGGTCAGCAGCACCAACTCAGGCTTTCTTAAATATGGTACACCTGCACGGAAGACCACTTATTTGCTCCGATATCCGACTGTCCTCTCCGGTGACATGCTTGCCAGTAAGGCAAGCAGAACGTGCTTTCTTAGTAAACTTGTGAGTATTTAGAGGGGGAGTAAGTTGAGACGAAGTTGCCCACTGGGAGCTTGAAGTATATAAAGATTCATCTATTCAGAACCCCCGTTCATGAATATATGATTCCCTACCTTCTTTTCTATTTTCTCCTGAAGGCAATTATTGCGAATAATTCATGGAACTGGCAGGCATAATCCCCATTTATTGTCATGTTTTAGAGGTCTATAAATTAGCTATAGGCTCATAAAGGACGAAGAGAGAACAGGGGCTTGCATTCTAGCAAACCACCAGAGAACTTCGAAGATGTCTTCGACAACAAGATCTGCCAGACGCAGTGGCATGCTCCGATGGAGTTGTCCAAGGGGAGCTCATGTGCTGCTCATTTGTATGTACCATTAGGCAATCCTTGTCGAAGGTATAGCGGCAAATGGTATTCTGGCCTTAATGATATGTCTTCCAGAAACGTGCGCCGTTGTGTCAGAGGTTGGCAGACTGCATTGACCAAATTCAAGGTTAGCACATCTGCTGGTACTATTGCGCAAAGGGATGGCGAATGGAAGGAAATCGGCTTCAGAGTGACCTAAATTCTGGAAAAATAAGCATGTCTCAAAAGATCTTGATGTTGATACTTTGACGGTGACTGACCTGAGGCTAGAACATAGCAGACTATATTTCCAGAGGCTGTCCATCCTGTTCCAAAGTGAGTTTTGTATGTGCCAATTATACAATAGTAATAACAGGAACGGCGCTATGAAGGTTCTGGAAATTGGTATTACTTACAGTCAGTCAGTTGACAGCTAAAAAGTTTCAGGGTGTGTGTGTGTTTCCCAAGAGAGGGTTTAAACTCAATATCCATCAATGTAAGCTCATCTGTATATGCATTCAGTAATGAAGGAGCGAAAGTGGCACATATTCTGCAGTGAGCGGTACTCAAAGGAAGGCCTCGGTGGCATTTGGCACATATACCTTATAGGCTGGCAGGCTGCACTGTCACGAATGTTCCATATAGAGTGTATGAACGTGCCATTAGGCAAAGAATGACAATGTCTCAGGGTTCTGGAAAGTTGACTCTCCGTGTGGAGGTGGCTAGTATGAACTCAAGTTAAATCAAGTTCCGTTTACATCGTAATAGCAAGAATTAACACACCTTGCTGAAAGCAAAACTTATAAAAAGGGAACATAGCATATTGCTTTCACCGCCTCCAAATCGTAAAGCAGCTGCAACATGTCTCTTGAAACGGGTCGCTACCTCATCCACAACGGTAACAACATCGTCAGTCGAAATTTGGCTGAGGACCGTAGCCTCAATCCCAAACGGATTGTTTTGTTGGAGCCAACTGACAAAATTCAGCTTACCGTACGCCTTCGTCTAGTGAACCCATGCTGTTCGCTGACTATTTATATTGGTGCAGTGGATTATTGAGAAATCCGGTGATGAGTATATCCTTAATAACAGAGGCGCCCCGACAGCTCATATTGAGGACCATGTCTTTGCGCTTTTGATCCATCAAGAGGGGGCTACGAAATGGAGTATCGAGGCCGTCCCCAGACATGGAAGAAATGCCTACATGTGAGCAACTGATTATTATTGTACAAGAATACTAGAATCTGACCGTGTCTTAGCATAAAGGGTTCTGATGGTAAAGGCTGGGTTGCGCCGGACAAAGCAGGCGAACAGGTAAGTTTTGGCAATAAATCAACATCTTTCCACGTAGTGAAAACACCTTTCCGAAAGATCATTTACAGGACCTTGATTGTTGGTCCGAGCGAGCCACCCACGTTCCCTCTCAACCAGGTCTTCCAAATCATCAAGCTCGAGTAAAAGTGTCGAAGACAAATATGCTTTCGAGCCAATAGTGGTTCAGTCTTGTAAAATAAGTTTTCAAATGTCTATTAACAGAAATATGTAGTCTGAATCACGTACCGTTTGTGCCATGTATGTTGTACGATGATAGCTTACCAGAATGAGAAAAAAACACTTCTTTTTCAATTGTTCTGTGAATGCGACGACAGACGCAGGAAATTTAAGAGAAACTAAACTGGAGTCCCTGTGCATTAACGTCCGCGAAGACCTAGGTTAAACATAGAGTAAGGCTCGAACGATGGACAACTGAAGGACAAATGCGTGAAACAAGATTAAATAGCTACCTCCTACCAGCGATTTTAAAAGAACACCGCTTTCTGCACTAAGATATTTTTCAAACGGTTAAAAGACGGTTGAACATCGAATGAGCCTGAATGAACAGTGGCATTTATGACCGGTTTTGAAGAATATCATTCACGGCTTCGTCGAGGAGTGTCTATTCACTGCATTTTGGAGTAGGATCATCGATAGAGCGGTAACTCCTCATGTCAAGCGGCCTACGAGCCAGGGTCTGCCATGGTTTTTGACCTTCCCAGAACTAGCCAGAACGAACCTCGGAGTCTCCTTAATCCATCCATCAGATACTTCTCCAGATAATTGAGCCTCAAGGAGCACATGTAAGACCAATTCCTCTTCGAACGCGAGAGGAGTTTGAAGTGGGCGCGGGTCGAAGAGAAATCCAAAACACGATGTCAAACGATTGGTTAGAAAATTTTCAAATTCTAGCGCCCAGCGGTCACTAAATGACGCCCAACCTCGCCCAATGGGGCATCGAGAACTATTGCATTGAAGGCGGCACGTCGTACTAGACGCACGATCTTTGCGATATCTCTCTGAGTTCGCTTATACTCACAAACTCACCAGCCTATTCGATGTATCGCCCAGTCCGGATTTCCTCTATGCTAGCGCTTCCGGATCGCATGATGGGGGAAATTTATTCTCCTCGTTGAAGCATCTACGATTTAACCTTAATCCTTGGGGTCACATCCCAACTGTACTCGCTGCCGCACTGAACCTTTTCCTCTCTTCTTGTCCTGGACTAACTTCCCTTTCGCTTGTCATTCCGTGTTATCAAGAATTTGACCCGAACCGTGACCAGAACACTTGGCCTCTCTCTCTAATCTTTACAACAATCCTCTCGCGTCATGGACAGTCACTTAATACCCTCCGACTGCACCAAGCGGAAGAGATGTTTGTCGAAAGTAATTCTCGGACGTGTCTTTCTGTGAATGAGCTTCGCCAGCTCCGTGGCATGGTTCCGCATCTTGACCAGCTAGAGTTTGATGTAGACCGTACGGGTGATGGTATGCGCGAACAAGATATCTATGCTATCCTCGCCAGAATTCCTACCCTACAAAAAATTAACATTAATATGGACCTTGGACTTGTTTCAAATGCAAACAATGCAAACAAACCCTCAAAAAGTGGCAGTGAAGGGATATATCCTCTAATACAAGCAGACACGGTTCGAATAATGTGGAATACTTTCACTAAAAATAAAGTTGGGCTTCCTCTGCAGGAGTTTATTTTGAAAGTGGGATATGACTTTGGACAGTCATTCCTGATGAGAAGAGGCGAGAGGGATGATGAGGATGGGGTGGAGTTAGAACTTTATGTGGGCCATGAGATAAATGAAAGATACTACATGTGGTTATGTCCTGTACAAGACTCCTATTTTTCGCACAACTTTCGCCACTACACACTTTATCTATTTTTTTCTACACCTTACATTCAATTATCTATGGCAACGCTTCCACGACCAACAAAGTCTCCTGCAGCTAGTGTTATTCGCCCTCATTCCGAATTTGACGCCGGGATCAACGCTTCCAATGCTTGGACGCAATACCACTTATCAGGCGATTTATCTGACGAAGAACTCAACCTAGAGAATGCTGGTAATGATCATCCCGATCGTCGGCCAGCGAGAGCCTTGTACGATTTTGAAGGAAAGCCAGAGTTCCGAGAATTGAGTGTTCATGCCGGAGATGAGCTGGAAGTAGTCAGAGAAGAGCTTGCGGATGGATGGAGTTTGGTTTGCGATGTCGATGGCGAAATTGGATTATTGCCCAGATCTTACTTTATTGTGCGTTGACTACTTCTGATTCATGCTGTAGAGCTATTGACAGATTTCGACTTGCCCCATCGTAGTTTACTTCGGAATTCAGCTCTGCTTTCGAAGCCGATGTTACCTCTCCCATTCAAACTTCTTCTCAAAGCAAATTCAGACGGAAACGAGAAGCATCTTCGGGATCAATCACTCCCAGAAATTCAATGCTCAATGATAAAAATGCACCTTCAGCAGGAGTACCTATCGTGCCTCAGAATACCGGAGAATGGAATCAATGGATGTTTCCCAGTTTCCGACAAAGCCTTCTCGGAGGCAAGAGCCTCAATAGATTCTCTAGTTTTGTTACCAGTGGAGCTGAAGAATGGGTTTTAAATGGCAAAGTTGCTGATACGACGAGTACCGTTTCTACCCATGAGAAGTTGAGCAGTATTGCTTCTCAAGACGATGACGAAGAAGATATTGATCTGCAAAAAGCTCCTCGTCTCCAAGAAACAGATCGCCATTTCATCGACTCTGGACACGCTTGGAAATCCAAAGTACCACTATTCAAAGTACTCGTTCATTCTCCTTCTAAACGGACATCAATTCTCTCTGGAGCTTACACAATATACAATGTTACTTCCATGTTTGAAGCACCCTGCGACTCAGAGTCCGAATCCGAACATGTACTATCTGAACCTCCGTTACCCCAATCACCAACGCGAATAACCGTTCAGCGACGTTTCTCCCAGTTTGTTATCCTTCATACTGCGTTGACACGGAGGCTTCCTGGCATCTCACTACCTCCATTACCAGAGAAACAATACTCAGGAAGGTTCAGTGATGATTTTGTTGAGGCGAGAAGAGGAGATCTAGAACGATATATAAGAAAAGTTGTCAGGCATCCAGTTGCTCGGTATGCGGAAGTCGTGACGTGGTTCCTTAGCTGTGAAAGCGACTCTGTAAGAGTCTTGTGCCTTTTTGTCATGCTCAACTCATTCTTCGTAGGAATGGAAACGTCTCGCGCCATATCATATCTCCAAAACACCCGCTGGACCGTCGTTCTACGCCCAAGTCTTTCATCCCGCATTCAACTTAGACCTCGAGGATGCAGAGGAGGCCGGAGAGCGTTTTGCCACACACACCCGCGCTGTTGGAAAGGGTGTCCAGGGTTTGAGGAGTATCTTCGGGCGTGTGAGAGAAGCTAGACTTGGTGAGCTGCTCTCCCAGCCTACTCAATCCTACCACTCATCCCGATTGAAAACCCTGCTCATACAGAAATGTCTAAAGCCGAACGCCTTCTATCTTACTCACTCATATCCTTAATAACTTGCAAGCCCCTTGCAGCCACATCTCAATCACCTCATATATCCGGAATAGCAGAAGAAGATGAGGACGAAGATAGCGACTCAAGTTCATCTCCGGACTCTTTGAATACAAAAACGCATGTCAAATATAAAGGAAAAGGTCTGATAAACGAAGATGGGGCCTGGTGTTGGCGCGAAGGATGTCGTGAATGTCTTTCACTTAGTAAATCGATACAACGCACGGCGGAGACACTACAGAATGTGGCAGATCTGTATGATGATCATGTTTGTAATCTTTTTCTTTCCTTGCCACATCTGATCTTTCTTCGTCTTTCAGGCACGCCGCACCCAACTCGCAACACACGAATCTTTTAAGAGTGTCGCTCACCCAGCACCGATGTACGAAGGTGTTGTGAGTACACATCGGTCGACGCTAAAGAGATATAGAGAGGCAGGGCATGAGGATCATGTTCGTGTGCCTCTTCGTCCATTGTTACGTCACTTATCTCTTACATAGACGAAATCGAACGATGACTTGGCCTCCCGCTATGAACGGTGCGAAACGGTGCTTAACACCACCATGGCGGAGATGGAGACATATCATTCGCAAAAAGTGGAGGATTTCGAGACTCTGGCGAAGGACCATTTAGATGGAGAGATCGCCCTCTATGAACAGGTTTGCCGAGATGTAATTTTTGTGGGTTTGGCAGATTGCTTATTGACGACTCAGATTCTTACCCGACTCAAAACTGCTCGTTCATCTTTCGATAAATCAACAGCGTCTTCCATTCATCTATCTACCTCATCTTCATTGGCATCGCCTATACCATCCTTCTCCTCGTCTTCCTCGTCTTCTTCCTACTCGTTAATCACACCCTCTTACAAAATCACACATGCGTCACATATACCTCCTACCTCTCAGAATCGCATCCATCGATCTCCCTCACCACGCAAACCCTCAATCTACGAACGCGAACTAGATGCGCCCCGGCTGATACCTGCGCCGCTTCCTCAACCGTGTCCGCACGTTTTCGACTCGACGCCTATGCGCCCTGTCAGTGTCGCTATAGGAGGTGCGGTGGGAGGTTTGCTGGGTGGTACTAGGGGTGAAGGAAGGGGAAGTGTTTTCGGGGGTTTGTTCTGGTGAAACCCTCATCAAGTCATAACAGTAGCTGGAATCTCGGAGCGTTTTGTGGCGATTCATGAATGATCTAATGACCTTGACGAATTTTACCCTCTATCACGACCAAATCACGACCCTCGTACATCTCATTCAGGGCTTGTACTCTGATACCATAAAATAAATATTCGCATTCACATCGCAATTTAGACTGCGAACTAATTTCTTTTTTTTATACTGGTAAGCAAATTTGACTACATTTTTCTGTCCAGACATCCAGAAACCATCATACAAGACCGAACCACTATTGGCTTGAAATCATTCGTCTTCAACACTTTATTCGAGCTGAATGATTTGGAAGATTTGGTTGAGAGGGATCGCGGGTGGCTCGCTTGGACCAACAATCAAAGTCCTATAAATGATCTTTTGGGAAAGGTTTGTGACAGAAAAATGTTGATCCATATTCACAACCCACCTGTTCGCCCACTTTGTCCGGCGCAACCCAGCCTTTGCCATCAGAACCCTTTATGCTAGGACATGGTCAGATACCAGTATTCTTGTTCAACAGTAATGATCAGTCGCTCACAAGTAGGCATTTTTTCCATGCCTGGGGACGGCCTCAATAGTCCATTTCGCAGCTCCCTCTTGATGGACCAAAAGTGCAAAGACGTTGTCCTCAATGGGAGCTGTCGGGGCGCCTCTGTTATTAAGGATATACCCATCACCGGATTTTTCAATAATCCACTGCATCAATATAAATAGTCAGCGAACATCACGGGTTCGCCAGACGAAGGCGTACGGTGAGCTCTATTTTGTCAGTTGGCTCTAACAGAACAATCCGCTTGGGTTTGAGACTGCGGTCCTCAGCCAAATTTCGACTGACGATGTTGTTACCGTTGTGGATGAGGTAGCGACCTGTTTCAAGAGACATCCTTTTGAGTTCGGGGTTGTTGAAAGTAATATGCGAGGTCTCCTTTTTATGACTTTTGCTTTTAGCAAGGTGTGTTAATCCTTATTAGTGCAGTGCGGACGGAACTTGATTTAACCTAAGTCCATACCGACCATACCTCCACACGGAGACAGAGCATCCAAAGTAAGTAGTTTTCTAGAATGTAAGCCCTTGTTATTCCTTGCATAATGGCATGTGCATGCAATTTTTGGGACATTCGTGAAAGTGCAGCACCTAAAAGGTAACTGTGCCAAAAGCCATTGATCCTGAAGCCTTCTTTCAAGTACCACTCATTCCAAAATACATGCCGCTCTCGTTCCTCCAGTATACCAATGACCTTAGTGCATTGAGTTTACACCCCTCTCTTGAGAAAGACACCCTGGAACTTTTCAGCCACTGTCAAATGACTGTAAGTAACATTATTTCCGGAGCTTCCATAGCTACGTTTCTGTCATTACCATTGTACAATTGACACATATGCTCACTTTGGAACAGAATGGGCAGCCTCTGGAAACATAGTTTCAAACGTTTGCCAGGTCAGAATACCCGTTATACCCTCGGTAAGAATTGCCTAATGGCATATACAAATGAGCAACATATGAGCTGACTTTGAATAACTTCATTGCACCATGTTACTGCGTCTGGCAGGTCTCATTGCTTGAGACGTCTTCGAAGTCCTGTACAGTGCCAACAGGCACTTCTCCAACAGGTCAAGTTTGAGTGGAAAAAAATAGTTAAAATCATAATAAAAATAGTTTTGGAATGAAACCAACCAAAAGAATGCTATTCACGTCGAGAAAGAAATATGTTCCGCATTTGGCAATGTTTTCCCACGGTGTTCACTTTCTCGACTCAGAAAAAATCAAAAGTATTGGAGTGATAGATGCGTCGCCCACTACTCCTGATACTTCAAATTTCCATAAACACTATCTGCTGTTACTTACAATATGGTTATTGATGCATGGATGCATACAAGCATGCAAACTTTCCTTTGGAAGTATTCCTACATGCTCTAATTTCTACTGTTTCCTCAGACATGGGCTCAATATCAAACAGGCTGAACATGCTGTCAAGAAATATACCAGCCATCGCCGTATACCTGTGACAATCAAGCTGGAACATCGTGTCCTTACGATGTAGTGACCACGTGTACCTTCCATATATGGAAGGCACCTTCCTAATTAGGCGATGACTAAGCTGGTTCATTTTCGGTCAGTGGGGGTAAAAATAAAAGTTGACCATAGGCTTAGCAAAGCACAAGCCAGGTATATAGATCTTCTACAAGTCAAATGAGCATAATTTGGCTATATTCCGACGTTAACTACAAGCTCTGAAAAAATTCTAAGAATTTGTACTTTTTACGGTTGATCGGGTGATGAGAAGTGCCTGTTGGCACTGTAGTAGTTTGGTAGAATGCAAGCCCCTGTCCTTTCCTCGTTTCTTCTGAAAAACATAATTCAACCTGACAATGAACAAAAATGCATTCTCCCTGGCAGACTGCATGCATCTGCAAAACCTGGATGTTCGCGAGAGCAAGGGTACTAGCTGGAGAGCGCTGTCCAGCACTGAAAGCTGGACAGTGCTGTCAGCTGCTTTCGAGCTCTTAGCCGAAAATACAGGTTTTACAGATGTGAATTAGTTGTAATGATGACCACAGGTGAGAAACAATAAGTGTTACCCGACCAATGGATAGAACTTTATAGGCTTCAAGCTCCTTTGGGCTACTTCGGCTTAGCATACACTGGCACATAGCATAGTGCAAACAACAGCAATAAACTCCAGGAACAGTTCGAATATAACACAAAAGAATGTTGGGTTGCTATTATGTATATGTCATATCGTCCATGGCTGCAGAGCGTACATAAAAAGCGATAGTTGAAAGGGAGCTGTCGCTAATCAGTGGAGGCCTGGTTTGTATACGATTAAGATAATAACACGAGACAGTGAAAAATTGGAAAGGAGGTTTGTGCATATGGATGGAAAACTGTGGAAAATTTTGACCTTACTCGATATGGGTTGACGGTGAGGTGGAGAAAAGGACGTGAATGAATACAGAGAGCTGTCGGGCAGTAGGTGTATTGTACTACAGTATGATACTCGAGCAGCTAACTTAAGGGGCTAGAGTTTAGTGCAAAGTACTAGTCAACTACGGGATTGGAGAATTACCTTTTTTTCTTCATATCTTCGCTATTGGCGCGTTCACCCCGGGAGATCAGTTGAGACTGCAAGAGTGCACGTTCATGTTCGTTGTGGTTTCACTCATATGGTGGCTGTGCGGCGCTTCTTTCTCTTTGCCCATCATTCGTCCATGAACGCGTTCAACTCTGTTCAAATTCAAACCTAGAGAATTTTCGTTCGTTGAACGTTCTTAATCTCTTCCGGCCCTGTCGCCACCAGCTCTTGCATTCAAGGTCCCCCTAGTCAGTAGGACTTACTGCGGGTCTTTTCATACTGCCAAACCTACCTCTAAGTTTGCTATAATTTGTGGTCGAAATTTGACTTAACTCTAATTAGTAAATGTTTTGTGAAAGTTCTTAGTTTATGCACCTGACTGCAGTCGCTAAATTTCCCTTTCCGGCCGTACCATTCAAGTTCTTGAAATAGAAGTGATTCTCAAGATCAAATTATACTCCACACACAATGCTCTGTCACAGCCCACGACTCGGAGCAACTATGGACTCGTCGAAGTCATGGGGTGAAAGTGTAGCCTGTCAGCCTCTGGTAAAAATCAATTTAATTTTTTGTGGCTCCGGGACCATCGTCAATCGAAGGTAAAAGAGCGAGTACCATGACAGTTCCAATGTCTTTTTTCTTTCAATTTGCATAATGTCAGTGCATTGCGATTACCTCGTCGGAAGTTCGAAGACCCTCGTGATTCACATTCCTTCGCCATTCTTCCGCATAATGGCGCACGCTAGAACTCCATAACTGGTTGATATAATTCGGAGAAGGGATGGTGAATATGAAAAATGTTTGTTCAGTATGTACTTGGCACACAATGTTGTCAGATTTATGTCGTCTTAGATCTCCACATTCGAGGCGAACTTGACACAAAAAGAAACCATACCGCCGTGAAGTATTCGTGTCATTGTCACCGTGGCATACCTGTGAGGAACGAAGTTATTGAGATCGTTGCTCTAGCCGCTTTCACCGCGCTGTCCTGACATGGATTTAGTTCATGAATTATTCTCGGCCCCGCCATTCTCGAACGTGCCATCGACGGAGCCGCGAATTCACGAGTTATTCCAAGAGAACCTAGATCGGGCCTTCGAAGGTTCATCCAAATCTTCTTCATCTCGCAGAATCTGTTTTGTCGACTGAAGAAGTGACCTGCTAGAGCCTGCCAGTGAATCGCGTAATGCCCTGTAATGCCTCTATTTCCTATTTTCAAGTACTTATGGCGGATCAGGGACTAATATATTCCTGTATCAAATCTAGATCGCTTTGTCCTTTCTAGCACCAGCGTTCGAGTTACACTCTCCGAAAAATGCCCTGCATCCATACCCTATACATCTTCAGCTGGCGTTTCCGATTCACGATCAGCCTCCGGTCAATTCCTAGGTTGGCGATGGTGAACAAAGGACGATGACGAAGCGTCTGACTCAAAGGTCGGTTATTGTGATCGTCTATATCACTTGTGTCGTCTACGTCGTCCCGCAGGAATGGGAATGAGGGATTCAGCAGGTTCGGATGAATTTCTGCATCATTTTCGGATGGAGATTCGTATTCCTTCGTGGAATCATCAGTTGTCGAAGGGGGGACTGACAGTTGTGAAAAAGGCGATGGTAAGATTGCATTTTGTGAATTCGTTGTAAGCTCAGGCGATGATTTGGGTAATTTCACGGTGGTAATCGAACCCGCGCCTATTGAACCGTCATCGTCTTCCCCATCGAGGACCTCACTTGTGCTCGTTCCGAGATTAGCGTGGTCCCTCTCCTCCTTAGATAGTCGCTGGCCGGTGAAAAGTAAAGAGAGTTCATCTCAAAAAATAACTAAGCAAGTGCGAGAGGCCGCTAACGAAAGAAAAGAACACACCCAACTCAAAGAAGTACACCCTGGTTCCATCACCTCTTTTGTAAAAATTATCACCCATCATCCTCCCGCTCTTGAACCGCAACTGCGTTAGGTCATATCTCCCGTAATCCCTAAACAATACCTTCCCAGTCCCTGGCTTGAGCACCTTCCGTAGATTTCGGATAGCGGAAGCCCATTCGTCTGGATGTAACGCAGATAGGACGAAGACAAGGATGACAATATCAACGGAGGCTGGAGCCAGACCAGGTGGCAGTGAGTCATCTGAGGAAAGGTCCCAGACTGCAGAGTGAATAGATCCACATGGAGGAGACGCGTAAAGAGGATTGTGCTGGGTAGATCGAATAGATCAGATATTCTATCGGTGGAAATAATATTTAGCCTGGTACATACCTGGACCAGTTTGACTGCATGGTTTGAGTAATCGTACGCGTACAGTTCGAGTTGAGGGTTCTGATTTACGGACAAAACAGGGAAGATCGAGTTGCCTGCACCACATCCAAACTCTGCTATTTTTACAGAACCGGCCTGTGTAATCATGAGATGTCAGCGGGAGTAAGATGAATAGAAAGGCAGACAGACGAACACCAGGCTCTGCAGCAGCAACCAAATCCGGGAACTCATTATGGAGCCTGATTGATAGTGAATGGCAGAATTTTAATGAAGACAAATTATAGACATACCACTTCCGATTCTTGAAAAAATTCGCCTCGTTATTCTTGTAGAAATTATCCCAGTACTTCGCAGGCTTCGAGTTCAGCTTCAGCCGCTCCTCTTCACTCACTACAGCTGCTCGCTGACGTGCTAAAGACGTGGCGATCGTAGCTCCTTGATCCACTGGCGGAGGAACGTGGTCCCAGGCATTTTGGGTAAATGTTAACGACGGATCTACGAGGAATCTTGAACCAAAAGGAGGATCTACACAGTTGACATCGTGAACAGAGGAAGCTTTTTTTGTTGAGGTTATCGGGTCCTCTGTGAGGTCTATGATGGAAACATTCATTTGGCGAATCAAGAAGCCGGGCCCAGGCAAACGGACGGTGACTGAAAATAGGGGGACCCACGTGTTTCTAATTTCTGATCGCATCATGGGCGCTTGTTTATCAACATTTCTTGTTCTCGATCTTTTCACTTCTTTTGAAGCTCCACTTTAATCATGGAAGCCTGAATTTGTTTGTGCTTCTCCCCGAAGAACTTGGAGGATATAGGACAAGACTCAAAAATTTGAACTTTATAGTACATGGACGGATCACTGCTATGACTGAATTTATGTGTGGGAGGATTTGGGTACAACTCCGTCTGAGGGCAAATCAGACAATTTCACTACCGATGAGTATGCGAGGGTTTTCCCATCTAGCCACTCAATTGCTGATTCACAATTTCCAACATAGCCTGGGCGACAACAGCAGACCCGTAATGGATGTCGATGAACTGGATGGAATTGGTAGACTGAGTGGTTGGATCAATGAATCCTTGCGGATCGGAAACCCTCAGTTGTACAGCAAGTCGCAATGCTCTCTGCATACTTTACGAAAAAACGAGATCAGAAAATCAGCAACACGTCATCCGGCCAAAGGAATGTCTTTACCCAAGGAGAGAGTTGTGCGTAGCCACCCTGACAATGTCCCGAAAGGCGGGCTGCCAGTTCCCCTGCCCGGAGAAGAACCTCCAAGGCGCATCATACCACGTGGCAATGACAGCGAAACCTTGCAATGTCCTGAAGTTGGGCGGGTTCTCATAGGTGTAGACCAGGCCTTGGCTGGTACTGGCATTAGCGTAAGGCAGGCCATTAGTTCTCGCTGTGTTAATGTCATTGGTAATGCGAGTGAACTGGTTGGTAGTTCCGAACAACTTGTACGCTTGGTTGCCTCTCCTCCAAACACCCAACCCCTCGCGGGATGTCTGAGCAGAATCCCTAGGTGTAAATTGGATAACGCCGGCCCTGTTGGGATCGGGAGGCCGAGTCAAGGGGCCCTGGTCCCATCGAATGTTGTCGCGGAGAGGGCTGAATGCTCGAGGCTGGACAATCCCTGCCGCGAGTTGTTCATCGAGTTGTTCAGTGGGTTGTTCAGCAGACATGATTTGTCCAATGAGTTCTACTTCCACTTTGCTTGGGGCTTATATACGGGGAAAAACCCCGTCGAGGACGTGAGCAAACTTGCTCACGTTTCATAATCCATAAACCCTGTCTTCAAGCACTGAAAAGTGACAGGCGGATACGATATGGGGCCGATACCTTGGGAAGGAACCCTCATTATCTCGAACTTTCTATGAAGCCAGAAAAGAATTTACGGCAAAGGGTCATAGGTGCTATGAATGTAGAAGATTTCTGTGTTGAAGTGAGGGACGTACGAAAGCGTATGAATTGAAACAAGTTGACTTTGCTCTATGTTCAGTGGAGCAATTCGGTCCTCTATTTGATCTGTATTCTATAAAGAAAAAGGAATTGGATTAGCTCTCGGTTGTGACCAGTAGGATTGCAGTTTGAAGCCGGGCGGAAGGCGTTAACGGAATGAAAATAGGGGTGAGGTATAAATTCTTCAGACTTGACGTCGTGAACGGCCTTGTTGAAGGATATTATCAGTGATAACAGCAGCATCTGACGAGCAACCCGTGTGAGACTAAGCTCATATGGCAGAGAGAAAGGCTGAACGGTGGATCACCGTAAAGCCAGGTATTCATGGGCGCTTGTCGATCAAGGTTTCTCTTCTAACTTCCAATCTTTCTATCTCGTCCAGAGGTCATTCTCAAACATGTTTGCCAACAAGTCTCACAAAAATTCTCACAACATGGTACATGAAACTACGGATCGCTGCTCTGTATGTATCTTATTTCATCTGTGGAGGGTAGTACGATGTCAAACTTCGTTTGAAGGCTAGAGGTAATCAAATCAGACAATGTCATTACCGGTGAGAGTACAATAGTTTACCATTTACCATCTAGCCACTAAGCTGCTTATCCACGATTTCCAACATTGCCTGTGCCACAACGTCAGACCCGTAGTGGATGTCGATGAATTGGATAGAGTTGGTCGACTGAGTAGTCGGGTCGATGAATCCTTGCGGATCAGAGACCTTCAATTGTACAGCAAGGCGCAACGCTCTCTGCATTCTATGCAAAACAGCGAGATTAAAAGTCAAGCATTTATATATTTGTAATGTTCTTACCCAAGGAGAGAGTTGTGCGTAGCCGCTCCGACAATCACCGAAAACGCAGACTGCCAGTTTCCCTGCCCGGAGAAGAACCTCCAAGGCGCGTCATACCACGTAGCGATTACAGCGAAGCCTTGCAAGGTCCTGAAGTTGGGCGGGTTCTCGTATGTGTAGATCAGGCCTTCGCTGGTGCTAGCATTGGCGTAAGGCAGACCATTATCCTTCGCCTTGTCAATGTCGTTAGTGATACGAGTGAACTGGTTGGTAGTTCCGAACAACTTGTACGCCTGGTTGCTCTTCCTCCACACACCCAGCCCCTCGCGGGACGTCTGGGCAGAGTCCTGGGGTGTGAACACGATAACGCCGGCTCTGTTTGGATCGGGAACTCGAGTCAAGGGGCCCCGGTCCCATCGAATGTCGTCGCGGAGAGGGTTGAACGCTCGAGGCTGGACAATCCCTGCCGCGCGTTGTTCAGTGAGTTGTTCAGTGGGTTGTTCAGCAGACATGATTTGTTCAATGAGTTCTACTTTCACTTAGCCTGGGGCTTATATACAGGAGAGTACACTGTCTATGGCGTGAGCAAACGTGAAGACATCGTCATAATCCAAGCACCGAATAGTGGCAGGCGGATACAAAGGAACCCTCATTTCAAACTTTCTACAAAGTCAGAAGAGACTGATTCTAGGTCGCATTCATGCGAATGTACGGCAAAATGTCGAGGACTGCGCTCCATACAAAGACATCCTTGTAGCCTTGTACCATGCAAGTTTTTTTCCCCGATTTTGGATACTCAAAAGTTGTGGTCGAAACTGACAAAGAGGGTCGTACGAATCAAGTTACTCTCTGTGTTCAGTAATTTGAAGCTTCTCTGTTTAACCTATATTCTATAGAGAAAAATCTACACACGCAATCGGAGTGGCTTTCAATCGGTGGTTCTTGAGTTCGGAGTTAGCAAAGTAGGAAACCGTTCTCATCCTATTGCCCTTTGCATAACTCCGTGAAAATGGGTTATTTTTCTTTTACGGACCGCCCCTAAGAGACTTCGAGCGAGATCTCTTCATTAATTGCCAGTTGACCGGCCCTCAAGTTTTTTTTTGTTGATTAAGCTGCAAAAAGCAAGAATGTCATTACGAAAGCCTGGTTTCAAGAGACAATCAAGAAGCCCCGACGTGGCGGCAACGTGTCGGGAATGTCGAGCGGGTGCTTGTTGTTGCTACGTCGAGTCCTCTGTCGGGTCACAGCGGGGTTCCAATTCCGGAACATTCAAAAATCGGACAGAAGAAACAAAACTTCTCATTTTCGCGGATTTATGCAAAGCCCAGATTTACGCAGAACCAAGCCTCGCGGTTCCCCCACGTTGACAATCACCATATCAATAATCAGAAAATATCTTTTCATTTCGGACCCATAACTATAATACGTTACTCGACTTTGATGATCTGGAAGACTTCATTAGGAGGGTATCGAGGTGGGAAGGTGGGCATAACAATCAAAGGCTTGCATGCGATCTTCAAAAATGAGAATATTCAGTACTAAACTATGCAAGTAATTGAAGAACCGCACCTGTTCATCGATTTCCGTTGGTGCTACCCAGCCCGAGGTACGATCTAGAGTTGTGATGCTGAGGAGTAGAGGCGTCAATCAATTTCTCAACAGTGAAGACGATGCCATAGCAATCACATACATATAGGAGTTTTCACTGTGCTGGGGGACAGGTTCAACGATCCAGTTCGTGATTTCACCAACATCCATCAGGATCGCAAACACATTGTCCTCGATGTGCGCAGTCGGAGAACCGTTACTCTTGATGATGTATTCGTTACTGCCATTGCCGCATTTTTCAAAGACCCACTATGGGTTAGGGAAGCAGTCAATTCTCGAACTGGTAAGGTTAGAGACTCAATTTACCGTGGAATTACTGCCACTTGGGCTCAGGACAATTTTTTTCGGGAGGAGGCTTCTGTCTTCGGCAAATCGTCGACCGACAATGTTGTCACCGTTCCGGATGATGTATAAGCCTGCACTGAGAGACATGGTATAGTATCTTCGATTGCTTTATTATGGAGAGCCTGACCCATGACCTTGGGTGTCCTTTTATACGAAATCCTGGTGACCCCACTTGAGGAGCAGTAATGGTAATTCGCTTCGTAGCTTTGATTCTCTTCATCTCCGATGACATTTTCGAACGGTTGGCATTGACAAGACAAATGTTCTGTACGCAGTGTTGTTCTGACTCCAAAATTTGGAGTCAAACAAGCTAAACCGGCGCCGGCGTCATTCCTATCTCCTGAGGGGTTGGTGAGAAGGTAATCATATACTACGTTTTCAGTCCGTTCTTGCAAATTCAACAACCACTATGTACGCCATGGACCACCTAGTAATCGACATTGCCTCGACATTCTCTTGTCAAATGGTGCGTATTAACTCGCTACTCGATCGACGTCGACAGATAGACTGCGCTCCTTGGAATTTTCTGCAGAAAGAAGTTAATGAACGTCACATGAAATTGGAGCTCTAGGAAGGGAAGGATATCTCCAGGAATTTGTCTTCGTGTAAATTACCAGAACCCCCAATGCCATCATTTGTTCCCTGGTGTTAGTGTCTTTTAATTTCAGTCTACCGAATATGAGTTGTTCAACGAGCAATTGGATAGTCCAGGGATCGATCAAGTATAGGACGCACTTCGCGAAAGAAAATGCCGAAAGAGAAGTATCAAATTCGTTGGAAAGTTTACAATCCCCAGTAGGTAAAACTATTCGCTTGAAAGTTTTCATTTCATTTGAAGATGATATGTAACTCAGGTATTTCAGCCATGAGAAATAAAGGAGACATGTCCATACATAGATGAAGATCAGTTAACCATGGTAGATATGTTGAGCATCGAACAAATCCGAGTCCGCATCAATTCAGTGATCGCAATCGTGAACATTACCCAACAACCTCATCTTCAGCATCACTTGCCATTGTCCTCCTCGAGAACGCTGATGACCTGCCTAGCACACTTGATGGCCGACTTCCACTTCCACCCGAGAGACGCTTATAGCTAGGACTCGTAGGCGAAACACCGCTCGGCGGTGAGCCAGCGCCACTACCAATGCTATTTCTATTTGGCCCGCCAGGAGCCCGAGGACCTCTTGTCATCCTTGGACCACGCACTCCACCCGAGGAAGACCTCGAGATCGTACTCTTGACAGAGCTTAAACTCTGATCTGCGGGGGAGGGGCTACGGGAAGTGATTCGGGAAGATCGTTTGACTTCTGTTGCCCTCACAGGTTGTGGAGTAGGAGGTGATACAGCGGGGGGAGATGGGATTGGCGGAGCATCAGGAGTAGGTTCTGCTGATGGCTCAGCGAAATGTGGTCGGGGTGGAGTTTCAAGCTCTTCCGGTTCCGGGGACGGCTCTTTGAATGCCGGACGAGGGGGAAGATCTTCGTCTTCGGGAGGAGGCGTTTTGAATGAAGGCCTTGGGGGGACATCATCGATTGCGGGAGTTGAGGTAAGCGGAGGCGGAGGAGGTATCGTCGGAGGTGCCAAATCCTCCAAAGATTCAGCAGCAGGCGGAGGAGCTGGAGCTGGAGGAGATACTGCTTGAGGGAGTGGAGGTGGAGGCGGCATAGGTTGAGGGGAAAGAATTGGAGGAGGAGCCGGTATCGATGTCATTGATGGCATTGGAGGAACAGGCGGTGGTGACTTAGTTCTACCTTGAGCGGCGTGCTGAGCAGCCAGTAGCTGTTTTGCATCTATTCCAGTTGAAAGTCTGCTTCGGTGGATCCTCATGTCCATCGGAGCCGTACGTTTCCGAAGGGGTATTTTGCGCTCGGATTCACGCTTTTTGCGAGCGATGGTAGGGGGAAGGATGGCCTCGTAATCTTTCATGAGGTCAAGGAACAGCACTTTAAGAGGTGGAAAAAAGATATTAGATAGGAACAGTAGTAAATTATTGCAAACATACACGTAGGGTGACGATCTTGGATTGTGAGTTCGGTCTCGAACTTGGGACGAACAACAGCTAACGAAGGAGTGAGGACTGAGAAAGTTTATATCATATCGAGGGACCTACTGCGACCGATAGAAAGAGCAAGTTTAGTGATATAAACTTCATCACTCTCCTCGACTTTCGTGTTTTCGACAAGTCTATCATAGGGATGAGCAAATGACAGGACAACTGTCAGGATTGACGTACTTCTTCAAGTGACTAACAATTGCGTCAAGAACATACAGATGCACTCGTGGAAGACGTTGAAGCATAGTACCCAGTTCTTTGATCTTTTCCTCCTTAGTGTCTTCGCCTTCAGGTTTTACCACAAGGGTTGCGCCCATTGTGGGATACAATTTCCGATAGTCGTCCCAGAATTCATAAAGCCCGAGCGGAGGGTCAAGCTCAAGTAACCACAATTTTAGAGTAGCAGCAATGACAGGAGCGTCAAAAGGCTCAAAAATCTCCGGCCTGATAGGCTGATCTGGTGGTACCGCATTGAGAACTTCGCGAAGGTGATGCACCGCAGGCAAAGGAACTTCGTAGATCCACGACTTGCGTTTCTCTAAGTTTCAAAGTTGCATCAACATTGATTAGCACATTGAGGAAGCAGCACACAGACCTGCATCGTTCGGAAGCTTGTCGTAAGCAGCAGTTATAGCGTTCAACAATGCTTCTACAACCGGCGGAATGGTCTCCTTGTGTTCTTCATTCGGAGACATCAGCATACTCCAGCCGCCTTCAGACCATTTTCTCAAGTCGATGCCAAAAACTACATCTGATTCATCGTGCGCAACCGACTCGTACACTTGAGCGTCAGGCCTGAACGGACCGGTACGATAACGCTCAATGAGAGCGTTGAGATCGTTTTCGGGTTGGAAAGCAGCAATCAAGAGTCCTTGGCGCTCGATGACAGGCTCGAGGGACTTGGGAAGATTCGCAAGTGTACCTTGGTATTGAAGGAGTACTTGGTTTCTCATGTCAACAGGGGGATAAAATGTAAGAGGAGACGCAAACTTACCCGTTTTGACGGCACGAAGTCTCTCAAATTCCCATCGCTGCAGCGTTTTCAAAGTGTCCTCGAGCCTTTCTTCTAAACCCAGTCGTTGCCGGTCGAGTTGACGAACTGCGACACGATAGGCTTTATCCGCATCTTCAGCCTCATGTCGGGCTTTCATGTGCGTAGGTTCCGAAGACTGGTTTGTCTGAAGCGCTTTGCTAACCGCATTGAAGATTGTGTTGGTACGCTTGAGCAGTTCATCTGGTTGAAGCTTGATGGGAGATGTGGTATCTGTACTCTTATCGGGAAGCTCAAAGGCCTGCGAAGATAGGTTAGGTATGATTGCAATTATGAACAGCGAACACACCTTGGGCCTAAACTGATAGAAAGCTTCTTCCGAATGCTCAAAGTCATTTCCCAATTCACCGATCCGTCGCAAAAGCCCGTCCCTTTCCGTGAGATCTTTAGCAGCTTGTTCGGCGCGGTCAAGACTTCCCCCAAGACCTTGGACATTATCTTTCAACCATGCCACGAATTCCTCTCCAGTGAAACAGTCTTTGTACTCTCCCAACAAAGGGAATCGTACCGGCCTAAGATTGAGTTCACTAGCGGCCCTGGTCAAAAGCTGAGAGATAGCAGCAGGTGGAAGTGAAAGCCCGGCTAGGAGAACAGGCTCAGCGGGCATCGGCGGTACCGGAGAGGCATCTACTCTGGGTGGCAATGGAGGTGACATGGGAAGAGGGGAATTAAGTTGCATTGGGGAAGCTTCGAATATCACTGCCTTTCCTTTGCCCTTGTCAACTTTGGGTGTTTCGTCTGGGGCATCTGACTCTGATGAGAGAAGGGAAGCGGTTTCAGGTTTCGTTGAAAATGCGCTAGAGCTCTTCTTCTGGATGTCCTTTAAACGCGCAGCGATCCGCTCCGAAACACTCGATGTCCGCTGAGGAGGTGAGCGAGCGTCAATTGGTCGGAGTCGAGGGGAGGTTGTATAGTGATCGTTGCCGCCTGAGTTCGGAGCAAACTTTGCACTACATATAGGTTAGAGGTACCGAAAGAAACATAGACGCGCAAACCTAACGTACTCGTCTTCAGCTTCGTCTGCTTTCCTAACCTTTGCCAGGTACTGATGTTTAAGTTTAGCGACGTCGCCGATATGGTGTTCGTAGTTGTAGAGCCATTGGTTGAGAACAACACCCTTGCTTTGCACAATGCGATCCTTTACAACGTGTCAGCGTGCAGTCAAGCAGAAACGTGTAACACAAGTTACCTTGTAGCCCTTGGCCCATTCAGCGAATGGATCAGCTACTAGACTGCTGAGCTCTTTAGCCATATTCTGGTGTAATTTAGCTTGGGCAGTGGATTCTATTTGAAGACCACGGAATGCCATTAACAAAGATGCACCATCGTCGGCAGCGAATCCAGCTCCTGGTACATAGCTCCTATAAACATGCTAGAATCATTGATATGATAATTTCATACCTGTAGTGCCAGTGAGTGCAGTTTTGTGCAATGCCTCAGCTAATTGGCTTTCAGCCTCAGCTCGCGCCTGAAGAGTCAGTCCCAGATTAATAATTGGGGGGCGAAAAGCAAAGTGAAAATAGTTCATACCTGTATAAACGCGATGACTTCGTCATTTTCGACCGTTCCCTATCGTGATGAAGTCAGAGAACTGTTTATTGCAACTATAGGACTCAACCTCGTACTTGCTCGAGTTTTTGAAAAAGAACTTCTACACCTTTACGGTAATCTTGTGTCCAGAACGAGTTGTTGAAACTTAGAGGTAAGGACAGGACTGCCATTTGCGTTTGACTCCCCAGTAGCCGGAGTAGACGATGATGGTGGTATAGATGCAAGAGGTAGGTATCGGTGGCCTTGCGGACGTTGAAGTCTGGTTGCAGTTAACCCAAAGTTTTGATTTGGAGCAGTGCTGATCAGCGCCACGTGGCTATGGGCGGGCAACAGCCGCCGGAATATTCGGCGTTGCTCTGTTCATGTTCATCCGTTCATCCAACAGCCGCCGGATTGGGCGTTCATCAGCGTTCATCTCAAACCTGAAGCAGACTTGAAGTTCAAGCTATCGACACAATACTTGAAATTTCTTCTGGAGAATATGCTCACGTTCTACTATGTAGGTCCCAAAAACTTTCTTGCACATGCTATGAATCACCGTCTGTATCTGTGGCTGCCAAGTGGCAGGAAAAGCGTGTTGTCAAGTCTCTTTCTTGACTTGTGAGTCTCTCGAGGTCTCTCGCTCCTTCGGAAGCTCAGGGTCGCCGCCCTCCATGATCTCGGTTATGCCAGATGACATATCCTGGGTCATACTATTACTAGTACACCGAACACGTTAAACAAACTTTTGATACAATACGTACTACCTAAATCACACGACCCCCAACTATACCATCCTCTACAGACCTTCCACACATCATCCAGAACCGGAGAATGGAGCTGGGCGATAAGCCAGGCTCACCACCACTAGCTGGTCGCCGCAGCTCCCCGCGCCTTAGTACTTAGCCTTACTTACTTGCGGTTAATGAAGAATTCAAAAAAAAAAAAAAAAAAAAAACTATTACTAGTACGAGTAAGGGGAAAGACTATACCCAATCTCAAGACTACCATGTTGAACCTTATAGAGCTGATTTTCCAGCCAGACACCCGTTTCTATACCAGGAATGGAACGCTCTACTTATCTTCTTCTATCATGGATAGGTGACTTCGTAATTGATAGTCTACTTTTTATACAAGAACTTCTTCAAACGAACATTCTATGATCTACGAGGAGTCCGAACTACTCAGGTGTGTACAAAGATCTTCCCCAATCGAGACGTAGGTGCAAGGCGCTTGCAACGTTATCGTTAGACTTTCAGGTAAAAGTAAGTACATTCCTGAACCTCTACAAGCGTTCAAAGAAAACCCACCACATCTTACAGGGTTTGTGACGAACAAGGGTCGATTCTGCAATTCAATTTTAATTCTGAAATCGTGGCGGTGAATGTATTCATGTGAGTCATATAGGTGGCACTAGGTGGCACTGTGGCGACATTTCCGAATCTGGAATTACAAGGGCTTTGAGCCTTTGACTCTTTCCCGAGTCCTTATAAAAACATTTGTATGATGAAAAGAACACTCTTCCTTGCACCCTCAAGAACCCTTTTTCAAACAAGCCTTGATTGTTCTCTAAATGCCTGTTACGCGAAACGAGAACAACGCTGGACCGTCTGTTGGTATGTCCTTTTCCTGTGTTCTCTAGGATTTACACACCCTTACTGGCGTAACTACTCGGCCTTAGGCTCCGACATGAAGCAATCTCGAACGACGAACCGTGGTGGTGTTGAAACATTTCCGGAAGGAGACCTGGACAGTGTAGGAAACCCATTTCCACCGTCAAACACAATGTTGTCGTTTTCCACAAGGCGTCCACGGACTGCTAAGAAAAATGTAGTAGATCACATACCTCGACCTGCAAACGCGTTCATGTTGTTTCGCTCGGATTTCCTGAAACAAAGGCATAAGCCAGGATCCCTTGAGATCAACCACTGTTCACTGAGTAAAACAATTGGTGAGACAAATTGATTTCGGTCAGATTTTGCGGTCTAATGGTTACGCTGTGGTTACGTAGGCACTCGGTGGAAACTATTAACAGATGAAGAAAAAGCTGTGTGGTACAGCAAGGCCACAATCGAGAAAGCAAAACATCAAGAAATGTTCCCTGAATATCGATATCGACCGTCATACAGGAAGAAAATGAATCAAGACATGAACGCTTTTACGTCCGCCGCCGCCTCTATGACCATGCGAGGTTGTGATAGGACATCATCAAGTTGCGTGAGGCAGCGTGAAGATATTATTGCCAAATATCTCAGGAAAGGAACAGATGATGAGCATGATTTGCAAAAGAGCTGGCACTACTACGAGCGGAATTATACTCCCTCATATTCGACATGCAGCCCCATCACTATACCGACCTTGCCTTTGCTGTCTCCGCTGTCCAATCCTCCTAGTCAAGCACCCTGTGTAATGCCGACGAAGTACCGTAGTCGGAGACCATCATCAGTTCTTTTTGATAGCCACCATGATCTTCCGCGCTCCGTACCGTTGCTACGTTCCTTACACTCATCTTACCCTCTACACAATGCATTAGAACCGTCAACAACCATTATCCCTGCTTCCCAACCATTTACAAACACCACAAGAAACTACGTTCAACCGATGTCGAGCCTCGAAACTGCCAATAATTTGCCAATGCAGGATTCAAATTTGTCCACGGATCAACGTGCTGTACCTTCCACCGTATTACCTTCTGTGTTTAGCTTTGACTCAAGCCTACTGGAAGTGGATGAACATGAACAACCTTATCGCACACCAGACAAGGGACAATACCGTGATCTATCGTCAAATTCCCCGTTCCCCTCCTCCTATATGCACCAATCATCTATGGGCGCCGAACACCGATACCCGAACAACGTGTTATTGGGCGATTCCTCCTCCACTATGATGTATAACTTTTTACACGGATCACCTTTTTTAAACGTTAACTCGGAAGTTAGCTCGCGATCCTCTACTGAAATCCCACCTCCGATGGAGAAGGAACTCTTTCAAATCTACCATCCACAAGCTATGCAATGACAGACCTGAGAGCTGACATCGACGTCGAAAGAGAATGTGAACGGTAAAAAGGACTGTCATGGACTTGGAGCACATCATAGAGCTGCATTGCGCCAGCTGTTCGGAAGAGAAATCGCATTCAGCTTCAAAAATTCTTTGAACAACTCGAACCTGGAGGGACACTACTCGATTTGAACAGTGGGAGGGATAGGAATTCATGGTCCAAGTACTGTTCAAAATTTCTCTTCGATGGCCTTCTTACGGAGTTATAACTTACGATCTTGCTGATTCTTTCTCAATTTCTTCCTTGATATTGTGAACGCCTTCGGTTCCAAGTTGTTGTATGTTTCGATTCCATTCAGGTAGACCTATTTTTTTGTATATTCAGTTAGGTACGTGATGATGTATCCCCTACTGCATAGTCACTATCCTTATAAATATTTGCAATTCTGGACCTTGAATCTGGGATATGAAAGATGGAAGTCATACTTCCGGTGTATGCGGCGATTCTCTATGCTCGACCTGAGGTACATCGTGGTCCGTCTAGGAGCCTTCAGTTAACTTGCACGGCGAAGAAATCAGCGTAGGAGCTTTACTTTGCAGTGTTACTTCCGAATATCTACAAGCGCGCCAACTCCATCTCGCTAGGTTAGGCTTAGACAAAGAAATCCGGCATGTTGGCGGGCTTCCTGGAACGAATCGCACTATCTAACAGGCTCAGACTTCCGTCAAATAAGTATATGATACCCATTTGCTAATTGACCCTGAGCCTCTGCAGGCCTCTGCCCTGTGCAAATTATACGCTGTGAAAGTTAATGCGCCCGTCAAACACGAACCATCTTTGCTTGAAGCGGTTGCTCCACGTATGACACCGTTAAAGTTTGATAGTCAGTAGTAAGTACGAGGCACAAGTAATAAACCTTGGGTCCCCACTGCTGGGTATGATAAACTTCTCCTCCTTCCGACTGGTTAGGACAGCGCTATGGTCGTAAATTTTCCTTGCTCAAACCATGACATTTGACCAGCACATTAACGGATTTGACAAGTCGCATGCGCCACATTTTGCGCCATATCCGTGGTCAGCCGCCATTTTTGAACTTCCTCCGAGAGCCCCGACGATGTCACGATTCTACTAATGAAACTTCCTTCAGCAGCTGGAGCGGAAGTGGTTCATTAAGCAATGAAGCTATTCGCCTTACCGCCGCATGGTCAGTTCAAGTTGTCCCGATGGTAATAACATCGAAATATTATGAGCTTATTCAAGTTTGTCTTCCCCTTGAAAGTCGATCGACATTGTTATCGTGACAAATCGGGTAATCGAAGCTACTACGACATTTTCGTTCGATATTGTACCTTGCAAACGGGGAGGGTGATCCGCAGCCTGCTCTTGGTCGGTGATTTGAATTCAATCGCGAATGGTAAATATTAGGCCTGTCCCAGTAGGTATAAAATGCTCGTCCACTACTACCTCGTTCTAATCATCAAAACCACACCGATAATTCCTTACAACGTCCGTACACTGGCATTTCATTTGCAGAATGCATGTTTTATCAACCCTCCATATTTTTGTATTATTTTCTGGGAGTGTCGCTTTGCCTATGGTGAATAGGATTTCCCTTCTTATGGAAATTCTGTATGCTAATGAGAGCTTGTGGAATATTAGTGCCTCAGCACACGTATCGACAAATCAGCTTCTATGAGAAGTAGTGATGAACCCGGACCTCCTTCTTGGAAAAGAGATTTAACCGGAACTGCATCTCCCAGTAGACCCGACTCACTTAACTCGGTCTCTGTTCCTGTTACTCCCTGGACACGGAATGATGCGGACCAAAGTTCTCCTTGGATACGGGACTATTCCAGGGCAAATGCGGGCCCTTCCTTCTGGATACGCGGTGCATCTGGGCTAAACACAACCCCAGGGCCACCTTCGTGGAAACGGGAGGAAACATCCCCGACTTCGACCGGCCGAGAGAGAGAGCCCCGTATCGCCTGAAAGGGCCAGGGATCTGGTTTGAACCATGCAGACTCTCTCTCGAACAAGTCGCGGACCGAGACTAATGTTATCCCTTGTTGAGACGTTCTGCTATTTGAATAGAGGATATGTCCTCTAATACAAGAGTTCAACATTGATACTCCCCCGTACTCCCGTTCTGTAGATATAGATCCATTGACTGCCACACTTGGGGAAACACTGACTGTTTTACAAGGTTTGATAACATCATTACTTCCCTCATAATCCTGTCACTGCTGCATGTCATACCATATAACCTTTATAGTCGCAGTTCGTGGCATTTCGATTCATTTATTTCCCTATTTGTTACTTCGTATCGACTGATCGTACTTATACAAATCTTGCAAGTCCTCGTATTATTTCAACACGTTACAGTGTTCGGTGATACCATCCCTGAAAGAAAATAATGCATCTTGTACTATGAGTCTTTTGACGCCCTCAATCTTGCGCTCAAGATCCCCGGTCCAAATCCTCGTTCACTGCCTAACGCCTGATCAAGAATTCGCATCATTGCAATCACCTTTTCATCCTCGAATTTCCTCCCGACAACCTGTATACCGATAGGCATACCAGCCATAGCCTGCGGGTCATATAGTGGCTTCTTTGACTTGTACAACTCATGGTCGACCGTCACTGCCCCGTATTTTTCTGTGGTCCAAGCATCTTCCAGGTGGTCCTTAAATGGATCAACATGCGAGACTGGAAGAACGCCAACGGGACTATCGACAACGTTGTATAGAATTGTGCCAATCGCAAGAAGACCAACATCTTCGGCGCCACTAAGTTGAAGCGTTGTAAGTTTGACCACAAGGAAAACAGTATACAGGCATACCCATGAGGAACTTGCGGCAGTCCTTGTACTGGAGCAATTATCCCATCTAATGCATGTTTATCCCAAACCTTTATTGTCTGTTAATAATAATGATACAACAAATGACCAAGATTTGGATACCTCCTTGTAAAACATAGTGTTCCACTGATTCTTTTTACTAATATAACTGTTGTATTCCCTGACAGACTTCTTCCGGATTGCACCAACTAAAAAGGCAAATTTTGCATCAAATGGTTTGATCACCTGAACCGCCAGTTTTCTAAGAAATCCTGCACTGAAAGTTCAGCGATCCTGATGTTCAATAATTTGAGGGGCGCACCAGGTAACCGCGAGCCATATACGGGTAACCAAAGACTTTTATCCTGAATATCGCTTGAGCTTGGCCAAGTTAGCTTAAGAGATGCATTTGACCTACCATAGGATCTTGACCAAGATGGCTAGTCATCTTTTCGTATCCATCAGCTGAGGTGAGCGCCAGGAATATTTCCATTGCCTCAGTTGCTTTAGGGGAAATTTAAAATAAATGGCGACAATAGACATCGGAACCCACCGTCTGGGATTTCAATCTCGATGCACTCATGGCCTTGCTTCCTCAAGGCAGCGACAGCTTCTTCGACAGCTCTCCTATTCGCCGGTGAACTCCTTATGAGGCCATCTAAAAAAGAGACGTGAATATAATTCAATGGAATCGTGAAGGGCAAACGAACCTGATTTGTAATATCCAATCCGTAGTTTATTAATCACTTTGGGTTCCCGATAGGATAGCGGGATGGGGTAATCATCAAGACCCAGACGGGGGCGACCAAACATAAGCCTGCAGAAAGTTTCTAAATCCTCTACTGAACTATAGTGAACCCCCGTGTCAGGTTTACTTAGCACCAGGACACAAGAATGGTAATCACCGGGCCAAGGGTCCTGATACAGTGTCGATGGCCTCGAAACCAGGAGCAGGGCCTGATTTAATCATCAGCAATAGGGGAATTTAACAACAAACTACGGAAACATACTACAGGCTCCATAACGACTCAATCTTCCAGATGTGGGCTTTAACGAATAAATTCCACAGTAAGCCGCAGGCATGCGTAAACTTCCGCCACTATCAGTGCCTACGCCGAACACAGCTCCATCCATGGCCAACAGCGCGCCCTCACCACCAGAGCTACCCCCACAGGTATATTTACTATTGTATGGATTTGTGGTACGTCCCCACAGAGGATTGTTGCATTCAAATGAGAACATAGTTTGTGGAACGTTGGTTTTGATTATTGGGATGGCACCGAGGGATAGCAGTTGATCTACGATCTAAAGAGCTTGGTCAATAACGTTCCTCGATAGACAAACCACGACTCTGCGCCTACCGCCGCATTGTATGTCGCCGGTCGATTTGCCCATCGAGTGAAGCCAATGGTAGCGTCATACCCACTGACCAAAACTTGAAAAATTCTCGCGACATTATACTTATGGGAGTTTGAGCAACGATGCTTACATTGATCCTGAGAATGGATGTAAGAATATGGCGCAATTGATGAATGATCAATCACCAACCTTTAAACTGAATGGGACACCGTGGAGGGGACCTCGAAGACGCTTTGTTGATGAAAAATCCTCATCAAGAGTCCTCGCTGTTCTCAGAGCCTGGTCAAATAATACTATCGGACGGAATCAAAGGAAGTGAGGGAAGGGCAAGAATAGCTGGGTACCTTCTGTGGCGCAATTTGTCATTTCGTGAGCTACTACTGCTTGCGCAATATAGGCCTCCAGCACTTCCGTGGCAGTCCATTCGCCATTTTTTATGCCGTCCACGAGTGCTGTTGCTACATGCGGAGTTCAACAAAATTCGATCATGGAACAGAATTGAAAAGAGTTCGCACTTCCAGCGCTTAAAATGGCCTTTTGCTTTGAACCGGATTTAGGCGCCGCGGATATTAAGCGAGTTCGTTCTGCACGTTTGCTCTGGACGATTGACTTGTAATCGTAATCTCCCAGGGACCACATCTTAGGACAGGTTAGGATAAGGGAATGTAGAGGTTTAAGTCATTTGTGTGGAATCCGTTATATACCGTGTATTTGTACATGTGCAAACCGTGTTCCCAAAGGGAAATGACCTTGCTTCTGCCAGTGAATTGACTCGGAATATCCGAGAGAAGTTTGTCGTGTGCGTTTGCCATTTGAGATTATGATAACACCACGAAGCTTCTTTGTCTCCTTCTCCCGTCTCCCCCATTGGAGTATGACTGACTTCCTCATACCTATCTATACCTATCTTCAAGCATTTGATCCAATGATCATTCCCCGGCGAGCGAGTGCATCAGAACGAGTGGCGAGGATGCTTTCCTGATGCAACAGAGAGAATTTATTTGTACTGACATTTCGTCAGCGTTCATGTTCATTGTATCTCCGAGTCCGGCAATACAGCAGGCCCCAACCCGATACTGTTGAAGGTTGATGTTATGTCATCAGTTTTATGGCCTTCACGTATCGGAAGTTGGATTTGGAGCCTGAACAATGGATCTACAGTCGATGTCTCAATCAATCGTTCCGACGGATATTCCAACTTTCGCACTTGTAAGCTTGCATTTATTTAGCACGCGAATGTAACTAGAAAACAGAATTAACGGACCATATGCGCCCAAATCTTCCATATTCCTCCTTTGAGACTTCTGATAAGGTGCGAGAAGGTGCGATTATCACACTATGTATCCCAATATCACGAGGAGCTTGCAGCGTAAATCTCCTCGCATACTAAGACTCACCTCTTACTTTATAAGAATCATTATACATAGGTCCCCGAACTGCGATTTGCCATCAGACATGACTACAACGTTTTCGAGAGTCGAGGGTTTCGAGTAGTTTCGAGTGCAGGAAAAAAAGGCTACCCCGGTCTACCGAAGGCTGAGCGCTGGGATACCGAACGTGTTAAATTCCATTCACGAAAGAGACACTTTTATGAGTGCTCGAGATGGGAGGTTGGAAAGTTGGAAACGAATCTTTAATTATGCTTTGCTTAAAGTTATCGATATCGAGGAAAGGGTGGACGTGAATAATCGTGGGAATTCATTGCACAAGCTCTTCCCATTCTCCTAGACTTGAGCGCTTGAGCGCTTGAAACCTGTCCATATCAAGACTGGTCGTACAAGGAATTTATCAATTTTCAAAGTGATTTTCCAGAGATTTCCCTGATTCCTCAACCTCTTCATCACCCTCCACTTTATTCAGGATCCTACTGGGAGGCCCCTTCAGTGTTGGGTGGATTTAGCCTGGTAATGCCCCAGAGTCTCGCTCGATGGGGTCCTTGAATAGTATTCTCACTTATCAAATCCACACCTTTCTCGAAGAGCTGCTATCAATGATAACATGATATTAGTACTACAGAAAGGCCTGGGCCTGTAAATTCCATATTCTCGCATACTCCCCTCCTGCTTTCAAAAGAGCATCATGGGACCCTTCTTCCACGATAACGGAATCATGCATATATCTGTTGGGTAAATGATGTCAGCTGTGTTTCCTGGGTCTTCCAGAGTAGAATCAAAAGGGTTTGATGGCATGGAATAGCAGGAGTGGCGGGGTGTAGAGCGTCATGTGTAAAATACTCACAAGATCATATCAGCGTTTCGTGTGAGGTTACCGAATCGATGTGAGGAAAAAATCATGGTCTTTTGTCCGCGGAGAAGCCGAAGTCGTTCAAAGAGATCTTTTCAGAAATTTCAGTATGTGGTTGGGAAGGAGAACCGAAGCAACGAAGTAAAACGAGGAAAAAACAACAAAATTTAGCACGAACCGTGTTCAGCAGTAGGATCCAAACTAGCAGAAGGCTCGTCGAACAACAATAACCCGACACTAGGCTCCGAGACTGAAGAACGCATGAATGTCCGTGAGCTTTCCCCCCAGTAAGCAAAACTCTCCGGATTTTGAAACAATACAAGACATACAGTGCAATCCTCTGCATTTGCCCTCCAGACAACGTCGTCGATTCATTACTCTTCATTCCACCCATACCTCTAATCTTCCCGAAACTCACCGCTCTTCCGAAAAGGTCCATCGTACCCTCCGGAAGACCGGAATAATAGTCCCTCACGGGTCTATCGAGGTACGTGTCGTAGCCTTCCTCCAGGCGTTCGATAAATTCCGATGCTCCGCCTAGAGTTGCAGCTTGTGTTATTCTATCCATATCATCAGAGTGGCCCGGGTCGCCGAGGGCGATGTTTTCCCTGATCTAATGGAAAAAAGAGATTCAGTTCACACCTAGCAGGACTCCGGATAGTAGCGCGTATCGACTTACAGATAATGGAAAGTGTGTATAATCTTGGAATAAGATGGCCATTGCTCGTCTTAAATCCGCTAATTTGAATGTCTTGATGTCCTGGTCGTCAACCAAAATTTGGCCTTCCAATGGATCGTAGAGCCGTGCAATGAGTTTGAGGACGGTGCTTTTTCCAGAGCCATTCTGACCTAGAATAACCTAAAATAATGATGGTTTGGGAGGTGTGGAAAGAAGAGAGCAATAAGGCGTACGCAAAGTTGACCCTTAACAATCTTGAATGAGACGTTGTGGAGAGCGTATGATTTGCTTTCCGGGTACTTGAATGATACGTTTCTGCATATGTATGAGTCGAAAACGAAATGTATGAACATAAAATGCGTACCTAAACTCAATCGACATACCCATCTGCAACGAATGTTGATTTTCTGGATAGGGAACCATACCATCCGGAATACGATTCGACAAGTTGATGGCCTCGTACATCTTTTGGATGGTGGCGAAATTATCGGAAATTGAGCCCGTTTGCTCGAACAATCTCAGCAATGTGTGCGAAAATGAATTTGCAGTTGAAGTAATCAAATTTAGCGAGGCCAAGGAAAGCGGAATGGTCGCGGGATATTGGACTGCGCGGAGGGTAAATACAATTTGTGGTAGCTCTTGCAATGGCCTGCGGATTATTGAGGCGAAACTAGGAAAACGTTTTTGATTGAATAATTCGTATACGTCGAAGAATTCTGCCGCATCATCTCCGAGAATATTTATGCATCGTCGATATTCTGCGAGAAGAGATCCGTTGATATAAGGGTAAAGGACAGAAACGACCCTACACTCACCGGAATGCATATACTCCCACATATTTCCCGCTACTATTTCTTTTCGATGAGCAGGTTCGGCTACAGCCTTCCGGAGACCAGACAGTTTGATAAAGTCAGCATTGTGAGTAGTAGCAGCCCACACTGTGCAAATGTCATTCCCTTGAAACCAAATGAAAACAAAGACATACCTCTGGTGAAAAGGGATTGAGTGTCAGAATTTGATGATAGGATCGAATGCGAGAAACTTAATAATGCGATCAGGGTACCATCTTGTTGATTTTTCAAAACGGTGGATAAAACGGAAAGTTGGGATAGTAACATGATAGCGGTGCTACCCATATTGATTACACCGACAACAGTTCTCCAAATAACAGTTTGCCGGGAATTGGAGGGAAAAGCCTGTTCAAGTTGTCTTTGTACGAGAGGATCGTCGTAGGTTGGTACGTCCAGGCGCGCCATAACATTGAACATGTGTACAGTATAATATTGTTTGATGCGGGCATTGAGGGGGCGGGAAATGCGTTTGCTCAAGTGTTGCAGGATAAGATCTGCGATGGAGCAAGCGACACGACTTGAAGCGACGCGAAAAAGTAGTTGTCTGTCTACTGTACGTTGTTCTATAGCGGTTCCGACCTGAGATTGAAGTTTCAGTCGATCCTGGATTGGTGTACACTTGAGGACTCACGATCGTCAGCAGTTGCCCCGAATACCTTTACAACGTATCAGAAAGGTCAAAAGCGACAATGGACACGACGCACCATAGTTGTACAGCAGGAATTAGCGAAAGCGCCAGTTGTACCGCGAGGTACAAACCCAAGTAAAGCCAACAAGCCCGAATGCTCCCGATATCCTTCAGCATGCGCCATACAAATGGAAGACTGTCATAAAGGCCGAGATACCGTTCAAAGTTCAACCTAGCTGAAAATGGAATTTTGGCAAGCTCTGGCTGTCGTTCCTCATAAAGCTCCCAGACTTTGCCGATTTTCGTATGCTTGACCTGGTTTTCGTCCTTGGGATCAAATTTTCCCTTGCGGTTGGTGTTAATACCGCCTTTGCGACGATGAGCTCCTCGGGCCATAATTCGAACGGTATTAGAGCAGAATGAAGGTTAGTGTTTGGCTTCACAGAAGTACACGACATCATGGTCTTTATACAAGTCACGTAACTGCGCAGTGGAGTGATAGCAATGGCATGTATGTAATTCTACATTATTTCATCTCGCTGTGCGTAGTTGCGATTCTAGAACTATACATACTGAACGATCGAATAAAAGCAGAGCAGTGACTGGGCGGTCAAGTACCGCGCGTCTCGCTAGATAGCCATGATTTTTGGTGTATGCCATGTATGTCGACGCTGACCGGCACCAAGCACGCCTCTCAAGGAGTCCTAGCGCATTTTGTGTGCCATAATGTTACAGGAAAGCCTGCGCTTGTAAAATCCATACCCTCGCATACTCGCCTCCTGATTTCAAAAGAGTGGTATGAGACCCCTCTTCCACGACAACCGAGTCTTGCATGTATCTATTGGCAAAAAGGAATCAATCACATTGTGAGCTGAGATTGCTCTTCATGAAGTCCCGCAGTAATATCACCAAGTTAGTCTCGCAGAATTCACGAGAGTGAGAAAAAACTGTTCACTCTTATCAACAAGTTTGAGTTTTGAGGCTGGTACTTTCTTCTTCAACTTCGAACACTAATTCAGGCCACATGTTCAGCAGAATCAGTTCATGACCATTCATTTCTTCGCCAGGAGCTGGCAAGACTAAAAGATTAATCGTGTTGTTCCTCCTGCCATGGCATCGGGAACTAATGACTCCTGTGATGCGCCTAGGAACGCAGGGGACGTTGAGGATCTGATTTTAGAAACGTCTTATAGCATTGGAGGGCTGTAGACCGCGGCCGTGTGCGCGGAGCAATCATTTGGGTGATCTTCAGTGCCCGCAGGACACGACGCGACGAACTAGCAGGTTCGAAGGAAACAGCAATATAGGGTTAAAACGATGATCAGTCGCAGGAAAATGAGTACAAATAAGCTTGAAGCCTTGAAGAATTGGTGTCGAACTCGGAACGTGCCGTGTATATAGAGCAGAGAGTGGTCAAACTCGCAAATGCCGGCCGGGTTGTCTTTACGCATGGCTGCATATCTAAAATATCAGCCTGAGACTGAAAGTATCTGTGCTTCCCCCATGTCTCTGTCGGTCTGGGCAGATAAAGATGTCCCCCGTTCTACGCCAACATCTCCCGTTAGTCCCCTAGCATATGGCAAGAAAGTTTTTCGCTCCATCGTGCTTTGCATTGTACTGCTTATCGCAGTTCTGTCCACTAATGTATTCAAGTTCACCTGGTCCTCTCCGATAAACTATTGCAATGCATTTCTACTCTCAAACTTAAACAAGTATGGCAATGAACAGCTATGTTCTCAATACGATGTTCTGGTCCCTAAGAATCTGCTATGGAATACAGTCGGTGAGGTCGTTGGTACAGAGGAATTCAAGGATAGGGCTGTGAATTGGCTAGCTGGTGCGATTCGGATACCGTATGTACATACTGTTCATAATGCTTCTCTTCATGCCAATATATCAACAATCTAGCACTGAATCCTACGATGACTTTGGTCCCATTGGCGAGGATCCTCGTTGGGAAACCTTCAAACATTTCCATGATTATCTTCTTGAGGCGTTTCCGCTTGTGTCAGTCATCTCACGCCTGTAACTTAGCCAAGATTAGACTAAAAGTTATCTCAGTCATTCAACCTTGTCCCTCACCAAAATCAACACCCACAGTTTACTCTACGAATGGACAGGAACGGACTCTTCTATTAAACCCGTTCTTCTGGCTGCTCATCAAGGTAATAGTGTTTATTACCTTCTAGGCTATGTGAATTTATGGTATTCTCATCTTGGTTCCAGATGTTGTACCCGTTGAACCACGAACTGCAGCAGACTGGACATACCCCCCTTATTCTGGGCACTTCGATGGTACATAGTGTTACTGTAGCTGGTTCAAACTGATAGACGCCTTTTCGTACACCAGGAACACGGATATGGGGTCGAGGCGCTAGTGATGATAAGTCGGGGCTGATCAGCCTCCTGTACGTTCTCTTCTTTCATTCGCTGGGAGATAACAAAACTCAGTGATAAGACTTTATCTTACTCAAGGTCCGCCATCGAATTGTTACTGGAGGCAGGCTTCAAAGTGGAGCGTACTTTCGTTCTTGCGTTCGGTTGCGACGAGGAAGCTAGTGGGCATTTCGTACGTTACATGTTTTATTGGTATCATACTCAGAGAATCTAATCGCTGTATGACCTTGATGTTGATAGGGAGCTCTTCAGCTCGGAAAGGCAATGCTAGAAATATATGGCCCAAATGCGTTTGCTTTTATTGTTGACGAGGGAGGTGAGTATTTCTTGATTAGCCAACAAATCTTTTGACAAACACTATGCGTTGAGAGCTTCAGGCGATATTTCTGAACATTACGGAACAGTCTTCGCTGCTCCTGGAGTGGCCGAGAAGGGCTACTTAGATCTTCGAGTTGATGTAGCTTCTCCGGGAGGCCATTCAAGCATTCCACCAAGTCATACAGTACGTCTCCGAGAAAAATCCACTTCATTTATTTTGTGACATTCCTCTGCGACCTTCTAGACGATCGGCATACTCTCCCAGCTTTTGGTAGAGTTTGAAAACAACCCTTTTCCTGTTGAGATGGTAAGTCGACATTCAGTTCACGCTGCACTAACTATACCTACTATCATTGGATAGAGCACCGACTCGGTATTTTATGGGACTTTACAGTGCTACGCAGGGCATGGAAAGACTATCCCCTCAGATTTACGCAAAGCTATCGTTCATTCTGGGTCTTCAAAGAAAGCGCTCAAAAAGCTGGGCGATATCCTTTTCAAAAACCCTGCCAATGTTGCACTTGTTGGTACGACGCAAGCGATTGACTTGATTCAAGGAGGGGTGAAGTCAAATGCACTTCCGGAACAGGCGTATGCAGTAGTTAACCATCGAATTTCCACACTAAGGTGCGCCTGGACCTTCCATGAATCGTTTGATCCTTACAACTGACGTGTCGTCATTCTATCAGCTCTTTAGCAGAAGTCATTGACCGTGACACTGATACTCTGAAAGGTCTTGCAAACAAATTCAACCTTAGTTTCATCTCATTTGGCAAAACCATATCAGACACAAGCGCGTCTAGCGCTTATGGGAGTCTCGTTTTCAGCGATGCCTTCAACAATAGTCTTGTACCTGCGCCAACCACGCCGACATCTGGATCCAAAGCCCGTCCTTATGAATTACTATCAGGCACCATCCAGGCGACGTACAACGCTCATCGCGGACTCGAACTTGAGAGTCACAATGTTGTAGTTGCTCCTGGGATGCCTACTGGGAATACTGATACCAGATATTATTGGGACCTTTCGGACGGTCAGATTTTGAGGTATAATCATAGGAATTCGATGGCATTCAAGGACGTAACGAGTGGTGTGCATACTGTTGACGAGAGTGAGTTGTTCTTTTTCAAGCTTTGTAAGGATATATATGCTGACTTTGTGATCTCTGCTTTAGATCTGCCGATTGAAGCGTTTTTGGAGATGATTCGGTTCTTCACTACATTGATTCTCAATACGGATGAATCAAGAAGTGTATAATTCCAGTAGTTAGCTTGGTAGCGCAGTGTGTAGAGTAGAAATGATACACAACAAACATAGGATTCTGCTACTGGTGATACTTTATAATTTGTGATTATGTCTTCTGTGAATCAAGCTTCTTGGGAGTCATAGGCATGGTAGTAGCTGGTAGTTCTTGCTTTTGGCAGAAGCTCAGGTCGAATACCCGGAATAACACCACCCTCCATTATATGAACATCCTTGAGAAGTTTATTGATTCTGTTCAAAATCAGACGTGTGTTGCCAATGATTAAAACTTCAAATACTTACTCATCGTCATTTCTAACTGCAAGTTGGATGTGTCGGGGCTTGATATGCTTCTTCTTGTGGTCGCGACAGGCATTGCCTGCGAGTTCCAACAGTTCTGCGACGAGGTATTCAAGGACAGCAGCAAGGTAAACTGTTCAGAGGACTGGTCAATAAAGCAAAAGAGATCGACTTGAGTTAGTATGGTGTGTAGGGGTGCGTACCCGGAGCAGACGAGGTGAGTCTTTTATCAGCATTGATAACCTTCATGTATCGGCGTAGTCTAGTAACTGGAAAAACCAGCCCGGCTCTCTCAGATCTGTTCTTCCTGCTCTTTTTCCCAAGTGAGACCGTCTTTTTGCCCGTTACACTGAAATGAATATGCATAAGACTTAAGTATTAGCATAGGAATGAGGCAAGGAGTAGCACTCTGCCTCCTGATGAGGGGGTATCTGTCGAGTTCAAGTTCTCCAAGTACCTTTTTCCCGATTTTCCCGATTTCCACGATTTTCCAGATTTTCCGGTCTAAATGCAGGTCAGAATGAAATTCCAAACATGATTATTGCATAGCTGTACCATTTTTAAGCTTTTTAAGAAGTTCTTCTTGGCTGGTCGATGGTAATGCTGGTAATGAGGCTCTATGAGGACTTAGAGAACTTCGTGAAGAATTTCGGCTTGGCCGGCACAGCCACCAGCGCTTAAACGCGTCAGTAACGTGAGTGATGTTGTCTTTAACGGAACCAAATTTTGACCGAAAGCGCGCTTTCCACGAGGCCAACTGCAACTTACCAGTGCAAGCTGAGCTCGACGCTTTTATACTTGATCGGGTTGCTGGAATTTCCCGGTGTGAATCTCTTTACTGCTTCGAAACATAACTTTCTCTCCCTTCCTTACGCGTATCTATACCTCTCGATCCACGAAAAGAAAGAAAAACCTCACGGAAAACATCTTTGAAACTTTTTCGAAAACTCAACAACTGGTATATATATAGCAATGGCTTCTCCGACTCGGCCACCATTAGCACCTCCTACAGCGAGCTCCTCACCATCGTTGCCAAGCGCGATAACACCCTCTGCAGACCAGGTCTGTCTAGTAATACCCTGGGGTCAAACACCAATCATTGACCTAGATCTTGCTCCCAGATTGTAGTTCTATATGTCGTGCGTCGCATTTGTTTTCGAGTGTTCGCCTCTCGATCTAACCAGGAGATAGATCATCGCAATGGCAGTCATCATCTTTGGATTTTGGAATGTCCCTGGAATCAGGCATCTCATTAACCCGTTGAAGTTATTCACCATTGGAGCTCATGAACTATTTCACATAATAGCGGTGGGCATACTTGTTCATTCGGGTACGAGTTCTCCATTGATTCACGGCTCAGGCAATACTATCGGGGGGTCGGATATTGCGAATAACAATCGATCCACATGTGGGAGGCGCAACGATAGTAGAAGGCGGCAAGCCGACGTTTATCCTATCCTCGGGTTACATCGGGTCATCTATTCTTGGAGGGCTATTTGTCCTTGCTGGTTGGGATACCTTAGTGGCGAAGGTCATGAGCTTTGTGCTAGCAGTTGGGTTAATTCTGCCTTTGAAGCTGGTGCGGGATAAATTGTGTGTGCATGTATCGTCGTTCGACCCTTGTCACTCCAACTCACGTTTCATCCTATGCAGAACGATACTACTGACGATAATATACGAAGGTCTCCTCATTGGTTTCTGGTTCATCGACCACGCGTAAAACAGTCTTTGGCCTTATGATATATAACAACCCTTGCTCATGTCATCTCTTAGCGGCGCGTTACGGTGGTACTGCCTGTTCATCGGGGTAATGAAGTGAGTTCGTCTACGTAAGCATGGAACCTTTCTCTGATTATCTGTCTCTACAGTGTTCTTTTTGTAGTGTGTGAGTAACGGCTTGATTGACCGCCGCGTGCCACGTCGAACCCACTTTTCTGATAGAATTTTACGCTTTTCGCAGGGGATGTAGCAGATGACCGGTTCTTCCACAAAACAAATGATTCGGATTGCACACAGTTTGCAATTCTTTATCCAAGTATAGGTGCTCATGGTCCGTGACATGAGGAATGTTTGGAATATTTCACATAGCTCACCTTTCGGTAGTATGGGCCACCATCTGGATCGCGTTTCAGTTGGGGGTGTTGGCTGCTTTTGCAGTGCTGGGTATAATGGTTTTCAAGGTACCGAGTGCGGATTCAATATCGAGTTCCAACGATACAACTTAGCGGCTTATACTGTAGCGCACGACCGATCAAATGAACGAGGAAGCTGGTGAGCTATCTCGTTATGAAAGAATTTTTTAACCTAACAAACCTCGGGTAGCGCGTTTTCTGCCTACATGAATTTATTGAACTTGCCGATCTATTTCTTGATGATGTATCATTACATTTCTATGTACTCTTTTGCAGGACGGGATACCTACATGGCTATTGCTTTCAAGCTAGACATCTTCCATGCTTAAGTTATCTTTTCACAATCACGGACAATCAATATGTACTGTTTTCATGTCGACGACAACTCTTTTCCAACTCTTTTGGTGTAGACGTCGCAAAAATTGCGAGCTTCATTTTCTTCAATCAACCAAGTTAAGGAAGGAAGGCCATCCTAGTATTGTATCCTTCCAAGCATTCCACTGATCAGCTGCCGTCTTTGGAAGATCCTTGTGAGCTGAGAAATATGCGGTAGAGTGAGTGAAGCACCCCCGCATCAAAAAGTCAAGGACTCACTTCGATGACATTCTCCTTTCAATGCCCAGCTTTTGGTAAATTCTTCTCGAGGAAGTCGCATTACGACATTATCATGCTCTTTGAAAAAGATGACTTGATTCCTGTCTGTGTCGCGTTTGGACATGGCAGGTGGATTAATACCATCGGTTGCGGTGTAGGGAGGGGCTGGGGAGTCAGACTCGATCTCTGATGTTGTTGCGTATACAGGAGGTTCGCCGTGAGCTTCGTAGATCTATGGAGGAACGAGCTGCCACAGTGTCCCTGCGAGCGATAAGTTTCACTCACCATTTGTGGCATATTTGCTTTCATCATACTTTTGCTGGCATATACTGGACACTGAAGCAAGAGGTTTGCTCAGTTTTCTCGGTCGTAAAATTAAAACAATTTTAACTTACACTCCAGCAGGCATCCTTCGCATTCGAATAGGTGACGCCAGACAATGAGAGAATATGAGAAATGGTAAGTCTTCAATGTCCCATCCAATGTTGCAAAAATACTTACCTTGGGATTTTGGGATTCCAAGCCGAGTTTCGGTAACAGGTATAGATATTCAATCGAGGGATGAGTCGGACGGCGAGCAGGAAGTGTCAGCGAACTCAAACGAATGGGTTTGTTCTCGTACTCCTTGCCTATGAGCTACAGAGTTGCGTTAATTAACCATGAAATTAGTTCCACGGGGAGACGGAAACTAGTCTCACTGCTTCGGTGTACGCAAAGCCTATCAGTGACATTCCGTCCCAAGCCAAGCTTAGCTTCTTCAAACCGAGTCCGAGGCCACGAAGACCAAGGCGAGTAAAATTTTCCGAGTCTTCCTCATGACTATGACTTGGTACTTGTGGAGCTGAATTCGTGCCGGCTGTCCCAGATCCATGTTTCGAATAACATAGGGTGTTCAGAGGGAGGGGAGAGGCACAACAGGTGGTTACCAGCGATGCTGAAGCTAGCACCGCAATAAGAAACCGAAGTATCCAGGTTTCGTGTCTAGGGATCCTATGACTTTGAGCATCCATAATAGTTGTTGAAATTTTTGGAGACCTGCTCCTTGAAGGGCACGTAGAGGCAAGCTTAGCTGAGTGACTCGGAGATCCTTTTATACGATATACATGGCAGTGTTAGATTATCCCCGGGAAGAGTCAGGGAAAAGAGCCAGGAAGACATGTCGCCTTTCGCATTGTATGCACGATTTGATCAATTTGGAAGAGACATGGTGATATGGTCAGATACATACAGAATGTGCGAACCTGCCGAGTATAACGTGAGGGATGTAAAGAAATTTGTTGGGTTTAAACATCGACTCGGACACACAGCCTTGAGAATTCGAGGTAGATCTGGTTTAGGTGCTACAGTATATCATCGATTAAAGGAGATTGTGGACGTTTTGTGGGCATTTATCGTCTCGGAAAGAACGAAAAAAGAGCGTTTTACCACTAATACCTGGTTTTACCTGGATTTGATCAGGATGTCCGTATCGGCTAAATAAGCCTGAGCGCAGGGAGGGTAAGGAAGGGAGGGTACCACTTATGTTATGTTGGGAGTCATCCTTAGTCAACCACGCAGAAATTGTCGTTTCAGTTCGACACAGCAAGAAGCCTGGACCTTGGCAGAACGCTGTAGAACCTCGTGGAATGTTAATTTGTCGGTGTACGAGTATGCAGGGGGCTTGTCACCCTAAGCCCTTGGTCACTTATCCGATTTCTATAATAGGATGGGAACAAATAGTGACTTGTTTCGAAAGTACTGGGGGTGTAAGATGCTGAAAGAAGAGCGTATAGATAGCACCGTATAAGATTCTTTAGATAGTTAGAGATTCGGATTTGAACTTGAAGGAGGGTCGGAGCTGGCCAGAGACATTGATGCTCCGGACGGTGTATTAAGTTGAACGACAGGGCGTTGAGTCTCACATTGGATAGGATAGGACAAGATAATTGTCAGAAGCGAGTCGAAAGTGTTGGGTTTAGCTTCGTCTCTGGTGAACGTACCTTATTAGAAACAATCGACAGATAAGCGACTGCCAGAGTTAGAGTACCGGTCAGAGCTCGATGAGCCTACGCTGAGATCCTGATAAAATTGACATATGTAGTATGAATACACGGAAAAACGATAGCAATTGAGCTACTTGTGACTATGTCCAGGCAAATGTAAGTTATAGGAAAGCGATGTATCAAGCGAGAGGGGTTCATTTATGCCGTGACGATTTCGTATGAGAAGGAGGATTCATTGGAGAGGTTATAGAGAATGGTGTTGATAATGAGGTCGGATGCCAGAATATGATAGGCAGGTGAGCGAGTTAGTAAAAGAAGCCAGATTAGAAGATTACTTTCGGGTTGCTCGCCGTATGAGACCTGCAAGGACAATTGTTCCAAGCGCAGCAGCGCCGCCAACGAGCGCCATCCCGATGTAGCCCTCTACAAAGATATGAGAAGGAACGACAGCAAAGGAGAGGTTGCAAAGCGACGTACCTCTTGTAACGCCCTTCTCTATAAGTTGTGCTAGACTTAGAGCTTGGAGGTTTGTGGGCTCTTTCTCCATTAGCAGACCTGCCGGGTTCAGATCAGCGACGTAGTTTGAGGGAAGAAGGACAGCCATACATACCATTGAATTGTTTTGCTTCTTCGAAATTGCCCATCTTATAGTGTCCTAAAGCCAGGTAATATAAACATTCTCTTCGTCGTGTAGGCTCCGAGCGATATAAGTCTGGCGAAGTACACGATCAGAAATGATTGAAGAAGGTAGGAGCCTAGCTCACCTTGCAGCAGTCGAACACCCTCTACTTGATGCTCCCGTAATGGGCTCTTCACTAGACCCCAGGCAAAGTTGAACTTGGTCTGTACTGTGACATGTGCCTGAAGCTGTTCCCGTTCGTATTGTAATCGTAGAACCTGTATCATTATGAGAGTGAAAGATGGAGTAACAGGTCATCTGTTAAAGTACCTCGAGCTCATCGTAGGAAAGGGAAACTTCTGCATCAGCAGCATAGGGAAGCTCTGTAGACATGGTGGTGGTGGAGAAAATAGGACTTTCGGCTTATCCGGCGAAATGTGTTAGTGTGTGAAAGAACTGCCATTTTTGTCTACCTTGAATCTGCTGTCCGTCCTTCAAGTTTCAACTTTCACACTCAGTTCATTCTTGTGTTAGACTAGGTTAAACTCAATAACAACCTCAAGAAAATGCCTGAAGAACACGGTAAGCCTTAAATTTTGACCTGTCTCTGTAATTCTACCAGCAGCTGCGAGGAGTCATCGAAAAAGAAATACGGCGAATAGTCTGGTGTCGAATTTTCCCTGCTCTTCTACCGTTCGAAAAACGATAAACTCATGGTGCATATTTCTTTTCTTTGCACCATGCTGTTTCTATAGCTAGCTAGCCCTATCTGGATGCTTTGTCATCCCACCGCCGCCGAACTGCCCTCGCCAGTGCACATTCCAACAGTTGAGGTTACTTACTGTGCTTCGGCCTTTTTTTTCTTTTTTCTTTCCTTCTAGACCGTGCATCCCATCGGGAGGACCGCCATAGGTCGTCAAAACATGAGGAAAGAGATGGACATAGAGAAAGAGAGCACAGAGACCGCGGCGACAGATCTGACCGGTACGGGGGTCGAAGAGGTGACGATAGACGAGACGGGAGAGGAGACCGCGACCGGGAGCGTTACTCTCGTGGCCCTAGAGAATTTGATGAACGGAGGCCTCGGGACGACGACCGACGGCGCGGTCGTGAAGACGACGGTTACGGTCCTCCAAGGGACAGAGGAGACAGAGGAGAACGCCGGGGTCGTGGAGGTGGAGGCGGCGGTGAAGGACGTGGTGGTGGTGGCGGAGGCGGAGGCGGAGGAAGAAGGGAAGCTACTCCTCCCGAGAGAAGGTCTCCTACTCCAGAGGGCGCTGTACCTTTGACTCAGCGCAGGCGCAAAGCTTCTGGTTGGGATGTTCATGCTCCAGGTTATGAACAATATTCTGCCATGCAAGCTAAACAAACAGGTTTGTTGAATCACGCAGTGTCCCATCTTCTATTTCCTAACGACTTCGCAGGTCTCTTCAACCTCCCCGGTGCCAATCGAACTCAGATTCCTCCTATTCTGGGTATCGCTGGGCTTCCTCCGCCCATGCCAGTGCAGACTTTCGGCATGGGTATTGGTGCCAACCCCAACCTGTCTCGTCAATCTCGAAGGCTTTACATTGGTAGCATAACCCCCGAAGTCAATGAGCAAAATCTTGCCGAATTCTTTAATCAGAAAATGGCAGAAATGAACATTGGGACCAGTACCCCCGGTCCCCCTGTTCTTGCGGTACAGTGCAATTATGAGAAAAACTATGCTTTCGTCGAGGTAATTTACGATCAATTCTATCTGTTGTGCTGTCTAATGTCCGTTCTAGTTCCGTAGTGCCGAGGATGCTACGTCTGCCATGGCCTTTGATGGAATTATCTTCATAAATGGACCGCTCAAAATTCGTCGACCCAAGGACTACGGCGGTGTTGAAATTCCTGCCGCCGCTCCTGTGGTTCACGTTCCTGGGGTCGTTTCTACTAACGTCCCCGACTCGATCAACAAAGTATTCGTAGGCGGTCTTCCTACATACCTCAATGAGGAGAATGTCATGGAGCTTCTCAAGAGTTTCGGAGAGTTGAAGGCTTTCAATCTAGTTAGGGAGAATGGAAATGGACTTTCAAAGGCATGTACCCCTCTTTTCCTCGGGAGATATCAATTGACATTCTTCCCAGGGCTTCGCATTCTTCGAATATGTTGACGCGAGCGTAACGGATACTGCGATTCAAGCCTTAAACGGTATGGAACTTGGTGACCGCTATCTCGTCGTGCAACGTGCATCGGTCGGAGCGAAGCCTGACACGCCAGGCATGATTCCTAACTTGCCTTACGACCAATTTCCCGAAATCCCTCGACCTATCATGCCTGCTGGTGAATCCACCGGCAGCGACGCACGTATACTTCTCATGCTCAACATGGTAACACCCGAAGACCTCATTGATGACGAAGAATACGGAGACCTATTCGACGATATCAAGGAAGAATGCTCGAACTTTGGTGCCGTGGAGGATCTACGAATTCCTCGACCGGTCAAGAAGGACAAGACCAAGTGGACTCCAGGGGAAGGGCTTGATCCGCAGGCTATTGCTCGCATCGACGAGGCAGCGGGTGTTGGTCGTGTCTATGTGAAGTATGTTGATAGTCACAGTGCCTCGGCTGCTTTGAAGAGTCTTGCCGGACGTTCCTTTGCTGGGAGGTCGATTATTGCTACGCTTCTAAGCGAGGAAAGTCAAACCACTCCTCCGTTGAACCTTATCTTTGCGCCTCAGCCAGACGCTCCTCCCCCACTACCTGCCGACTCGTGAGTGTGTTGGGGGTTTTATGTTAGGATCATGGTTATTGTTTGAATGTTACTCGTTATACGTATGTATGTATGATGTGTACTCGAGTTGTCGTTTCGTTGCTACATGATATTATGTCGTCTGAATTTTTGACATGAATCCCAGGTGAATCTTAGGATCTTAGAGTGTCGTTTGCCATGGCCCACAGGAGCCCCGACACCCCAAATCGCTATAAACTGGTGATCAAGCTTATCTACCCTTGCGGGTTTAGAAGATCTTCCCCGACCTTCCCCGACCTTCCCCGACGTCAATCATTTGCCATATTCGAAGCACGGAGGTGGTCGAGGAAGGTGTTCAGTTCTCGAGTGCGCGTGAAGTAATGAAGCTGTTGCTATTGGCTTCGAGAGGGTGTGCGCTTGACTGAAGGCTAGGGGCAATGCCTGGCAAACGCATGCCCTTCGCTGCTATATTTCATTGTACTTATACTACATACTACAGGATAATAATAGAATACTCTATAATATTCTTGAGGGTACATGAAGTGAATGTTCCCGAGTTTCTCGCCCATTGTTCAGCTGGCGAGTTGCTTACCAAGGTTGTGTTTTCGGTGATATTCGATGCAGTCTGGAATATTTACACCAAAGGCCCAGTGAAGCTTTTCGGGCTTGACGTGGTTAAGATCTCGTCTTGAACGGACACGGTCCAGTTGATATATTACTTCGCAGGGACGTTTTTCCCGGGAAGTAAGAGAGAGAGAGAGAGAGAGTTGATTTAACCGCCGCAGGCCACCATTTCGGAGCCAAGAGCGGGGAAAACTATGTACCAAGTACCAGTAATGCCAAGTATCGTATAGTAGTGAATGTATGTATTGTGGATACTGTCTTAGTTAGATGTTGCATCGTAACGGTTTTATCAAAAGGTGTGTGTAAGTAGGTGGATGCGATGATCAAAGAGTTTGGACAACAGATGTGGGTGGCTGAAAAGGTGAGTATGAAATTATATAGATATGAAAGTAGGTAACATAGAATCATAGAAGGAAAGAAAGGGAACATAGAGCCAGTATGTGAACTGATGAGTCCGTAGTCTTGATCTTGTTCCCGGGAAGTAAGATATCACCACGTTCTTTAAATCTGAAAAAAAACCTCAGACACTTCGAAGACACAAAGGAAAAGCACTCACCCAGTTGGGCACTTCATCGGTGTCTCGTAGGTGAGCTCTTGTTTTGTGGATGCCATCAGGTCGTAAATAGTGTGTACCGTACAAGTTGAGGAGGATATGTCCCTGTCCGTGCTGAATGCTCCGAGATAAGTCAACCACAGGTTGGCTTATCATAGGATAAGATTAGCAGTGGCGATGAGTGCTATTGGGCGCCTATTCGCCCTCACTCTCAACCACTCATCGACATACCTCTTACGTCTCCGCCTTTTGTTGTGTCCCACCCACCCTCCCTTGCTTTTATTATTAGTGTCTGGCAGAAAAACCTACATTTCAGCCCAGACGCTCCGGGCATTATACCCTCGCGCAGCGGTGAGTTGCCCACCCGCGCGGGGCTTCGCCCCCAGGCAAAGAACTCATATATATTATGCTGGCTACTTTATAGGATCTCTATCGGGATATACGAGGACACTCCAATATCTTATCAGTGAAGTCAAGAGCTCCACGTGATCGTGTACATTCTAATCTCCGGGTCACCCCGGGGTCACCACGCAACGCCTGCGTAATTTTAGCCATAGCCGTACAGTAACATAAATCAAAATTCATTATCCCCTCCACAGAGATTTCCCACATACAGTTTCCTCTGTTTCTTTCACCACCTTGCTAGAGCTGGACTCAGCATTGAAAAAAAAACCGACTTCGAAACATGCGACCCTCGTTGCTCCTGCTTCCCACCTTGCCTGTTCTCATGGCCTGCCTCACCATCTTAAGCCCCGTCACCGCTGGCAGCGTGTTGACTCGACGAACTGGTGACTTCGAGGTTGGCGTTGCTTACGGTGATTGCGATGGGCCATGGATAGCAAAACTTACTCCGGGAACCCCCACTCAGTCAAGACTTGTTCTAGTCGGACAGTGCTACGCCGCCCTGGACATCACCTCCATGCCGGGGTTCTCTCACCCTAGTGAAGTGGCAAATTCAGGATATGCCGACGAATTCTGTATTGTTTTCATCAAACCCTTGCCTGACGTCTGCAGACTTGTTGTATATACATTGTTCGATGGAGATATCGGCAGCCCTAGGGGTGGCTTTGTGTCAGGACCAATAGAAGCTGGAGAACAGCGACTCGAATCTCACCTCAGGAAGCTGGAGGTCCATTGTGACGAGAAAAAAACTGGGGAAAAACGGGTTTCCGGGGGGTCAGCGCAGCAGAAGGGACCTGGAAATCCAAATCGTAAGAAGCAGCGTCTTGATGGACGATCACGGAAATGGCAATAGGTTTCGTTGACGAATCGATGCACAATTGTTCCTTTGTAGTTGCGAGCCCCCAGATTGACAAAGCATTGTGATGTTTCTTTGTTTTGATATACGAAGTTTAAACCTCGGCCATTTTGAATAGTTTTATCAAACGTTTCTCTGCTGGGAGGGCCAATATTCAATTATTGCGACGCAACCGGGACAAACCCTTGATCATCTAAATTAGCCGGAGTGCTCCTCCCCCACTTGAGAGCCTTTTTAGAATTAAAGCTGACTGGAATTTTTGGCACGTGAAATCCTCGCACTTTCCGTTACACCCATGTCTTCAGTATGTTATAGTTCTCGCTGCAATCACCTTGAGTGAACCTGAGTTTCAGCACTGCAGACACAACAATTTCGAACCGAAAGGGACACCTTTGGTGAACTACAAGTTCCAAGCGACAGATATTGGGGTGCACAAACTCAACGGTATGTTTCCATATCAATCTTTCGAATCAAAGTTTGTTGATATGTCTGGTTACAATGGTAGATCCTTACAGAACTTTGACATCGGCGGGCCCACTGAACGTCTTCCTCCTCCCTTGATCAAAGCATTCGGTATCCTAAAGAAAGCCGCGTCGATTGTGAATGTTGGTTATGGATTGGATGCAAAGATCGGCGAGGCAATCCAGCAAGCTGCTGATGATGTGCGTTGCTCCAGCTTTATCAGATGAAGGCTGATTTCTATGGATTCAATCAAGGTCATTTCGGGACAACTAAATGATCATTTTCCGCTTGTGGTATTTCAAACTGGAAGTGGAACTCAGAGTAACATGAATGTGAACGAGGTACGCTCATTTTTATGGAGTCCAAGTCGAATATAGTCATCGAATGTCCTACTACTTACAGGTCATCTCCAACCGCGCCATCGAAATTCTAGGTGGAGAGTTGGGTTCGAAGAAGCCCGTGCATCCCAATGATCATGTCAACATGTCGCAGTCTAGCAATGATACCTTCCCTACTGCCATGCACATTGCGGCGGTCACAGAACTCAATATTTCTCTCATCCCGGCTTTATCCGGACTTCGCGATGCATTGGACGCAAAATCTAAAGCCTTTGAGCATATTGTCAAGATAGGACGAACACATTTGCAAGTTAGGATAAGAGCTCAATAGTCGTCCTTCAATGATTGATTCAGATGATAGGATGCTACTCCGTTAACGCTAGGACAAGAATTCAGTGGGTATGTACAGCAAGTCTCCAATGGCATAGAGAGGGTCAAAGGTGTGCTACCTCGACTTAGCCTTCTTGCTCAAGGAGGGACTGCAGTTGGAACTGTATGTCTTAAGTTATCTGTCTGCATTCTGCCTTATGGTTTTTGTTGTAGGGACTGAATACCAAACGCGGTTTCGACGTGAAAATCGCAGAAGAAATCACCAAACTCACTGGCTTGGAGTTTAAGACCGCACCAAACAAGGTGGAGGAGCCTTATTTTAATGATCCGATATCGTACGAACTCATTGGTTGTCGAAATGCAGTTCGAAGCTCTCGCTGCGCACGACGCGCTCGTAGAAGCACATGGCGCACTCAACGTCCTAGCGTGTTCGCTCATGAAAATCGCCAACGACATCCGCTATCTTGGCTCCGGTCCCAGGTGCGGACTCGGAGAGTTGAGCCTTCCAGAGAACGAGCCTGGAAGTAGTATCATGCCTGGAAAAGTCAACCCGACGCAGTGCGAGGCTGTGACAATGGTCGCTGCACAGGTAATGGGCAACCAGACGACAGTCAGTATCGCCGGATCCAATGGACAATTCGAGGTATGTTCATATAATTCTCGGATTTTTGAGGAGAGCTAAATGACTTACGAGAGTATGTACATAGCTGAATGTGTTCAAGCCGGTCATTATAAAAAATGTGTTACAGAGCATCCGATTGCTTGCTGATGGTAAAACAAAATACATTGGCTATCACTGTTCCGAAGATTTAACCGGGTGAATAGGTTCACGCTCGTTCACGAAAAACTGTGTCGTTGGAATCCAGGCGAATGAACCGCGCATCAAGTCTCTTCTGAACGAGTCACTGATGCTGGCAACGATCCTCAACAGTCATCTTGGATACGACAGTGAGATTCTTTTGGGGTACTTTGAATGTCATACACTCTCAACTCTTTCTCGTAGATGTGGCTAGATGCGCCAAGAAAGCACATAAGGAAGGTACAACGCTAAAGGAGGCTACGGTCTCGCTTGGTCTTCTCTCGCCGGAGGAGTTTGACGAAAAGGTTCGACCAGAACTGATGCTGTATCCTGATCCCTGAACATCTGGATTCTGTACTCGTGTGATACCTGGAAAGTAAACAAGTACTGTAGAAAATGAAATGTAAGATATGATTTGTCAATTTGTGAAATTGTAAGAGATTGCGCCATTGGCGCCGGCACCGGCGCCTCGAAAAATTATTACGTGCACTCGCTGACTTTACCTCGGAACGTTCACAACTCACGATAATGCTCGGCATAGTTGGGGACACTGAACTTTTGCCGCACTCCCGTCATCTTGTCGGCCAGTTGCTCATACTTTGAAAGCTATAAAGGGCTCAAGACTTATCATTCCAATAAACAAATCACTTTCTATCATGCATCCTCAATCAAGATTCTTCTACCGCTTCTCGCAGTCCTGGAATCATCCTGGAATGGACTATGGATTTTCGCGTAGACACTGGCATCGCCGCCCATCTCGTTTGTTATGGTTCACCATCGGAGCTGCTTCTGCTACTTGGTATATAATGCGCCACGATGCAGAGCAAAGCGATAAAGCCAATTATTGGAAGAACTGTTATCGTCCTCCTGTTCAACAACCGCGGCCTCAGAACAATGGTGATTTCAGCAGGGTGTTAGGGGACCCATTACCAACAGTCCCAGGTAATGACTCTGGCGCGCCACCTTCACCTTCACCATACCCTTATTCGCATCCTCATCATCACTCTCATTGGGGCTGGGGGTTTGCGAAAGAACGATCTTTTCAATATCCTCCCTCTCCTCCTCCTCCTCCTCCTCCTCCTCCTCCTCCTCCTCCTCCTTCTGCTGCTCATCCACCCAACGGCCCCGCGAACCTGAGAAATTATGGCCAGGCCCCATCGGATTCTGCTCTTCCTACAGTGCCCACAGAATCCCTATCAGGCCCGGCATCAACTCCCGGAGCCGAACTTGCACCCACACCCACCCCCACACCCGTGGCTGCTGCGATTCATACACAGACCGTTCCCTGGGGCTTCGAGTCAAGTTACGAACATCAGAAGAAAGAATGGGAGCAGGAGCGAGAGAAGCTATTAGCTAAAGCTCAGGACACGGTAATTCTTCTTTGTCTCAATTGTCTGAGCTTCTTTTGATCGTAAATCTCAGATGGTTCAATTGTCAGAGTCCACCCTCGATTCGCTTTCTAGTACAGTCGAAGCGCTGAAGGCTGTGAGTATTGAATTGTCATCATTATAACCAACTCCTTTGAATGGCAATCCTTCAACGCTTTAGAAACTCGCTGAACATCGTGTCAAACGCGAAGAGCAGCAGAAGCTCATCGATAAAGAGCTGGAAGAGCAAAAGAAGAAACCCGTCCGTTATGTATAATATACATACATTCTTTTTCTGCGCTTAGAAATCAAATTTATACTGTATCACATTCGTTCTCACCTCATTCATCTTACCCCGGCCTGTCTGCTTCAAACGTCATAGCCATTGATTTCGTGAATTCGAACGAGTATGATGGCGAGCTAGACTTTTAACCTTGGACTAGTACTATGTACGCTCATTTACCTACCTCATTCTGCTGCTCTAAAGCTGCAGTATTTCAGCAGTTTCAATTTGTATTTCTAGATAAACTTGTCGAGTCCATATGGATTTCAGAACCGAGCTGGAGGGCACCTCTTATAAAAGTGGCAAGCGAAAGAATTAAAAATACACGATGTGTTCTGATTTTTAGCCTATTGAAGTAGAAAAAGATTCCTTGCCCCAAGAAATTGGCTGTATAACTGATAGAAGAACAAGATGAAAGTCGTAAGTCGTTATTTTACAGCAGTTAGTGCAAGTTACAGTGAAAGCAGGACAGCGAACAAGAAAGGAAGTCACAGCATATATGTTGAGAGTGAAAAAGGAAAGCAAAGCACAAAACGAAAAGATTCCGACCTCAGACTCAAGGATTGAGGGAGTATTTGATTCAGTCCCAGTGTGCAAAGCATTTCCGGTGTCGTTTAACAGATCCTTTGTTCTTGAATTCTGTTTCACACCTGGGACAAAGAAAACGAACACCAATATGAGTCGAATGGAAATGGTCTAGAGAATAAATTCAATCTTAAGCTTCGGCAAAGGAAAGGAAACAGCAATATACTGACTGTCTCTATATTGTTTGCTGCGATACGGGTCCGTCTGCTTGGGGCAGCCATGATAAAAACAAGGGAACTTCTTGAGCTCGGGGGAGTCCTCGTATATCAGAAATTTGGGAGCAGCGAGGGGAGACAAAGGTTCCGAAGTGTTCCAAAACCAACGTTCAAAATACTGTTTTGGCCCGTTGAATAGTCTTGCGCGCTCGTACCATTCATCCATCTCCCAGAGCCTTGCGAGTCTGGGAAAATGAATAGGAGGATCATAAAGCTTGGAGCGGTACGAACTTACCCAAGAGATTCCGAGCGGGCACGGTATTGGAAATACAGATTAACCAGTTCGCGCGGACTGCAGAACGGTTCTCAAAGTTAGATTGACGTATGATCGAAGGCAGGACAATACCTAAATGACGACATAGCTCGATGTTGAAGCAGGTGCAGAGTACGGGGGCCGTTCACCAAGAGTGACTGGGATTTAATTACTTCGATGAACATCTGCTGGAGAAATAAACTGGCTGACAGCACTTCCCAAAAAAACACAACACTGAACTGATGCCAACTGATCGGAATATATTGCAGCTGTACATGAGTTTGGAATCTAGAAAGCCATCGGGGTCGAGATTCTGGGACAGATAGGTACATGGAAAAAAAGAGCGGGGGGCCAACAGTAGGGTTTGGTGTTCATACCTTTCATTTTCATGCACATAGCAGAACCAACATGAAGGTGATGCAGTGGTGTTACATCAGGAAACACTGAAATGGCTGAGTGAAGTGAATATAGTCAACATATTCACTGCGAAGAAGACATTGCAGTTGCTCACACGATGGACACTTTACAGCAAAGTACCAGTTGCAAGGACCGATTAAGGCAGACAGTTACGAATCAAGCGTGTTCATAGCTCGTGTTAGGGTTTGCTAACACAGCTCCTTCATGTACAGTGACTAGATCTTGAATCCCGTAGCTATGTGGGCGAAAGTTGAACCACACTACCATATGCTTCCGCACAACGGCGTAAAAACAGGATATAAATCAAAAGTTGCAGACCGACGAAGATTTTCCAAGGACACCATAATTGCAGTTGGTTTTTGCTTTCAATGTTCCATAACGGTGGTGTTGCCCCTTGGGTATGATAGACGTGCCGAATTACATAACCCTTGAAAATACTTGTAAAGTTCGGTCAGAAATAGGTTTGAAACTGAAGAACGGGAATAAGAGAAAGGGAACCAAAGACTACCAACATCACTGTGCTTTGTTCATGCGGACGAAAAAGGGCCGCCTACTTGACCAGCAACTTTTCTTAACGTATTGCACCTCTGAAAAGCGGCGGTACGATTACAGACCCAGGGTTTCCTGGGTTATACACATGTCAACATGCCCTGTAATGGAACCATCATCAGTTGATGCGGAAACAGGTGCCATTATCTGAAAACACATATCACCTGTGGTTGTCCTTCGTTCTTGTGTTCGGAGGATTGATTCTTATCTCGATTGAAGGTAGTCTCCGTCCAAGAACCGAGATTTTGGCTTGAAAGAGAACTGAAAGTCGTCATCAGGATGAATGGTAGGATTGACCGGGAATGGCCGGGACCGTGGCTCTCCAACTACAGCAATTCGAACACGACAAATCGGTACAAGGAAACGATAGCAGAAAGACAATACTTACAGAAAGGACAACTTCTGAGGTCCCACGTCTTACCTTCGGGAAACAGGGTTGAGTTAGACTATTAGTTTATAAGTGAAGCACAAAAGTTGATCATCGCGCGATAAGCGCAGACACTGCCAATATTCCTGTAAAAATCCAAAAAAAATAGGGCCTTGATACTCACCACTCCATGCTATGTTTTGCGATACTTGATGAGAAGCTGTTCCACAACGAGTGGTTCACTGACAGGAGCTCGGGGTCGAGTAAATGCATTGAATACAATGCACCATGGCTGTTTTATGAACTCACTGTATGGTTCATTGCAACTAAAGTTTTCCAAGAATGACCCAGTAGATAGGGAATTGCAACGACACATATATGCTGTATTTCGGTACATGAAAGTGAATGGAGAAGTGTAGTCTGATCAAGCAAGTCGCTGTCAGAATAGCGGTGGTAGAGACGAACTCATACTTACTACAGCGTAACGCCTACAGGTTGAAAATTGAACGTTGAACTTCCACGCAAGGGGAAAGACACAGAGCTAGATTCGTAATCAATGTACTGATATATATGCATTGCTTCAAACCTCGAAAATCCTTTGTAAAGTATGTACCTGCCCATTTTCAGTTTCCACAGGTTTCCACCTACATAGTTCTTTCAAATTCATCGATCTAACATTGTAAGAAAATTATTAATATCTCAACACCTCTAACACTGTTTTCATCTTACCTTGCCCAATAGTTTGTTTACTCATGGTTTCTTCATCAAATAACTCCTCGATATGAACACATCCATCCGAAACTCCGGGCAGATTTCTGCAGCAATAACAATAGCTTTATGAACCCCCCATACGTAAATGTGGTATGGAGGTATACACACAGACTCTCAGGAGCTGTTTTCACTGAATCACTTCAATGTTCATTGCACCAACGATGACATCGTCCACTTCAACTCGAGACCCTCCGTGGCTGTAGTAATTCAACAGTGATTTCCTGTATTCAGCGGCGTGTAGAATCAATCTTGGTGGAGGAAAAAGGCAAGAGTAGAAGGGGAAGAAAGGTGAATGGAAAATAATCTTGATAAGGGATGAATAGCGTTGAACCTGTGGATAAGGTCTTGACAGTTTACGGTACCGGTTCTGGCATTTCGTGCATATAAAGTTGAACAGCTTTCATTTTCATAAACCTCCTAGGAAGAGCTCTCACCGAACTCATCGTGCTCCACCATGACTACCTTTCCACCAATGAGAGTTATATCCTGTTATATCCCAGGCTGTTTCCTTCGGTCCTACGAGTGAAAATGTCGACGAGCAAACCTATTTCTCTGAGTCTGAGTGCTGTACATATACCGATAGGCCTTGGGTTGAAAGCGCCGACTCTAAACCGTATAGATTCCTATAGAAACCTGACGCCCGCTTTGACGGGGACGGTTGAACGAAGCTCGATCCACGTGGCCAATTCCCAAAAGTGGAATTCACGTGATTTCCTCCTCTCGTTCGCAATCGTTCTTCACTCTGACTGAGTAAGGTACTCGTGGCTATCTGTTATGCGAAAAGAAGGAACAATTAAGGCTTATACGATTTTTGACGGTCATTTCACCTTGAATCCTCCAAATTTAAACTCAAAAGGCTATAAAAGGTACCCATAACGCACACCCGAACATCCATTGACTGCCCCCTTACCAGCACGGTCTCGATTCCAGAGGGGTAAAATATGTTTGAGTAACGTACAATGTACGTTTCGCGGAATTTCAGGTAGAGAGCACGAGAGGTCGATCATTTTTTTCGGGATTACTCCTGGAATGGATCCTTGAATTTTCGCCATAAATCTCACTAGTTGCAGCCGTTTATCTCTATAGCATGGTTCCGAATCGGAATAGAGTGTGTATAAGCATTTTCGCTAAATTTCCCAGTCCAGTGCTATACCTGCTTTCTATGTTCAGTCGCGTACTCGAATTTATTTCCCAGCCCGAAATTCAACGCCATTCACGTGTTCCTTTCGTTTCGATTTCAACTTCAAAAAAACACCATATACACTCATTATGTTCATCTCTTCTGGCGCTTCATTGATCTGGAGGTGCTTTCCATGGCCAAGTATCTGAATGTATATTGATTGAATGAAACAAATTAGAGACTTGAGATGTGTTATTAAAACTGGTTACTGGGTCTACGACTCTGGCAGGGCTTGACCCTCACACAAACACATAAATAAATTCACCAATTAGCGGACGCTGGGGTGGAAGCAGAAGACAAAGACAGGGAAAGCATATCACAGCACATACGCTCAGGCTGAAAGCAAAGCGTAGACAAGAAACGAAACACAGCACATACGCTCAGGCTGAAAGCAAAGCGTAGGCAAGAAACGAAACGCAAGAACATTTCATGAGGCCGGCAATTCTACAAGTGGTCGAGGGAGGAGTCTCAAAGGAGCATTTGATTCAATCAAAAGCAGTCCTTATGTCGTTCAACGTATTCTTCGTGCACGAATTCTTTACCGCGATTGGGGGGGCGAACGGATGCCAAGGTGAATTGAATCGAAATGGTCTGAAAAAATTTCCCAATTAGTAGGCTGCGGCGAACGACAAGAAACAGCAAGAGACTGACTGTTTCTGTTTTGTCTGGTGTTGTACGGATCCATTTCTTTGGGGCAGTCATGATAGAAACAAGGAAATTCGTTGAGTTCGGGGATGTCCTCATATCTCAAAAAGTTGGGAGAAACGAGGGGAGGCAAAGTTTCCGAAGTGTTCCAAAACCAATGTTCAAAAGATCCCTCCCCGTTGAAACGCCTTGCGCGCTCGTACCATTCCTGCATGCTCCAGGGCCTTGAGAGTCTGGTTGAATAAATAAGAGAATCATAAGTTTAAAGCGGTACGAACTCACCCAAGAGATTCCGAGCGGGAACAATATTGGAAATACAAGTCAACCATTTCACGTCGACTGAAAGACGTTTTCCAAGGTTAGATCGGCGTACGGTTGAAGAATAGAATAATACCTGGATGTCATCTTTCGATGTTAGCTCAAGAGCAAGGGAATCTGGGTATAAACGCACAGAAAGTCTCTGCATTTTGTATACATTTAAATGAATGTTTGCCACTCCGGGTTGCATGGGAGGAGATAGATACAACAACCGCAGCTCCCGTATCAGGATATCAGAAATGTTGTTACACTCAACGAGGCATGTGAAAATCAGTAATGGTTGTATTCCGGTGCATGGAAGTAAATGGAGAACGGTCTTGCAGTTTATCTAGATCAATCAAGTCACTGTTCAATAGAAGGATGTTGGTGATAATGGCCAATACTAACTTAGTAGATACACGGTGACAGCACCGAGCTGGCAGGCAAGTGAAAGAAGTTACAGCAAGATGACAGGAGGTTGCACACAATAGACGCGGACACTGCTAGTATTCCTTGAAAACATATTTTTCCCTCATCTCTCGAAAACACCTCTGACCCGTTCTAAAGTACCCTCCCCAATCCAGTTTGCGATTAAATCGCACCGAAGTCTCTTGCAAGACTCGTCTACTTCTTGGAAACATGCAGGGGAACACAGTATCCGGCGTAACTGAGGCGATTGTCGATATCTCAGCACATCTTTCACAACTTCCATCCCACCTTGTTCAACAACTACTCTAAGTAGTTTGCTCCGACGTTCATCAAACACAAGCTCCTCGATATGAGTACCCACGTAGAAGTCCGGCCAGATGTTTGCAGCAACATGATGGACCGCTAACAACCTCAAGAATCCTTGAACCCCTTCTCCATACTTAATCAAGGCACGGAGATATGCACCCAAAACATCAGGAGCTGTTTCCACTGGATACAGCCATTGTTCAATACCCCCTGCACCAGCGATAACGTCGTCTACCTCGACTCTGATTCCTCGGAGAACGTGGCTGTAGTCGTTCCATAGCAATTTCCTGTAGTCAGCAGCGTACAGCATTGATGTCGGTGGAAGAAGGAGCCGAGAGAAGAGTGGATGGGAGAATGATATTGAATCATACAGCGAGAGAAAATCGGTGTAGAATTGATAAAAAGGCACAGCAGTGCCGAGAAGGGGAAGAGAGGCGAGTTCGAGGGGGGCAGAAGATGATCTCGACGATGGGACATATGACGTTGAACTAGAGGATAAGGCTTTGACGGTGTACGGTTCCAGGATTTCGTGCAATTGACGTGCTACAACTTCATCTCTGAAAACTTCTTGGAGACCCTCCCCATCAGAATGAGTTTTACTGTCCCCATTCCCGACATCATGCTCCAGCATGAACACTTTCATACAAGCAAAAATTATGTCTTCCTCCTTCGGTCCTACAAGTGAGATCATCGACGGAGCGAACCTCTGTAAAACTTCCCGCTCTACCATTGCCAACGCGAGAGCTGCTCTCACTACGTCTATTTCTGAAGCATCCCACGAATCTGGCAAAGCTCCTGACTGCTTGAAGACTGAATAGTCGCTCCCTGAGCGCAGAAGATGGTTGAAAGGGGACAGGGTCCAATCGGAATGAAGTGGAAGCCCCAGGGGCCGCCATTCCATAGTGACATCTCTAGGATAAGAAGACGGAATTCTGAGGGTTGTACACATACCAATAGATCTTGAACTTGGGATTAAAGGAGCAACATATGTGTACGGATCTCTTTCAGGACTTATTTCATAGCGCAAAAAAGGTATCAAGACGGCTTTAAGTCCGCCCTTTTCTTTCCAGACGAAGTCGGGAGCGCCGACTCCGCCCCTTTGTGCAGCCCATTCCGAAGTCAGCATATCAAGGATTTGGGATATGATTTGCAAGGCATGTTCCTCATCACCGCGCCGCAAGGTTTTGATCACTCCAAATGCCTGAGCCAACCATAGGTCCAGATGACTACCTGGTAGATGGGGAGAAAGCCGGAGGAATAGGACGAGAAGAGTACTAAGAGGACGAATGAGTAATGGATTGAAATTTTGATGCCACAAGTCGTGTCGGACGAGGATTGCGCAAAGGTCTGATATGTCGGCAAAAGGTAGTTCGAACGGCGGTGAACCATCAGAGGGGCTTGGTGGACAACATCCCAGCCATAGTCGAATCGCTGAAGATAATATGGAAGCCAACGAAGCTATTTCTATAGAAGCGACCGTGGTTTTCATTTCCGTTCCCACCGTATCTAGTTTTGTTTTGAGATCTTCAATGAGGTTTCTGAATGTCTGAACTGCGCCAGAGTCAAACACTCGTTTCAATACGAGGCCTACTTCAGTCCTTTCTCCTTCTCCACCTCGGATTCCGTTAACCTTTGCACCTTCCAGGTAAGCGCCTAACGAGCGCCAGAGGGAAGCAGAGGAAACAGCTATTCTAATTCTGTTATCCACTGTACCCGTCCTCTCCACGGCAAGACTAGAAACTTTTGTTAGTAGAGTCGCTAATCCCGCTCCCCACTCCCAGCTTTTCACCTGGCTCCACAGCAACTCATGGCTAGGTGTCGTACGATGAGGATCAGTGGCACATATTAGCCACGCTTCAATCAGACCTACGTAAGCACGGACGAGGCGCATATTCGATTGTGAATACGACGAGCTTAGCGCTACGACATGATCACCAATCTTCCACCAGACCTCCTTTGCATCTGCCGCGACACGAGAATACATCCCGTATCGTGCCAGAATGGTGTAGAAAATCATGATTTCTACAAGGACGTCGTCGTTCGTAGATAGAACGACAAAGCGGAGTAATACATCGCCAGCACCGATCTTTTGGCAGAGGGCCTCTGCGTTCGTTCTTGACGCACTAGCCAGAATGGTAAGAAGGCGGACGGTGGCTAGGTCGGGTATTGAAGCATATGTCGATGTAGCGGGAGGAATAATGAACACCCTCAGTAGACCTTCAATTAAGCCCTTTTCTTGGACGATAGTCTCTGCGTATGCGTTGGAGTACCTCGCAAGGCGAGTGAGAATGGACAAGATTTGTTGTTGTGCCGGAGTTGTCCTAAGCGACTGAAATTCAGGTTGGTTAAAGGTCGATGTCGATAGACGTTCATCGCCAAGATCGCTATCCGGAGGACTGAAAAGCAAACTAAGGAACTGTGGCAATACGTCTGCGAGGGGGAGAGCAGTTATGAGAACTCCTTCGTCCGTCTTTCCCTCTTCCATCCCTCCAGATTCGAATTCAAGATCACCGAGGTCCTCTGTAACGTTCGTCTGACCCACAACACACTCCCAGACAACATCCATGGCTCTTACACCGACTGCCCCTCGTTCCGGTAGAGCCTCGAGCCCGGAAAACAAAATCCGTTTGAGCAACGGAGGAATCCCCGAACCTTCCGGGCTGGGTAAGTTCAGCAACGACTTTCTGGCAGCCTCTACGTCTACATCATCTTTCGTACCACTAGTCCTAAGCCATCTAGTAACTCCGACAAGCACCTCCAACATTGCAGCTCTCTGAGCACGCACAGTTGATCTTGTAAGAAGAAAGATATCGTCCAAGGTGTATCCTGCTCGTGTGCCTTCTGCGTGATGATGTAAACCTAGATGTGTAGGTAGAGACAGGATCTTGGACGAGGGAATAGGTGTTCCGTTTAGATCGAAGCGCAAGTCTGGGGTTTGCTCGAGAGAGGGTGGGTCAAGGGAAGAAGACATCCAAGCAAGGTCAGGATTGTCCGCCGGTGCGGATGGGAAGTACTTTTGACGTATGTACTCAGCAGTTCCCTCTTCGACTTGTTCAACTTGGGTCTCAGCGGTTCCCTTTTCGATCTGTTCGACTTGAATCTCAGTGGTTCCCTCTTCGACTTGCTCGACTTGGATCTCGGCAGTCCCCTCTTCAACATGGGTCTCAGCGGCTTCCTCTTTGACTTGTTCGACTTGGGTCTGGCTAGCAGTGGCATCTTCGAGGTCGATTGGCTTCATCCTGCCTTTGAAAGTTCCCAACGATACCGCATTGCTATCCTCGTCAGGCGGAGGTAAGGCTAGAAGCGCTTTCTTGGGTGATGATGGTGCAGAGGGATAGACATGGACTTGATCTGGTCCAAGTTCTGCAAATCTAAGTTTACGTGAAGCTCTGCTCGGGCTGTTTGGGCTGCTTGGTCGTGTGCTGGCTCTGGATGACGAACGAGATAGGGAGGATACTAGTTGAGAGCCGGGAAGCCCTAATGGGAGGATTACTAAATAATTCACCACTTGAATATAACTTACCGATGGGCGAAGCTAACGGTTCACGTTCTGAAGTAAATGGGACTGAAAAACTTCAATATGAAATGAATATCACTGGAAAGTTGGACACACCTTCTTCCAGACTAGTAAATTTCACATCTTTATTCCTCTCCCTATTCTCTCTTGCTCTCCGTAAGATCTCACTCACGCTGGGTCCAAATTTTTCCAGTATTTCTCGTGTTTCGGCTGCCCTTTCCTCTTCAGTCATCGCGTGTACTGTGGCTTCATTTTCTGCACTTACGTGCGACCGCCAATCGTCTGTAGAGCTTACGCCATTCTGTTTCTGATTTTGACTTTGTATCGTGCTTGGTCCAGGGCCAGGAGTCGCTGATTGTGGCACAATCGACGGCACCTGAGTCGATCTCTCAGATGAAAGCTCTGGCTTTCTTCTGCGATTTTCTATGTTCTTCAGAAAAGCGCTGCTCTTCTGGGATCGATGCTGTACAGGAGGAAAGCCGGTCTTGGAGTTCAAAGTGCTGGTGAATCTTGATTGTGACGATGATGAAGGTGGTTTTGGAATTGAAGGTTTGCGCTCGAAAACTGAGCCAATCAAGGAAGGAGCGGAAGAATTGGAAGTTGAGGTCATTGGCGAAGGTGCAAGAACGGCAGTTACCGTAAAAGATCTGGACCACGGTCTATCACAGTTCAGCCGTCGCCCGAGCCGCATCGCATTTGCCTATGTAGACTCCTCATTCTCCTGCTAGATATCTACGACAACAGATTCAGTGAAAGATTCTAGGTTCCCTTCAGACTACGTTTTTTGACAATAAAGTAAGTACCGGTAATAGGTATACAGAGTCCGTACTTCATGAGTATCAGGCGAAGACGCCAAATCAGGCATACGACCCCTCGCCTCTCCCTCCCTTGGTCAACTCTCAGATCTACAAAGATTAGCAAAACATATCGTAACGTCGTGTCCAAAACTCCGTCTACAGGGCCTCATGACAATAGGCGCCCTGGACTTCTCCCTCTCTTCAAACGAGACCGAGAAAATCACCGACTTTGAAAGGCTTATTGAGACAAGGGACATTTTGGAGCGTTGGCTCCAGACGGAATTGGTACCGGAGGAAGCAGACGAAAATTCAGTTTGGCGTTGGTGTCGTGGCGCTTGTGGACGCTTGTGAAAGGTGTGGCACTCAATGTCATGGTCGGTATGCGAAATCGTTGAGTCGGTGGCAGTATCAAGAACTTTGAAGAATATACTACTGCAAGTACCGTCAACCAACTACGTTGGCCACTGGTCACAGGGCTCTGTACTCTTTTACTCCTACACCATATCCTTTCTTTATATTTACATAAGACACATTTGCCGCTGAGTGGAAGAAGAGCACGCTATTGCGGTCATAAAGATTCCCCCGGCATAGATCTTCCTTCTTCTCGCATCCCTTATCAAAACCTCGAATGTCCTTGACCCCCGGCCCCCAAAACTCAATGTGTTCCAGCACTAAGACACTGTCAGGCTCAATCATGATTTCGAGCGGGACAAGCGGTATGTCGGGCAGGTCATTTATTGTCGGTTGTTTTCCCTCTTTAATCATGTTCTTTTCTATCTCGAACAGCTTCGTATTCCTGATCCATTCCTCGAAAATGCTCTCGAGTTTGCGAACACATTTTTCCTTTTTAAGGGGCGTGCGTTGCCTGTTAGGATTATGTGGACTTAGCTTGACGTGGACCGTGGCCGCCGGCTGATCATAAAACAAGGGTGAGTAAAGTTGGTCGCCATAGGTTGAGTTGCACATTGGATAAATGGATGTTCACGTGTAGTAGTCACTCGCATCTGGAAACGAAACCGGTCTTCCCCTGGCGGAGTGATGTTTGAGATTGGTTTTCTCAGACGGCAATGTGGGTGCAGCGTGTGCGACCGACCAAAGGGCAAAAAGAAGATACGCAAGATTGATGTGCATAACGATTGTCCCGACCGTTCTACAAAGAGGATCAGATAAGGGTAACAACGCTCAAAGCAGAGCTCTGTGCTCACAACTATTGGATATCTGCAGATGAACGTGAAGGAACGGACTTGAAAGACGGCTCAAAGAAGGATGCGAAAGAGGACGTGTGAATGTCTCCGGTGGTAGGTTGTAGAAATCTTTTCGCCAGCGAGAAGAAAAAGAGGTGGCCAGTAGCTGGGGGAAAAGCAACCGTTGTATATGAGTTTATGCGGTGTTCCTCCGTAACGTCATGCGGAAACCAATTTTGAGAGCATCAAACCGCTTCACATATTTTTACCTATAACATGTGTACAGACAAGATAGATATCGATTAGGCACTATCGATTGGCTCAAAATGAGGGATTTACATGCCACTATCAAGGGCAGGCTGTGTTGTGGAACCAGAAGCAAACACAAAAGGCTCACATTATCGAGTGCTTGAGAGTCAATAAACCCAACTCAAAGGAAAGCAGCGAAACTCATCTTCTGTTTGTTCGTTAAAACAAGTACTAGGTGTCTCACTGCATGTTCGATACTCCACTCCACCGTCCATTCCTCTTCCTCTTCCTCTTCCCTCCTATCCAGCTGTCATCAGAAAACAAAACAGAGATCTGGAACAGCACTGCAACCTCCAGAGATGTCGCCTTTCATGGGATCAGCTACTCGCACTGAAGTAGTAGTCAGTTCGCAGCAAGAAGTAATGTGAATACTACCGACTACAACTCCCAAATAACTCCCTATGGAGGTGATTTGGGTACGAGGACCATATGCCTGGCACGGTGTTCGAACTAGAGACTTTGCATATGTCAAAGCTCAGTGTGTGATACCACTACTACAATTTGTCTAAGCGCAATTCCTTAGCGATTTGTTCTCCTCTTGAGTGTATTCTCGTTCGTTCTGTTCTTCCCGGCTTCTAGCGCCTTTCCAGAGAGCGGAACCGCCAGAATGGATTGAGCTGTAGGACATGGGTTCTCCAAGTTCTGAGAACACTTATTGCTTAGATATTTGATTAGAATTGTCTATCCGGAGAGTATCGAAGCTGTTGTCAAGACTCATAGCATGCAAGCAGAAAACAGCTCGATGACCTTATTCACTGGGTCGGTTGGCATATCTGAGAGTGGCGGCGAATTTTAGTTCGAGGCGTAATTGAATAGCTACTGACATGAATATTCCGGAGGGTCCGACCTCTTTCCAAGTGTAAAGGAGCTTCAATCCTTATCATCACCATCTTCATGTTTCTATATCCTCTTCAGACTTGTCTACTATGTAGCATACATATACGTATTAAGTGTTTGTGAATTCAAATGGCATCTTGCGGTGATCATCCTGCTGCCATATATGCCTCAAAGTCATATATCTCTACTACTAGATATCTACGACAACAGATTCAGTAAAACATTCTAAGTTCCCTTCCACCTCCATACTACGTTTTTTGACAATATCTTCGATGACCTCTGGAATGTCGTTGCGAACCAGCCAGCCCCCATCCATGAGAATGCGCAGAACCTTGAGAGCCCATGTCCTACAAGTCAAGTTATTCTGACGATTCTCCCTGACTGAGGGATACCCTCTATCCGGAAATGCAACAAGAGCCGCTTGGCGTATTTTATCGGAAGGAGTCGCTGGATCGAAACCAGTGATTTTGAAAAAGGCAAGGGTGAGGTTATTGGTGGAGGAATATGTGGTGACAGGATGAAGCTCTTGGATATCAACGCCCTCTGCCTGCAATCCAGGCGTTCCTCCTTGTTCACTCCACTGATAGGTGGACGCTTTGCCATCTGCATCCGTCACGTATATGATCCAATGGAATGCTCCATGTCGCGCAAAGATTTGTGTGGTGGAAATATAAAGGGAAGAAGACTCGAGCTTGACTACCGGATTGGGTGACAACATCGTGATAATCCACCACAGAGTTATTGTGGGTGTATTGTGGGCGATTGATAGCCACGCACGTGTAAATGACGCCACGCGGTTTTTTTCATTGTTGGACGGTTTGGACCGGTCTATGCTCTTCCCATTATCTGACTTGAAATCACGCTTGCGGCCAAAGACGATCTATAAAAATGCGAAAGATACAAGCTAGGCCTCTCGAAAACCCTTTAATCGTACTACCACAATCAGCAAATCTTAGGCTACAAGGGAGATCAGTCTGTACTGAAACTTCACAGAAATCTTACCATGAATACCACGACGTTTGCCTTCGGAAAGCTCTCTTCTCGAGAATCGGTCTATAAGGTACGCCTCGAATCACCGGTGTATATTCTGCTCGATGTTAACTCCTACTTTCCAGCTGTCAAAAGTCCTAGGAATTCAACCATTGTTGATATCACGCATAGACATGGCTCGTATATACACTACAGACCTGTACAACAACCTCTCTGATCTTGCTTCTGAAGAACGGAGCTTTATCACTGACCCTTTTCTGATTGCAGACATCCATTTTCTGACGACGGTGATGTTGTTTACACCGGCATCGTTGAATGCATGCCCCGTTCTTCCAGATGGTAGTAGGAGCAAAATGTTTGTGTTTCGGGGATTCTGGCAAGTTGTACAGGATACTGGTTATGTTGGCACCAGAGCTGACTGGGATATGATGCCTCCATCGGTATGTGGCGCGATTCCTCCATTTTTTGAACTTCCGCTGAGCTATCTACTTTTAGGCTCGTGCACAGATTACCCAGTTCTATGGTGGTCAAAATCGCTCCACTCGTGTTGACTTACGCGAGAGTTATATCACACGATATAAGCTAATCAAGACGATCGTCTTTTTCTTTTCGGATTTGAACGCAGTTGTCACTCAGTCGTCGAACGACAAGGATGCTCTGGAACTTATACATATCGGGGATGAGGAAGGTGACAACCAAGTCGACTACTCGGATGGCGTGACAGGCTCGAGCTTGTAGAAAGACATCCGAGTCAACGAAACGGCGGCCATTTATCTTCAAACAGGTTATCGAGCCCGCCTACTTCAAGGTTTATTAGCCGATTCGATCATTCGGTAGGACTGCTAGAACGGACATCTTTACTTGTATTTTCCTTCGAAATAGTTTGTATCACAATCTCAGGTTTCTTTTATTCTCATGCTCGCTCCTTACCTTGCTCTGCATGTCTGAATCATCTCTTCAAATGCATGGGGGTTAACTTTAGCCAAATCGTTCCCCAGTGCTGTGGCTGGAATTCAAATGTGCTTTGCACAGTTCATTCAATCTTTAGACTTCGCAATTTTTGGCGCCTGTTTATTCTTTTTTGTCCGAATCGTTTATGTAAGGACGTACATATGTAGGGGGACGGTCGGGCTTAGCGGGCTCATCAAAATCCTTGTTCGACGCAAATGTATCGGTAGGTGGCGAGAATCCAATCAGTCCTTTATACAAACCACTGTATAGTGTATAACTTCCCGTAAGATTCAACCTCTTTGTTTCGCCGTCTGATCAGCTTCCTGCTTTAGAGCACAATCACAAGTTCACAATTCGCAGCTTACAACAATCGAGGCTGTTGCACATGGCCGTGAATGCCAGTTTTCGTCATGGAGAATTGTTCCGGACACCTTTAAAATTTTAATTATCAACCAGAGAAAGACAACGTTAATTGTCAACCAGTCTGAGTCTCCAACCGGAGATTACACAACTGCGTCTCGAGTTCCCGGGAAAGGAAATGGACTCATAGCTCACTGCTTATAAGTAGATCCAACTTCGAAGCTTCATATATTATTGACTTCCTTCTCTGCCAGCGACTGCTAGCACGGTAGGAACCTCGCAAAGGTAGCTCTACAACTTCCCATGCGTTTTCGTTTTCTGATATTCCTGCTTAAATCTATATGCTAGTATGACCACGTCCACGCAGATCACAGAAGGGTGGAATTTGCTCTCAAGTTTCAATGAGCCCTTTTCTCCGGACAACATTACATTCCTTCGTCAATGCATGCATGATTTTGAGCTCAACATCCGCAGTATCCCGATGGAATTCCAGAGGTTTCTCGGGCTCAAACAACAGTGCGAAGCTATCCTTCGCGGAATCGGTTTCGGAAAGCTCTCTTCAGAGCTGATATCGGAAATATTCATTCATTGTCTGACCATGCCCGGGCCAGAACCGAAAGGAAGCTATCCGTTCTTTCTCCGCTGTTCCTATGCGCCTTTTGTTTTTTCGCAAGTCTGCAGACGATGGCGAACAGTGGCGCTATCGACACCAGCGTTATGGACTCGTTTCATTGTGGTGCTGCACCGCACAGGCCAGGCTGAGTTAATCGAATGCATTCTGGAGCGGTCGCGTCTATTACCGCTTCATGTTATTGTCAGCTCGCGTGACAACGGTAGAAGGGATAACTACCTCCATGCTATGAACACCTTAATCAGCAATATTTCTCGTTTGGAATCCTTTGTACTAGAAATCCCCGAGGGTGCCGACGATCTTGCTTCTACACTTCCCCCTATACCCCCAGCAGGAGCACCGAACATGCGTTCAATAGAGTTTTATAACGTGAATTCATCTGAACCTTCGAGGACATCCGCCTGGATATCCGAACTCTTGTACAGGTCTCCGAATTTGCGAAGTCTCCATCTACGACCGGCGGAAGAAATCAAGCTGAAGGGCACTGTCGGGGTCCGTTTACAAAACTTCAAAGCCAGTCACGGGATTCAGCTACAAGATTTGTTTGCTCTTTTGGTGAATTGTGCAGGATTGCGAACCTGCGAAGTGCAATTTCGTGCGCCTATTCGTCTTGGCGTAGTACCTCCCACAAGAATCTTGTTGAAATATTTGCACACCTTGATTTTGACGGATGCCCGGAGAGATGATCTTGAAGCAGTGTTCGGCTGGCTGGCTCTTCCAAGTCTCAAGAAGCTTGCGTTGAGCGGCTTTCGCAGCGCAGAGTGGCCGGATGAGCTTTTTTCGAACTTCTTGTCAAGGTCTAGATTTAGCTTGAAGTCCCTTTCCCTGACTGCTCTGTCTGTCACAGAGGCACAACTTCTGTCTTATCTTCATCTTTCGTCTATTCATGATTCACTTGAAGAACTGGCTATCCGCCAGTGGAGGCCTAGCAGCGCATCCTTCCTCGACCACCTTTCGTTCAAGCTACCCTCTTCGGATGCAACGCATAATCCACCTCCATTCCTTCCAAAGCTTTCCAGCATTTTTATCACCGTTGACGCCATTACTCAGGCAGTTGCTTTGAGGCGCTTCGTTGCTTCTAGGTGGTATGATACAGCGGCCTACGAGGTTCCACTCCCTGTAGCAAGTTTGAAGGATATTCATGTCTGCCTTACCATTCCCTATGCACCCAACGTTAACGTGTCCATTGATGATATCAAACTTGTTTTCAGTCGAATTGCGAGATCTCGAGGAACTTCACTGAGATTGGAGACCATCACTATGGCCCCTCCGAGCTCGAACCAGTACGCCGGCATCGAAAGATTGACAAGTCATCTAGTTATATGAGAGGTGTCTTCAAACCAGAACCTATGCACGAAAGAGGATGGAGAGTAGTGTACGACCTTCTATAAACAACCTCGGGACAGCGGCGAGTACTTTGTTAATCTCAGTCTGAACAACTACGCACCAGATCTGAACGGCAATTGGGTGGATATGTGTCATTTTTTGAGCTTCTGTATCAGTTCCTTGGTATATTCGCATCGCTCCTTGACTTGTTCAATCCCTTCATGTCATTTTGTGACCGTCTACTAACCCTTTTATGTCTTCCCTCTTCCACAATGCTTTTGTCTCGGTGTATTTTTTTACTCACCCCTCGCCCTCACTACGTATATCTTCCTTCTTGCTCCTTCTGTTTGTCTATCATTTTGGCGATATGACAAGGACAATGACATCTCATAATACTTATGATAATATGCATCACTATCCTCTCAACATCTGCATAAGGAGTTTGAAAGCGCAGTCCTATCGAGCAGCGGATTGTGACACGCCTGAATGTTCATTGAAGCACGATATTTGTCACTGCGTACCCTCCCTATAATCAAGTACCTGTAAAGCGAAATGCGTAGGCGCGTCATTGCGGACACTTAGAACTTTCTGACTACGCCGTGTTCTCGCCTTCTAATTGATGACAATTGAGTAGCCGGCCGTAGATTAATCGATTACAGACACTCGACAAATCTTCCTCTTACTGTCTCAAGACCGGCTGTTCCGTTTCGGGACCACACCTTTGGGTGGCGCTGTTTATCTATCTATCTATCTATCTGTCTGTCTGGTAATTCGATGCAACCAAACCGGGACCAAATGATATGACAGCCAAACATGACGACGTATGAACGCAAGCGTAGACAGTAGGGTAAAGCATGGTCTAGTGTACCTTTGGTCATAATCTAATGAGCACGGTAGCTTTGACAGAGATGCAGGGTACTCACAAGTTAAAACTCGACTTAGGGGTTCACGGAAAAAATCCATCGTGGTTCTTGATTCTTTCAAACATTCATCCTGTCCTCTATAGTCTGGACGACTTCATCCTCTTCATGCGCTATCAATTTACTGTAGGCAATCGAGTGGTTGTCGGATTATCATGAATGCATATTCCACAGAAACTGGTGACGCCATGAATATCACCCCGTAGTGGCAATGTTTATGCAGACCTTCCGCAACATCATGCGTGATACGTGACCATAAGAAGCGTTGTTGTACGAAGTCCGGAGGTGGTCGAGGAAGGGTATGTTTTCGGTGATATTCGATGCAATGCCCCAGTAAAGTTTTTCGGGCTTAGTGTAGTCAAGATCTCGTCTAAAGCGGACACGGTTCAGTCAATACTTAGCAGGACCGTCTTTCCCGGGAGTCAAAATTAATTTAGCAGGCTCCTTGACCTGAAAAAACCTCAGATACTTCGAATACACAAAGGAAAAGCACTCACCCAGTCGAGCACTTCGTCGGGAGTGGGCCGTGGACAAAACATCGTCTCGTAGATACGCTCTTCCTCTGTGGGTGTCATAAGTCGGGATAAGTGGAAATGGTGTCTGTACATGTATAAGTTGAAGTTCAAGTTGAAGTCTGGAACAAGAATCTGTCATGCCGAACGTGTGGGATCCACGTGATCGCGTAGATTCCCTAGAGTGACAGTCACATTGTGTATCTCTTCTCTTTCTTTTTCTAGCCAGTATTCGTCCATTACGATCAAATGTCCGTTGAGCAAGTCTCCATGCGCAGACGCCTCGTCACGGAAAACTAGAACAACATGATCACCTGCAAGCCCAATGTGTTTTTCAATTTAACGATCAGCTCGCCTCCTCAAAGCTTGTTCAATCCGTTATCAGAACGCTCAAAAACAGCTATCATCTCGAATAACAAGGAGTGGAAGCTGGAAGGCACAGAGATACAGGGCACACAAAAGATAACTGGTAAAAGGAGGAGGAAAGACAACGTGCCAGTAAATACGACGACAAAGTCAAAGAGGAAGAAAGATGTTTTCCACTTCTTCGAGGACCTCGCGAAAGATATCAAAGTTGCAGCTCAAGAACATAACTTATCCTAGGAGGTTCAGGCTGAGGCAGAGCCTTCATCCACTACCATTTCTTGACATGAAAAAGCTGGATATTGATCCTTCCCCGATTTTCAAACTGTGGTTGTCTCTTCCATTGCAGCAGTAGATAGACGTGGTCCAACTCGTAGTGGAAATAGAGAATGCACAGTTGACACTTCGGAACTATCGGCTCTGGGGAGTTCAAGCTACTGGATTCAGTTCTAGAACCCCTCTCAATCACAAAAAGTCTTGCCCTGGTCTTGCCCAGGAATACGGGTGAGTCATGGGTGCAGGGCCGCCCTACATAGCAAAAGGGTGGCTGATGGTGGCTGGCGGCTCGAGCTCAACACATTCAATTCTTCGATTTATGAAAAGTTCCGCAGTATGCTAGAGCATGCTCCAATGAGAGCCGTCGATGCGTTGCCTCCTGCAGAAGATAGTACTGTCATAGGTATCACTGTTGCAAGTTCGGTGAGCCGAACTGCTCGTGAAAAGGACAGTGTCGATCCTGATGTTGTCGTTTTCTGTACGCAGAAGACGATCACACCAATAATAGCCGATGAAGATTACGTCCACTCTGATATTGCTGGTCTCTCAAAGCGGGCAAAGAGGAATCGAGAGATACACGAGGATCCTGCCATTTGTCGTTTGAAGAAGGGAAAGAGTTATACAATGGGGACCACGCTCGAGTCACCCCAAAACAAAGGAGTTCGATTATGTTGAGATCGGTAGAAAATAGTGCCGTTGATAATTAGAGCGTTTCTTCCTGTCATATGTTTTTTTAGACATTATCTACTAGTACTAGCGATGGCGATGTTGTACAATAGACCATACAAAGACTCAGAACTACTCTTTGGCTTCGCCATACAGTTACAACTTAATTTGCCTCTATTTCTCAGATCAGTGAATACTATGTTCTCATTGGGGCAATATACAAGAGGCTTGCAGTGCAGAGGCTTGCTAGAACCACTCCAGCGCCGGGAACACGTTTTGTCAAGCAGGGCATCAACAATTTTTTATTTCAAAGCAATTGTACGAAGGGCATACTGTATGATCACCGCCCGCGACAGCTTGAGAAACCCGGTGGTTGGAGGTAGTTGGTTGGGTTTTTTTCCCAAATATCTGTGGGATTGCCACCGGAAATACTGCGGACAAGCAGTGTCGATGGGAATTTCGATTCTGATAGATAGATAGATTGATACATACCTGTTTTTCAAACAGTGACAACGATCTATGGGGCAATAACGCACAATCATTCTGAATCCGATATAAACAGTATGCAACTCCCCTTAGCCTTCACTAGCTTTTGACATGTCTTCCTCGCAGCATACCTCTCCAAACTCGCCATCGACTTCTTCCTCTCGACCGTCACCGGTTACAGCAAGTTCGACTGGAGTCCAGCTCGTTCATGACGCCGCTTTCCTCATACAGACTTATATCCCAGCACCATCAGACGCAGAAGCCCCGCCGTATCGACGGGATGACATTCCGCAACTTTTGCCTTTGTGCATTCCTCGAATCAGCGTCAACGCCAATCCAGCATCGGCTTTCGCTCGAGGATACAATCCTGCCTTAGACACGGTAGGAATCACGCAGGAGATGTTTCTCTCGTTCCTCGATGGCTTAAATTTGGCGATTGTCGCAAGTCCTCCTTTAAGGATTGTGAATGTTGTAGGTCAACTGGTCGGTTTTGTGTGAGTCGTTCTATTCGCCATTGATCTTCATAATCTGACAACTTTCCCGCTCTGACAAAGCCCAAATCATTGGACACAACTTGCTAGTATCATTGTTACTACCTCTGCTCAAGTTGGGATGCGAGTGCTTTCCAAGACACTCACAGATCGCTATCTCCGAGCTGCTAACTTGAACGTTTTTAAACCTCGGGGACTCTCTGTTCGTCTTTGCACTACTCCTGCCATGCTCCGCCTCGTTGCCCCTCCAGGATCTCATACTACCGATGATGTAAGTAAAACCAGAGCAACGATAAACAAAATTGGTCGTGGTGTGGGGACAGTTTTCCTCAAGGTTCCTCTCCCTATCATCGGTCCTATCGCCGCACGTGTCATTCATTCTCTCGCTGATCAGCCTCCGCCCATCCCTCCAACTGGCTACCCCGGTGACCCTGTCAATGCCCCGGTCCTCATGCGTCGCCTTGCTCTTCTTGAACACACATTCCCGGGCGCCACTCTTCCTGTTCTGACACAAGGTTTACCACCGCCTGCGAAGGCCAACGGTGTTATGGAGATGATAAACTCGTGGGGCCTCAAGTTTGATGAGAAGCGCGAGAACAAAGCGGAGAGGAAGAACGAGGAACGAAGAAGGGCTTGGGCCCAGATTCAGGCTGCGGGTGTTGCGAATGGGGGTTATCCGTATGGAGTAGGATACCAAGCTATCCCGCGTAATCCGAGCCCGGTCGCGATGCCCACTCCGATGATCGGTGGAGCTGCTATGGGTATGAGTTACGGAGGTAGTGATGTAGGGTACATGGACTATCGGGACGCACGTCGGGCAGGACGTCGGGCAGCTAAAGCGGAACGTAAAGCTTATCGAAGGATGCAGAAAAGTCAGCGGAAGGGTCTTTTGAGTGGAATGAGTAAAGCAGAGCGTCGTGCTACTGCTGCGGACCTTTTAGAACACTGGGCCACCAACAGAGTTTTATGGGTGGTGGTTATGCCAGCTGAAAAAGGTAAACATGATCGTTTCTGATCTTGCTCCAATCTAGTTATTCATCTTTGTTCTCTTTCTTTTGTCAGACGAAGCGATTGCCGACATTGAAATTGCAGAAGACCTTGCAAATGAAGAGCAAGTTGACGAAGAGACTTGGAAGCTGGCAATGAGGCTGGAGAAAGATCAAATGGAGGATGAAATCGAAAGTGAAGAAGAGTGGGAAGAAGAACTAGCCAATGAAACCCAACATGCTTCGACGTCTCATCTTTCTCCTCCGAAGTCAGCATGAGGCTCTTTGTGGGACACGCTTGGTATATCTCTGTAAACAGATTCACAATTCCATTGCCTGCTGCTATGCCATTATAAATTGGTAGGACACCTCAATCGGCATTCTGTATCAAGCCGTTCGGGGACTCGTCAATAAATAAAATTGATAGATGCTGAGTTTAGTCGGTACAGCGGCCAGTGTTTACGCAAGCTTGTATACTGGGAAAGGAAATGGACCCACAGCTTATAAGTAGATCGAATTTCGAAGCTTCATATAATACTGACTGTCCGTCTCTGCTAGCGACTACTTGCACCAAAAAGGAACCTCGCAAAGGTAGACCTTTAACTTCCTATGCGTTTTCGTTTTCTGATATTCCTGCTTAACATGCTAGTATGACCACGCCTACGCAGATCACAGAAATGTGGAATTCACTCTCAAGTCTCAATGAGCCCTTTTCTCCAGACAACATTACATTCCTTCGCCAATGCATGCATGATCTTAATCTTAACATTAGCGGTATTCCGATGAAATTTCGAAGGTTGATCGAGCGCAGACGCCAGTGCGAAGCTATCCTTCGCGGAATCGGATTTCGAAAGCTCCCTCCAGAGCTGATGTCGGAAATATTCCTTTGTTTGACCAGGCCCGTGCTAGAATTGAACGGAAACTATGCGCTATTTCCCCACTTTTTGAAAGTTCCATTCATCCTTTCGCGAGTCTGCAGACGATGGCGAACAGTGGCGCTATCGACACCAGCGCTATGGACTCGTTTCATGGTGATGCTTCACGGTACAAGCCAAGCCGAATTGGTCGAATGCATTCTGGAACGGTCGCGTCTACTACCGCTTCATGTCGTTGTCAGCTCGCGCGACAATGGTAAAAGGGCGGACATGGATAACTTCCTCCGTGCTATGAACACCTTGATCAGCAATATTTCTCGTCTTGAAAAACTTGCGCTATTCATCCTCAATGGCGCTGATGGTTTACCTCCTACACTCCCCCTTGTACCTCCAGCAGGAGCACCGAACATGCGTGTAATACAATTTCATAACTTGAATTCCCCCGAACCTTCAAAAACAATCGCCTGGCTATCCGAACTCTTGCACGGGTCTCCAAATTTGCAAAGTCTCTATCTACGCTCAGCGGAAAAAATTCAGCTGGAGAGCGCCGCCTGGGTCCATTTACAACACTTCAAAGCTTCTTACGGGATCCGGCTACAAGACTTGTTTGCTCTTTTTGTGTATTGTACAGAATTGCGGACCTGCGAAGTGCAGTTGCATGCGCCCATCCAGCTTGACATAGCACCGACCACAGAAATTGCGCTGCAACATTTGGACACCTTGACTTTGACAAACGCTCGAGGGGATGATTTAAAAGCAGTGTTCCGCTGGCTGACTTTTCCTAGTCTCAAGAAGCTTACGCTGAGTGGCTTTCGCGGTGCAGAGTGGCCGGATGAGCTTTTCTTAAACTTCTTATCGAGGTCTAGATTTAGCTTGAAGTCCCTTTCCCTAGCCACTCTGCTTTTCACAGAGGCAAATCTCGTGTCTTATCTTCATCACCCGTCCATTCACGATTCGCTCGAAGAATTGATTATCTACCAATGGGGGGAGAAAATCAATGCATCCTTCCTCGACTACCTTACATTCAAGCTACCCTCTTCTTCGGATGCAATGCATAATCCACCTCCATTCCTTCCAAAACTATTCAGCATTTCTCTCACCGTTGACGCCATTGATCATGCAGTTGCTCTGAGGCGTTTTGTCGCTTCTCGGTGGTATGATATTGCTGCATACGAAGTTCCACTCCCTGTGGCAAGTTTAAAATACATTCACGTTCGCTTTATCGTTCCTTATGCACCCAACGTTAACGTGTCCATCGATGAAATCAAGCATGTTTTCAGTCGAATTGCGAGATCTCGAGGGACTGGGCTGAGATTCGAGACGATTGCTGTGCTTTCCGACCAGTACAACGGAATCGAAAGGTTGACAAGTCAATCAGTCATTTAAGGGTATGCATAGGATGAGAACAGGCTTCATACCAGGACCTAGTATCCATGAAAAGGGACGGACGCTAGTGTACATAGCGAAGAGACTCTTGTACACTGATTGTGGACTTGAAAATCATTGTGTTCAGTTAATGAGGATCTGTGTAGAAGGACTATGTGCTGATAGGAATTCTGAAAAGGCATGGGAAGTCAATCGGGAAGTCTGGTCTGCATGAGGGGGAGGGGCCGCAGGATAGCTTCGGACTCTGAAAGTATTGATAGAAAGCAGCCAAATCCGATCCGAATTTTTGAATATGTAGATCTCCTTGTTCTTTCATTCCAGCCTCACCAGGTCTCACTCTACTTATTGTTTGAATATCTGTGGTCCCTTACAATTGGAGTCTTAGCACTCCTGTTCACAAATACATGGTGTAAATTGTCACCGCTGTGGAAAGCCGTGTTGCCATATGATTACGTTTATTGGTGCCAATGAAGAATTTCAAAGTCCGAAGTTATCTCCCTCCCCTTTCCCTCATGAGTCATCCGTCTCAAGACTATCCCGATATTTTTTCAGAAGTTCAATGTTACTACCTCCTCAAGCTGGGATGCGAGTGCATTTCAAAACACTCACAGATCGCTATCTCTGAGCTGTCAACCTAAACGTCTTCAAACCTCTCTGTCCGTCTTTGCATCAGTCATTCATTCTTTTCCTGATAAACCTCCCCCCATTACTCCAACTGGTTATCCTGGTAACCCTGTTATTGACCCGGTCCTCCTGTGTCATCTTGCTCTTGAACATACTTTCCCGAGAGCCACCATTCCTGACCTGACAAAAGTGACAAGGTTTACCACCGCCTGCGAAAAGCGAAGTGGTAATAGACTCGAAGGGCCTCAAGTATGATAAGATGCGCGAGAACCAGGAGGAGAGGAACAAAGAAGAGCCTGAGCCCAAATTCAGGCTGCGGGTGTCGCGAATGGGGGGTTATACGTATGGAGGAGGATACCAAGCTATCCCGCGTGGTCGTAGTCCTAGTCCGAGCCCGGTCGCGATGCCCACTGCGGTGATCGGTGGAGCTGCTATGGGGATGAGTTATGAAGGTAGTATGGACGTAGGGTACACAAACAATAGGGCAGAACGTCAGGCAGCTAATGCGGAACGTAAAACCCATCGAAGGATGCAGAAAGGTCAGCGTAAGGGTCTTTTAAGTGGAATAGGTAAAGCAGAGCGTGCGGCTGCTGCGTATCTTCTGGAACAGTAGGGCACGAACGGAGTTTGGGTGGTGGTTATGCCTGCTAAAAAAGGTAAACATGATCGTTTCTGATCTTGCTTAATCATCTTTGTTCTCTTTCTTTTGACCAGACGAAGCGATTGCCAACATAGATCGGTAGGACAACGTTTCCAGTATGTGAAGCTGCCATGGCTATGTATGCATTCAATTTCCGGGGACTGGTCAATAAATGAATGTGATAAATGCTGGGTCTAGTCAGTACAGTAGGACCACTTCACCCGTAAGAAGTGACAACCTTTTTGTTGTTTGACGCCCCATCTGATCGACTTCTTACCTTAAAGCAAAATCGCAACTCACAACAGGTCCCCCCAAATTACTAGACGAACAACAGGATCTCGAGGCCGTTGCAAATGGTTTCTGATGGAGAGCCGTCCGGCATTGCTCTTTACAACGTTCATTGTCAACCAAAGGACAAGAAATTCTTACTGGAAGTCATTTAGCGATTGAGCCACCTTGTATGCACTGCAGATCTCGGTTTCCTCAGGCCGGGAATGGAAATGGACCCACAGCCCAATGCCTATAACTAGATCGAACTTCAAAGCTTCATGCAATACTGACTATCCATCTCTATCAACAACTACTTTGAACACAGTAAAGGAACCTCGCAAAAGGTAGCTTCCTATATGTTTACGTTTTGTGACATTCCTGCTTAAATCTATACCCCAGTATGACTACACAGATCACAGGAGGGTGGAATTCACTTCCGGACAACATTACATTCCTTCGTCAATGCATGCAGTATTATGATTCTCACCTTCGGAATATGCCAATACAACTTCAGAGGTATAATGCGCTCAAAGTGCAGTGCGAAGCTCTTTTTCGCGGGAGCGGTTTCCGAAAGCTGCCGCTGGAGCTCATGTCGGAAATATTTGTCCATTGCCTGGAACCTGTGTCATGTCCAGATGCTGGGGAAAGTTGCAGACCGCATACCCAGTCTTCCGGTATTGCGCTTGTCCTTTCGCAAGTCTGCAGACAATGGCGAACGGTTGCGTTATCGACACCGGCACTATGGACCTTTCTGAACGTCGTCATTCCTTTCACGAACGATTTAGGTACCGTGTACCCTAACTTCATCAACTGTTGTCTGGAACGATCGCGTATACTACCGCTGCACATCGTCTTGTGTGCTTTTCATCAAGGTGACGAAGAAACTGACGGGAAGGACGCTTTTCAAATCATATCTCGTACTATTAACAGACTCATACCCGAGTGTTCTCGTTGGGAATCTTTCGAGCTAATGATAGATGCGAATCCGTGGTTCAATATCTCGACTCCTTCATTCTGTCCTATATCTCCAACAGGAACACCGACTTTGCAGTCGATAAAGGTTTGTAATCGGTCGGGACGCTTTCCAAGCTTAGCTGCTTGGATATCGGACCTCATGCGCAGCTCTCCAAACCTACGGAATATTTGTTTAGACTCAGGAGAAGGAATCCAGTTTGCGGACATCTCCTGGTTTCACCTGCAAAACTTCGAAGTCTGGGAGGAGATCGAACTGAAAGATCTGTTCATTCTCTTTGAGAATTGTCCAAAATTACGGGCCTGCACGGCGTGTTTGTACTCAGCCGTTCATCTGGTCATCGTGTCATCTCCAGAAATTGTGCTGAACCATTTGCATACTCTGACTTTGACCGATGTCGAGGAGAGTGATCTAAAAGCAGCATTCTGCTGGCTGACTTTGCCTGCGCTCAAGAAGCTGATCCTCAATGGGTTTTGCAATACAGAGTGGCCGGATGGGTCTTTCTCAAACTTTTTGTCGAGGTCCGGATTCAGCCTAGAAGTCCTTTCCCTGACAGATCTGGCTTTTTCGGACGCACATCTTGTATCTTACCTTCGTCACTCGTCGATTCACGATTCGCTTGAGAAGCTGGTAATTGAATCACAAGGGGAAATTATCAGCTCATTCTTGCTCGACTTTCTTACATTCAAGCTGCCCTCTTCCGATACGAATACGATGCATGCACCTGTCCCACTACTTCCGAAACTCAACAGCATCCTTTTCAACGTTAATGCCATTACTCAGGCGGTTGCTTTGAGGCACTTTGTTGCTTCTAGGTGGTATGACATCGCGACGTACGAGGTTCCACTTCCTGTGGCATGTTTGAAACATATCCATGTCCGCCTTGCCGTTCCTGATCCACCAAACGTCAAATTTTCCATTGATGACATCAAGCATGTTTTCAGTCGAATTACTAAATCTCGAGGGACTGAAGTGAGATTGGAGACGATAGATATGCCTTGGGACTCCGACCCGTACGCCGGCATCGAGAGAATGAGTATTGATTTAGTTTTTGAGGGCATAATATGATAGGAGGCTTCATACAAGGACTTAGTAGGGATGGAAGCTAGTGTGCATATCGAAATTCTTGTTTTCCATATAGATTTCAATAGTGGAAGACTTGAATTATGATGTTAAGTTAGAGGGACTATGACAATCACTATGTGCTAATAGGAATTCTGGAAAGGCATGATCGATCCAGCAGGACGGGGGGCTATCCTTGGTATGAAAAGCCTTTCTCAAACAATCTGTTCTTTTTCCTCTAATTCCACGCGCAGTATTATCCTTTGCTACGAACCCTCCTAAATCTATACAAAGGCCCGACTACAGCAAACATTCCCCTCATTCCCCAGTTTTCCAACTAAGACGAAAAATCACAAGTACAAACTTGGTTAGTAAAATCTATCTTCGTGTATGGGGTGAAGATGGAGCGCCCTGCGAAAGAATCGCGAGTGCGCTTGACCTCGGCACCGAAACTTAGGAAGAACCTGATTATCATTTGAAGTTCAACTTTTGTTACTCGTTCGACGATTGGCTCTTGTCCGACATGCATCATAGTATGATCAAGGACGCTGAATGATAGTCAACGTTTGATGGAGAGGTTAACTGTCGGACTGACCTTGTCTAATTTTTCAATCATTGCACCAACCACCAACGGTAACTGTGGGTTTCTGTGGGTTCCGAATAAGCAAATCATGAAGTTCGGGGCAGCTATCTGTGTACTAGTCTTCTTGTAATTGTTGGGGAATACTCCGTACGTCAGATACACAGCTTTGACCTTTAACCACTATCCCTCTTTCGTATACGCTGATCTTCGTTCGTGATTACCATATACTGTACAGCTGTAGTAAGATCACGCAGACAGATGTACACGAGCCCCCTCAGTTGCTTTTATATCAACTGAGGTGAGCTCGCTAATAACTAGATACCCGTATTTACTAACGGTACCCGCTAGCTTAACACTACGTTAACAGGTACCTAGACAATACAGTTGCTTTTATATCAACTGAGCTTAACACTACGTTAACAGATTATGAGACTCGAACTCTAACCGAGCATAGAAAAATAAAGGTACTCAACCCAAAGAGTTAGAAATGTCGTTCGGAAACAGCCCGAATATACCGAGACTCCCGGACGAGAAACAGCTCGTCGGTGAAGACAATTGGAGACCGTTTAAACGGGAAGTTCTTTTCGCGGTGCAGTCGAAGGGACTAACCGGATACCTCGATGGAACAATCGCACGCCCAAACAAATACCCCGGACCAATATACCCACCTGCTCAACTCACGACTCCACTATTCAGTCCAACCCCGTACCCAGAAGAATGGGAGGCCCGCGATAGGCTAGTAGCTGGAGCTATTGTATCGAATATTACGGACCCTGTCGGGCTTGGAATAGACGAAACTAAAAGAGCATCAGAAATCTGGCAGGAACTGATCAGACGGTTCGAAAAGAGGGACGAACAGCGCATACATTTAGCCGATACGAATCTCCGCCAAGAAAAGTACGACCCGGAGACCACGATGGAGGACCATGAAAAGAAGATGCGTAACCTCCTGAAAAAGGTGCACGACTTGGGAGGGACAGCGACAGATGCACAATTCCGCAGAATCGTGATCTCGTCAATGCCGTCAGGGTGGAAGCAAGATGTTCGGAGCGTCCCGGGGGTATCGAGCACAGAAGCGTTCACGTACCTCCATACTTTGTGGTATGAGAAAGAGGAGGAACGAAAAGAGGAGGAGCGGGACACGAAGAGGGTAAAAGCCCTGATGGCAGCACACAATCAGCCCAACAACCCTGCACCACAAAACCAAACACGTACCGGAAGTAAGCCAGTAATCACCTGCCACAACTGTGGAAAACCAGGGCACATAGCTAAGAAATGCTGGGCAAAAGGGGGAGGAATGGAAGGTCAGGGTCCTAAGCAAGGATTCACGAGCAAAAAGGCGGGAACGAACGCGAATTCGGCTAACCCAGACGACACCGAAGAGGTATCCACACCTATGGCAACCTATGTGATGGCAGCCCGAGCGAGCGGCCAATCAAGTACGTTTGAATCCGTCCAGCCACCCGAATCACCCACTGACCCGACAACCAGGCAGGTTGATCCCATTCTAAGGGAGGGGCATCAGTGGGAGAAAAGGGATAGGGACGTAGATAATAACGTACTTGACTACAAAACTGTACCCAGGCCGGAGTGCATGGCCTGCCACGGCAACACACCCCTGTATGCAAACCCAATACCGAGAATAAAAACGTTTCTTGACTCGGGAGCATCCGAACACTGTTGGGTCCAACGGTCTGATTTCATCGAGTATACCGAGGTACATGGACAAGCAGGGAGTAGTGCAATATCAGGCGACACAGGGAGGTTTGAGATCCTGGGTACCGGAACGGTCCAATTCGTCACACGAATACAGGATGAAGAGAGAATAATACAGCTACGAGGGGTAAAGCATACGCCGTCGTTCGGGCACAACCTGATATCTATACCGACGCTTGACAGCCGAGGTATGCGAGGAGAATGGGGAGTGGGAATAATGACGGTGAGGAACTCGAGCGGCGAGACTATAATGCAAGGTTTTGGACGCGATAAAATGTATGAAATTGAGGTACTGGAGTCGGGAAGGACGATAGTCAACTACTCAAGGACGAGGGACAGGCCAGTAGATATAATCACCTGGCATAGACGATTCGGACACATTGCAATCAAACGGATACTTCGAATGGCGAACCGCAAGCTAGTCGACGGATTGAGCATCACAAACAAAAGGATTCACGGAATGTGCGAAGACTGCTTATACGGCAAAGCAATAAGACGACCATTCGACGAAGTATTAACGCATGAGTCCGAGGTCCTAGAGAGGGTGCACATGGACTTGTTTGGGCCATCGAGAACGCAAAGCCGAGGTGGAGCGACGTACCTCATGCTCTGCACCGACGGGAAGTCATCGTTCAGGGTACCATATTACCTCAACAACAAGCGGAAGGAGACGGGACTGAAGGCGCTACACGAGTACCGCGTAATGGCGGAAAAACAAACGGGGAAGCAACTGAGGATCATCCGAATTGACGGAGGAGGCGAACTCAACAACGGTCTGGTGGATGCCTACTGTAAAGAACACGGGATTATCATTGAGAAAGTACCGCACGACTCTTCTGCAGCGAATGGGGTTGCTGAGCGAGCATTCAGAACAGTAATGGACGGTACTCGTACCTTACTAGAGGAAGCAGGCCTGCCATATTCATTCTGGGGCGAAGCGTCGAACACCTTCATATACACCAATAACTTCGTCCCATCCTCACGATTCCCAGACACGGTTCCGGTTGAGGCCTGGACGCAGAAGCGACACGACGTAGCACATCTAAGACCGTTCGGGTGTGACTGCTGGGCTACACTACCAAGGAGACGAACAGATGGAAAGCTGGGAAGACAGGCTGTAAAAGGAAAGCTACTGGGGTACATGGGGAGGAGAGGTTACCGGCTGTGGATACCGGAAACAAAGAAAGTCGAGGAATCGCATGATGTTACCTTCGAAGAAGGTATACCACACCGAACGCGACCGAGGGGGGATAACGAACATGAGGGCGATGAAGAAACGAGCGAAATTCCCCCAACTCCACAAGATACACGACCTGACAGCCCTGCAATAAACCCCGGAAATGACGAGAACGGCCATCAACAACCCATTGAACCGACTCAATTGCCAGCGGAAACCCATCCGGGAATAGATCGACAGCCACTAGCACCAGTCCAACTGCCAGAACCACCACGCCGAAGTGGAAGGGAACACGTACCATCGCGCAGATACCTAGAGAGCGAAGAGTATAAAGATCGAGAGAGAGCAGCGTCGGAAAGGAGGGAAAGTTGGACGGACGAGACACCAGTAGCAATGATAGCCCAACATCCATTTGCCTTTGCAGCAACGTCGGGGGAATTATGGGTACCACAGTCATACAAGCAGGCAATGCGACGACCCGACCTCTGGACAGCCCCAATGGAAGCCGAAGTCAGGACCCTGAAACAGAAGGAATGCTGGGAACTTGTCCCACTGCCACCGAATGCAAATCTTATGGGAGGCCGTTGGACATATGCTATTAAGTTCGACGCGACGGGGAACTTGCTGAAAAGGAAGGCCCGATATGTAGCACAGGGATATACCCAGATCCAGGGGCTCGACTACGACAAAACATACGGCGGGGTAGCAAGGATGGAATCCGTACGATTGGTACTGGCGATTACTGCGACACTCAAACTCTCACTATTCCAAGTGGATTTCACGGCAGCTTTCCTAAACAGCCCTATCACCCACGACGTATACATGAAGCAGCCCGAAGGATTCACCGAACCCGGGTCGGAACATCTCGTATGTAAGTTGAAGAAGTCAATCTACGGGACTATGCAGGGCAGCCATGACTGGCAGGCCACGCTGTCAGCTGGATACAAAGCCGACGGATATACAACATCCAGAGCAGACCCATGTATCAGGTACAAACGAATGCAAGATGAGTACACGATCACAAGCACATACGGGGACGACGTGTGTGGTGGATCCTCCACTAGGGCCGGTAGAGATAAAGCGATCGCGAACTTAGGGAAGAGGTGGGAGGCAAACGAGGTAACCACTGGAGTCTTGCTGGGGATGACGATACGACAGGACCCAGGAACTAAGGCGATAACCATCTCTCAGAAAACCTACTTCCAGCGCATGCTCAACCACTTTGGTCTCGATTGCGTCCGCCGTCGAAATACACCGCTACCGCCGAATGTGAAACTCAAGGAATCACCGACACCATTACCTGCCGAAGAGTATAGGTATATGGCTGACAAACAGTACAGAGCGGTCGTAGGTTCGATACTGTGGGGACAGGTATGTACACGTCCCGATCTTGCCTTCGCTGCTAGCCTCCTAGCACGTTACCAACTGAACCCGGGTCGAGCACACTGGGAATGTGTCGAATGGGTGGCGGGGTACATACTCAACACCCTGGACTATGCGATTGTGTACAAGGCGGGGGTAGAACCCGGCTTGAAACCCTATGCCTATGTCGACTCGGATCACGCAGGCTGCCAGGACACTTACAGGTCAACATCAGGATATGTATTCTTCATGGCGGGGGCACCTGTATCCTGGAGCTCTAAACGACAGGCTACGGTGGCGCTATCGACGACTGAATCCGAATACATTGGACTCTCCAGAGCGACCCAGCAGGCCGTATGGATATCCTCCTTCCTCTCAGAGGTGGACCTAGCCCAGGAAGGTCCCATCGACATGCTGGGTGATAACTTCGGGTCGGTGTGTCTCACAGAAAACTCAAAACGACACGCTCTGGTGAAGCATATCGAGATGCGACACCACTACGTCCGGGAGAAGGTGCAAAGCGGTGAGGTTAACATCAAGAGGATTAGGTCGGGAGAGAACGTTGCGGATATATTCACCAAGGCACTCAATGGCACCACCCACTCTAAGTTCGTATCTATGCTCGGGATAGATCGTACGGAGTAGGGGGGGTGTTGGGGAATACTCCGTACGTCAGATACACAGCTTTGACCTTTAACCACTATCCCTCTTTCGTATACGCTGATCTTCGTTCGTGATTACCATATACTGTACAGCTGTAGTAAGATCACGCAGACAGATGTACACGAGCCCCCTCAGTTGCTTTTATATCAACTGAGGTGAGCTCGCTAATAACTAGATACCCGTATTTACTAACGGTACCCGCTAGCTTAACACTACGTTAACAGGTACCTAGACAATACAGTTGCTTTTATATCAACTGAGCTTAACACTACGTTAACAGTAATGTCTTTTCTCAAAGCTGACCTGTAATCGACACGCCGCCATGCAGCGAACCAGATAGATACGAACGGGGTCCCACAAACGAACAACGTGTTTCAATTTGTTCATGTAGACGCGTGCAGCGCCAATGAGTCCTTTTCCACGATCGTCCTTTACCAGCCTTTCCATAACCCCTCCGATCTTCTCTAGTAACTCTCGAAAAGCTCTGGTAAAAGAGGGGGAAGTTAGAATCATATAGTGTATCTCTTCAACGCAATTTCTTACTCTCTCTTGACCTCTTGTGTCTCGAAGAAGATTCGAGATCTCATTCAATACCGTGACACAAGCTACTTATAGTGAGACCGTGAGTCGTCTTTGGGAAAGGGACCCACAACTCACTATTAAAGTGATAGATTGAAGGCATCGCAAGAAGTAGTTCTTCATAGTACAGTATGTTTTCATTTTCAAGTCTAATGGGTATTCATTGCTACCTGGATACTAGCCTATGGGTACGCCCACACAGATCACAGAAGGGTTGAGTCTATTCTCAAGCTCCAATGAACTTTCATTCGCTCGTCGATACATGCATGACTTGGATCAAAACCTTCGACATATCCCGATATATTTTCAGAAGCTCACAGAACTCAGGCTACAATGCGAAGCTCTTTTTCGCGGGAACGGTTTTCGAAAGCTTCCGTTGGAGCTCATGTCGGAAATATTTGTCCATTGCCTGGAACCTGTGTCATGTCCAGATGGCGGGGAAAGTTGCAGACCGCATACCCAGTCTTCCGGTATTGCTTTTGTCCTTTCGCAAGTCTGTAGACAATGGAGAACGGTCGCGCTATCGACACCGGCACTATGGACCTTTCTGAACGTGGTCGTTCCTTATACGAACGATGTAGGTACCGTGTACCCTAACTTCATCAACTGTTGTCTGGAACGATCGCGTATACTACCGCTGCACATTGTCTTGAGTGCTTTCGATCAAGATGACGAAGAAACTGACGGGGAGGACACTTTTCAAATCATATCTCGTACTATTAACAGACTCATACCCGAGTGTTCTCGTTGGGAATCTTTCGAGCTAATGATAGATTCGGATCCGTGGCTCGATGTCCCGACTCCTTCATTCCGTCCTATACCCCCAACAGGAACACCGACTTTGCGGTCAATATACATCCATATTCGGTCGGAACACTTTTCATGGATAGTTGCTTGGATATCGGAGCTTATGAGCAGTTCTCCAAACTTACAAGAGATCTGCTTAACCTCAGCAGAAGGAATCCAGTTTGCGGACATCTCGTGGGACCACCTGCAAATATTCAAAATCTTGGAGGAGATTCAAATGAAAGATCTGTTCCTTCTCTTTATGAATTGTTCAGGATTACAAATCTGCGAGGCGTATTTGGATACACCCGTTCATCTGGTCATCGTGTCATCTCCAGAAATTGTCATGGATCATCTGCATACTCTGATCTTGACCTGTGCCAAGGAGACTGATCTAAAAGCAGTATTCTGCTGGCTGACTTTGCCTGCACTGAAGGTGCTTGCACTTAGTGGTTTTTGCAACGCAGAGTGGCCGGCTGAGTCTTTCTCAAACTTTTTGTCGAGATCCGAATTCAGCTTGGAAACCCTTTCCCTGACAAAGTTGGCATTTACAGATGCACAACTTGTATCTTATCTTTATCACTCGTCGATTCATGATTCGCTTGAGACGCTGGTGATTGAACCACAAGGGGAAATTATTAGCTCATTCTTGCTCGACTTTCTTACATTCAAGCTGCCCTCTTCCGATATGAATACGATGCATGCACCTGTACCACTACTTCCGAAACTCAACAGCATCCTTTTCACTGTCAATGCCATCACTCAGGCAGTTGCTTTGAGGCACTTCGTTGCTTCTAGGTGGTATGATACCGCGACGTACGAGGTTCCACTCCCTGTAGCATGTTTGAAACATATTTATGTCCGCCTCGCCGTTCCTTATGCACCCAACGTCAAATTTTCCATTGATGACATCAAACATGTTTTCAGTCGAGTTTGTAGATCTCGAGGGACTGCGTTGAAATTGGAGACTGTTGTGACCCCTTCGAATCCCGACCATTACGCAGGTATTGAAACGTTCTCAGTTTACGATTTTCCGTTTGATGGGGACATGATATGAGACAAGTCCCAAACACTACTTGTACATTGAAAAGGGAGGAAAACTGCTGTAAATAGCGCAGAAACTTTTCTACTATGCATATGATCTTTCGTTAAAAATACATAGGAAGACTCAAACCACTGTAATTTGTTGAGGGAGATAGATTAACTGAAGGTTCGAAAAGGCATGATCAATTCAGAGGGGGGCTATCTTCGTATGACAAGCCTCTCTCCAGCAATCCTCCGCTTTCTTCTCTTGCCCCACGAACAGCATTGTCTTTTGCGGCAAAGCCTCCTACTAGTGCCTTATATAGCGACCTCATCGCATTCCGGATTACATTCCTGACTTTATGCAAACGCCCGACTATCGCAGACAATCCCCAGCTTGTCAACGAAAACGAAAAGTTGTACAATGATTTTGAATAAATTCTATCTTGGCGTATGCGATGCTCTCGATCGACCACAACAGAGATGGTGTATCCTGCGGAGCAAATTGACGCGAGGGCAGTTGAGGCGGAAAGGAAGAACATGATTATCATTTGAAGTTTTGCTGCTCGTTCGACAGAGGATCCACCGAGGATGGCTCCGGTCATCATACCTGGGATAGATATGATACCGAGGACGCTAAACGAATGTATGGTCGGCACATGTTTGAGGGGGGTCAACTAAAGGACTGACCTCATTTGGTTTATCGTTGGTGTAAGGGCTATTCGCAACGCATCCACAAGAATGGGTTTACAAGCCTCAGAACGAGAAGCTCCGAATGCAAGGTACATTTCTACCCGATCTCTATTTTCCCTACGTGGAATGAATGAAAACTATTATAACAAAATGTTCAAGGGCCCGAAATTGACTTACTGCAGTTCTTTGAGAATATAAGTTATCGAAACAACCACACCGTTTATCGTGCTTCCACAAAGCATACCCACGACCGGAACTACCGAGATTACAATCCTTAGACAATCATCACTTCGGTAAAAACTCACTATATTGTGCCGGTTCCCAGAATTTCGTGACTGACATCGCAAACCTTACGCCGATGATAGATATTGGAATAGTAGAAGCAAGCAAGCTGAACAACACCGAAGGGAACTGTGCGGATTGTTTGAGCACATGCGCAGGAACGCAGGTACTAGAAAGTGACTTGCCATGTTCTGGTGCCGTTTCTTCGACTTGTTAACGACTATGGGTGAAATTCATTTTATTGTCTTGGAGTAATTACACCATCCGCGTACCTATCTCAAAAGTTCCCATGAGATTCAGCAAGACTATCCAACAAAAGTGAATTCGCGGATATCATCGCTGGAAGCCTAAGACTCACAAGCGATTCCTGCTACAGCCCAAGGATTGTCAGTCTCAAAGACCTTCTGTAATAGCGTGCCCACAATTGCTAACTGGACGACACATCTTGTCGCGGCGACGAGTAATGATACTCCTACTCCCAAGTCGAAGACATATGAGAATATGACGTTAAAGGCGATGAATCCAAAAGCCAAGGCGACATTCAGCCATGTTAGTTCAGTGCCTTCATCTGAAGAAGGAGAATCCATCGACCATCGACGTTGGAAAGGCCCCCAGAATCTCCTGCAGAACCTCACCCGAAATAGCGTCATTTTGGGCCCGATTTTGACGATTTCCTGGTCCTAAAATAGCGTCATTTTCAGTCAAAATCCTTAGTCCTTGTCCGTTTATAGCGTCATTTGAGTCGGCAGGAGTCGGCGCACCAGCACCAAACCAAAAAAAATTTTAAGCACCGGAAAAAAATGGAAAAAGAACACCAACAAAAAATTTTGGAAAATTTTTCGATTTCACGTGACGATCCTGGTCCGAAATAGCGTCAATCATGGCAAAATCATAGCGTCAATTAGGGCGTCAGGCCGGGTGGGGTTCTGCAGGAGATTCTGGGGGCCTCGTTGGAAGTAAAAGAGGGCAAGACGGCAGACTCGGGCCGAAGCTCCAGAAGTGATAGGCTTACTTATTCCGGAGAATTTAACGTGTTCTGCCCACGGTCCACGCGAAAATGATCCTGCCGGGCGGGGCCGCGGTACGGATCCAAAATGGGTGGAAATCACTGATCGGGGTTGATCGGGTGAGCGGGGTTACGTTTACCGGTTCGTCCCCACGGTCTCATTACGGGATCCCGGGACGGATGTCAACACATGACTGCCAGCTGTCCGCTCGCGGTTTTTTTCCCCATCGTCGTGTTCTATCTATCGCCCTCAGTATCATGGCATTCTTTCCAACAGAGATGACAACAGGTGAACAAGCGGCGAAGGAATAGAAACAGGCTAGCAATCAAACAAGAGGGGAGGAAGTAGAATCGAATGAAGGGAGGAAGGACAGACACCAACGAGGAGGCGGAATAGGATTGAATGTAGGGAGGAAGGACCAACAACGAGGAGGCGAGGCGAGGTTTCTGGGAATAGGATTGAATGCAGGGAGGAAGGACATACAATAAGAGGACAAGGCATTGAGGAGCGAGAGAGGATGTTTCGGGTGACTTGACTTGTTTTTCCCAACTCTAGTCCAAACATTCATCTTCTATCATTTATCTTCTATACCTGTATTATATGTATAAACAAAGAATATAGAAACTACCAGTATATATTGTATATGTATGTTTAATCAAGGTTTCGCAAATGCTTGCCTCTACGCTGTTTGATGAGGCCTCGATCTTGACGAGACTTACGAATCTCATGTAGCAGCTGTTCGATTCCCTTCTTACATGAGGGATATGCAAGCTTGAATTTCTCTTCATCACGCTCAAACCTGAATTTTTGTTTTTATTGAATCTTTTTGCATAAAACTTGAATATGACAGATGGACGTACTCTTCGATGAATTCAGTTGCAATAAGCTTGCGTTTATTGTAATTAGATGCAAGTTTTGTTGCCTTTGCCCATTCTGTCTTCCAATCTCGAAGTGCATAGTGATGGTGACGGTCCGGGTCTGCATGTTCCCAGTCATGAATTATTTGTTTCCAACCTTCAGGGCCAGGACGTATATTTGGAATAGTAGGTAGGTGTTCAAGGCCTGGTAAAAATGCAGGTGGAGAGGATGACATTGACGATGCCTGAATATATGTTGTCTGGGGATTTCTGCTGGCTGGAATTAACGGAGGAGAAGGAGCGTAGATTTCCGAGGGAATAGAAGCACTGTTGGTAGAATGGATAGCTGGGTAGATGAAGCTGGAAGAGATGTTTGTGCCATTGATATGCCGATAGCCAGGGACGGAGCCTATTTGCTGCGAAAGTATTCCATAAGGCGAAGATCTGTGGTCCTTGTCAGATGAAATGATGACAATATTATATAAACTACTTGCACCAGGGAAGGAGTTGTCAATGCTGCAAATACTTCGTTCTTGACCGTCTTTTGGATGAAGAAGGATTGCATTTGAAAAAGGTTACGACATTCAGCTGCAGATACTGGACCCATCTCAGCTGCCTCGCCAGCATGAGATTCGGAGGCTCTCCGGTCAACTGGAGCTAGAGCATCGCTGTGATCCTCTTCGTATGTATTCAGCTCATCCAATAGATACCATATTAATGTATCACGCTGCATGACATTAAGAGGAATCATGGCTGATGGGAAGATCACAAGCTCACCTTTTCATTCGGTGCCCACCCGCCCCACCATCGGATACGTGCAAGAGTCCAGCGTTCACCAACAGGGGCAAACATGAAGCGATATTGTGCGCCCCCACGGCGGAAACAATGGGTCGTAAATGCCCCAGGTACACCAGCAGCCGTGGTGAACTCGTTGATCATTTTCTGGACAGCTTCTGGCGTTACTGGTTTATTCTGAATTGTGATACCGTTCGCATTGATATTGGGAAAGATATAGTCTTCGGGTGCATATTTTCTTCGGAGAATGTACTGCTCACTAAAGCTCATCCAAATCAATAGGTGTGTGTAAGCGCATATTGCACGGATTTTCTGAGGATATAAATTGTAGCGATGTCCTGAAAGGACAATCAATCAGTGCACTCAATGGACAAAATCTTCATATTGCACCATTTAGCTGTGTTTCATTCTTTCCCTGCTTCTTTTGCCAGTTCTTGCGATCCCTTAGGTTGATCTGGATAAATGGTGGGTCACTCGGAGTTGCACCTGGCCTCGGAAGTGGATTGCGGTCAATATGTTTTGCTTGCAGGTTAGATGTCTCGCTGTTCCTATTTCATGGCGGAAAATCAGATTGAAAAGCAGGGAGAGACATGATCATTCAATAGCCAGACCTGGTCCATATTGTAAATCCGAGAGAAGCATATGCACGAAATCGTAAATGGCTGGTCTTCAAGGCAAGTGATTTGACATCAGCAACAGGATAGTCGTCTGGGCAGATCGTAATTGAGTACGCATAGAGTCTCTCCATAACAATAATGCTGGCAGGCATGGAATGGTGCCGTTCAGCTTCGCCATCTTTACGTTTGCACCCATCATGCAGATCTGCCACCTGTGCTGCATCGCAAGGGTTTCCAACCCACTCTCGCTGAGCTCCATCATATCGCCAAGGCCCCCGGTACTTGTCACCATTCCTTGCAAATCATATAGGTGAGAAAGGACCAGCTGTCATCAAATGTTTTCACATACAAGTGGGTATAGTAATATTTGAAAGCAGCGTGAATCTGATTTGCAGTGGCTATCTTTCTACCTTCTGTATAGCATTTCCAAGACGTGAACATAGCAATGGCCTCAGGAGTGGATTCTCTGGGTTTCCCATCGAGGCAGCCTCGAAATTCAGATGCAGTTTGTCGGAGTGCAGCTGTACTCCTATCTTCCTCGAATTCACTCCCATCTTCATCTTCTTCGTTTTCATCACAATCTCTTGCCTTTTCCTCAGCATCCAGAAACTCCTCTAACCACTTTCGACCACGCTTGATAACTTCTTCGTACTTTTTAATTGTGTTTGGTGCTCGGATATGAGCTGTAGTGTTCACGTTTGTCTCGCGTCGAAGGTCCGATAGTCGTTTTACAGGTGACCCAGTTATAGTTTCTTCTGTCTTCTGTCTTCTGCTGGCCTTACGAGGATCTTTAGGAGATTTAGGTTTAGAGGACATTATGTAGAAGATAATATAATGAGGTCAAGGAGTGAGTCCCCGAAACATAATGTATTTCATATCTTGATCGTCGGTCTGTCCTTCCGTTATGGTGCTACCTCAGGGCATAAGCACTGCTTAGTGAGCTGTCAAGTGCAGTTGGTGCAAGAAGTACTCCCAGATTTTGTGCACTATAGCTAAATAGAAATGATATTATAGGGTTTCGCAGAAATAAACAAGATTGCTGTAGAGAAAGTCAATCCAACATGAATACTGATGCTATGTATGATAAACAGTGTAGACAGCACTCTGACAATGAATTCAAGCTAATTCGAGCAGATCGCACTGAGAGATGAGAAATATATGTACAAAATCGCAAAACTGACCTTGGGGGCTGTTGGTGACAGTGAGCACCTCCAGTTTTGATGTCGCGTGGGCTAGCCGTTAAGCGGCCATTGTGGATGGTGTTTTGACGACAATTTTGAGCCTAGTTTGAGCAGATTACGATAAGAAACAGGGGAGATATGTACAAAATTGCATAAATAGCCTTGGGGACTGTCGGTGACGATGAGCACCTCCTATATCAATGTTGCATGGGTTAACCGTTGAGTGGAGGTTGTGGACGACGCTTCGACGACAGTTTTGAGACTAATTTGAGCAGATTAAAATGTGGAACAAGGCAGGTATGTACAAAATTGCAGAGTTAGCCTTGGGGGCTGTTGGTGACGATGAGCACCTCCGATATTAATTTCGCGTAGACTAGCCGTTGAGCGGAAAGTGTGAACGGTGCTTTGACAGTGATTTTGAGCCAAGTTTAAGCTGATTATGATGAGAAACAGCAGAGATACGTACAAAAGTGCATAATTGACTGTGGGGCTGTTGGTGACAATGAGCACCTCCAATATTGATGTTGCATGGATTAGCCATTGAGCAGACAGTGGTGTGAGTGGTGTAGATAGACAGTGTCAAGTCAGTCTTTACAAGCAACTGTGCATGCACAGGATAGAAATGGAAAAAGAACGAGACGAAGGATAGGATAGGACAAAGTGACATCAGAATTGCAAAACAAAACTTGTTCACAGTGGTTCCGAACGCGCCGCGCCATATTTCAGGCCGTAGCCAGCTTTGAGGTGGCTAGTTCATTGTGAACAAGTGATGAAATGAACTCCAACCCAAAAATGTGAGTGCACAACGGTGTTGTTGCGGTGATTCTGAACAAACATCATGAACATCGGTCATGTATTAAATCAACACGACTTGAATGATGCAGCTCGATCCACTTTCAGAGCTTTATCTTTCTTAATGCTCAGAGGATACCTAGAGGATGCAGAGTAGCATCATTACAGCCCATAATGCTTCTTCAATGTCAGTACTCAGAAACAAAAACTTGGCAAATCAGTTCCAGATTTTACCTATACGTTGGCTTGCTAATGGTGGTAAGCAGGTGGTAAGTCGTGTTTAGCTGGGTAAGTCGTGGTAAGTCAAAAGTAAGTTCAAATTTAAGCTAGCCGTTAACTTCATTTAAATTTTTGAGTTGAATTTAAGGCGAATTTAAGGATGGTTCAAGTGACGATATCAATAACATTACCAAACCTTACTAAACCCATGAACCGACCGACCATGTACCGATTTATCATTTGAGCCATTGTATGATCCTATGTAGCTGGTTCTCGAGCTATTGTCACACATTTATACAAGGGAATATAGTGACCAATCTTTACAGGCTCATCTCATGGTCCTTCAAGAACCCTGTCTGAAATACTAAGTGTCAATCATGACTGTTAATGCAGAACGAAAACTTATGAGTCGAAATACATAGTAACAACTATGTAGGCCAGTGACGCAGGGATTTAATAGCAGCTTCCAGGGGTTGCTCATCCCAGACCCAGAGAAATAATATCAAATGACAGTTGTATACACTACACAGTAACTGAGAAACAAGAATGTACCGCAAATGCATCCCGACCTGTAGCACAACTGTTAAAAGCAGCTACCAGCTAACATGTGTACACTATATATTCATAGCAACGCACGGGATGAACCAGTTCAAGTGAACGGGAAATGGCGCTAAGCGCTGTCACTGCATTGAACGGAGGGATCGCATCAGGATCTTTCCAATTTAGGGCGCGCCGCCGATTTAAGTGCCGGGCTTGAATTCAGCGGAATAGAACAACTTACTGTAAATGGAAGAAATATACAAGGTATATGGTATACATGAAAAAGATAAAACTACAACGATAAAGCATTCCCGCTCATCCAATAATTTTACTCCAAAAACTTTGAACAGTCTTTATGACGGGGGGCGTACAGTCCTCGTCTTCATAATAGATCCTAATATTTCCATGCTGAGTTTCCATGATTATTGCATCATCAAGTTTATCGTCGCGCGTGCTCATATCTCCAATAAAGAGACGTTTTACACCCTGCACTTCACTGAAAACTACAGTTTGTGCAGAGACAGCCTCGGACAGCCAGATGCGACCGTGCTTCGTGGTACCAGTGACCGGGCCCTGGAATGAACGAGGTATTCGGACAGCGACGTTTCCATTCTTCGAGCAAGATTTCAATTTGAAAGGAACGATTTTGTTGCCTCGCCGCTGCAGAATAAGTTAATAAAAGTCAGCATTGGAAGCACTAACTGCACAGACTTACGATACAAGTAGAAACAGAGCCGTGGGTGGACGATGTATTTAAAATTATATTCTGTCTCGGTTCGGTAATTGGCTTGTCCAGAAGGTACAAGTCCGCGCTGACATTGCCATGTACCGAGCGAGCATAGAAATTACTGCGTGTATCTTCAGATTCGCCATCGGGTAAAGGTGGAAGATATTCGCTGGGAATGTTCAGTGATGGATCAATAACATATGTCCCTCTGCATGAATCGTGCGTTTTGGATAATGACACGAAGTTGGAGGGCTTGGCAGAATCTGGTATTACGAAAGGTCGAGGATAAGATGAAGAAGAGTCTAAGGAAGCGTATGGCGGCGGAGAAGCCGCCTGAAAAACAGAGAAAATGAGCAGTTAAAGAACGTAGTTGGTGAAGCTACGTACCGCTTCCGAGTGAGTCTCTGGGAGAGGAGATGGCTTGTAGGCATGAGGACCTTCACTTTTCGCATCCGCAGGAATAAGCATGATATGTGGTAATACCGAGAGCTGTAGAGCAGCCAATTTAAGCAGATTGTTAAACGCAGGTTGGACGGCGCAGTAAACTGCGCTGCACATGTCAGATTCATTATCAGCAATTATATCAGTGACACGTGACCGAAACATCTTGATTACACCGACCATGATTGCAGTCCAGTCCGCTACTGAAGTTCCTAATCCTCTCTCAGTGCCATCAAATGCTCCGGAACACTGTCCGGTAAGCTTTTGTGTCTTGACTCTTATCAAAATATGCGTGCTGATAACATCTTCAGGGAACCGAATCTGAATTCGCCGGAAAGTCAACAGCATGTGAAGGATGTGCCAACCAAGAAATATGCGCTTCCAACACACCGAAGGGTCCTGATCCTGCACTTTCCTTCATCAAACAAAGGATGTCTTCCGTAAAGCGCAAGATTCTGGTTCTGTCAGGCAAGGGAGGCGTTGGGAAATCAACTTTCACAGCACAATTAGGTTGGGCTTTTGCTGCTGACGAATCCACGCAGGTGAATGAAATCATTCTCAGATACAATGTGGATCCTCAAGCTTCTGCGTATAGACAGGCATCATGGACGTCGATATCTGCGGTCCTTCGATACCGACCATCCTTGGTATTGCTTCAGAGCAAGTTCACTCCTCTTCCACTGGTTGGTCACCCGTGTATGTACAAGACAATCTCGGAGTCATGTCTGTTGGATTCATGCTTCCTTCCTCCCGTGACGCTGTGATGTGGCGAGGACCCAAGAAGAACGGACTGATATCACAATTTCTCAAAGATGTCGATTGGGGTGATCTTGACTATTTGGTAGTCGATACGCCACCAGGAACGTCCGACGAGCATCTGAGCATCGTACAGTTCTTGAAAGAAAGTGGTATAGATGGCGCTGTCCTCATAACCACACCACAAGAGGTCGCGTTACAGGACGTACATCGGGAGATTGATTTTTGCAAGAAGGTTGGCATTCGAATATTGGGCATTGTGGAAAATATGTCTGGTTTTGTGTGCCCGTCTTGTAAGACGGAATCACAGATATTCAAGCCAAGCACAGGCGGGGCGAAAAGACTGGCAGAGGAAACTGGCATCGAGCTTCTGGGTGCTGTACCATTGGACCCAAGGATAGGAAAGAGCGCAGATTATGGAGTCAGCTTCTTGGATGAATATCCTGACAGCCCTGCTACTACAGCATATCTAGATATCATCGGGCGTGAGTTGCTAGTCACACTTTCCATTTCAGTCGTATACTGACCACTGTCAAATAGGCATCAAGGAAATTTTAGGCGACAATTGAATTTTCAGAATCCTACTTGCAATTCCTGGATAGGATAGGATAGGATATGAATTATACTGGCGAGGTCCGATTCCCGAACAACCAGTTTACCATGTACTGTACAATATTACATGATGTTGTACAATAATGGAACACACATATCTAATACAGGGGGGCGATTATGATCATCCATGTCCTGGTTATTGAGGGGAAAAGCGGAAAAAAACCCCTCCCATGGTATCATGAATTACACGGTCTTCCCTGCCTCAATATGCATGCAGTGTGTCACTCCAGCCGATATATTTCAACTGCATAGAATACTTCCAACACCTCATGCACATACTTTGCCAGCAACCCCACAACCCTCTTATCTGCCAGTAACTCCCTAAAGAGCTCCCATCCATCCCCATAGTGCCTTGCAAAATGGGGTATCTCCTGTATTACCCTTTGCATAAAGGCTTTCCTCAGCTGTATGACCTTGCAGCTGTTGCTGCATTCAAACATAACATGTGCCCCATCTTCCACTTTTTCCCTACACATTCTACACAGTCTTTTATCATGCTGCACCATTGGTTTGTTCCTCTCTGCCCACCTTAATCTCTCCACTGCTAATTTGTGGTTGCTTGTTACCATATCAATCAAGGATCTTCTATGTTCACCTATTGGAATCCTCAAGTAGTGTCTAAAAGCCATGGTCTTTATAACCATTTTTTTTGTCTTCTTGTCATACTCTCTTCTATCTCTCAGCACATCCCTTGTCTTGTTTGATGTGTCCACCTTTTCTTGAATGTCTTTCTCCATTGATTTCTTTACCCTCTCCATTACCCCATCAATGTGTTGCACAGTCAAGTCCTTGAATCTTGGTATATTCCATACCACCCTGTGAGGTAGCCTGTCTAACACTTGTACCATTTCCATAAAGACTGAGTTTTTCCCCTGCTCTGCTAGTTCATATGCTTGTCTGCATGCCTTCCATGCTAAGTGGTCTCTCTTCAACTGCACCAAGTACTTCAGATTCTTCAGGAACAGAATAATTCTTCGATATCGAATTGGCCATAGGCCTGTTTCAGAGAATAATAGTGCCACCATTGATTTATCGTTCAGTCCCAACATCCTCCTAATGAAGTAATGCTGTACACTCTCTAATTGCTTTCTTCTTACATCATAAATGTCCACTATCACTTCTGCTCCATTTTTCAAATAGGGATCAACCCTGCCCATGTACAGCAACCATAAGTCCCATATTGGAATATTTTTCCCCACAAACACCTTTGCATGTAGTACTGCTCCTGCAGTCTTTTTTGCTTTCTCAGCACTCTCCTTGTACTGCTGCTGATACATGTCAACTCCTGTTGTCTGGTGCCAGATTCCCATGTACTTCATCTCTTTCTTCTTTTTCAACCTTTTGCCATACAGAGTAAATGGCAAGCCCTCTGTCTCCTCCTTTCCATACACTGCATAAACACACTTTGGAACTGACGCAATAAATCCAGTCTGTGCAGAATATTCTCCAAATTGGTTGAGTTTGGATTGGAAGCTTGTAGGGCACATTGTAGTCATCAATACATCATCTGCCTGTTCTGTATGGTTGACCACTTTGTCATATAATACCACATCCCCTGGGTGCTCACTAAGTCTGAAGTCTGCAATTGCTAGATTGAATAGCATAGGTGTTCCTGGGTCCCCAGTCCAAGCTCCAATATTTGAAGTAAATGCCTCTGAGAAGGAATCTGCCACCTGAACCACATTTCCCAACTTTTGGTACATCAGCCGCAGCCAATCAATCAGTGGTCCCCTGATGCCCATTTTATTCAGCTTCATCCACATCATTGGTCTATTTGTTAGTGGGAAGGCATGCGTCCAATCCATGTATGCAACATATAATGGCTTTCCTATTGCCTTAGCTGTGTCAACCATGGTCTTGAGAATAAATGGATTATTTGTAGTTCGATAACCCGGCCGAAACCCATTCTGGGTTGATGGCAGTAAATCCTGGTGCTCTGCATATTCCCTCAACCTTCTGTCAATAATTAATGTGAGCATTTTCAGAAAGCAACACTCTAGCACCACCAGTCTATAGCTTGAAGGGTCATCTGCCTCCTTCCCCCGTTTCAGTATGCCCACTACCAATGCAACTAGCCATGCCGATGGAGCAGTCCTGTTCTCTATACAGTGGTTCAACAACTTCACACAATTCTCATTTGGGATCTTCATAATCAGTTTATAATCCACCTGGTCCACACCTACAGAGCTGTCTAGGTTCTTCATTGCAATATGTGCCTTTGCTTCCTCAATCTCCTCCTCCTGTATTGCACGGCTAAAGAATTTCTGCTCAGTTGTATCCACATTTTTTTCTGGTATCATTGCTTCCCATTGCTTCCTGTCATAAAGTACGCAGCCCCTATCATTTTCCTTTTCTCACCGTCTCGACGCCTTTACTTGTACGATACATCATCCCATCACTGTCAAACCCCCATCGATTACTGATCCATCGATTACTGATCCACCTGACCCATCTTCTCCTTCTATTGGCTTCCGCCACCTTCCTTGTTCCTAAACTGTACAGTATTACATCGTTGTTTCTCGCAGACCGGATTATGTATATATAGCCAACCCTCCACAGCCTGGTCCCTTATCTTGACCTCTCTGTCATTATCTGGGACCAGGTATGTGCTTACTTATTATTACCTATGACTACGATACTCAATATATCTCTGTCATTATCTGGGACCAGCCTGCCGCCGTTCTGCTTAGTCGCTCCGCTTGTTGCCTTGTCCAGTTGCTCCGCCTCACCGTTCTGCTTAGTCGCTCCGCTTTCCCGCTCCGTTAGTCACTCCGCCTCTGCCGCTTCGTGACATTAGGTCAAGATCCATTACTGCACTGACAGCCTACCGATAAGGTTGTCCTTGCAGGGTCTATAGACACCACGTCTTCCCCAGTTCCACCCGACTCTGAAACACCTGTTGCCAGTATAGACTGCTCCGCACTCCCGCACGCACTTGACCCCAGAGACCAAGCTCACACCCATAACAACGACGATACTTGGCGCGATTGCCAGTCTCAACCTTGCCCTAACGCCCTTTCGAACTCAATCCAAGAGCCACTCACTGTGAGCAATATAACCTTCCTGCCGATTCCCCAGCCCCGATTGCCTACTCCCATCATGTCGACTCCTATCCCGCCTGCCCCAAACACCTCTGCGGAGGATCTCATGGCTCAGCTCATCAGACAAGTAGCTAACCTTGCTACAGCTATGGAGGAACGCTCATCCTCTAAGTCAAGCATGAACAAACCCGAGGTTTTCAAGGGTAAAGATGGCGCTGAAGCCCGTCGCTTCATGGCTCAGTTCCAGAATTGGGCGTCAGAACAACCGGATCTCGCCAAAAGCCAAGTAAAACTCATCAAGTCTGCCTTGGGCTTCTTCACAGAAAGTGCCGGAGATTGGGCAACTCCCCATCTGCTACATTTCAATGCGGAAAATCCCCCTTTCGGAGGAAATTGGGAGGCGTTTCTGAAGGAATTTAGCCAACGGTTTGAACCAATGGACCCAGGTATGGAAGCCCGTAGCGAGATCAAGAATCTCAGGCAAAGTAAAGGACAGACAGTTGCGGAATTCGCTCAGAAGTTCAAGGATATCGGAGATCGGACTGAAATGTCTGATATTGACTTGCGGGAACGTTTCTTCACTGCATTACTCCCAGAGATCCGACAACACCTCATCACCGTAAACATTGCCCAAGGAATTGCTCCGACTCTGAAGGAGGCAATCAAACGGGCCATATCGGTGGATGTCTACCTGCACGATCCCACCATGACTGGCCGGAACTCTGGATACCCTCCCACGCATACCGCTCATACTACCCCTGCTGACCCCCACGCTATGGACATTGATGCAACCCACACCAGTAATGGGAATACTAGGGAAGCATTCCTAGCTCGCATGCGAGGACGATGCTTCGGCTGCGGTGCCCAAGGTCATGTCAAGCAAAACTGCCCACACCGAGAAACCACCTGCCGCTACTGTGGACGTCGAGGACATCTGGAAGCAGTCTGCCAAGACAAATTCATGGGACTCGGACGAGACCGAGGCCGACGCCAGCAACCTCGACGCCAACAGATATCCGCTACGGGACCCGCGCCATTCTCCCTATTCCCAAACGAATCCGTCCAAATCGCGTCCTCGACCCCAACATCTGCTTCTGCACCCGTAGCTGCTGCTCCGAGCCCCCCTAACCAGGACTTTTCCAATCAGATTGGTCAAATAAGGGAATTACTTGATCGTGCTAACGCTATGTCCTCCTCGTCCTCTGGCTTTCAACAGGGTTTTTAAAGAGGGTACCCGCTTCGGCTGCACCGAGAGTACCCCGTAATCAGTTTGTTATGTTCGCTACTTCCTCGTATGACTCGCACCCATCATGTACAATATCGTCGATCCGGGAATTAAACTCTACTTCCCCACATTTCCGAATTCATGCGAGACTAAGAGGAAGGAATCACAGTATAACAACTGCAGCCATGGTAGACTGTGGAGCTACCGCCCTGTTTTTAAACCAAGACTTCGTCACCCGGAACCATGTAAGATGTGCACCCCTCCATAAACCAATCGACGTTTTTAATATCGATGGAACACCTAACCGAGCTGGACGGATAACCCATTTTGCACATCTAGCACTCACAGTGGATAATCAAGAGCGATGGATGGACTTTCTGATCACCAACCTAGGAGGTGAAGACATCATCCTTGGACTCCCCTGGCTACGGAAGGTAAATCCGGAGATTGATTGGGAGAAAGGACGACTTTCAGTAAAGCCTCCTCGAGTAACGATAGAAGAAGTCCCAGACGAGGAGATCTTGTACTCTCATCTAGCCGCCACTCACACAGAAACCCCGATCCTCGAACTCCCGGAACTGGAACCTCCCGCAGAAAACCCCCACATTGAGGTGCCACTAGAAGTGACCCTTGAACCGAGTGAATCAGCAGCGGTGGAAGAACCACCAATACACCGAATTCGAGCCAATCATAAAACTCGCCGGGCATGGGTAAAAGCAGGAATTCTAGAGGAACAGACGGAGGAAGTCTGGTGCGCCGCAGGATTCACTTACTCCCAGCAGCTAGCAGAGGAAGCCAACCGAGACAAACCCGTTAAAACCTTCGAAGAAATGGTCCCTGAGCAGTATCGTGATTTCAAGAAGGTTTTCTCAGAATCCGCCTCCGAACAATTACCTGCCCACCAACCTTGGGACCATGCGATTGATCTCGTACCTGGAGCACCGGCAACCATGCGTACCAAGATTTATCCCATGTCCCTAAACGAGCAGGAGGAGTTGGATCGTTTCCTAGAAGAAAACCTACGGAAAGGCTATATCGTCCCCTCAAAATCACCAATCTCATCACCAGTCTTCTTCGTAAAGAAGAAGGATGGGAAACTCCGTTTCGTACAAGACTACCGGAAACTGAACGAGTACACTGTGAAGAACCGATACCCTCTCCCATTAGTTGCTGACATCATTAGTCGACTTCAGGGAGCCAGATACTTCACGAAGTTTGATGTCCGCTGGGGTTACAATAACATACGGATTAAGAAGGGGCATGAATGGAAAGGCGCGTTCGCAACAACCCGAGGCTTGGTCGAGCCTAAGGTCATGTTCTTTGGTCTCACAAATTCCCCTGCCACGTTCCAAGCACTTATGAATGCTATATTTGCTGATCTCATTGCAGCCGGCAAGGTGGCAGTCTACCTAGATGACATCCTTATCTTCAGTAACGATCTCGAGGAACACCGACGAATGGTACGGGAAGTATTAACCCGGTTAGAAAAGCACGACCTCTACCTACGACCAGAAAAATGCGAATTTGAACAACAACAGATTGAATACCTCGGACTCATCATCTCAGAAGGGGAGGTGAGAATGGATCCGGTAAAAGTAGCGGCTGTTCGCGACTGGCCAGTCCCTACTAATCTTCGGGAACTACGAGGGTTCTTGGGATTTGCAAACTTCTACCGACGCTTTATCCGGAATTTTGCCAAAATAGCACGACCTCTGAACGACCTGACGAAGAAAGACACCAGCTTTACCTGGACCGACACTCGACAAAAAGCATTTGATACCCTTCGAGAAGCCTTCATCTCCGCACCGATCCTTGCTCTATGGACACCAGACAGGCCTACTCGAATTAAGGTAGACGCATCAGGCTTTGCCACGGGAGGCGCCCTTATGCAGAAGCAAGACAATGGCCAATGGCATCCGGTAGCCTTCAGATCGGCATCCATGCAGCCAGCGGAACGGAACTACGAAATCTACGATCGAGAAATGCTTGCTATCATTGAAGCACTGAAGGATTGGAGGAACTTTCTAGAAGGACTCCCTCAACCATTCGACATCATTACGGACCATTCGAACCTCGAATTCTGGCGCACTGCACAAGACCTCACCCGCCGACAAGCCCGATGGGCCCTCTATCTGTCACGGTTTGACTTTCATATGATCCACCGCCCTGGTAGAGTAAACACCCAAGCTGATGCTCTCTCCCGCATGGCAGTTCATCATGTATCGGACAGCGATGATAACCGACAACAGACAGTCCTTAAACCTGGCCACTTCGTAAAAATTGCAGCTTCGATCCTACAGAACCCCTTAGAGGATCGTATCCGGAAAGCCTCAGAACGGGAGGCACAGGTATTGGAGGGTCTCAAAACAGTCAAAGAGCACGGACTACAGCGCTTGGCCAATGGGATAGCCGAATGGGAAGAAGACAATGGGTTGGTCTACTACCGAGGTCGAGTATACGTACCAGCAAACGACGACCTACGCACTGAGGTACTCCGTCAATGGCACGACCATCCAACTGCAGGACACCCCGGACTACACGGGACACTCGACTTGGTCAGTACCCATTTCTGGTGGCCTACGTTGCGCTCTTTTGTGGAAAAATACGTTGAGGGATGCGAGGTTTGTGCCCGTAAGAAGATCCAGCGACACCCACGGGCCGTAACTCAACCATTAGATGTACCATCCGGTCTATGGGAAGAGGTAGGGGTTGACCTGATAACACAGCTACCTAACTCCCAAGGCTACGATGCTGTCTTGGTTTGCACAGACCTATATGGAAAACAAATTCACGCCATTCCTTGCACCAGCTCCATCACAGCCGAAGGCGTTGCCGATATTTACTACCGAGAGATCTTCCGTCTCCATGGTCTTCCTCTTCACTTTAAATCCGACCGCGGACCCCAGTTTGCAGCTAAACTCATGCGATCCCTTCTCGCTAGGCTAGGAATTAAATCAGATCTAACCTCCGGATACCGTCCTCAGTCTAATGGCCAAACCAAACGAGCAAATCAAGAAGTAGAGAAATACATCCGCCTCTATGTAGGACGACGACAAGACGACTGGGCAGAGCACCTTCCCACGGCGGAGTTTGTGATTAACTCACGGACTCATTCTGCGCTAGGCATGTCCCCGTTCGAGCTAACCTACGGCTATCTTCCCCTGTTCAACATCCCAGTGGGCCAACGCAGCGGTATTCCAGCTGTGGATGACCGTATACGGATTCTCCGAGAAGCGCGACAGGATGCCGGAGCTGCCTTACACCTAGGAAAGAAACAACAGAAGGAGGGATACGAACGCGGGAAGCGGAAAGCTCATCAATTTAAAGTTGGAGACCTAGTCTGGCTCAGTGCAGAGGACATTAACCTTCAACTTTCCAGTGAAAAGTTAGGAGATCGACAGCTTGGCCCTTATCGCATTCTGGAGAAAATTGGCCCTTTAGACTACCGCCTTGACCTTCCCCTATCCCTAGATCGCCTCCATCCCGTCTTCCATGTCGATAAACTATACCCCTGGAAAGGTAACTCCATTAATGGCGAAATACCAACACCACCAGAGCCGGTATACTTAGAGGATGAAGATGAACCGGAATACGAAGTAGAGGAGATCTTAACAGCCGGGTTCGATGGAAGAAGTTGGAATATTTGGTTAAGTGGAAAGGTTACGACGCAGGGCACAACTCTTGGGAACCCGCAGCCAACCTCAGCCGAGCACCAAAAATTGTTCGGGCCTTTCATAAAAAACACCCAACAGCGGCAAAGCCTTGACCATCGAGGGCAATGGTCATAAGGAGGGGGGTAATGTCATAAAGTACGCAGCCCCTATCATTTTCCTTTTCTCACCGTCTCGACGCCTTTACTTGTACGATACATCATCCCATCACTGTCAAACCCCCATCGATTACTGATCCACCTGACCCATCTTCTCCTTCTATTGGCTTCCGCCACCTTCCTTGTTCCTAAACTGTACAGTATTACATCGTTGTTTCTCGCAGACCGGATTATGTATATATAGCCAACCCTCCACAGCCTGGTCCCTTATCTTGACCTCTCTGTCATTATCTGGGACCAGGTATGTGCTTACTTATTATTACCTATGACTACGATACTCAATATATCTCTGTCATTATCTGGGACCAGCCTGCCGCCGTTCTGCTTAGTCGCTCCGCTTGTTGCCTTGTCCAGTTGCTCCGCCTCACCGTTCTGCTTAGTCGCTCCGCTTTCCCGCTCCGTTAGTCACTCCGCCTCTGCCGCTTCGTGACACTTCCACAGTGCCAGATACTTTGCATCTAAATTTGGTGGGATAATGACTGGGCTCTGCATGCGTGACCGGAATTCCCTAAGCAACTGTTCCATGGTCACTTCCATTTCCTTTGCTTTGCCATCCATCCAGTTGATATATAAGGACCAGAACTGTGCAATAGTTTTGCAGTTTTGTAACTTCTTTAGGTTATCCTCCTGAATTTTTGCAACTTTTGACCTTCCTCTGTGTGATACTTCACCCTGTCTCACATCTTCAACCCCTGCTTTTCTCTCCCCCCCTACATCTCTGGGTAGAGCATTTGAGACCTTGTCCCCTTCTAGTGGTACTAGGCAGGAGGTGTTACACTTCCATGGTACCTCTTTGAGTGGCCTATAATTGCCTGGCAAATCCATTGTAGCACCCTTCTTGGCTAAATTATCTGCCTCATCATTATTCTGGTTTCCACTGTGGCCTTTGACCCATACAAATCTGGTTGAAGCTGCTCTCTCTTTAAGTAGAAGTGCGATGTCCTTGAGTATATCGCCATTTGGTATATTCCACCCCGTGGCCAAGTGGCGGCCAGCCCAGTAGCAGCATTGCCTAATAATATACTCTGAGTCTGTGTATATTATCAGTGGCCTCTTTGGATCCATTTCAAATAGGACTAAGTACACTGAATATGACTCTGCCCTATTATTTGTTTGTCTTCCAGGTCCTGGTACTCGCACACTTTGATTCCTCCTTGAGTTCAGGCCATAACATATTCCAGCACCAGCTTGTGCAGAATCAGTTCCCCCACCCAGACATGACCCATCTGTATATACTGTGACTGGATCGTTGGCATAGTAGAAATCCCCATAGTATTGTTTCAATGCCTCTTCTTCCGATAGAGCACTTGCCAGAATTTTGTTATAAAGTATATCTGTAGGTTCATGTAGAGGCTGTATTTTGAATGTCATTTTCCCCTGCCCCTTCACTGCACTGGCCTTGGGTGTGAGTGACAACTCCACTGCCATTGAGAGCATAGAATGATCTGACCACCTATCTTCCTCCTGCTTTGGATTACCATGTACTCTCATATGCTTTACTGCATTCACCATGTCATTTGACACTACACAGTAGTCAACCACAGCCTTCCCATTGTGCTGATGTGATGTGTAGGCACCCGGTTTGTTGACCTCCAGCGCAGTCCCATTTATCACTGACATATGTTCCTGAGAACATACCTGCATGAAAGCCCGACCCCGTGCATTCTCTATGGCATCACTTGATACTCTTGGTCTGTGTGTATATATCGGAATGTTAGACCCAATCCGACCATTCAAGTCCATCATCACTATCACAGGTTTATTTGACAACCGACACAGCCTGATAATAGTCCAGAGGTTCTCCTCTGGGGCAATTTCCGAAAATAATACGATTTAGATGTGTGGAGATTCCTCTCATGTATCCATACTGTCATTTGTATTTTGTACTCCTTAGCTAATCTAAATTTAACGAAAATCGTCGCTTTTTACTGAAACCCCCCAGACAAACCTGTACAGAGTGTACAGGACGTCTCTCAAATGTTCTTCATTCAATTAAAAATCTCCGCCGCGAAGTAGAGGCTTCTCCACTTTTTGGCTGCTCGTCAGTCGCAGCCTCGGCCAGCGCCTGCTCAAGAGATTGTACAGAAAGCTTTTTCACTACAGGAGCTTTTTTTTCTTTAGGTGAATGAGTAGGAGAATGCAGCTCATTCCCGCCAGATCTGCTAGGCTCAGGAGAAGCGTCCAATGCGCTCTGAGATGACAGCAATTTTAGTATCAATTGAAACAGTAAAAATGTTAGTACCTGTGAATGCGAGCGAGATGCCGTGAGATTTGGCGTAGGATTTTGGCTACTGGACGTCGGCTGAAATGAAATCTATAACTGAGTATCCCGGACAAATTCCGTAGCTACAATAGGTTCACCTTTTGACCGTCACCGACGAAGAATTTGCCTTCTTTTCTCTCTCGCTTCCTAACCTTTTCATCCCAGGCGTCTTCGTCAGCTTCGTTGATGCCAAATTCCCGAGGCATCTCCGACGCGGGAGCATCAGCTTCTGTGGTCTGTCTATCCACAATATACCTGCCAATTGGAGCGAGATCTGCCAGTCCACCAGCTAATCCCTCACCACTCTCATAGATAGACACTGTAGATAGAGTGCGCAATAGCCTACGAGTAACCTCACCACCCGCTATCGAGCCGGTTCGAGAACGGGCAGGAAGAACGTATCCTTCGCCACGAGAAGGGAATGCAACACTAGATGATACGGTTGAACTCTCACTGTAAGAAGGTATATGCTGCGAAGAGGGGAACGGTGTGTTGAATGTCGATCCTTGCCTTGGTGCTTGCATGATACTTGATCTCCTTGCGTAAGTCACTACTGGATCTGTAGGTGTGACAGGAGCGGACCAACGATTGTTCTGTGATGATGGGGGAGGTGGAAGATAACTGTCTTCCGTGGCCAATTTCGCAGCTTCTGGTTCCAGTTCGTCAGGCTCCTCAGTCAAAGTCGTAGGCTGCCCCTCCGAAGCGGCCTCTTCGACAATTATTTCGGCTTCCGGATGTTCCGGATGTTCGTGGACTCCACTTACTCGCTTTTCGACATCTGTTCCTCGACTGCCGCTTACTGTTCGTATTGGCATTCCCGATAGATCGTTGACACCGCGGACCTCCTGACGATATTCTTGTATTTCTTTCCATAAGGCATTTCGAAAATCATCCATTGTTTCCAGAGTCTCAATATATCGCCACGCGTCGAAAGGTTGTTTGCATTCAGGTTCATCGGTGACGTCATGATAAGAGGCCAGCCAGGGATGTTCAAGAGCCTCGAAAACCGTGATTCGTTCGTCAGGATCGAAGCTAAGCATTCGTTTCAAAAGGTCAAGGGCTGTCGCACTGCCTGAGTTCTCGCAGGATAAACAGTTGATCTGTGCGTACCTTGAATGTCAGCGTGGGGGATGACCTTTTTCAACGGCACCATCCTCTTCAACGGAAGCGACCTCACGTACGCCTGAGCCTTCAGACACGTCAGAAATCTTGTTGATTGTTAATTCCTTGCAAAGCTCTATACCTTCTCACTGCCGATCTTTTTTATCACGGCATCTTCAGGCGTACCTGCACAGTCTCCCATCGAAGATAGATTCTAACTCAGAGGAAGCAATGTTACTTACCGAGCACATTGAGAATCTTATTGAGTTGGTCAACTGCGCATAATGAGTGTCAACATTAGCTTGACATGTGTGAAATCTCTGACCATAGCTAAAATTATACTAGTCAGGAAAACAAAATCGTCAGAACCGCTGTGCTCACTCCTTTCCCTTGAATAATGGTTTACCCATTAAAAGTTCGGCAAAAATGCAACCAATTGACCAGACGTCGACTGTCGAAGTAGGATCAGCTCTACAAAGCTCTGAGTTGCAACATCGAATACATACTGGCAGTATTATAACGTCTACAAAACTTGTATCAGAACGTGATCGAAATAAACATTTGGGAACAGACCTGAAAGCTAACATAATCTCTGGTGCACGATACCACCTCGTTGCAACATATTCAGTGAGGTGGCTAGCATTCTCATCCGGCTCAGCGTCGAATCCTCTGCTGAGACCAAAATCACATATCTTCAGCTCACAGTCGGCATTCACCAGCAGATTTCCAGGCTTGAGATCTCGATGTATGACATGCGCCGAATGTACATATTTCATACCTAAGTGATGATGACTATCGATGAATGACAAGGAGACAACAAACTCCTTACCTCGAAGGATTTGATACAGGAAATACTGAACGTGCTCACTGGTCAAGTGTTGTCCGGACTTGATTATTTGATGAAGGTCAGCTGCAGCAATCTTTCAGACTTCACAGTTGCATCGCCACGGCCCATACATAACACAAACCTTCCATAGGCTAAATAAAGAAACATGGAGGAGATACACTTCAGTCGATAATCATCTTGGACGAAGGAGTCTGCACACCTCCATGAAAATATAGCTGAAATGACCATGAGTACAGAAACCGATGAAAGTAAAGACCCGACATACATTTCATCAAAGTCAGGGGAAATCGCGTCAACATCGATGAGACCGGTTATGTTTTCATGACTTGCAAAATGCCGAAGTAACACGATTTCCCTCAAAGCTCGTTTGGCAAGTTGGACTTTTTCGAAAACTCTCGTAACGAGCTGGGAGTTTTTGATTAGGATGATGGAGGCCATAATAAGAATTGGGATGAAAAAGGAGCGTACTTTAATAGCCACCGTTTCCCCAGAGATTTCGTCTGCTGCTGAACTGTATGGACAGATCGGATTAGTCCATAGAGATATTACAATGTGCTAATGATCAACGCACATAACCACACCATAAGCACCAGAGCCCATTTCCCGCACCAGCTTCCATCTCTTCTCAACATGGAACGTCTTCCCAAAGGATGATTGAAGAGTGTGGTAGCCTCTGCCAAAATTAGAAACTACGAGGACGTAGCAAGCATTACATGTTGGTCGCACCTGCGTCGAAGGCTTTGATCAGCGAAAGAGTTGGATGGCCGCCGTACTCTTGATCTCCCTCTGTCAATGTTCCATGAAGGAGAAGGCTGGGGAGAAGATGACTTGGTATCATGTTCCTTCGATTGATCATGCTTTACGCGACGACGCTCGCTGGATGCGCTCCGCTTCAAAGATTCGCGTTCAGACATGTCGTCTGGAAAGCCCAAGAGCAAGTGAAAGTGAGAAACGAGATTTCGAACAATTCGATGTGGCTCACGACTGTGTCAATGCTTTTCAAGAAATTATAAGCCAATAATAGCCCACCAGCGTGGCGTCTATTCTCTACAGCACTTTTGACTTGTTCTGATTCCGGTTTTATTGGCACACCTTTGAGATTATTGAGAGATGCGAATGGTAAATGACAGAGAAGAGATAAGAGTGTTTTCAGTGGGCAAAGTCAAGTCATTACACAGAGATTCGGACAATTGCCTCCGTATGTCCACAAGCGAGATCTACGCTTGCGTAAATGGCCAGGCTCAATCCTCACCAAAAAGTGGTTACATAAAACCTGAGGCTTTAAAATTATCCGTGTAAACACTACAACTTCCTACTAATCTCTACGAATGCATAGTAGCATAGATACATTAAGCCGATCCCGACCCCGCACCGGGCTCAGGCTGTGTCCGTGGTGGTCCCCCATTCGCAATACCCTCAACCGACGACTCAACTGCGGTCGACTCCGAGAATATATCCAGAAACCCAGAAACTCTGGCTTTATTTGGTGCCTTCTTCGTAACATAATCACGCAATCCTGCTTTCAAACTTGGTTGCTTGTCGACCAGCTCCCGGAGTTGATCTTTGGGTAGCTGCAACAAGGCACCGAAGCTTGCAGGTGCAATCACTTTAGCGCAGTGAATAAACCCCTCCCATAACAGCGGATTGGTCCATATTTTTTTCGTGATGAGTCGTGATAACAATGTTGTTGATACGAACCCGACGAGAGACTTGTACGTCGTAACAGCTTGAATAACCTGTAGAATCGCAATTATCATCGCCATCTAGAGAGAGCAGCAACAATTTGGAGCTTACCGTACGCAGGAAGAGTACCGGTAGCACCGGCTCATCCATGATTTGTTGCATCACGACGGCAAGAATCTCTGAGCGGAAAACATCGGTCATAGAAAAACATATTCCAATAGCTATATCGAATGGTGAGCATGGTGACTGAACCCATTACAGTCGGTTTTACCTTCTTTAGCACTCTTGATACCAATCTCCTTCTCTGAATCGTGCAACAAAACCATCAACTCTGCGGGTGTAAGCAGTTCGCTTTGTCGGACCCGAGGCATATTCGACGTAACACTGCCAAAGGTCTGCGGAGGGGTGGTAACTACAGAACTGAAGACAGAGCGAACCAGAGTCTTGGATTCTAGCTTTCCGTCGAGTATTGAGACGATGCGGGGTAAGTGGCGTACAATATCGGGCTACGAAAGATAGATCCAATCATTGAACGAACTTCAAAGACTACTATGTTCATACCTTGTCCATTTCGGCAATGATAGGAATTAGGAAGCGTGCATCGAGGTCTCGTTCATTGATCAAACCCTTTACCAGCGCAACAAGCTGAGGACTCGGCCTGCCGTGTTCAGTGAATATACTAAGAATACGTAGAGCAAGTGACTCGGCGCCAGGCGGACATGTTCGCATCAATGTAAGAAGTTTTCCATGGCTTGATCCCAATGAACGAACTAATGCTGTGATGAGGCTCTGAATAGCTTCCTGTACGGTGATATCCATTTGTCCGTATGCAGCGAACAGACTAACAAAGGCATTAGATCTCCGCTTGGCATGCACAGTTCAACAGCTTACTCGTCGAGAAGATCGGGAACTTTCACCGACAGTGCAAATAGAAGTTCGACGTGCTGTAGAACATGACTCTTCTCTGCTGGTAGTTCAATTCTTTCGGGGAGGTAAGGTGTCTGAAGAAGATCTTCCGGAGGCAGTTGACCGTCCTCCATGTTTTCGTCTTCACCTTCCTCCAACTCATCTGTTACCATTGTCGTCTTTTTCTTTTCGGTTGTACTGCCTTCTTCAGCGACAGTAGGAGCCGAGTCTCCATTCACATTGAATTCGGTACTGTCACCATTTGACTCTGATATAGCTTCCTGTATAGGCTCACGTTGTAGTTTACGCAGAATTTGTAGAGCAAACTCGCGGATCATGCTATCCATAGGTTGATGATTGGGAACCCATAGTTTCACAGTATTGATAGCTGCCCCGCGAATCTTCTTTTCAGGATGAGTTGTAAGCTCGAGGAGCACATTGAGAGCGTCGGCTCGCATCAGAGGACGTTGCATGACGAACCCTCTAAGGGTAGAGAATCCAATTTGCATTTTATCCGGGCTAGTGTAACGTCAAATGGAGCCATGAGACGAAGATGTTGAATAAGCTTTACCTTTCGTTATCCACACAAAGTTCGCGAAGAAGGGATACAACATCAGCCGGTAAGGAGGGAAGGTCGAGCAGAAAGCGCGCAAACGTGCGATCCTTCCCATCTAGATGTGTCTGGTATGAAGCTACTATCTGGCCAAGCCATATATCGTAGTTTGGTCGCTATTGGAGGAATGCGTTCCAGTGACAAAACAGAAAACGAATGATTCTCCTTACCCATTTTGGATTCCGTTCCAGCCGTATTTGATCATTATACCATTCTTCATTCATCCATGTAGTGGCAAGACGGATCCTAAGGAATTCGTGTTACACCCTTGCACAAAAAATGAGAATACAATACCTACCGCCCCGGAAAGTCTGACATGATATAATCGCACAAGATTCGTCTCAATCTGTCTTGTCTTTCATAGAAGGGCGTTGATTTATCCTCCTCATTGTCCATCGGAGTATCTTCCCCATCGTTAGAAAGATCAAGCTCAGGAGGCTCCGCCACACGCGTGAACATCCTTACTACGAGCAGCATCCACATATCCATTGGCCCTCCGATTGTCACATCTGAGTCAGTACTGACATTTGTACTCGATTGCATCTCCGCCGCCCCTTCATGTATTCTTGTGATTGACTTGGAGATCAGATCGATACGGTCATCAATGTTGACCATATCTTTTGGTGGAGGGAGTTTGAATTCAGAGAGTGAAAGGTTTATGGGCTGCTCTTCGGTGCCAGGTGCAGAGTCTAACTGTCGCGCGGTTTTTAACGAAGGCACTGGACCGGAAAGCTTTGCAGGAATCAGTTTGTAGTTCCAACATAGACACGAAAAAAAACACCTCTTCGTTGAGCCGATCTGGCTCGTATTCAAGTTCATCCTGGTCAATATCCATTTGCAGTGGATCGACAGGCTCCTCTTTAATTGGAGGTGCGGGTGTAGTGGTAGAAGGTTCTATAGTCGGCGGTCGAGCTATGTCTTTACCCACGGACTTGATATCAGACACAGCTGGTACTGTTGGTGCTGCGACTGGTACAGAGCCGGAAGCCGTAGCGGCAGGCGCCGGGGGCACAGAGGTGGAAACAGTACCAATTCCCAACCTCTGTCTGTAGACTTGAACGAGTGAAACTAAAGCAGGTTCAGTGAATGCTTCAAGATTAGCTACGATCAAATCCGTTATGAGGGTCGCAGGAAGGGTTGAAAAGTCGAAGGATGCTAATAAAGATAGGGATGGGTCTGGAGCAGGAGGCTCGGCTTCTAGTTTGACGCGTTTAACATCAGTGCGGTCGGCTTCAGTAGTAGGTCGCTTTCTGGTGTCAATAACACCAGCAGCGACAGCAGCCCTTTTCTTCTTTTCCTCGGAAGCAGCTAATTCCATCCGAGATGCCTGAGTTGCCAAAGCCTCATTAATCTGGGGTATAAACTGACTTGCACTAGGAAGGCTGGAAGGCGACATCAAAACGGGGTATAGGCTGAAAGTGAAGTGTGCTCGTACCGCAATATATGTGTCAATAAGATGCGGACGGCCTTTTCAGCACTCTTGATGGTAGACGCTGAGAGGCCGTTGAAGGCTGCGGGTGTCCACTGTTTCAAAGCGGCCACTACAAGATGCATCATGTTCGGTCGCGTCTTAACTAATGTAGGCCAGCTGTTGAGTAGCGCTGATAATAAATCGACATTTCTAGAAATTTGGGTCAAACACTGACTCTGTGATACTTCGAGTCTCATTACTCACTGGGTGGAATACAGTATCTCAATGACAGTTTTTAAAAGCAACTGGCCCTCCGCTTCCAGCTGAGTTACTGAAATAAATGGATGGTTTGCTGGGCAGAACGATAGGTTCGGGTCGTTCTTATTCTGGAGCTAAATTCGGGGGAAGATATGTAAGAAGCTGTTTGGACAAAAATGTAACGTTTGCGCACCCTAGGATCTGAGACTCCTTGAGGAACCTGCACGAGAATAACCCGCTGCATGAATTTGAGTGCGGAGATTTTGACACCCAAGTTGACACCGGGCAGACCAACGAAACCAAGTATTTTGGATTTGCAGCTTGACAATAGATTCCAAGCAGCAGGATTGTTGCGGTTTGCGCACCTGTGGACAACGTATTCAACGGGGGACGCATAGTAAACATAAAACCCCTTACAGGGAACGGAAGAGAAGGGGATAGACAGTAGCCAGGCATTGTGTTACGACCTTCACAGGAGCTGGATTGGGGTCGTCGAGTAGATAGAAAAGGGTTTCTAGGGTCTGAGAGGATACTAATAAACGAGAACCGTGGTTATATTTTGATTGACTGAAGAATAAATATTGTACACGAACGTTGCGTCTTCACATCCAGACTCAACGAAGAACGACATAAACCATAATGAAACAAGTCGATGACCCAGGATTTCAGGAGTGAGTCGCCGGCGTTGACAACTCTTGAGATGAGAATTGGAACCAAAACTCGAATTGGAGCTGGTTGGGCTTCGAGTGACTCTCGTAGCGATGCAAGGAGGTCTGCTTGTTCCTTAGAATTTGGTTCGGTATTCAGAGCAGCCTGTAAAGTTTGAAGAGGGTCGACCGGATTGCTCGCCATCGTCCAACAATATGGTTCCCGACAAACCCTTTACATCAGTGTTGTGGCTGAGTTTCAATTCATCTTTCTCCCTCAACCGACCAACATGGTATTGCATATTCCCTCAATCATCTGCAATTCATCTCTCATATTTCTCTCAGTCTGCTCAACAATCGCAGGGTATCCAAACTCTTCTCGAGGCCGAGAAAGCCGCTGCCAAAATCGTACAGGAAGCTCGCCAGTGTCCGTCTCAAATCATTACCTCACGGACTTAACTCTAAATCTCGACTAGATCGTGTACAGAAACTAAAGGACGCTCGTTCAGAGGCTACAAAGGAGATAGAAGAATACAAGAAGGCTAAAGAGGCCGAGTTCAAGAAGTTCGAGGCATCGGTGCGTCGCGACTGTTTATCACTTCTTCATTTACTTAGATAGCTTACAGCATGCTGGTACAACATCTGAGGCACAGGCTGCGATTGACAAGGATACCGAAGTGAAGCTCCAATCCATCTCGGACTCTTACAATAGCCATAAGAATGAAGTCGTGCAGAAGTTGTTGGACAGAGTTACACAGGTCAAGCCTGAATTACACAAAAACCTCAAGAAAGTTCAATCTTAATACTGCATCATCACTGTATCTCTTCTTCTAATACCTTTATCGCATTGCACGGACCTGTTCTTTTCATGTATTTTTCCACGATTCCAATTCAAGATATGATACTCGTCTTCAATCTCGGCCTTTGTTTGGGTCTTTAATTGGGAGGGAGTCTATTGCCTTAGAATTGTTAGTGAGTTCCTCCATTTATAGCGAACAGTTTCCGCCGTAACAACCCTTCCTTAGCAGCCGCCGTCGTGAGGATCTGTCCATCTGAAATTGAGATTGAGACTCATAATCACCCATTTGTACCGACATTGTGCAAGTCCTTGCAAAGCGGACCTTGTTTGGGAAGACATCCATTGAACCTTTCTGAATTATCCAAGTTTGTCATTAATTCGTCTGGTACTGGAGCAAGCAGACTGCTTTTTGAAGGTCTTCGATTCCGCTATCACATATGTCTTATCTTGGTGCTAATGACTTCGCTTCCGATATTGCTGATATGGACTCAGATTGTAGCGCAGTTGATCTAAAAACAGTAACTAGTGCTACTGACAGTGAAACAAATTTGAACGTAGGCCTGGATAGTAGGGTAAAAGTTGGTCTTGTATGCACAGGGATTATCCTAAGTAACATTGGCAAAAAAACTAACGAGCACGGACATGGATGCAAGGTACGCACAGGCCTGTTAAAAGTTGACCGGGCAAAAAAACCATCGCGGTTCTTGATTCTTGCAAACATCCATCCTCTCCTTTATAATCTGGACGACTTCATCCTCTTCATGCGCTATCAATTTACTGTAAGCAATCGAGTGGCTGTCGTATATGATTATCATCAAGGCATATTCCACGGAAACTGGTGGCAAGAATCTCAACCCGTAGTTGCAATGTTTCCGCAGATCTTGCTCAACATCATGCGTGATCATTGACCATATGAAACGTCCTTTTTCGAAACCCGGAGGTGGTCGAGGAAGGTTATGTTTTCGGTGATATTCGACGCAGTCTTGAATGTTTATACCAAAGGCCCAGTAAAGTTTTTCAGGCTTGACGTAGTCAGGATCTCGTCTCAAACGGACACGGTCGAGTCGATACTTCGCAGGGACCTCTTTCCCGGGAGGTAAGATTAATTTAGCACGCTCCTTGATCTGAGAAAACCTCAGACACTTCGAAGACACAAGGGAGAGTCACTCACCCCGTCGGGCACGTCGTCAGGAGTACGCCGCGGACAGAACATCGTCTCGTAAGTGACCTCTTCCGTTGTGGATGCCATCAATCGTGTGAATGGTTATGTGCTGGTAATAGGTATACAGAGTCAGTACTTCGTAAGCTTATATATTGTTCACGTATCGCAATAAGCGCCCATGCGCCCCCATGCGCTGATCCTTTTCGTGCACTTTCAGCAACAAGATAAACAAGCACATTACAAGGATAAGAACACGTATCAAAAGATAAAATGAGGTATTAGAACAAATCATGACAATGCTCACCCACAACTTGCCAACAGTGGCGAAAAAAAACAAAACGAACAAAAGAATGACTCAAAAGCATCAAACTGAAGCACAAGGCATAATAATTGAACAAGTATGTAGTCTGAATGTGGTTACGCATAATGATTATCAGTGGCTCGGATAGTCAGTCAGTTAGTCACAACACAGCAGTTTGAATATCGATTGCCCATATCGGTGGTCCCCTAGGAGTATAAAAAGGTCTAGATAATCGAGTGTTCAATCCGACAGTTTTCAAACAATTTCCTTCCAGCCTGACATTTTAGTCAATTACAAGCCTCTTACCTATGTACAAAGATCCTTCGGTGAGTTTCTTTTCTACCGTCATTATCACTGGTGAGCTTTGCATTTAGGTGATTCTCCTCAAGAGAGATTCTATATTCAAGCGACTCGAAAGTGATCTCATCTTGGCACAATCCAACGCTGAAATCGAGTTTCATCTGTATCCTCTCCTCAATCGCGTCGTGACTGACTTCTGTAGTGTCAATGAGGGGGATAATCGCTTCACTCTTGAATGCCACCCACAGGCATATTTTGGTGACTCAGCCCCTGGCAGTTATCGCCTCCCGGATTGTGCTGCCTGCACCTTTGACTCCCGGGCTTCTACCATGAAGGAGGCCATCAAGCCTGTATTTTGGTTTGAGGCAAAGCCATTACGTGACTCTGGCAATTGGCGGGATAAAGAAGTATTAATCGACATGATGGCTTCCCACTATTTCGCAACAGCCATTCCACAGGTTCGTGAACAAGTGAAACATGCCTTCAGAAGCTTCGATGGTCCCACACAATATCCCGTTTTCATCCTTGTAGGACTTTATTGGTCCATGTTAATTTTTGACAAAGATAAGGAGCAACGAGCCTATGAACATGAAGAGACTGTTGCTAGCCAAGTTCTAGCCAGACAAGCAGTAGCAGCTAATCTTTTGGCACTGAAAGACCGCGCGACCTCAACGGCATCTACTACGTCTGTAGTAGACCCAGGTGGCGCTCAAGAGAAAAGTCGCTTTTCATCTCCTGAACGGCAGATAGATGTTTTCGATGACTATCTTCCGGAACTCAAGTATTTCAATGAGCCTTTGCTTCTGGGAACGCCTGTCCAGGAGTATAATCCAGTATTTTTGCATGCATTGTCGACAATTATGGAAAAGCATGAATTTAGTCAACAACCCTCATGTTTCGACGTACCACATAACTACCAGTATGTGCCCAATATCAATATGGTAAGCATGTTCTACCCTTCAAGAATATTGGGTTTCACATAATTTAATTCTTTGTAGGCCAGCGGAATGGAAAAGCTGCGCACAGTATACCGCGATATTCTCAACAGCATTATGGTCAATGCTACCATGGAGCGTGAGGACGAGGAGTATTCGCAATCCGAAGATTCAAAAGATGGAAGTTACAAACCACCTGGGAGACACAATGCTCCTCCTCACTGGGTCTATAATGAGGAGAGCCCAATTCAGACGCGTGCACGAACAAAGAGAGGCCGCAGAGTTATTTCCCCCCTGGATTCCTCACCTGTGGAGCAGCAAGCTCCTCATGGTTCTGGTTCCAGCATGTGACACTATGTAGCCTTTATTTCTTTTACATAGGCTCATGACATATAGTTGATAGTGACTCCTCTTTGAGAACAGGAAGAAAACCTAGAGCAGCAATCCGGATATAAATATAATTATTTGATAACACATTCTATGAAAAATTCCGAAGGAAAAACAGCGACCCACTGAAGTGAAACCAAAAGTGAAAGTGTGAGTAGGAGTTCGAGCAATAGAGTAAAAATACGGGCTTGTGTATGCATACATGATGACAAGGAAATTCTGACTGGGTGGCATCAGATGTAATCTGAACTTGCTCATTTCAAGAATGACATGCAGGGTACTCGCATGTCACTTAACATTCAACTAGGTGAAAAACCATTGCAGTTTGCGGTTCATGATTCTTGCAAACATACATCCTGTCCTTTAAAATTTGAATGACTTCCTCCTCTTCATGGGCTATCAGTTTACTGTAGGCAACTGAGTGGTTGTCAGACATGACTGCCATGGACCAGTATTCCTCTGATACTGGTGGAATGAAATACAGCACATAGTGACAATGTTTACCCAAATTTTCCCCGACGTCAATCAAAAGCATTTCAGAGCATTTTTTGGGCCGAGAAAATAGCACTCTCCCTATACCCATACTCCCTCATAACAGCTCATAACCCATACCTCTGGACCTCGACGGAGGGGTATGGGTTAAGAGCCTGGAGTCGACTGTTGTACGGAGCCGCCCGGCAAACTTGTGTACCTGAAAGTGAATTCCGATCGATCGTGACATTTTTTCATGAGCTTTTTTATTTACAAGTTTTCGGCAGGTGGTGTGAGGTGGTGTGCGTCTTGAACCTGAACCACCACTTTCCTCGCAGGACTTATTTTAGCTTCCAGCGTAATGTCTTCCCCCTTGGCCAAGGATTCAAAGGATTTTGACTACGCTGCTCCAGCGCTCGAATCTCAGTCAATCATCGAGGCCCCTCCCCCGAAACGACCTCCCATCGAATTTTCCTCTCCAGCCGCTTTTGTCAAGAGTCTCGATGCTCGTATTAAGAGTATTTTCACGAGAAGATTCCTCTTTTCTCTGTTTGCTGGCCAGATTGTATCTTTGTGCATCACTTGCACGAATGTATCTACGACGGAACTGATGCTCAGAAACTGGGCTCTTCCGACCACCCAGAACGTTTTCTTGTGCGTCCTGTGGCATTTCTTGATCAAATATCTCTCAATGTGGACTAACCTCTTCGTATTCATCTAGCTATTTCGCCCTTTTCGCCACATACACACCCTACACAATATTCCGATGTCAGTAGCCGCTCCCCCACTTTACCATATCTTTCCTAGCTTTTAATATATCGACACATTCTAGATGGCTTCAAGGGATGGCTTGAGATGGTCATGCGTGACGGGTGGAAATGTATGTGCATCCATCTAGCCATTGTTGGTTAAACCTAATCTAAATGTTTGTTATCAGACATTATCTTAGCCGCATGTGATGTTGAGGGAAATTTCATGGTGGTGAAAGCTTATGAATACACGGATTTGCTATCTTGCATGCTACTTGACGCGTGCGTAATACGTTCCCGAGCGCATTCAACTGGCAATTGAATCTCTGTCAATAGATGGGCCATTCCAGTCTGTCTTTTCTTCTCGTGGCTCTATTTTCGAACAAAATATCATTGGACACAGCTTCTGGTACGGGTTTTCCATCTATATCAACTGCAGGATATGTATCTTCGCCGCGACAAACATCACTGATTCGTGAATATGAATACAGGGCGTCTTCATTTGCGTCTTAGGTCTCGGACTTCTTGTATGCTCCGACGAGCTGACAAAGAAAGACTACGAAGCACTTTCAAGGGGCAAGGGTGATGCTCTAATGGTCGCTGGAGCGACTTTGTACGGTTTCAGTAAGTCTTACTCCACCTACCTTTTTCCTATATATCTTATTCCGCTCCATATAGCTAATGCTACAGAGGAATTCTTCGTCCGTAAAAGACCCCTATATGAGGTGTGCCCGACATGGTCAATTCCTGCATCCATTTCACTAACTCCGACGAAGGTTGTCGGTCAACTGGGAATGTTCGGATTCATCATCTGCGTCTCTCAAGCTGCTGGACTGGAGCACAATGACATGCACACAGCTACATGGAGCGGAGCCAATGGTATTTCTTCCATCATTCAATGCTTTCAAGTCACCCAAATGAACCCTTTACTAAACTCCAGTCGGCCTCCTTCTGGCATACACATCCGCCATGTTCATTTTGTACACCGTCGCGCCAATTCTATATCGTATGGCGTCTTCAGGCTACTACAATCTGAGCTTGCTTTCGAGTGACTTTTACGGCCTGATATTTGGATTGGGACTTTATGTGCGTAGTTCTAATCTTATTTGTGTCAGTGAAAGCGGCAAACTTAAACTTTCTCCAGCACTACCAACCGTACTGGTTATACTTTGTCGCGTATGTTATCGTTGTCATCGGATTGATCACGTACTTCTGGTATTCCGCTCGTGAGTCTCATCTATTCCTGATAATCTGACGACCTGACTCTTTTGCTTTGACTGTCCGTCCTTCGTCCGTCTTCCCCGTTTCGCATACTCTACACACAGCCGAAGACCAAGCTGAACTTGCTCCGGAAGCACCAGCGTATATACAGGAACGACGGGAGGATTTGCGGGGCCCCCAGAAGATCGCAGGGAACCTTTAGGCACTTCAAGATGCATTTCATCTCGTTTGCCGAATAAAACAATGAGGTTTAAAACCATTTTAGAAGGTACTACATAGTCGTCTATTTTCTCCTCGCATGAGGCAACAGGGCGCCAACAACGGTAGGGGTTCGTAATGAGATGGTGCTTACAAGAAGGGGTGTACTTTCAGAACTACGCATTCATGACAATGCAGTACGCTGTACTTGTATGCCTTTGCACAAATCATTTGGGTTGACGACTTCATGTGGCAATTTGGAAAAGGTTCTCCGTGGTCAGCCGTAGTCTTGCGTATAATTTGTAGGAAACATTATGGATGGCTTTGAGACGCTTCCTGACGCGCTGCCTGACAAAGATGTTCCCGGAGCTGGAACTGCGATCACATATACATCATGTCCCGGTGAAAATATGATATCACTCCGAGCAAGACATGACCGAGCAAGACATGAGCTACCACTTCAACTGTACTACATTCCGGTGTTATTCAAGAATTGATTTAGGTGCAGGATCCATCCCCTAGGACTCTTTCCTTTCTTCGAGCGACTTGTAGCAAGATCTTTCTGTATTTGGTGAGTTCTTTTTATCCGCTTTGAGGTACATCGGAACTGACACAATCTTCATCACTGGCATCTGTTATTAAAGTCATCATCTTTTGCATCGAGGAATCAGAAGGAGAAGGATGGACAACGGACTTTCCACCTGTAATTTGACTCACCGAATTTGCAGCAGTGATAATAATAATGGAAATATCTTCTGCAAGAGGTAAAGCATCGACGGATATTTGAAGCAAACTGTGAAACGTTTCATAAACCGGAGAATTGAATGTGTTGAACTCGAGCTGCCAGCCACCATCCCCGAAGAGGCGGAAGACACATTTTTTCCTCTTTGGCTACGTTGTCGTTCCTCAGCTGTCCTTCGTGTCCCCTGTATCTCTGTGCCTTCCGGCTTCTTGAATGCAGTCCACCCATTGTTATTGAGCGTTCCCAAAACAGATCGAACAAGCTGGGCGGAGGCGAGTTGATCATCAAAGATATGAGTTTAGAGAAACACATTGGGCTTGCAGGTAATTATGTTGTGTCACTTTTCCGTGGCAAGCGTTTTTGGATGAAGACTGGCTAGAAAAAGAAAAAGTTCGGGAGAGTTCGGGGTTACATAATAGGGATACAATGTGACTTATGTGACTCTAGAATCTACGCGATCACCCGGAGTGCACGAGTTTCTCTCACCATACCTTGAGTTGTTTTACGCATGCAGTAGGAGTGTTTTTGTGGCATTCAAACTCCTCATTCTTGTGCCAGCCTGCAAGTACTCTTCAACTTATACAGTAGATACCCTTCACACGATTGATGGCATCCACAACGGAAGAGGTCACTTACGAGACGATGTTTTGTCCGCGGCGTACTCCTGACGACGTGCCCGACGGGGTGAGTGCCTCTCCCTTGTGTCTTCGAAGTGTCTGAGGTTTTCTCAGATCAAGGAGCGTGCTAAATTAATCTTACCTCCCGGGAAAGAGGTCCCTGCGAAGTATCGACTCGACCGTGTCCGTTTGAGACGAGATCCTGACTACGTCAAGCCCGAAAAACTTTACTGGGCCTTTGGTATAAACATTCAAGACTGCGTCGAATATCACCGAAAACATAATCTTCCTCGACCACCTCCGGGTTTCGAAAAAGGACGTTTCATATGGTCAATGATCACGCATGATGTTGAGCAAGATCTGCGTAAACATTGCAACTACGGGTTGAGATTCTTGTCACCAGTTTCCGTGGAATACGCCTTGATGATAATCATATACGACAGCCACTCGATTGCTTACAGTAAATTGATAGCGCATGAAGAGGATGAAGTCGTCCAGATTATGAAGGAGAGGATGGATGTTTGCAAGAATCAAGAACCGCGATGGTTTTTTTGCCCGGTTAATTTTTAACAGACCTGTGCGTACCGTGCTTCTATGTCCGTACTTCTATGTCCGTGCTCATTAGTTTTTTTAAACCAATGTTACTTAATCAGGATAATCCCAGTGCATACAAGATTAACTTTTACCCTACTCGTTCATATATCGTCATGTTTGGCTTTTGTATCGTCGACGAGGACGCGGCGTAGTTAGATAGCGGCCAACAGGGATTCTGAGCTGAAAGATGAACCTAGTCGAGATGTGGTGCAACTTCAAATTCATTAAGGAAACAGTTCCCCCCGCGCACATCACGGTGAATTCGTCGAGCCTGCCGGAACAAATTAAGGCTTCAAATTGTTCAATACCTCGTCGTCACTCAGATTGTCCACATCAGAGGGTTGTAAAGTGAGAAGTGCAATTGAGAACGAAAAGAAAGACAAAACGGTCACATCAGTAACGGCTCCCGTTACTGATCTCACAGGAGTGACCCGTCAGGTGACAAACTACGTGCCCGTTCATCCCATCCGTCGGATTCTTCACCTTCCGGACGTCGAGCGGGCGATCGAGGGCGACGGGAGTAGAATAATCTGCTCCCGATGCGTCCTCGAAGACTGAGAATATTGTGTATGCAAGGCAAATGATGGAAACCGAATGAGAAACTTTTGCAGACTGCACATAATCTGCTTTCCAGCCAAGCATTGACTGCAAGGGACTGAATCCGATTGGTCCGTGATTCAGTTCAGGAGATATGAAGAAGAGACGAGAATTTTCATGTAAGGAACACAGAGACTCACAGAATGTTTAGAATCCACTGAGACATTGCCATTGTGTACGTAGTAGTAATATGGAATGGAAAGTAGGGAGTAGATTTAGAGGATAGAGAGCAAATGAGCAACGAGGAGCAGTAGGGAGTAGATTTAGAGGATAGAGAGCAAATGAGCAACAAGGAGCAGTAAAAGTGAGCAGCTGAGACCTAGGGACGTTGTCGTCGTAATTGAATGAGCAACGAGGAGCGATAAAGGACCTAGATACAGTGACACAACTCCGGTACATTGATGGAGCATAAACATGTATATAAACACGTATTCGGTCAGTTCGGTCAGTGCCGGCTGTATACTTATCAATGCAACATAGCCATGAATCGTCTTTCTTACTCTGTGGGTTTGTCTTTGAACCTTTACGTTTTGTGTTTTGTGTAAAATCCACCGGATTCTGCCAGCCAGAAAAAATACGAAGTGCTGTTGGTATAAAAAAAAGACAATTCTCTGTGTGCGCTTAATGGCTTACAAGAGCATGTCGCGGGATAAGATTTGTTTATTCTTCATTTGCCTTTGTACCAGAAACACTGAACAAGACTCATTTATTTGTCTACATACAATACACATTGAACAACGAAGATGAATTTCATGAAGAAGAGATAAGTAAGGATCCAATTTCACAGTCTGAGTCGCAGAGCCACGGCAAGAATGGGAGCAGGGATAGCAACTCTGATCATCTGCTCATCTGAACAGACAAGACCAGCTACTTGGGTAAAGAACGATGTACTAAAATCAACATCAATGGCATCATGAAGTTCTTTACCATGTACAGAGGGAGGGTTCTTGCCTCCGATTGTTGTGGACAGGGTAAAAGCATAAGGTCGTCCAGAATGGTCCAGATCAAAATGACTCTGCACTAACGGCACCAAGATTTCCCCATTTACCGGGTTGTAGACCACGTATTTCTGTCATTCGGATCAGCCGTTGAACTGCCAATGACTGAATGGTCACTTACGGAGCAAAGCATTCGGATAATTACTCCAGCATAGAGCTCACTGCGGAATTTTTGATTCACAAGCTCCGAACTCCAGCGAAAGTATTTCCTGCAAAAGGCCGCAATCTTTGGGGGGTGTGGTATGTTGTACACCCATTTTGAACCAACCTGAGGGCCCGATGAAGGTGAGAGGTCGGTGATAGGCTCTGTGAACATTTTTAGGGTCCTCAAGGTATCACTTGATGGGAAGTGGGCATCCAGGAATGCATGTGCGCGTTGGGGGCTCCGTCGTCGAAGATAGTGTCTAGAATTTGACTCGATTTCATCCGCAATGGAACAATTCAATTCGACAAAGGAACTGTCAAGCAAATGGGAGGACTGGGAAAATTGATGGTAGTTACGGAGCAAGGCCTCTCCATACCCGCATTTTGCCAATGCAATCGCGGTCATCATACCAATGCCATGAATTCCTTCATTATAATCACTTCCAACAATCAGAGCAATTAGAATGAATCCTTCTTTTGAAATTCCGAGACGCTCTTGAATGGTTCTTGCACAATATACATCCACCACAAAGCTTGTAGGAGATGATTCCGCACTATTCACCATCAAATTTCTGCTCCATGATTGAAGGTTGTACTGAACTTACCGGTTAAGCGAGAGAACACAGTTCGCACCAAAGGGAAATATGTTTCCGTCATTGGTAAGAATTGCTTTTATCAACCCAAAGTTGCTCATGGCCGACAGCTCAGCATTCACTTCCGCTTCTGTCTATGGCATCATCTGTTATGAAAGCTCCGATGAAAATGAACTCAGAGTACACATACCACATGTATGTGATAACTGAAGGCTTTGAGCAATTCCTTAAATTGCTCCAGTTCGTTGACATTGACTCCTGACTCAGGGCTGGCGTATACAAAAATGAAATCAGCGGCGGGAGCTCGACACAGATGGCACAGGAAGTCATAGGTTTGAATGAAGACCGTGCTGGGATCAACTGCTCGGAAACCCCGGAGCAGTGCCCTACAAATCAAATGAGAGATTTGTGCATTTATGTTTGAATATATTGAGACTCACTGAGCATCTATTCCTATACGGCATACCAGGTCACTTGCGTTCCTGTTTTCAAGTGTATAGTCTGCAAGCTTCATAGTTATTGCCGTTGGTTTAATAAACTATTGGGTGATAATAGTGTATCACTAAGTGTCCGTAATCTTGAATCGACATACGTACATTCCAGATATCTTGAATCCCCATTGTAGATAGTAGTAGCAGAAGGACAGTTAATCAACCCCTATTCCAACTCGATCGACGACAAGCTTGCCCATGTTTGGCCCATACTGCAGCTGCCCAGAAGCAAAGATGAATGAAAGCTTCCAACATCCAGGGAAGCGTTCTCTTAATATTGACCAGTTCACCACTGCTCACTGCCCCGTACTTAGGCGCACGATTCCCACACGATTTACTCACACGCTCCAGCGCCGGTCCGCACAGTCACTCATGAACATCGTCCAAGTTGCTCCCGCCTTCCAAGCAAATCTGTTCTTCACTGCAATGAACTGCCCACCTCAAAGCTGGGTACGGCCTGAAATATGGCGCGGCGCGTCCGGTTCCACTGCAGTTAAGTTCGGATCCTGCTGGTATTCTCCGTGTGTTCAACTTGACGGCAGTCATGGGGGCATACGTCTTGTCGTCACCTTCTCTCCTGACATCAGTCAACATATTGGCAACACGGCTGACGACACCCTCAGAACATCACGAAATCCTCCCTCCTTGCCAAACAGAAGTGCAATCGCGAATTTGAATTCGTCACCATTCATACTTCGGATTCTGGTTCACCCCGAGGCGCGGAGAGCATTGAGAGCAACCCATCGAGTGTTGTCAGGCTTGAAGTTGAGCTTCGGAGGGCGGGGTTTTCGCATTTAAGACATTAGTATGTGAGTCGTAGCTTGCTTGCCAGCTGTACTTCACTTACTCCCAATGTTCTATGTGCAGGATTACCTGTATCGTCAACTTGTTGGACAAGTCTGGTGATATCTTGTGGCCTTCTAGGGTGTGTTTCAAAGTACGAAGTGAACTTCCTTTGTGTGTTCTTTGCCTTAATTTATTCCAGGAACACACAATATTGAGTAGTAGACGAAATGACTGTCTCCCTCTCGCCCACAGACACGAACGACACCGCATATCCTCACGATAATACTCATGCTTTCCATCACGACTCCCCTCTTCATCATGAACAAATTCCTTCCGGTGGCCCCGCTCAATAGCGGAAGGAAGAAAATCATTCATTTCCTGCTTCTATTCAATCACCGCACGATAACGCTCATTCTATTGGGACCCCGCATCGCAATTACACTGGCGTGAATGAAGTTCCTTCTCGGCCAGCAAGTCGGATAGATTTTGTAATGGGATTTTCAAGCGCGCGGTCGGCCGGTGCCTTGGGTGAGGTTGAAACAGACGCAGGTTCGTTCACACAAACGGACTCCATCTGCTACTTTCCGGTGGACACGCGAAATCTTGAAAAAGATGCGGTTGACAGGCGCTACTCCAACTTCCGACTTTGAACCTCTGCCCTGCCCTGAAATATCAGCAACGAACGAGCCATCTAAAGCGGCTCGATCCCTCGGCTTCAAACTCGTTGCTGCTCTCGTCTTCTTCCTCTGGCTCATACCCAGCTCTCGAAAGTATCACTATCTCGTTGACCCCAGAACCGCGTCCCAAACATACACGTCTTCCCTGTCTATTATCCTTATTTCCGCTTGTAATACCGTCCCCCCTTCTCGCAATCGCAGTCTACACCACAGTCTCCATCACAATCTCTGTTCCAACCCCAACGGCACCTATATACCGATAGAGGCCACTCGCGACATGATCTACATTAACGCAAATGGTTTTGGGCGGTTGAGGGAGGAAGATTGGGCACGTTACACGGAGTGGTTGGGAGAGTATCAGTCTCAGCAGGAAGCCTGTTCAGGGATGTCAACTTCGCCTGTCCTCACGACACAGGGTAGTGAACAGGATAAAACATGCACCCTCCCTGTGCAAGGATGGCAGCCACGATGCCGTCCTTCCCATACGATGTGTCCTTCTACTCGCGAATCACCTCGCAATTTCCACCTACTCGCAAATCACCTACTCGCGAATCTCCACAAATCTCCTACTTGCGAATATCAAAAATTTGTACTTGAGTCGGTGGTGGTTCTCGCGAGTGGTCGACTGGTCCAAATGTACCGACAGACACTTTACAGACAGAGTCGACCCCGGTATTGCTGTCGCGCTCAATTCTATCTTCCGGCGGAAAGGTTAAGGGCACCTTGACACGTCAGCGTCCAAAGTTTCCGGCCACTAACTATCTTACCGCGTACACTAGGGTCGTAGAGCCCTTGTGAGGAATGTTCGGGATGTCTCTGCTTGAATTAGCAGCGCATCTCTGTAACCTTCGTCCGCCTCCTTGTACAAACGAAGTTACCAGGGGATTATGCACCCAATGTAGTTCTTGAACATGCTGAACAACACTGGAAATTGGAATGGCGCTAAAATGGTGCTAGCACTGGCTTGGGAATGGAACCAGGCAGTGCCATGAGCACGTCGTCGTCGAACTTTGAGACTACGGAGTTGACTCACCTTCTTTCTTCCTGTCCTACCATCATCATCCCCACCAAATCCACCGTGAACGTTAAGATTCAACACTGATTGATATACGTGACATGTACCATTGGTACTTGTAGGCGATCCACGCTTACATCTCTCGCCAGCTATTTTGCTTTTTTCGTTCCGGCTTTGCATCGCTATCTTGTAAAATGTCCGTGCCTCCTTCTCCAGCATTGGCTGACCGACTTCACTACACATTGTATCAATCTCGTCAAACTTCTCATCCGCTTTCAGCTGATTCCACAGCTTCAATCTAGTTTCGGCACCTCGCCTCAGTACCGCTGTCTTCTTCTCCTTTAGGAACTTCGCCTCACCCCAGCTCTGATGTGACCTCATATCACATTTACCGACACAATCTAAACATGGTGGACGAGTCCGATGGCTCTGCTCCCGGAACTGGCGAGGTGGTGGGCCTTGTGAGGACCATTAACCTGACCAGCAGTCCCACAACCTCTATCATTCCAGAACATGACCTCGAGGATTCTCGTGTCCCCGGCGAGTCCTAAGTCATCCGTTGGTAGAGCTCCGCGTCAACATTTGGAGGTGCCCTACCTTCTTCCCCAGAGGTATTGCCTTCGACTTGTTGCTAGCCTTGCGCCTATACCTTCAAGTGGTGCCACTAGCTCGGCCGTCATCGACGCTCTTCCCAGCCTGCTTACTTCTAGCACACTCTCAAGCATCCTTAGCTCCTCTTCCTTCCACACGGCCTCTTCCTCCAGCTCAATCTCAATGTCATTCTCAATCTCAGGTTCAACAAATAAGTTGTCGTTGAACTCTGTGACTACGGATTCAACCGACCCAATGTTGCCAAAGAATGACGTTGCCTCCGAGCCCGGCCCCCTGGAACCACGCGTATTCATTGACTTAAATGGGCTTCACTCCCAACCACGCCTATGCAGGAAATCAAAATCAACAAGATTTTTATTGGGTCTTGTCAGCTGAATCGATAATTTCCGCTCTACTGTGAAGATTGTTCTAGCGGCTGGTCCGGATGAGAAAGTTTACAATGGTTTGATCATTGAGTAAGTCGCTTGGGTTTTAGTTCACCCACTCATCCTCACCTCGCAGGTTGCAAGTAGGGTGATCAGACTCCCCTCCGCCCTTTGGGTATTCGCACTGACAAAAATTCTGGGTATGAAAGCTCTTGTGAACATGTGCCATAGAGCTTGTAAGTCTACCCATCGCTTGAGGCTTAATTGTCGAATTGATTGGGTATTCTATAGGGAAGAGTTCAGTATTCATTGCGTGATTGCTCCTAGATTCGCGGATATCTTCCAGAACAACTCTATGTAGAATGGCATACTGCTGATTGCAGTGCCTCAGGAGGACTGCATGGCTCTTGCACGATGCGAAAGCTGGTCTATTCTACCACATACACACATACTGCAATCTGATACAATCTATGATCTTTCGATTTTCCTTGTCCTATGTGGATCTTGAGTATAAGTCATCAAATTAGTGAAGATACGTAAGTGAACGGGCATCCTGCCTCGCTTTGATTCATTCTTTTACAGGCATTTTTCTGTAGTATGCATGCCTCAATCGCGATTCATGGCTTCAGAGTTGCAATAAAGGGGGCTACACAGCTCTGACTTCACCCCCTATCCTATTATCATTGTCTGCTTTAGCACAATCGGAACTCCAGCATTTAATGCCAGAAATGGATGTTGAACCAGAGGTTTCTTCAGCACAATCGGAATGCGAGCATCTCATCCCAGGAATGGACGTTGAACCGGAGGTTCCCATCATTACGACTAAAGCCTACAAAGGGGTTCTTGCTGCTATCAATGAACACTCTTCGGCAGTTGATATACTCGACAACCTTGAAGAAGTTCAAGACAACATCACTATCGAACTCCCTCGGTCTACATTGGACGCTGATGAAGACGATAATGAAGACGATACAGCAGAAAGTTCGTTGGATCTATCAGACCTAATGAAGAGTATCAAGGAGGTTTCGAAGGGGGTATCTGAGAAGACCAGTAAGGAGTATATACGGTAGGTCATGGTTGCTCTTAGCCGTTGTCATATTCTTCAATTACATTGGGTAGGTTAATGAAACAATGTGAAAACTTTGTCCATAACCGCAAGATGGTCGCTTCAGGTTCTCCGTTCTTTTGCAAAGATCCACATCCTCATGCAGCTGAATACCTAGCAGCATGGATCATGGAATCGTAAGCCACTTTCTTCAATACCCTGACCTTCTTTGACCTTCAATAATATTGTCAGTTGTGATGAAATTAATCTTGATGGATCAGAAAAGGACAAGTCAAAGGAAAGGTCTACATTCACACATGCACAGAAAATGCGAGCTGCCGCAACTTTTGGGTTTGGTCGAATCCATGGCTTAGGCATGCTTGCGTGGCATCGTAGTGAATATACTGGAAAGATGTTAGGAAATCCATCCGTCTCGGAAACTTTAACCAGCTATATGCTGAGTTTGCGGCGGCGCAAGGTAGGCATATATATCTTTTAAGTTGCGGTAGTGACTCAAATGTATCATATCTTCCCTAGACATTTGTTGGAGAGACTACTACAAGTGCTCGGGCTGTAACCTCTGTAAGCATTTCAAATGTATGTTCACAAGTTCCAAAACTATAACAACCTCACTCTAGGCATTACTTTTGGAGCTTTACAAGTTCAATAACCGCCCTGAGTTTGCCGAACCACGTCCCTATGAGCCTGCTGTTCGAAATGTGCCCAAAGATCCTATGTACTGGGGAGGTTGTCATGCCCGTGCACTCCTTCATTTGGGCTACACCCTTAGCTTCTGCGATCTTCTTCGCATCGATGAGCTACTCAAGATACAGGTCCATGATATAGAGATGGACGAGAACGCGGAGACTGGTATGACAACCATAACACTAACTCTTCCATTTCGCAAAACCAGCCAATTCGGAGGTATGTACTATAGCCCAGCAACTACTCTATATATCTTATAATCACCAGATATCAAACCTTTCGTCATCCATGAAATGCCAATACAGTATGCTCATCTTTGTCCTGTCCGTGCCTTTGCCAAGTGGTTGCATTTCTCCCGGGTCAAGAAAGGTTATCTATTCAGAAAAATCCGACAGAATGATCGGATAGCAGAAGAGAACGAGCCAATGGTAGGGACATCTATACTCTGTAACTGGTATTCTCTACTGATTGCAGTGGTTTGATTAGACCTCTGAGCAGTTTCTAGAGATGTTCCGTAACAATCTCATTGATATCGGAACCGATTATTTTCCATACGGGACTCATTCCTTTCGTCGTGGTGGATGTCAATGGTTGTCAGTGGAACGTCGATGGCCACTGCGCCAGATTTGTGAGTGGGGTGGCTGGAGCCAGGAGTTCACCCATCTCACAATTGTCAAGTATCTTATTTCGTGGAATGATAACCCCACCGTAAATCGCTATGATTTCTTTAATATGCACCGTGCTCCTGCTACTGTATGCCCTACCTGTAACCGATCTTGTCATTGTAGTTAAGTTCTTTATCTTTACGCTTGAGTATATACAATCTCTATTCATATTGCAAACAGGCATTCACTATGTTAAAGCTAAACTAAGTGACATTCTTTAAAGAGAGGTAGCGACTAGCAATTGAAGAGCTCTTTGACATAACTTTACCGCGGTACGAAAAAAGCTCCGGAAACCTAGGTCCATATTCAGCTTTTGCCTGTTCAGCCAACTCTTCATCGCGATTGATTCGCAGCTCCCGCAAGCGCTCAAGTATTGCTGTCCAGTTCATTTGTTCGCCAGCGTCGGTTTGGAACTCTGACCAGAATTCCTCAGGTGTAATGGACCGATAACGCTCAGCAACATACTATTTGACTAGCTATTAGTTAGAGAACATATAGGAATAACATGACCTACCCGCCATTCAGACCACATTCCCTTAATTCCATCCCAACGTCGATCTTTCTTTCCTTTATAAATCTGTTGCCAGTAACAAAGGGCGACTGGGACACCGTTGATTGAAGAAACAGTTGCGCAGTCCATAGGATCCCAGTGTGGTCCTTTGTCATCCCAAATGCGGTCAAGCCGAGCAATATCATGAGCGAAACTGAGCTGCAATGAAGGCTCTGGGATATCATGATATTTGAATCGAAGCAGTTTTTGGTTGGCAAGTATGATCTCAAACGATTTCTCCTCGACACTGCGATGAGCTTTGCGTACCATGGAAGGGAGGGCAGATGGAGAAATATCAGCAATCGTGATATTGTTGTCGCGCAGGGTAGAGGAGAACGATGATGTGTTAGTCATCATAACATCATTCTCGACTGAGGGAGGTGCAAGCAGAGTTATCGGACCTATTGTTGGGATAAGTGAAGTTACTGGTGTCAATGTTGAAGACAAAGGCGTTGAAGTCATCGGCGCCAACATCGAGGAAGACAAAGGCGTTGAAGTCATCAGTGGCAACGTCGACAACAAAGGCATTGAAGGCGTCGGCACTGAAGTTGAAGGAGGTGCCAACATTGACAAAGGTATTGAATGCCTCGACACCGAAGTTGAAGGAGATGAAGGCGTTGGGGGCATCGGCACCAAAGTTGAAGGAGATACAGACATCGGGGGCAATGGCGCCGAAGTTGAAGAAGATAAAGACGTCGGGGATATTGTAGGGATGGATGAAGTTGGCAATACAGAGGGGGACTGCATAGAAACCAGGCTAGAAGGGAGCTGCGAGGTGGTAGGAGGAATATTTGAGGATACATGAGGCAAGCCATGAGAAAGAATGTTGAACACTGAGCCAACCATAGAGGTGAGCCCAGTGATTTGTTCATGGGTGGAATGCATGTATTGCTTGATTAAGGCAGGCTGGTAACAATGTGAGACGATACAAGTAAAACAGACAATAAGACACACCGAGTCCATTTTTGCATCCCGCTCAGCCTTGAGGATCCTTGAGACCTCTTCAGGAGGGATATACGGATGGGCCGCATAGTACCGATCAGCCTGGAACAAATTTGAGTGGACGTGGACGTGTTGCATATTGAAACAAAGACTAACCCATTGTAAGAGCTTCTCTTGCTCTTCAACTGGACGCATATCCTTCGAGCGTTGCACTTGAACATTGCTCGAACCATCCGGGTTCAAGCCCATCATAGCATGCCTTCGTAAGGCCGACCCTTTTATCTTCTTCGGCTTCTTCGTTGAGGTATTTATGGCTTCCGTCTTGGTATGGACCTTGGAAATCTTGCCGTCTCGAACACCTCGGTGAGAACGCCGTGCACCTACAATGAGGCTTGGAGAAATCTGAGCAACTGAACATCATATTGAAGGGTAAAGCGTACGAATTCCATCTGATCATGTCTTCACTAAAACCAACGAGTTTTTCCTGCAGCATGACCTTCTTCCCAACAACACCAAGATTATTCTTCTTGCAAAGCTCAACAAGGGAGGGGCGTTTCATTACATAGCTGTCAACGGGAATGAGAACACGAAGTACAAACGCAGAAAACACCCACATGTCGACATAATCAACATCGAAGACACCATTATTATGGACTGGGAGAGCAATTGTGCGAGTTGGCTGTGGTCCTGGTGGGCGACGGATTCGGAATTCTTGTCCACCATAGGTAACAGTTTCAATATCTGAAAGGCCATTTGTAGAAATGGGAGGAGAGTCGACATTAGGAAGGATAGGATTAGGAACTGGATCATCAACGTCCATATCATCGACATCCATAGCATAGAAATAGGCCCGGAAATAATAAATAGTTGTAATGAGTGCTGCGACTAACACAAAACTGGTCCACCAGATAGAAAAAAAGCGAGAGTTGGTGTTGACGTCGTCGGTGGTGGTAAGGAGCGGTGGCAATTGCAAGCCGACGTCGGCAGCATTTTCGATCGACCTACCAGGGCCGAGCGAAACGTCGTCAATACATGGTTGAAAAGTGAGTGGGGGACACGGTCAACGACCGGCGAAGAAACGGTGGGAACGAATCTGTACGGATTCAATCCATTACATCATCTAATCAAAAATACAAAACAGCCTAGAGCCGAAAAATGGAATCGTATATGGCCGATCAAATCCGACCGGCCCTGTCAACCGGACGTGACAGAACTGTCTTATCCGAGAGAGAAGGGGCTTGCTTTTGAAAATGACAAAAGACAGAAATGTGTCCAAGAGATTGGCTGTGAGGCATAAGAATGTGTAGATTAGCCATTTGATCCACCGCCTCGGTAAATCCATGGACTTTTTCTGGGCAGCTGAGGACATGATGATGGTAAAGAAGAGCAGTAGAAGATTTAAATTTTGGCAGATCATGTGACAACTAGAATACGAGAAAAGTGAGAACTAGTTGCCCCCGCAGGGGACACAAACCTTGCTTGAGGTGTTCTGGTAAGTCACATGCAAATTGCACCTCTCTGCAGTGAAGCAGCAAGCTCAATACATACAGATACATATCTTATCGAAGCTGTTGTAAAACAATACAGCCTGACTACAAGGAGTTGAACCAAAACAAACATACATAAACAATAAAAACAGACAACTGTACGTGGCCTTCAGTCTTTGGCCAACCCGGTGGTCCTAGCCACCTTGGAAGGCCCCGCTTTCGCATTTGGTGCACTTGAACGCTGTTTACCATTGGCATTAACTGACTCTGCTCGCAAGCAGAAAGTTGTCAATGTACAATCACATATATCAGCTACACATACCTTCCAATGGATGTTCCTCCTCCCCAAATGTGAAAGAAGCAACCTTTGCAACTGTGGCTGTTGTACCTGCCATAGGCTTCAACCCGTTACTGAGGAACTCAGAGCCCTGTTGCGCGGCTGAATCCAACGTTAAGTAGCTGGAAACAGGTCAAGCAGAATAAAGGGGTGGTCGCGGGTGCGGCACAAAGTAAAGGCTAACGGCGCAACATCGCACATGGAATCTGAGATGAAACAGAGGCAAAAACTCTGTGTGTAAACGATATGTTCAAATGTCAGTCAGCAACTTGTGATAAGGACATGGAGGAGGCGAAGTAAGAACAGGGCGGTAGAAAAGCTGGATTTGTTATTTGATGTGAAGGTGGTTGGTGGTACTCAACAGGTACAAAGGCGGCTTGCGCCCTGGCATGAATATCTGTCAACCGATTTCAACCATACATCATACACTGAACTTGTGGTAGATATATAAAGGAGGCAGAGTGGGAACAGGACAAGAAACGGCTGGAGTTGTTATTTGAACAGGAAGTGAATACCTGCCGACCTACCTGAGCACGCTGCACACAACAGTGGAGGGACACTGGTACGGTAGACATGTGGTTAAACAGGACAAAAACGACAGGTTAGAATTAGAAACAAGCGCCGAAACCGTGGGTAAAGTTTCCGCAGCGCTAATAATATCGAGTAACAAATGACCTTTGCAAGCAAGGTGAAAGTGCTTTGTTTCTTATTAGATGCCGGAACTAATACTATACACTGATGGTTAATGCGCTCCAAAAAGCATTAAGGCGTGCTACCATTCGCCGTTCCGTCAGACATCGCGCTTGCAACTCCTTGTGCAAGGGTTGGGAGGGTATCATAAGTAGTACTGCGAGATATTGTCGTCCTTGTCATATCAATAGAAATGATAGAGGAATAGAAAAAAAAGGAAGGAAAAGATATGTAGGGGCGAGAATAAAATACACTGAGATAGAAGCATTGGGGAGACAAAGAAAGGCTTGGACGGCCACAAAGTGGAACAATAAATGATATGAAGGGAGTGAACAAGGCAAGGAGTGAGCAAGTCAAGGAGCGATGCGAGTTTAACCAAGGACGGTGCGGAAGCCCAAAAATCAATCCATATGTATACATAATCATCCCGTTCGTTGACGGGCTGGCGGATATCCATTCGGATTTGGTGTGTAGTTGTTGGGGTTGAGATTAGCGAAATACTCGCCGCTGGCCCGAGGTTGTATGTAGGAGGAAGGTCGCGAGGGAGTTGATGGTCCATTAGGGTTGATTGGTCGGGGAGAAGACCACTCTTCTGGCTGAGGCGTTCGCGGACTGTTTATGTTTCCGATGTGACCATGTTGTGAGGATGATGAGGGATACGAAGGAATCGGCTGAGTAACCCCGTAAGGGCGTTGTGCAGCAAGGGGAGGAGGAGGACGTTCAGGTACCACTGGTGAAGTACCAGGAGCAGGACCAGCGCCAATGCGTGGAGTATTGCCATTTGGACCGTTATATGGTCCAGGAGTTGGTAATCGACCATTGCCGGCTTTCACCTTCTGATATGTATCACATTTCTTCATAAAGTCCTTGCCATTGAGTTCTAAGGAATTTACGAAATATTCCTGGTCATGCAGAATCGGCAAGAACTCTTCTGGGACAGAAAAGAATTCATCCTGGTTTTCCAGCAGGCTTGTCACCACATCAATAGTTTTGTAGCTTTCGTCACGAACGGTACCATGCCGGGGATAAAGGATGCTGGGACATATTACGGTCGAAAGGTTGCCCAAATCCATTTTACTACCGGTCACCTCGTCCATGTGAGCAAACGAGGCTACCCATTTGAGAAACACGAACAGGATCTCCATCGTGTCTCGGTGAGCCTTGGGCATGATGATAGAAATCATGTGTAGTAACCTCTTGCGCTCGTCATCATTCTTGAGCGCTACAAATAATCAGTGAAATATAAATTTTCAATCAAGTAGATCTTCACGGACCTTGTGCCGAAACCCAAAGTTTATATAATTTGAAAGTCATTAATGGTTCTGGCAATTCTCGCAGGAATTTTTTCAACAGCGCTGCAAGCTGGACGGGATTGTCCTGACTGAGATCGACCGAGAGAGGGTCTCTGTCAATTGCCTCCGTTAGTTGGCCTAGTCGTCGAATATTACCGTTCTTGCGGAAAATACCCTCGACAGACATATCTACATTTGACACTCGGTTAATGAACATTCCGTGAGATAAGAGTGACTGACCCATTTGTCGCATCGCGGAAATGACATCGTCTACAAAACTGGGTACCTTTAACGTAGCTCGTGAAGCTCCAAGGAGGGAGTCAACACCTTCCTGAGCGACAAGTACCTCGAGGAGAACGCCAAACGTGCCTGAATCAACAAAAAAATAAGGAACCTGGAACGTTACAGTTGAACGAGGGAATTGCGAACCAGGCTTCTTCTTTTGGTTCTTTTTATCGCCCATGCCTAGGAATGCCTTCCACCGGTTGGGTTTCTTCGCTTCCACCATTTCCAACAATTCCTCTATATCGATCTGGTCTTTGAGTGAGGACCTCATAAGTACTAAGACAGCGGAGTACTTGACGATTGCCAGTTCCAGAGCACTGAGCTCCGCTATATAGGGAATGGAATTCAGTCGTGGGAGAGAGCGTTGTTGTTCTCTTGCTTGAGCCGCTTCTATGAGAGGACCGATGTCTGCTAATGTGATGCTATCCTCAGCTGGCGGTATATTTAGCATCTCTTCTTGTTCCTCTGGATCTACTGCCGGTGAACTCGGCTGGCTGTCATCAATTATTTTTACCTCGGTGTTGTTTCTGGCAAACGCAGGTCGTATGAGATGACTCTGACCATCGTGTGTGTCGAGATGTGTATTCGGCCGTCCCGAATGCTGCTGTATGTATCCCGGAGTAAGAGGAGGGGGAATGCTTGGTGACTTGTTTTGTTGCCCAGGCAAAGCTTGATGGCCTTCATGGTGGTGGTGGGGATGATGGTGATGCGGTTGATGCGGCTGAGTTGCCTCCTGTGATTTCTGTGACTGAAGAACATTGGAGGGATGTACACTTCGGCCTGCCGGACTTTCGACAATCGTAGACTTTTTCGGAAGCCTAGCAGTTGCGGACAATTTACGGTCAAGATGTACCTGCTTCATACGCATTATGTCGCCGGAGTTTCGATATGGATCACTTTCGGAGGATTGGTCTTGTGAAGTAAGTGTTGGAGCTGTGTGTTCTATGAGGATAGAATGTGCGCATGCAATCGAGCACAAAGGACTCACCAGGAGATAAAGGTACCACGCCCTGCTTCCTAAGCAGCAGATATAACCTCCGCAAAGCAACGTTTAAGAGAAAAGCATATTGCTCAAGCCTTTGCACAGCTTTGAAGCCTCCTCGACAGGCAGTATGCGCATGGTCTGTACACAATATTACGGTTGGAATCGACCCAAACGACGCCGTATCCCGCATTGAACCTAGATCGTAAACGAACAACCCAACATTCGCAGGAGGTCGTCTGACTGTTGTAAGTTTTAGTGCTTGAGCTGACGAGCCGCCATCCGCGGAGGCCTCTCTCTCTTGATCCTTGGAGATCGTTGGCGGAGGTTGAACTTCAGCAACTTTGCCGCAAACTTTACATCCAACGCACTTTGAATGCCACCTCTGATATGTACCAAGTCTGACACAGTCTTCCTCTACAGTGCTTCCACATTTAACGCAAAGATCGCTCGGCGGGTGGCTAGAGGATAACTGCCCAGAACCATCTGCACCTGAAGCTCCTGACGAACTGAACGGTGATTCTCCTGCGTTTTCTGGCGCCAGGCTTCGAAACCCATACGTCACACCTTGGGTACCGATGTTCCCGTTCCCATTTATAACCACTTCCCCGTTATGGCCTTTGATCATCCTTCGGGCAGAGGGGTTCCCACCCTGTACTGCGAGCAGGTGAAGTTTATCTAGGAATCCAGCCATTGCCTCGCCCTGTCGTAAAATCACACCGTTGGTATTACCGGCGTGTCCAGGAGCTTCGCGTTCGAGTTTTAGCGCACCGGTTAGTGCAATTCGTATCAGAATTTTCAGATAGTGGGCGAGACCCGTGACCAAAGCAAGCAAATCTTGAGTCATGCCCATCCTGCGAGAACCAGACTCTTGAGTATGCGACAGAAGGGTGAATAATTCGACAGTCTTGCGGCAGAGCATACGGGCCTCACGGACATGAGCCATGCCTGAGGATTAATATCTCATTAATTGTTGTTCGCACAAAGTATGAGAAATTACTCACCCCTCAAGTTAAGTCTTGCAAAGTGAAATTCCAGATCATCGATCGAAGCAAAGAGAACCTCGACGTGCAAGATGAACTTCTCTGCCATACGGATGGCATCGAGGTATTGACCGTTGCTCACTTGCCGAAGCATGTCAGAGATACAAGCTGCGCTGGATTCCTCAAATGCTGACAGAACGCTATTCAAAGGTATTGAGTATCGAGTTTGAAAGGACATAGTTGATGTACGCACGTCCATATCCGATAAACCTGCTGCTCCATTCGAACTTGCTTCTCCTTCAAAGAGGCAGGTGTCTCTCTTCGCTCCTCTTCCACATACTCCGGCTCCTCTAATTCTCCCTCAATGCTCATTGGTCGCCTGGAGACAACCTTGACATTCCAAAACTTGTTGATCATATAGCATTCAGGATGCCAACATTCATCCCGCATATTCCTGTTGATTTCGACGAATTGCTTGAGGATCGCAGTAGAGCATCCGGCGCATTTGGTTGCAAACCGGGAAGAGTAATGAAAATGACAGTAAACATCGCCGTCGTGCTCATAATAGGAGTCTTGAGGGCCAAAAAGTGTAGGACATAACGAGCAGGTAAAATGCTCGACGTGATATTTCTTGTCTATGTAAGTGTCGATAAGGATGGATCAGAGATCATTCGAGGAAGTTGATTATGAAGAAAAGTCAGTTGGTTAGTAATGTCCTCAAACAAGCAATAAACTTACTGCAGGCCGTGATATAGCTCCCTCGCAAAGCCATCCCACATTTTGCACAGATGAGATTCAACCGCTTAAAGTAATCACGCTCGCAAAGAGGATGCTGCTTGCCATCCGGGCCGTCGATGGGAAAGAATTTGGATGCAACGACGTCCCCACAGTCCTTAAAAGGATGCTAAGTTTGAATGGATACATACGGAGTGAAACGACTAACCAAGCACTTGAAACAATTCAAATGAAAAACGGTTCCCAAAGCCCGTACAAAAGGACCCTGCATTGCCTTCCCACATGATGAACAAGACCTAAAGCAGGCAATGAGATGTACGCTTAAGGACAAGTAGCAGGATCTTACGCAGAAGCTAAGCTATTTGAGGTTGAAGCTGTTGTCGGTGGCGGTTTCCCGCTCAAGGAAGACCCAGAAGAAGTGGAGCTGAGAGAGGCAGTGCTGCGTCGTTTGCTCGATTCGGAGGATGAATTTGGACTGTTGTTGAAAGCAGGAGTAGAGGATCTCGAGGTAGAGCCAGAATTGGAAATATAAGCAGGCTGGGGTCGGGGAGAAGGCATTCCATGGTTCAGATCTTCACTGCGAACCAAAGGCATGCCGTAGGAACCAGTTGGTACGGTTGAATCTTGGTCAGCAGAGCCGGTTGTCGATGCCCTCGTAATTTGGTTCGAAGTACTTTCTGGAAGTTTGACAGAGCTGGACGATGGTGCAGAATATGGGCTTGTAGGAGAAGGCCTCTGTGAACGGAAGGAGTCGTCGACAGCGATGTGGAGGGGTGGGCCATTTGGACTCATTGGATTTGGCAGTGGCCGCAGTGGGGGTACACCCGAGTTGTTCATCGTCAAGGATCAATCCAACCAGGGCGCTCAGCGTTTCCAGACGTACGTCGTAAGTAGAGAACAAATGAATATTGTCGATGTCACGTAGGGCTGTTACTCTTCCCGTGACACTCCACGTGGCACTGTTAAGCGCTCGATAAGCGCTGTACACACTTACTACGTATATACCATTGTACGGTGAGTGCACGAGCCCGTTCCAACGTCCTCAATTAGATTGGTTCAATCGTTCTTTAGACTCTGATATAATTCCGTCGTTTCTTCAAAATTGTTTCCTGTTGAATCATTCGAATCAATCATCATCATCCGCCTTTTATGAGCTTTGAGCTTATGTCTCGACCATACATCGGCCGCGCGGCAATTTGAGTATGGGAAAGAATTTCAAGAGGAACAAACGCTAGTTCAGGAGGTCGACGTGAAAACTGATGAAAAACGGTAGGGCTCAATGAGAGCCATTGAGATGAGAATAGATGAGAACACTAGGTGAGCATCTGCCATCAAGCATACTCAGGCTGTTCTGTACCATTCCCTGAGTTGACCCGTAGGAGCAAGAAACTAACAGCACAGCAACACAGATCCAAGTCATAGTGATGAGCTGGTGATGAGTGCAGCTGCAGCCTGCACTGGCTTGCACTGACCACTTAAGTTAAAGTCATAGAATCCCGCGTTAATCACTGGCAAGGTTGTCAATACAAAATTGAAAAGGCAGTGCCATGCCGTATATACTTGATTTCCTTTTCAAGAAAGTATGACGATATCAGCATGAACACAAACTCAACAGCTTTCTCCTTCAACACCATGTCAGTATTAAATGAAGCCTTACACGGAGCGCGCGCAAAGGGCATCCTTCCTTACTTTTTCCCTCTCCCCTCAGTCCAAACTTCACCCTCTGATTATGCCCCCATACTATCGAACCCAAGTAATTCTTTCCCTAGGTAGATCGGCTGCTGAAGTTGTAGCCACTTTTGCGCCTGTACCAGGTCTCTACGCTGCGGCAGGTATGCTCTGTGCAATAATGGAACTCACGGAGAATGTCATCGCCAACCGGTGATTACGACTCGGTGTTTGAAACCCTTACTTTGATCTCACTTCCCACTATACGCTCGTAGACGAGAAGCGCGCCAACTTAGAGATCGATGTCATACGTTGCTGCAAGCTGCAAAAGAAAGCAGCGAAGTGGGGAATACAAATATGAACAATGCGTTCCAAATGATACAAGAGTAAGTATCACACGTGTTTCATCAATGTGCTGAATATCGATGAAAGCTTTCCAGAACCCTATCAAAAGTTCAGTCCAAGATGGACACATGGGTAAAACTAGGCCGAATTAATTCCTTCCTTCAACAAAATCAAATCAAGGAGGATATCGAAAAGTGTCACGAAGGTATAACGGACTGTTTGACGCATTTCCAGGTGAGTATTAGCCCAGGAGAATTGTCAGGCGAACGCGCTTTTGAATTTGCTACTATATGAACGCAGCTCGTCTCCCACATGGAGATTCATAGTTGGCAAGAAGAGTTTTCAGTCAACTTCGCCATGGACCACCAAGAGGTCATTACGCTGCTTTCCGACGTCAAAGAATCACAAAACTTCATTCAGACTACAACTGTTGACAATAACACTATGTTGAAGGAAATGATGGTTCTTCTTCAATCGGTACGTGCTCCATGCTATTCGTTCAACTTTGGGTACATATTCCTTATCCTTGACATGTTTCAAAGGCACTCTTCGAGAACAAACACGTCGCTGACAAAACCCACAACGGGCTCGCTTCGAACCTCTATGAACTACAGCAGAAAACCGACACTCTTTTACCCAACATGAACCTGCAATCTGGGGAAGTTGTTCGTGAAGGCAATTTTCCCGTGAGCGGAACGGCTGCGATGGATATCTACAAAGGGCGGTATCTCAACCGCGAAGATGTCGCGATCAAAGTAGTTAGAGCCGTGAACTCGAATGAAGCCAGTAGACGACGGTTCATGAGAGAAGTGAAGGTGTGGACTGATCTGTGGCAGAGGGACAAGGGAAAACATATCCTTCCGTTCTATGGATTCTGTCAGACGGACGGGCCCTTCCCGTGGGGTTTTGCCTAGCCAATTATTTTGCAACAACTCTAACTGACATTTGGTAGATACATGGTGAGCCCATGGCAGTCAAATGGGACTGCCTTACAGTTTGTGAAGAAATACGACCTCGGCGTTGATTATCTGAAGATGGTGATTGCATATCGTGCGGTACAAGTGGGTTCTTCAACGATTTATCACTTTTTAGATCAAGCATATAGCGTTGGGCCTCCAAGTCTTACATGAAATGAAAGTCGTTCACGGTGACATCAAAGCGGTCAGTCGTTATTGACAGCCGCCATTGCTTGTCGTTTTAATCAAACCCGGCCACTGACAGAGCAATATCATGATCAGTCCCGAATTTGAGCCTCTATTGGCCGATTTCGGTCTATCTCAAGTACTAAGAATTTTCGCGAGACTATTGAAGTTACATCTCTGACATTTTTACATTAGATTGTGGAAGATATAACTGGGATACCGTTTACCCAAAGTCGGGGAGTATCCGACTCTTATCGCTGGTTTGCACCTGAGGTGTGTAAAGGACAGGGCGTGTTGTCTGCAAGGTCAGATGTGTATGCGTTAGGCATGACAATTCTAGAGGTTGGACATTCATTCACCTATACATATTAATTCTGACTCTAAAGGTGTCGTTGAACAAGCTCTTTACCCACCAACAACCATACCAGAAAATCAAGCACACAACAGAGGTAGTGATTCGGCGTGAAAAGGGTGAACTACCTGAGCGGCCTAATGAAACAAGGATCTTGCAGAGAGGACTGGACGAGCAGCTTTGGATGTTGTTAGAAGACTGTTGGAGGACGACTGCTAGTGAAAGACCGAAGATCGATGAAGTGATTCAGAGAATGACGTGGTCCTAGTTACTTCTCTCGTGGATAAGACAGTTCGCACTTCTGGCGAGTACTGCCTAATGTAACCGTTATAATTTACAACCCACTATGTACTTTGTATGTTTGTTTAATTACTCGAATCCTTGACATGCCAGTGCACGGTTGCTTACGTACGTCCCCGGCAACTTTTGTTTCAGAGCTATAACCTGCTGTCAGTGTTCTTGGTTTGATTCACCACCCTATCACGCGCTGTAATGGCTTTCAAGCATACGCCCTCGCTGGTTCTTCTGCTTCTATGTTCTGCGCTGGCTGCGAACGCTCTTCATTTCTACTTGGACGCAAACGAGAAGAGGTGCTTTATTGAGGAATTGCCAACAGATACTGTAGTCGAAGGTGAGCTCTGCAACTATCGGCTCTGGTTATCCCTTACACGTCACCAAGGCCATTACAAGGCTTTGGAGTGGTCAGAGAAACAGCAATCATACATCTCGGATGAGAATCTGGGCATACACGTTGAAGTAGAGGTATGTCCTCATACTCAGACAAATGATTCGTAGCTTATTTCCATGCAGGAAGTAGAAACTGGCCACACGGTCGTTAAAAGTAAGGGTCCGTCTGAAGGCAAATTCACATTTACCTCGCACGACGCAGGCGACCACTCCATCTGCCTCTCCACGAATTACACATCTTGGTTTTCCTCTACCCACATCCGCCTCTATCTTGATATCGTGGTCGGAACCACACGTCCTGATACCGAGCATGATAGGACGCATGTCTCTGAGATAGCGGCCAAAGTGCGAGACCTCAATCAAAAACTGGAGGACATTCGTCGGGAGCAGCAATACCAGCGGGAAAGAGAAGCAGATTACAGAGATTTAAGCGAAATGACAAACTCTCGCGCGGTTTGGTACAGTGTCGTGCAGATTGTGGTGCTCATTGTTACATGTGTTTGGCAGTTAAGACATCTAAAGGTATACTTAAGGCCATTTCCCCCGTTTTCCTTTTCTGATTGAAATATTTACAGAACTTTTTTGAGGATCGAAAATCGAGATAGCATAATGCTTAATGTGTCCGACTGTCATATTTATGTCTTTTAATGCAGCCTATCCGCACTATGAGGAGAGAGTCACGAATGTACTATGGTCGTTAATTCCAGAAGCAACTGTCGTTCAGTGTGACAACGGGAAGATCACGATTTCTCCTCAAGTATATACGCGGCAGTCATAGAAGTTGGGGATGGAAGCAAGACCAAACGCGCTATAGATAATTTCCTCTCGCCTGGTTGAGATAGCATGCATAATTTTCGGTCGAGAAGCCTTGAGTATCTATATTTACATTCTGGAAGATTTTTTGGAGAAATCTCGTTTCCTTTCTTTGAGTGTGTTGTGCTGGAAAACTGGCTGAAAGTCGTCGCGGCAGGGAGCATACACGTCCGAAGTATTACGGTATTTACAGTATGGCTCGGCAGGCGCAGAACTGCGGACCTTACTACGGGCGTCTATAATTTGTTGTCGTCACCCGTTCACTGGGCAGTGCTTCTTACCGTTAAACCACGACGATGCCTTCGACGCCTGGTACACCGAGCGGGAAAGGAGCCCCAGTGACATCGATCAGCGAAACACAAACTATGGTACAAGAAGAACCAGACACTATATTTCTTGCTGCTCAGCGTGGAGATCTTTCATTATTACAGGCACTATTTGCTCAAGGTGCTCAGGCTACCGACCGGGATTCTCAAAACATCACAGCTCTTCACTGGGCCTCAATAAATGCCCATCTTCATATCTGCAGAGAATTGCTTGAGAGAGGCGCAGAAGTAGATGCTCGAGGTGGAGATTTGGATGCTACTCCGATGCAATGGGCTGCTAGGAACGGATATCTCTATGTTGTGAAGCTGCTCCTAGAGTGGGGCGCAGATCCAACTCTCAAAGATGGTCAAGGATACAACGCTCTTCATCTGATAACACACTCGTCGGCGGTAATGCCTCTGCTTTATCTGTTGCAACAGCGCAAAGTCGATGTCGATTCGGTCGACCTTCAAGGTCACACGGCTCTAATGTGGGCGGCATACCAAGGCGATGCTGTCTCCGTAGATGTCTTGCTGAAGCACGGTGCGGATGTCACAACGAAGGACGAGGGTGGGTTAACGCCTTTGCATTGGGCAGTCGTTAGGGGCAACAAAGCTGTCATCAAGAAGCTGCTTGAAAGCGGTGCAGATGTTTCTGCAAAAGACTCGGGCGGTCGGACCCCGAGGGACATGGCCATCGAACTCAAAAGCATTGGTCCTTGGAAGCGTGCTATGGAGGAAGGAGGATGGGACGAATACGGTGTACCTCGTGCGCCTGTGTTCAGTAATCCAAAATACAACTCTATCGCCATATTCATTCTACCGACACCCCTTCTCATCCTCGTGTTCAACACTATTGCAGTCTCTTGGCTACCCTGGTTCACTTCTCTAATACTGGCCGCTGCAGAATGTTTTGCAGCGGGACATATCCTCACACGTGTTCTCCTAGGACGGAAACCTCAAGCTGAGAGTCCATTCTTCGCCGGAATTATCTTTGCTTCTCTCCTCATCGTGGTCTGGTGTTGGGCTACGACTCTTACGAACGTTCACGACCATCCTACTGCTCATCTAATCTTCATTGTATCTGCCTCTCTTTGTCTGTATAATTTTTGGCGTGCCGTTTGCCTGGATCCCGGTTTTGTTCCGAATCGCTTGTTGGACTCTGTCGAAACACTTGCCAGCGAAGGTAGGTTGAATGGTCAAACGTTTTGTGTTAGCTGCATGGTGTGTTCTGGTATCTTATTCGCTCTTCTTACACTTATACTCACTCGCTACTTGCCGTAGGCACGTAAACCTCTGCGCTCTAAACATTGTCGCATCTGCAATAGATGTACTGCAAGACACGACCACCATTGTCCTTGGGTTTGGAACTGTGGTTAGTCTTCTTTTCATTGTGTTACTTGGAGAGGAATCTTCAATACCTGTTTGCAGTCGGAGCAAATAACCACCGTCAATTCGTCCTCTTCCTTCTCAACCTGGTGATCGGCATAATCACATTCATCTATCTTACCTACCAATGTAAAGCTCTCTTCAACTTCGGAGCCAGGTTCACACTAATCTATCCCTAGATTTTTCCACCACTCCCGAGCTAGCGGCTTCGCCCACTTGTCCTCTTCCAGATCCCATGTGTCGCGTTCTCGCTACAAAATCCAACATTTTCCTTGTCACTACAACTTTATGGGCTGCCATTCAGCTTACCTGGACGACCATTCTTCTCGGTGCGCAATTTTGGCAGGTGTCTCGCCAAATGACATCTCTCGAAGTCAGTAACTTAGGACGCTACGGATTTATGGGTGGACGTGGTGTCATTGGGGTTGGTCAGATGGGGGCGCAGCAGAATTCGAACTCTCCTCATGACCACGGTGATTCCCCGATTTCCGCTTCGGCATCTTTAGAACCTGTACTTGGCCGTCATTCACACTCCCCTAACCGCCCACAGAGCCTACGCGGCTCAGGCGGACTCCTCACTCTCCCCTGTCGTATCTGTTCAATATGTGGTTCTTGCCCTGGAGCGTCATTCCTCCTTCGTATCACTGGCCTGGATCGGTTCACTGCGCGCGGCGGTGCGGCTCGGGGATTAGCTGCGGCAGGAGCTCCGCAGAACCCGTTCGACCTTGGACTGTATCTGAATTGTATGGACTTTTGGGGAATGGGCAAGGAGGTGGGAGTTCGTTGGGAGACGTGTTATGATATTCCTGAAGGAGGGTTTAAAAAGGCTAGGGAGGAAAGGCTACTTGAAGAACGGGGACGTGAGGAGAGAAGTGAATTGGAGCCGGGGAACAGGAAGGGTGGCAGGAGGTTTTGGCCGGGTGTTCGGAGGGTGTTTTCAATGCGAATGGGGAGATCAGCTTCTTATGAATATGAGCCGTTGGCGCAGGTGTAGGGTAGGTTGCGGCCACGGACTGATACGAGCGATTGAATGATCATAATGATTTGTTGTATCTAATGTGTACAATGAAACTGATGCAAATCATACATAACCTGGAAATCCCGCAAAGGCCTGAACTTGTTATGTCGAGATCATAGTCATAGTTCTATTGGACTAGCATTTTACCAACCGAGCTGAGGAAATTAAAGGTTCTCAAGAGTCTATGTTCAATGCGTCAATGCGACAATACAAGGTACCAGATACTGATACTATTTACCAGAGCAAGCTTGAGCCTATACATGTATGCTTGGTCTTTCTAAACAATTATCCCAAATTTCAATCGATTAACCTATTATCAACATGATATTATCCTGTACATAGTGCTTCTTCGATGATTCTCCGCAGTGCAACAGACCTCTCGCTAACACAAGACAACTAAATGTACGCTACGTATCCCGTGTAGTGGAAGATGTAGTGTACGAACGGCCACCTCTAGCTTATGGATCATGAGCTGTCGGACTTTAACAAGGGGGGCAACGATAAAATGTCGGGGATATAAAGCATTCAGCCGCTAGTGTTGCCAATGACAGGTTGGAAGGACATGACCTCGTCATAAAGCAGCTTCTTTAAATCGTCCTTCGACAGTTGTTCTTTCTCAACTGCGGATAAAGTAAGTAACGGATTGGTATATATGATGTCAGATGGCTCACGATCAAATTGGAAATAGTCGGGGCTCAGAGAGTTAGCAGCGGGCTCGTCATCTGCATCGTGATATGCAGCAACGTAGGGATGCTCAAGCGCCTCCTCTACAGTCATACGCTTCTTCGGATCAAATGTCTACAGAAGGATAGCTTATTAGTATCTGCAGTAAACTTCTATACAAGAGACCAACGTACCAGGGTCTTGTTCAAGAAATCGATGGCATCAGAGGAGGCATGAGGGAAAAGTGAGGCAAAGCTCCTCTTCCTACGGATAGGCAGAGATCGGATGTACTCACGCGACCTCCGCGAGGTGATCGCATAAAATTCATCCAGGGTCGGGGTGCCGATAACGTCGAGCACTAGGTCAAGCTGGTGGCTGTAGTCGCGCCCGGGGAACAAGGGGCGCCCAGAAATAAGCTCCGCGAGAATACAGCCAACGGCCCACAAATCCACAGCCTGCGAGAGTTGTATGCTCAAAATCATGCTTCTCGAGGAAAAGAAGCAGTGATAACCCACCTTGGTGTACATCTTGAACGACAACATGATTTCGGGAGCACGGTACCACCTGGTGGCGACGTATTCAGTCATCCCACCCTGACCTTTGCCAACGGGAGCAGTGGTCTTGATACTCCTCGCGAGCCCGAAATCACAGACTTTGAGGTCACAATTAGCATTGAGGAGAAGGTTGGCTGGCTTCAAGTCACGGTGAACAATGTCCGCACTGTGAATCGTTTTGAGGGCACGAAGTGTCTGATAAACAAAGTACTGGCAGTGGTCATCGGTGAGGTGTTGCGTCCTGATGACTCTGTGTAAGTCAGTCTGCATGAGCTCTTGGACAACTATTGGTAGCGCATCAGTACGCAATTACTAAATGAGTTGTAAAAAAACCCACAGTAGATTTCCTTGAAAGCGTCCAAGGAAGAAGGCTTCACGATGTCCAAAACCGTGATAATCTGAAGAAAATCAAAATCATGCTAGAATCAGGCAAAACGGCTACCTACGTTCTCGTTAACACAAGACTCTGAAAAGAATTTCAACAGCTTGAGTTCTCGTAAGGTTCGTAGGCAGCATAAAGTGTGGTCAAAAGGAAGAATCTTCTTGATAGCCACTTGACGCCCACTGGGTTTATGGATACCAGCTGCAACAGTACCGTACGCTCCCTGACCAAGTGCGTACAACAGCTGATAGTCCTCACCTGTAATGAATATAAGCCAGAATGACGAGGAAAGGGGTCATACGCATACCAATGTCGAACTTGGGGAGAGGTTTGGAAGAAGATTTACGGGACGACATGTTGATTATATTATGTAGGTATAAACACCACGGACCAGCCTGGTGATGAAAGTTGAGAAGATGGTGAGCGCAAAACTGGAGAAAAACTGGGAGGAATTGGCCTTTAAATAGCAAAGGCGATGCTGTAAGGTCTGATGCGATGTATTGATCAATATTTCAAACGACACCGGCAAGCGGCGGAACCCACGAACTGACACGATTCCACAGCGAGGCTTCTTGCATATAGATAGATAGGTCCTCTCTATGGAAACAGTGCAAGCTCACGACCTCTCTCATGTGAGAGCTTTCAGGAGCCTTCGTCAGTATTGACCTATGTACTAACTGAGAACTGAGAGCTCGCGGACCGCAGTCCATCTCCCGTCGGAGGAATAGATTATCGAATGCAACCGGAAGTATTTCAGCAGCGTGATACACTTGAAATTCATCAATCAATGGTATCGGTAAGGATAGGTAGGGATCAGTAGGGATCAGTAGTGAATCACTAGGGTTTTTTAATACAGCGAGTACATACAGGTACATACCTCAGCCTGTACCCTCCTGTACCTAGTATGTACCTGTCTCAGGCTGTCTGCACATACAGTACCTAATAACCCTGTTATCCTCAGCATTTGACCCGTTGAAATGAGCAAAGCTGGATCGACATTCGGGAAGGTCCATCTTGATATGATCTGGAAGCCTAAGGTAAATTGAACGTCGTAGGTCGAAACCGTGGAAACCTCTCCAATGTTAAAGATTGAATGTTGAATGCTGAGAGGGATTATTCATATCTGAGAAAAGCCCAAACTCACGAAGACGCAGTATGCACCGACAAATCCAAGTCGCGAAGGCTGCAGAAGTGACTGCAGCGCTTAGAGGATCCAGAGGAAGACATACAAAGGTATGCGGCAGGTCAAATTGAAGATCGTACAGAATGAGGTCTCGGGCACCAGATGTCAATGATCGTACGATAGAGGGGTATTTTCCGTTCAAAACTGGGCGGTGAGAAAATAAGACGCTTAAGCGTACATGTCTTTGTTTTTGTTGCATTTTAAAGGTTTGCCCAATAGTAAATTTTTCGTTTTCTCTACCCAGTGTTTTGTCAGTCATAACTTCCAAGCACGCACGCAAAAAGTGCCAGATGGACGAGTGCTGTGATCACTGTCACACCTGAATTCACCCTCGTGGTTTGTGACCAATCGCGTTGAATCGCGTCTGTTAAAGATCAATAAACTCTATATTCATCAAAAAATAGCAAGAAATGAAAGACAGGAATGATTACTTCTGCCTGTGGTGAATTTTGTCCAAGAAACTCTTGAAAACTTCTTTTTTCAAACCAACAGACGTCCCTTCATCGATCTGATCAATCATCCCAGTCAGTTTCTTGTATGCGTTCTTTTCATATTCCGCGTAAATTTCCCGTAGTCCGATTTCTTCGAAGACAGCTTTGACCCGCCGCTCAGCTTCTCCAAGGTACCCTTGCTCCTCCCCATTCTTTCCTTCTGCTATCTTCTTTGCAAATTCTGTCTCCTCTCGAGTGGGTTTCACACCATAATTTTCATCCAAAATCTTTCTCTGATCCGGAGTAGCAAGAGACAGCACCTCATACGCCCAGTAAATCAAGGTAGTAGCCTTTGCCAAAGGGGGTGGTTTGGCTAAGGCTGTTGTCATAGAGTACCACTATCTACCTATAGCGGAATAAAAGCTGGATATTTCATATAAACTCAGTAGTACTCTAACTTACATACACACTATATATATGCCATTGTATTCAATTCCCGACCTTGAGAAATTTACCCGACGTACACTTCCCGACGCCCGTACCCTGTGTACTTTCTGAGGCATAATAACACTTGCTACTTAAGGTACTACTTCTTTATCGTGGGCTTTACGTATATAAGTCATTGTTCCTACTAGGTAGTATTTGTAGGAGGGAGGACCAGCATTGGAGCTCGACGACGGTGTTCAGAAATGCGGACCGTGAGCGCTTATTTGCTGCCTCGTTGTTGTTGACAGCGAGCTCAAGGCAGAGCAATAGTGCAGACTGCCCTCGGACCTTGCGGGAACAGCTGGTAGTATATCTGAGCACCTCTTTGTTATCTGACTGTATTTAAATCATAGTAGAACATTAGTCCACAAGCTGATCTTTGGTTAAGAGCTTGATTATATGTGAGTTCATCGTACTAAATGTTGAGCTCGAGCATACAAAAATAATCTGTGAGTCCCTAAATTCTGGTACAGTGCTCTGCACGCATACACGTCCAGCATACTACAAAATGAGATATATTGCAACTATGTGAGTAGTAAGAAGGCATGTCCGAGTACTTAAAATCAATGACTGCATTGTGTTCACATCCGTAAAGGTACTAAAGATTGTACTGTAGCCTATATAACTGCAATATATGTCATTTTGTAGTATGCTGGATGTGTATGCGTGCAGAGCATTGTACCAGAATTTAGGGACTCACAGATTATTTTTGTATGCTCGAGCTCAACATTTAGTACGATGAACTCACATATAATCAAGCTCTTAACCAAAGATCAGCTTGTGGACTAATGTTCTACTATGATTTAAATACAGTCAGATAACAAAGAGGTGCTCAGATATACTACCAGCTGTTCCCGCAAGGTCCGAGGGCAGTCTGCACTATTGCTCTGCCTTGAGCTCGCTGTCAACAACAACGAGGCAGCAAATAAGCGCTCACGGTCCGCATTTCTGAACACCGTCGTCGAGCTCCAATGCTGGTCCTCCCTCCTACAAATACTACCTAGTAGGAACAATGACTTTTATACGTAAAGCCCACGATAAAGAAGTAGTACCTTAAGTAGCAAGTGTTATTATGCCTCAGAAAGTACACAGGGTACGGGCGTCGGGAAGTGTACGTCGGGTAAATTTCTCAAGGTCGGGAATTGAATACAATGGCATATATATAGTGTGTATGTAAGTTAGAGTACTACTGAGTTTATATGAAATATCCAGCTTTTATTCCGCTATAGGTAGATAGTGGTACTCTATGACAACAGCCTTAGCCAAACCACCCCCTTTGGCAAAGGCTACTACCTTGATTTACTGGGCGTATGAGGTGAGAGACAGTGCAGTGTTGATGCACCACGAACATTTATTATCAATGATGTCGGTCCCAACTTTACCGATCTGCGCAGGAACTCCAGCAAAGTCGAGAAAATCGTCTTGAATCTGAAAATATTCGCCCAGAGGAATAAGGATACTCTTCGCTACCTCGTAAGGAGCCACTGCGGAGGCGGAATTAGGCGGGGTGTACAAAGTGGGAACGCAGCAAAATAGCATTGCCAACGCAACAGGCAAGTAGAAGGAGTAGAAAGCAGTTTTATAAACCACGATCATCGAGTGTCTATAGGTGTGTTGATGATAGTTAGCATACTATCTGTGGCTATCTGTGGACGCGAAAAGCTTGAAAAGGCTACGTACTTTTGTAATGAAAATTTGCTCAAATCAACTGCATCCTCTGGTGCGGTGATCAGGTCAATCAACTGCCCAATCTCTGTCTGATACGAAATCTCGTGGAACAATTCGAGCAAATCGACATAGTATGGCTCTTTCTTGAAATGACGTTTGAGTAGATGATAAATCGCTCCTTCGAGCATGAACGCGTCGTTCACAGCGACAAGGCCAATTTTCGGAACGCGATACCAGCACGGTTGACCTCGGCGAGTTATGGAAGAGTCCATGAGATCGTCAGTGACAAGAAAGAAAGCTTGAAGCTGCTTTGCGACAGTGAGAAATGAAGGATACATTATTTGTTCAGAAACATACGAGCTCGACGCCCCATCCTAATACAGCGACTTGGAGGTATTCTTCATCTGTCAACGGACGGCCCTTAAGAATTTCGACAGTGTCCACCACTGACATTCCACGGTTCAACTTTCCACCGGGAACATTGTAATGCAAGTTCTGATAAAACGGTCAGATGCAAATGCAAAGAATTGTTTTTCGGAAACAGACCTCAGAATACCACTCCTGAGCCTCTGCTGGCATTCCGCAAGCCTTCAAATGAGCCAATAGCTCATCGTGAATCACGTTCCAAACGCCTTCAAACTTGGCTCTTCGTGTGGACTTATCCATTTGTACAAGTACGAGTGAGTAAAAAAGTGAGGGCGACGAGTTTTATTCACGACAAGAAGAAGAATGTGAGACGAGCTCGAAATCAGGCCATATGAACAAGAGAAGCATCAGAAACCTAAAAAAAGTAATTTCGTATTTATGTAAATGAATTATTATGATATTATCTGGACAATGATACTTGGATACATCCCAGCTTTGAAGATTTGAATAGCAGAGATATATATTTGTCACAACTGTAGAAACCCCAGGCCCCAAAGAAAGAGTGAAAAGTTCGAAGAGTTATGAATATTGGAACGTGATATAACATCGTATATGCAGGTCTAACCTTCTTTTATTCATTCATCATCCAGCTCAGACCTGACCTCCCTGGTTGTGTATTCGAAGTCCCACATTGGGCCGAAGGAATGCAAAGTGAAGTATCCACCGTCTCCGTTGACGGGCTCGGTTCACTCGCCACCAAGGGTCCGGATATCGTTGAACTAGCAGTCGGATTAATCAACGACCCAGATGTTCTTGTTGGAGATGCACTTCCTGCATAAGCGTTGGGATGGACAGTTCCTACGTTTAATTGGACCAGTGAATGATCATGCAAGGGAGCAGGTCCTGGATGCGAGCCAAGTGATGATCGACTTGACCAATCGAGTAGCCCGCTCGATTTTAGCGAAGGGAGTGTTGTTTTTTGCATTTGCAATAGCGGTAGCTGATTTTCCGACCCGATATATGTGGAGGAGGCAGAGGAGACAGGGGCAGATGAGTTGGAGGTCTGGGAATCTAGCACTGGCTGATGAACATGTCCGTGCTGATGAGTGGTAAATGGAGGCTCGGCACTCAAGAACGTAGCATCCGCCATTTCCGTATCTCCCAGTTCGCCATATTTCCCGGTACGAGTCGGGGAAGCTCCCCAATGATTTCCGGCAAGTTTATCCATCCGAACCCCGCAGAACTCTTCAAACCCGTCCAATCCTTTCTGAATTTTGTCATCATCGCGATGCATGTATTTCATGAGAGGCCATATCCAGGCGCCCACTGACAGTAATAGAGTGAAAACGACGGATATGCAACTAGGAATGATACTCACTGGCGGCACTGTACGCAGCGCGTTCACCTAAAGTTTCCAGCACACTGTCTAGCCTTCTAACACCCCAATCCAAATCCGTCTCGCCAGGTCTGTCTTTTCTATGCTTCACCTTCCACCAATTAGGCTCCGAATCAACTTGATTGATTCCAATTCGTGCGCCTCCATTTGATGCCATGGACCCTGTATAATCGACAGCCTTCATGGTTGTAGAATCTTCGCGATGTGGCCAACTCTCGCCGTGCACAGCCCGCCTTCCCATACCTAATCCCATGATACAGCTCGCTTCTAAAAGTGCTATGAGACAAAAGCACCATGCACCAGTATTTGAATTTGTTTCAAGCATGCTTTTCTGTACTACCACATTCTCGCCCTCATCCCAGCGAAGAAAAGAAGGATGAGATTCATCCCATACGGAGAAAAGTTCATGATCCTCTACAAGGGCAGAACTAAAAGAGGCGCGAGCTTGATAATGGCGGACGTGATGCTTGGAGAAAGATATTGGATCACTTTTTGCCGCCTGGAGGGGAGGCTGGTATAACCCATCCAGTGTGCGCTCAATTTTGTTGTATATACTGAGGATTCTAATTGTCTGAGCAAGTTCTGAGCCCGTCGCCGTAGCCTTATGAGACGGTAGATGTGTTGAAGGCAAGGGCGCAGAAGGAAGGTAAAGATACTCTAAAAAGAAATTCTTGAGAAGCTGTCCAACATTTCAAAAACGTAGGTCACATAGGGAAACTCACCGGGTAGACACTCGTGCACTGCCCCCATCTCGAAACTCGTCTCGTCAACCGGTAAACGAACGCGTAATTCTTCCGAACTGAAGCCTATGAACCCATTCGAGAAAGCACGCTTGGAAGGGGAAAAGGACATAGAGGCATTATAATGAGAAAATGGGGGTGAATCAAATGATGGGTCAGTCGTCGTACTCGTGAATTGAGGTAAAGAGGCGGCATTTGTTGACGGCTGTGAGCCTCCTGTGGACTCGACGCTACCTTGCGCATCAGTATGATGCGATGAGATTTCGCCATTAAGATTTCCTCCACTATGATATCCTCGCCCACTACCTCCTCGTAACTGGCCCTCACCTTGATAGTAAATTTCTCGCATACAATCCAATATGTATATAAGCCAGAAGATTCTTCTGTCAAATTCACGTTTAGTTCATGATTGCCAAACTGACCTTCAATAGTTGCGAAAACTGACCTTACGCATTCCTTTTCAATGCTCTCCTCGATGAATGCCTGGCTCGGTACAGGAGTTAAAAGCGGATATGTAGGTTTGTGTACGCCAAGCTCTTGAAGCATCTGAAGTGTGAGTTGACGAAATCGTTCTCCTTGAGGTGAAATCAACTTCGGATCCTGATCAGTAGAGCCTCCAGCACGCGTAAAATTGCGAGCAACGGTCGAGGGTTTCTGCTCCCAGGCGAGTAATTCATATACTGTAAGAAGACAAAGCGTCTGAGCTGTGTAAAGCGAAGCAGGAAGGACCAGAACTCCGCGGTAAAGATCGTCCGTGCTCGAGGGCTCTGCTGCGGCATCTCTGCTTTTGTCGGTACTATGATCTGAGTTGGAGTTTTTCGGAATTTCGAACATCAACCTCACTGCTTCATCCGCAAAATGTCTTCCCGATAAGCGCCGCGGAGTTGCTGCAAGTGATGGCTGTTTGGAATGTCGAGATGCAAGTGCACAGACAGCCTGTGTGAATATCGGTGACCAAAGATCAACGAAAATAATCAGTCAGCTGGCTGGCTTTCTGATGTAAGAAGGATCAACAACGCCGATAAAAACGCGGAGAAGGGTTGAAGTATTCAGAAACGACGAAACGCAAGAGAAAAAAGTTTGGATAATGGCGCAACACTTACATACAGCAGATACATCGGCACCTGGTTCATTGTAACCGCATTTGTGAAAGATGGTTTGTGTATTATCATGACCATGGGATGTGAATGCGTGAAGAAAACTAGGGCGAAAAAAATTAGTAACCAGGGGAGCACAGATAAACAAGCTGCAGGGATTTGAAGGGCAATGTGAAATTTTTGTATGTTTTACAGAATACAAGGCGGAACGCCGTACCAAACATTATTCGCTCAGCGCAAAGAGGGGTCCTGAGCACCAGAAAATCTCAGAAGGCGCAATTTGATTGAATGACGAAACAGCGGGAAACGTCCAATTACCCTGTATACAGGAGCAAGCGCAAAGATTTGGTCACGGGTGACGTTGAAGGGTTCACAGAGAAAGAGGATATGGAAATGCAAAATGGAATTTAGAACTGAGGGAAAATAACAAACTGTGGACTGAGTAAAACATAGTAAGGAAATACGCACGATTGGTCAATTCTCGCGTGAGTGCAGGTTCCAGTACGATGGATGGCCGCGTGGCGTATCCGCCCAGCGGGGTCGTTTCAAAAGTAGTACTCCGATGTCCAGGAAGATCGACAGTTTGCTGGTACTCGTTTTCCCTGGCCCAATTTGTATCGAGTGATACCGGTGAAGCAAAATCGGTACTATCTTGTCTTTGACGTTTTCTGGAAAGATGTTCTGGGTGAGAGAGTATAGAAGACGACTCGTTGCCATCCCACTCATGCCTAGGAACGGACGAAATTGCATAGAGGTTGGAAGAGGAAGATTGGGTAGAATATGAATGTTCATGTGAAGAGGAGGGAGGCTGAGTCTGTTGTGGATGAGGGAGTAAAGGAGGGAGCGATGGCGGTGGAAGATAATAAGGTGGGCCAGCGTGTCCATATAAGCTGTGCTGAGGACGAAATGATCTACTTCCTATAGAGGGATTCGCATCCTGAGCGCCCATGTGTTGCGTTCTCTCGATGGGATGCTGTACATTGCTCCCTGTACCTGCATTAGGTGGGATATTACCAGGACCTATAACGGCAGCCCGAGGTGCAGGTACGGTTCTCCCACTGGAGTCTGTATAGATACATGGTTTACTGGCGAAATAGCAGTTGCTACAAGGTGCAGTTCCGTCGCATCTTCGCTTGCTCTTATGGCAAGAATTACATGCTCGCGCAAGACGCTTACGCTTTGGGCGGTCTGGCGGGAGCGCAGGGACCACTTGAAGAGGTGGGAGAGGCGGTGCTGAAGTTGCATCTGGATATGAATGCGATGATGAAGAAGGCGATGGCGCAGAGGAAGTTGAAGTTGGAGGATTTAGTGACTGGTTAGATGATTGATACAGCGCTGCGGAATTCGAACTGGTGAATGACCCGCTAGAATCACGAGACATATCTCAGACTGTGAGCTTCGAGGATCAAGGAGGCCGAGGAATCGTCCAATTGCCAAAGATTGGTGTCAAAGCGTGGACCTTTTCCTGCTTTGAGACCGATATGAATTCCGTAACAAAACCTGCGCTCGACCAAGTTGGCGTTGAGCTACTACCCAACCTTATGCGGTCCACTGTTTGGAATTCTTCGTTCCTTTTTGATCGTTCTGGCACTTCGTAGCCACGCCTTCTCACTCTTCTTCTCGAAGACTGAATCCAGAACAAAATGGTTACGTTATTATGGCAAAAATGTTCGCAGTGTTATTGACCGAGCGCAATAGTAGCAAGAGCAGCCAGCTTTCCTGGTGATGGTCGTGATCGAAGTACAGAGTCAAGTTCGAACGCCAGTTTGGTCTTGACTGGGTTGACCATGGAGATCAAGGATGTGGGAAAATAATCTCATTTCCGGCGGCTATCAAAATAGTACAGGGGCCAATCGGCTTTTCCCCCCGAACGACTACCGGCGGCATGTCTGAGGTATTTTAAGATTCTTTGCAGATCCTGAACCCTTCGAAAAACTCACGCTGCTCGCTCTCAAGCTCGACATGAGCTCTTGTGACGCGTTTGTGCAATTAAAGCGACATAGGCTCGACTCGACACTGATTTTTTGTTCGACTTGTAAGTTAATGAATACAGCTTTGGCAGATTGCTAAATAGCTAAATACCAACATGCGTGATCCCCTTCTGACATAGCCTCTGAACCATAACAGGAGAACAATGAGTTCTGCGCGGTCACGCTGCAGAAACAAAAGATATCGCAGGCAAATGTAAACAATAAGGAATTTCGCTGGGAAAGCTGAATCAAGGTGGTATTTAAAGGGTGTACGATTTAGATTCTCTCTTTTCATCTATAGACCTGCATTGAAGCTCTGGTCCGACACGAACTCTCTCTACTTGATTAACGATGGATCCTACTATGCTTCACAATCGCTCCTTTGCAGAGGCGGCTTGTCCCTATCCTTTGGGTAGGCATGAACGAGACGCACTTAGCACCCTGCTGATTCTGGAGGAAGATGGCGAAGACGACTATAGCGCAGATGACGAATATGACATGGACTTCGAGGTAGTTTATAACCATGGCCATTTTTCTAGTACGCTCATTAAGGCTTCAGAGTTCGTTTGACACGTCTTTCGACTGTGAACGTCCGTCATTCGACCGTTGGTATTCCAAACTCCCAGCTACTCCGTCAAGGGCCCTCAATCGTGGCATTCCGAATATGCACTCCCCTTCTGCTATTCGCACACTTATTGTGGATAATGAAAGCGAATTCGAGGAAGACGAATCAGATGAAGGTAAAGTGAACCCCTGGGTTAACCAATCCGCTTCAAATTCACTGACTTCTACAACAGAACTTCTTGAGGGACACGAGTGCCCTCCAAACTGCTACCTTTGCTCTATCAGTGCAGTCATCTACAAGATCGAGTATCCAGAACTTTATGAAGAATGCGATAATCTGGACGACGAAGACGATTTCGAAGACTGTACTGCATCTGCACCTACTACACATTGTGTACCGGAATGTATCAGTTGTGCACGGGAGCGCCTCCGCGCGGAGGGTTACAAATTCCCTGCATACCAGTACGATCACAGCGACCATATTCCGGACGATGACGAAGCAAAGGTCGAGGAGAAAATAAAACCTTGGGGGCAGAGAATTTCGCGGGAGGAGGTAGATCCACAAATCAACATCGTTTTTACTACACCACCTCCTGACTCTCAGAAGGCAGAGTCAACGACTCTACCTGTAAAACTAAACGAAATCTTTCCGCGAGTATTTTTTCCGCCGCCAAAACCCTCATCGAGCACCTGCGTGTGATCGTTGGGTGATAATCGATGTGTATTTGTCTGGCATTATTTATCAAGCTTGTGTATACCTTATCTAGTGTCTAAACATATGTGTGTAATTCTATGTACTTAAAGTATAGTTATGCAGAATTTGTTGAAATCGCTGAAGCGTGTAAATGAGGGGAAGAACGTGAGCCACTGGCACATCAGAAAATGGATACTTCGTCCTCAGCAGAGCATGGGTAACGATCTCTCAACCGTGACTGCCCTACATAGTCTAAATAGGTTACAACAGATTAAAACTATTCCAAACGCTTCCTAAGTTTTCGTAGGTCAATCGCAGCTTAAGATAGATCCTGAGTATCGTTTGCACTGTGCTTACTTGATTAGCTACGCTCTTTAGAAGCAAACAAAACAACACCACTGACGATACCTGATGTCATGTAACATGGAGTATGCATACATGCAGTAATTGTAGTAGAAGAGGGTAGTGCAACGAATGTCAAAGTCAAATGAAACAAATAATAAGTTAAATGCAAAATGAATGTGATAATAATGTGCGTTTAGCTGTGATGTATATGATGTACTTAGTTGGAAAGCATAGACTACACTCAGGCGAAGACTAGGATGCGGCTGTCTTGAGAGTGTTATCGATGACCGGTTTGAACGACATCACTTCGTCAAACAAGAGCTCTTTAAGCTGTTCCTTTGATAGCTGCTCTTTGTGTGCTAGAACGAGCCATTTATCAATGGCCAGCTAGCGGAATAAATGAAATGTACTCACCTTCAAATTGGAAATACTCCGGATCGAGTGATGGAGCAGCTGGCTCATCCTCAGCGTCATGGTAAGCAGCGACATAGGGATGTTTGAGTGCCTCTTCAACCGCCATCCGCCTTTGGGGATCAAATGTCTAAGAACACAAATTAGATATTCGTTTAATAAAAATCCAGCCAAAGGACTCACGAGTGTCTTATTCAAGAAGTCGATTGCGTCTGCGGAAGCGTGAGGGAAGAGAGATGAAAGCTCTTGGGCTTCTTGATTGGCAGGGAACGGATGTACTCCTTCGATCTGCGAGACGTAATGGCGTAAAACTCGTCCACGGTAGGCGTTCCTACATAAGAAGACACATATCAACATCGCGCTGCCGTAGCCGCTTGTTCGGAAGACATACCGATAACATCAAGAATCAAATCGAGTTGGTGTGAATAGTCACGACCAGGGAATAAGGGTCTTCCTGAAATCAGCTCTGCGAGGATGCACCCAATAGCCCACATGTCAATCGCCTTCGTATACATCTTGAAGCTCAACATGATTTCGGGTGCCCGATACCATCTCGTCGCAACATATTCCGTCATTACACCCTCACCAACCTTCACCTTTTCAAACCCAGCCTTCAAACTACGGGCAAGACCGTAATCACAAACTTTAAGGTCACAGTTGGCGTTCAAGAGCAAATTCGCTGGTTTGAGATCCCGATGAACGATGTCTGCACTGTGGATAGTCTTCAGCGCGCGGAGGGTTTGATATATGAAGTATTGACAATGATCGTCGGTGAGAGGTTGAGTTCGGATAACACGGTGGAGATCAGTTTGCATGAATTCCTGTACAACTGATTTGGATATCAGTGCAAGCAGGAATGAAGGAATTGTTAGGACACACAGTAAATCTCATTGAAGGATTCAAAAGAGGTAGGTTTGATGATATCAAGAACAGAGATAATCTATGATCCCAACGATGAGCGATCAATATCGTAAAACGGACAAGATAGACACTAACGTTTTCGTTTGAACATTCCTCCGAGAAATATTTCAGCAGCTTCAACTCCCTGAGAGTTCGTAAAGCAAATAGTATATGATCGAATGGCAACACTTTTTTAATAGCAACGCGTCGTCCAGTTGGTTTGTGAACAGCAGCAACGACGGAGCCATAGGCTCCTTCACCCAGGGCATAAAGGAGTGTGTAATCTTCACCTGAATAAAATAGCGTCAGATCTAGAGCTCCTAACGGTTTGCAAAATGCAACAAACCGACGTCAAACTTGGGAAGAGGCTTGGAGGGAGCTTTGCGAGACATGGTTGTAAGAACTGATAATAAGTAGTACGAGGAGCTAGAAAAGATTCGGCGGAAAAGTCCAAAACGAGCGAACGAAGCCTGGGCGTGAAGTTGAAAAATGAAGCAAAAGAGCCCAAGCCAAGAGAGAAAGCAATATACCGGGCAAAAGTTCTCACCACCCCCTTATATACGAAAAAAAAGCGTATCGCGGTAACAAGGGTTGTAAACGATTGATGGCAAAAATTCGAAACAGGGCTCATTTGGGCTCATATTCTGGTTGAAGATCGGGCTGTGTCGGTATAACCGGAAGGTTCGAAACGTTTTGGGCATGTTGGGCGGATCCGACTTTCAATTATACAGCTGTAGAGGCTCTGAGAGCCTGGGGGTTCCTATGAGTAGTCCACCTGTGGAAGCTGGTGAGACTGTTCTTTCGCGATATTTAATTGCGAAGTCTCGCGTACAGATTGCTATATTTGCAAATTAATGATACAGGGCCATCAGTGGGGGCAATATCATAGTTCTTCAATTTTCCTTTCATCCTCTGATGATCCTCACCTGATCCTCACCACTGACCAGATCAGTTGAAAGCCCAGGGTGCGAACCTGCTGCGAACAGCTGCACACGCTGCAAGTGATTTCAAAGTGAATAGAAGTGACTCCATCTACAAGGACGCGCTGAGCGCTCATCGGTCAGAGTTGAAATTCAAGAATGGAGTTGTTTTTTGAATTGAGGCTATCCTTAGTCTCTCTAGCACCAGGTATTTAGCCCCTCGTCCGTCTCGAATTAGAGATAGATTGATACACGGCTCCGTCCAAAGACAGAGTCCCACAGAGAGTGATGTGATGTATGTAAGCACAGATTGCGAATGGGATGGCAGTGCTGACAGTGAGCAATAGTATATCGAGTCTTGAAGAGATAGTAGAGCAACGCACCTGCTACCGTCACGAGGCTACACCCGTGTTACACTTGAGGGCGAGTACTGGGCCGAGAGCAGTGGCCAGAGAAAAGGCGACAGTCATCAACACGACAAAAAAAATCCAACATAGCTGTCAGTGTGAATATCGATACTTGATTCCGCTTGAAACAGCTCACAAATATTCTGGCAAGGCAATTTCTGCGGCTTCATAGTACCACAGATGTGAAGAGTTTCGATACTATACATAGCGTATGAAGCATTAGACGGTTGGGTCGACCTTGAAAGGTATATTTCTGTCTTTGAAAGAACTGTACTATTTAGAAACGTGTTATAGCTTGTGTTAGTTCTGATATTTAATGATGCGTAGGTTTCTTCCCTGGATTCCGAAAATTAGTATTTTGAGAGATGCGTATACGACAGGCTCCTGACCATCTACAAACATATTTCTCGTAGCACTAGGAAGGGTTGCTGTGATTCCATCCAGCTCCTTCGTTAACTTGACTTGACATCCCAGTCTACTTGTATCTGTCAAGCCAAACGCCATATCGAGCATATCGTTTTCGTCGTCCTCGGGTTCCGGTAGAAGATCATAATATTCTGGACTTAGAATAACATGACATGTTGAACATGCAACCGAGCCTTCGCATGCACCTTCAAGGGAAAATAAGTAGAAAGAAAAATTTGGTAATTCCATAGGCATTGACGAACCTTCGAGGTCAATGTCATATTCATGAGCAATTCCTAGAATATCATCCCCTTCGTTTGCTTCAATCGTCTTGATCAGATTACCTTTAGAATCCTTGAAGTTCACTTTGATCCTATGACGAAGGACGTGTTCAGAATACGAGTATGAACTTCCACTACGTCAAGGCGCACCCTGTTCCGGGTTCAGGTCGTGTTATATCACCGTGTGCGGAAGCTGAAATAACTGGAGTTAGTTTTTGTTGTCGTTCAACGATGTAGTGTTACGCACTAGTTGTGGAATGAAATGACCGCGACTGTGGACTTGACAACCGAAGACCTCGTTTCTCTGCTTTTGAAGATAAATGTGCAAGTAGTAGATTCCTCGACGGCTTCGTTGTTCTAAAATCTGTTTGAATGCACCTCCGGTGACTCGTCAACCGAGGTCTCAAGGTCTGAGAAAATGACCAAGCCAGATCTCTTTTGAATGCGCAGTTCATTCGGACTGAGGCGGCTGGCGTATGGGTACAAAGAGGGAGGATGGCGGACGTAAGCAGTTTCTTTTGAGCCTTTTTTCAAGGGTTAAAGCAGCGTTGAAGTTAAGCTCGTACTGGAGCCGCTGAGTGTTGAATGAATTCAACGCGTCCTGGTCACGTTCCGCTTATTTAAGCCTGCTTGAGCTCAGTAATATATATAGTCAGACATTACATTTTGCCGTAAACTTGAGCAGTACCATGACAGACTCTGCAGGAATCGCCATCGACGCACTGATGACTCCGATACCACCGCGAGCTGGAATTGTTTGGAAACTGACGTGATGGCTTCCTCGAGAAAACTGTTGCCTGTTGACTCAACTTCCTCTCCAGAAATATCACCTTGCTTGCAATGGTCATTGAACATCCATAACCTCGAGCGCCCGTGCAAAATTTCCTTTTAAAGTTGTCGTTGTCCGATCCGACGGCGGAACAGGGTTACATCTACGCCTTATAGGGCAAAAGGGATCCGGATGCAGCCCTTTTACTTTCCCTTCATCTAACAGACTCCGACTCCACCCCTGCACTTTACCAGCTCACAACAAATTTCCTCACCTGGCTCACCATAATGCATCATCCCTAAGCTTTTCTGCTTGCTGTTTCACACCAAATTCCCTCACCGTAGCAGTGAACAGACGCAAGCAAGGTGTGTGTCCCCAACGGGGTACGTTAATTTCCACTGCAATGGAAGCAAAATCACCAACATGCTGAAAATTTCGCGCACTTTTCATTCACATCGCAGAGTGCGGGGCCGGTTGCAGAGAAAGCTGCATAACCAGCTCTGGACCATTGGACCCCTTCTCTGAGTCTCAGCAAAGGAAGTGTTCCTGCCTTTATTCCATTTCATCAATCATACAAGGAGATTCCCTATCATGGGTGAACTCCCTGAACTCGGGGGAGGATGAAGATGGCCTAGCCGACAGCGATAGCGAACCAATTGTCCAACCCGAAACTCTGTTCTCTTAATTACCCAATTTCCTCTGTTCCTCTTATAAATACATACAGAAAACAAAGCAAAAAATACACAACTGCCTAGGACCCCTGACAACCCACTAAGAGGCCTGATCCCAAAAACTCAAGTTTTACCCACATTTTTTGGGGGTCCAAAAGGTGGATTTTTACCCGGATTCTCCTCTGGCTTCATTCCAGACCCCATTCTTACCCGGTTTAGACCTCAGGGTATATCCAAAATTTGATTTTTCATCTTTTTTTGCTTATTTTTTGCCAGAAAGCTGCCAAATGTATTTTCTCTTTGTTTGTTTCTACTGCAGGTGGTTCTTTTTCCCTTGTTTTATCTATGCTGAAATTATGAACTCATCTAATGGATCATCATCCATATAGTTTCCCTTGAGCTCCAGATTCAACTACTACAATGTTCATGCAAAAACATGTATAAACAAGCTGTATAGTAATGTTTATGATACCTTACAATATGTTGTCAATATCGTGTAGTGGTGCCGAGTCAATTGCTTTGTGCTCAGTGAGCACTATGTTCGAGTCTCGTAGGGGCCATTTTACCCAACTGTAGATGAGGCCTTTTTGAAAGGAGCCTTTTTACCCAATTTTAGCCCTAGGGCTCAGCATGAAAAATTGTGATTTTTACCCTCTTTTGGCTCATGGATTCTAAAAATTTTCTCCTATTCTTACCCGCACTTTGTACAGGCCTCTTAGTGGGTTGTCAGGGGTCCTAACTGCCTACTCTTGTCAAGTCCATGCCGCGGGCCTCCATTCCGCCGTTCGGGATTCCGAAGATCTGCTCCTTATTGTTATCTCACTCTTATTGTTCTTTCTCGCTACACATACCCTTTCGTTCTAGTCCCTTCTTATTGTCTTTTACTCTACCCTGCAGGTACTACTCGTATAGCTCCTAGTAGTTAGTCTGGCGCTCCGCACCGCTGCGCCGATCCGTAGATATAAATACTGCCTGTACGCTACTGTAGTTCCTCAGTTTAATTATCGACTTAGATTCCCTCTTTCACTCTGTGCTCCTCTAAGTCTTCAGGCTTACTGCCTTGAAGTTCTCTCTACTCTACCTTAGAACTTATACGTTCTCTGGTTCGCTCCTCGTCACCGGCGTTATCGCCGCTCCGACTTGGCTGCTACTCAGCTCCTCTCTTCTATACTCTCGACCTCCGGGGACATACGGCGTAACGGCGGTGTTGTTAATAACTTCACTACTGTCCCATTCGTATTCCGCACTTAGACACTCTGTGACCTCTGGCACGGTTACACGGGTTGCATGATCTTAACAGTATAATTAAACTCAATCCGTAACGTCGTACTGACATATCATTTTTTATGCCTCCGAAAACTCGAGCTCAATCCAGAGCTAATTCCGAAGAAAACACTTTCTTCACCACAGCTCAATCATTTGCCCCATTTTCCGACTCTATCTCTGCCATCGGTCAACCACGTCGCCGTAATCGCGGTTTCGGTCCAGCCACAGTTCCTACTACGTCAACTCTTCCTGAAGCCATGGAAGAAGATCAGCAATTTGAGTACAGCACTTTGTACACCGGTGACGGACAACCTGTCCAAGTCTTGACCCCTCGCCGTGGACAACCCCCCGTGGTCGCTCCGGCTCGGGGCCGGTCAACTGCTCGAATTGATTCTCCAATTCTCCAAGCCATAGCCCGCCGTACGGGAAAACAACCCCAACGTCGAGCTGTTTCTGAATCTCCTCGTGACCCACCTCCTCATTTCGATTTGGATACTGGTGATCACGATGATCAAGACCCTCCTGTCGACCCCGACGATCCGGGTGCCGACAACAACAATGACGATCTGGATGACGATTCCGGCGGTTTACCGCGTGGTGAGCCTGGTGACCCCAGTGGGCCTGACGGTCCCGGCGGTCCCGGCGGACCTGGTGGTCCTGGTGGACCTGGTGGTCCTCGTTCTCCTAATTCTCCTGACATCCCCAACGAGCAACGAGCTATGTTGGATCTTCTCTCGGGATTCAAGGGTTCCATTGAAACCCTCGGTACCGTTCTCGCCGCGCTCGGCCGTCCCTCTGACAGCTCTGAATCTAAGAGCAAGGTCAAGGAACCCGAGGTATTCGACGGTTCGGATCCCCGAAAACTCAAGACGTTCTTCGTCAATCTCGCCCTGGTCTTCAATGACCGTCCAAAGTACTTCACCGACCAACGGAAGGTGAATTATACTCTTTCCTATCTCAGTGGGTCAGCCAAAGAATGGTTTGTCCCTGACATCCTCGATCCGGACCTCGACTCGCTGCCGGCCTGGACGTCGTCCTTTACGGCCCTTGTAAAGGAGTTACAGGACAATTTCGGCGTTTATGATGCCCAAGGCGAGGCCGAGGACGCCCTCGGTAACCTTAAGATGAAGGAAACCGAGAACATCCGGAAATACAACATTCGGTTCAACACCCTGGCTGCTAGCACCAACTGGGATTCTGCCGCCCTCAAATGGGCTTATGGACGAGGCTTGGCCGAACGCATCAAGGACGAAATGGCGCGGTTGCCCGAGCCGGCGACGCTCGCCGCTTATCGTCTAGAAGTTCTTCGCATTGACAACCGTTACTGGAAGCGCGAAGAAACTAAGAAGCGTGAGGCTGGTAAGCCATTTATTGCTCGGAACCCGAAGAAGGGTTCCTCGGACTTCAAGACTGGTTCTACTAACCAGCAAAACAATTCTCAGCCTTCGGGCTCTTCGGCGCCGTTCACGCCGAAACCTAAACCCTTCTCTGGTGGTAAGCCTAACAACAATGGTAAGCCCCAGAATTCTGCGAATTCCGGCCAATCCGGCGGTCAGCGCCCCGCGTTCAACCATCTAGGAGCAGATGGTAAAGTACTTCCCTCCGAACGGGAAAGAAGGATGAAGAACAACCTTTGTCTCTTCTGCGGTGGTAAGCATCAGATTGCTGACTGCAATAAGCGAAAAGCCCGAGAATCGAAGGGCCGCGCTGCCGAGGTTGAAGAAACCCCCGAAGCAACCATTGAGGTTGTTGAAGAGGATTCGGAAAACTAATCCGCAGCTCTTGTTCCCCGGTACGAAACGGGAGCTGCGTTGATCAGGTTCGTACCTCACCTGGGGAGTTATATCTCAACGCGTCCGCTCTTTCTTCCATTGAACGATCTCTTGTAATATCATTGACTACTGAATTTCCTTTGTCCGATTCGGCCGCGCCGGCCGAACCTATCTCTGCTCTTCTTAAATTTCCTACTCTTGTTGATTCTGGTTCTACTGACTCTTTCATCGATACTCGTTATGTTTCACAAAATTCTATTCCTACGACCAAAATCTCTCCTGTTAATCTTCGTCTTTTTGATGGTTCATTATCTTCTAAACCCATTACCGATATGGCGAATATCGCCGTTCGGTTCCCTTCCGGCGAGCTGCTTCTCTTACCCTTTTATGTCACACATTTAGATTCATCTTGTAAAGCAGTATTAGGTTACAGTTTCTTATCCCGCTACAATCCGTTGATTGACTGGGCATCTCGAAACATTACGTTCCGTAACACTTCACACCTTGATTCTCCACAGACGTCTGTGCCTTCTGCCACCAACACTGTTGATGCAAAGGTCGCTGTTCCGCTACCGGAACCTTCGCCGTCGGTTTCACCGACAATTCTGGAGACCCCTCCTGGGGACTCACCTCGCTCTCGCTCTCGCTCCCGCTCTCGGACTTCACGGGCCAAGCCCCTTTCGTCCAAATTCCCTTTTGAACCCATCTACTCTTACCCTACGGTCTCTCAATTCGCTGCTCAGCTGGAAACTCCCGAGGTAGACATTGCACTTGTCAGTGCTGCAGTCTTCAATAGGGCTTGCAAGGACGCCGGTATGGAACCCATCCTTCTTCGTGCTATCCACTCAGAGGTCGCGGCCCGCGCCGCCGACCGCTCTTCCACCGCTCCTACTGTCCCTCCACTTCCTCCTTCCATCCCAGCAGAGTATGCTGAGTTTGCAGACGTCTTCGACGAGATAGCTGCAGATTCTCTTCCT